TTCTGAAATATCCAAAAGTCAAAGTCCGAAAAACTACAAAACCCAGCTGAAAATTTGACATTTTCCAAGAATGTTTGAAGCAGCTGAAACTTTTTCTGTAAACAAATTTCAAAATTCCAATTTCCTCATGTTCAAACAGCTGAAAATTATTCAAAATATTTTTCTTAAGTCAGGGGATCCGATGCAGGAACTTACAAAATTTTCTGGATTTCTTTAGCACTCAAAAATCACAGCGTTCCTTGGTTTTTGCTAATCCCAAAATCCGTGTTGTTCTCACAAATAAATCTTCCAAAAAACTTATCAGATTACGATTTGGATTAGTATACGGTAGCTTTGGACATCACTATTTTTGGCTATTTTTGTTCTGACGAAAATCACGAGAAGTGTACAATTTTTGTAGTGTAAAAATACAAAAAACATATTTTTTTGAGTCACGGGGGTATTGAAAAACAATTTTTGACTTGTTCAGCTTGGGGACTCGGATAAATTCACAAAGTTCCACGTGGATTTTCAGCCAACAATTCTGGAATTTTAGACGTTGTTCGATGACTCAAAACTAGTTTTCAGCTAATCTTTGCCCTGCCTAAAAAACCGTGAAATCTACAATTCCAATGACGCAAATCAAGCTATGCTAAAAACATCAAAAAGTCGAAGTTCAAAAAAAAAAACTGCCAGCTGAAAATTTGACATTTCCTGAAAGCAGTTGGAATTTTCACAAATAAACAGAGTTTCAGAAGTTCCAGCTGAAAAATTTCGAAAAAATACTTCAGTTTTAAAACATCAAATTGTTAGCAGGTGGATTTGGACCAGGAATTTTGGAATCGGGAAAAAACATTTCTAGCGTGAGCCTGACATCAGACTGTGAGTCAGTTTGACCCCGGGCCGGGTCTGGCCTGGTTCCAGATCAAAATTTGATTTCTCTAGATTTCTGGAGGCTAAAGGTCACAGTTCTAATCTCATCCTGCGTAGTTCTCAAATTAATCTTTCTGTTTACATCTTCAAAAAAATATTATCAGATTAGGATTTGCAAATTTCTTTTTGTACATCACAATTTCAGGTATTTCTGTCCAATTTTGACTACATTATTTGTAGCGGGGAAAATACAAAAAATATTTTTGAGTCACGGGGTTACGGTAAACTGACATTTTCAGATTACGTGCTTCTGAATCTGAGTCTAACTAGATTTTCAGCCCAATTTCTAGCCAAAGCTGTAATTATAGTCACATGGCCTACAAAATTGGTAACATTTTGTACCTGCAAATTATCTAAACTTTCTCAAAATTCGTAAACAATAACAGATAGTGCAAGCTACTAACCTTGAATTATTCTTCTGATGTTGACATTTCCAAATCAGAAGAAATAATTATTGAATACTGTAATGTTCAAACAGCTGAAAAAATCGGGGTTTTTGAAATCAGGGACTGGAAAAGCTGAAAATTTACATCTGCCTGGAAGAAAATCAAATTGAGATGTATGAAGTTTAGTACGACACAAATCATGGTTTTCAGGAGATTAGAACCAAATTCAGAACAAAATTTGGACATTTTAGTTAGAAGTTGGATGAAAAACGAGTCAAGTTTGAAGAGGACTAGGCTTAAAGGTCTGAGCAAAAATTTTTGAAAGAGCATGGATTTTTCCTGGAAGCTTCTCAAACATTCATTTATAAATTTCAAAGTTCGCAAATACAGTGACATCCAATTTGGAGTTTATTCCGATTTTTATGAAAATTTTTCAATGGCTTTTTAAACCAGGAAACAAACTTTTGAATTTTTAAATTTTAAAAACTGCTTCAAAAAAATCGATTTTCATACTCCACCTTTAATTAAAAAGGAACTGAACTAAAGGAATCTAGAGAAATCAGAAAATTCGTCATAAACTTCAATAATTTCTTCATAAATTGAAGGAAATCCCATATTTTTAACCACATTTTCAGATTTTTAACATAAATTTATTGGTTTTTGTTAACTGAACTTAGGATGTACAGAAATTGAGGACCTTTCATAACTATTTTCACAAAAAAAATCTATTTTGATAATTTCACCTTCAAAATTCTTTCAAAACGCTCAACCTTATATGGAATTCCAAATCTCAAGTTTTTCAGTGTGATTTTTCTCTTAAGAGTATTTTCCAAACATTATCTATATAAATTTTAACCTTTGCTTCAAATTACTGTAGATGAAACATCAAAATTGTGATGTTCAAACTCAAGATTATCCTATGTCCTCAATAACAATATAAATCTTCCTGATTTTGCTAATCTAATCCAGATTTATTTCGTATAGTTCTGAAATCAAACTTCATCACTGAATTGGCCATTTTTGCTTCAGATCTACTTGGTTTAAGTATAAATCTTGTTTTTCTCAAAGATTATTATAATACGGATTTTTGTATAGTTCTAAAATTGACCAAATTCAAACTCCGGCTTAAAAATCGGAAGTTTTTTTTTCAGTGATCTTAAAACTTTTCAGAATCAAAAATAAACATTTTTAATCCAATTAATCTAGTACAGTACTCCAAATTAATAACAATACAGATTAACATTTGATAATGTTGTGATGTAAAAGGAGATTAAACATGTTTACACGTAGGAAAATGGAATGAAGTTTGGTTTTTCAGGAAAAATCAAAAAAACTGATCTTTATCTTGATTTCCGGAACTTTTTATTGAAAATCAAAGTTTTTTCCGATTTTCTAAATAGAAATCCTGAGAATTATGAGAAAAAATCGTTTCTTGAGATTTATTAAAATAAATTCCAGATTTCATTTTCAGAAGAATCAAATTGAATTTGAAACTTATTGTTAGTCGTAAAACTTAGTCTTGGTCTAAATTAGCTAAAACTCGAAAAATGATCTTTTCTGAAATTTTGAGAGATAATTTTGAAGCACGAAAATGCCACGTGGTTTTCAGGAATTTTCTACACAATTTCTTGCCTAGAAAAACTACTGAAAACGTGTTTTTCTGGAAAATATTCAAAAATAACAATTCCACGTGGCTCTCGGATAAAATTTGAATACAAAATTAGAAATATCATCAGAAAAATTTTAACTTGAATCCTAAACGCCCAAAAATAAAATGTGGATTTCCAAAAAAAAAAATAACTAAACATTTGAAATCAAAACTTTCCGGTTGAAATTCACAAAAGTTCCACAAGACTTCAAAACCTCTAATGAAAAATATGCTAAATTATCTGAAAATGCCATGAAAACCCACTAGTTAATGATGAAAATTGAGAGATTTCATTCAAAAAATTCTACTGCCACGTGGCAATATCCGAATGAAAATGATTTCCGAAAAATATTCTAGATCACAAAAACATTGGGTAAAATCCGAAAATTCCGAACATGAGACAGAAAAATTAAGAATGACTATCGCTCTCAAATACATCTGTTCAGCGGGAGATCATAAAAGTGCATCGGAGAAAAAAAGAAGTGTTCGGCTAAAAGTACAAATGGATTTGAACAGAAAGGAGAAGAGAACACCTATTTTCAGACATGTTCATTATTGTTTCAGAGAATCGCATGTTTTCAGGATCTCAAAAATATATGACATTTTTTTTGATTGGCAAATAAATTTCTGAATTTTCCTAAAATCTCTGGGGTTTAAAGAAGAATGTAAGACCTATTTTTGAAATTTACAAAAAATCCTATTTTGATTCGCCTAAATTTCAAAATTCGAGCTTAAATTTAAAAAAAAGTGATTCTGCCCGAAGCTCCGAAGATCTGATGGTTGTTTTGCTGAAATACCGAATGCTAATTCTTTCCAGAAAATAAATAAACAAATAATTTTCCAGGAAAAATATTGTTGTTTTTTGTTTATCGAAAAAAAATTACGTGGAAAAAATGGGCGTTTGTAAATCTTCCAAAATGTCTCTGATGGAAACACTTCTGGTAAGTCTGATTTTTTTCAAACATTTTTTGTGACCCAAAAAAGCCACGTGGCTAGGATTAAATTGAACCTATATATTTTCTGAATTTTCAAACTTGACAGGTTGAAATTCCAAATTCAATAGGCCCGATTGAAAAATTCAGAAATATTCCATTTTGCAGACAAAATGGGCGTTTGGAAATTTTCAAGGATGTTTCTGATGAAAAAAAAAACTTTTGGTAAGTCAGATTTTCGAAAATCCATCCAACTTTCACAAATTTAGAATTTGAATTTTCAAAATCAGTTTCGTTTACTACAAACTCGTTAAATCTCAAACCTAGGCCTCACGAATTGAAATAAATTCAAGAGCTCAACAATTTCTCTCCTGAAGTCCAATTAGTTCGGTTCAGAAAAATCATTTTTCAAATTTCAATTCAAAAATGATCTACGATCAAAAATTTTTGCAGATAAAATGGGCGTTTGTGGATTTTCAAAAAATGCTTCGGATGACCAAAATTGAGGTAAGTCCAAGTTTTTTAAAAGTCACGCTTTTGCAGAAAATAACAAATTACGGGTTATTCATAAGTGTATTCCATTTTTTTTTCCAAATATAAACTACATTTCCTGGAAAATAAGTGTTTTTTTGAATTCTCAAAATTCATGTTTCTTCAGAAAAGTTCCAAAATTATGAGAAAAATCACAAGTTTCTGACTAAATTTTCCAACTCTCAATAAAAACTATATAATTTTGGCTTTTCGATCTCCCCTATATTTAGTTAGCTCATAAAAATCCAATCAAAAATCGCAAAACCCCACATTGTTATTCACTTTGACTTATCCCAAGTGACTTTTCATTTTTCGACAAAAAACTTGTTATTCCTCCTGAAAAAGTCAGCAATTTTGCACTTTCAGTATTTTATATCCACTAGAAAATTTTGCGTCAAACAAAACCTGAAATTAAATCAAAATCACGCTTTTCTCTCTATTTGTGTGGGTAGTCTATAGCTTCCGAATTCAAATAAAAATAATTTTCCATTCAGACCCCAAGAAACGATCATGAAAGTCGATTTTTGGACCTATTATTCAATTTTTCAATTTTCAATCTGCGCATTTTCAATAATTTCACACTTGATTTTCATGAGAATTTGCGTATTTTATGGAACTGTACATTTCATGGGAAGGTAAAGTTTCAGTTTCAGAATATTTCTGGAAAAAATTTTTCAGAGTTTGTCTATTTTTCATCTCTCTCGGTGATCAATTAATTATCATAACTTGGATTTTGATGACACTAACATGTTTAAGATTTGGATCTTTTTTTGAAGTCAAAGAATGTTATGAGGGTAAGTGACACGTGGAAAATTTATTTTTCAGCACTAAAAAATTAGGTTGAAAATGGCTCTTAAAAAATTGTTGAACTTTTTATTTACTCAAAAAAAGTTCAAAAATAACTTTTTTGGACTTTTCGGGCTCAAAAATTGGAATTTGTTTTCAAAAACATTTGAGAATTTTTTGGTAGATCAAAAAACATCTATTTCAAAAATCCACGTGCATTTTCAGAGCTTGAAATATTTTTTTTTAATTTAAAATTGTGTTCCGACTATCTAAAATTCAAATAATTTTGAAATTTCAAATCCTATCATTAATTTTTCAATTGATCAAGCTCAAATTACCACGTGAAATGTTAATTAAGTCTGCTGAAATTTGAACAAATAACTTTTTTCTGACATTTGATATAAGCCATAATTATGTCTTGAGATCAAACTGTCATCGCTTGCCACGTGGCAAAAATCCCCATGTCACAAAAACAAAAAATGTTTGCAGCCCGCGAGCCTCCGCTACTTTTTCATTTCGTCGGCGAATTCATGATGGCCTCATTTCACGTTTTGATAAATGCAGGTAATCACTATTTTCCTCATTTGAAAATTCTAGTAAAATTTTTGCAGACCGTCTAATTTGCCTAATTCGAAAAACATCAAAACCGTCGGGACTGATTTCAATCTCATATTTGCTCACAATTATTTTGTTGTTGATTTCAAGTTTTGGCTATGCATTTTTGGCTAGTGAGTATCAGAGACAGGGAATCTGGGGGCTAGAAGAGTCTAGTTTTGCGAGAAAAAAATAATTTGCAAAAAAAAAAATGAACTAAATTTAATTTACAAGGTAAATTATATGGCCAGGGTAGAAACTCAAACAAGAGCCCGGAACATCAGGCCTAAGCCTTTAGGCTTGAGCTTTAGATCTATAATTCTGGATTTCTAGGTTCTAGATCTTCTAATCTAGATCTAGGTATTCTAAAAATGTTGAACCTTGTGAAAATCAGACCAAGATCGGGATGAAATTAGCTCCAAAAGCCTAAAACCCCGGATTTTTGCAGTCAACACAATGGACGAATACTATTCAATCTTCATAATCCTCAGTGCCAATCTCACAAGTCTAACTCTCGAAATCTCGCTCTACAATCACTCGAAAAAACAATTCATCCGAACACGTGGCATCGTTCCGCTCGCCAATCGCTACGAAATCTCAGCCGCCATCCAAATTATCCGCAAATTTCTGCCCGCCTCAATAACAAGTGTGATATTCAAATTCGTCATCGTCACAATGTTATTCATTGCGCGAAGTAATTTGGAGAACACGTGGATACCGCAGTTTTTCTACGTGTTGAACACGTTTTGGAATTTGGATTGCGCATTGTTTCCCTGGTTTTTCATTATGTTTCATCCAAGTGTCAATGAGCGTGTAAGTCTTGACTTCTTCTAACTCTTGAAAAACGTGGCGTTTTGAGTTACAGCTACCAAATTGGCTACGAATTTGTTGTCGGATGAATGGCAGGAAAACTGGGACCATCGATAGCGATACACAGCAAAATCATTTTGAAAGTTTGAAAAATCAGTGGGCATGATAAAGTAGTTTTATTTCTTGTTTTGCACAAAAATTATGAAGTCAGATGGAAAAAGTATAGCTGACGTCAGAGATTTTCGAACATCAAATTTGAAAGAAGAACTTTTTGGTGCCAAAAATTCAAAATACGTGCCACGTGGATTTTTGGAAAAACAACATTTTTTGGTTCCGGAAAATTCGAGCCCAGGTTCAACGTGGAACTTTTTTTTGAATCCAAATTTTTCGATGCCACGTGGATTCTAAATTTTTCTGAATAAAATGTTTGGTGCCACGTGGATTTCTAACAATTTCTAATGAAAAAAAATGAATATTTTTCAAATATGCCACGTGGATTTTGAGTTAGGCTAATTATGACTCAAAATCTAGAAGAGAAGTCATTTTTTTTTTGTTTTCATCACAGATGTTTTGGTTTGTGCAGGTTCTGCGAATTTAAAATTCAAAAACTAGAAAATTGAAAAATCCTTGAAAGTATGTAGCTGACTTCAGAGATTCCACGTGGATTCAAAATTTTTCAAAATTCCAACTTCAAAAAGTCAGATTTTACATTTTCAAAATTCGCAGAACCAAACAACATGTCATGTCTCTAATGAAATGTCGCTAATGAGAAACAAAAATTAGCTTATCTTCTAATTTTTCGAGTCATAATTAGCCAAACTCAAAAATCACATGTTTTCGATCGAATATCCGGTCAACCTAAAACAATGTTTCCACCTTCTAATTCTCCTCGAAATCCCGATTCATTCTCTAGGCATCTATCTAATCCTAACCCATACTCCGATAAAAATGCAAAGTGTCAAATCAATCATGTTACAATGTTGTTTGTGGGGTGTTGCGCTAGATTTATCGATTAGTTGCGGCACCATGCCATTTGTATTATTCCCCACAATTTCCGGCTATCCTTTGGGAATATTTTCCACAATTTTCGGGATTCCTGCAGTGCTTCAAGTTGTCATCGTCGTCCTATTTTTGACAGGAATCGGGAGTTCTATTGTGATAGTGCTCGAAAATAGCTACACAATTACTAAAAGCAAAAATTGGTGCTCCAAGAGAAATCATTTGATAATCTATTTTCTAAATGCTTTTCCAGTTTGCCTAATTTTATCCTATGTTTGGCTAACTACTCCAGACCAAATTTATGCTTTACAAATTATATGGGCTCAATTAGAAGCCTCAAAAATCCCAGATTATATCAAAAATCTACCAATCGTAGTGATTTCCCTAGATATTTCCATAGTTGGCAGATATTTTGCATTTTCTGTCATCTTCATATTCACTCAAGCGCAATGTTTCTTCATTCCAACATTAATCGAAATGTGTTCGGCAAGAAAAAACATATCGCAGAAAACCAGACAACTTCAAAATCGATTTTTCGCCCTGATTTGCACACAGGTTATGATTCCTTTAAGTGTTGTCGCGATTCCACTGTTATATTTGGTTTATAGTTGCTCAATGATGTATTATAATCAAGGTGAGATTTGGTGGTGGGTTTGCCACGTCATAGCTACATTTTTAACAAATTAATTAGCTTTCTGACACATAGGTTCGACGTCATGACTACAAAATTCAGATGAAATTGTAGTTTTTCGTGATTTCTGTTGATGACTTACGAAAAAACAAATTTTCGATTTATCCCAGTTGCCACGTCATAACTAGATTTCTTTTCAGCAGAATATGGGAAAGGTGTTTTGAATTTTCGAAAAAAGTTAAGGTTTGCCACGTCATAACTACTCTTCTAGAAACATATAAAAATGAAAACCAAAAAAAAAAAGAATGAAAAAAAAAACGAAAAAGGTTCTGGTCCTCAATTAGGCCAAATCTGCCACGTTACTCTTGATTCCCGAAAAATCCACGTAATACCCGTTCCTGAAACCTCCCCCCCCAAAATCCACGTCATACCCGCTCTCACAAACCTCCCCCCCCCCTCCCAAAAATCCACATTATACCCGCTCCCCACCTCTCATCGACCTCTCAATTCCAGCGCTCAATAATCTCGTCTTCATCGTGCTCACCTTCCACGGCATTCTATCCACCATCTCCATGATTCTCCTCCATTCACCATATCGAAATGCCGTGTTTCGTCGAAAATTTGGCAAAATCCAATCGGTGGCTTCAAATGTCGCCTCCAAAGTTCACATAATCCTATAAAAAATGAAAGTTGCGTTGTTATGCTTTTGCTTATGCATTACAAACAAACCATTGCAATAATCCGAACACAAAGCGACAAAATTACACAATCGACTTAGGCCAACTCAATATAAATATGGGTGAATGTTGCATAGTATCACTGAAAAATGTCCAAAATCTTCATTTTCTTCGCAATTTTCTTGAGCGGCGCCGCCAATGCTCAATATGATTTCCACGCAACTTCGCCGCCAGCTCCACCACCACCACTTCCATCTCCAACTCCCGAAGTTCATCCATCATTCGCCGGTCCGCAGCAATTCATTCTCATTCCAATTTCGGCGTTCGCTGGTACACCATTCGCTCAGCAATTCAAGTTCTATGAGCAACACCAGCACGATTTCAATCTTCAGGAGCCAAGCCATACTGTGACATCTGCGCCGATTGCGATTTCCAAGGCGACTTTGGCACCACATACAACAACTCATGCACCAATCACAACTTCGACAACACATTCACCAATTGCGATTGCGCCACGACCAATTCCAACTCAGCCACCTTATGGATCTGTAGGAAGTGAGTTTGGAGGGGTGAGAAAGGTCTTGAAACCTACCAGGTTTCAAGACGCGGCTCCTAGCCAAAGTGATTTTCAAGGCGCGGATCCTAGACAATCAATCTCACTATGCCTAGCAAAAAAACGGAATGAATCTTTCAACTAGAAAATATTTTTGAACGACAGAAAAAATGAAAAGATGGAGGGAAAAGGTAGATCAAAAAAGCAAAAAAAAGGGCTGATTCACGAACGAAAAAATGTTTTTTTAACATTGAAAGATCTAGTTTTTCGAGTTTTTCAGCCAAAAATGATGACAAATCAATATTTTTCAAGCTTCTGGAGTGATTTCTGATGAAAATTGACCTTGGAACTCACTTTCCAGAAGGTTTTGCTGATTTTTCGTAAATTAAAAAATTGTAAATTTTGATGAATTTCGAAAAAATTCATGAAATTTCATCAGAAATTACTCCAGAAGCCTGAAAAATATTGATTTGTCATCATTTTTGGCTGAAAAACTAATTTTGACCTACGACTTTTCGTGAAGCAGCCCTAATATGTAGGTTCGCAAAGACTAGACTATACTTAAACTAGACTATAGTTTGCGAGGGTGTAGGCTTTTTTCTCTGAACCTCCTCTCTCTCTCGCTGGCAAGCCTAATTATCTGACAAACCCCTTTAGGCGCTAAAACATCTCGCTTCAGGACCCCACAGTAATAATTATCCCATGTTCCTTTAAACCGTACCTTCTCTCGCCATTTCCCGAACCCAAATCATTCAAAAATGCCAGCTTCCTGCCATTTTTTTTCGAAAAAAAAGCCACGTTGAAATAAAAAAGGGTCACGCAAAAATCCTCCATTTTTTTCAGAAAACCTCCGGGCTCCTGAATCCGCCTACGGTACTCCAATAATTCGCGACCGCGACTCATGGGACGCGTTGGAAGCGTCGCTCGACGCAAGAAGACGTCGCGGTTCGGCAAAAATCTAAATTTTCTCTTTAAAATCCACGTTTTTTTGTAAATTTCGATTTTTTTCATTAAAAACAAAACAATAAATCAAACTATTCTGAACCTAAAAAAATACCCGTCATCTGACGTTTTTTTTTCCTAATTGTATAGTAGATAAATCAAAATTAAAAGGCCTAAGCGGGCAATAATTCATTGCTCATTCTAGTCTGCACGGCCTCCAATCGATTTCTCATCACAATCCAAACATCTTCCGACATCTCATCCAAAGATCGATAGCAAACTTTTTGGGTGTTGAAAATGTCCAGGACGAATTGGATGATTTGTTCCTGGAAGATGAGAAAATTGGGATTCATCGGGAATTTTTGCCTTACCTTAAAATACTGGCAAAGTTCTCCCAACCTCTCATCAGTTCCCAAAAATCCCAACGTAATCGCCGGCATCACAGTCTCCGAAATATCATAGAACTTCGATATAAATCCATCGGGATTCTTCAATCGCTGTCTTTTCGACTTGATAATCGACCAAATCACCGTGTTCAGTGTGGAATATTTCATCGAATTTGACATGAAATAGTTTTTAGTCACCGAATAGATGGCAGACGGTGGCGATTTGAGATCTTCGAATGAGTCGAGGATGATGAAATCGACGACAACGTCGAAGAAGCCGATTTCGGTGACACCGCGCACTTCGATGTCTTCTTTGAGTTGGTCGTGGTTTTGTTCGGCGGAGACGAAGTTTAGCATGTTGTCGAAGGCGTTGAAGAACTTTACGGGGTCCTGGGAAAAACATATTTTTTTAATGGCCCGGCAACTTTTAGAAATATTCAAATGTTGATAAATTTAACTTAAAAATGCACTTACTTCACAAAAAATTGAAGTTGAAAATACATTTCAGAAGATATGTGGCCGAGAAATGTCGGGAATTCGGCCAAAGCGACAAAACTCGCTCCAATAATCAAAATATTATCGAAAATCTCCACGCGCTCCACCGAAATAAACACGCAACGCAGACCGCGCCGCGCCACGACACACAAATAAGGGAACGATTCAAATTCCCGTTTTTTGTGTGTGTTGTGGCGCGACGCGGTCTGCGTTGCGTGTTTATTTCGGTGGAGCGCATGAGATTTTCGATAATATTTGCAAAATTAGGGGAGCGCGTTTGTTGCTTTGACCGAATTCCCGACATTTCTCGGCCACCCAAAATAGTTCGGCCACATATATCTTTCTGAAATTTATATTCAACTTCAATTTTTTGTGAAGTAAATGCATTTTGAGTATCATTCATCAATATTTGAACATTTTCCAACCTGTCTGGTATGCCGAATAAAATCAGCCAACAAAGTTCTGCTACATTTCGCCAACCAAACTCGTTTATGCTCATCCTTCAACGTATTCGTCAACGCCAATCGAATACAATACAATTTTGCAGCAAAATCCGTCTCACTTTCACATTTACACAATTCTGCGCGAGATTTTCGATATTTCACTTCCCCATTGCACGCCGCATTCATCCCTTCTTGATAGAAAATCAATTCGTTTTGTTGCAGATTTTTTGCCTCGGATATAAAATCAATGTCATCAATTTCGACGCCAAATTCTTCAACCGCACTTCGGAAAGAGTCATCAGATAAAACTGATAGTGTTCGAGATCTTCCGGTTCTGACACTTGGAGCGTATGCGGAATGATATTCGAAATTATCATTACTATACTCATCTAATTGGGGTAAAAGCTTGCCAATCTCCCCCTCGACTTGCTTCAAACTATTTAGAATTCCTTCAATCTTCAATGATCTTTCCATATCTTTGCTACTTCGATTTTTCACAAGTTCTAAACTATTATAGACTCTTTCCACGGTTTTTCGAAGTTCTACACACATTTCCTGCCCATTTGTGATATCTGCCTCAATTGGATTTTGGCTAAGACTTCTTGAAGAGTTTTGTCGCATGCTTGAGCGTAGCGAGCCTTGTGCTTGTGAAGAACCCGGCCGGAAACCTCGGCCACTTTGCGATCTTCGCAACTCTGATGGTGAAAAATCGGCGACTACTAGCTCTTCAGAAATGCTTTGTGTTTTCGTTCGACTTCGCCTGAATAATACAAATATTTCCAATCAATTCTAGTTTCCTTCCCTCTGATGACAAAACTTACAATCGCACAAAATTCGCCAAAAACACCCCAACACCAATTCCCGCTGCAATTGAGATAACTGTCTTTTTATTGACGATATCGCCAAATTTCCCATTTGTAAGCTGAAAATTCTTCTTTTTCTTAACATTTTTTTTCTGAAAACAAACAACTTACACTCATTTTCAATGCTCAAAACCCAAAAAAACCGCGAAAAAAATAAATAAATAATAAATCGATGTGGGCGTGGCCTATTTAGCAATTGTGCGGCGTGTATTTATTTATTTTGTGTTTTTTGTCATTTTTCAAGAATTCGTTCAAATTTCATGGAAATTTTCAGAAATTGAAAGCGGAACGTTTATGTACATGTGGAAAGAAGACGAATCATATATTACAACCTAAATGTCGTGTGAAAAAGTGGTGACTAGAATAATGAAAAGTGATTGGTTTCATTGGGAGCGTGGAACTGTATTGACCATCGCTATGTATACATGGAAGATCTCTTCGAATTGGCAATTCACATTTGTACATATCCATGCAAACAGTCGTTTCTGGCGAGTATCGAGAGGTTAGTTGCTCTAAACATTTTGAAATAATAGTGGTGTAGACTTCGCTGACTGGGAGTTCTGGGAGAATCGCTTTAATTTGCGGTAACTCCAAATGGTGTTGCAGTTCTCCCTCAATTTCACCAAGAATTTTCTCATCAATAATAATTTCACTCTCATTTTGATTAATAGTTTCGGATTTTCTGAAGTTGAACATTCTGCAACCTTCAACTTTTTTGTGATAAGTTTTCCGGTCAGAATTTCGACTCCAATGTAACCATGTTGAATTATAATTCGATGTTCTCACAAAAGATCTACCATATGAATTAACATCACCGGGAGTGGTCTTTTGGAAGATTCTCGATAGTGAGACCGAATTTTCCGATTCTTGAGAGATGAATAACATCTGTCTCGCATAAATCAGCCCGCTATAAAACTCATTTCCCCCGTATTGTTTCTCAAATTCCTCGTAATACGAAGTCGATCCAATTGGTATCAGCAAATCTTCCATCTCAATACTTCCAACGAATTCCGCAGCTTCCTTGTAGTTCAAAATACAATCAGTAAAAGCTGCGGTTTTCTGAAGTATCTCAATATTTCTATTCGGTTTTTCCATGTATACCTCCTGAACATGCGAATATTTCACAGTGAGCCAAGGTTCCAAACTAATATAGCCCTGGAAACTCATCGTTAATAACTAAATAGCTGCCTCGAAACTCACCAAGCTCTCATATTCCTTCATCAATCTAAAATACTTTTCCACCATACTAATCACATAAATATGCAAATGCGCTCCATATCGCTTTGCCACGTGTACCTGCCGCAAAAACTCTTGCCAATTCTCAGCCGCCAATTGTGGAGCTACACAAAACACCACCTTACTTGGTGATGTTTCCAAAGGTTTTTTGAATGAAACCTGATCAATAACTTTATCATTGCCCTCAATTTCTAATAATTCCATGTTATCGATAGTGTTAGCCTGTGCCAGAACTGTGACATACTCGCAAGACCCACGGAAATCGTGCTCACTAAAAATTTATTTTATTTTTGGGGCGTTTTTTCTATGAAATATTTCTGACTCACCTTGTCAAAGTCGCTTCGACTGGGAACCTTTCCAGTCTATCATTCGTCGCTAAAAATCGAATTTTCATATCCAGAATATTCTCGGCTGTCAGCTTATTTATACTCATCACTAAAGCCAACGCATTTTTCCCAAGGCTTTTGGAGTTTTCATAATAATACGCGGAATGTATGAAAGCGTGTGTATTTTTGAGAGAATCAGAACTTTCCGATGCTCTCAATAATCCACTGAAGAAGGCACACCACCCGAATAACACTGCCATACACCCAATTGTCACCAAATATGAACTTAGCCTATCTTCTTCATTTTGAGAGAAGCGGGAATGCATTTGAATGAAGAATATAGATAGAAATGTATGCTTTTAAAGGCATCAGGTCAGAAGACTAGATTTCTAGCAAAGATTTTATGATGATTATCAGATTGAAGAACCGGAAAATCAGGTAGAAGGGAAGTTTAGTCAAGTTCGAAGATTTGAATTAGGATTGGAGATGAATGAACAATTTAGATTTGAAATCAGGAAAGAAATATGTATTTGAATCTTATTTTTAATTATCATCATGAAATTTTTGTATGAAATTTGTTAGTTATTTTTTTTTTAATAAACTGAGCCAAGGTTTTTGTGGTTTGACAAGTTTTCTGATTTTTTCGTTCCTCCTACCTTTAGAACGAAAAGATCAGAGATTTGGAAAGCGATAGGGGATAGCAACTTTTTTCATTTTGAATCAGAAATGCTTTGGATTTTTGAATATATTCGTGTTTTCTAGTAGTTTCCCATCTTCAACTTTTATTTTCTTCGCCTCTGGCTTCATTTCCAGCTTTTTTGAAAAATCCCTTCCTTCAAAGAAAAAATACGCTTCGAGAAAATCGGCAAACACGCTGACAACCAAAATTGATTTTTTACAACGACAATCCGCTTTGCCCGTTGTTTAGCGCAACAGAAAAATATTTTTATTTCCGCTGTTTTTTTTGTGTTTTCCTAACTACATGAAAAATCTAAATTTTCTAATTTTCAGGTCAAACAAACAATCGCTGAAAGTTGGATTTGAATATGAAAAAGTGGAAAATTGGGAGGATTTTGTATCTATCAACGAATTTGACTGGAATTTTCGATGATATTTTTATGTTTTGGAAATTAGAAGCGATTGGTGAGTATTTTAGGGTGGGAGTTTTGGGAAAAATTAAAAAATCAAAATTGTATAAATAAAAAAAAGAAACAAACTCGAAACTCAAGGCTAGTCCTGTTCAATGATAAATGTACCAAAAAAATTTTGGGGAGAAACAGGACATTTCTCAAAAATTTTCGAATAAAATGAGGAATGAGCTATGTAATCTACGACAAATTTAAATTCAGTTAAAACACTCTAAGATGACTTTAAGGTTGTTCAGTTTTTTTAAAAACTCGGTAAAAGTCAAAAACTTTCACATTTAAAGGAGAAATTTTAATAAAATTAGAAAGTGTATCTTTATCGTTCATTCAATATCAAATTAATAATGTAATTTTCATTTCAATACGTGTTTTTCGCGTCAAAAATGCATGAAAAAACAAACAGTTTGAAAAAATGAAAAAATTGCTGACAAATATGGCCGTGGCCGAGAAATCCACAAATCTGTCTCGGACAAATATTTTTTCTTTTTTTTTTTTGAGATTTTTTTTCCTGTTTTCTGGCTGAAAAACGTTATTCCATTTTTTTTTTTGAAAATATTTTTAAATTAGAAAAATTTTAGAGATTTTTTTTTAAAATTAGAAAATTCAATTCGAAGTTGTAAATATTCCGAAGGAATGAGTGTCTTCAAAAGAAACCATCCAAAATTGAAAAAAAAAAAACAATTTTCCGTTTCCGTATGGAACGGTTGAGAAAAGCCATAATTTCACGTGAGAGAAACGAGAGAGAAGAGACGCGAGACGAAAAAGGGACATGAACAGTCTCCGCACTCTTTTTTTAAATGATTTTTTTCGCTGTGAAAATCAAGATGATTCTCCGGTTTTAGCGTTTGTTAGAAGAAACGAGAAAATCGGCTAACCCGAAGCAGGAAATTTAGAGATCAGCATGGAGATAACAATTTATTAAGTGAAAAATCTGGAACTTTTTAAAATACCACAAAAATCTGAAACTAGTTTATATACATGACGGAAACGGATTATTGATCTAATAAGTATCTGTGAATTTTTGGAACTCTAGAAATCTGGATCTGGAAGCAGTAAAAAAAAATCAGAATCAAAAAATCTTTGGATCGATTAAACATTACAACCAATGTTCCTGCTGAAAAAATGCTCACTACTATAATGATAAGTGATCGGTCTCATCGGAATCATGGAACTGTAGAGACCATCACTGTGAATGCAAGGAACATCTTCTCGACGTGGCAATTCACACGAATACATATCCATACAAACTGTTTCTTGTGGTGACACTGAAGAAGTTAGAGTTTCGAAACATCTCTCAAAAATTGGAGAGTAGAGTTTGTTTCTTGGAAGATGCGCCATCAATTTTTTGATTTGTGGCAACTCTAGATGACTTTTTAATTCTTCTTCAATTTCCGCGAGAATTTTATCATCCATAATAACTTCAGTTCTAGTATCATTTCCGATATCTGCCTTTTTGAAGTTAAAAATTCTGCAACCTTCAACTTGCTTATGCTGCAAATATGTGACATTCCCTTGAATCTCTCTGGGAATCAAATCCGAATTTCGACTCCAATGCAGCCACGTTGAATTATAATTTGATGTTCTCACAAAAGATCTACCATACGAACTGACGTCACCAGCCAGAACTGTTTCGAAAAGTGACGATACCGAGATAGAATCTTCCGCTGTCTGCGGAATCAATAAAGTCTGTCTAGCGTAGGTTAATGCGCTGTACAAATAACTTCCATCATATTGTTTCTCAAATTCTTCGTAATATGACGTCGAGCCAATTGGGAATAGCAAATCTTCCATTTCAATACTTCCAACAAACTCCGCAGCTTCTTTGTAGTTCAAAATACAATCAGTGAACGCTGATGTTCTTTGAAGAATCTCGATGTTTTTATTCGGTTCATCAACACGTTCACGAACATGCGAATATTTCACAGTGAGCCAAGGCTCCAAACTGATATAACCCTGGAAACTCATCCTCAGTAACTAGTAAATAGCTGTCTTGAAACTCACCAAGCTCTCATATTCCTTCATCAATCTAAAATACTTTTCCACCATACTAATCACATAAATATGCAAATGCGCTCCATATCGTTTTGCCACGTGGACCTGCCGCAAAAACTCCTGCCAATTCTCGGCGCCCAATTGTGGAGCCACACAAAACACCACCTTACTTGGCGATGTTTCCAAAGGTTTTTTGAATAGCAGTTTGTCAATCACACGATTTCCACCCTGGATTTCCAGCCGACCCATGTTCTCGATAGTGTTGGCTTGAGCCAGAACGGTGACGTATTCACAAGACCCATTGAATCGGTGCTCACTGGACCAGAAGATTTGATTTTGATTTTCAAAGAACGTCCAACTCACCTTGTCAAACTTGCTTTCACTGGAAACCTGTCCAGAGTTTCATTCGTCGCTAACAATTTGATATTCATATCCAGAATATTTTCAGCCGTTAATTTATTTATACTCATCACCAAAGCAATCGCATTATCTCCAAGGGTTTCAGATTTCTGATAATAATATGCGGAATGTATAAAAGCGTGGGTATGCTTCAAAATCGTAACATTATCATCATCGAAATCATTATCATTGGACGAAAACAATACAGAAAATATCAAATATATTCCAAAAAATACTACTAAACATCCTAGCGCGGCTAGGTAAAAATTGTTGCGATCTTTAGGAATATTGAAATAGAATCGGGTGTTCATTTTGGAAACCAAATGCCACGGCGAGGCGAATAAGCGGAGTTGACTAAGATTGTCATCGAACAAGCATGTTTCCAAAGGCGGATAAGAACCGGCAAAAAAATCGGCTAATTCAATTCACAGCGAGCGATGGAGATTTGCATGGAGATATGGCGATTTTTTGAAAAGAAAAAGGTGTTCGAGTTGGATTAAACGATCAAAAAACTTTATTAGCTTCAAAAAAAATAAATGTTCAAAGTTGTCCACAATCGGCAATAACGCAAGGCGCACTCGTTTTTCCAGATTCACTTCCCTCTTTCTCCACAGCCTTCACCACATCCAAACCTTCAACAACTTTTCCGAAAACCACGTGTTTCCCATTGAGCCAACTGGTCTCTGTGGTGCAGATGAAAAATTGTGAGCCATTAGTGTTTGGCCCGGCATTGGCCATTGACAAAACTCCGGCACCAGTATGTTTCTCCTTGAAATTCTCATCGGCAAACTTCTCACCATAAATTGATTCGCCACCAGTGCCATTTTGATTGGTGAAATCACCTCCTTGGAGCATGAAATTCGGAATAACACGATGGAATGGGGTTCCCTTGTAGTGAAGCGGTTTTCCCAATTGACCGACTCCTTTTTCTCCAGTGCAAAGTGCTCGGAAGTTTTCGGCGGTTTTTGGGACTACATCGTTGAAGAGTTCAATGGTGACACGACCCGCGGCTTTTCCACCGATTTTTATATCGAGGAACACTCTAGGACGAACCATTTTTGAAAATGAAATGAAAAAAATTTATTTTTTTTTAAGGTGGAGCGATAAAAACAACAACAACAAAAAACAAAACAAAAAACAGTAATACAAACAAAACAAAACTTGATAACGATCTAAACTCAAATCAAGTTTGCGGGGGGAAAAACTTCAAAAATTGGGGATTTTTCCTCACCCTGTAGGGTGAGCTTGAAATACAACAATTCTATTTTTAGACTTTGATGACCCTTGTGATTGTTTGATAACCTAAAAATAGAAAAAATATCACATAACTCGGAAATAAAATAGTATTGTATTCATTTTCAATGTAAACATTGACCTTACATTAGACAGCTTTTCTGTTTGATGTTTGGAGTTGAAAGTTCAGAGGTTTGGACTACGGTATTTCTAACCAAGGAATATGTGCGCCGCCCATTTTTTTTCTACATTTTTATAGCGGTTTTACCTATATATATATTTATATATATTCAAATCTTGAAGAAAGTTTCTCGTTTCTGAAGTATACAAGTTTGAAACAATGATTAAATTGTTCGGAACGCGCACAAGATTTGTGGTCATGATTCTAATTTTATTGTGTCTAACCTCAATTTGGTGAGAGTTTGTGAGCGGATTTTTGAGATTACACGATGTTTCAGGTCCAATATTCTAGCCTTCAATTTTGCGGTTATTTGTATGGATGATGATGGATCGGATACTTCTACAACTACAAACACCACCGTTGCACCAAAATCACATTTCACAAACAGTCAGTTTCAGCATCAAGGATGATTCGGTTAACTGATGTTTTCAGCGCAAACTTCTATGGCAATATCAGTTGTGGCGATTGCAGCACTTCTCGGAAATTTTCCAGTCGTCAAATTAGTTGGGCTCGTTGGAATTCGCACAGTTTTCGCGAGTTTAGGAGTTTTGTCGGCTATCGCAACACTATTAGTTCCGCTGACAATAAACATGGGATACGGCTACTTTTTAGCAGCTCGTTTTTTTCAAGGCCTCGCATTCGCTGCAAACTTCCCAGTCATTGGTGCATTTTGTGCAAAATGGACATATTTCAAGCAAAACGGCTTGTTTGTGTCGACGCTTGTCGCTTATGTTCAACTTTCTCCAGCAATCACAAATCCGGCTTCGGCAGCTCTTTGTGATGGTTTAGGTTGGCCATCGATTTTCTATGCTCACGGCGCTGTTTCTCTCATATTATTCGTGATTTATGCCATTTTTTATCGTAACTCTCCACAAAAACATCCATTTGTTGGAATCGTGGAACTCAACAAAATCTCGATTGGGAAAATGAATGCTGAGTGAGTTTTGGGAAATTTTATTATCATTTTGATTTTTTTTATATTTAGTAAACGTGCTCAAAAATCAATCCCATACGTAGCAATTCTAAAAACTCCTGCAATATGGGCTGCTTGGATTGCTGCAATCGGAAATTTCACATGTGTCAACACCTTGTTCCTATACAGTCCCGTATATTTATCAAAAGTGCTTGGATTTCCTGTGAATAGCACTGGATTAACATCCGCCCTTCCACCAATCCTTCAGTTCGCAACAAAACTAATTTTTGGAATTATTTCGGATCGGATGAAATGCATTTCAGAAGTTTGGAAATTCAGATTATTCAATTCAGTTGCATTCATCGGATGTGCCACTTTTCTGATAGTTCTTGCATTTATGACAGATTCGAATCGAGAAATTAATTTTATTATATTGAGCGCGTCAGCTGCAACGCTTGGAGCAACGACCGGCGGATTCTACAAAGCTGCTCCAGTCTTGTCAAAACAATACAGTCATTTTGTAACTGGTAATATATCTCTAGGAATTACGATAACTATTAGCCTTTTACCAATCGGTGCACCTCGCTCTATCGCACTCGCCATGGAAGAGAAAAGTTTTTTTCGCGTCCTAGGATCCGACACACTCGGCCATCTTTTTGTTTTTGTTTTTCTTTTTTTCAAAACGGTTTTCGTTTGCATTTGAACTCGTGCGCTTTTTTTGGCGCGTCGCGTGCGATGCGGAGCGTTTTTGTTCGATGGAGCGAGGTGCACCGACGTATGAAAGGCTAATATGCTTATTGTTCCATTTTACGTGAATGCGCTGACACCAAATAATACACTCGATCAATGGAAATGGGTGTTTATTATAACAGCTATAGGTTTATTGATCACAAATGTCATTTTCTGCATTTTTGTACGTGGTGAACCTTGTGAATGGACTTCTGATAGTTTCCATGGACCATCTTCTGTGTCTGATGTTGATTTTTGTGGAATGTCAAGCAACACAATCAGCGCCAATGTATTGTAGAAGAGTTTTCTGAATAATTAATATAGAAGTTCTGAAATAATATAAAAATATTTGTTTTTTTTTTCTTCAAAAAACAATCTCTCCCCAACAAATTTCACAGACAGGTTCATCAATTAATTAGCGCGCAATGCCACAATCAACAACCAAAACAGATACAATCAATAGTCAATGCCACTGCGAAAAAATGCGAATTTTATCCTAATATTTTTCGCTATTCCTACTATTCTTTGCCAAAAAGATGTTCTCGAAATTCGAACCACTTATCAAGCTGAAGATATTGGCCTTCTCACTGATCAACATCCTCAATGTCAAGCGTGGAAATTGTTTGAGAAAACGCAAGTTTCTCGAGTTAGCCTAACTGTGCAGGATGTGAAAAATCTTGCGCTTCGCAGGGATGAGGTTTATATTCGCGATGAGAAGGAGGCTGATAAATATCTAGTTCCTAGAGATCTTCTAGCAAACTACACGGTGTGTGAGGCTTATCAAGATCTAAACATTTTTGTGAAAAATTTTTCAGATTATTCGTGTAAACTTCAGAAATATTTGTCGACTTCTACCGAGAGTTTTACAAATCTCATCACCCCTTGCTGCTCAAAAAAGTCGAATCAATCTTGGTGCATTTTGTCAGAACTTTAATTACACAATGATAGATCCGGAACTCGAAAAACTTGAGATCAATATCACAAATCTAGAGGACGCACAAAGTTTTTCAATAGGAATGCCACCGCATCTACTCCAGGATCATCTTTCGATCACGATAACAATGCCTGGGGCATGTGATGCTAGTGGAAATGATGAGAATGAGATTGCTATGCAATACTATATAGAGAAATATGGGGATTTCTCGTTTGATATTTCTCGACTAAATGTTCCTGTTGACAAATTGCATGAAACTGTTCACGATATGAAGGCGCTGGATCAAATTATGCGGTTAGCCTAACTTCAAAACATTTTCTAGGTTAAAAAATATTTTCAGACCATCCGGTGAGATAAGTTTCCAACGTCCACTACCCTCCTCAACAATCCTACCATTTTTAAAACGTGTAAACTACGACGCACATCAGCCACCAAATTTACATTTGGATGATGTGGTTACAGTCAAAGTTGGATTATGGATACAGTTTATGAGCAATTTTGAGCTCTCGACGATGGTGAGTTTTTTTTGAGACGCTTAAAAAATAAAATAAAAAGTGTGGGAATGGGGGATCGAACCTGGGTCAAAATAATGACAACCTATCCTCTTATCCACTCGGACACGCGCGCTAGTTTTTCCGTGCGTCGAATTTCGATGAAAAGATAACGCCAGTGCTAAAAAAGCTGGCCTATTTTTCCCGAGTTTTATAGGATTACGACATTGACACGTGGATTCGAATGGCTTGGGTCGACCCGCGCCTCCGACACGATTTATCGCGCCCCATCATGGTCAACGACTACAAGTTTTTGCGAATGATCTGGCGACCAGATCCGATCTTCAAAAATTCAAAGCACAGCACCTTCCACAAAGTGTCCTATCTCAATTTCTACATGTTCATTTTTCCCGATGGAAAAGTTTTTATGGATGTTCGAGTGTTCCTAAAACCCACCGCCGCCACAATTGTTCTCTGCAAATATCCGCACGATAACCCGGCAGTGTCGCTGAAGATCAGTTCGATGGGCTTCACTGACAATGTGATACGATTCGAGTGGTTCAACGATTTGGATGACGCTATTAAAGTCGAGAAAAGTCTACGGATCCCCGAATTATCCATACGCCACGTGTCACCAGAAACCTGCAATGGCTCCCGGAAATCTGGCTCTTTCTCCTGCCTGGAAGCCAAATTTTTCATGCATCGTGAAGTTGGCTATCACATCGCGAATACCTATGTTCCCACTACACTGTGTGTGATCTTCTCGTGGATTGCGGTTTGGCTTCCAGAAGAGTTTGTGGAGGGTAGGTTCATATCCCTTTTTCGTCTCGTGTCTCTTCTTCACCCACACTGTCTCGTTTTCTCTCACGTGAGAGAAAACGAGAACAGCAGATACGCGAGACGAAAAAGGGATATTAACAGACTCCGCCCACTTTTTAATTTCAGGTCGAATTTTTGTGTCGCTCACTGTCTTCCTAACCCTCTCCGCTGAAAACAGTTCCGCCAAAGACGAACTTCCAAAAGTCTCCTACGTAAAATCAATCGATATCTGGTTCGGCTTCACTTCAATCTTCGTATTCCTCACAATGATCCAATCTCTAGTGGTAATCTATTTAGGACAACTCAGCAAAAATCAACGAAAGAAACTCGAGAAAAATCTGGATTGCTATGGAAAATATCAAATTACCAAAACATTGTTGCGCAGCAGGTTTTACCATAAGTTATCAATGCAAATAGATTCATTTTGTAAAGTTATGTATCCTGTGGTTTTTATTATTTTTTTGACGTTTTATTCATTTGTTATTACGCAAGGCGAGGAAGATAAGTGTATACAATGAACAATTATTATTAATATGAGCAATCTATTTCTTTCCAAAGGGTCTGTTCATATAACCAAGTTTAGCACCAGCCGGTTCCACTCCACCATACATACTTCCACCAACACTATAAATCGGTGTATCGCCCTCTTCTGAATCTGGCAAAACATGCAAATACTGTCCCATTCCCTGTTTATTCCCATTCGCCGTCATCTCAACCATCGAATAATAGGGTCGAAGAATGGCGAGCAGATCCGAATCTCCACCGCCAACCAATCCACCAACCTCATCCAAATCCTTCATTCCCTGATCACTGAATCCGAAGTTGTTGTCCTTGCTGACATCTTCTTCGTCTGCTTTGGTTTTTTTGTAGCTGCGCGGCACGAATTTATCGATCCACTCGCTGTCCACCATTTTCATTAGCGAGTTACTGGAAGTTGGGGTGAGTGAGGAGGAAGGGGAAGATTCGGATTCTGATTCTTCGCTGTCAGGGTTGGAGAGAGTGTAGGCTGAAAATGGGGAGGTTTTGAAGACGTGGAAAAAAAATACCACGTGGAACTTCAAGATGAAAATACAGGGGTTGAAAATTTTCATCTGAAATTCCAGCAACGGAAAAAAATCTAGAAAAGTAGGGATCAAAAAATTCATGCCACGTGGATTTTTGCTATGAAAAATGCCTGTTTTTGAAATTTACCACGTGGCTTTTGTTTCTGGACATTTTTTTGTAAATTTCAGAGATTCTAGAAATTGAAGTTGGGCCAGGCTTCCAAAAAAGGGTTTCTGAATGGATCTAGGCCTCTAGGCTTATACCTTTAGCTCAGAGATTCAGGCCTCTTGGCTTTGAAGGCTTCAGAATTATTGAACATAAAATTCGACATGGAAGAGATTTTCATTGGTTTCCTAGGCCATCACTATTTTTAAATTTTAATTTTTATTCAAATTTTTTTTAATTTTACTTTTTTTTCAAATTTTTTTTTAATTTTAATTTTTTTCAAATTTCATTTCAAAAATTGAGAAATCTAGCTGATTTTTTAATACAAAAACTCACCACCATTCAATAAAACCGCAACAATAATCAAATTTCTCATCTCGATTTCGATCGCAAATAATAAACAAATGAGATCTCTATCTCCCCCTAATAACCGGAACAAAATGACCTTATTATCATCATCACATTTCACTTTTCCTTCCCGAACTTTGAACCTTTTGATTCTTTTTGTGTCGAAAAGTCTTGTTGGCAACAAAAAAATATGAGAATAAAAATAAGAATAGGGGGGAAATCAAATTTGATTCAACACAATTTGAGAAAAAAAAAATGAATAAGGAGAAGAGGAAAACGGATTTGTGTCGTGCGTGCAATGAATCTCTCGGACACACTTTTTGTTTTATTCTACATTTATTTTTCTTTCTGCTTTTTCAAAAATGCTTTGTTTTTCCCTCCTACTATTCCTAATATTCTCAATAATATTCCGAATCTCATTAGCCATCGAGTGTTTCAATTGTGAAAGTGATTTTCATGGCGCCTTGAGGTGTCAAGCTCCGTGTTCTGGTGAGAGATGTGTGGTTTGGAAGTGGAATCATCGGGCGGAGCTGAGGATCAAACAGGGTTGTATATCAGGAGTCGACACAAAGTATACGGCGAAAATCGGGTGTCGGACGAATCATGTTGGAGCGAGTTTGTGTGTTTGCAAGTGAGTTATGAAGCGAGAGAGTGAAAATTAGCGTGTGCATGCAGAAGAGACGCGAGACGAAAAAGGGATAGACTCCCCCCACTTTTTTCGGTAATTAAAAACAACTGACTGATATTTTTTATGCTTAAAAATCAGTTTAATTTTTCAAAAATAAAAACATCTATAAATAATTCAGGGAACAAAGTCTGTAAAGGACAACATAAGTGCCAAAGAACCCTCACACTTTTGATTTTCCAGCGATTCCCCGCGATGTAATCGAATTGAGCGAGCCGACAAACCCACCGAACTTCTGCCTCAAATCCGCCTCCCAGCTGCAGAATGTTCGAGCCGGATTTCGAATTCTCACGGTCCGCGCCGCGAGAAAATCTGCACTTCAAACTATTGCCACGTCACCAAAACCGAGACGATTGTGGATTTGGAGCAGGAGCAGAAGGATTTTTCGGAAGTTTTGAATTGCGGTGATATTTCGCGTGAGTTGAAAGTGCACTTTGTCAAAATAAAATTTTTTTTTAGAATTTGATTTCGATGTGCGACTAAAGAACACCATCGGGTTCCCAGGCCTCTATCCAAATGGTTGCTACCGTCTTCAATTCGACAAAAAAGTCTCGCACACTGATTGTTTTTGCTCCACAAATCACTGTAATGAGCAGAAAGCTGCGATTGTTCCCGGACATGTTAGATGTTATGTCGGAAATATGTTTCGAAATACCAGCCAAGTTCATGCAAATGCGTTTTGCGACGGTGATTTTTGTGTGATTCAGAAGAGGGGGCATGAAGTCTGGAAGGGGTGTATTTCTGTGAATGAGCGAGATAGCTGGAGTCACTTGAAGGTTAGCTATGAATTTAGAAAAAAATCTGGAATTTATGTTTCAGATTGGTCACCGTCAGATCTTGTCTACTGAACAATGGATCTGTAATTCACACCTCTGTAATTTTGATCTGGAAAGGGTTAAGACAACGAACCGCGCTAGACAAAAATCCAAAAAAATCAGGAATTCTTCTAAACATTTTTCTAACCTAGTGACTCTAGTTTTAGCAATCCTCATTTCAAAATAAAATGTTCATATACCCGTCAGTGAAAAATTTGCTACCCGTTACTTCCACTCAAGCACATGAAACTCGGCGAGCACAATAAACACAATAAACGTGACAAATATGAAGATTAGCACCACGGCATGCGGCCAAGTTACCCGAAATCTTTGGATGAATAATGCGACGAGGGTGGTGACTAGGGAGATTCCGAGGAATAACATGAGCAATCGATAGACTGGATTGATGAGCAGCTCGATTTCTTTGCCTTGCGCAGCGGCGATGGTGAAGGGGAGACCGAAGCCGATGAGAAGGTCTGAAAAAGAAATTGTGAGTTAGGCTAACTTGAGAATCAACTCACTGAACAAGGGTCCACCAATCGCCGCTGCCATAGCCATCTTGGGAAATCCTTGCTTAACAACTGCAATATCCGCCACAACATCGCCGATACAATTACTCCACGCTAGAATCGTCAAACCTAGCAGCTCCTGAGACAAACCGGTGACCACTCCGATCATAGTGATAACTCCAATAATCTCATTGGATGTCACATAGATCCAAGCAATCGACATCAGGAATCCCAAGTAGGAGTATACTTCTTTGTACCATCTCTGCTCTCGATTCAGTGGAGTGAAGATGATGGCGAGGGCGGCGAGGAGCGCCGAGACACCGAGACCGTAGAGCCAGAGACCGGGACCTCCGCCAGGTCTAGTATTGATTACTGGAAACAAGTTGAGATCTTCTCTCTGATTTCCTGCACTTACTTTGAATTGCGAACAATGCGAATTGGATAGATGTGAAGCAGTAGATCAGAAACATCGGTTTACACCAAGACATTTCATTGGAAGGAATCGTCAACTTGAAGAAAAACACTGGGATAACCTTTATAACCGCTACAATCTTCCCAAACCACGTCATCTCTCTGAACTCTTCTCGACTCGGCCAAGACTTCAGATGTTCGAAGACGTCTCGAAAATGATTCATTGATTTTTTGGTAGATATCACATCTGGCGCCAATTGATCGTGCGATGTATAAACATGACCATGCGCAAAACCGAATTCAGCTTCTTGCCCCTCATCGTTATCTTCTTCATGAAAAGCCTCATTGATGAAGCAGGTATCTATAAAAAGTATAGTGTAACTGCGGAGCATTGTTAAATTTTTTACTCACTTTTTCTCTCCCGATGCTTTTGAAAAATGTTGACTATGTGTGAAAAATCCACCATAAAGTTCAGAAGATCAGCAGCTTTCAGCTTGGCCACTTCAACACTTCCTGAATTTCTGATCTTTTCTTGATCTTCCCTCAAATTCTTCGCTTGCTTCCGACGTTTTCGATACACACTTAATAAAATGACCGACGCCACATAACACGCGTAGATACCAAGAAACGCTAAATTACATTTTTTTTTTCTATCTGCTCAATTACTTTAGCACTTTGATACAAAAACTTCCGCAATCAAACTCACTGGCTGGCATCCAAACATGCACCCGATCGTACTTCAAAAAACAAAATAGGATAAAAGCCAGGGTGACTAGATAAAATAGGATATCACGGATTGTGGGGATTATCGCGATTTTGAAGGATTTGGTGAGGATGATTGCCGAGAGCACTACTGTCGTCACAAATATCCCACCACCGAACAAATCACCCAGCGCGAGATCTGCTTTTGGTGTGGGTGTTGTTAGAATCGATGCGATTGAGCCAAAAACATCAGGCGCGCCATTGCCAAAGGCGAGAAATGTGACACCCTGAAACTAGAGAAGTGGGAGAATTTTCTAGAACAAAATTTACCGCTATCGATTCACTCATTCTCAAATGGCTCACAATTCCAGTGATGGATGGCGAGAAAAAATCATCAGCCACAACTGTCATGATAACAAATAGACAGAAAAGGTAGATGATTGCCAGGATGATTAGAATCACCTGAATAAGTTGAGTTGAAAATCTGGGACCTGAACTAGGTTTGAACTTCTTGGAGTTCTTGTAATTTCAACTAGAAGTTGTGAAGATCTTTAAAAACTTCTGGAGCTCAAAATCCGAATATAGTCTTTGATGGTTCCTAGGATCCCCCCTCAAGGATCCTGGAGATCCTGGAGATCCTCCCACTTACCCTAACTCCAACTTTGTATTCACATTTCACATACTCGGACCATTGAAGATACCCGCCACCTTCACAAGCATCAGGGTTACATTTTATGTACGCGCATTTTTCTGAAATTTTTTTTATCTCTCTGAAAAATTGTTTTCTAGGGACCAACTCACGCTCCGAAGTCCATGTTTTATTGAAATTACATTCGTCTGCAGAGCAAATTTCATCGTTGAATTCGAATTCGAATTCAGTCTCAGTTTCAGCACTCGCCAAATTGTTCGTGACTAAAATCGCTATGCAAAAAACCAGCCAGCTTGTTCTCATCGAATTCAGAAACAGAAAATTGAAAAAAAATCAGCAGTAAAAAATATAGTTAACTCTCTTATTTATATACAAAACTGTTCAGTAGAAAAGTAAACAGAAGTGATTTTATGTATTTCGAAAAAAATAATGGGGCGGTCATTTTTGAGAGCAAAAATGTGTTTAGAGAACTCTATCTAGATAATGAGTAAAAAATAAGATTATCCCAAGATTTGACAAAAAAAAATTTCACTTGGAAAAATGAAATGGCATGGAAAAAAGTGGAAAGTTTAGCATAAATTTCGAATTTTCATGTGTGGGAGGAAAAAATTGAGAAAAAGTTCGGCGAAAGTTCAAAAATGAATCATTATCAATTTTTTTCGAGGAGAGAATAAGAATAATCGAATTACGGCGGGAGTCTTGAGAAATGTGTTTGAACATTTATTTTTGCACTAAAAACATGGAGTTCGTATAAATTTTGTATCTACTAGTTTTTTTTTGTAAATTGAAAGGTGTTGTTTTGAAAATTGGAAAGCTAGAAGTATAAAAAATGACGTGGATTTTTTTCATGTTCTTAGAGAAAGTCGTAGAAGAACCTTTGAGAACACATTTTTTACAGAAGTTCTAGTTTTCTGAAATTTTCTGAAACTAAATCTGAAATTTTTACTGTTTAAAGTTATAGTTTTCTGGAATTTTTTAAATCTAAATCTGAATTTTTTTTACAAAAGTTTTTACGAAAGTCAAATCAAATTTTCAAAGTTTCCAAACACAATTAAAATTTCAGAAGAAAAAAAAAGATTTCAGAACTTTTTTTTTCAGATTTTAGAAATTTTGATTAATTCAGTTTCAAAATATTTATATTTTGTTGGAATTTCGAAAAAAAAAATCTGAAATTTTTCACAAAACTGAAAATTTTTTAAAATAAAGTTTTAGTTTTCTGAAATTTTCTGAAACTAAATCTGAATTTTTTTAGTTTCCAAACACAATTCAAATTTCACAAGAACAAAAAAATTTGAAAAAAAAACGTCAAGAGTTCAAAAAACATTCAGAGGTTTCTTTTAAATTTTTTTTTCCAAAATTTTAATTTTCTCCTATTTTTTAAACATTTTTAGGCTCCCAAAGTTCTGCCATTATTTTTTGCTCTCTTCAAAAAATGTTTGGCCACAATCGCTACAAAAATAATGTTCAATAATCTTTCAAACATGCCATTTTCTAGCACAAACTTTTTCATCGTCTGTTTAACCAGAACAAACACCCAAATAAAATCTAGGAAACTTTTTTTTACCCTAGATTTTCTGAACTAGAGTTTCAGGAAGGGCTTGAGATTTTCGCTCTGAAGAAAATATTTGAATACATTTTGTGTCCAGAAAAAAACTACCATAAACTTCAAAAAACTCTTCCATCAAAGATCATAAAGAAGTAAAAAGGGTTGACTAATCTTTCGAACTTGCCAAAAAATCAACAAATTATGTATTTGTTTGTTGGTTAAAACACAGAGCAAACAATGTCAAAATTAAACCTCTTTATTTTTTTCTCCCTCAATTTTCACGCGGCTAGAAAAAATATGGAATAGCTTGCGAAAAACCACGAAACTCAAAACAAGTGCCAAGATTGCCATTGAAATCACATCCAGAAAATAGAATTCGAGGAAGCTCAGGTTCTTCGAATACGGCTCGAGTTCGGGTAACTTTTTGAATTTTGCAGCGAATTCCGCGTGGCTCACTAATTTTTGAACTGGATCGATGGGTTGGTTTTTGAGAAGCTCGGCGAGTCGCGCGGAATTTTCCGCATAGCTCGGATCTTCGAGCATTTTCCGGATGAGAATCTCCAATTTTTCCGCGTCGCCTAGATCAAACTTGGAGAAAATTTCAGATCCACCGTGTCTCGAGAGCATTTCGCCGTTCATTGGTTGATCGAAGAATAGAGGAACCTGGAAGAAGGTTTTTTGATCTCATGTTGTTTTTTGTGTGATTTTGAGATTAATCGGGCGGCGGGGGAGAGTTACATAATATTTTTTGTATTGTGTTTGGTTTTCCGGGAATGAAAAGATCATGACGTGGGGAAAATTTCAGGAAAAGTTATTTTTAGAATTCAAAAACTTCAGAAATTCTCAAATTTGAAATTTTATAACGTTTTGAAAATAAAATTCTTCTGAAAATTCTAAAAATTTGAAAACTTTTCTGAATTCTGAAAATTAAAAACTTTTCAAAGTTCAGAAATTAAAAATTTTTTCAAAATTCTGAAATTTGAAAACTTCCCGAAACTCTCAAATTCGAAATTTTATAACATTTTGGGAATACAATTCTTCTCAAAACTATGAAAATTTGAAACTTTTGAAAACTCTAAAATTTAAAGATTTCTGAAGCTTCTAAAAATCAAAAACGTTTTCAAAATTCTAAAATTTCTGAACTTTGTAAAATTTTCAAATTCAAAGATTTCTGAAGCTTCTGAAATTCAAAAACTTTTCAAAATTCTAAAATTCAAAAATTTTTGAAGCTTCTGAAAATTAAAAACTTTTCAAAATTCTGAAATTTAAGAACTTCTGAAAATTCTTAAATTAAAAGTTTTATAGCATTTTGGGATTCAGAATCTTCTGAAAATTCTGAAATTCAAAAAACTTTTCAAAAATCTGAAAAATGAAAACTTTTCTTTAAAAACTTTTCTTCTAGAATTAAAAACTTTTCTAAATTCTGAAATTCAAACACTTTTCAAAATTCTGAAAATTGAATATTTTTCAAAATTCTGAGATTCAAAAACTTTCCAAAATTCAGAAAATTTATTTTTTTTTCTTGTGATTGTTTCTTGTGATTGTGAAATTTTAAGACTTCTGAATACTCCGAAATTCAAGATTCTATGAAAATTTTGAAATTCAAAACTTCTCAGAATTTTGATTGTCAGAAGCTTCAAAATCTAGAATTTTCACAAAATTTTAATTTTCATTAAACTCTCAAATTGCCACGGTATAGCTTAAAATTTCCCCCAAAAAAACAAAAAACCCACCACAATCGCCGGTTTCCCCGTATACGCCACCTCATTAACACTCCCCAATCCACCATGTGTAATAAACAGCTTCACCCTCGAATCCACCAGCAACGATGTTTGTGGAAACCACTTGTCAAAGTGTACATTTTCCAGATTTTTCAGAAATTCATCCGGTTCTTCTTCATACTTCCAAAGGAATGTGACATCCGGGAAAGTGGAGATAACTCGAGCCAGGCCTTTTCTGAATAAGAATAAATTTTTTTTTTCAAAAAATTATTTCATGGATGTAGGGACTTACTTATAGGAAATCGGCATGTCTGCAGATCTTATAACTGATCCAAAACTGATAAAAACATTTTTGGCCCGCTTATTCAGAATAAAATCTAGACTACGGTCAGGCTTCCAAGTCGAGATGTTCATTGAAAATCCACCAATTTGCACGCATTTTGTGATCGAGGGAAATGGAAAATCCAAATAAGGATTTGAATTGAAGAAGAGGAATGGGCTATCGATTATAATCTCATCCAAGTTTCGGATTTTTCCCAAACCAGTTTCTCTTCTAACAATTTCCAAAACATTCTCATAAACCTTCTGAAACATTTGCGATCTTGTCAAAAACATCCACACATTATTCACACGATCCCAAATTCCAGACGCCTTGCCATATCTACTTCCAGGCCCGGGAATGAAATTTAGAGCGCTGGGTTGACCGAAGGACCATTGAACTGGATCGATTCTCGCTGATGCCATTGCGATTATAATTGAGGGGATTTTCAGGTAATCTGCGAGATAGAGTCCGCAAGGATCGAAGGGTTCGGCGATTGCGACGTCATAGTTTTGGGAGGTTAGAAGAGTGTGAAGATTGGTGTTGGTGAAGAGATCTGGAAATTAAAAACAATGAATACGAGCTGGGGGGAAATGCTGATTTTGAAACGTATATTTTCGGGTTTTAATATTTTTGTGTTGAAACAACAGAGTTCGACATAATAATTCAAAATGTTGAAAGAATGCTTATTCAGATTTCGAAACGTATATTTTCATGTTTTAGAGATTCTTGAAATTTTTTGTGTTGATTCATCAAAGTTCAACATAATAATTCAAAATATTGGAAGAATGCTTATTTAGATTTTGAAACGTATATTTTTCAGGTTTTCTGGATAGCGATTTTTGAGAGGAATAACTTAAAATCCTTTGGAGTATCCCAAAAATAACTCACTAACACACATGTGTTCCAAATCCCTCGTCATCGTTTCTGCAAACTGTTTCGCCGCTCCAAAACTCGCCGCCTGATTTTCCGTCCAATACTTGGTCACCGTACTTTTCGGACGATTCTCATAAAACCTCTTTCCAGCCTCGTTGTGCTCCACATCAATTATCCGCACATTTTCATTCCGAATTACCTTTTTAGCTCGCAAAGCTTCTAGTAATTGAGGTTGCAAAACTGTTACATTATGACCAGCATCGGCCAAAGTGTCGGCAAGATTGCTCATGAATTTGACATGACTGAAGCTATAAATCGGCGAGATTACTAGGTATTTGTATGAGGTGGTAGATGTGAAGAGTAAAAAATAAAAGAATATTAGAAAAATCATCTGTGAAGTTCATTTGATGATAGAAAAAACATTTTTGTTCTTATCTTACGTGTATTTACTAATGATAAGAGGGCGGGTCAGATTTTTTCGAAGCAAAAAAATTTAAACAAAGATTTAATTAATTAATTTGTGTTGTTAAAGCAACGTGGATTTTTTTGTTGAAAAAATTGTGAAATATTAAGAATTTGTGTAGATTTTCAATTAAAAAAGGCACTTCTAAAGTACAGAACAACAAACTTATTTTCTTCTTAAAAACTTTTTTCCTAATTTTTACGTCATTAATGTTTTCTAGTTATGAACTCTAAAAATCTAGTTTTTTTCCTCACTAATTGGTGGTATTCAGAAAACTTATGTGAATTTTCAGAACTCGCCTGATCCCTTTTCAGTCTATACTTTTTACTTTCCTAGAAAAAATATGACTCAACTATATTATTTTTTTTCACAAAATCTCGTTTCATTGCTCATGTTATAAACAATTAAACCACACCTCTCGAGGCTTCTATTTTGAGTCATTTTCTAAATTTTCTAGATTAAGCCTGGCAGAGTAAAATCCTAGAAATCAAACACCCACTGAAAAACCAGCGTATATGATTATTTTTTCCGCAGTTAATAGCTATTTTCGTCGATCAGATTTTTCCGCAAAGTGCATCACAGCACAGCATAAATAACTCCCTCAGGAAATTAGATTCTCTCACTTAAATAGGCCAAACCTGTCAATAACCTGGGGCATTTTTCTTCCAAAATTTCATTCTCATCTTTCAGAAAAAACTAAAATTTTCAGCCATGGAAGATGAAGTTGATAGGAGAAATGAGTTATTTATAGCTACAGAGATTGTATTTTTCGCGATAATCGGTGGTTTTGGAAATATAAATCTGATGATAATTGTGATTAAGAAAAAAGATCTATGGTCAAAGTCATGTGAGTTGTCTCGATTCAGAATTCCTGTATAAAATCCCTTCAGCCTACCTCACAATTCTTCTCAGTGCCTCTCATTTATTCTGCCTCCTCTCCGAACTTCAGAATGCGATCTATTTATTTCTGAACATCCACGTTCGACGAGATCAATGTTATTCTAGAATAGCGGTGTATTTATTTGTGATTTCTTGGCAGGCAGCCTTGATGTTGATGATTGTGGTGGATATGTGTGTTATTGTGTTTTTTCATGTGTTGTGAGTTTGAGGCCGGAATTGAGTTCAGGGCAATGTTCGGGAGGGTAGATTTACCAAACTCAAAAATTTTCCAAAATTTTTTTTTTTTGAATTTGTGACTTATTTACCAAACTCAAAAATTTTGACAACATTTTCTAAAAAAAATTTTTAAATCGCGATTCTGGTAAATCAATCCTCCTGAACAACGTCCAATATTCAGTTTTTCATAAAATCATCTCTAACATGAGTTATGGGCTCTCAAAACCACGAATTTTCGAAAATTCTCGATTTTTGGAGATTTCGAAGTCTAAAGTCGAATCTATGTAATTTATAGATCCAGAATTTGTGTACGTGCTATAATCAGATTTTGATCTCTAACAAGCTGATCTCAAAATATTTTAGATTACAAAAATTATCACATTTTTAATCTAGTTTCCCAAAATATCTAATTATCCCAAAAACACTCACCTAGTTTTTCCTGAAGTAAATTGACGTTTTGAGCAATTTCCATTGAATTGAGAAGCTCTTCGGGAAGTTGTCCTCGTTTATTTAGACTTTTTCGTTGTTCCTCATGATATTTCAATCGATTCGATCTGAAAACATCATTGAACCTACGGTTTTTCTGAATTTTCGAAAGACAATACGTAAAAATCAAACCTGAAGAGAGCAATGTGTTGAAATATGTCGTAGTTTCGCCTTTACAAAGAATTACATCGAAACCTAGAAAAACACACGAAAAAGCGTTGAAAAGAAAGAAAAACGAAAAAAAAACAAAAAATGTTTTTCTGCTTCTGCGTACACACAAGTTTACGCGCAATTGCACACTTTCTTGTTGCAACCGAGATGGCTTTCTCGTTCAACACTACTAAAATGCCGGTTTTCAAGAAAACTGATGCGATATTCGGAATTAGAATAAAAAATCGAGCATAATCATATGTTAAACTTTTTTGAAAACACATTTTAACAATGTTTACAAATACCGGGTTGAAAATCATCGGTTTTGAAAAAGGATTTATTGAAAATTGATGGAAGGAATTATTAATTGATTACAACAATTATAACATTTTTAATCTAAAGTACAAAATATCTAGTTTCCCAAAATATCTTATTAGTACTTTACCTGACCATAGAACATACACTAGCTTAATTAAGACCTTAATTAAAAATCTAAAAATAACGATCTTTGCAGCTACAAAAAAACAGCCACCAAAACCTACCTCACCATAATTCTCACTCCACCAATCGCCTACGGCCTTTTCATAGCCATAGGTGGATACTTCTACACCAATGATGATGTTCTGGAATACTGCAATCCACCTTTAGCAATCACCAAGAATTTCCGACGAATTTGGACGCAATCAAATGTGGTGATTAACACAATGACTCTAGTGCTCTTTTTTGTGCTCTTGGTGTATTATTACAATCATCGGAAAAATGTGCATACTAGAGACACTCGAAAGATTGTGAAGCGGTTGAAAGTCTCGATTTTATTTTTTGTATGCACTTGGTATCTTGGATTGTTGGCTGGGGAGATTGTGGAATTCCTGAATTTTCCGGATGATGTTAAGGCGGTTGTCCATGGGAACTTGGTGAGCTAGATCTAGAGCTAGATCTAGAGCTAGATCTAGAGCTAGATCCTAGAAATTCTTGTTTTGCAGATCACCCCAGTGCTCTTGAGCTACACTCAAACATTCTACATCATTATTTGGCGGAGTTCGGAGTTTCGAAAAACATTTTTGGAATTATGGAGTTGGGTTCCAGGGGTTAAGAAAATGTTGAAGAAGAAAAATATCGTTATGAAAGTTTCACCGGGAACGATTTCATAAAAAGTAACAATTTTCAAACTTTATTAATTAATGATTAATTTCCAGACGTTCCTTGACTAACATAAGCTGTCGAGTGATGTGAAACAGTTGTTCCAACTTTCGAAGTCCACGTGGCACCCTGTCGAACTTGCTCCACCCATGGAATGAAGCTATAAGTTTCGAAAAACGCCATACGATATTCCGGGGATCTCCAGAGAACAATATAGAATGATTGGGAATAGACGATGAGGACGAAGAACACGAGATTGCTCAACATGAAGCTTAAAGTTGGGCCAGTGATTCCAGAAGCTACGAAGATATCGGCGGCGAGGAGGCAGATATACCAAGTGAAGATGTAGAAGAGCAACATGATTTTTAGACGACGCATGATTTTTCGCGTGTCGCTTTTTTGTTTTTTACCTGAAGTTAAATTAATAAAGCTGTTCGGCGGATTAAGGTTACCTCTTCGATGAAAAACAAAAATAAGAATTGCGAATAATAGAAGAACGATTGTATTGATAACAACACTTGAGAAAGTCCAGACTCTTCTGATTATCAAAATCATACTCATCGGTGGATTGCAGAAGAGCAACATCTCATCATCCATAGTCCAAAAGCCTAGGGATATAATCATCAGGCCGTAGATGACTGGGGGAATTAGCATTGCAGTTATGTATTTTGGTGTGGATGTGGTGCGATAGCTGGAAAACTTTACATTAGAGATCCCAGGGTCCTTATCCTAGAGCTAGAGCTTACAATGAAGGGCAATAGACGATGATGACTATGTCTATTGTGATCATTAGGGTTAGAAACGCCTGAACGCAAATTGCGAACATGTAGATTGAAATCGCTGGGAAACATACGTTTCGACGAAGTTGGAGGCCTGGAATTTTGTGATAAAGTAAAGAACGTGCGCTGTTTTGATTATATTAAAAATATAAGGGTAAATTGGGGACATGGGAAAAAAGGGTGATTTTGGAAAATGCACGATTCCGGTGCAAAATTTTACTAGAAAGGGTATAGTTAAGGTAAGTCTTTTCTAGATCCTTTTAAATTCTAAGTGAAATAATTCCATAATTCCAATTATTTTCTGCAAAACATTATCCCACACTGAATTGTTTCCCAGTTCTCAGTACTCAGATCTCGGAAATCATTTCCAAACTCACCCAAAAACAATAAAAATGAATTTGGAAGCTCGCAGAGCAGGCAAATGATGTGGAATGCAGACAAAAAGCATTGTAGAATTGCTGAAAACTTTTCAGATTTTCCCCCACAGAGACTTCTGGTAACTCACAAGATTTGGATTGCAATTTCTTTCTCGTCGCAGTCAAATAGATAAAATTGACGTTTCCAAAAACGCCAACAATATTAAAGAACACAATTTCAGTGGCTATGAATGTTTGGTTAAGTTGAGCCATACTCCACATTTGAAGTAAATGAGAAAGCGCACGTTTAGATTTTTTTGTCACGGGAAAAAAAATGCAGAAGCAGGTTCCGCCCCAACTCGAGATGTTCTTTGATTTTCTTGTTTTGGGGGTAGAAGGAAAAATAAGGAGATTTATTATTATTTTTCAACTTGTAAAGATGATAAAGGAGATTGGGAAATAGAACAATTGAGAGATGATCTAAGAGATCCAGGAACTGTTTTTTTGTAGATCTTTCATATTTTTTGCAAGATTTTTGAATAGATTTTTCACACTCGGAAAAAAAAAGAAATGGATTTCCTGAATTATTTTTGGCTGAACTTCAGGAATTCAGAACTTCAGCCAAAATTTATTTTCAAAAAAATTGAAAAATCTTTGCTCTTTTCTTCAAGAACTACACTTTATCGATAATCAGATTTTTCTTCAATTTTCGGATAAAAAACTGATTTAGAATTAGCTCAAGGGCATGAAAATGAAATAATCAAAAGATTATTATGTGGAGGTTCTTAGATGAAAAATTCTGAGCTCTGTAGGAGCTGAGCCTTGAAAACTGATCTCTCTAGAAGCTGAGCCTTGAAAACTGAGTTCTCTAGAAGCTGAGCCTTGACAACTGGGCTCTCTAGAAGCTGAGCCTTGAGACCTGAGCTCACTAGAGGCTGATTCTTGACAAGCAAGCTCTCCAGGAGCTGAGCCTGGGAAACTAGGCTCTCTAGCAGCTGAGCCTTGAGACCTGGGCTCTCTAGGAGCTGAGCCTTGAAAACTGGGCTCTCTAGGAGCTCAAGAAAATCCACGTGGCACTGCAAAAAATAAAAATAATTTTATATTCCCAGAAAAAATCCTCAAATTCAAAAAATTATCTCGTGAATCCAGTAGACGTGTATCCAATTGCAATCGTCGCCGAAACCTTCTTACTCCTCGCCCTCTTACAAAACTCAAAACAACTCCATAATTCGAAAAACGCGTCGCGATATTCCACTGATCGCCAAAGAACCACGTAAAACGGTTGAGTATAGCAGAGCAGGGCGAAGAAAATCATGTTGGCTTGCAAGAATCCGAACAACTCTTCATCTAGATCGAGGGCAGTTATAATGTCCACACCCAAAGTGCACATATACCACGATAATGTGAAGATTATCACAGAGACTTTGAGACGATTCATCAATTTGGTGGTGTTCTTTTTTTGACGTTTACCTGAAAAACATTTACGTCAAAACAAATTGTATTTTTTTTTTAGAAAAGTTTGATTGTACCTTGAAGATGAAAGATGATCATCAAAATAACAAATAATAGCAGAGTGATCGTGTTGAAAATAACATTTGATAGCGACCAAAATCGGCTCACTTTTGGCGGCAACGCTACTGGTGGGTTGCAGAATTGCAGCATGTCATTGTTGAGTTGCAGGAAACCGTAGGTCCATGTGAAGAGACCGTAGATTGAGGGAATGAGAAGGAGGAGAATGGTGTATTTGGTGTTGGAGAGGGTTTGGTAGCTGGAAAAATTTTAAAGAAATATTTAAAATTTAAAAAAAACACGTGAAAAAATGCCACATTTTCACGTGTTCTCAATTTTTTTTTATCCAAATCCAGTTTTTTTTTGAAAAATCAATCAGTTCTGAATTATTTTCTAATCCCGATTAGTCACAAAATGTGAGTTTTTTTTGAAAACCATGAAAAATTTCAAAAGTTTCATTGAAAATGTTTATTTTCTTGAAAAACCCGGGGAATTTCCTTGTGCAACGACACTCCCTCCGCGTCTGCGCGTTGTTTAGCGGGTTTTTTGAATTTTTCTCATTTTCCCGGATTTTTTTTGTTGCATGGGGTTTTTTTTTTGAGTTTTTCGATGAAGAATTAGCCTAACTTCATATTTTCAAAGTTTGGTTGGTAGATTTTATTGAAAACTTTGCAATTTTATAATTCCCTAGCGGGTTTTTTTGAATTTTTCTCATTTTCCCGGGCTTTTTTGGTTGCATGGGCGTTTTTTTGATTTTTTTCAATTTTTTTATGTAAAGTTACCCTAACTTCATTTTTTAATAGTTTGGCTGGTAGATTTTATTAAAAATTTAGCAATTTTATAATTCCCTAGCGGCGGTTTTTTGAATTTTTCTCATTTTCCCGGGTTTTTTGGTTGCATGGGGGTTTTTTTTCAGTTTTTTGATGTAAAGTTAGCCTAACTTTATATTTTCAGAGATAGATTTTATTGAAAACGTCTCAATTTCCTAATAGTTTCTTGAAAAAAACATTTTAAAATTTTTTCAAAACAAAAAACAATTGTGCAACGACACTCCTCTTTTGCCCGTTGTTTAGTGGTTTTTTGAATTTTTCTCATTTTCCCGGGTTTTTTGGTTGCATGGGCGTTTTTTCGTGTTTTTCAAAGCAGAATTAGCCTAATTTCATATTTTCAGAGTTGCGACAAGTTTGCAAACGTGGATTCGATCAAATTTCGAGGGAAAATGTGACATTTATATATTTTCGAGTGTAAGTTTTTTTGAAAACGCGCCAATTCATTTCAAAATGTTTATTTTTTCAGAATTGTTGGAAGTGCGATTTGCGACTGATCAACAAAAATGCCCAGGATTCCAAAGGAAATTTCGAATTCGTGAGTTTTTTGGGGGAGGCTGATTTTTGATCATTTTCCCATGAGATTTGCAATCATTTTCAACAAAATATCTAGTTTGGTCATAAACTTACATAGTCGGAAAATACATGATGATGTAGATATCGATGACTAACATGAGCATTATCATAGCTTGCGCGCAAATGAAGAAAATGTATGGTGAAATGACACACACACCTAGGCTACGTATACCTTAGGTATACGTTAGGGATACTTTATCCATAACGTATACTTTTTTGTCCATAACGTATACGTGTTTTCAACGGATACAAAACGTGTAAAATTTCATGGAAGATTTTGACTGTTTTTTGGACTAAATCTGTCCCTTATGAGCTTGGGAGTTAGTTTAACAACTTTTCGCGAGGTTTCGAGACCATTTCGAATAAATTTATGGTGAAAGTTGAAATTTTGGAAAAGTGGACGTAACGTGTATATTTTTCATCCGTAAAGTAGACTTGGCAAAAATTGATAAATCATTGGAGGTTTTTCGAAAAACTTAATTTTCGTTGTTTTCTCAATGTTTGTGATGTCAAAGAATGAATCAAAAACTCAATTCGATAATCGGAAAGACTTTTTGAAAAGTACACGTAACGGAGATGTATTATTTCCACAACGTACACTTTTTCATCTCCATAAAGTATACGTTAAGTACATTTTTTGTAACCTATAAAAAATACATTTTCATTTTTATAAATTTTCCATCCTACGTCTTATAGATAAGTTCTTTCATAATTTCAGTACTTTTTCTTTCCTAGTTAATTGTTTCTATACAAATTTGGCCATTTTTGTCTTCATTTTCCACTCAAAAAGAAAAATTTGCTCGACATTAGGTCTAAGTTTCATTCCTGGACTGATATCCCATCTATTTTCAGTCATTTTCATATTTTATCACGTTTTTATTTGCAAATAAAACTCAAAAATTGCAAGAAAAACGCGAACTCAGAGAAAGTATGGCTTGAACGGCGCGGTCCGCGGACGATTTCTCACCGATTTTTAGGTGAAAATCATTACGCGGATTTCGCGAAAAAAATTTCGCGGACAGCGAAACTTCAGCCAATGAGAGTCGAATTTCGCGCATTCCGCGAAATTTTTTGACTTGGAAATTTGATTTTTTGCGTTTTTCGCGGATCCGCGGATGAACTCGAGAGGGAGGGTATAAAAAGGATGAATTGTATCGCGTACGCGACAACGAGGATAGCGCAGCACGGAAGAGAGATGACTACAAAACGACAGGATTGGGATCGAGGCCGGGTTGGAACTACAAGTCAATACTAACTTCTGATAATTATCAGGGGTAGTGAAGCATTTTTATATCTTGAGAGTGCATTGCGCGGACGTTTCGCTAACAGCGGAGTATAATTTCGCGGACGTTTCGCTAAAGTTCTTGTGTCAGCCGCGGATTGGCAGATTTCTGGGTTTCGCGAACCGCGCCGTTCAAGCCAGACCTTCTCTGAGAAATCCAGAAAAAAAAAGATAAGCCCCGCCCACTTCACACGGAAAACATAGCGCAGCGCGCAGCACGCGAGGTGTCGGTCGCTTGAATTATATAAGAAGACAGAGCGCTTCCATTTCCCGAAGCGTGTTTCGCTAAAAAACGCCGGGGAATGGAAGTTTTTTTGAAGCAATATTGAATTGCAGTCAATTTTGAACTTATCTATAATTGAAGTAGATTCACATTATCAATCTTAAAAATAAATTCTGAAATTTCAAAAGTACACTTTTTATGTCCGTAATTTTATCCGTTACGTACACGTGAGAGTCTCCATATGGACATCTCAGGTGTACTTAACGTACAAGTGTGCGAGAATCAAAAAGTGTACGTTATGGAGACTTTACGTATACGTACCCGAGGTGTGTGTGGAGGGTGAAGCAGAGGGGCCGACTCATAGAGGAGCCTGAAATTGTTTTTTTTTGGTGGAATTTTTCTGACTTGTCAACTTTTTTTTGTTGAAAACATTGTGCCAAGCACAGTTAATCTAATTTGATTTATTTTTCACTTTACTTCCTACTAGACACTTTTTATTATTATGAGTAATTCATAAGCATTTTTTTTGCAACCACGTTTGTAGTTCCTGGAATTTCTAGACAATCTAGCAATCAGGCGTGGATTTTCGTGACTTTGAGAACATTTTTTTTCACGGTGATTAGAAGATTGGACTAGAAAAGAGTTAGGTTAACTAGAAAAGTGGAATACATATTATTTTTTTCATCAAAGAGGGGTCGAGAATTTTCGGATTTGGCTAGGAAAGAGGCCTGAGATTCAAATTTCACTTTTTCCAAGAGAAAACTAGGTGCGCCTTTGACTTTGTTTCTCTGGATAGACTTGGAATGGTGTTAGAGACGCAGAGTTACACAGTATTTGAGAACCTACATTTTTGACTCTGAAACGTGGCATTTTTGGAATCAAAAACCAGGGATTTCATCTTGAAATTTGATCATTTTTGGGATTTTTTGCCACGTCGCATTGAATTTTCCAACAAAATTTTCTGAAATTCTAGTTTTTTTTTTTTTTCAAAAATAAGAACATTTTCCTTATTCTGCCACGTGGCAATTACAGTAGCGGCGGAAAAGATACGAAAAAGTATGTTTTGGATCATAATTCAGCTTGGAGTGGTCTAAATCATTAGAAATTTTTGTCCGATGTGTAACACAGACCTAGAAACTTGAAAAAAACAACTTGGAAACTTTATGTTAATTTTGAGATGTTTCCATTGTTGATCTTCGGAAATCGAATTTTTCGTATTTTTTGATTTTCATGTTCACCATCGAGAAATTTTTGTTAGAGGGGTTTAACTTGATGTTTTTTGGTTTCATTTAGTGTAATGAACCTTTATCTATAAAGTTGAGCGGTGAAACAAACCAATGTCATGATCGTTGAACTCCTATCCGATGGTATTACTGGAAACATCGGAAATTAAGATTTACGACTATAAAACTCAATTTTGCTCTATAAATGTGTAGCAATTGATTTTTTCAGATGTTTTCCACCAATTCCAATCATTTTTCATCAAAAACAATGATTTTCTAGCGATTTTTTCAATTTTCGGTGATGTCGATTTTTGACTGAATCTGGATTTTTGACTGAATCTGGATTCTTCCATTGATGAAAAATCACAAATTGGTTGTGATATTGGTTTTTGGCAAGCCACTAGGTCTATAAATAAGGGACAATTACTTTCTACACCTTAATGTTCTCTTAACTTCTCAGCGAAATCGTTAAAGTTGTTCAATTGAAAAATGCACTAAAAATACACTGTTTTTGATGAAAAAACAGTTTCTTCGACTTTGATGATCTGTATGTCAACTAACCATCAATATTTGATCTGGAAATTTTTTGTCTCTTATTTATAGACCTAGTGGCTTGCCAAAAACCAATATCACAACCAATTTGTGATTTTTCATCAATGGAAGAATCCAGATTCAGTCAAAAATCCAGATTCAGTCAAAAATCGACATCACCGAAAATTGAAAAAATCGCTAGAAAATCATTGTTTTTGATGAAAAATGATTGGAATTGGTGGAAAACATCTGAAAAAATCAATTGCAACACATTTATAGAGCAAAATTGAGTTTTATAGTCGTCAATCTTAATTTCCGATGTTTCCAGTAATACCATCGGATAGGAGTTCAACGATCATGACATTGGTTTGTTTCACCGCTCAACTTTATAGATAAAGGTTCATTACACTAAATGAAACCAAAAAACATCAAGTTAAACCCCTCTAACAAAAATTTCTCGATGGTGAACATGAAAATCAAAAAATACGAAAAATTCGATTTCCGAAGATCAACAATGGAAACATCTCAAAATTAACATAAACTTTCCAAGTTGTTTTTTTCAAGTTTCTAGGTCTGTGTTACACATCGGACAAAAATTTCTAATGATTTAGACCACTCCAAGCTGAATTATGATCCAAAACATACTTTTTCGTATCTTTTCCGCCGCTACTGTAACTCTTTAAATTTGAAAATTCAGATTTTTCAATTAGTAAAAAAAAATCTTTTTGCCACGTGGCATTCTCGAGAATATTTTCAGCTTTTATTTTGAAAATCGATTTTTTTGGGACCTTTTTTGCCACGTGGCATTGAATTTTTGAACAAAATTTTGTAGAATTCTGGCATTTTTTCTCAAAAACAAAAATGAGTGTCTCATTTTGCCACGTGGAAAATAACTCTTCAAATTTGAAAATTCAGATTTTTCAATTACTAAAAAAAACCTTTTGCCACGTGGCATTTTCAAATGATTTTCAAATTTCTCTATTCAATTTTCCCACGTGACATTCTAGAAAAAAAAATCATTTTTCATAATTTATGTCAGACATTTTATGTAATCAAAATGTGCTTCAAAAGTACATTTTTAAAAATAAATTCTGAATGATTTTGTACCCAAATTTACCCAAATTTCTAGCCTACCTGTAAATAAAAACACGGCATTTGGCAGTTCAAACACCAAACATAAAGATTGACTTATAGCTAGAGCACATTGCAGATAGGCTTTAAAAAATCTGGATCATTTTCTGGAATATGAGTTAGGATAACTCACAAGATTTAGAACGGAGTTTGGGATTCCTGAAGGTTAAAACGATGAAATTCAAATTTCCGAATAATCCAAAAATATTGAAAAGCACAATTTCTGACGCAATTATTACTTGATTCAAAATTTGAACCATTGTTAGCATGCTGCAAAATTTCTTGTTGAGCTCAATGAATGTTTAGAAATCATAGGGTCTAATGAATTTGGTGGGAAAAAAACTACTTGTGATCAAAGTTGAGTTGAGCTAACTTTTTTCTCTTTACCTGAAAAAATGTCGTAAAAGATCAATTTTTGAGCCCGCCCATTTTTCGTCGAATAATAAATAATAACTTTTTATTAGGTTTTTGGATAATAAAATTGGAAATAAACAAATAAAAGTTAATAAGATCTGTTGGAATTCAAAAAGTGGAAATTGGTCACAATTGAGATTCGCTTCTGAGACATTCGACGTTTTTTGACGGCCGGAACGCAGCTCCAGAGCTCGAAAAATGCGTCGCGGTAATCGGCGGAACGCCATAGGATTAGGTAGAAGGTTTGGGAGTAGCAGAGCAACGCGAAGATGACCTGAAAAGGTTTTGAATTTTGATTTTTAGAGCTCGAGAAATTTTTTTTTCTAGATTCCAATCACATTCTTGCACTTTTGTGTACACAAAAAGTCCAAAAAGGTGAAATTTTGGGGAAAAATGGAATTTTGATTGAATTTTGAAGTGTTCAATGCTCAGGGGAATTTTCCAGAATTTTTTTTTCTGGAATTTTTAATGCCATGTGGAAAAAATGTTCCCAATTCAATTTTCATTCCTCCAAAAAAAAAACTTCCTAACCATATTAGCTTGCAAAATGGCCGCCAACTCGGCTTCAAATCCAATTCCACTGATCAAATCCACGCCCAACAAGCACATATACCACGAAACAGTAAACAGAATCACTGAAATTTGCAAACGCTTCATAATTCGACTCGGCTCTCTTTGTTGCTTTTTTTGTTTGAAAATCACGATGAGAACTATGAAGCAGATGACTGTTAGGGTATTGATGAAGACTTCGGAGCGCGAGAAGATTTGGGATACTGTGGGGAATAAAGCTAGCGGAGGGTTGCAATAGTTGAGCACCTCATCGTTCATTTTTTGAAAGCCTAGGGTGACGATGGTGGAGCCGTAGATTGTTGGTGGGATTAACATGAGCAATAGGTATTTTTTGGCTGGGATTTGATGGTATCTGAAAGATGTTTGTCAGAGTTTGAGCTCGCGAAATCTGTGAGAATGTTTGGAAAATTTTTCCTGACATGAGCAACGAACAGATTTTTGACATGAGTAAAAAATCGTCATATTTTTTTACTCGAGTAAGGAAGATTTTTCAAGCTTAGGTTAGGATTAGGATTAGGAAATACCGAGCTCAAAGTTCGTGTTTCATTGATCTGAGCTCTAGTTTAACCTGAGCAATGTATGATTTTTTTTTTGGTTTTTTGAACTTCCTAATTATTAGAATTCGTATCTTCAAAGAAAATTACGCAAAAACTAGTAGGCCGTGAAAATTTGAGCTTGACTTGGGTTGGTAAAAACAAGTTGGAGCAATGTACAATATGAGCAATACATAGATTCTCATTGATTTCTGGAAATTGAAGTTTTTGTTGAAACGATGAAAAATTATTTAACATGAGCAATACTTTATTGTTTAGATTTTTAAAACTTCCTATATTTTACTTATTATTCATAAGGATTATATTCTGGAAAAGTAATATTTTCAATTTTTAAGGTTAGGATTAGGATTACGATTAGGATTAGGAAATACCGCATCTAAAGGTAGTTCAGAGAACATTTTTCAATGTTTTGTTGGTCTAGAAGTCTGATTGTAGGTTGCTGAAAATGAGCTTGCGGAATCCGAAAACTCTAATTTAATCTGAGCAATATGAGATTTTTTGGAAGTGTTTTCTTGCTCCGAATTTTTATTCGAGATTTTGATTTTTTCAAGAAAGGTTTTTGTTATTTTCAAAGAAAATTATGCAAATTCTTGGAAGCATGCAATTTTAGCTTGAAGTAGGTTTGAATTTTCTTTCTAACATGAGCAATTTGCCTTATTTTCTGATGATCTGAAAGATTGATTTCAATGTTCAAAATCATTCAATTTTCTGCTCGTCTGAACTTCCCAATCAGAACTCCAAAAAAAATTGTTTTTGAACTTTCTGATGAAAACATTATGATCTGGAACTTTGAGGTATTCACTTTGTAGCCTACTTTTATCAACTTGATTTCCCGGATTAGGAAAATACGTAATATTTTTCTTAAGGAAGATTTGTTTGGATTAGGAAATTTCCCCCAGCTTTGGCAAAAAATATTGAGGTGATATAGAACTCTGAAACCTTTAGGCCCAAAATGTTTGATTTCAAAAAATTTGTGATCATTCAAAAAAACAACCTTTTTTGAACTTCCTAATTAGAAAATTACGAAAAATCTTGTGAAGCGTGCATTGTTGAAGTAACCTGAGCAATGCACATTTTTTTCGGAATCTTTGGTTCTATTTTTGAATAGAATTCAATTAGCCTAACTCAATAGCATAAAGAACTCACAAAGCCGGAAAATACAAAATCATAAAAATGTCCAACACCAAAAACCACATGATAACTGTCTGAGCACACGCAAAAAATACATAGGGAGCCACAATTTTGTAGCATTTTGCACGGGTTATTTGAGAACCGGTGAGCAAGAAATAGGCGTTTGGGAGCTCGGAGAGCAAACAAATTGATTGGGATATTGCTAGACAACATTGGAGATAGCCTAAATTTGAAAAATAGAAATCCTGGAGGATTTTGAAAACTTACAAGACTTGCATTTCAATTTCTTTGATCGCCAGGTTAAAATTAGAATGTGTGAATTTCCGAAAAGTCCCAGAATATTGAAAATTATAATCTCGCAAGCGATCAGAATTCGATTCATTTTTGAAAGTGAAATGTCTGAATTTCCTTGAGCACGCCTCAATAATTTCTTTGTTGTTGATGAATTTTTCTACAGCAAAAAAAAATATTTTGTGGCTGGTGAGAATTTTTTCGATGAAGTTCTTAACTTGTTTTTCACAAGTCTGGAAATTGTGAGCACAAAATTCAGATTGTGCACAAAAAACGACAAAATAAGGTAACTTATAAATGAAATTAGGAAATAATGCGGAGATTAGAAGTCGAAAAATCAACAAAAAAGTATTTTTGGAGGAAAATGGACTTTGGGGAAATCGGAAAAATTAGAAATTTTAAGGAATTTAGGGCTTGAATGGATTTTAGGCTCTCTAGGCGCTGATCCTTGACAATTAGAATTTCTAGGATCAGCTACTTGGTGTAGAAGCTTTCAAGGCGTAGCTGCTTGAGAGCTAGATATTTTAAGAACGGCTACTTGGTGTAGAAGCTCTCAAGGCGCGGATTCTTTAAAACTAGGATCTCTAGACGCCGCTGCTTGAGAGCTAGGCTGTCTAGGCGCTGATCCTTGACAAGTAGAGTATCTAGGATCAGCTACTTGGTGTAGAAGCTCTCACTCCGCGCGGCTACTTCAGTCAAAGTGGTTCTCTAGTTGTGAGTTCTAGATGATTAGTTTTTCTAGGCTCGGCTACTTTTCAAGGTGTGGTGTTTTTTGAACAATGTTACACCAGGCTCTGAAAATTCCGAAAAATTTCAGATTTTTCAAAAATGAGCGTTGAAAATTTACATGTTTTGACTTGTTTTCCGAATTCCTCAAATAATATTATTTTGAAAGTATGCACTTGCTATTTTCAGCAAAAAAAATTATATGTTTTTTTCCAAAAAGTGATTTATAAATTTTACAACACTACAAACTCAATCATGACTCAATTATTCTGTGTTTTGGTAACTGAATCCACAGTTGACATCATCATAGTTGGAACAGCCCATTTTTTGGTGACTTTCAAACGATTCACACACGGAATAAAGCTCCACAAATCAATAAACGCGGAACGATACTCCGAAGAACGCCACAAGCAAACATAAAATGGTTGAGTATAGCAGAGCAGTGCGAAAAACACCATGTTACTTTGGAAAAATGCCAAAACATCGCCTTGCAAACCGATGGCGGCGAATAGATCGACACCCAGTGTGCACATGTACCAGGAGAGTGAGAATACGATGACTGAGACGCGGAGGCGATTCATTAGCTTGCGCGTGTCCTTTTTTTGCTTGCGGCCTGGAAGTTGGGGAGTTGAGATAATTTGGGAGGGTTTTGAGGTGGATTTTCTGGGACTTGGAATGTTGTCTTGAGATTCTGAAACACTTCAACTGTTTTTTTTCGGACACGTGGAATGTATAGTTCCACGTGGCAAAACGCTTCTGAAATTTATTTTTTTGGAATCTCGGTTCCGTAGATCTCTCAAGTTTTCTTGGGATTCGGAACTGTTTTTGACACGTGGAATTTTTCAAATTTTAAAATTCTAGATAATCCACGTGGCAAAACGCTTCTGAAATTTATTTTTTTTTGGAATCTTGGTTTTGTAGATTTCTGAAGTTTTCTTGGGATTCTGAACTGTTTTTGACATATGGAAAATTTCAAATTCTAGATAATCCACGTGGCAGAATGCTTCTGAAAATTATCCGAGTTTTTAAAAATCTTGATCCACATGATTTTTGATCCCAGAGCTAGATAGACTTTAGTTTCTGATTTTTTTTGTTTGCCACGTGGATATTCTGAATTCATCATAGAAAGTTTAGGTTTCTCCAGATTGTGAGAAGGTTTTTCGATGTTTCCCTGGGAATCTGAAATTTTCTCAAAAAAGTATCCTAAAAAAAGTATGTTATATTTTAGCCTAACTCTAATCCCATCATTTTCTCAATCAAATAACATCAAACCCAAAAAAAAACTTGGACTTTCTAAAAATAACAATTCCCTCTAGAAAACCCTACTTCGAAAATGAAAAATAATCATCAAAACAATAAACAAGGACAGAGTGACCGAATTGAAGATCACATTAGAAAGTGACCAGAATCGGCTGACCAACGGGTGCAAACCGATTGGTGGATTGCAAAAAATCACCAACTCGTCGTTCATCTCAACATAGCCCCAAGTTACGGTAAATCCCGCGTAAAATATTGGAGGCAACAACATGATTAGGGTGTATTTTAGATTGGATAGGATTCGATAGCTGGAAATTTTTAGAAGTGATTTTTGAGTAGAGAATAAGAAGCTTACACTGATGGAAAATAGACGATTATGTAGATGTCTATGACTAACATGAGCATTATCATTGCTTGAGCACAGATGAAAAATATGTAGGGCGAAATTGCTGGGAAGCAAATGTTGCGGCGAAGTTGGATGCCTAAGATAAGAATATTTTCTTGAAGTTCTGCCACGTCATAACTTACCGGTAAACAATAAAATTGCATTTGGTAGTTCGAAAAGTAGACAAATAATGTGAGAAATGCACAAAGCACATTGTAGATAAGCTGAAAATAATTCCAGAATTTTCTGAAATTTTTTTCAGACTTACAAGATTTACAGCGAAGCTGTGGTTTTTTGACGGTTAGAACTATGAAATTGAAATTCCCGAATAATCCGAAAATATTGAAAAGAACGATTTCGGATGCGATAACTATTTGATTTACTAGTTGAATCATGTTGGGCATTTTTCCCACGGAAAAATCAGTGATCGCTAGAAAAATAAGGAAATTGTTTTCTGCTGAAAATAGATGAGAAGCTGATCCTTTTATTCAAGAGAAAAAACAAAAGAAGATTTCTGGAATCCACATTTTTTCTAAAGGCATTTATTTTCGTCATTGGGGGAAATCAGAACAAAACAAGATTCATTATGGGGCTATTCAACCTTTTTCCGCACAATCAACACGGAAGAGGTTGAGAAACCTAATTCATTTCCAAGATTTGCGGATATCTGCAAAATAGGCGTCCGAAGTGCATTCGGTCATGACAGATCCGAAGGTGTCGTGAAGTTCGACCTTGGGATCGACGCGATTTGTGGGGGAGCAGTGGAAGATCTGGAAGTTTGGGAGTTGCCGGAGGGTTTTGTAGAGGAAACAATTTTGACACGTGGCGATTTTTAAATTTTGGTTTCAATATTTCTGAGCTTTTGCCTCCTGGCATTTGAAATTTCCTCATGTTATTGCTATTCCAAAAAAACTTGTACCTAGAAAATTTTCAATTTCCGTAAAATTATTTTATTATTTCCTTCAATTTTTGTTTTACAAAAATAGCTTTTCGAACTTTTGAGGAGCAAAAAAATAATGGAAATTTTTGCCACGTGGAATTTTTACAGTTAGAAAATCTGACACATTTTTTTTTCTGATTGTTTTTCTAGATTCTAGATTTTTCCCGAGAGATCGTCTAACTTGGATTTTTGAATAACAAAATCTGATGTTTTTATTGGCGTCTGAAGGTTGCCCTATTCTAGTTAAAATAATCCCAGAAGAATTCGTTGTCTATGCGATGATGTTTGAAATTTTCTAAATTCTCAGAAATCAGAAGAAATTTCACAACAGGAAGTTCGAATCCCTATAGATTTCAATAAAGTTCAAATTACCCACCTGTTTGAATCTATACTTCCACTTCACACTATAATACATACAAATATACGGAAATATAGTGCTGTACAAAATCGCCGAAACATCGAACATCAACGTATAAACAGTTCTATGATAATCCGACAAATTCAGAAAATCAATAAGAATTGTGAAACAAATCAAGCCATTGAAACTGCCCATTGTCAGAACTATCATGTTGACAAGTTTGCAGATCTTGATGTTTTCCGAGATTTGAAATCGTTCGGTGAGATTGCAATTGCGTTGACCGCGTTGGAATTGTTGGTAGTATTGACGGTTTTTGTAGAGAAGGTAGAAGTTGCCAAGGATTCCGAGGGTGTTGAAGAGGAGGACTGAGTTGAAGAGCATTAGGTGAAGCTTGCCTGGAATTTGGGGGTTTTTGGTGAAAAATCAGAAATCTTTAACCCACATTCGTGGAATCCAATCGAGGCGATACATCCAAAACAAAACAAAGATCCCACAAGGGAATACGAAATATAGAGTCGTTTTGTTGATTCATAATCACTTATATAAATCGTGGCGAAACATCGCTCAATGATTAAAATCGGGAGAACCAATAGACCTTGAAAAATACAAATCACTCTGACATACGAGCAAATCTTCATTAGAACTTGATGATCATCTGGATGTTGAGAGATCAAAATTGAGCGATCTATGATCCAGGCGATGTCTGCGATACAGTGTTGAATGTAGAGAATACTCATCACATTTGTCCAATTCTGGTGGAATTGTTTGGCGGTTATATTGATGTAGAGGAAGAAGAGCGTGTGACAGATGTTGAAGATTATTAGGGAGATTTCGAAGCGGAAGAATAGTTGGAAGTTGGTTGCGATGAAACTGTCGTATTCGAGATAGGATCGATTGAAGGTGTTGAGAAGCACCATTCTGAAATGGAAAATGTTCAGAAGTGCTGATCTTCGAATAAAGAAAAATTAAAAGTATAATTATAATAATTTCCGAGAGAAAATTGTAATCCTAAATTTTCAAATTTCTCTTAGAACGGTTTTCGAGGCTTGTAATTCTGGAGGATTGTAGTTTTGTCACGTGGCAAAATACACGATAGCGGAATTGCGGAGTGTTGTAAATTTTCGTTTTAACTGTCTTTTGAGGAGACTTGGAATTGCGGAGTTTCGTAGTTGTCAAGTTAATATTAAATTTTTTCTAAAAACACCTAGTGTAAAAACGGAGTGTCGTACTGAATTTCTCTTGAAACAAAACTCTTTTTGAGGCTTGTAATTCTGGAAGGTTGTAGTTTTTCCACGTGGCAAAAAGACACGATTTTTAAAGGTAGCGGAATTTCGGAGTTTCGTAGTTGTCAAGTGAATCTTCAATTTTTTTCTAAACCTAACAAGGTCAAAACGGAGTGTCGTACTGAATTTTGTAAAAGAATCTCTGAAAGTTATGAAGTAGAAGAATTTCAGAACTTATCAGAATTTTTGCAGTAAAAAAATCTCTGAAAGTTGGAAAAATTTCAGAATAAAAAAAACAAGAAGAAAAATCTATAAAAGATTTCAGACTGAAAAAAGTCCGATTTGTAGTTTCAGAATAACTACAAAATCAGAAGAATTACGATTTCGAAATGAATCAGAGAGAATACAAATTCCAATTATGAAAAAATAATGAGGCGTATTTGATTTCCGAAAAGTATCCGCTGGGAATCACGCCCATCTGAAAATAAAAATAAAATAAAAAATTATCGCGGAAAATCTAGATTTCATGCAATCTATAATTATCTGCTGGAAAAATAGGGGATTAGCAAAAAGAAAATAATTTATTTGTTTTGCTAGCACAATACATACAAACACACAAAAGTCATTAGTATTGATAACTGATAATATTAGTCAAAGTTGGATCAATGATCATGTCGAACATGGTTCCCTCGATATAATTTGCAAGCATCTCATGAATCTCGATCATTATACAAGACATAGCTGTGATCAGATCGGCCACCCGTAATTGCGGATTGTCGTAGCCCTCGTCGGCGCAGATGACGAGAAGCGATTTGAGGATCAGATCGCGTTGACGTTCGCAGATTCGACGACCCGATTCGGTTAATTTGAAGTAGTCTGGAAGGTTTTTTTTTCTAAAGTGAAGCGGAGAGAAGATCTACTTACTGTGATGCCAAATAATCATGGCTTTGAAGAGCGAGAATTCGGTGAATGATAAATTTAGTCGCTTCAATGGTTGTACAACATTCAACCATTGTCGCCGTTTCATATTCATCCACCATCTGCAAAACAACATTTTGGCTGGAATTTAAGCCTGAGATTCAGCCCAACTCACTCATACTTTCGAAAATCATCATCCGACAAAAAATTCCCCGAAAACTTCTCGGATTCCGGCGTTGGTAGTGGATTCATATTGATGAACCAGCCGTTTGTCAGAACCATAACATCCGATTTTTTGAACAACGCGTCAGAGTAGAACATCTGATCGGCCAAAAGATCGACACCGATTGCGGTTCGGTAGAGAATGCTCTTCTCGGACACGGAGAATTGATTGAATTCGGGGAATTTGGTGATGTAGTTGAGGATGATGGTGTATTCGGGGCGTTTGCGGGTGGTGTATTCGCGGTGGTCGAATTGGCGGAGGTCGGAGATTTTGAAGGGCTGGAAAATTGCTGTGAGTTATGACGTGGCAGATTTTTGAACTCTTTTTAGAAAACATCCAATATTAAAACTAAATTAAATTTCAAAAAAAAAATTTTCCGTGACCTAATTTTTTCACGTTCCAAGAGATTCATTTTGATTTCTCATCATTTTGAAAATTTCAAATCTTTGAAATCGTCAAGGCAAATTTAAGGTTAGTGGCGTAAATGCGGAGCCTTGTAGTTTTTTTTGCCCTCAACTCACACATAAACAATTTGCATCATCAAAAATCGTAGTAACATCCACCTCCGTAAATGTCATCTTCCTCCCCCGATTCAGGTTTAAACACTGATCCACATAGAAATCAGAAGTCTGATAAGCCTGAAAATCCTCCCCGAAATCTCGATGTTCAGCAAAACTATTCAGCCTAGATCTAATCTCATTTTCAGCAAAATCATCGCTATAAACAGTCTCGGAAGTTGATGGTTCGAACGAGATCGGTTGGAATGAGATGAGTTGGTTGAGCTCTTCAGCACACATCAAGTTTGGATCGTCGTATCGCATGAGTTTTTGCGGAGTCTCGTAGTCCCACTCATTTTCGCTGGTTTGGTAGAATTGAGGAGGTTCGTAGTGGGGAAGTTGCAGGTTTGGTTGAATCGCTCGTTGATTTTTGAATTTTCGCTTGTTCAATTTGACCACACTTTTTGCCTGGACCACTGGAATTTTTAAACAATTTTCAAACAATTTTTGATTTTCCAGATCTCAAAAACACTCACAATCTTTACTCATCCCGGAATTGAAGCACTTGAGAAGTCGACAATGTCTACAATTGAATCTGGATTGATAATAAATATTGCATGATGGATAGATGTTTGCCGGATTGTCTTGACACTCGTATTGTTGATCCATGGAGATGGAGCGGCGGAAGAATGCGGCGCAAGCCTGGAAGTTAGTTTATTTTGGGAAGGGATGCGGGGGAGGGCATGGGGAAGGTAAGTCTTTAGAACTTTTTTGGGAGGGGGGGGGTTTTGGATTTGAATCTGGGAAGGGAACGGGGAGGGAATCTGGGGAAGGTAAGCTTTTTGAATTTGGGGGGGGGGGGATTTTTGGATTTGAATTTGGGAAGGGAGCGGGGCATGAAACTGGTGAAGGTAAGTTTTTTGGATTTAAATTTGAATTTTGATTCGGGATTTTTTGGGGCCTCAGGCCTTTGGGAGGCTTTCTGGAACCCACCCGGCAAGATTTTGTGAATAAATCGGGAAATCTCAGTATTTTCAACCTTGAAGCTTGTGAATAAAAAAAAATGATTTTCAGAAATCGAGAAATCTCAGTATTTTTAAGCTTGAATTTGCTGTGAGTCAAGCCTGAATTCACAGTTTTAATTTTTGTTTTTCGATTTTTTTGTTGTTTTTTTTTCATTTATTTCAAAATTTATTTGTTAAAATAATACTCACAATGATGACGTCACTCTAATTCAAATAGATCACATGTTTTTTTTTATTTTTGGATCGTACTTGACACTAGAAGTTAACTTGATGAGAGTACTGTATTTCATGAGATCAAATGGGAATACTGTACTTTTTGTGTCAAAAAAACCAGAGTTACAAAAAATTCCTCATATTTTTCTGAAAATGTAAAATTAATCTAATTTATTTTTGGTCAAGATAAATTTTGCAGTAAAAAAATTATTTTTCAAACAAAATTATGATCCTCAATAAATTTCTGAATTTCCCACAAAAATTCCCTCAAATTTTGCCGCGAAATCAGACAATTTCCAATAAAAAATTTGTGACTTGTGAATTTTTCGAGATAACATTTTTTTTTCACAAAATAATCTTGGAATCTATTCAATTTTACCAGCAATAAATTAAAAACAAAAAAAACTAACCTTACAAGCTCTTGCTCCAAAATGATAATTTGGAGCCTGCGGATTGTCACACACTGTGCATTTTCGATTAACCATTTTTTCTTCTTCTTTTTCAAAAATTATTTTATTTATGATGTGTTAGTTCAGTAAGTCTCTGTAAAAAAATGATAAGAAAAATGTGGTTCGATCAAAATATACTAAACAAAAAAATCATGTTTTTTGAACTTTCCAACCAAAAAAACATGTTTTTTCAGACAAAAATCTTCAAAAACGTGGGTTTTTTGTTGAAAGGCAAAAAAATAAATGGGTAAAAACAAAAACACTGTCAATGCGTATTTTTTCTTATCAGTTGTGCACTTTTGAATATTATTTACATCTTATATATGTATTATAAACAGACCACCCCCTTTCATCAAAAAATGCTGATTATTTTTTTTTTGGGGGGGGGGGGGTTCGATAAACTTGAGCCTAACTTTTTTGAAAAATTTGAAAATTTCATAAAATTTTTCAAAAGAAAATGAATAGAGACCACGTTTTTGCAAATAAAAATCACAAAACGATGATTTTTCCTTGACCAAAATTAATTGTAGCCTATAAATTAGGCAACTTATCACATGTTCCTTTCCTTTTATCTCCTTAAGAGAACAATCTCTCAATTTTCGTACAATGATTCTTTTTTTGGAAAGTAATCTTTCCAGACAGTTTTTTTCAGAGGGTTATTAAAATATTAGTGATAAGTGCAAATTATGCTGAAAATTGTCGCTTATCGCGGAAAGTTTTTAGTGATTTTTGCATGTATTGATGAACTGATGATTGTTGTCTAGTGTATTTTGAGAGGAGCAAAGTTTATTTGTTGAGAGAGGGCTTCCGGGAGTTTTATAGTCTAGGGAAAAATGAGAATTGGGGCGTAAAGTTTAGTTTTCAGGGATTTTTGGTAGATGAAAAATTTGAATTTTTTGTACAGTAAGAAATATCAAATTAACTTTGGGCTATGAAATTTGAAGTTTACAGTAATATGTTTTGGTAGATCTTATTTTTGAAGGTTAACTTCAGAACTGTGGATTCTGACGTGGGAAAAAACGAGAGAGTGAAAATTAGAAGAGATGCGAGACGAAAAAGGGATATGAACAGACTCCGCCCACATTTTTTGCTGAATTTCCGCAGCCAAATTTTTTTAACAAAAAAATAATTTTTTTTGATGTGTAACGCTAGTTTCAAAGGTTTTGGTAGATCAAACAATTTTAGTGACTGGAAAAATTAGGATTTTTGAACAGTTAGAAATATAAAATAAACTTTGGCCGATAAATTTTGAAAGAAATATTTACTTTTTTCAAAAGGGCTGATTCACGAACGAAAAAAATGTTAAAAAATGTTTTTTTAACATTGAAAGATCAATTCACGAAAAGTCAAAAAATGTCGAAAAAACATTGTAGGTCAAAATTAGTTTTTCGAGTTTTTCAGCCAAAAATGATGACAAATCAATATTTTTCAAGCTTCTGGAGGGATTTCTGATGAAAATAAGCTTCGAGAACCCTATTTTGCTGTATTTTGTGAATTTTTTCAAAATTTAAAATTTTTTTATTTTACGAAAAATCAGCAAAACCTTCTGGAAAGTGAATTCCAAGGTCAATTTTCATCATAAATTACTCCAGAAGCTTGAAAAATATCGATTTGTCATCATTTTTGGCTGAAAAACTCGAAAAACTAATTTTGACCTACAATGTTTTTTCGACATTTTTTGACTTTTCGAGAATTGATCTTTCGATGTTAAAAAAACATTTTTAAACATTTTTTTCGTTCGTGAATCAGCCCTAAAGGCAAACTTCAGAACTGGTTTTTTTTTAGTTTTTAGAGGTTTTTGGTAGATCAAAATTTTTGAGTCCCATTGAAATTCTATTCTTTTTTGATGAAAAATATTTGATCAATTTCTCACTGCAAAATTTCAGATGTAAATTAAAAATTTTGATTTTATTTTTTTTCAATAAAATTATTTTAAATATCAACTTCAAATAATTATAGTAAATTTCCAAAAGTGTAACCATTCATTTTTGGACAAAACATAACAATTTTAATTCAAAAATTTCATTATGCTAATTTTCATCAGAATTTAGTGGTCTCCTCCTTTTCCTTATCATCAATCTCAATCTCAATGTCATTATCATATCCAAATTCACTCCCATTTTTCTCAATAATTCTCATCGGCACAATTCGTTTCCACAATAAAATAGTTCCCAATCCAGCTATCAGAATGATACACAAAACCATAACACTAATCCACGTGTATCCGGAAATATTGAACAGAAATGTGCAAATTAGAGGGGTTAGACAACGACCGACGCTGCCGAAAAACGCGTAGACACCTTGCATCATACCCTGGAGACAATGAAATTGGGTGAGGTTTACTTGAGCCGATTTACCTGCTGTCTGGGTCCAAGAATTTGTGTGAATAGAGTTCCGATGGAACTTCCCACGTAGGGAAATGCGATTCCGCAACAAATAATATAGACAAATAAATAGACGGCTAGTGGAACTCTTGGCACAAATTGACACCAGGAATATGTGCACGCTCCGTCGGTTACTGAAATTGATCTTTGGAAGATTTACAGAAGATTCAGATCCTTCTAGTCAAAACAGTTCAAGCTCACCATTTGGATTGTAGCTCAATTTTCCCGTGTAAAATGGCCAGGGTAAAAGAGCCAAGTAGAAAACGGCGAAGAAGAATAGACCGATACTGATTGTTATTCGCTTGTCGCTGGAAGTTTTGCCACGTGGAATTTTAGGATTGTGAAAATTGGAAGCATATTCCAGAACTCACATTTTTCCAATCCTCGTCGATCCAATCAAAAAATACTGAACAACGATAACTCCACAAGCCAACGTCTCAATATACCCGTTATAAATAATAGCCTCTTTTGAAGTCCAATTGTACATGGCAATTGTAAACACCGTGCAAAGTCTGGAATTTATCAAAGAAAATCTTGCAAACCGAAAAAAAAACTTACGATTCCATGTCAACAACCACGATTTGCATCAAAAACCATAGGAAAATGCATAAAAATGCGGGAAGTTTGTCGAAGTTGGGAAGCTCGATGTTGTTTTCCTCACCCGAGTTTCCTGAACTTGTCATAACTCCCACGAAATTCTCGTCATCGAATAAATAGAAGACTAGAATTATCGTTAGAATTATCATGAAGAATAGGAAGAACGCGGGAGATGTGTAGCAGTCTAGAACGATGCATGAAAATAGTGTGGTCCCATTTCCGATGAATGCGAAGGCGGATTGAAGAGCTGGTCCGATCAACATTCCGAAGACTAGACTTCCGAAGGAATAGGAGACGGCTTTGTTGCGATCTTCTGAGGTGGAACAGGCGGCGACGTAGGCTCTGGAAGCTTTGATTTTTTTTCCGAAGTTGGTAGATTGTGTTGGAAAATTTTGAAAACTTGATAAAATTTTATCCATGCACAGCTTTTTGACTCAAAAGAACTCAAAACCCTAAAAATTTTAGTCTCCCAATGGACCTCTGAGCCAAGTTCTGAGCTCTCATTTTCAAAATTATTTTTTTAAAGGAAAAATGGAGTTTCAGATAGTCGAAGTTTCGGCATAGTCGAGTTACTAAAAGTATATAAATAGAAAACTTTTTTTTAGAAAAATTTTGTAAATTTTTTATTTTTCGGCTAAAAATACATACTTTTTTCAAAAATCAATTTTTTTTCTGAAAATTCAATTCTATCGATGCTTATTGGGCAAATCGGTTTTCTCAAAAATCCTGAGCCAATTTTGACAATTTTTGGCTCAAAGGTCCATTGGGAGATTGAAAGTTTTTAGAGTGTCTTTTTGACCCCCAAAGCTGCTCATGGACAAGATTATCATTGATATTCTGGTTTCAGAACTTTTCTAGACTTCTGTGTCATTCCAAAAATACACATGATGCCCAATTCAATGAACCAAGATCAAACATTTCTGATAAGAAAAAAAAATTATTTTTAAACTCTTACCTCAACGCGGCCAAATTTCCACACCCAAATCCAATAACAATTCTAGTCATCAACATAGCATACTGTGGTTCCATAAATTTAATATTCGGCAAAAAGCCATAAATCAAATTACCAATCAAGCACATCAATAGTCCGGCTGTAATTGGCGGCCGGAATTTTTCCGATTTCTGCGACCACCATCCAAAAATCGGCGCGCCAATCGCTTGTCCCACACTGAAACTCGCCAAAACGACGCCGAAAAATGAGAGTTGGGCTTTTGGGTCGAGTTTGAGTAAATAGGGCCACATTGAGGTGAAAAATATGGACATTTGAACGCCGCCGAAAAATTGAATATAATTGCTGAACCATAGTGAAGTCCAGTTGGTTTTCTTTGAGGTTTCTGACATTTTTTTCTTTGAATAGATGGAAATTTAGCTAGGGAAAGGAATAAATAGAGGGGGAGGTTATCAATTTGCTACTGAATTTTCGATTTTCTTTTTCCATGATGATTTTGCTATCAGTTCCAAATTTGGTTTATCAAAAAAAAATAATTTGATTTGATTTATGATTGGAAAAAAAATCAGCGAATTCAAGGAAAACAAAAAAAATAACATGATTTTTGGCCTATTTTCAGAGAGAATCGACATGTGAAACCTGAAAATGTGGGAACATTGAAAATCTGATTTTTTACCGTAGAACTACAAACTCACAATCAGAAAAAAAATTAGAATTTCGTGAAAAAAAAATGAAGCGTTCTGATAGTTTGTTATCAGTTTTTTTTAATTATTTTCAAAAAAAAGTTTCTGGCAAAAATTGATTTTATCAAAACCTGAGCTCGTGGCGTTTTTAAAATTGATAAAAAAAATTAACATAAAATTTTGACCAAAAATTCTGAAACATTCAAATCTGAAACTTTTAAAATCGGAATTCGAAAATCCGAATTTTCATTGCTTTTTTGGATCCGATTTTGAACATATTTCTCGAGTTTCAGATATTTTTAACTTTCAAGTGATCCCTTTTAATTGTATATTTTCCACCAAAATCGCAAAAATAATCAAGAAATATTTCGAAATATTGCTATGCAACCTGTTTTATCCAATGTTTTTTGGAAATTGTTTTTCGATTTTTTTACAAATTGCAATATTAGACAAGAAAACAATCAGAAAAATAAATAAGATGAAGCTGGAGACACAAATCACTGATAAAATGAAAGAAATATTCTAACTTTTGAAGAACATGAGATCTTTCTGTACGATCATCTTTCATCTTCCTACTTAAATTTGGTTTTGGTCCCTCAATTGTTCTTCCGTTTTCACAAAAATGTTTCATTTCTTCTTGCAATTTTTGTTTATTTGATGCATTACAAAAAAATAAGAAAGAATCACAAGTTTTTCTCATCTACTATTCTACGCTCTGATGTATTGTTTCCAAACTACACTTTAGTTTAAAAAATAAAGACCGACCAGCTCTTGAAACAAAATGAAGAAAAGATGGAAAAAGATTTATTGCCCTATTTTCATTAACTCTTTTTGTTGTTGAAAAGCAACAAAATTTAGGTCCTCTGGTGATTTTAGATGTTCCTACCAAGATCCAAATGAACTTTCAAATTCAGAACACAATTTATTTGAGAAACTATAAAATCAGAGAGATTTGAATTTGATTTCACATGTTTTGCAATATTTCTAAGAAACATAGTGTAAAATCTTTCCCTTTGATTCTTATTAACAGAACTGTTCTTTGATCTGTCCAGACCAAACTAGAAACACAAATCTAATGATTTTCATATTGAAACTAAAGAAAAAAAGACCTTGCAAGGAGGAAGAGTCATGAGATTTTTCTTATCTATTTTACGCGCTCATTCATCATTCTCAAACAGTTTCAATACTATACTTTAGTTTAGAAGAATAATGACCGATCAACTCTTGAAGCAACATGAAGAACGGATGAAAAAGTTTGAAGAATATCGGAAAAATGAGTTGGATGAAGCTGTGAGAGTTGAGAGAATTCTCAATGAACATGTAGGTTTTTGATTGTTTTATCACTGAATATTTGAATTGTATATAGATTCAAAAACTTGAAAACCAATACACGGAACTTCGCCAAAAACATGTTATACAAATAACTGATGAGATGAAAGAAAATGCTGAAATTCTGAAGAATATGGGAATCGAGAAAATTCGAGCAATCGAACAAATCGAAGAAACTTCAATTGGTGTTGAGGCTTTGGTTGGTGAGATGAGAATAACGAATGAGATGTCGAAAAATTTGAAGACAAATGCTTTGAGTGCGGATGTGAATTTGAACAATTATGCGAGACATTTTGAAGAATTACAAAAGTTGGCAGCGAAAATTGAGGAAACATTGACACAATCACTTGAGAGACGAGTTACTTTTGAATTACTTCGCGATCAAATCAACGAAAAACATGTGCTTCTTTCAAGATTTATAGTTTTTGATAAAGCGGATCAATATTTTGAGAAACGAAAGGAAGTGAGCAAAACAATTGTGAAACAACTTGATGAAGTTATTCCAATCTTTGAACCAATTTTGGAATATATTGATCACATTGAAAATGTTGAAGTTCGAAATTCTATTGTACCTTTGATTGAAACAATTTCAACAACAATGAAACAAATGGTTCAATTATTTTTGAGTCTTCCAAAAGTTGAAGAAGCAAAATATTTGGAAAATACCATTCAAGAAGAAATGAAGAGTATTGAATCGAATGTTGTTCGAAATATTCTCAAGGTTGGTTTTTTGAGTAGCTAATCTATAGATTATCGAAAAACAAATTTCAGAGTGTTCACAAAGAATTGGAAAATTAAATGTTCTATGAATGATTTATATCAGTGTTGAATAAAAATGTTGATTTAAAAAACAATTTTCAAATAAAAAAGTAAGTGAATTTACATGCCGAGTGCTTTCAATTCCATTTTTTTCAAACAAATTGATTGCATTATAACAATAATTCCATTTACTATTTCAATATATTCGTTGAGTGGTTCTGAATGTTTGATAACTTCGGAAATCTGATTTTTCTTCATCGCAATTTCAATTCTCATTGGTAATCTTCCTAATTCATTTCGAAGTTCTTCGTATTTTTCCAAAATTGAACCCATTTCTGATTTTAATACCGCATCAGCTCCTTGAAAATCATTCATTTGTTTATGGAATTGATTTATGAGAACTCCACAATGTTTGTTTTTCAATTTCCAATCATTGAAAGTTTCTATGGGAAAATACAGTGCATCTTCATTTTTGTCGTTTTCTTTTAATTCATTCACCTGAAAATAATCATTAGATTTCGATTTCCCGAAAAATTGTAACTTACATGAACTAAAAAAAGACACATTGCATCATTTGCATCAATAATTGAAATAACAACTTCGTTTTGAAATTCTCGAATCAGTTTTGAACTCCATTGATTTTTCAAATATCCAGAATGCATTTGAACATTTTGATGAATAATTTCCAATTTTTTCGAATTTTCATCTCGTAAATAATTTCTTTGCAGTTCCAAAAGTTCCAATTTCATTGTTTGTAATTCTTCAAGACTTTTATCAACAAGCTCGGTATGATTTTTAATCATTTCTTCTTGTGTTTTTTCGAATTCAGCAATATTATCCAATCTTTTTTGCATCATTTCTTCATGTTCCTAAAAAATTTGAGTTTTTGGGTTTTACTTGAGGTTGTAAAATAACATTCAACCTTTTCAATTTTGATTTTCTCTTCTCTTTGTTGTTTCAGAATTTTCTCAAATTCAATCTGTTGATTTTTCCGAGTTCCTTCATTTTTCTTGATCATCTCTCTAATTTCATTCTCATATTTTTCTTCCAAAAGTTTTCTTTCATTTTCTGACAAATTTTTCATTTTCGCAAGTTCCATTGTTTTTTGAGATTGCAGTTGTCTAATCTTCTCTTCACCATCATTCTTCAGTTTTGTCATACGTTCCTCATGTTCTTCCAATGCTTTTTGATTCCTATATTTCTGTTGTTCAAGACGATTTGATGCTGATCTTATATCCGAATCCAAACTTGAAATATTCGAGTCATGATCTAGAAAAAAATTAATAAAATATAAGTTTGTTTCCTTCAAATAAACTGACAATTTTTCAATTGTTCTAATTCTTCTCGATTTTTTCTTTTGTCATCTTCCAATTTTTTACTTCTTCTCTCATATTCCTCTTTTCTTCCCTACAAAAAATATGATAATTTTTTGGTATCAAAATATTATTGTAAACCTACATGCCAAACATCAGATATATAATTTGAAACAGTCTTAACTGTTGATACGATTGTCCTTGGAACATACGTAACTGTTTCAACAACCACAGTAGCAACCGACTTAACTGCTGAACCAACTGCTTTAACACCATCCCAAACACTACTCCAAAAGCCCATCTGAAACAAACTACATACATGTTTTTTGATTTCACTGAAAAAGAGAGTTTTGATAAGAAGAGTATGTGAAAGTTGTTTATGGGTAAGGGAAGGTTTGTTATCATTTATAAAAATGAAAATAGTAGAAAACAAACATCGAGAAGTGAAAGGTTACATTATTTGAAAAGTGTCCTGCTTGAAATTCAAACTATGAGATATATTTACAAGGGATAGATCCCAATGTGTATGTTCAAATAGTGTTTTTTTATTCATGCACATACGTAAAATTGGATTAGGAATTCAAAATAATTAGTCTTAAATCATACCGGCGCCATGTTTTCGGTCAAATAATGATATAATGTTCATCTCGAACGTTTTGATAAATTTTGATAAATTTGAATTTTTTTTGAATAACTTTCTGTCAAAAATTGATTGCATCAAAAAATGAGCTTATGGGGTTTTTCAAATCAATAAAAAATTAAAGTAATATTTTTTGACAAAAAAATTCTGAAATGGTCGAATCTGAAAATTGAAAATTCTAAAATCGGGATTTGGATGTTTTCTTGCTTTTCTTGATCCATATTTAAGCATATTTCTCGAGTTTCAGAGAAATAAACAAAGCAATATTTCGCAACATTTCTAAGCAACAAAATTTATTATCTGTTTTATCCAATGTTTTTTGACAAATGTTTTTAGATTTTTTACAAATTGCAATATTAGACAAGAAAACAATCAGAAAAATAAATAAGATGAAGCTGGAGACACAAATCACTGATAAAATGAAAGAAATATTCTAACTTTTGAAGAACATGAGATCTTTCTGAAAGATCATCTTTCATCTTCCTTTGGTTTTGGTCCCTCAATTGTTCTTCCGTTTTTACAAAAATGTTTCATTTCTTCTTGCAATTTTTGTTTGTTTGATGTTACAAAAAAGAAAAAATCACAAGTTTTTCTCATCTACTATTCTACGCTCTGATGTATTGTTTCCAAACTACACTTTAGTTTAAAGAATAATGACCGACCAGCTCTTGAAACAAAATGAAGAAAAGATGAAAAAAGATTTATTGCCCTATTTTCATTAACTCTTTTTGTTGTTGAAAAGCAACTAAATTTAGGTCCTCTGGTGATTTTGGATGTTCCTACAAAGATCCAAATGAACTTTCGAATTCAGAACACATTATTTGAGAAACTATGAGATCAGAGAGATTTGAATTTGAGTTCACATGTTTCGCAATATTTCTAAGAAACATAGTGTAGAATCTTTCCCTTTGATTCTTATTAACACAACTGTTCTTTGATCTGTCCAGACCGAACTAAAAACACAAATCTAATGATTTTCATATTGAAACTAAAGGAAAAAGACCTTGCAAGAAGGAAGAGTCATGAGATTTTTCTTATCTATTTTACGCGCTCATTCATCATTCTCAAACAGTTTCAATACTATACTTTAGTTTAGAAGAATAATGACCGACCAGCTCTTGAAACAAAATGAAGAAAAGATGAAAAAAGATTTATTGCCCTATTTTCATTAACTCTTTTTGTTGTTGAACAGCAACAAAATTTAGGTCCTCTGGTGAAGAAACAGAGTGTAGAATCTTTCCCTTTTGATTCTTATTAACACAACTGTTCTTTGATCTGTCCAGACCAAACTAGAAATACAAATCTAATAATTTTCATATTGAAACTAAAGGAAAAAGACCTTGCAAGAAGGAAGAGTCATGAGATTTTTCTTATCTATTTTACGCGCTCATTCATCATTCTAAAACGGTTTCAATACTAACAAGGGAACCTTTTTTACTCAACACTTCAAATCATGATGAAATTTGGTTCATAGACAGCTTTTGGGACCATAAGAACACCCTAAAAATTTTAGTTACCCAATGGACCTCTGAGCCAAGTTCTGGACTCTGAAAAGTTCAAAAATTTCCAAAATTGGCTCATAAAACACGTCATAACTCAATTCTCGATCAATTTTATGAAAAACTGAATAGCAGATGATGATCAGCGTGGTCGATTTACCCAAAAACCATCAATAAATCGAATTTTTAGAAAAATTTTTGATTTTGAAAAAAAGAATGAGCAGAGGCACATATGAATTTTCATGAATTTTCAGCCCAAAAATAAAAAACTTCAAAATTTTTCGAAAAAATATTTTTTATTGATTTACTTTTAGGTAATCGACCATGCTGATCAATATCTGAAACTTTATTTCTCATGAAAATTATTTGGAAATGGAGTTATGATGACTTTTATGAGCAAATTTTGGCTATTTTTGAACTTTTGAAAGCCCAGAACTTGGCTCAGAGGTCCATTGGGTAACTAAAATTTTTAGGGTGTTCTTATGACCCCAAAAGCTGTCCATGGACCAAATTTCATCATGATTTGAAGTGTTGAGTAAAAAAGGTTCCCTTGTAAGCAATTGTGAAACAACTCGACGAAGTTATTCCAATCTTCGAACCAATTTTGGAATATATTGATCACATTGAAAATGTTGAAGTTCGAAATTATTTTGTTTCAGGGGGTCACATTGGGATCTATTCCTTGTTAGTTTTGTGCTAAAACCTCGTCTCTAACAAGTAAAAATAACTCAAAAAAAAATATTTCATCATCGGTTCATTTAACCCTTGATCAATTTAAAACATTTGAAAAAAATGGTAGAATAACTTTATCAAAACTTTGAATTATTTTTCTTCTTCTTCTTTCTTTGAAACTTCCTCAATTTCCTCAATTTTTGTTGAGTTTTCAATCGCATTTTCTGAATTAAACATTCCACTGATTTGCTCAGTCAATTGTAATGTGACATTCACAAAATTGCTATCAATAACAATATCAGGAATTGATTCGATCATTTCTTCGAGTTCATTTGTATGCTCAATAAGTTCGTTCAAGCTTTTTATCAAATCTGCAAATGAATCGGAATCCAAATCCTGAAAAAAAAACATTTGAAATAGTATTGAATTTTGCGATTTTTATCATTCACTGACCGCTCGATTTTCAATAAAAATATTAAATCTTGACAAAGTCGCATTAACAATTTGTAACAATCCATTCGCAAGTTTCGCTTTCTCCTTCCTCTCATCGTCCTGCTCTAAGTTTGACAAATATCTTGTGAGTCCAAGAATATCAGCTCCCAATGTTTCAATAGTCAACTGAAAATTAAGATACGCTAAAGACATCTTACAAAATCAGTTCGAATTCATGGCCCGATTCTAAATACAGTCTAATTCAAAACTCCCATTTCTTACCCGTGCCAAATTAGCAGATTTTTTCAACCCATTAATACTTTTCATTTTGATCGGCACATCGAACTTGTGGAACAAAACCATAACATTTCTTTTGATGTTTCCAGATTTTTGTCGAATATTTGATAGATTGTCTCTTTGCGATCCTTGATTCTCATCATTTTTAATCGCTTGAATCATCGATGCAATTCCTTTCTGATGATTTTGATTCAAAATTGAGGCACGATTTTGGAATGAGTTTGCAAGTTCTTGCGCTGCAATAGATTGAATCAAAATATGAATCAAGTACAAATTTTCAAAAACAAACTTTTGAGAACAGTTGCATTCTTCTCAAGTTCCAATTGATGTCTTTGTTGTACTTGTGCTTCTTCATTACTTGTCGAGGTTTTAACCAATTCTGCTTTTTCCTTCACCAAGTTTTCTTTGAGTTTATCCACCTACAAAAATCCAACATATCAGATAAACAAAATGTTTTTTTTTTACATTTTGTTTCTCTTCTGCAATCCTGTTCTCACTCAACACATTGAAAGTCGATTTGGTTTTCTCAGCTTCCAATTTTTGAGCTTTTTTGATTTTCAAGGAGCATTGTTTTTTCCATTAATTGCCGCTCTTTTTCTTTTTCTAAAAAAATGAAATGAGTTGATTCGAGCAAAATTTGCAAACCTTTTTGAGAATCCGATGATTTTTTGAGTTCACCTAATTGATTCGCATAATCAATATTCGTTTTTTGCAGATTATTATTTTGTTGTTCCAACATTTTTGTCTGAACATTATCCATTTGTTGATGTCTCTCATTTCTTCGAGATTCCTCTCTTTCAGATTCATCTCTCAAATTATCGAGTTCATTCTTTTTCGATCGAGTTATTGAATCATTTCGTTGGTTCAATGCTTCCAAATCCGCTTTATGTTTTTGCTCAGCAGCCTCTTGCTCCTTTTTGATGTTTTCCAATTTGGTTTTCCAGTCACCTGTAAAATTATATTTTTGAAAAAATTAAGAATTTCATAAAACTTACTCATCGTTACACAATCAAGATTTTTTTAATGACAAAATAGTGATAATTCCGAACTTTTAAATAAAACGAAAAGATTGGTTTTGACTCCTCCCACCGTTTTCTCCGCCCAAAATATTGTAATAAAAGAGACGAGTTTATCAGATAAAATCATTATTTTCTCGTGCTCTCAAAATGGGTGGAGGACCGGTACGTTAAACAATGTATTAATCTTTAGGCCTTTTTTTTAGAGTAAAGAGCAAGTTGAATATCAAAAAAGGCAGGCACAGCTGAATGAAACTGAACAAGACAATGCGGCAGAAATTGAAAGTACACAAGCAAGTAAGTTTTGTGAAAATTTTTTTCAAAAAGATTAATTGTTTAATTAAGTTCATGATGATGAACACAACCGACTCGATCAAGAAAAACACGAAAAACAGCAAAGGTTGGATGATTTGCGGAAGAATAATGAGGATTCCATACGGTATGATTTAATAAATTAAAATTTCCCGAAAATCAATGAGCAAGTTTATAGCGAACGAAAAAACAAACTGTTTGAAGCACAAAATTCATATATGAATGAATTGGAAAAAATCAATGAAAAACATGAGGAACAAAGAAAAGAATTGGGAAATGAGTCAGCTAAGGAAATTCGAGAATTGGAAATTGCTTTTGAGAAAGAGGTAATGCTGGAATCTTTGTTGAATTTTTCAAAATCATGTTTTTTACAGAAAAAAGAATTGGAAGAGAAAAATAAGATTGAAGAAGAAAACATCAAAAAAGAAGCAGCGATTCAAAAAAAGGTTTTTGAAAATAAAATCGAAGAAATTGAAAAGGTGAGAAGATAATTTAGCATTTCGAATAATTATTTGATTTTCAGGAAAAAGGACGTGTAAAAGATGAACGAGTTGATGAACTGAACAAGTTTGAAAAAAAAGAGACTGAACGATTGAAAAATCATGAAATACAATTGAAAGAAGGTTCAGCAAGTTTATTGAAAATTCAACAAGAACAATTGGAAAAATTGAGGTAATTTTCATTTCTTAAAAATATAATCAAAACACGTTTTTAAAGAGAGTTACAACAACTCGAGAATGAGAAAAAAGAGCAGATTCTTCAAAATGCGATTGAAACAATGGTGGTTTATCGAGAAAATGCGAATAATAAAAGATTGGCCAATAACTTTCATAAAAATGTTGTTGCTGCAATTCAGAATACAAATGATATTTTGGCAAAAGCTGGAGTTTATATGGATGATTTGAAGGATGAAGAATCGAGAGATCTTTTACTGGTAAAACAAATTCGTTTATTGAATACATTAATTTTGTGGTGGATTTTTACAGGAAACTACAAAAAAATGGGATATGGCTGTACGAGTGACAAATGATTGTATTAGAGATATTCGAAGTGATTTGAACAACTTCTCAACTGCAAATCAGAATTTGAGAGAATCCATTAATGTAATTTTGTTAAATTAAGTAATTTTTCAATACTAAATTTCAGGATGTGATTTCGACAGTAGAACAAGAATATCGAGATGTTCAACAATTATCTACAAAACTAACGATTGCGATCAAAAATAATAATATTCCACAACTCGAAAACTTGAAAACGAATTTCAAACGACATTATGATGCGATTAATAAACATGGAAAAATTATGAGTTCAATTATTTGCAAACCTGATGAAACTTTGAAAAAATTGGAAAGCGCTTATCACACTGCAGATGGTATGTTTATATAATATGTAAAATGCAAATTTTGATTTTTTCCAATTTTTTCAGCCAATCAACCGAGTATTCCAAAAGAATAATTCTTTTCTTGTTTTTTTTAAATCAGATTGTGTTGCGAAGCATTTTTTTTAAATGGAATCGGTTTTCAACCGACAAATATACTTCATAAAACAATAATGACCTTTCAAATATTTTTTTTGATTTCCATTTCAGACTTTGAAAATGGATGGAAGAGATTATAACAAACCGCAAGGCCCACCAGACAATAAAGAGAGGAATTCTAATCAAGAAAAATTACAATTTTATGAGTATAATTTTCAGAAAACCTGAGAAGAAAGCCAAGTTCGATACTTTCAAAGAATATTTACCATCCATGCCATGGAATCGAACTGAAGTCAGTCAATTCGATCTAGAAGAACAGCGAAGAAAAGAAGAACGAGAGGAAAGACTCAAAAAATTGGAAGAGCAAACGAAGAAAAATAATGCGGAAAGAGAGTAAGAATGAATTCGAATTTCGATATAGAATAATTGAAATTCAGGCAAAGATATCGAGAACAAGATGAATCAGATAGAAAAAATGAAGAGTTGCGGAAACAACGAGAAGACAATTTCAAGAAAAGAGTACATGAAATCGAGCAGGAAAGAACTAAAAAACAAATCGAAACGGATCGAGAATTCGAAAATCGAATGAAACAATTGGATGAGATAGCTGCTCAAAATATTGAAAGGCAAAACGATGTAAGGTGTTTGTATTAGGTCATTTTGTGAATCAAGATTTTTGCAGAGGCATGCTAGAATTCTGGATGCAACTGAAAGGGAATATGAGTCGAAAATTGCTTCAAAACAAAGAGAGACTCAAAGGTATTTCGAATTTCATTGATTCTGAAATCAAACTATTTGTGAAGTTCAATTTCAGTTTTATTAACTCTATCCAACAAGCATCAGAAAGAAATAGCAATGAATCGAAAATGAGACAACAGCAGATTATCGATGAAACTAATGAACATTTAAGGTATGCATTTCTATGGGGGGATTCAGGTAAAATTTGAAATCAGCAAACTCTAGATTTTACAAATTAAAATACTTTTATTCTAGATTGGCTGATGAGAGAAGTAAACAACGAGAAGACAATTTCAAAAAAAGAGTTGAAGAAATTTGAAATTTCTTTTCAGAGAAATGTAGAAGAAGAAACTGTAATTGCTCCTGAAACAAACCGAGATTGTAAAGATGCATGAATCGAAAGAAGTCGAAGTTTTCAATAAAGCTGATGATTCTGTTATTGAGAATAAATACAGGCTTGATTGTTTTGTTCAAAACTATGCTTTTACGTTCGATTATTGGTTTTTAACCGATAGATATATTTCTCTTGAATTTTTCCAGCATTCAAACATAATTATGAAATTCATTTCAGGGTGTGAAAATGGATAAAGAATTCAATTTCAACCTGGTAGGAGAAAGCAAAGAAAGGTTTTTTGTGATCAAAAATCGATTATATCAAAAGTATTCGTTTCAGAAAAACAGAGAGTTCGGGGAGATGTGTTCCAGAACAACAACATTATAGCGCTGCGCAAGGACCACCAGAAGGAAATGGAGAAAAGTATTTTGATCACCAAAATTCTATGTTTAGAAGCTTATTTTTTTCAGAAAAAAAGATTCAAACAACAAAAACATATTTCGAAAAGTAATTTCGTCTCTACCAGCTATGCCATCTATGCCAGCTATGCCATCTATGCCATCTATGTCATGGAAACGAACTGAAGTGAGTCAATTTGATTTAGAAGAAAAAAGAAGAGAAGCAGAAAGACTCGAAAGACTCAAAAAATTGGAAGAAAAAACTATGAAAAATAATGCGGAAAGAGAGTAAGAATGAATTCGAATTTCGATTGAAAAAACATTTCTAAATTCAGGCAAAGATATCGAGAACACGATGAATCAGATAGAAAACATGAAGACTCGCAAAGAGAACGTGAAGAAAATTTCAAGAAAAGAGTACATGAAATCGAGCAGGAAAGAACTAAACAACAAATCGAAACGGATCGAGAATTCGAAAATCGAATGAAACAATTGAATGAGATAGCTGCTCAAAATATTGAAAGGCAAAACGAGGTAAGATATATTGTAATTAGTGCAATTCAATTCAATTTTTGCAGAGGCATGCTAGAATTCTGGATGAAACTGAAAAGGAATATGACTCAAAAATTGCTTCAAAACAAAGAGAGACTCGAAGGTATTTCGAATTTCATTGATTCTGAAATCAAACATTTTGTGAAGTTCAATTTCAGTTTTATCAACTCCATTCAACAAGCATCAGAAAGAAATAGCAATGAATCGAAAATGAGACAACAGCAGACTATCGATGAAACTAATGAACATTTAAGGTATGCATTTTTATGGGGGGATTCAGGGGAAATTCTAAATCAGCTTTGAAATCAGCGAACTCTAGATTTTACGAGCAAATATATTTTTAATCTAGATTGGCTGATGAAAGAAGGAAACAACGTGAGCAAGAATTGGAAGAATTGCGCGAGAAAACTAGAATCGAACTAGAAAAATCAAGAATTATGTGGGAGGAAAGAAAACGACAATTAGAAGAACAAATGAAATATATGGAACAAATGATGATTAAACAATTATGGAGTATTCGGTTGGAAAATCAATTCACAAATCGGTTGGATTTCTTGAGAACATCGGGAAGAGAAATTTTGAGAAATTATACTGTTCTAATCGAAACTGTGAGTCATGAATAAGGTTTTTCAAAAAAATAAGCTCAATCTGTTTCAGTTGAATATCGTTAAACGAAGAAAAGCAAATGGTAAAGAAGTGTCGGAAGAATTTTACGCTCCAAAAATTCAAGTTCTTCAAATATCTTTGGAATCTGAAAAGGAACTAATGCAAAAGGAATCTGAAAATATTGGAAAAATTTTATTGAATGGCCAATGGGTGTTTTTATATCCAGTTAGAGATTCACTTGATGACATAGTGAACTCTTGTGCAAATTTTAGTAAAGTTTTGTCAGGAGTTGTGAGTTTTTTCGATTTTTCAAAAAACAATTTTCGTTTTTTTTTAGAATCTTCCAAATTTATTGAATTGCATTGCACAGTTAAAAAATGCTCATGAGGATTTATGCTCGAAAATTGACGCGATCCCAACATTTGATCATTTAAAGAAAACAAATAATCAATTCTCAAATCTGGCTATGATTGAAGATGAGCCAAGTCAATTCAAAATTGAAGAAATCGAATAAATATTTCATTTTCATTTACAATATTTGCTAATTTTCAGAACTGTTATCTGATAATCAATGAATATTTTAACATTTCTCTACCTTTTCTCTACCTCCTCCTTGACATTAATGTAATTACGCGCATAATTTTCTGCCTGCATCTATAGCGCAGTCGTGTAAGCGCTTGACTATCACCCAAGTGTTCGTGGTCGTTTTGCTGGGTTCAAGTCCCACGGCAAGCTGTTTGTGAAATTCCAACATTTGACCTTCCAAAAATCAATTCCCATCATTTTTCTTTTTTTCCCTTACTAATACGTTCCTCCAACCAATATGCTATAAAAAACAGACACACATCAATACAAAACAAAAAAAATGCGTCTTGTAAAATCAACAATCTTCCCATTCTTCTCTTTCTCTATTTTTCTCTCCAAAGTGGGCGGGTCTCTCTCTCTCTCAATTTTTCCCGCGCGCGCGTTTTATTTCACAACTTACTTTCTTCTCTTCTTATTTTTTTTTTGAAATTAAGTTGAAAAAACAAAATCCCGATGAGCAGGACGATTTCGGTGATATTTTTAGCCACATTTTTCAGCACAGCTTTAGCCACAGTGAGTTCCTTCCACAGGTCTTTTAAAAAAAAATGAAAAAAAAATCAATTTCAGGTCAGATGCCCGCGGGGTCCTTTCGGCACCGAACTCCAATGCGCATTCGAATGCTGTCAATCTTTAGAAGGTGAAAATCATGGGTATTATTGTTGTGGACTTGAGGAGAAAACCCTGGTGGATAGAAATGGTGTCGACGCTAAAAATCCACCAAGGGCCGATAGATTTGTGGCCTATTCGGGGAATTTGCAGTGAGTTTTTTTTTTTGGGAATTTTTTTCATCGAAAATAAATAAATAAATAAATATGAGTCATTCACATAATAGAAGAAAACGGAACAATTGAATTATTCTGATCAAAATTTTTCGGAACATGAAATTTCGAAGGCAGAAAATTGATAAAAAATCAGTTGTGATCTACCTAAGTATCCGATAAACCGCAACGCTCGACCGCAACGCATCCAACAATTTTCCAGAGTCGACTACACAATGCTAGTCATCGGTCTCATCGTCTCCATCATCATCTCGATCCTCCTCTCATTCTTCTGCTGTCTACTCTGCAACGGCTGCTGGCTGCACCGTCGCCGCAATCCGCAACAATACGAAAGTGTCCACGATCAATCCGGATGGTATCCGATTTGCTGTAAGTCTTCTCTCTCGAACACCTGTTTTGACCGCACCCAAACCAGTCTTTTCATATTTTTCTTATCATGTGTCCAATTAGTGATTTTTTTCTGATTCACTTTTTTCTCGTGGCGGAAAAAATCGACAAATACATAAGTAAAAGTAAAAAAGTAAAAGTATAAGCTGGCCGAGCAAACATTAAACAGAAATGTCAATATTGAGTTACAAAATGGGAGGGGGGTGCTTGAGGGTGAAAATTTGTTGGGATTTTCCAGGTGGATTCGGAATCCCGATGGGTACTGTCGTGTTTTCGACACATCCACCACAATATCGAGAGGAAAGTGAGATGTATGGCGGGTCGTCGATGTCGAGTCTGCCAAGCTCTAAACAGCGGTGAGTTTGAGCCAGGGTGATCTTGGGTTTTAATTTTTTTTTTAATTTTGGGAACCTTGAAGTTTTGAATCTAACTCAATGTTCTCACAGAGTCCGATTCAACCCTGACGGCACACCTCGAGGAGTTCTCAAAAACGGACACGAGGGTCAACATCCACCACCACCACAGGGCTATTATCGAGATTAATAATAAATTGTTTTGTAATATAGACCATGTATAAAATTCACTGTTTTTGCTCATTTTACAAAGTGATTTCTGATATTGTTTGAAGAAACCCCCGGATACGTTCTCAATTTGTACTGCACTTTTGTTTTTAAAAAGTGCCATACAGGATATTGAAGGGGGCGACGATGCAGTTCCTCCAAAGCTTTAGTATAAATTGAAGTTAGATTCTATTAATTTATTTTTGGTATGAAGTCGAACAAATACGTCAAGTACTTTCAGTTATTCTCAACTGGTGTCTCTATTTTTCTCAACACAATTCTCATTCTCCTAATATTCACCAAGTCATCGAAACATCTCGGATCATACAAATACTTGATGATCTATATCTCAATCTACGAGTTTTCCTATTCGATTATTGATGCGCTACTCTCCCCAACCATTTTTTCGCATGGCTCACTTTTCTTGGTGATTGTTCCAACAACAGATAATTTCCTAATCAATAATAAACAATTCATGCTTCATCTCGACTCAATTTGGTGCGGATTTTTTGGCGCGTTCATGGGGGTTTTTGCTCTACAGTTCATCTATCGGTACTATGTCGTTTCAAAGTGAGTTGGTTTTATTGAAAATGTGTGTTTAAAAAAAATATGCCTTTTCTACATAGTTCCATCAAAATCAAGAGTTTCAATGATTACCGGATCATCTTCTGGATGTCAATTCCAATCGTCACTGGAATTTTTTGGGGAATTATGACAGAAACACTAATAGGACCTACTGTGCAAATCGACAATGCTATTGAAAACATTCTTCTCTCTGATTTCGATACGCATATTGAGGATGTAACCTACATTGGTCCATATTTGTACCAAAAACAAGTCGATGGAAGCATTCAAGTTGATATAAAATCGTTCGTGTGTCTCATAGTTATGGTAGCTATTATTTTGCTGTCAATGGGCCTCATTGTTGTTTCTGCCTTCAAATGTTTTCTCGGGCTAAATGTCTATCTAGAAGTTAACAGAAATGTTTCAAAAAAGTACAACAGTTTACAAGTTCAACTGTTCAATGCTCTTATTATTCAAACTTTGATTCCAATCCTTCTCATGCATCTTCCTTGTTTGACTATTTTCGTGTGTGCAATTTTTGAGATTGATTTGGGACATTCGAGTGTTGTAATGACGATTACAACTGCATTATTCCCAGCGCTAGACCCTCTTCCAGTTATGCTAATTATAAAAGATTATCGAAACGCGTTAACAAATATTGTGATAACTCGGGTTGTTCCGGTCAAAAAGAAGAAGAAGAAATCCAGGAATGAAAATGCTACTAATAATTTTTGAATTTTGAAAATTAATAAATTTTTTTGTTTTCTGATTTTATTATCACAAAAACTATAACAAAATCTTGTTTGGTTAAATATTTTCCACCTGTTTATCAAAAAACTCACACATTCTACACAAAACAGCTGAATTCTTTCCCTTTCGTTTCTCAATGAACAACACTGTGCTGAAATATAGTTTTTTGGATCTATTTCAATCAAAACCCGGATCTTTTCAATACGTTCTATTCTGCAGTATCGCAGGCTTTCTTGTAGCCTTGTATTTTTTCACAAGTCTTGTGATCTTCCCGTTTTACGTGTATGTTTATCGAAAAAATTGGCAAAATGATGCGAAGGTTGGGATTTTTAAAAATCACGCTTACTTAAAATTTTCAGTCCTATGTTTTTCCAATAACCAACCATTTTTATCAAGTAGTAGTCTTTCTTCAAATTCTATCCTATTTTTGTGCGGTTTGCGTTCTCTTCGTCTACTATTTAATGTAAGTTCCAAACTTTTATGCTCTTCGAAAAAGAGCATTGCAGAAGTTTACAAATCGCCATAAACACTTCTTTTGTTATGTTCGTATTTTACTACTTGGTAACTTTAATAACAATCTACGTCCAGAATATTTTACTGATAATTTTGGCGTCGCAACGATTCTTGATCTACTTTTTCACAAATCATGAACAATATTTCGTGATCAACGAAAAACGTTTTCGACAACTCATACCTTATTTTTACCTGATTGTCACTTGTTGTTACCTAACCGCCACGTATCAGGATTTGAAATACAGCAACAGAATTTTTATTGAATACTATATGAGTGTTTTTCTGCTAGTTGATGCATCAGTCATTTTATCCTCACTATTCTATATCGCAATGTTAGTGAATATTCGAAGTTTGACACGTGGCACATCGATAAAAACTCGGCCGGAGAAATATATTTTCTATCAAACCCTGTGCATTTTTGTCATGAAATTTGTGGTTTTAATATTGTTGCCTATAGGATTTTCAGTGGATTTTATGATTGAATCGGTAAGTTTTTTTCTTCGATAAAACAATTTCCGATGTTTGTATTTAGACCTACGACTGTGTCTCTTGTGTTGATGTTTTCATAACAACCTTCGTCATCCAATCTTCATACATGTTTTGTAATAAGACCAACGTGACAACTTTGTTTGGAATGAAATTCAGGAACTTGAGAACTTGGTTGGTGTTATGTTGTTGTATCAAATCGGAAAGTATTGTTAGGCCAGTAATGCGAAGCGATATATTTTCGACACAAGGAGGGACAAATTATAGAGTGTCAGATATATAGCTGGAAGCATACGGCTCAAGTTCCATTGAAGTTTGAATTCCGTAAATTTCATAACAATTTTTTTTGCAATCGATGAAAAACAATTTTATTCAATTTCTTCAATTCTAAATTGACTTGGCTCATCTTCGATCATAGCCAGATTTGAAAATTGATAATTTGTCGCCTTCAATTGATTAAATGTTGGGATCGCATCAATCTTTAAGCACAAATCCACATGAGCATCTTTTAATTGTGCAATGCAATTCAATAAATTTGGAAGATTCTGAAAAAAAAAGAAAATTGTTGTTTGAAAAACCCTAAAAACTCACAACTCCTGACAAAACTTTACTAAAATTAGCACAAGAATTGACTATGTCATCAAGTGAATTTTTAACTGGATATAAAAACACCCATTGGCCATTAAATAAAATGTTTCCAATATTTTCAGATTCCTTTTGCATTAGTTCCTTTTCAGAATCCAAAGAGTTTTGAAGAACTTGAATTTTTGGAGCGTAAAATTCTTCCGACACTTCTTTACCATTTGCTTTTCTTCGTTTCACGATATTCAACTGAAATAAATAAATTTTTTTTTTGAAAAACCTTATTCATGACTCACAGTTTCGATTAGAACAGTATAATTTCTCAAAATTTCTCTTCCCGATGTTCTCAAGAAATCCAATCGATTTGTGAATTGATTTTCCAACCGAATACTCCATAATTTTTGAATCATCATTTGTTCCATATATTCCATTTGTTCTTCTAATTGTCGTTTTCTTTCCTCCCACATTATTCTCGATTTTTCCAGTTCGATTCTAGTTTTCTCGCGCAATTCTTCCAATTCTTGCTCACGTTGTTTCCTTCTCTCGTCAGCCAATCTACAATGATTTACATTTTTTTTTGAGTTTCAATCAAAATTATTTGTACCTTAAATGTTCATTAGTTTCATCGATAGTCTGCTGTTGTCTCATTTTCGATTCATTGCTATTTCTTTCTGATGCTTGTTGGATAATGTTGACAATACTGAAATTGAACTTCATAAAATGTTTGATTTCAGAATCAATAAAATTCAAAATACCTTTGAGTCTCTCTTTGTTTTGATGCAATTTTCAAGTCATATTCCCTTTCAGTTTCATCTAGAATTCTAGCATGCCTCTGCAAAAATTGAATTGAACTTCACAAATAACAATATATCTTACCTCGTTTTGTCTCTCAATATTCAGAGCAGTTAAATCATTCAATTGTTTCATTCGATTTTGGAATTCTTGGTCCGTTTCGACTTGTTTTTTAGTTCTTTCCTGCTCGATTTCTTGAAGCTTCTTCTTATAATTGTCTTCACGTTCTTTATGCTTTTCTTCATGTTTTCTATCTGATTCTTCTTGTTCTCGATATCTTTGCCTAAATTTAAATTATTCTTTATATCGAAGTTCAAGTTAAATCTTACTCTCTTTCCGCATAATTTTTCTTCGTTTTTTCTTCCAATCTCCTAAGTCTTTCAATTCGTTCAATTTCTCTTCGTTGTTCTTCTATATCGAATTGACTAACTTCAGTTCGATTCCATGATGGAAAAAATCCTTTTATAGTGTCAATCGTGCCTTTCTTTTCAGGTTTTCTGCAAATTATACTTATAAAATTGTAATTTTTTTGATTAGAATACCTCTCTTTATTGTCTGGTGGGCCTTGCGGTTTGTTATAATCTCTTCCATCCATTTTCAAAGTCTGAAATGAAGATAAAAAAAATATCTGAAAGGTCATTATTGTTTTATGAAGTATATTCGTCGGTTGAAAACCGATTCCATTCAAAAAAAAAACTGCTTCGCAACACAATCTGATTATTCAAAAAAAAAGAAGAAAACAATTATTCTTTTTTAATACTCGGTTGATTGTTGGCTGAAAAAACATCGAATTTGATTTCAAAATTTGCATTTTGTTTTATAAAAACATACCATCTGCATGAGCACTTTCCAGTTTTTTCAAAGTTTCATCAGGTTTGCAAATAATTGAACTCATAATTTTTCCATGTTTATTAATCGCCTCATAATGTCGTTTGAAATTCGTTTTCAAGTTTTCGAGTTGTGGAATATTATTATTTTTGATCGCAATCGTTAGTTTTGTAGATAATTGTTGAACACCACGATATTCTTCTTCGACTGTCGAAATCATATCCTGAAATTTGGTATTGAAAAAATACTTAATTTAACAAAATCACATTAATAGATTCTCTCAAATTCTGGTTTGCAGATGAATAACTATTCAAATCACTTCGAACATCTCTAATACAATCATTTGTCACTCGTACAGCCATATTCCATTCTTTTGTAGTTTCCTGTAAAAACCACAACAAAATTGATATGTTCAATGATCAAATTCGTTTTACCTGTAAAAGATCTCGCGATTCTTCATCATCCAAATCATCCATATAAACTGCAGCTTTTGCCAAAATATCATTTGTATTCTGAATTTCAGCAACAACATTTCTATGAAAGTTATTGGCCAATCTTTTATTATTCGCATTTTCTTGATAAATCACCATTGTTTCAATCGCATTTTGAAGAATCTGCTCTTTTTTCTCATTCTCGAGTTGTTGTAACTCTCTTTAAAAACGCTTTATTTTTGAGAAATGAAATAATTAACAATACCTCAATTTTTCCAATTGTTCTTGTTGAATTTTCAATAAACTTGCTGAACCTTCTCTCAATTTTATTTCATGATTTTTCAATCGTTCAGCTTCTTTTTTTTCAAACTTGTTCAGTTCATCAACTCGTTTATCTTTAACACGACTTTTTTCCTGAAAATCAAATAATTATTCGAAATGCTAAATCCTCTTCTCACCTTTTCAATTTCTTCGATTTTATTTTCAAAAACCTTTTTTTGAATCGCTGCTTCTTTTTTAATGTTTTCTTCTTCAATCTTATTTTTCTCTTCCAATTCTTTTTTCTGTAAAAATATGATCTTGAAAAATTCAACTAAAATTCCAGCATTACCTCTTTCTCAAAAGCAACTTCCAATTCTCGAATTTCCTTAGCTGACTCATTTCCCAATTCTTTTCGTCGTTCCTCATGTTTTTCATTGATTTTCTCCAATTCATTCATATATGAATTTTGTGCTTCAAAAAGTTTGTTTTGTCGTTCGCTATAAACTTGCTCATTGATTTTCGGGAAATCTTAATTTATTAAATCATACCGTATAGAATCCTCATTTTTCTCTCGCAAATCATCCAACCTTTGCTGTTTTTCTTGTTTTTCTTGATCGAGTCGGCTGTGTTCCTCACAGTGAACTTAATCAATTATTTATAATAATAATATCAATAATACATTTTTCACCAAACTTACTTGCTTGTGTACTTTCAATTTCTGCCGCATTGTCTTGTTCAGTTTCATTCAGCTGTGCCTGCCTTTTTTGATATTCAACTTGCTCTTTACTCTAAAAAAAGAAAATTAATTTTAATAGCTTCTACATATTGTTTAACGTACCGGTCCTCCACCCATTTTGAGAGCACGAGAAAATAATGATTTTATCTGATAAACTCGTCTCTTTTATTTCAATATTGTGGGCGGAGAAAACGGTGGGAGGAGTCAAAACCAATATTTTCGTTTCATTTAAAAGTTGAGAATTATCACCATTTTGCCATTAAAGAATCTTGATTGTGTAAGGATGAGTGAGTTTTATGGAATTCTTAATTTTTTCGAAAATATAATTTTACAGGTGACTGGAAAACCAAATTGGAAAACATCAAAAAGGAGCAAGAGGCTGCTGAGCAAAAACATAAAGCGGATTTGGAAGATTTGAATCAACGAAATGATTCAATAACTCGATCGAAAAAGAATGAACTCGATTTTTTGAGAGATGAATCTGAAAGAGAGGAATCTCGAAGAAATGAGAGACATCAACAAATGGATAATGTTCAGACGAAAATGTTGGAACAGCAAAATAATAATCTGCAAAAAACGAATATTGATTATGCCAATCAATTAAGTGAACTCAAAAAATCATCGGATTCTCAAAAAGGTTTGCAAATTTTGCTCGAACCAATTCATTTAATTTTTTTCAGAAAAAGAAAAAGAGCGGCAATTGATTGAGAAAACAACGCTCCTTGAAAATCAAAAAGCTCAAAAATTGGAAGCTGAGAAAACCAAATCAACTTTCAATGTGTTGAGTGAGAACAGGATTGCGGAAGAGAAACAAAATGTAAAAAAAAACAATTTCATTTTCTGATATTTTACATTTTTATAGGTGGATAAACTCATAGAAAACTTGGTGAATGAAAAGGCAGAATTGGTTAAAACCTCGACAAGTAATGAAGAAGCACAGGTACAACAAAGACATCAATTGGAAGAAGAGAAGAATGCTACAGTTTTGAAAAGTTTGTTTTTGAAAAATTTGTATTTGATTCATTTTTTGATTAAATATATTGCAGCGCAAGAACTTGCAAACTCATTCCAAAATCGTGCCTCAATTTTGAATCAAAATCATAAGAAAGGAATTGCATCAATGATTCAAGCGTTTCGAAATGATGAGAGTCAAGGATCGCAAAGAGACAATCTATCTAATATTCGACAAAAATCTGGAAACATCAAAAGAAATGTTATGGTTTTGTTCCACAAGTTTGATGTGCCGATAAAAATGAAAAATATTAAAGGATTGAAAAAATCTGCTAATTTGGCACGGGTAAGAAATGGGAGTTTTGAATTAGAATCGGGCCAGTGTATCTTAATTTTCAGTTGACTATTGAAACATTGGGAGCTGATATTCGAGGACTCAAAAGATATTTGCTGAATTTGGAACAGGATGATGAGAGGAAAGAGAAAGCAAAACTTTCAAATGGCTTATTACAAATTGTTGATGCGACTTTGTCAAGATTCAATGAATATGTTGTGTATCGAGAGGTGAACAATGAATATTGCAAAGTTTCAAAACTATTTTTATGTTTTTTTCAGGATTTGAAATCCGATTCATTTGCAGATTTGATTGAATGCTTGAACGAACTTATTGAGCATACAAATAAACTCGAAGAAATTATCGAATCAATTCCTGATATTGTTATTGATAGCAATTTTGTGAATGTCACATTACAATTGACTGAGCAAATCAGTGGAATGTTTAATTCAGAAAATGCGATTGGAAATTCAACAAAAATTGAGGAAGTTGAGGATTCAAAGAAAGACGACGAAGAAAAATAATTCAAAATTTTGATAAAGTTATTCTACCATTTTTTTTTAAATGTTTTAATGTGATCAAGGGTTAAATAATCCAAAGTTTCCAATATATTTTTTCAATTTCAGAAATTAGTTTGATCCCTGTGGAACCAAAAATGTTTCCCATTTCTCAATTCTTTTTTTAATATTCTAAAGCAAAAGCATTAACTGATAAAACATCTTCCCCTTGCAAACAAACAACTTCCACGTATTCTCCTTATCAAAAATGTTTACTACCTTTTTTTGTGAAATCAAAGAACATGTATCCAGTTTGTTTCAGATGGGACTTTTTGATGCAATTGGTTCAGTAGTTAAGTCGGTTTTTACTGTGGTTGTTGAAACAGTTACGTATGTTCCAAGGAAAATCGTATCAGCAGTTGAAACTGTTTCAGATTATGTATCTGATGTTTGGCATGTAGGTTTACAAAAATATTTTGATACCAAAAAATTCATTTTTTTTGTAGGGAAGAAAAGAGGAATATGAGAGAAGAAGTAGACAATTGGAAGAGGACAAAAGGAAAAATCGAGAAGAATTAGAACAATTGAAAAATTGTGAGTTCATTTGAAGGAAACAAACTTATATTTTATTGATTTTTTTCTAGATCATGACAAGAATATTTCAAGTTTGGATTCGGATATAAGATCAGCATCAAATCGTCTTGAACAACAGAAATATAGAAATCAAAAAGCATTGGAAGAACATGAGGAACGAATGGCAAAACTGAAGAATGACGGTGAAGAGAAGATTAGAAAACTTCAATCTCAAAAAACAATGGAACTTGCGAAAATGAAAAATTCGTCAGAAAATGAACGAAAAATTTTGGAAGAAAAATATGAGAATGAAATTAGAGAGATGATCAGGAAAAATGAAGAAAATCGGAAAAATCAACAGATTGAATGTGAGAAAATTCTGAAACAACAAAGAGAAGAGAAAATCAAGATTGAAAAGGTTGGATGTTATTTTACAACTCAAATAAAACCAAAAAATTCAAATTTTTTAGGAACATGAAGAAATGATGCAGAAAAGATTGGATAATATTGCTGAATTCGAAAAAACACAAGAAGAAATGATTAAAAATCATTCGAAACTTGTTGATAAAAGTCTTGAAGAATTACAAAAAATGAAATTGGAACTTTTGGAATTGCAAAGAAATTATTTACGAGATGAAAATTCGAAAAAATTGGAAATTATTCATCAAAATGTTCAAATGCATTCTGGATATTTGAAAAATCAATGGAGTTCAAAACTGATTCGAGAATTTCAAAACGAAGTTGTGATTTCGATTATTAATGCAAATGAAGCGATGAAACTTTTTCTAGTTCATGTAAGTTACATTTTTTCGGGAAATCAAAATCAAATGATTATTTTCAGGTAAATGAATTGAAAGAAGACGACACAAATGAAGATGCACTGTATTTTGCCATCGAAACTTTCAATGATTGGAAATTGAAAAACAAACATTGTGGAGTTCTCATAAATCAATTTCATAAACAAATGAATGATTTTCAAGGAGCTGATGCGGTATTAAAATCAGAAATGGATTCAATTTTGGAAAAATACGAAGAACTTCGAAATGAATTAGGAAGATTACCAATGCGAATTGAAATTGCGATGAAGAAAAATCAGATTTCCGAAGTTCTCAAACATTCAGAACCACTCAACAAATATTTTGAAATTGTAGATGAAATTATTGTTATAATGCAATCAATTTGTTTGAATCCAGTGGATTTGAAAGCACTTGGCATGTAAATTCAATTTGTTCATGCATTTTTTAAATAAAAATTTTTATTCAACACTACTATAAATTATTCATAAAACACTTAATTTTCCAATTCGTTGTGAACACTCTGAAAATTGTTTTTCGATAATCTATAGATTAGCTACTCAAAAAACCAACCTTGAGAATATTTCTAACAACATTCGATTCAATACTCTTCATTTCTTCTTGAATGTTATTTTCCAAATATTTTACTTCTTCAACTTTTGGAAGACTCAAAAATAATTGAACCAATTGTTTCATTGTTGTTGAAATTGTCTCAATCAAAGGTACAATAGAATTTCGAACTTCAACATTTTCAATTTGATCAATATATTCCAGAATTGTTTCGAAGATTGGAATAACTTCGTCAAGTTGTTTCACAATTGTTTTGCTCACTTCCTTTCGTTCCTCAAAATATTGATCCGCTTTATCGAAAACTGTAAATCTTGAAAGAAGCACATGTTTTTCGTTGACTTGATCGCGAAGTAATTCAAAAGTAACTCGTCTCTCAAGTGATTGTGTCAATGTTTCCTCAATTTTTTCTGCCAACTTTTGTAATTCTTCAAAATGTCTCGCATAATTGTTCAAATTCACATCCGCACTCAAAGCATTTGTCTTCAAATTTTTCGACATCTCATTCGTTATTCTCATCTCACCAACCAAAGCCTCAACACCAATTGAAGTTTCTTCGATTTGTTCGATTGCTCGAATTTTCTCGATTCCCATGTTCTTCAGAATTTCAGCATTTTCTTTCATCTCATCAGTTATTTGTGTTACATGTTTTTGGCGAAGTTCCGTGTATTGATTTTCAAGTTTTTGAATCTATATACAATTCAAATTTTCAGTGATAAAACAATCAAAAACCTACATGTTCATTGAGAATTCTCTCAACTCTCACAGCTTCATCCAACTCATTTTTCCGATATTCTTCAAACTTCTTCATCCGTTCCTCATGTTGCTTCAAGAGTTGATCGGTCATTATTCTTCTAAACTAAAGTATAGTTTGGAAAATTGTTTGAGAATAATGAAGCATAGATTAGATAAGAATCAACTCGTGACTTCCTTTTTGCAAGGAATTCTTGTTGGCTTGTGAAATAATGTGCACTTTTTATCACCGAAAACTGTATTTTGTTCTGCTAAGAAGTACACAAATTGTGATCAGAAATCATTTCTTGAAATCTGAATTTGAAAAAAAAATGAAAATTTCAGATTTAAAACATTATTGAGAACAACATAGCCATAACATTGTTGATTTACAGGTTTTGCAAAAAAAAATCTGTCAGATCACTACTTCCAAATGTTGGTTCTTACTGCACTTTTTATCACCAAACAGTTTTTTTTGAAATGCACATAAACAATTTTTGATTATGAATATTGTGAAATATTTTGTTGCTTATGAGGCAATTTGCAATTTTGTTGGAGAATTTTCTGAGGGTCGATTTAAATCCCAACCTTCAGAGAAAAAAATACGTCTTGAAAAAATCCGCAAACACACGCTGAAAAAATCTGCAAACAACAAACACGACGCGCAAACCCTACAGTACCTCCCGGGAAAAGTGTAACGGGAACCTTGATATTCTCTCACGAACTATAACCCCAGGGAACCCTGAGAATCTCAAACTTCACTTTTCTTTACTAGTCAAATAAATAGAAAAAGTTTATTGATTTCAAATGTTATTTTTTCTAGTGTCTAGTCATGATAACAAACATGAGTATCCATTGAACTACGATACGCCAAAATCGACATCACAATCACAGCAATCAAAAGCCACATGTTCGATTCGGAATCGTAGAAGATTTTACGAAAACTCATCGGATCATCGTGAAAAACATTGTTGTCGATGTTGGTGGCAATCAAGGCGGCTTGCGTGTGATTTTCAATTTCGAAGTCGCGATTTTCCAAAATCGATGAGACTGTGAGTGGAATTGCTGTGTGGCATTCGGAAACTTCCGGGAGAATTATTGAGCTGGAAAAGAATAAGAAGAAGATTTAGGAATGGTTGGGTTTTCTTACGTTTCAGAAGTTTTCTTCTCGCTCTTCACCTTCACAACAGTTCTACTTGACACCGCCGCCACAACCGTCATTCCCAGCTGACTACTCTGCGAATCAGCTGTACTTGGTGGCGGAGCTGGTGGTGTTGGATTCAACACCACATCCTCCTGGAAAATCGCCGGCTCGAGTTGTACTTCAGAAACCGGTGTCGCCGATTCTACGGGTGGCGGTGGTGTGATCACAATTTTTTGCACTTTGATCTTGGGTTTCGGATGATGTTCAGCTCTCTGGATCTTGAGTTCTCTTTTGACTTCTCGAATCATAACCGGTGGCTCGAGTTCCACTGAAGTTTGAGTTCCATCAACATGATAGCAATTGGGGCAACTGCACATTTTTAGAATTCCACAAGTTATCGGCTCATCTCTGTAGTGTTTGGTCTTCCAAACATTGCAATCTAGTGGGCTATTTGGATCTTTGATTTCTTGCTGAGCTTCTTCCGGCTCTTCAATTCTTCGAACTTGTCGCCAATTTGAGCCGAGTGGACGAACTTTTAGTCTAACGTTTACCTGGGGAAATAATGTTTTTTTTTTGGTACCGTAATCCTTAAGCCTAGCTTTTGCAGTTCTACAGTACCCCTACAGTACCTCAGCCTCTTTTTGTCGCATTTGATTAGGTATTCCAATATCGATTTGTATAAAAAATGTGAATCCTGAGAAATGGTTGAGATTCTGGATTTTCTGACGTCATTTTTTTGGGCTGAAAAAATTGGGTCACGCGAAAAAGGTCACATTTTTTTGAGAAAAAATTGAGCCAGATGTTTTTTGATCAAATTTTTTTCTGGTTTAAAAAATGAAGGGGGAGAGTGGAATTTAGATACATTTATTTTTGATAGATCAGATTTTTAGGAGTCTGGAAAATTTTTTTTCGATCCTGAAACCTCTCATTTTTATTTTTTCTGAATTACTGGCCTGAAAATCTCAATTCAAAATCCTAGAACTTTAGCAAGGATCATAAGTTAGCCTAACTCCAACCAATTTTTCTCATTCCCCAAAAAATTCCTCTAATCCTTGTGTTCTTTGCTTTTTCCCACTTTCACTCTCCAAAAATCAATTTAACTGTGAACTGGAACACGTTTTCCCTTCCTTCCTTCCTCTCCTCGAACATAAAACGAGATTTCTCCCCCCAAATCTTTTAATTAATTTCATTTTCATTTCCCAATCACCTCCTGTTAGCCTAACTAAGTTCAGCTAATTTTCCTCCCATTTTCCAATCAAATTCTCATTTTCCAATTTTCTTCCAGAAACTTTTTTATCTAATTAATCCTTATCATTTTACTATTTAAATAGATAATAATGTTTGTTTTGCCTTATCAAAAAAAAAAAAACTGGTATTCTATTTTCAGATAAAAATCAGTCTCTAGATGTACTACTATTCTCCAATTGTCTTCTTGAATTTCTTCTTGATTTCGATTTCATCTGGAACTTCAGCGGAGAAAGATCCATTTCCAATCCCGAAAAATTTGGAGACTGATGAATTATTGTTGGCGCTGGAAGCTGAAGTTACGCGAACTATTCGGGAAGAATTATCAGCTACTGATGATGAGCTTCAGAATCTTGAAGGTTCGGGGAATTATCCAGTACCAACTTCGACCACGACTTCTACGACAACTCAGAAGCCTACAACGACAACCCAGAAGCCTAAAATCAAAAAGCCCGTGAGCCCTTCAAAATGCATCCATGATCAAGAATGCTTCAAAGATGCTGAATGTCCGGGAGGTGGGAAATGTTTTGGATCGGAGCTTGGAATTTGCGATTGTAACGCGTGTGTGACGAATCGGAAGTGTGAAAATGATGGGGATTGTGGAGGATTGAATTATGCTTGTGATAAGGAGACGGGACTTTGTGATTGTGTTAAGGTGGGGGTTTTGGGGGGCTTTAGAAGGGGTAGACTCTGAAAATCGGGTCCAATTTAGGCTTATGTAAAAACTCCCGGATTTTTGAATGATCTGAGAAACCGCTAGATTTTCGGAATCCAGAAGATCAAACATCTGAATCTGGAAATAACTTTTTTTTCTGAATTTTTTTTTAAATTTTGAATTTTAAAAATGATTTTTTCAAAAAAAAAAACAAAACATTTAACTTTGTGAATTTGAATTCTGACGAAAAATAAGAACATATTTGATTTCGGTATCTCAAAAAATGCTCATTTTCCTAACCCACAAAAAATACGTTTCAAAATTATTTGAAAATATCCAGTGAGCTTTGAATTTTCAATAGCAGTGCTGGTTTGAAAACCAAAATACAACAAAAAATCTCTGGAAATCGGGTCCAATTTAGGCTTATGTGGAAAGTCTCGGATTTTTGAATGATCTGAGAAAGCTCTAGATTTTCGAAATCAAAAAATATCTGAAAAATACATAGTTTATGAACTTTCAGATCCGGACTCTAAATTTCGAATCAGTTTTTTTTTTCTGAAATATTTTTAGTGGTATTTTTCAGCAGTTATGATTCAGATATTTCAAAATTAAAAATGATTTTTTTCAGAAAAAAATTGAACTCTGTAAATTTGAATTTGAACTCCGGAAAAATTTGAGAAATTTTTCTGAATTTTTTTTCTGAATTTTTTCCCTCCAAAAATACGTTTCAAAATTATTTGAAAATATCCAGTGAGCTTTGAATTTTCAATAGGCTTGCTTCTGTTGTTTCATCTAAAAAATTCTATTTTCCAGGCATTCCACACTCACGGCTACAACCTCTTCGTCAAAGTTCTCCTAACCTTCTGCCACCAAACAAAATGCACCAAATCCACCAACAATTGTTATGGTTTACCATGCCGTGTTGGCAAGTGTAGATGTCCCTCGAGTTCGAATCCCTCAAGTCTACCAGTTCACTATTTTACAACCGGAAAATAATAATCAAGAAATTTCAAATTCATATATTTTTGAGCGGGTTTTCTAATAAATAAACATGAAAACGATAGAAAATGGTCAATTAATTCACATTTGCAGTCAACGTGGATTTCTGGGCTTCCATGATAGATCGTGGTGTGGCGCTCAGCAAGAACTCGATTCTAAATCGTTCCCGCGCTCCCAGATTCCGACTCGGCTCGTTGATCAGCTGTCGGACGAGACTATCCACACATTCTGCGCGAGCCGTGTCGATCCAAGCGCGAGCTTCCTGGTCGGTTTTGAAGTGCTCACCGGATGACCAGAGCGTGAGCTCGAGCACATTCTTGGCTTTGGTTAGACTGCTCGATTTGTCTTCTTGGAGGAGGAGAGCGCACGCTGCTAGGGCTCGGGAGAACCGTGATCTTAACAAAAGAGGTATTTGAGATGATGTGTAGGGAACTTAGTTACCTTAACTTAATCGTCGGTGCTCTTCCATCCATCTTGTGATGTAATAAGGTGCACAGAGCTCTTAACGCATACCTGCATAACCCGACTAATTCATCCCCTCCACTTTCAATCTCCGCACCCAAAGTCTCTGGCAAAAACAGCAATCTGGGGAACTCATTATACACGGCATTCGAATTCTGATACCGATAAGCTAACAAGAATTCCTTGAAGTTGGTGCTCAATGATTCAACTCCTTCGCCTTGCAGCATTTTCAGCGCTTGCAGCAATTGCAGCAAGATGAAAGAGACGAGCTCTTCGTGATGTGTTCGATCCATACGTTGATTGAGTTGGTGGGCGGCAAGACTGTGGAATGAGCAGAGGTTGAGGCGGGGCATTGCGATGATTTTGGTGTTTCGACCGTCGAGGTTTTGAGTGCCGGTGTCGTAGAGGAACTGACGAATGGCACCGTCGTGATCTTCGATTTCGAGGAAACCGGGAAGGGCGAAGTGGTTGGATTCGGATTTTCGCATGAGTGGGGCGTATTGGGAGCATGGTGCGATCTGCGAAAAATTGAATTTGGTCAAAATCCATAGGAGAAGACAGGGTGAGTGGATATCTCCAGAGTGTTCGCTTGGCAACTTCAAATCCCTTACTGGAGACTTTGGCAGTTCAAATAGGGAAGAACACTTACCCTAAACATAGTTATGACGTGGCAAAGTTGTCGAACAGAGATAATATTTTTTGAATTCAGTTTGTTCGCGTTGTTCAGCAGGGTCTATTTGATAAGTTCAGAACTTTTTTTAAAAAGATTTTCGGAAAAATTTCCATTTTGTCTCGTTGGAAATTCCGATGCTCAAAATTTTGAATTCGAAAAAAAATTCATTTTTTTATAATTTTAATTTTTGAAAAAAAAAAATTTTATTTTTGAAAAATAAAAAATAAAAAAAAATTAAATTTTTTTGTTGCACAGACTGTTCAAATCTTAGATGAACCCGCTGAACAACTCTGTCAACTCAGAATTCACCACATCATAACTATGTTGGCTCTGTTCGGAAATAAAGGGTTTTAGAGAAAATAAAGGGTTTTTCAGAAAATAAAGGGTTTTTCAGAAAATAAAGGGTTTTTCAGAAAATAAAGGGTTTTTCAGAAAATAAAGGGTTTTTCAGAAAATAGAGGGTTTTTCCGAAAATAAAGGGTTTTTCAAGAAAAAATGGTTTCAAGAGCCCGAAAAAGTAAAAAGAACTCCCCAATAACAAGTCCAAAAGTTAGTCAATTTTATCAACTATCTATTATCTGACTGAAATTTCTTAACTTGATGTGGATCTGTAGTTTACAGGAGCTCACTAAGCCTAAGCTTTGAATGCTAGGAAAGCTTTAAAAATTCAATTTTTATGTTTGTGCAGCTCTGGAATAAAGGCTTAGGCTTAGTAAATTTCCAATAGACAAAAATTACTTTTCTTTTTCAGATATTTTTACCCCTATAAATCCTTTTTGTTTTTCTAAAACCCTTTATTTTCTGTAAAACCCTTTATTTTCGGAAAAACCCTTTATTTTCGGAAAAACCCTTTATTTTCTGAAAAACCCTTTATTTTCTGTAAAACCCTTTATTTTCGGAAAAACCCTTTATTTTCGGGAAAACCCTTTATTTTCTGAAAAACCCTTTATTTTCTGAAAAACCCTTTATTTTCTGAAAAACCCTTTATTTTCTCTAAAACCCTTTATTTCCGAACAGAGCCACTATGTTTAGGCTGAGTTGTGCACCCTGGGATTTTCGAAGTGTTCACCCCCTGGGGTCTTGCTAGATCCCTCCCACTCACCATCAAAGTAACCGGATAATCCGGCAACCCCTGCCTCGGCAAATATCCATTATAAAACAACGATTTGCCCTTGGTGAGAATCGGATGCGGCGAGCTGATGCAAAAACTTCCAAAATCCAGCTGAGCCAAGCGATTGCGGCTCACCGGCTCGTCACCGCGTCTACAGTCTTCCGACAATTTATCTGCGACGATGTTCAGTGTGTGCACGTGGGACATTGAAATCTGTTGAAAATGCTTATGCGATTCATCAGCGCCCATCAAATTGTTCGAACTCTGTCGAGTACTTCCACTTGTCAAAACTTGTGTCGGAATGTTGACCGGTGATGTCATTGGTGATGAACTGCTATGCGCGATACTTTCAGCAGACATGAAGAGTGCACGAGTTGGGAGATCTGTAAAAAAAGTGTAAGGATTAGTGATCATAGGTAAATAGATACCTTGGTGATGTTGATCGAAAGACAGATAGCTTAGAGATGGCCGATCATCTTTTGATCGACTTCGTCTAACGTAGATTCCATTGGGTGATTGATCAGCTGTTCGATTGTCTAGAACAGTTCGTCGGCAGTTGCGATTGTTATACCCGCGGATTGATTGATTTCCGAGTCTCTCAACGCTCGGCATTTTAGACATTGGGGCACTTCGCAAAGACGGCAGGATTATATGATGATCCGAAAGTCCTGCTGAAGATCCAATGGGGCTCATAGTCGGAATAGCCAACGGATCATCAACATCAGTCTCCTTAACCCAGCGTGTGGTTGGTGAATAAATGTCGTGCGGTGAATAACCCGGGGTATACGACGCTCTTCTCGATGGCACTTTCACTGGTGTTATCGGAGTTGGCTCGGGTGTCGAACCGGTATGACTCAATGGAGAGTGGTGCAAATCGTTGATGGTGATGTCGGGTGAGCTGTTGCTGTCGGGGCGCATTGGGACCATCGATGGGCTGGGGATGGAGCGAGGTGATGAGTCGCGGGTGGTTGGCAGGAAGCAGTGGGGGCTCTGCGCGGCGGATGAGGCGCTGAGGCGCGAGCGAGCTGATGTGTTGCGAGAACCGGCTGGGCTGTCTCTGGAAAAAAAGAGTCAACTTTTGATTGGGGACTTGCATTAGGGTGATAACGGTTTTTGAAATAAGGTAAGTTAATCACAATGCCGCAAAAATTAGCTGCTGAGCTCCACTCTGAACCACGCAAATGAGCTCCAAAGCTCAGAAAATCTCAATTTTCAAATGAAATAAGTAAGTTTTGGGTATTTGAGTCAAAAATTTTCACGTTTTCACATGAAAAATTGCGTTAATTTTCAAAAGCTGATTTGCGCGGCTCAGACTGAATCTCAGCAGCTGATTTTTGCGGCATCTTGATCAGCTCGTCGAGTTACATAAGACTGTACTTCCCTTATTTCGAAACCCCTTATCACCCTAATGTAGGTCTCTTGTTAAATCTCTTGAACTCTTAGCACGAAATCCCCTCACACATATAGATTGAACTAATCGGTTCGACGACCCCTGAGAACTTCTGAGTTAACCCCCCCCCCTCCCCTTCCATGCAAAATTTTCGAAAAGTTAACCCCCTGACCAAATTTTTGTGGGCTTTTCGCCTCTAAAAGCATGAAATACTCCAAAATTTACAAAATTTAAGTGCCCTATCTTCAAAAATGCCCCTAAGGTTAACCCCCCTCCCTCCGAGTTCGGTCTTACAAAATTTGATCCGGGCTGACTAGCTCATAAGAGTACCAGTGGTCCAAGCAGCCCTTATGAAGCCTCTCCCCCCACTCACCGATAATTCGAGTTCAAACTACTTCGATTCGGCGTCGACCAGGATTCCTGCGATCCACCGCCAACTTTTTGCGACCATCTAAACAGAACCATGATAATAATATTTTCAAAATTGATATCGCTCGTCTAGTAATACTATAATATGTCGTTCAACTCTCGCGGGGCAAAAAAAAACTCGAGGAAGATGTCAAAAAACATACACATACACACACAAGATAGAGAGTAGATGTCAAGTGGATTTTTTTGGGGGGAATGAAGGGTGGAGTCAGAAGAGTAAACATGTGTTATGAATGTTGTATGTGATATCTCTGGTGCAGAACTTTTTTCTGGAGCTCAAAAAAATCGCAAAATGTTCAACTCACCCAACTGGCGGCGACATTGATGTTTTACTTTCAGCCGACTGAAAAATCGAAATTTTTTTTGGTTGGAAAACAAAATGAACTACAATTTTAGCGCGAGCGGGGGAGAAAAGCTCTTGAAGTGAAAAATGTTTGCGTGTGTTTTGTTGTTTTAACTACTGGTACTCTACTTTGGAATGTTGCCAGGTATTTTTGTACAATAACATTGTTGTGCGGGGGTGAGATATGTGGAATAGACCTAGGAAGGTAGGCCTAGGCTTGGGCCTCTGGCCTTTCAGGCCTCTGGGCTCATCTTAAATGTATATCTTCCTACACAGTATTTTTGAAAACCTTCAAAAAATATGTAGCTTGGTTTTGTAAACATGTTTGTTTGATGTGAAAAAAAAATGTTGTTCAATAATCTCGACCAAATTTTGAGTTAGCCTATCTTTCAAAATCAAAACTTTTGGATAGCTGAACATTGTGTTCTGCTTGTACAAACACTAAAAAAATTATTTGATATCATCTTATCTTTATCAAAAAATTCTCTAGTTTTATCAATAAATCAAAAATCTACTTTTTTCAAAAAAAAAAGAATTTTTGCAAAAACTGCTCCCGGTGAGGCTCGAACTCACGACCTTCAGATTATGAGACTGACGCGCTGCCTACTGCGCTACGGAAGCCATGTGAAGCCGGGTGTGTTTTTTCCAATATAAAACTGTTGCTCACCTGAAACCGTTGCAAGATGCGTTTGAAGTCTTTTGAGCGTTTTTCAGCGCGATTTTGAGTTTCAGCTTGAGCTATAAGCTCGGGTTCTTCTTCCTCCTCTTCTTCTTCTTCAGGAGATCCGCCAAGTTGCGAAAGTCGGTGAAAACTTCTGGAAAAGAGAAAATCGGGAAACGTAAGCGATTAATATATCACACAAAATAATAAGTTTCAAAGCAAATTGGCGCAACTTGCGCTTTTGCTCTTAATATTTACACAATTTCGCAGAAATTCTCGCTATCATATGAGACATGTTATACATACATGAATAAATATCAGCCGTTTCCAAGTTTAGACCAGTTTTTTTGAGGGAAATGTTTTTGGGACTTACCCTAAATCTAGTAGTCCAACACTGCGCGGCCGCTCGCGACGTTTACTTTGAATACGTTTCGAGATGTTCGAATCGGAACCTTCTTGCTGGAAATAAATTCAAAATGAAAATGAAGATTTTTATTTGCTAATTGCCACGTCATAGGTCACCTCGAAATTTATTTGAAGGGATTTTTTTGAGAAAAAAAATTATTGTTAGATATTTGTTTTGAAAACTGTCAGATTTTCAGAAAAAAATCAAATATTTGAGATTTGAAAGTTTTGTTGAAAAAATATATTAATTTTTCAAAAAACTTTTGAAAAAATTCTTTTGAAACTCTGAAAATTCAATCAAATTTGAAAATTTTTGAAAAAAAACAACTCTATTTTTGAACTTTTTTTTTTCAAAAAAATTAAGTTCAGATTTAGAAAAACTTTAAAATTTCTGGATTAATTTGAAAACTTTCACCAAAAAACAACTCTATTTTTGAACTTTTAAAATTTCAAAAAAAAAATTCTTTTGAAATTCTGGAAATTCAATCAACTTTGAAAAATTTTGAAAACATTGATTTTCAAAAATTAAGTTCAGATTTTAAAAAAAAAACTTTAAAATTTCTGAATTAATTTGAAAACTTTTACCAAAAAAAAAACTTTTTTTTGGAGTTTTGAAATTTAAAAAAAATATTTTGAAGTTCTGAACCTCTGAAAATTCAATCAACTTTCAAAATTTTTGAAAAAATTCTATTTTCAACAATTAGGAAATTTTAGAAAAAAACATGAATATTTTTCCTTAAAATGAAATTTAGCTGAAAATTAAATTAAAAAGCTTTAAAACCTTTTTCTTAACTGAAAATTTCAAATTTCAAATTTGGGGCTCAAAATTTGGAACTTTTGCTCTAAAAAATTATTTTCCATCTATTTTTTAAGCCTCACAAAACTATTAGGCCTAAACCAGGCCTATAAGGCCCAGATTTTTGAAATAAGCGGGCCCAAGATCGAGCCCAAAACCCTTCCCGTCCCCCAAACCAACCCGCGGAAGAATAGGCGCCAAAGCGAACCGCGGTTCGGGACGTATAATCACGTGCTCCGCAGCTGGCGGTGTCGTCTGTTTCGAATCCTGCAATATACCACAAAAAATGAGCTATTCAACTACAGTACTCCCCAAAAAGAGCACCGCAAGAGCACAGACACTCGAGACTGAACGAGTTGTTTATCAAGAGTTATGTACTACGTACGTGTGTGTATGTAAATATTTATGATGTAAGAAAGAAAATTTGAACTCACCGGCGAATAAATTTTGAAAGCCGAATTTTCAGACATTGCCACGTGTTGCGTCGAATTCGGCGCCAAATTATTGTTCATTCTGCAAAAAAGGAAAACCCGAATTTTTAAGTAAACAAGCAAATAAGGAAAACCTGAATACGCCTAACCTAACCTTGATCAAATAAGGAATTTTTGAAAAAAAATGGCTGGCTTTTTTAAAAAATGATTGAGATCTGTGAGAAAAAAGGCGGATGTCAAAATGAATCGAATCGAATGGATAAATATTAATGAATTGCGCAAATATTTAGAGTGATTATATTATATTTTTTGCCAGTGTGTGTTGCTTTTTTAGATGGATAAGAGGATAAATGTTTATTGATTGGTTTTTTGTTTGGAAAGCATGATATCATTTGATTTAGCTTGAAAGTTGGATTTGAGACCCAGAAGATATCTGACCCTAAAAGCTTCAGTGGAGTCTGAGCAAAAAATAAGCTGTGCTCATTTGGAAGAGCATGTCAATCTTAATTTTTTCGGAAGCTTCTCAAAAATTTATTTGAAAATTTAGAAAGTTGGAGAAAACAGCCTGAAAACAGGAGCCTGATCTCAAACTGAAAATTCTGAACCTTTCACATTTGAGGCTGGAAGTCTGAGCGTTGCCTAGAATTCGAAATCCAGAAGACAATGTTTGGAAGTCTGACCTAACTTCAAATTTTCAAGATTTTTTTCTAGGATCTGGGAAATTTACAAAAAAATATTTAGAAACAAAAGCCACTTGGAAACTAAAAATAAGTTTAAAAAAATCATAGCAAAAAACCACGTGGCAAAATTCATGAAATTTTTTATCTAAATTTTTTCTAGAATTTTTGTTGCTCAAACTTCAGATGGAATTTTTCATCTTGAAGTTCCACGTGGCAAAACTTCAGAAATTATCTTTCAAAAAAAAAATTTCAAAAAAATTATCCTTGAAATTTGTTTTCTTGAGGAATATAATAATAGTTTCAGATTCCAAAAATCCACGTGGCAAAATTGATGAAGTTTCTTGATCTATATTTTTTCTAGAGTTTTTCAGATGAAAATTTACAGATTCCAATTTTTCATCTTGAAATTCCACGTGGAAAAACTTCAGGAATTATCGTTCCGGAAAAAAATTTCAAAAAAATTATCCTCGAAATTTGTTTTCTTGAAGAATATAATAATAGTTTCAGATTCCAAAAATCCACGTGGCAAAATTCTAGAATTTTTATTGCTCAAATTTCAGATGAAAATTTACTGATACTGTATTTTCATCTTGGAAAAATTGTCAGGAAAAGTTGTTTTTTTTCCAAAAAAAAAATCCCCAGATATTTTGATTAGATTGACCCAAACTATTTTGAAATTTTAAAAATCCACGTGGCAAATTTTGAAATAATTTTTTCCCGAAATCCCCTAGACTCACTTCGAAAAGCTGGCATTTCTACTGGCCGCAAATGGCGATGCAGCAGGTTGCGGCATCTTCGAAAAAATCCTCTCCGGCGTCACAAAAATCGCATTGGTTGTATGAGCCGAGATATCGCACCTGCAAAAAATTCGAATTCAGATTTCCAAACTGACAATAGGTCTGAAATTTCACCTGCAAACCGAGCAAGTTCGACTTCCACGAACTTCGGCAACAAAAAGTGTGCAAGAATTGGATGTGTTCATCTTTCCGATGACATGTGAATTAACCCTGAAAATATCTATGTTTAGGTGAAAAAAAAATATCAAGAGAAAAAAAATCAAAGATTTTTTACACGCAATGACCACTTGAGAGCTTAGGGGCGAGAGATTGGGAGACGCAGAGAAGCGCAATGTGCGCAAGCAAAAAAAAAGAACAATGCGCAAAAAAAAAACGCGTCGGAAGAAAAAAGAGAATGAATGAATGGGCAAAATTAACAAGGTAATCTGATGGGCAAATATGTTGGAATATAATAATTCCCAGGGAGGTTTTGATCATGGAATGAAATTCGGGTTGGAGAGGGAATGGTCAGTTTTTTTTTGTGAGAGCAAAGATTTGAGTTATGACGTGGCAAAAAGATTTTGAGGATTTAGATATAAATTTTAGCTAATTACACATTACACAATTCAAAAAATCGAATAAAAAAATATTAAAAAAGAGAAAAAAGAAAAAAAAAAGAAAACGCCTTTCCTGCTAAAAAGCGGGCATGACGAAGTGTCGTTGTTTTTTTTTCCTGTGCGTGTTTGCGTCGTGGTGTTGACACACATTTGGGAGGCGTTTATTTTTTCATTGTTTTTTTCTGAAACGTTTTAGTTTTTTCTTTTTTTTTCAAAAAAATCACGTGACCTAATTTAATTTTTGCAGGGAAAAAAATGTTTCGATCTCATTTCTGAATTTTGCTTTTTTCTGAATCGCTTGCAAATTTTTTTGTCTGAAAGTGAGTTAAAATGCTGTGCTGAAAAACTTCAAAATACCTAATTTCACCATTTCCAGATGGAAAATTCGGCGATGGAACATTATTTTTTTGGCTGCTGGAAATTGTTGATGTTGGAATTTGAGCGCTGAATTTCGAAAATGCGATATTTTAGAAGTTAGTTTATTTTGGGAGGGGTTGAAGATAGTTATGACGTGGCAAACATTGAATCTGGAATTTTATTTGCCACGTGGGGGGGGGGTTATTTTGAAATGACGAAAAATATGGGGTACGCTAAAATTTAAACGCTAAAAAATGTAATCTACATTTTTTAAAACAAATTGAAGGTTCTTAAAAATCTTTCGGTGTGGGAACTTTAAAAAAATCCACAGTAAGAAAAATAAACATCAAAAAGGTCACGTCAAAAATTTGTTTGATCTACTCTGTACTTCAACAAAAAATCGCAATCAGCGTGGAGAAAAAAGTAAAATCAAAACTTTTTTTGTTATCCATCGAACACAAACATACGCAAAAAATACAGGATATATCAGGTGAAAAGTCGAGAAACACAGCACCGGGGAAAAACGAGCAGGTACTTAAGCCACACAAAAACTCTCTGCGCACTCTCTTGCTCTCTAACTGCTCACGGTTATTACTAATTTTTTGTTAAGAAAAACAACTGACTAATTTTTCTATGTAATTCATTTAAAAAAAATTATATCCCAAAAAAATTTATGAAATTTTTAAAATAAAATTCGAAAACCTGACAATTTGATTGATCGGATTTTTTCGCGTTTCAAAAAAAATTGAAAAAAAAGAGATAAAATTGTTGTAAGTTGGTTGGATGTCGACACAAAAATTGTGAACAAATAAAATCCCGAGAGTGGTTTGGGTTTTGCAAGGGAGTGGTTGGAGAGATGAGTAATTTTCGAAATCCCTTTTTTTTTTGACTGATCAAATCTAGGGGAAAAATGATATCAATTTGTAGTGTATTGTCTTGTCTTGAAAGTGCGTGTCTGGGATTTTATATTTGTCATTTTTTTCAAATATGAGTAGCTCCGTTGAAAATCTCCAAATTTTCTCCACAATAACATCGAGCGTTCTCAATACAATTCTGATCCTCCTAATTCTCACCAAATCGCCAAAACATCTAGGATCCTACAAATATTTGATGATCTACACATCAATTTTTGAACTCCTCTACTCGGGCCTCGATTATTTGATCTCACCGATCATCTTTTCGCATCGATCGATTTTTATTGGATTGATATTGTTGTCACAAGAGTTGAGGTTCTGAAGCGAACCCAAACCAGAACAGTTTCTGTTGTTGTTTGAAATAAAAAAAATTTATTACAAAAAACTTCACTGAAGTTATTAATTATTTGATTTTGGAAGCTTGATAACACGGGTTGTTACGATGTTTGATAAGACACATCGATAATCCTTGATGATTAACATAACTGGAAGAGGGTCTAATGCTGGAAATATAGCAATAGTCAGTGTTAGAATAACACTGGAATGTCCCAAATCGATATCGAGCATAGTGCAAATGTAGAGTGTTAGGCAGGGAAGATGCATGAGAATCAGAGGGATTAGGGTTTGAACAATCAGGGCGTAGAATAATTGCGTTTGAAAACTGCTGTAATTTCTTGATAGATTTTTGTTGATTTGTAAGAACACATTTAGTTGAATGAAGCATTTGACTGCGGAGAAAACTATGAAACTTATTGAGAACAAGATGATTGATAACATAACAATCATTGCGATCAGAGAATCTTTGCTGACTTCCACACTTCCATCATCTTGTTGTTGGTAAATGTATGGTCCGACATAGGTTATGTCATCGATGTGTGTGTCAAACTCGGAAAGTAAGATACTTTCGATCGCAAGATCTGCTTGTTTCGTGGGACCAATTAACACATGAACCACAGTTCCCCAAATCACTCCGGTTATGACTGGGATTGACATCCAGAATACGATTCGATAATCATTGAAACTTTTGATCTTTATTGATCTGAAAAATTTTTTGATGTTTGAAAAGATTGGATTAATCTCACCCAGAAACTACGTAGTATCGATAAATAAACTGTAGTGCAAAAACACCCATGAATGCTCCAAAAAATCCGCACCAAATTGAGTCGAGATAAAGTAGAACTTGTTTGTTAGTTGTTATACGGTTATCGATTTTTGAGATGATAACCAGGAAGATTGAGCCATGTGAAAAAATCAACGGAGCAAGCAAAACATCGAGAATCGTATAAACCAGTTCATAGATCGAAATGTAGATCATCAAATATTTATATGATCCAAGATGTTTTGGTGATTTGGTGATGATTAGAATAATCAAAATTGTGTTTAGAAATATTGATGTGCCAGTTGAGAAAATTTGAAGAAAATCGACATATTTTTGCGATTTCATTTTGGATATATCAAATGAAGATTTTGTGAACTTATATAGAGATTTTCGAGGCTTTATTTCAATTTCCTGTGGCTTAGTGTGTCTTAGTGGCTTAGTGTGTCTTAAAATAACTGTATTCTGGGAAAATCGTTTTAAAAACTTATTTTTTCTTGTTTTCAAACTATCAGAATTTAATTTCCTGTCAAAGACTAGAGCCAAATGGTATTCTGAAAGTGCAGGGAACTTTTTTCCAATTTCCTTAACTTGAACATGTTCTTAACGATTTAACGATTAAAAACTCCAGAGATCATGGCTGTTTCAATTTTTTTCTGATAATCTAGGAAGTTAGTTTGCAACTGTACTAGTATCAACCAGGTCGACTTGTAAGTATTGTTCATTTTCTTGGGAAATAAAAGAGACGATGGTTATTTTGAATTGTTTATTAACAAAAGTTCACAGAAGTTACTTTAACTATTAGATTTCGAAAACTTGGTAACACGGGTTGTTACGATGTTTGATAATGCACATCTATAATCCTTGATGATTAACATCACTGGAAGTGGATCTAAAGCTGGAAAAATAGCAACCGTCAATGTTAGAATAACACTGGAATGTCCCAAATCAATATCGAGCACTGTGCACATGAAAAGGGTCAAACAGGGAAGATGCATCAAAATCAGAGGGATCAACGTTTGAACAATCAGGGCGTAGAATAATTGCATCTGGAAGCTGCTGTAATCTTGAGATAAACTTTTGTTGACTTGAAGAAAAACATTCAATTGAAGAAAGCATTTGACTGCAGAGAAAACTATGAAGCTGATTGAGATAAATATGATCAATAGCATAACGATCATTGCGATCAGAGAATATGTATTCACTTTCATACTTCCATCTAATTGTTTTTGGTAGACGTATGGACCGATGTAGATTATGTCATCGATGTGTGTGTCGAATTCAGAAAGTAGAATGTTCTTTATTGCATCATTTATTTGTTTCGTAGGACCAATCAGCAAATGAACCACAATTCCCCAAATCATCCCGGTTATGACTGGAATTGACATCCAGAATACGATTCGATAATCATTGAAACTCTTGATCTTTATTGAACTATAAGATTTGGGGTTTTTTGTTTCAAAAACATTGATTAATCTCACCCAGAAACTACGTAGTAACGATAAATAAACTGTAGAGCAAAAACACCCATGAATGCTCCAAAAAATCCACACCAAATTGAGTCGAGGTAGAGCAAAACTTGTTTGTTAGTTGTGAGACGGTTATCGATTGTTGAGATGATAACCAGGAAAATTGAGCCGTGTGAAAAATGCACCGGGGAAATTAGAACATCGAGAATCGTATAAACCAATTCATAGATCGAAATATAAATCATCAAATATTTATATGATCCAAGATGTTTTGGTGATTTTGTGATGATTAGAATAATCAAAATTGTGTTTAGAAATATTGATGTGCCAGTTGAAAACAATTGTATGAAGTCGACATATCTTTTTGACTTCATGGTCTATTGAAAATGAAAACTGATACCCTGGCAAGGAATGTTCCACAATGTTCCCCCTCGAAAAAAGGTGGGACTATGCGGGTATTGTAGGTCCCCCCTGGGCTTGAAAAAGCCCAAAGGGATTTTGTAAGTAAAAATTTTTAACAGGAGTTTTTTGGGAAAACATTTTTTTTTGAAAATTTTTCGATTCTGAACTTTAAAAATTTGAAACTTGGGTTAGAGTTGACTAAATTACTCGATCAAAAAATCAAAATGAAGCTAAAATGCTATACTTTTAAAGGTATTACAGCTCTGTTGATGAAAAAAATATTAGAGATTAAAAAACCAATGAAAACGAAAAAATTTGAAAAGACCAAAAATTGGAAAAGCATGAAGGAGGCGAATTCATGAGTTCTAGTTGCTTCCAAAGCATTCAGAACGCAAATTTAGGTCTAGGCACACTTTTTCGGAAAATTTGACCGTGGAATATGAGCACTTTACAGTTTTGTAGGCGAATAATCCAGAAAAATGCATCTTGTAGGTGCAACCAATGGTGACCAAGTGGTTAACACGCATGATTATTGAGAAATCAGTCATGAGTTCGATCCCACATGCTTCCTACTTTTTTTTTTCGAAGTGACAACATAATCAAATATGTTCTCAAGGCGTTGAATATGACATAAAAGGTTCTCTAGACTGGTCTCCTTGAAAGAAATTGTCTCAAGGCTTGGCTCCTTGAAGCAAACAGTCTCAAGGTTCGGCTGCTTGAAATACATCACCTCAAGGCTTGGCTCCTTGAAGAAAACAGTCTCAAGGCTCGGCTCGTTGAAGCAAACATTCTCAAGGCTCGGCTGCTTGGACTACATCACCTCAAGGCTTGGCTGCTTGGACTACATCACCTCAAGGCTTGGCTGCTTGGACTACATCACCTCAAGGCTTGGATCCTTGAAGCAAACAGTCTCAAAGCTCGGCTCCTTGAAACAAACATTCTCAAGGCTCGGCGGCTTGGACTACATCACCTCAAGGCTCGGCTGCTTGGACTACATCACCTCGAGGCTTGGCTCCTTGAAGCAAACAGTCTCAAAGCTCGGCTCCTTGAAACAAACATTCTCAAGGCTCGGCTGCTTGAAATACATCACCTCAAGGCTTGGCTCCTTGAAGCAAACAGTCTCAAAGCTCGGCTCCTTGAAACAAACATTCTCAAGGCTCGGCGGCTTGGACTACATCACCTCAAGGCTCGGCTGCTTGGACTACATCACCTCAAGGCTTGGCTGCTTGGACTACATCACCTCAAGGCTTGGCTGCTTGGACTACATCACCTCAAGGCTTGGCTGCTTGGACTACATCACCTCAAGGCTTGGCTGCTTGGACTACATCACCTCAAGGCTCGGCTGCTTGGACTACATCACCTCAAGGCTTGGCTCCTTGAAGCAAACAGTCTGAAGGTTCGGTTCCTTGAAGTAAACATTCTCAAGGCTCGGCGGCTTGGACTACATCACCTCAAGGCTCGGCGGCTTGGACTACATCACCTTAAGGCTTGGCTCCTTGAAGCAAACAGTTTCAAGGCTCGACTTGTTGTTATAAATCGTTTCAAGGCTTAGCTCCTTGGAACAAACATTCTCAAGGTTCGGCTGCCTGAAAAACATCACCTCAAGGCTCGCAATTGAATGTATTTCACAAGAAGCCGAACCTTGAGGTGGTGTATTTCAAGCAGCCGAACCTTGAGACTGTTTGCTTCAAGGAGCCAAGCCTTGAGGTGATGTAGTCCAAGCAGCCGAGCCTTGAGAATGTTTACTTCAAGGAACCGAACCTTGAGACTGTTTTCTTCAAGGATCCAAGCCTTGAGGTGATGTAGTCCAAGCAGCCAAGCCTTGAGGTGATGTAGTCCAAGCAGCCAAGCCTTGAGGTGATGTAGTCCAAGCAGCCAAGCCTTGAGGTGATGTAGTCCAAGCAGCCAAGCCTTGAGGTGATGTAGTCCAAGCCGCCGAGCCTTGAGAATGTTTGTTTCAAGGAGCCGAGCTTTGAGACTGTTTGCTTCAAGGAGCCAAGCCTTGAGGTGATGTAGTCCAAGCAGCCAAGCCTTGAGGTGATGTAGTCCAAGCAGCCAAGCCTTGAGGTGATGTAGTCCAAGCAGCCAAGCCTTGAGGTGATGTAGTCCAAGCAGCCGAGCCTTGAGGTGATGTAGTCCAAGCCGCCGAGCCTTGAGAATGTTTGTTTCAAGGAGCCGAGCTTTGAGACTGTTTGCTTCAAGGAGCCAAGCCTTGAGGTGATGTAGTCCAAGCAGCCAAGCCTTGAGGTGATGTAGTCCAAGCAGCCAAGCCTTGAGGTGATGTAGTCCAAGCAGCCAAGCCTTGAGGTGATGTATTTCAAGCAGCCGAGCCTTGAGAATGTTTGTTTCAAGGAGCCGAGCTTTGAGACTGTTTGCTTCAAGGAGCCAAGCCTTGAGGTGATGTAGTCCAAGCAGCCAAGCCTTGAGGTGATGTAGTCCAAGCAGCCAAGCCTTGAGGTGATGTAGTCCAAGCAGCCAAGCCTTGAGGTGATGTAGTCCAAGCAGCCGAGCCTTGAGGTGATGTAGTCCAAGCCGCCGAGCCTTGAGAATGTTTGTTTCAAGGAGCCGAGCTTTGAGACTGTTTGCTTCAAGGAGCCGAACCTTGAGGTGGTGTATTTCAAGCAGCCGAACCTTGAGACTGTTTGCTTCAAGGAGCCAAGCCTTGAGGTGATGTAGTCCAAGCAGCCGAGCCTTGAGAATGTTTACTTCAAGGAACCGAACCTTGAGACTGTTTGCTTCAAGGATCCAAGCCTTAAGGTGATGTAGTCCAAGCAGCCAAGCCTTGAGGTGATGTAGTCCAAGCAGCCAAGCCTTGAGGTGATGTAGTCCAAGCAGCCAAACCTTGAGGTGATGTAGTCCAAGCCGCCGAGCCTTGAGAATGTTTGTTTCAAGGAGCCGAGCTTTGAGACTGTTTGCTTCAAGGAGCCAAGCCTTGAGGTGATGTAGTCCAAGCAGCCAAGCCTTGAGGTGATGTAGTCCAAGCAGCCAAGCCTTGAGGTGATGTATTTCAAGCAGCCGAGCCTTGAGAATGTTTGTTTCAAGGAGCCGAGCTTTGAGACTGTTTGCTTCAAGGAGCCAAGCCTTGAGGTGATGTAGTCCAAGCAGCCGAGCCTTGAGGTGATGTAGTCCAAGCAGCCAAGCCTTGAGGTGATGTAGTCCAAGCAGCCAAGCCTTGAGGTGATGTAGTCCAAGCAGCCAAGCCTTGAGGTGATGTAGTCCAAGCAGCCAAGCCTTGAGGTGATGTAGTCCAAGCAGCCGAGCCTTGAGGTGATGTAGTCCAAGCCGCCGAGCCTTGAGAATGTTTGTTTCAAGGAGCCGAGCTTTGAGACTGTTTGCTTCAAGGAGCCAAGCCTTGAGGTGATGTATTTCAAGCAGCCGAGCCTTGAGAATGTTTGTTTCAAGGAGCCGAGCTTTGAGACTGTTTGCTTCAAGGAGCCAAGCCTCGAGGTGATGTAGTCCAAGCAGCCGAGCCTTGAGGTGATGTAGTCCAAGCCGCCGAGCCTTGAGAATGTTTGTTTCAAGGAGCCGAGCTTTGAGACTGTTTGCTTCAAGGATCCAAGCCTTGAGGTGATGTAGTCCAAGCAGCCAAGCCTTGAGGTGATGTAGTCCAAGCAGCCAAGCCTTGAGGTGATGTAGTCCAAGCAGCCGAGCCTTGAGAATGTTTGCTTCAACGAGCCGAGCCTTGAGACTGTTTTCTTCAAGGAGCCAAGCCTTGAGGTGATGTATTTCAAGCAGCCGAACCTTGAGACTGTTTGCTTCAAGGAGCCAAGCCTTGAGACAATTTCTTTCAAGGAGACCAGTCTAGAGAACCTTTTATGTCATATTCAACGCCTTGAGAACATATTTGATTATGTTGTCACTTCGAAAAAAAAAGTAGGAAGCATGTGGGATCGAACTCATGACTGATTTCTCAATAATCATGCGTGTTAACCACTTGGTCACCATTGGTTGCACCTACAAGATGCATTTTTCTGGATTATTCGCCTACAAAACTGTAAAGTGCTCATATTCCACGGTCAAATTTTCCGAAAAAGTGTGCCTAGACCTAAATTTGCGTTCTGAATGCTTTGGAAGCAACTAGAACTCATGAATTCGCCTCCTTCATGCTTTTCCAATTTTTGGTCTTTTCAAATTTTTTCGTTTTCATTGGTTTTTTAATCTCTAATATTTTTTTCATCAACAGAGCTGTAATACCTTTAAAAGTATAGCATTTTAGCTTCATTTTGATTTTTTGATCGAGTAATTTAGTCAACTCTAACCCAAGTTTCAAATTTTTAAAGTTCAGAATCGAAAAATTTTCAAAAAAAAAATGTTTTCCCAAAAAACTCCTGTTAAAAATTTTTACTTACAAAATCCCTTTGGGCTTTTTCAAGCCCAGGGGGGACCTACAATACCCGCATAGTCCCACCTTTTTTCGAGGGGGAACATTGTGGAACATTCCTTGTGGGTTATATAGGCATTTTTCAATTTCCTACCGTGTGGCATACTTTGTCTTAAAATAACCGTATTTTGAGGGTTGTGAGAATAGCTCTTCGATATTTTCACTATTTTTCTTGTTTTCGAACTATTAGAATTTAATTTCCTATCAAAGACTAAAGACAAATGGTATTCTGAAAGTACAGGGAACATTTTTTCCCAATTTCCTGAATATTTTTGTTAAATCGTTGATAAACATGTTCTTAACAATTTAACAAATGAAAACTCTGGAGATCACGACTGTTTCAAGTATTTTCTGATAATCTTGTGATCTCATTTTTATTGAAAATAATGTTTATTCACAAGGGTGATTAGAATTGAACTTGATGGTTTGGTCCTTGAGTATTCAATTTGGTTTTCACGGAAACAACACGAGTTGTTACAATACTTGTAATGTAATCACTGTAATTACCAAAAGAACAAACTACACTATACAGTTAGAAATAATCGAAAGCAGATGTTGAGTGAATTTTGTTTCACAAATTCTAAAATGTTTTTAGAAACAGATACAAATGTTTATTAACAATTAGAAGCAATGATCAAAACTTGATTTGCTGTCTGCGTTTTTGATTTTTCGCTTTGTTTTTCACTGGCACAACTTGAGTTGTAACAATACTTGATAATGCACATCGATAATCTTTGATGATTAACATAACTGGAAGTGGGTCTAATGCTGGAAAGATGGCAACCGTAATTGTCACAACAACGCTAATATGTCCCAAATTGATATCAAGCATTGTGCAAATAAAGAGTGTCAAAGCGGGAAAATGCATTAAAATTAGCGGAATGAGTGTTTGAACAATTAATGCGTAGAATAATTGTTTTTGAAAACTGTTGTAGTTTCGGGATAAACTTCTATTCACTTTCACAAAGATGATTAATTTGAGAAAGCATTTAATAGCAGAGAAGATTATGAAACTTATTGAAAATAAGATTATTGACATCATAACAATCATAGCAATCATACTTTCTTTGTTGATTTTTACACTTCCATCTAATTGTTTTTGATATAAATACGGTCCGACGTAGATTATGTCATCAATATGGGTGTCAAACTCAATGAGCAATACATTTTCAATTGCACGATCTGTTTGCTCCGTTGGTACAATTAATGTTTGAGTGAGAATTCCCCAGATAACTCCTGTTATGATTGGAATCGACATCCAGAACACGATTCGATAATCATTGAAACTCTTGATTTTGATTGATCTAAAAAATCATTGAGTTATGAAATTCAACAAAATCAACTTAAGCTCACCCAGAAATGACATAGTATCGATAAATGAACTGAAGTGCAAAAACACCCATGAATGCTCCAAAAAATGCACACCAGATTGAGTTGAGGTAAAGCAGAACTTGTTTGTTAGTTGTGAGACGGTTATCAATTGTTGAGATGATAACCAGGAAGATTGAGCCTTGTGAGAAAATCAGTGGGGCAAGCAAAACATCGAGAATCGCATAAACTAATTCATAGATTGAAATGTAGATCATCAAATATTTATATGATCCAAGATGTTTCGGTGATTTTGTGATGATTAGAATAATCAAAATCGTGTTGAGAAATATTGATGTGCCAGTTGAAAAAATTTGAAGCAAGTCGACATATTTTTTCGATTTCATGGTGGGTATATCAAATGAAGATTTTGTGAACTTATATAGGGATTTTCGAGGCTTTATTTCAATTTCCTATAGAGTGGCTTAGTGTGTCTTAAAATGATATGAAAATTTTTTGCAATAGAGAAAGCACTTTTCATTTCCTACCATTATTTTTTTTTGCTTGTTTTCGAGCTATCAAATTTTAATTTCCTGTCAAAAAACCACTGTATAATAGAAAACAAGTTCTGAAAGTACGGGGAACATATTTTTCAATTTCCTGAATATTTTTTTGGTTACAGTTTGAAATAATCGAAAACAGAATTTTACAGAGATCTCTTTTTTGATTTATTTATCATTTATTTTCACAATTGAAACATTTGGTTACCGTTAAAAATAAACACCAGTGCAGAATTGAATGAATGAAACAACATTTGCCAGTCGCGCCCGACCGTGACGCACAGCCGCACGCGACTGACGAAGTGATGTTTTTCTCAGTCATTCAATTTTGCACTGGTCTTTATTTTTTACGTCAGCCACAATTTTCAACTACCGTTTCTAAAAAGAAGATAAAAATGTTCATTTACAATAAGTACAGTTTTTTTCTCAAATTTTAACTTGATGTCTTCGTCTTTGATTTTCCGATTTGTTTTTCACTGAAACAACACGAGTTGTAACAATACTTGTAATTGCACATCGATAATCTTTGATAATCAACATAACTGGGAGAGGATCCAATGCTGGAAATACCGTAGTAGTGATCACTAAAATGACACTAAAACGTCCTAGACTGATATTGAAAAGTGTGAGAATGTAAATCGTTAAACAAGGAAGATGCAAGAAGAATAGGGGGATAAGGGTTTGAACAATTAGAGCGTTCATTAATTGGACTTGTAAATTGTTGTAAGTTTTTGAAATACTCTTGTTGATTTGAAGGTAGATGTTTAGTTGAAGGAAACATTTGATCGAACAAATCACTATAAAACTCATTGAGGAAATAATTATAGTTAGCATAACTCCAAGTCCAATCATTGATTGTAGATCGACTTGAACACTATTGTCAGGTTGTTTTTGATATAAATATAAACCAACGTAGGTAACATTCTCGAGAAATGTGTCGAAATCGGAGAGAAGAATGGATTTAATTGCGTTATCGATGTTTGCAGTTGGGGGGAGTAACACATGAACAACTGTTCCCCAAATAACTCCGGTTAGAATTGGGATACACATCCAGAAACACATTCGATAGTCATTGAAGCTCTTGATTTTTATTGATCTGAAAATAATTGATGATCTATAGATACTCTTGAAGTTGTGTGATTCACCCGGAAACAACATAATATCGATAGATAAATTGCAATGCGAATGCGCCCATGAAACATCCAAAAAACCCGCATAAAATCGAATCCAGGTAGAGTAGAACTTGCTTATTTTTGATTAGTGGATTGTTTGTAGTTTGAACGATGACAAGAAAAATCGAGTTGTAGGCATAAATGAAGGGTGAGAGCAAACAATCTAGAATTGCATAGAATAATTCGATGATTGAGATATAGATCATTAAATATTTGTATCTTCCAAGATGTTTTGATGATTTTGTGAGAATTAGAATTATGAGAAGTGAATTCAGGAAAATTGAAATTCCAGTTGAAAATAAATGTAAATCGTTAACATAACGTTTTGATTTCATGATAAAGTGAGAATAGCGAGTTTTTTGTTTTTCATAAAAAGTGCATGTTTAATTTCCTGAAAATTTTTTGGCATTGACAGAAAACAGAAAAACAACTCGGGGTGCTGTCGGCGGCGATTCGGCGGCGTTGCTGACCCATTTTTCGGCAACGTCGCCGGCAGCCCCGCGGCGACGTCGCCATTCAATAATTTTCTAACGTTTTCGCTACGGCGATAAACGGCAACAAAGGGGCAGAAGTGTCTCCATCTGGGAAAGGGCTTCGGCGGCGCTCTGCAACGTTGCCTCCATGAGCGGCAAGAAGAGGCAAGGTGTAGCAGTGCATGAAAAAGTGGGAAAATTGAGCGGGCGGGGATTAGCAACAGCTTCGGCAACAAGCGAGCAGTTCGCGGCAACGAGAGGCGGCGTGAGTGTAGCTCTCCCGGTTTGAGTCAGTTTCATCGGATTTTCAATGCTAACATGGTTCTATAATCACAATATATTTATTTAGATAAGTATTATAAAATAAAACATAATAATTGGATAAATAATATACAATTTCAATTAATTCATTATGAAGATAGAATAACGATCGGGTTGGCTTGATGTTGTTGTATTGTCGTTTTTCAAACACGATTGAGATTGATGTGTTGGCGATGGGCATGACTTTGTTTATCTGAAAAACAACAAATTTATTATTATTAAGTAGTCTAGCCACACCTAGGCCAAAATCGTGGGACCCAAAAATCGCTAACTTTTTTCTGTGCAAAAACTGCAAGTTTTCAGTTTTTATACTTCTAAAATACCAAAATTCAAATGTCTTTACAATTGTACTCTAGTCGTGAAACTGATGAGCCGAGGTAGAATCCTCAAAAAACAAATCTTAGGAAAAACTATCGAAAAATGAAAACGTGTTTGGATGAATTGTATTTCGGTGAACTAGCCCTAGATTGAAATGGCAAAAAAAATCACACGAGTTTTGAGGAATTTCCTAGAAAACAGGAAAATTCTTGAAAAAAGGAACAAGTTAACTTTGGTATCAGAAAATTGAAAAAAAAACTCACTTTTCAACAAATTGTCGCAATCATAATCTCTTCCAACATTCTTGAGCAATTGCCAAGTTATCAATGGTTGAGTCGTTGAATGACGTGAAACTGAAAACTTAATTTTCTCAATGTGAATCACTAATTGTATTTTTCAACTAACCTTCTCAATCACATTTCTACTTTTTATTGTGGAATCTTCTAATTTTCTTCGATGAAATCCAACGAAACCATCAATATTTTGCTTGAGACGTACTGAAAATGTTAATATTCATGATAGATTCACTGAAAAACAGAAGAAAAACACAATTTAGGCCGGAAAGAAAAAAAAACAAAAATTTCGAAAATGCTTGATTGTGCAGAATTGCGTCGCAGTGTTGTACATTTTGGCAACGTTGCCCTCTGTCGCTTGAGGCAAACATTGAAATTAAAAATCTGGCGACAAACAGCAACGTTGCTGCTTCTTGTGGCAACGTCGCCACGTGTTGCTGCTCACTTGGCAACGTCGCCTAGATGTTGCCAAACGTGGCAACGCCGCCGAATCGCCGCCGACAGCACCCCGAGAAGTATGATTGATTTCTGGGAATTTTCTAGGAACAATTTTTTTCAAATTTTATTTTCTGAAAATCAATTCAAACTATTAAAAATAAATTTTTCAACACAATATTTGTTCCCGTAATTGAAAAGATACATTCGATGATGTCCAACTAGCAAATGATTCAGAATTGCGTATTTCCGGTCTTCAACAATTTTTTGAATGAAATTTTTGAATTTTGCAAAGTGTTTATCATTTCGAGCTGAATGAATCTGCAAAAAAATTATATTGATCATGAGTTCTTTAAAAATTATGAACATACCTCAATATTAAATTGGCAAATAGTGATTCCATTTTGATCCAATTGTCCATTCTTATAAAAATATGGTAATAAATCATATTCAGCGTACTCATTATCTAGCCAGAGATTCTCAATTGTTGAAATTTTAAGAATATTCTTGATAAAATATATTAAATCAATGTGAAAAACATCAAAGTGTTGATATGTATTATTCAATAAAACACTAGCTGCTGAATATCCATCTGTTGCAGCAATTGCTAATGGAAAATATAAACCGATTTTTGAATACAATTCGTAATTATCCATGAAAATTGGATCAGCGCCAAAGAATTGGGTGTTTTGAGACACATTTCTGTATGCTAATTCAGCGGAGATATCTTTCCCAACTCCAATTGTCACAAAATTCTCTTGCTCTGATTGGGAAGTGTTATTTGTCAGGGGTAAAATTGAAAATTTATCCTCGTCACCATTTTGGAACTTTTCAATTTTCAACAATCTTTGAGCATCTATCAGTGTTTCACATTCCATTGAACTTGCTGGTGATGATTTCCAAAACTGAATGAATGTTTTTCAAAAAATTATTTTTAAGCTTCGATATCAAACTTACATTTTCTGGTGCCAGGCCGAAATCATATTTGTCAACTGCACAATTGTGCCATTTTTCGAAAATGGGCAAAATCGGTGCGTTTGCATTTGTTTTGGAAATTAGAATATTCAGCATTATGAAAATGGTAAAAAACAACATAATTATCGAAATGATAATTTTCTTTCCTATTTTCATTTTTGAAAAATTAAGAATTAGAATATTCTGAGAAGCTACAGTAGTCAAGAGAAGAATGTAGAATGGGAGTATTGTGTTCTATTTATATGCCAAAAACTTCAAGCTGTTCGATCTTTTGATCGATAAGATTTGAACGACACAATCTTCTTATGTTAGATATGAGTGAATCTGAAATTTCAACAAGTTGTTTGTTTTAATCAAAACATTTTCCAATTTTTTTTGGAAAAATATTTTGTTCCATTGCAAAAAATCACTGATTTGATTTCAAAATCAGTTTGAAAAAATGGTTTATCACGATCAGTCCTCAGAGATTTTTCCCGGAGATTTGCGATGTATATCTTCAGAAATCAATTTTTTTCGGACTGAAAATAGTTTTCGCTTTTTGTCTGACTTCTGAAGACAATGAATGAAAGCAAAAACAGCATTTCTCAATCGAAGAAACAAAAAAATAAAAATAAAAAAAGTGCTCAGAGCCGTAGTTTTATGGGCGAGGATGGAATAATGTTCTGGTTGCTTTGTCATTTTTTCCCCTCCGATATTTGGAAACTCTGAGATTATGAATGTATGAATATAAATATAAATCAGAGAAACATCTAGAAACTTGATTTCCTGCTTTGTTCAGATATCTGATATTTTTTCGAATATAAATATAAGATATTTTGCAATCTGAAAATCATTCAGAAAATGAGAATACTAATTGCGATCTTTTTGGTATCTTCGCAAATTTCTGCTGAACAAATCGGAATTGAAAAATATTTCGAATGCATTGATATTCACGACTCATTGTCAGATTTTCTTGATATTTGCGGTAAAAACATCCGAATCTACAGAACTAGACAGAGAACAATGAATGCTTATACTGCATCATCAAGAAATGAATGGTTTTTTGATCTGAATCTTGATATTCCAATAGACACCCTTCTAAATTCCAATCAGTTTTTGATGGTTATGAAGGATGCGATCATCGATGAAGTTACAATTTTGGAATTGGGCGATCTTGACACAATTTTCATTCATAAAAACATATGCGTTTTTACTTTGGATTTAGATTTGTTGCCAGAAATCGAGGAATATGTTAGGCGATTGATTCTTGATAGAAAATTTGTTGTTGTTTTGAGAAATCGTGAAATTGTTTTTTGGAATTTTAACAATGTTAAATGCTTGCAGAATGAATAAATCAAACTTTATTATTTTTAGAACTAATGAAATCAACTCATAAAAGCTTGCAAGTCTTTAATGGTTTATGGGAAACAGTTTTGTTTTTGAGTTTCAAATTCGTTTTCTCTTGTTTTCTTGGTGCCCACGTCACTTTGTGTTTTCAATTTTTTTTCAAAATTGCGAGGCGGCACTACAAAAACCATTTTTTTCTGCCGCTACTATAGATTTTGCTTTCGATAAAATCGAAAATTTTTAGGAAGCAAAATTTTCAGTATGAATTTTCATACTACAAAAACGTTCTTTGGGATTTCATTCATCAGTAGCTCTTCATAAGGCAGACAAAAAGCGAAAATAATTGATTTTTTGGAGAAATTTTACGAGCGACATCCTAGAATCAGAAATGAAATACATTTAATCCCTCACAGATTTTAAATCGGACCAGAGAAAGCGGGCCAGGTCCTGGAATCTATAAATATTTTCCTTGATAGATTTGTAGTGGTGTCTTGGCTTATTACTAATTTTTGATTTTCCCTCATCTTTTGATTTTGCCATCTTCAAATTTCATTTGCGAAATAATATTTGACCTTGTATTTGTGATCCCTGACACCTCTTGTAATCTTTTCATCTCGACCAGTCTATGTTTTTTTTGCTTCACCTTGTTTTTTCGATTTACGATCTTTATCTCTTCTAATGACGTTTTCATCTTGACCATCGTCCACATTTGTCTAATTAAATATAAGTAGAATGCTGTCTGAACTAGCAGTTGATTATTTGATAGGATCAAAGATGGCGTGAACACAATTTTTTATCATGACAACCGATTTGCTGAAAATGTAAGATCTCACTGAATCAACCAATTTCGACAGTTTTTGGATATACTTTATCTTTTGACAACTTTAATTGATTGTAATTTACAGTTTTTCGAAAAAAATAAAAATAATTAATTTTTTCAAAAAAATCAATTAATGCATCCTGTTTATTTGAAGCTCTTTGTGGAATCATAGTCTTCTTTTTCAGATTTTTCCGAATTTGCATAACTTGGTAAATTTGTTAATGAACTTGTATTTGAATCTTCATTAGATGAATAATCATCAAATACATTTTTTATTGATAACCTCGGACCATAATTCAGTTTAACTCCTGTGAAACAAACATTTGGCATACATTTTATTTTACAAATTAAAAACTTACTATTAGATGTCATTCCAATTTGTTGACATTTCAAAAATCGACATAATTTACATACGAATTTTTTGTATCTACCAGCAATACAATCCTGATTCTCTTGCAAGCATTCATATTTCTTATTTAATACAATAGCTCGTCTGAAAATGTGACATCATTGAAGTCCACCAATTTATTTATTTTGTCGGATGTTACCTGAAAAAAGCAGCGCATGCTCGACAAGATATTGCTCCAAAATGCATTTCTTGTGATGTTTTTTGACAAACCAGACATAGTCTATCTTCTACTTTTGCGGTATCCATTTGCTGAATGAAAACCAGAGTGTGTGAATGTGTCGGAAATGTCGGAAAAACGGACAATTTATACAGTATCGAAAATTAATCTTGATAAATAATCGAACACCTAAAGAAACAAAAACATTTTCATTTTTCCCCCCAACAAATCAATAATGGGTCTGCTTTCTGCTCAAACGCTTCTTGTTTCGTTTCTCAGATTTGATCTGAAGATTATGTACTATGGAAATTGGTAAAGATCTTTGCGTACATTTTTTTAAGAGAAATAATGCCGGAATGCAGGTGAAATGAGGAGAGTGCAGAGAAACTCAAAATTTCATTTAAAGTATACTTGCGGTTCGAATTAAAAATTTTCAAACCGCTGTCGCTAGTCTCTGAATCTGTGCTGAATGCAACAAATCTCCGTCCCAATAGTTGCGACAAAATTTTTCAGATGTTCACATTTTTGATCTTATACGTGAAAAATACAAATGTTGTACTTATACGTCGAATGTTTTTTTTTTCTGAGCACCGCCTGAAAGAGTTTCTCCTGTCTCGTTTTGCTAGATACCGTAATTAGATTTTTGGTTCCTAATGAGGACGAACCAACTTTATCTAAAAGATACATCTGAAGTAGTGTAATTTCGAACTTCACACCCCCGCTAAAAATTACGCACAGAGAGAAAAAATCGACAGCATTTCATTAAATTCCTGTCTACGTTTTTGATTGGCCCACGTGAATAAGCCACGCCCATTTCATTTTTTCATTTTCAAAATTTATTTTATTTTCTTTTTTTGGTCGCCTGGCCTATTTTTTGTTGTTTTTCCGCGAAAATCACGATTTTTCGCTAAAATTTTTTATACAGTTTTTAGAACTCGTATAGATAATTGTTCCTATAGCTTTATAATTTTTAGTTTCGCTATGTTCCGAAAGTTTTAACGATTTTTGTTCAAAAATTCTCAATAATTGCTGTTTTTCCAGTATTTTGGGTACAAATCCTTGTCATAATCCACCAGAAAGCATTCAAAAGTAACGAATAAACTGATTTGATGATTTGGAGTCGATATTGAGGCAGTTTTTGCAACAAAAAACCCACAAACTGATATTTGGAAAAAAGCGGAAAAAATAAGAATTATCACCGATAATTTGTCAAAATTCAACGGTTTTGTGTAGTTGATATGGTGCTAATTTTTCCATTTTTGATGAGTTATATGGGAAACTTGGTTTCATTTTCAATAAATTTTTATTCAAAATATTTCAAGCATGAAAAAAATCCGAATTTTGTGTCAAATGGAAGACTAGAAGCATCAAAAAACTGGCTTCCATCAACATGTCGAAATGAAAACTTTAAAAGTTCTACATTTTCTCAAATTTGACCAAAAATCCGTTCATCTTGTCGTTTTCAACTGTTCGCCACATCCACGTCGCATTCCTTCGTAAATTGGGGAAAATCCGTTTCGATTTGCTGGAATATCACTTATATAATACGATTTCATAAGAAAATAAATCGCGAAATAAGTATCGAAGTTGAAAAGATTTCAAACAAAGCAAAAGTTGACCTAATAAACATGTTTTTTCTTATAACTTTGTGAGTTTTTCACAAAATATGAAAATCTACATATGTAAATGATCCTTAGTAGATTCCTAACAATCTGCATAAAAAATATTGTGGAAATTTGTCTTCCCTCGCTGAAAAACTGTAAAAAACTGAAAATTCAAAAAAAAATTTCGAAAAATAAAAAAAGCGTCAGCAAAAACAACAAACGCGTCAGTATTCACGTGACCCATTTCTTGAAACCCCGCCCACAATCGCTGATTGGATGACGTGATTTTTGTCGATTTTTTCTCTCTGTGTTACGGCATTGCCCAAAAAATCGATTCAAACAACCATCTAACAAGGAACCTTCATTAGATTTTGAAAATCCAAAAAGTGCTTATGTTTTACTTATTTTTATAACAGGATTTGTGACAATATTTGACAATGCCAACCGATAATCTTTGATTATCAACATAACAGGAAGTGGATCTAGAGCTGGAAATAATGCAATAGTCAGGGTTAGAATAAAACTGGAAAGGTTGAAATTTAAATCGAACATTGTGCACACATAAAGTATCAAACCAGGAAGATGCATGAAAATCAGAGGAATTGTGGTTTGAACAATCAGAGCATAGAATAACTGCATCTGAAAACTGCTGTAATTTCTTGATAGACTTTTGTTGACTTTGAGGAAGATGTTTAGTTGAATGAAGCATTTGATGGCGGAGATAAGAATGAAGCTGATCGAAAATATCAGGATCACAAACATAATTGTCAGAGCGATCAGAGCATTCATGTCTATTTTCACTGTTCCATCAACTTGTTTTTGATATAAGTATGGACCGATATATGTGATATCCTCAATTTTTGTGTCGAATTCGGAGAGGAGGAAGTTCTCAATTGCATCGTCGGTTTGATTTGTCGGACCAATAAGATAAAAATCAACAATTCCCCAAATCGCTCCGGTTATGACTGGGATTGACATCCAGAAGACAATTCGATAGTCATTGAAACTTTTGATTTTTATTGATCTATGTAGAAAATTATTCATAAATCGTGCAAAATTTTTTTGAGCTCACCCAGAAACCACAAAGTATCGATAGATGAACTGAAGTGCGAAAACACCCATGAACGCGCCAAAAAATCCACACCAAATTGAATCAAGATAAAGTAGAACTTGTTTGTTAGCTGTGAGAACGTTATCTTTGGCAGAAACAACTGCTAGAAAGATAGATCCATGAGAGAATATGATTGGTGAGACAAGAACATCGAGAATCGAATAGATGATTTCGAAAATTGCGATATACACCATCAAGTATCGATACGATCCGAGATGTTTTGGCGATTTTGCGATGACAAGAAACACTAGAAGGGTGTTGAGGGAAAGAGATGTGCCAGTCGCAAAATATTGAAGGAATTCGACGAATTTCTTGAACTTCATTTTTGAGCAATCAAGAATTGTTTTGACTGGGAGGGGTTAGAAAATACATATGGCAGTAATTTCCTTTCCAGACAGAAAGGGGTAGACAAATCTGTACTTTTGGAAAAATTTAAAATAGACAAGTTCCAAGAAAAGATTTTTTTTCAATTTCCCCAATAACAATAATCGAGAACATTTTTCGATTCTCAGTTGGGGTTTTTTGTTTTCGAAGATTTTGTAGAGTACATAATGTAGCTTCAGCTTTTCTAAATTTAGTTAAAGTTCTAGAGAACGTGCAATTTCCGGTCTGTCATGAAAGTGCCTATAAAAAACCTTTGATTTTCTCGTTCGAGCCCATAAGTTAGAAAGTTTCATAATCATAAAAGTTTTAAACCAAAAAATCACTTCACATTGTTATTATTTGTAACAAGAGGAGATGGTGGAAGGGTTTCCTTGAGACTCAAATTTGATAGATCTACTGTCACTGCTGGAAGAACAATTGATCCTCGACGAGGTTGAGCGGAATCAATCGATAGACTGCTGGAAAAAACATAATTGTCTTGGGGGAACCCAAAAAAAACCGGACCTTCCAGCACCGCTCAAATGTGGACATTTGGGTTCGGACGAAATCGAGCAGGCACTTCCGCGTCTACTCTCACTTCCCATCGTCGCCACAAAACTTCCACGCCTCGGCGCCGCTCTCAATCGATCCACCACCGAGCAAATCAGCATTGTCCACGCACGACACGCCTCGGGGAATCCACGAACACAATCCTGAATCACGACAATATCCACGAAATACTCGCCCACTTTTTCCCAATGCGTCGATTTGAAGCCGTACTTCTTCAGATACGCGTGATTCTGTCCCAGAGTGTCGAGATGAGCCAGGATTTTTGTGGGATCTTGGTCGAGACTCTGGACGACTTGGGAGACGAGTGAGACGAAGAAGTGGGTGTGATCGCGGAGGGTGGCGATGGAGCCCGAGCGGCGACGATCGCAACGTTCGTTCATTGAATCGACGAAGGCGGCGTTGTAGAAAATGTTGCGCACAGCTTTGTCTTTCTGGAATTTTTTTTATTTTATGGTGTATTTGGAATTTTGCCACGTGGAGTTCTAAAAATTGCCACGCAGATTTTTGAGGCCGGAAAATTCATTGAAAAAATTCTGAGCACTTCCTTCCGTGTGCACAATCTCATGTGAGAGAGAACGAGAGAGTAAAATTGGGAAACTTGGAAAATCGATAGTTCGGTAGAGCGCGTTTTGCATTTTTTTTAATTTTTGAATGTATAACCTAGAAATTGATAACTCAGTAAAGCGCAATGCTGTTTGTTTTTCTAGAAAATCAATATTTCGGTGGAGCGCACTTGCAATAATTTTTAGTGTCAGACTGCAAGGCGTACTGTAACCCAAAATGCTATAGAATTCTGTACCATCACCTAACCTACAAAAATTACTGTAATTCAGGATTACTGTACCTCAAACTGCAAATCAGCCTAAAGCTATTCAGAGCTGAAGATGTACTGTAAATAGATACCAAACTACAAAAGTTACTGTAATTCAGGATTACTGTACTTGCAAATAAGCCTAAAGCTATTCAACGCTGCAAAGTGTACTGTATAGATACCAACCTACAAAATATACTGTAACTTGTCAGGATTACTGTAGCTCAAACTGCCTGCATTTTTCTATTTAACAAATTTTTTTCGCTGTGAAAAAAAAATGAAATTGAATTTTTCAAAATTCTGAAATCTTGCCACGTAGAATTTTGTGTAATTTGGAAAATGTTCACAATTTTTTCCACGTGGCTTTTTGCTTTTCCATGTCATGTGAATTTTAAAAATTCAAATGAAAAAAATTCAATTTTAGCTTCGGGAAAAAGGTTTTTGGTCCCAAAATTCTTTCTTTTGAACTTTTTTTGCCCCTGAAAAGTGCACTTAACTCAAGAAACCAGTTTAATTGAATTAATTAACACTTTTTTTGAGTTAGGCTAACTTTGAAATGAAATGTGTGCTTTGCTACCCACCGTATCAATTTTCTCCCAAACGCGCTCCACCAACGACACAATTCCTCGACAATTCGATCGTGGCGGTTCGCACAATCTTGCCCAAGTCATGCGAATTCCCCGAACTTGCTCGTGCTTCAAATTCCACGTGGTAGCCTAAAACATTTCTAGCTTTTATATTTCAATCAAGAATTTTTGGGACCAAGAAACTCACCAGGGTGACAATTTTGATACTCGGCGCGCTTCCACTTCGCTTCCTCAATGGCAGGTTTGGAACACTGAGACTATTCGATGTGGAGGTGGAAGGTGAACTGGTTCGAGACGATTTTTTCGCGCCATTTTTAGTGGCGGGGGAAGTGGCGGAGTTTCGTTTCTTGTAGAATCTTGTGGTTCTAGCGGCACCCATCATTTTTTTCTGAAAAAATGAAAATTTTCATTTTTTTTTGTTCCCCGTCGAATTATTCATGAAAAACACACAGAGAGACAAAAAAACAAGAAGAAGAAGACGGGGAAAAAGTTGAAGGAGCAAGCAGATAACGAGGTTTTTTTGGTGAGCATGAAAAATTGTCCCGTGGGATTTTGGCGAACCAGACAAAAAAAACATACACATTTCGGCGGAAAATACATACATTTTTCTATAGGAATTTTCATAATTTTATAAAATGAGCAATAGCAAGAGCAAACTATAAACTATCCGGGGCTCGCTGAAGAAGAGCAAAAAGAGCTACTAGTAATTGAAAATGAAAATGAGATGTGTGAAAATTGACACTTTTTGTTTTTTGAGTGGAGAATGTGGCACAATTTTTAGACTTTTAAATTAGAGGAAAAATTCCACGTGGCGGGGGGAATTCTGGAATTTGAAAAAAATTTTAGAACACATTTTTACATTTTTAATTTTAAGATAAATTTTCCAATCACTCTGGTTTTTCAAAGCTAAAATTCCACGTGGCGCGTAGAGTTCTAGATTTTGAAAAAAAATTTTAGAACTTATTTTTACATTTTTAATTTTCAGAAAAATTTTCCAATCACTCTGATTTTTTAGAGCTTAAATTCCACGTGGCGGGTAGAATTCTGGAATTTGAAAAAAAAAATTTTAGAACTTATTTTTACATTTTTAATTTTCGAAAAATTTTCCAATTCTGATTTTTCAGAGCTAGAATTCCACGTGGCAAGAAAAATTCAGATTCAACGAAATTTCAGAATTTTTTTAAAAACAAAAAATTCCACGTGGATTTCATTTATGAAAAAAAATAAAATTTTTCCGTCAAAATCCACTCTGAAAAAATCTTCAAAGATTTTCAAATTCAAAAATTCCACGTGGAGTTTCAAAACTAAAAATTTTCAGAAATTAATCTGAAAATTGGCTAATAAAAATTTCCAGTTAAAAATTTCTTTCCTCAAAAATCCACGTAGTTCAGAGCTCAAAATTCGAGCCAACTTTGAGCTTACTCAAAAAAAATTCGAAATTCTCAAACTCAAAAACCAAAAAAATAGTTCAAGTGGAAGAAAATTCTGCTTCCAGTCTGAAAGCACCAAAAAATAAAATAAAAATAAAAAAAACAGAAAAAAATTGGCCATTTCCTTCTGCGAAAATATAATTCAAAAAAAATGAAATAAAAAACACTTCTCAAGGGAGAGACCGAAAAGGCAGGAAAAAGTTGAAACAAAATTTCCGTCCAAGATGTTTGGTCTGCGCGGAGAAGAATTGGATGACACTTTTTCTATCTCAAATAGGCCACGCCCATTTTTTACGCCATCTTGAAAATATATATCATTTTTTGAGTGAGTGACAGAAAAATGATGGACAATATTTCAATCAAAAAAAATCATAGGCCTCTCCGATTTGCTCGAAAAAAAAACAAAAAAAATTCGTGAGATTGGATTACTCGCTTTTTGAATCTTATTTGGTTAGACATGTGATGTTTATTCGGATGAAAACAAAAAAAAGGAATAAAAATGAAAGAGGATTTCAAGTTTCGCTAAATTGGAGCAGAAAACTTCGAGCTTTTGGGGTACAACAAATCAATTTATATAGAAATACAAAACACAAATCAAAATTTCAACAATCGACAAAATCAACATCGCAAAATCCGTGCGCTTTCTCGCAAAACGCTCATAAATCTCATGCAAAATCGCAGCAGAAATCAAGGCGAGTCCAGAAAACACCGTGAAATTGTGACTATAAAATTCGGCGATGAAATACAACGGCCAATGGATGAGATAAAGTTTGTAGGAGAAATTGTCGAGGTAGAGCAAGACGCGGTTTTTTGAGAGAATTTGGAGGTGATGGCAGGAAAATGCGGTGAGGAGGCATACAAGGATTCTGGGAGAATTTTCGGATTTTTTCTGAAGATTCAAGAAAAACTTTTACCTCACCCAAATCTTCACCATCGATAAATCCCCCGGGAAAATCAACACCAAACTCATAAAAATCCCCGAAAAAATGCCAACACGATTATATCTATGCTCCAAGAGATTTTGAGCCAAACAACCAATCAAAAACTGCCACATTCTTCCTTGAAACTTATTTTCGAAATAACTATCATCGCTCATAAATTGAAAAGAGAAGATGGAAATTGCGATAAAGCACATTTGGATGAGTTTTGGGTTGTTGAGAAGGATTAGGAATACAATAAGGGCGAGGCAGGCACACTAGAAAAATTCAGAAATTTTGGAAAAATTTGAGATGATACCTGCACAAGCACTGAAATATAAGACAACTGTGAAAATGGATTGTGAATTTCATCGTTTGATTGGAAAAGTGACGATTTGACAAATGCGTTCCAATAGACAAGTTTCTTCACCACGTGGAATTTCATAGCCATTCGAGTTAGCAAAATTGTGAAATAGTAAAGAGGAAGATAGTTTCGAATGCAAGAAGTTATCAGAAATCGGAATTGGGTGATGAGTGTGGTTGAATGGGGTTTTTTGGTTGACATTATTGACATTAGGGTGTAGCCGGCGAGAACGAAAATTCTGAATGTTTTGGATTTTGCTGGGGAATTTGTGACGTAATTTTTTTTTGCAATTTTTTTTAGGAAAAATTTGGCCATCTGGATTTTGAGAATCTACATGAAATCCGCGTGTCAGAAGTTCAAAATTATTAGAATGTCAGTTTCCAAATTTTGAGCCGAAAATCCACGTGGCAAAATTTAAATTTTTGCTCTGAAAATTCGTCTGAAATCGACGTGGCATCAAAAAAAAATTAAAATTTAGTTTTTTAAATCAAAAAAGTTTGTCGAAATTCCACGTGGAAGAACATCTAGATTTTTTGACAATTTTGGTTTTGAGAACCCACATGAAATCCACATGGCAATTATGTTTTTTTACGCGAAAAATCCACGTGGCATCAAAAAAAATTCAAATTCAGTTTTTGAAATCACATTTTCATGTCAAAAATCCACAGAACATCTAAATTATTTTTTTGGAAAATGTGCTTAAAAATCAACTTGAAATCCACGTGGCAGAAGTTCAAAATCATGTTTTTTTGTCGAAAAATCCACGTGGCAAAACTTTCATTTTTGCTCTGAAAATTTGCCTGAAATCCACGTGGCATCAATCAAATTTTCAACTTCCAAATTTACAAAAATTCACATTTTTCGCAAAACCGTGGCAGAAGTTCGAACTTGCGTTTTTGTTGCGAAAAATTTGAATTTCCGCTCTGAAAATTCATCTGAAATCCACGTGGCATCGATCAAGTTTTCAACTTCAAAATTAACAAAAATCCACATGGCAGAAGTTCAGTTTGTGTTCTAAAAATCCACGATAATTTTCTGACCAGAAATCCACGTGGCAAATTCTATCTTGAAGCTGAATTCAGCTAAAGCTCAAATTTCAGCCTCCAAAAAATCCTCCACGTGGCTCCGATTTCTCTCACAAATTGCTCGGAAATCCACGTGGCAAATTCAAAAAATTCCCAAATCCTTCGAAAACTCACGAATCCACGCCAAGAAATCCATTGGGCACCAAATCCTTGAAAAAATTGTTGAAAAAAATGGCCGAAACCGAAACCGTCAATATTCCATGCATGATTGGGAGAAGAAAATAAATTGAAACATGAAAAATGTGGGTCGATTTTTCGACAACACGTTGTAAATTATGATTAGAATCTGAAATCTCTCAAAAATCTTCTCGAAAACAGTTCAATCGTGCGCTAATTATTATTTATTTTTCTCAATTTTCTCTGGTCCAAAAATAAACATTTTTTCTTTTTTTCATTTTTTTTCACGACCAGAGAAAATGGCAAAAAATGTTTTGATTCGTGACTCATCCTCGTCACTTTTTATCACATTTTTTTCGATTTCGAAAAAAAAATGAAAATAAAATCATTTTTCTCTTGCCTCGCTACCTTGTGACAAAAAACAAAAATGGCTTCAAAAATGAAATGTGAGATTTTTTCCTTTTTTTATTTTGAAAAAAAAATCTTTGAATTTCAGGTCGAAAAAAGACGGAAAAATCCGAATCTTCGTTGTCGAGCAATTCGGAAACCGATGATTTTCAGCCGAATTCTAATGTGAGTTGAACAAAAAAACCAGGGCCTAGAATCCCAAAACTCTTCCAGATCGCCTCAAAAATCAACGTCCGCCGCATGCCAAAACGCACTCCAACCGCTCACGTCAAAGCAAACACCGAAGAGGCGAAGCGAAGGTCCTCCAAAGTTCAGCAGGAGCCTCAAAAGGATCCCGAGCCTGAGCCCGAAAAGCCTGAAGAGCCTGAAGAGCCTGAAAAGAAAGCGGAGAAAAATTAAAACATATTTGTCCATTATTATTAGATAAAAAAGAGATCAAATTTAAATTTCCACAAAACCCGGTTCGATTAAATAAGGATCCATACATCCTTCCTTGAAAGCATCACGAAGTGGCTCCACAACAATCCCATTCCACGCCGATTTTTGTTGCGTCAAATCGACGCCTTGACATGTGGCAAGTGTGCCCAACACTGCGCGATATCCATCGTTGCCGGTGGCGAAAATGCGGACCATAGTTTGACCGGCCATTGTGAGGGCGTCGCGTTGCGCGTTGGTCAGTTCCCAGCCGATTTGCATGGATTTGCTGGTTGGATCGATCATGCAGCGGGTTTTCGGGAGGAGAATGCCGGCGGCGAGGAGTTCGAAGAAGCGACGGAATGCGGTGCCGAGGTTGACTTTGGTGCCACGTGGACCGTTGAGGAGAGAGTAGAAGGCCTGGGAAAAACACTTTTTTGGGGGAATTTCTATGATTAAAATTAGGAAAAAAATGTGATTTTAATATGAGCAATGTTTGAACCAGCATTGCTCATATTAGATTGATATTTTCAACCTCAAAATTTTTCAGTTTTCGAGGTAAAAATCAGACGTATAGAGCATTGCTCATGTTTATAGATTTTCAATGAGACATAAAAGTTTCTGTACAGTTTTCACGCTGATAAAAATCCTATTTCCAGTTTTTGCTGAGCCACTCTCTGAAGAGCCCAAAAATGAGCAAAAAGTTGAGAATTTCTGACGAATCTGACGAATTTTTTAAATTTTAGGTTGCTGACGCATTTCTAGTAGCTTCTAGATCTGCTGACGCATTTCTAGTAGCTTCTAGATTTGCTGACGCATTTCTAGTAGCTTCAAGAGTTGCTGACGCATTCCAGGTAGCTTCTAGATTTGCTGACGCATTTCTAGTAGCTTCTAGATCTGCTGACGCATTTCAGGTAGCTTCTAGATTTGCTGACGCATTTCTAGTAGTTTCTAGATTTGCTGACGCATTTCAGATAGTTTCTAGATTTGCTGACGCATTTCTAGTAGCTTTTAGATTTGCTGACGTTTTTTTTGGAAAAATTTGTCAAAACTTTTGAGTTTGGTAGCCCTGTACTCAGTTTTTTGAGTTACGGGCTCTCAAAACCACGAATTTTCAGAAAATCCGCAACGTTTGGCTCATTTGGGCTCTTCGGAGAGTCGCTCAGCAAAAACTGAAGACATGATCTTTCTCAGCGTGAAAAACTATACAAAAACAAAATTTTCAGCTCTTTTCTTAAAATTACTCACCAAAAAATGAATATTCCAAATCGATAACGATTGCAAATCCATAAATCGATTCTTAGCATGTCTCAAAACTCGAATCAAACTTCGCAACTCCAAAAGTGTAAACGAATCGATACTTTCAATAACTTCTTGGAACCATTCCGAGTGGCGAATCGAAAAATAATTCAGCATCAACTTCTTCTCCCCCAAATGCAAGTCCGGCTCCAATTTTTCCGAAATTTCTGGCAAAATTGTGACTAGAATTCGAGCTTGCGCATTGGGCGTCATTATACAACATCCATAATCATGATTGACGGCAGTTATCACATCTTTGAAATTTGATTTTTGTTGAATATTTTCGATTACTCGCTTGCTGATGGCGGAGAGGGTTTCAACTGAAGGTTTTCCGATTTTTTTCAGGAAAATTTATTCAAAAAACTCACAAGAAGGTAAGGTGCATAACTGAAGTGCAATATCGGATTTAGCAGAAGTGTTTAAAGTTGTATCTGTATTGAAACTTCCAACTTTGGCCACATGATTTATCACAACATCCGCCAAAGTTTTCTCCTCTTTTTCCAAGTTTAGCGCATTGATAATATGCTCTGTGAGCTCACCAACTTTTGCTTTAACCACTGCTGTTGGTTGAAGAAGCTTTGCTTTATCAATAATCTCTTTTTCAAACGCGGCATCCAGGTTATTCTTTGTTCCGTCAAACGAATCTTGCAACATGACCATATCGAAAAATGGGGGTTTTATGGGTGCTTGGGCAAATGCTGGATAGATGGGCATTGGTGGTTTGCGTTTGTTGATTCCTCCGCGATGACGGCGTCCACGTTTTCCAGACATTTTTAGGTTGAAAATGAGGGGAACAACGAAAAAAAAATTATTTTTTTTTCAAAAAATGGAATACGGTGATTGGCAAAGTCCGCAAAGTGTTTGCACACAACGCGATATTTTGTATTTCTCTCGGACAATTTTTTATTTTTTTTTCGTTTTTGATGATTTTCTGTTTTTCTTCGCTATACGCTTGTTTCTAGAAGTATGTCACAGTGGATTTGGACACTGGATGATGTGAAGAATACACCGTCGATTCGTGCAGGATTCACAAAAGAGCAGGAGACGAATTATCGACGAGAAGGCTGTAAAATTATTTCTGAAGTTGGTTCGCAGTTAAAACTAAAAGGAAACCCGACGATTGCCACAGCATCGATTTATTTCCATCGATTCTACATGATCAAACCATTCCAAGAGTTTCCCCGCGAAATCACAGCACTCGGATGCCTTTTTCTAGCGGGAAAAGTCGAGGAGACTCCGAAGAAATGCAAAGATTTGTGTACAAATGCGGTCTCAAGATTCCCCGATATTTACGCAAAATGCCATAATTTATCTGAAGACATCATGGGAATGGAGCGCGTTTTGTTGCACATTTTGAAGTTTGATTTACAAGTCGATTTGCCGTATGACGCACTTTTGGAATATGGCGAAATGTTTCCAGCGATTTCCAAGGAAAATATGAAAGAAGTCACGCAGATAGCATGGACTTTTATCAATGATAGTTATTATACGACGCTTTGTGTTACAACAGATCCACAGGTGAGGAATTTATTGATTTTTTGGGGGGGGGGGGTGACTGTTTCCATGGAAATATTATAATAGGGCTGATTCACGAACGAAAAAATGTTCAAAAATGTTTTTTTAACATCGAAAGATCAATTCACGAAAAGTCAAAAAGTGTCGAAAAAACATTTCGAGTTTTCAGCCAAAAATGATGACAAATCAATTTTTTTTCAAGCTTCTGGAGTAATTTCTGATCAAAATAAGATTCGAGTCTCGAATTTCGAGAACCCTATTTTGATTTATTTTGTATTTTTTTGAAAATCAAAATTTAAAATTTTTTTATTTTACGAAAAATCAGCAAAACCTTGGAATTCACTTTTCAGAAGGTTTTGCTGATTTTTCGTAAAATAAAATTTTTCAAATTTTTATGAATTTCAAAAAAAAATTAACAAAATTAGCTAAAATAGGGTTCTCGAAGTTTATTTTCATCAGAAATCACTCCAGAAACTTGAAAAATATTGATTTGTCATCATTTTTGACTGAAAAACTCGGAAAACTAAATTTGACCTACGACTTTTCGTGAATTAATCTAAATGTTAAAAAAAAGCATTTTTGAACATTTTTTCGTTCGTGAATCATCCCTAATTTCAAAATTATCCCAACGTGTTTTTTTTCTGCAGATGATAGCCATCGCCTTACTCCACCTCGCCTTCACAGTAAAATCAATAACCCCAGTCGAACCGGGCGGCGATCCCTGCTGGTGGTCCAAAGATATCTCGAATTGGCCCTCTGAGTCCGTCGACAAAGCGTGTCATTTGGTGTTGGATTTCTACGCGGCCACCAAAAATTCGCCAGTTTTACAGAATGGTCGATTGTGTAGATAACCTTCTTCTTCGTGTTGTTTTTGAGAGATGAATAATTTATTCTTTTTGTGTCCGAGGTTCGCTGACAAAAAACAGAAAAGAGATCAGATTTCCCGGTATCCCACGGTGATCCATTTTAATTTTTTTTTGAAAAGTTTTTTTTTCTATTTTTCAAAAAAAAACTATACGACTCTATTCATTACTCGTCAAAAATTGTCATTTTTTAAAAATTTTTTCGGCGAAAAATATCCCAATTTTTTTTGGGGGAAAACGAGTCAATTCAAAACTTGCACCGGATGTTGTTGAAACTTTTCCTCTCCCAGCATTTTTTTTTTCATTTTACGCGCAAATTTTTCTAGTAAAATGTAAAATGTTTCATGAACTTTTCAAATATTCACCAACAAAAAAAAAATTCAGATTTCTTCCGAAATTCGTTCAAGCAGTTTTTAATTAACAATTTCCGGTCGAATGCGGCAACAACAATTATTAGTTTTATATATTTTTGCTGCTTTTTTTTGGTTGGCTCTTGGTTTTTGACATTTTTCACACTTTTCTTTTTGGTTTTTGGCCGAGGATTGGGTTTCTAGGCCATGGAGATTTTGGTCTCGAAACGAAAACAGTATTTGTGTATTTCTCTCGGAGGATTTCTTTATTTTCAAAAATTCAGAAATGAAAAATATTATTTTTCACGTGACCTTTGGAAATTGCTGACGTGTTTCAAAATTTCACATTTTCAAAAATGTTCATTTCGAATTATTTTTCGCATTGAAAATGCTGACTAGAAAATTGAAGAAAATCTTGATTTTGAGGTCAGTATTTGGGTTTTTCCGGGTTTCAGAAGATTTGATAGACTTTTGGGGTCTTTGTGACGACTTTCTTTCGGTTTTCTAGGCCAACTCTATGTATTTGTTTTTCTAGGCCATCATAAATCTTCGACTTTAAATTGAATTTCCTGCGCTCATTTTTTTTTGCTCGTCACCCAAATCCTCTCATAATGACCAAAATCCGCCCATAAATTTTAGCCATCCCCATCTTTTTTCCCGATGTTTTTTTGTTGTCTTCACAACAAAAGTTTGTTTTCCGGAGCCCACAAAAACAAGGGGGGGGGGTAATTTTTCATTTTTCATTTCGCCCGCGGCGGCGGTGGCTTCCAAATCAATTTTGAAGTCGGCTCTGGTCACCTTTTCATCTCACAAACACCCATGGGAATATTTCGCGGCACCACTCACCACACACAAATACAAATATGTATGCAAATCTCTTTTTTTTTCACTTTAGCCCTTGTGTTTTTCGCCACACTCCCCCCACGAGCAGCTTTTTAGCTCATTTTGGAGTAAAATAGGATGGGGGGAGAAGAAAAGTTGGTAGGGGGTGCTGGTGGCAATTGGATTAATTTCGCCACAGGATTTTTGTTTACTTTTCCCTCTCCCCCCGCGAATTTCTTTGATTTTGTGTTGCTTTACCCCCTGGAAAAATTTGAAAATTTCCAGCGCCACCGAACACTTATTTGCAAAAAAACTATGTCTTTCAAACATCCCGCGTGGCCGAGTGGTAGCGCTTGCGTTTTTGCTTCGCGGGGTCAAGGGTTCGAGCCACGCTGCGAGCTACTTTGAAAAAAAGCCCACCGTGTTTGGAATTCATTAGGAATCCCAAAGGATGCTCCGACCCTAATGCTTTTTTTTTTGTCTTAATTAAATCGCCTTAAGTGCACCACTACTGTAGGTTTGGTTTTAGGCTAACTAGCTTAATTTTGGGTGGAGTTTTGTAGTAATTTGGAATTTATTTATAGATGAGTTTGTGTCTTTTTTCCCGAGGACTTTTCCTTGTAAATAAATTTCTTTTTTGTGTAATTTTTAGATTGAGAGGGAGAGATAAAAAATAACATGTGTTTCTGTCATTTTTCTTGATTTTCGACATTTTTCCTGGTTTTTTTCCGTGTTTTGAGCAGGTTTTTATTTTTTTTTGCAACAAACATGAGCAATTTTCGTAAACTATTTTTTTTGTTTTCCAAAATTTTCCAAGTGTTCTGCTTTTTCTCCTTCTTCTTGACAGAAAATAATCCCTGCTTTTCAACAAAAAAAAATAATTTTTTTGAGGAGCCGAAAAAATTTTCAAATTTTTTTTTCTGGGAGGCAAAATAATGGTATTTTTGAGTTGATGGCTTGATTTATTGAAAACCATTGAGAAATTTTGGTGGTTTTTGAGGGCTTAGAAATGAGAAAATGAGAATGTGATAAATCAAATGAGTTTTGAAATTTTTTTTGAGTTTTGAAAGAGGTTCAGAATTTTTGAGTTCTGAAAAAATTTGGTAATTTTTTTTATTTCTAGAATTTGCCACGTGGCACTTTAAATTCCAGAAAACTCTAAATTCTTAAAAAAAATTGTCTGAAATTTCAAATGTTCAAAATTTCGGAAGAATTTTTAGGGTTTCAGAACTTTGTCTGTAGTTTTCAAATTTTCAAATTTTTTCTAAAAACTTCACAAGTTCACAAAAAGTTTCCAAATTTTTATTAGAGTTTCTCAATTATTTTCCAAAATTTCTAAATTTCAGAACTTTGTCAAAACTTTTCTGAAAACTTCACAATTTCACAAAAATGACCCAAAGGTCTTTAAAATCACCCAAAAATCTCTAAAATTTCATTTCCTCAAGGTTTCTTGTGTGTGTCTCTATGTCATTCCATCTCGCAAAAAAGGAAACGTCGAGTTCTCAACGAAAAAAAATGAAAAAAAAAAGTAGAGCAAAAAAAAGAAGAAGAATCATGCACAAAAAGATACTTTTTTTTTGACTACTACACTTTGTGTCGTAAATTTATTTGATTTTTTTTGTTGCTGTTGTTGAAATTTTTGACATCTCCTTATGTTTTACCTAAATTTTTTGAGCTGATTGGATTTTCAGATGAAAATTTCAAAAAAAAATTTTTGATTTATTTACAGATCTCCCAAATTCTCCTGATGATTAGTAGATGTTATTTTTGGACGCATGGATTTTTTTGCTGATCTTTTATGCAACTATTTTCGTAGATGGAAATTATCAGAATCAAGGTGGCGGATGGAGTGAAGATTATAACAAGTATTATCAGCAACAGCAAAAATATCAGCAGCAACAGTTTCAGCAGCAATTTCAGCAGAATCAGAATCAACACCCCAGTAATTTGCCGTATAGAAGTTAGTTTTTTTTGGGTGAAGGGGGAGGGTTTTGGCGCTATTTTTGAGTGGGTAAATTTGAAGTTGAAATAAATTCTACAGTAAGATTTTTGGCTGAATTTTTGAGCCGGTAATTTTTGGAATTTTCAGCGCTGATTTCCAGTTGAGCTAACTTCATTAGTTTCAAAAAAATTCCCAAAATTCACCTGAAACAGTAGATTTTTTCTAAAATTAGCTGAAAATCTCCCGTTTTTTTCAGGATCCTAATCTCATCTCCGATTTAAAATTTCCATTTTTTCTTCAAAAAAAATGTTTTTTGTGTTTTGAGAGATCGGAAGATTCAAATGTTCCTGAAACTTTTTTTTCAAAAAAAAAATTACTCATCTCAAATTTCACTTCCAAAAATGTTTTTTTTGGAAAAATCCGGAAATTATTTGCGTTCAAAATTTCATATTTGCAAATATTTGTGAATTGAAATTCTGGAAGTCTGAAAAAATTTTGGAAGATTTTTATTTTTTAACATTGTAAATTTTAAGTTAACCTAAAATTGTAGACCAAATTTTCCCCAGCCAAATTAATTTCAAAGATTTCACAATTTTTTAAAAGTTTCCCAATCAAAATTCTGAAGCCACGTCGCTTTTCTGAATTCCTAATTTTGTAGATCAAAATCTCGAACTTTTTCTGAAATTTTAGAATCTGGGCTCCGAACTTCATAACTTCCTCTTTCAAAATTTTCGATGCCTCGTGGATTTTCTGCTTCGAATTTTTTTGAAAATGAAAATCTGAAACTACTTCTGAAAATTCAGAATCTGGGCTCAAAACTTCATCATTTCCCCATCAAATTTCTAAATGCCACGTGTCTTTTCTGAATTTCAAATTTCATAGAATAATTTCTGAAAACTGAAATGTTGACTTAAATTTAATGTTACCACGTGGATCTTCTAACTTTAAAATTTCTGTAAACGAAAATATGATTTTTTTTTCTGAAAATTTAGATTCTGGGCTCAAAACTTCAGAACTTTCCCCATCAAACTTCTGAACTCCACGTGGTTTTTTAGCTTCCGATTCCGTGGTTCAAACTCTGGAATATTTTCAGAAAAGTTTAAAATTTCTGGCTAAACATTTTTGTTGATCAAAACTCAAAATGATTTGCTCCAAAATCTCTATATTGTTTCTCAAGACATTTTTTCTCGCACCCGGAAATTAATTCAACTTTTTCCTATTTTTGCACACGTCTTCTGCCTCTTCTGCCTCAAAATATCCTTTCTCGTGAAAATCCTTTAGGGTTCATCAATTCTTGCCCAAAAATCCCATCCTTTGTTTCTTTTTTTTTTGTTGTTATTTTATTCTATATTTTCCCTCAAGTAGCACAGCACTTCACACACTTTTTCCTTTTTTTTGTGTTGCTTGTAAAAATCTCTTTGTGTTTTCACATGCACTTTTACTTTGGGCTTAGGCTTAACATTTAATTTTCGCCGAAAGGGGAAAATATTTTTCATTTTACATCATCGCATGAAATTATGTAGCTAATTAATATACATCTAACACGAATTTTTTCTTTCTTGAAAAATAGCAATTTTTTTGGTCAGAGAAAATATTTGTGTAAAATAAAAAATTTTGAAAATCAAATTTGTACCCCACCCAACCCACCCATCTCATTATCAAGACAAAACAAAACGTAAAACTTTTTTTTTGTGGTCAGAATTTTTCACTTCTTTTTTTTTCTAGCTAAAAATGGTGGATGAAGGAAGAAAAAATTAGATTCATATTATTATTCATGCAAATTGTTTTTGTTCCATTTAGAAGAGTGACGGGTATTCCGTTCTTTTTTTACTTGAGAGTTCTTTTTTCCTGAATATTTATGGATTTTTTGAGCTACATTTTGAGGCTGAAAATTTTAAAGCTTCTCAAGATTTTTCCCACTGTTTTTTTGTTTCAGAAAAGAAAAAATTACTGTTTCACAAGCTTCATAATTGTTTTAAGAATTTCAAAAAAAATTTCTCAATTCTAAATTGTACTTGGAATTTTGTTAAGCTTAATTTTTGAGTTTCAGAAAAAAAGTTGACAGATTTTTAAGAACTGATTTTTCACTCTAATCATCTTTCGGTTTTTTTTATTTCCAGATTTTTCCTAGTAACTTTTTGATCTGAAAAATACAGGATTATTTATTTATTTTAAATTTAAATTTTATTTTAAGCTACAAATTTTCAGGCGGAAACTGATACTGTAGGCTCAGAAAATTCAAATTTTTTTTGGATTTTCTGGCCCAGAATCTGAAATTTGAATATAAATTCTAATTTGAATTTAGACGTATATTTTCAAACTGAAAAGCGGTCAAAATTTTAAAATTAAAAAAAAAAATTTCAAAATTCTCAGAGATTCGCTGGCTAGCTCGCCACCAGGTGGGGAGGCTGGCTGACCTGGGAACCACATGGAAACCATGTCGCCCGGTTTTTTTTCGCTGGCAAGGTGGCCAGGCTCTGGCTAGGTCACGGCCACATGGCTACCATGTGGTGGCCACTTCGCCGCGTCAAAATGAATTTTCATGAAAATTTCTGAAAAACTTGTGAATTGAGGCATTTTTCGAAAAATTTGGCTCATTTTCTGTTTTTTCGCAGCACTTGAAACCTTAGGAAGTGAAAAAACAGTAGAAAATGCAGTGTTTTGAGTACAAACCACCGTCTTGCCAGCCTTTCAGATTTTCAAACACACAGGCCACGTTGCCGGAAAACTCAAGGCGACCTGGCAGCCATGCGGTTTCCAGGTGGCCGCACCGATCTGGTGGCGAGCTGGCCAGCGAATCTCTGAGTTTTTTTTGCAAAATTCTTCAGCCAAATTCAAAAGTTTTAAAATTTTTGTAGATCAAAATCTGAAAAGAACCTTTGATTTCTAAACTTCCACGTAGATTTAACTTGAAGAATTTTCAAATTCTGGAAAGTCTCTGACCCCGTTCTCATCAATTTCCCTCCTCAAATCTCTGTCTGTTCCGATTTTTTTGCCAAGAAAACCACAAAATCATCTCACATCACATAGTGTCTAAAACAAAACACACACTCATTTATTTTTGCCCTGCCTGATTTTTCCGCCGCTGATTTTTTCCCCGTCAAAAATCTTCGTCTTCCCATCAATCTCATAATGATGACAGCTGTGTTTGTGTGTTGAAAAAATCCGAAGTGTGAAAAAAATCAAGATAGAATTAATTTATATATTTATTTTTTTTTGCCTCTTCTTGATGTGCTCCAGATTTTATATTATTTTCATTTCGCTCCCCCAAATCCCACGTTTCTTAAAAATCCGTTTGCCCGCCGGGATTTTTTGGAAGATTATCCCTGGTGGGAAAATTTCCGCGGAAGACCTCCTTGATTTCTTTTCTTCTCTTGCCCCACTAATAATATAAAATAAAATAAAAGTTCATTCAGAAAAAATTGTGGTAGCCTGGCAACATTGTGCACTTAATATAATAAATGATCTTCTTAAAATAAAAATAAGTTCATTCATTTTTTGGCTCAGAAATATGCTATGAGATGTACTTTTTCTTCCTATTTTTTCTATTGATACCGTATTCGACGATGACGTTGTCAAGTAATATTGTGGCCGCTGGACCGTTTTTGGTGAAAAGTGGTAGGGGATATTTGAAAATTTTTTTAGAAACCTGAAGTAGGTTCTGAAATTTCAAAAATTCTAAAAACTTGCCAAAAATATTTACAGCTTGAAATCAAAAATATTCAAATTTTCCAAAAAATTTTGGAAACCTCAAAACAAATTTCAAAAATAGCGCCTACCCAAACCTTTTCTTCACTAAAAATTCCCCATTTCCAGACACAGTCCCGTGCTATTCCTGTATGTCGAAATTATATGAAGCAGTCTGGCCATCATTATCCAATATCTATCAGGAGCCCAGAAATTTTACAGGTGAGATTTTCTCATTTTTCTCATTAAAATATACGTTTCAAAAATTTTTCATTGATTTCAGATGATTGCAATGATGATCGGATAGCGAGTGGTAGAGTTCCGATAATTCAATGTTCAACGATTTGTGTGTCACTTTTTGAGCAGCCAAATATTGCAGGTAGGAAATTTTGGTGGATTTTTAAGGTTCCAAAAAAATATATTGAACTTCCTGAATTTGATTAGAAATTTTGGACATTTAAAATTTCATATCAAACTTCAGGAGTATCAAGAAGCTCTGAATTGTAGCCTGATTTAGGTTTATGAAAATCCTAAGAACTTATCGGATTCAGGTTCGAAATTCAGAATCTTGAATTTTTTAAATCCAGAAAAAACCTCTAAATCATCTCAGAAATTTAAAAAATTCAGGCTATACAAGTTAGTCTAAGTCTAAACCAATCCTAAAAAAAATTCTGATTCTTGAAATCTAGAGATCCAAACATTCCAGGCATCCGAATCAAAGGCTACATCCGTGGTTGTCTAAACACAGTGCTCAAAAAAGGTTTCAACATGACAATCGTAAATCGCTATCGCTGGCTACACCGCGATTCGTGTCGACCATACCGAAAAAAAGAGTTGTTCGAACTCGGCGAACATCAAACCGACGACTCAACCATCGATGTTTGCACCTGTTATGCAGATCATTGTAATGGCAACATTTCACCGCCGACTAGCCTTTTCTTCTTGACATCTTTGGTCACTATTTTGTTCTGGCAACTCATTTGATATTACTGGTGCTTTTTTTTTATTTTAGTTTTTGACTTTTTTTTGGAGATACGGGTTTTAAATTTTTTGCATTCTTTGTTGGCTCAATGATAAATACTATGAATGAAGTTTTTTTTTCTGATTCCTAAGCTTTAGAATAATCTAGTGAAGGTACTAAGCGTTTTCTGATAGATCGAAAAATGTGATAAAAACTTTTTAATTCGATTTCAAATGTTTTGTGGCGAGTTCGATTCGGGAAGGAAAAATGTGGGTTGAGAAGAGATCAAAATAGATTAAAAGGTGTCGATTTATGTGTATTTTGATCTTGTCTTGACCCACATTTATCCTAACTCATGAAAAATTGAAATCAAATAATTTTTGATTTTGTATTTTCATTAGTTAAAAAAAACTTAGGCCAAGTTCCAGAAAAGAACAATTTTTGATCTACCAATGAAGTTTAAAGGAACATACAGTAGTCTGAAGGAACTCGTGGATACACAAAATTAAACGAAATGTTTCCAAACTGCAAGGATTACTGTAGAACAGGCAGGTTTATTCATGAACTGCAAGACCTACTATATTCTTTTTCAAATTCAAAAGAGAACGGAAGATTTGGGAAACTTCAAGACATTCAGTAACTCAAAAAATTCCAAACTGCAAAGATTACTGTAGAACAAACATTCTAGCTAAATAGACAAAAATAGAGAACTACAAAAATAGTCCTGTTTCTCAGAATTTTCTGCTAGATTGAAAAATGTGATATAATTTTGAATTCCACGATTGAAAACTGTTTAATCCGATTTCGTTTTTTGTAGCGAGTTCGATTCGGGATAGAGATCAAAAATAGATTAGGAGAATTATAAAATGAGATCTGAAGTGCAGTTTCCCATTCAAAAAATGTATTTACAAATGGACTCTGACTCGGATTCAGCCAAAGCTCTAACTTCAAATTCAAAGTCGGCCAGAATTTATTTTCTAATTTTCAGTGTCACTCTATTATTCATCTACCTCCACCTTGCTTCTTTTAAAACTGAAAGCAATATTCCCGAAAAATCGGAAAATTTGCTGGAAAAATTCCAAAATTGTTATCGACCCAACGTTTTCACGTACTCGAACAATTCCGAAGATATTTGGAATAATTTTGAGATTATTACTCATGTTTGTGATTATTTTGGAAAGCACATGGATCTTCGTCCACTTCGCAATTTCGATGAGACAAAATGGATGGCTTTTCCGAAGACTGAGGTGAAAGATCTTACTATGGTGACGTTGGGAATTGCGAATGATATTACTGCTGAGACAAAATTGAAGGAGGTGGGAATTTGAGGGGTTTAAGGAATGCCTGTCTAGCTGTCAAGACTTGAGAGCCTGGCTGTCAAGGAGCCACGTCTTGAGAGCATGTATGTCAAGAAGCCACGTCTCGAGGATCTGTCTCTAAAGGAGCGACGCCTTGAGAGCCTGGTTGTCTAGGAGCCAGGCCTTGAAAGCCTGTTTGTCAAGGAGCCACACCTTAATAGCTTGCCTGTCAAGGAGCCACGCCTTGATAGCCTGGTTGTCTAGGAACCACGTCTTGAGAGCCTCGCTGTCAAGTAGCCACGTCTTGAGGACCCGTCTGTCAAGGAGCCACGCCTTGAGAGCCTGGTTGTCTAGGAGTCACACCTTGAGAGCCTGGTTGTCTGGGAGCCACGCCTTGAAAGCCTGGTTGTCTAGGAGTCACGCCTTGAGATCCTGGTTGTCTAGGAGCCGCGCCTTGAGGGCCTCTCTGTCAAGGAGATACTCCTTGAGTATCTGTTTGGCAAGGAGCCACGCCTTGAGGGCCTCTCTGTTAAGGAGATACTCCTTGAGCATCTGTTTGGCAAGAAGCCACGCCTCGAGGGCCTCTCTGTCAAGGAGATACTCCTTGAGCATCTGTTTGGCAAGAAGCCTTGGGGGGCCTTGGGGGCCTCACTGTCAAGAAGATACTCCTTGAGCATCTATTTGGCAAGGAGCCACGCCTAGAGGACCTCTCTGTCAAGTAGTCACGCCTTGAGGACCTCTCTCAATTGTTCCTATTTTCCAGCTTCTCCCCCAAACTCAATTCTTCGGCGCCGATCCATCAAACATGTCGCAAATCTACACAAACATCGGAAAACATTTTCAATTCGGAGTGTCTGGAAAAACTGCAGTGAAAAACACGCGCCTCTACGATAATGGTCAGTTAACATAAGTCCCTCTCTTATTTCCGAAAAAAATTTCTACAGATCACAACCCAGTGGAAAATGATGTGAAAAATGTGAACTTCGTGGAATTCATCAATAAATATGTGCAACGAAAAATGTTGCATTTTCTGTGGATCGATGTTGAAGGAGGGGAATTTGAAATTATGGAAATGTTACATAGAGATGGAGAAATCGAAAAAAATCATATTAATATTTGTCAAATCAATATTGAGGTTCATCGAGAAACATTGGCCGAAATTAAAAATGAAACTGATCGACTCAAAATCTTTCTACAACAAATCGTTGAAGATGGGAAATATGTATTGTTAAAAGGTTTCAATGTAAGAATTCCGAATTTTGTGAGAGTTTTTCTAGTGAATGTGAAACATCCGGAGTGTAGAAGATTGTTTATTGATTGATTGATTTTTGTTTAATAATAAATGTTAATAATTTTGATCTACACAGAAGCTCAACAACTTGGAGAAAAAACAAAAAAAAAAAAGTTTGCATGTGGAATTGAACTTGTAACCCTCAGATTCCAAAACCAGAGATTTACCACTGAACTATGTTACTTTTTATATGCAGACCACAAAATGTTCAATAAATAATTTGCAAACCCAAACGAAATTTGGGACTGCTTATTTTTGTTTATATATTTTCTCCTCCAAAAATTTGTGTCATCACACTTGGGACCACTTGTCACATGTATACATATTTTGTCCCCAACTTCCTGGCTATTCCCAATTTTTAGAGCCCGGTTTCTCATCAAAAACCAAACCCGATAGACAAAAAAAACACACGAACGAACGATTTCGAAACAAAAACCGGAAGTTTTTCCAGTGGATCACGCGAAAAATTGCTGACTTTTTATTTATTTTTTTTTTCGCCCAGCTTCTTGAGCCTCTTCGCGCCAAAACCAATTAAATCCACTTTTTTTCGCGCGCGCGCTTGCAATATAATAAAAGTGGAAAAGTGTCGAAACCCCCTTTTTTGAGCTCTCAAATTTAATTTAGAAAAACTCACACATGGCCACTTTTTTCTCGTTTTTTTCAACAAAAAAAATTGAAAATTCCCAGATTAAAATATTTTTTTTCTCTCGTTTTATTTTTGTCTATTTTTTTCAAAAGGGTCCTCTTCATAAACACTTTTGGACAAAGAAATGCTATGTTGAAAAGTAGAGCAAAAAAACTTTTTGCCCATTTTTTGTTCATTTCATTTGACGTAACTCATCGAGCCATAAAAACTTTTATTACTATTTTTTTTTTAGATTATTGGTTGGGTTTTGTTTTTGGCTTACATTAGTGTGAAAAATTTTCTGAAGATGCTAAAAAATGGATGAAAATGTGATGGAAGCCGTTCCATTTTTTTATCATAAAAAATTCTGCAGCTAAAAGTTTTTGGCGCCAAAAACTTTACAGTTGATATTTTTAGAGTTTTTAGATTTTTGCTTTTCAAAAACCTTACAGTAGTTTGGAAATATTTTTTGTTCTTTTCTATTTTTATTCCATTTTTCTTCACTCTATTCTTCTTTTCGTTTTTTTGTCCAAAACAAAAAAAGTGATGGCTAATATTTCAGGATTACTTCACTTCACTCTTCTTGTGGCTTATCAGGTCTCTCGCCAAAAAAAAAAATAAAAAACACTAACCACTCTCAAAAAAAAGTGAACCCGGTTCGAGATTTGTGGCCGCGATAAATTCTCGAAAATTCGATTTGTGTGGTCCGTGGGGACGAATTGAGTTGTTCCTATTCAACATGTCAAGATGTTCGGATAACTCGAAGTTGAGAGGCTCTACTATTATTATGGCAGAGCAAAGACCGATGAGTTCTGAAAATTCTGGAAGGAATGTGGCGGCTTCGAGTGATGGTGAGTGGGGATTTTTGAGGGAAAAATTAGGTTTTTTGAACTCAAAAATCCACGTGGAATTCAGAAAAGTTCGAATTTTTCATCAGATCTATTGAAAACGTTTTTCATTTGTCACGTCGCAATTTGAGATCTTTTGAAAAAATATTTTTGAACTCAATTCCAACTAGATAAAAAGCCACGTGGAATATTTAGCCTCAAAATAAAATTTATAGCTAGAAAATGACCTTGTAAAAAATCACAAATCCAAAAATTCACCTCCAAAAGTTTTTGATTTTAAACCTGAACAAAATTTTTCATTTGAATTCTTGCCAAGCTCACTAAAATCCATTCCTTTTCCCCCAAAATTCTGATGAGGATCAGTGAAGTTTTTGCTGTGTAACATGACTCTTTTAGTATTTCTCCTCCCCCATCTTTCAGAAGAATTTTATTTCCTCTCATTCTATTTATTGTTATGCATTTTTAATTTGTTGTCTAAAAAATTCTGTGACTTTTTTCGAGTCAGTCATGGGAAGTTTTTTGATGATCCGGAAAGAGTTGTCGCGTGAGCTTGGTGAGATTTGGTCGGATTTTTTTGGGAATGACTGGATTTGGCACGTGGATTTCTGAACTCTCTTCGAATTTCAGGCGGTCACTCAGCTTCACCCTACCTACGCCGTTTCCGCCTTCCAAAACTCAACACAATTCGTCGATATAATTTAGAAGACGAAAATGAGGAAGACGATGATGAATGGTTTGAAATTCAAATGGCGAAAACAGATCTGATCAAGGCTCGAATGAATGAGCGAAATAAGAAATTGGAGGAAAATCAGCAGAACAATAATAGTATCAAAAGGTAAATATTAACTTCCGCCAAGAAAAAATGATAAAAATTAGAAGATAAATCGAAAAATATTTGCAGAACGACTGATAATAGCAGAACTAGTAGTGAAAATAGTGAAAATGCAAGCAGCTGTCAACAGAATATGAGAGAAAATAAGAAAAAGAGATGTCCATTTTTTCACCCAACACATCTTTTCGCCGCTGCCGCCGGACCTTCAAGTTGACTCGGTTCTTTTTTTGAAAAACATGTGTATATGAAGTTTTTCACACTTTGAACTTTTTATTCAAATTCAAAAAAAAATTTAGTTTTGTGAGAAAATTGAAAATTTGATTCGATTTTTTTCAAAATTTTCCCGGCCATAAAATTGATTGAATGATTTGAATAGAAATGTCAAAAAAAAAAAAAAGTTTTTTTTCCTAAATTATTTTTTTAAACTAGTTTTTCATTTAAATTTCCGCCTCTGAATTTCAGAGTCTGAAAATCCACGTGGCATTGTTTTCTCAAATTTTCAATTTCAAACAATTTCAGCTTCTCAAAAATTCCGCAAATTTCTCAGTTGCCCCCGTAAATCATCGAATCATCGATAAAAAAAACGCCTTATCAATTCGATTTCTAGCTTTTCTATTTCATTTTCAACTAAAACTAAAAAATATAAACCAAAAAACGATCAAAGAATAGTGCAAAAAGTGACTTATCCCAAGTTTTATTTTTATAAAAAATTAAAGTAGTTTGTGTTTAGACTTTATACATAGGGACAACCAAAAAAAAAAACAAAAACATCTTCGCCCTTTCTTTTTTTGTGGCATCCCGGTACAAAAACTCGTTTTTTTGTATTATTTCATTATGATCTATTCTATTTGTTTATGTTTTTTTTTGTATGATTTTACTACTTTACTTTTAAAACTTTTCAAAAACGTAAAATTCAGAAAAATGCTCACATCTCGTGTAAAATCGATTGACGAAGAGTCGATTTGTTCATCAAGCCCAAACAAAAAATCGACAAATTGGACATCACTTTGGTTTGCCAACTTGATCCAGTTTTTCTGCGGTCTTCAGATGTCACTGTATTTTACATCGATGTGGCCATATTTGTTACAGGTTTCTCGTTTTTCGATGATTCTTTGAAAACTGTTGTGTTTCAGCTTGATCCTAAGACACCGCTCACATTTTTCGGCACGATTTTGGCGAGTTTTAGTGTTGGACAAGCGATTGTGAGTTTTTTTCTTTTTTTTTTGAAAAAAATTAGAAATTTTCTTATCATTTGGTCTCTCAACCCTTATTTTATCATTATCAATCGAAAACAACTCACTTTCATTTGAAAATTGCAAAATTTTTGGAGAGAAAATGCAGCAAACTAGACTGTTCCAGCGAATTCGGATAATTTTCAGCCAAAAAAAATAAATGTGTGCATTTTTGCGTCACGGTGTTAGTGCACACAATTGAATTTTGAAAATTTTTCGTTTTTTTTTTCGCCCCGCGTTTTTGGCGCAAAAACTTGGTGTAGATTTTTGGGCCTATATTTTGATGAGTTAGCCTAACTTTTTTCAATATTTTACCACATTTTTTATCGATTTTTTCTAATTTTTCCGAAATCCCTCCCCAAAAAACTCACCAATCGCTTCTATTCCTCGAATCCCAATCAAAATCCTTGATAAATCCGAAATACTCCAAGTTTTCCACGTTATTAGCATTGAAATCCAATTGTCCATCAGTATTTCAAGCTGAAAATCAGAAAATTTGAATTTTTCATGTAGCATTGAGTTGTGCTAACTCCATTTCTGTTTCTATATAGATTTCTGAGGGCCTTCTGGGTCTTCCAGCTATTTTTCAAAGATTCACAACAAAATCTTACCCAAAACCCATTTTTTTCATCTCCAGAACATGAATTTGACATAAAAATCATGCGAAAATCTCAGATTTTGTCAAATTTCTATCAAATATCGCTTCAAATCCAACCAATAATTGTTCTTCTCACATTAAACATAATTTTCGACCCTGAAAACACAAAAATTTCAATCGAAACAGTGTTTCTCTAGGAAAAACCCACCTTTCTTCGATAATCCTTGAATTTTCCGTTGGTATCGATAATTTCAGCCTTGTAGAACGTCTAAAAATTCAATTTTTCACTGAAATCCACTGATTTTCCCCAGAAACCTAAAAACCCAGCGAAAAAAAAAACAAAAAATGAAAGTATTCTTTTGTTGCGCTAAAAAGCGGGCAAGCGCGCTCCACGGAGTGTCGTTGTAAAGTCAATAAAATTCAATCAATTTTCTATATTTTTGTGTCAATATTTGGAAAGAATCAGGATTTCTAGTGAAAAAAGCTTGATTTTAAAAAATTTAACTCATTTTCAAAAATTTCTAAAAATAAATTCTTCTTATTCTATTTTTATCCGTGGCCTAGATGACGTGAGAAACCAGTTCTCATTTGCACTTTTCATTTCTCAATCTCTACGTTTTGCAGGGCTCGCCAATCTTTGGAACATGGTCCGAAAAATCGGAATCCTTCAAAATCCCAATCGCAACAGGCTTGGCCCTATGCGTTCTAGGAAATCTCATCTACGCAGCTCTCCCCGAAATCCACTGGAACCCAATAATAATAATGCTCATCGCTAGAATCATCATCGGTTTCGGTTGTGGAAATCTATCAGCTCTTCGTGCATACATCGCCGCCTGTTCTTTGCCAGAAGATCGAAATAAAGCTGTAGCATTATCAATTGGCAGCACGGTGTTTGGCATGTTATTCGGGCCAGCTCTTCAAGCCTGTTTCGCATTTATTCCAGCTGGAAATCGATTTCTAGGCCTGGTTTTGGATTGCTACACTCTTCCTGCTATTATGATTTCAACATTTCTATCAGTCATGACGATTTTGATCTTTTTCCATTTCACCGAGGATTTTGTTGGGATTATTGACCCAAATGAAGATGGATTCGAACTTCCGCCTTATGATAGATTAGCCGCATGGATTTGCATATATTTATGGTTTTTGATTCAGACAATTGCGGTGAATATTGAATCGTAAGTTTGTTTTTCTCCATAGAGCGCGATTGCATTTTCATTTCCAGACTCGCCGCAGTTTTCACAATTGCCATGTATAACTGGACATCAGAACAAGCTATGATTTATAACGGATACATCGAATTTTTCTCGTGTGGACTCTCGGTGACTCAATATTTGATTTTTGGATTGACGAGAGTTGGGAAAATGTAAGATTTATTGGGAGGTTTTTAACAAAGGGCTTCAGGCCTAATTCGGGCCCAAAAATTCTATTTTTCTCGAAATTTGGTCGAAAATTTAGATTTTTCTCGAAATTTGGGGCTTTTTCGAGAATTTTCAGGCTTCAAGCTTGAAGTCTGAGGTTTTTCATGCTTCAGGCTTGAAATCTGAGGTTTTTCAGGCTTCAGGCTTGAAATCTGAGGTTTTTCAGGCTTCAGGCCTAATTCCGGGCCCAAAAATTCAATTTTTTCTCGAAATTTAGTCGAAAATTTAGATTTTTCTCGAAGTTTGGGGCTTTTTCCAGAATTTCCAGACTTCAAGCTTGAAATTTGAGGTTTATCAGGCTTCAGGCCTAGTTCGGGCCAAAAATTTAGATTTTCCTCGAAATTTGGGGCTTTTTCCATAATTTCCAGTCTTCAAGCTTGAAACCTGAAGTTTATCAGGCTTCAAGCTTGAAATCTGAGGTTTATCAGGCTTCAGGCCTAATTCGGGCCCAAAAATGTAGATTTTTCTCGAAATTTGGGGCTTTTTGGAGAATTTCCAGGCTTCAAGCTTGAAATTTGAGGTTTATCAGGCTTCAGGCCTAGTTCGGGCCAAAAATTTAGATTTTTCTCGAAATTTGGTCGAAAATTTAGATTTTTCTCGGAATTTGGGGCGTTTTCGAGAATTTTCAGCCGTCAGGCTTGAAATCTGAGGTCCATCAGGCTTCAGGCCTAATTCGGGCCGAAAAATTCAGATTTTTCTCGAAATTTGGGGCTTTTTCAAGAATTTTCAGCCATCAAGCTTGAAATCAGAGTTTTTTCAGGCTTCAGGCCTAATTCGGGCCCAAAAATTATCAATAATTTTTCCAGAAACAAACGCTACATGATTCTATTCGGTCTCCTCCTCTTCACAATCTATCACACCGTCGTTCTTCCCTGGCCATTCTACCCAAAAACCCTCACCTACAATCCAAATGTCACCGATGGTGCGTGCACCTTCAAATGGTGTCAATACGTTCCACAAATCCCAATCTACGTCTTCATTCCGGTATATGTTTTATGCGTCGGAATTGCTTTTCCCTACATCGGAACATCGATCGGAACACTTTTCACACATATTTTGGGAGATCGTCAGCAAGGAACAATGCAGGGAATCTATGCGTTATTTGGGAGTGTTGCTCGATGTGCTGCACCAATTATCACCACAACACTCTTCAATAGTTCCGGATACACGTGGATTAGCGTCGAACTCTTGGTGATGTTATTTTTGGGGGCTGGATTGGTGGGAGTATTTTGGGAGAGATTGGTGGCGTTGAAACCGATCAAAAAGTCTGGAAGTAAATATTGATTGATGGAATTTGGGTCGGGTTTTAATTTATTGATTGTACATAGTTTTGTCATATTTATTCATTTTTGATTTGTTGAAATAATAATTAATAATAAAGTTGTTGTGAATTAAACTACCTTAGAATTAGATAAGAAGCTCTCTTAAAAATCCCAAAGCTTCCAAACTCAAAGCAATTAGGATTGCGATAATTAAAAAACCTGAAATTAATTTCCAAGCTTCTCCTGCGAACCACGAAAAATTTCTGATCCCTCAAAATTTGTAGAAAAAATGAATTCAGGAGTTGCTCCTGGATGTTGAAGATCTGAAAATTCGAAATTTCATTATTTTTACCAAGAAAATCCGGCTGACTTACCTTAACTTCAAAGAAACATTGAGAAGTTTTGGAATCCATCAATTTTCCCTTTAAAACATCTAATTCCTTCATCGGATTTTTCAAAACAAAAATCTCAAAATCTTCTGAAACTTCCAGATTTTCCGCAATACTTCGCACATAAATTTCACAATCTCGAACACTTGACAACGTTCTTGCCACGTGGATTTGACTCAAGTTCAAGCATTTGAAGTGTTTTTCAATGGAATTGCTAATTTTCACATGGTGCAACGTGGATTTGCACCAGAAAATGATGAAGAATACGAAGAGAATGAGAAAAATATGGAGGAAAATTGATTTTAGATGTTTCATTTCATGAAAAATGATCAAAGTTGAGGCGAGATTAGCATCGAAATGGAGATTTTTGAGAGTGATTTTGAGGCAAGGTCATTTGGGTGCGAATCCATCAAAAAACATTTCAAATGCTTGAACTGAAGTCAAATCCACGTGGCAAAAACTTCTGGAATTTTCAGAAAAAATTGAGATTATTGTTTTAAAAAATCCGATGAAGGAATTAGATGCTTTCAAGAAAAAAAATGAGGGATTTCGAAATTTCTGAATTTTTTTTGAAGTTAAGGTAAGTCAGCTGGATTTTTAAAATGAAAATTTAAAAAAAATTGAGGATTTTCGGATCTTTAACATTCAGGAGCAACTTTTGAATTCATTTTTTCAACAAATTTTGAGAGATCAGAAGTTTTTCAAAAAAACATTTTCAAAATTCAAAAATTTTCAAAAGTTTTTCATGGTTCGCAGGAAAAAGGGGGTTTTGAGATTTTAAATAAAGATTTATGGACTTTTTCGAAATTCAAAAAAATTTGAAATTTTATGGATTCCTGGGCCAATTTTCATTAGAAATCATCAGAGAACTCAAAAATCGGCGATTCAAAATCATTTTTGCCTAAAAAATTTCGAAAAATAAATTGTTCCGATAAAAATCTTCATTTCCTCCTCAAATATCTCAAACCACCGTAGTTGTGATAACAGAAGAAGATCTAAAATGTCGTGTAACAGTCTTCTCTGCTGCTGTGTTCGCAGGTGTCGCCGATTTCTGATGCAGCACACTCATCAAAACGCCATCGAGCAGAATAACAGTGAGTGCTGAAATTGCGCCGCACAAAAATTGAAACCACACCGCATCGATCAAACTATAGAGAAATGTGTTGTTGATGACGTCGATGGAGTGCGTGCAGTCTTGAATGACACATTGGATGAACATTTTTCGACGACGTCTTTTGCGAAGCGCCGAAGTTTGATCGATTTGCTGAATGTCGGAAATCTGGGGGTGCGTTTTGGGAATTCGGGAGGGAATTGAGAGGGGGAGTCAAGTGTGTGTGGGAGGATTTTTTGAACTGAAATTTTGATCTGTAGAATTTTTCGGGTTTCTGATTCACGAACAAAAAAATGTTGAAAATGTTTTTTAACATTGAAAGATCAAACATTGTAGGTCAAAATTAGTTTTTCAAGTTTTTCAGTCAAAAATGATGACAAATCGAGATTTTTCAAGCTTCTGATGTGATTTCTGATGAAAATTGATCTTGGAATTCACTTTTCAAAATTTTTTTTGTTCGTGAAAATCTGAAAATCGAAAAATCCACGTGGAAACATGAAGATCGAAAATTCGAATCTTTAAAAAATTCAAGTTTCAGCCTTGTAAAATAGAATAGTCTAAAATTACGATTTTCAAAAATTTGGAATATTTGCCACGTGGAACGTTGAGTAAATTCAGAGTTCAAACCTGAAGATTCAAGGAATGCTTGAAATTATGGCCTAGAAAACCTATTTGGAAACCTAGGCCACGCAGAATCTAAGCCGAGGCCATGTGAAATTTTCATAATTTTGAAGCCACAAAAAAAATATTTTGTTTGTTCAAAAACTTTCAAAAAAAAGTGGGCGGAGTCTGTTCATATCCTTTTTTTCTGGCGTCTCTCCTGCACGCACACTCTCTCGTTGTCTCTCACACGAAATTATGGATGCTCTCTCCACGTGGAAAAATCTAGAACTTCAAAAATTCCCGCACACAAGCCTCCCTCTCCCAAACCAAACTCACTGATTGCTGCAAAATTTTGAAAATACTAAAACAATTGATAGAAAACGAGCAAATCGCCATAGAAATCACCAAATAAGTGACGTATTCTGATAAATGCGCGGAGCACGGATCATCCATTGGTCCCCACGAAACAAATTCTACATAGAATATGAAACCACAGCCATCTGAAAGAAATTAGTTGTAATTTTTAATGAATTCTTAACATACCCATCAACGAGGGAAGTGACACAAGAATCGCTGAAATCCACCAGAAGATCAACGCGATTTTGGTGACTGAAAATGTGTTTGGTCGATTGAAGCGATAGGGAAAATTAATGGCCATCGATCGATTTATTGCCAAGGATATTTGGGTGAATGGTCCGGACATTAGATAGGGGGCCCAGCCAACGATTTCGCCGAAAAATATGTTGAAGGGGAGGGGGAGGTAAGTGAAGCCTGAAAGAATTTGAATTTAGAAATTTGAAATTTCAGATTATCTCTGAATGTATGACGTTATGATGGGCCACTTGAAAATTTCGAAAAATGTGTTCATAGTATCATAGTTCATTCCATGATTTGATTCTCCTCACTTTTGAGTTCAAAATTTCCACCTGTTTCGAAATTTCCTTATCCTTTCATTTTGTTTGCAAGCAAACATGATTTGTGAATTTATTAATAACATTATCGCCACAGAAACTTTCTGCATCTACACCTTCCATATTCTAACATTCTTCGAAATTCCAATCAACACCTTCGTCGCCTACTGTATCATCTTTAAAACTCCAAAACATATGCTCTCGGTTCGGCCGAGCATGCTGATTTTGCATGTGACGAGCACAATTCTCGATTTATATCTGAGCCTTTTAACCTGCCCATTTTTGCTGCTTCCCTATCCAGCCGGATATCCGATGGGATTGCTGAGATTTTTGAATGTTCCCGTATCGATTCAGGTGTATTTGGCGATTAGTTTCATCGGAGGTTTGTTTTTTTTTTGGAAGTTTTGTGGAAATTTCTGAAAATTTTCCAGTTGTCTCAACTTCTCAAGTAATTTTATTCGAAAATCGCTACAATACACTACGATCTACTAATACCGTGGATTCACTTAACCGAAAGATCCGACGATACTCGATCGCCGGACTTCAATACATTTGGGGCTTCACTTTTATCATCCCCGCCTTTTTCAATATTCCCGATAAGAATCAAGCCGTTCATGCGATGCTCGAGGAGTTTCCCGATTTTCCCGGTGCTCACCATTTATTCGAAAACCCATATTTTTTCTGTCTAACCCTGCATCCAGCCATCGCTATTCTAGCCGTTATCGTAACACTCTTCATAGTTGTCCCCCAATTATTATTCTATCTCACCGCATCTTTCCGATATCTGATCGAAACTAAAAATGCAGGATCGCGAAGAACATATGAACTTCGAATGCGATTCATGTTGGCACTGTGTTTGCAAGTTTGCATTCCAATGATTTTCCTAGCCGGTCCAGCTTGTTTTGTTGTCTTCTCACTTCTTACAAGATATTATAATCAAGGATTCTCGAATTTATCGATGATACTTTTCGCAACACACGGTGGGATTTCTTCAATTGTCACTCTAATTGTTCACAAACCGTATCGCGATTTTACAATTCAAACTATTTTCCAATTCAAGTTTTGTCCAATTGTTCGAGAAAGATTAAAGCAACACCCTCGTATGATACGGCCATTGCGAAATGCTTTCAAACACGAAAATACACAAAATTAACCTATGTTCACAAGCAATATGATTCTAAAGTAATCTACTGAAGAAATTTTGGAATTTAAAAATTTATGCTTTTCTAGTTGTATATAGTTTTATAAATAAAAGGTTTGTTCACCGTCTGGTTTTTTTTCTCAAAAATTTACTCCCAGAACTCACCCAAAAACGCAGATGGTGCACACCAAATCAAAAACGCCAAACCAATCAAAACATTCGCAATCGCCTTATTCATACAAATCTTGTGAAAACTTTCAACCTCTTTCTTCATCCGAAACGCCACTTTCCCATTGAACCAACAAACCAACGAACCCATCTGGAAATTTCAGATTTTCAGCTGAAAATTTCAGTCGAACTTGACTTACAACAACGAAAATGACGGCGGCGAAATAACGAAAAGCTATCATTCTGAAAAAAATTTCTAACATAAAAATAAAAATGGGTAGGGTACAAGTCTGAAAATCTTACGTTGCTGTACTTTTTCACATAATTATTTTTTTGTGAACTTTTTAAGAAAAATAAAAAAAGCGAAACCAAAAAAACGTGTGATTTTTGTTAGAAGACCTCAAAAATCCATAATTTTTTATTGCAAAAAAATAGAAAATTGTGGGGTTCTCTAGAACACCGTGCAGAATTGAAATTTAAAAAAAATGTGATTTTACGCTTCGCAAAATTTTCGTGATCAAACTAGATTTTTATAAAATTTTGAACTTTTCTGAATTTTTCCCTGCAAAAAATACGTTTCACAAAAAAACCCCCCACAAACAAAGTCACTTTATTGATTGATGGAGAAGAGACACACACAAAAATACCGCAAAACATTTTTTTTCAAATTCCGAAAAAAAATTCGGATCTTTCAAAAGATTCTACACAAGAAGAAGATGAAGATCTATAGATGTTTCAGGGGAAGTCTAGAATGGTCGAGCTGGATGTCCGGAGGGTGAGGCTTGGCAGACTTCAGCGCATTCTTCGATCATACAGGCGCGGATCAGGCGGAGTGTGGCGAGGGTTTCTTGTTCACCGGCTTCGCCTGGCATGTGGCCAAGTTCGTGAGTGGCTGCCTGGAAAATTCGGGAATTTGATACCAACTTGCCACGTGGCAAAGACATTTTTAACATGAGCAATGCAAATTTTAACATAGCCTCGGCTTAGAATCTGCTTGGCCTAGATTTTCAAATAGGTTTTCTAGGTCATAATTTCATGAATCACCAGGTTTCAGATATCAAAGTTTTACATGAGCAATGCTCTGAAATTTTCATCTGAAGAATCCAATCAAGTTTTCTAAAAATTTGCAAAAAAATGAAAAAAAAGTTTGCCACGGAGCGGGATCGAACCCACGACCTAAAAATTTGAAATCCAGAGCGTTACCACTAGACCACGCGCAACATGTTTCTCTCACACGAAAATGTTTGATATATGAAACCCACCGCCGCAATAGTATACCAGCAATCCTTCTTACAACATCCACACGGAATTTGTCCCCGCTCGTCAAGTGAACACGAAGGTTTTGCGAGTTGTTGTGGTGGCGCAGCTGAAATCAAATTGAATTTTTCCTACCTAATCAGTTTTTTTGATTTCCAATTTTTCTATGTATATTTGATTAGGCCACGGTAATTTGTCACAGATTGTTAGGTATTTTGAGAATCAGAGATCAAAAAAGCTAAAAATAACGGCTGGCCTAGAAAACCAAATATCAGAAAATTTGGATTTCTAGGCCATCTGAAAAAATTTCAGATACATTTTTCACCTGGAAACGAAAATTCAGGTGATATGAAGTTCTAAAAAAAGTTTTTCAGGTGAAAAATGATTTGCTTGCTGATTCTACAGTATTTCCATGGCCTAGAAAACCAGAAACCAGAGGATTTGGATTTCTAGGCCATCTCTCCCAAACTCACCCAAAGCACACGCCAAAACAGCCACCAAAATCAAGCCAGCCATCAATTTTTGTTGCATTTTTCTCGTTTTGTTTTGATGTTTGCGCCTAGTGAGATTACCTAAAAACCACCCAAAGATTTTTTTCAATCAAAAAACAAAAGATTTTTTATGACGGGGGGCCCGCTGACTCAAAGAAGCAAAAACAAAATGCAATAAAAAGTCTCTTCAGAAGTTGGGCAAAAAAATGATGTGCGCAAAGCGTAGAAAATTGAATTTTGAGCTTGAGCTTAAGGGAAAAAATATCGTCATCTTTTTCAGAAAATTTTCAAATATTTTTTTGCTAGAAAAAAATCCCACCGAGAAAACTTCATAAATAATATAACTAAGCTAATTTTGCCTGAAGAAAAAGGGCAGAAAAAAATGAAAAGCAGGTGCAAAATAACATGGATTACTGTAGCTTTTCTCTGGATTCGAAAAAAAATGAGCATCTTGGGTAGATCAAAATTTTTCGGGGCGGAAAACAAAAACAAAATTGTTTTCTTAAGAATGTGTGGATTTTCAGAGACAAAAAGGTCTGGAAGATCAAATTTCAAATTTCTACATATTTTTGTATTTTGAAAAAAATCTAGAAAAATTTGGAATTTTCAGATCAAAATTTCAGAATTATCTGAAGCTGGAAAATTTGTTTGTTAAAAAAATATCGCAAAAATTCAGATTTTTTGGTAGATCAAAACTTCTGAAAAAAATTCAAGGTATTCAGAATTCCTTTTTCAAAAAAAAAGTTCCAAATTAATGTTTTTCAAAACTTTTTTCCCACTAAAAAAAACCTCCCAAAGTGTGTCAAAATAATGAAGTTTTGGAGCCACAAAATGCTGGAGCCACAAAATTTTGCTGTGAATGAGCACATGAAAATTTTTCGAGGGGTGGAGCCGAGAATAATTGGATTTCGTGTGTTTTTTTTTGTTTTTTTGATGAAAATTGTTCGTGTCACGAGAGAGTTTCAGATTTTCTGGTTTTTTCTGTGACTAATTTACTACGGTAGGTGCACTTATTTTTCTTGAATTTTTTTTGGCCAAAAAAATAGTAGACACACGCGAGCTTTGATTTTTTGATTCTAATAGAGGAATTGGATTTCTAGGCCATAAATTGATTTTCTAGGCCATAAATAAATTTTCTAGGCCACAACTCAATTTTCTAGGCCACGGATTGGTTTTCTAGGCCCCAGGTAACATTTCTAGGCAATAACTAACATTTCTAGGCCACAAATTGATTTTCTAGGCCTTGACCAAATTTTCTAGGCCATAACTAATTTTTCTAGGCCACAACTCAATTTTCTAGGCCAAAATTGAGTTTTCTAGGCAGTGACTAACATTTCTAGGCCATAACTAACATTTCTAGGCCAGAACTAAATTAAAAAAAAATAATCCAAAAATAAAAATCGTCTGCTTTTGACATTCCCATTCCAATTTTCCACTAGAAAACCGGAAGTTGAAATTTTTTTGTTTTTTTTTCGCAAAAAAAAATCAGAGCTCATTAAAAATGAAATAAGTCACGCAAAATGTTTTTGACTACGGTAACTTTATGACTTCATGAAAAAAAAAGGTTCAGAAAATCAAAAAAACATGTTTTTCGGAGCAAACACAAATGAGCTACAGTAGCCCTGATCTGGCTGGAACAATTTTAAGCCGTGGCTTCAGAAAAATATGATGATTTTCTCACGTCGGGGCCAAAAAATTTGCATAAAAATTTTCGCGGGTCCAAAGATTTTTCAGCTCGTTTTGGGGCGAGTCAAGAGGCTAATTATTATTATTTTTTTTTTGAGAAAAAACAACACAAGATATTTTTATTTTTCAAAAAAATTGGAAAAAATGGCAAAAAATAATAAGGGTTGTAAATATTACAAATATTTTTTTTGGGAGTGGAAAATGGAAAAAGCAGCAGCAGCACAGGGAAAAAATTTTGAACTGGGGAAAAAATGGGGGATAAAATAGGTTTCAAAAAAAAAGTCAGAAAATGGGTTTCAAAAATAAGCAAAAAAAAAGAGTTAGGCTAACTACAGAACGAGTGAATAATTGTTCGCAAATCATTGATTTCTTTTTCGAGTCGAGTCGCTTCTTCGCGAAGATACGCGTTTCTCGTCGATAATTTCTCTTTTTCCACATTTTCACTCGATTTTGTTTCGCGCATTTTTTGACGATATCGAATGGCCGCCTCGCGATTTTGCTCTTTTTTGCGAAGTGCGATCTGGAAAATTGGATTTTTCAAAAAGAAAAAAAATGTTTTTTTTTATTTTGAAGTTTTCCCTATAACCTGAGCAATGCTCAAAACATTCAAAAATGTTTTCAATAACCTGAGCAATGCTTGAAAAATGCGAAATTTTGCTATAACCTATAACCTGAGCAATGCTCAATAAATCCGAAGTTTCAATATAACGTGAGCAATGCTCCGGAATATATAACCTGAGCAATGCTAAAATTTCCTGACAAGGGAACCTTTTTTACTCAATACTTCAAATCTTGATAAAAATTTGTCCAGAGACAGATTTTGGGGCTAAAAACACCCTAGAAAACCGGAAGTTGAGCCAAGTTCTGAGCTTTCAAAATTCAAAAAAGGCCTGAATTGAGCCCTAACAGGAATTATTGCTCATTTTTCGGAAAAATAAAATTTCAGAATTTTTCAGACAAAATCATTTCACAAATTTTTGAAACGTAAAAATTTTGGGGGGGGGGGAAATTTATTTATTTATTTCGAGTTAAGAATGAAAGAGTGAGATCTCCGAATTTTTCAGACAAAATTATTTCACAAATTTTTGAAACGTAAAAATTTCAGGTGGAAAAATTATTTATTTATTTTGAGTCGAGAATGAAAGAGTGAAATCTCACAATTTTTCAGACAAAATTATTTCCCAATTTTTTGAAACGTAAAAATTTCGGGTTTCAAAAATCTAAGATTTAGAGTCTTAGAATTTTTCAGACAAAAAATTCCTGTTAAAAATCAGAATTCAAAACCTTCCCACTCACCTCCTCATTAGACATATGAACCAAGGAAACCGGCTGAGCCCGTCTCCTTTTCGCGCGAGCCCCCAAAACCTCGGGCTCTTCAGAATCCGAGCCAGAAGAGGTGCTAGAACTCGTCGAGCAAGACGATCTAACACTCTCCCCGCTCAATTTTCTTTTGAGACCCGGTTGTTGGGCGACGCTTGGTTCGGTGTTCATGAGAATCGGCTCGCACATCATTCGATATTTTTGGCCATTTTTTAATGCGAATGTGGTGGGTTTGTTGAGACTGACGTGGATTTCTTCGACGACGACTTCTACAGAAGACTTCTCGACGACTTTGACGGTGGCCGGATTGATCTTCGATTCTTGATGCAATTCATCGCGAACTTGACTGATCAGATCATCAATGAATGGGATTTGATTGTTACAAACACTTGGAAATGAAATCGGGGAACTTAATGTGCTGTTGCTGCTAATGCTACTGTTGAATATACTGGATAAATGGGAAGATGGTGGGGATAAATCTTGTGGAGGCAAGTTATTGCACGACGTGGACGAAGTGATCAACAACGGGGCGATCATGCGGCGTCGGGTGTAGGCGTTGTGACCCGTCGACCGAGAATTGTGACCCGATGGAAATTGAGGAACGCATTGAGGTAATTCGAGTGGTTGTAATGGTGGTGGTACACTGGAAAGAAAAGATTTTTATAGAGTAGAACTTAGGCTAAATCTAGGCTTATATTTTTCACTATCAAGTTAGCCTAATCCCCAATTACCGTAACTCATTGTCAGTGTCCAGAAAACACAGAATTTGACCACCCATGATAAATATTAGTTATTTTCGTTTTCATCTTTGAGAATCGAATGCAAAAACAGACAAAAAAAATCGAATGATGAAATATAATTGTCAGTTGTGATCACTTTTTGGTGTACGCAAATGCGATGTTTCATTTTTTGATCTCCGAATTTTTTTTTGGGAATGGGGGGAAAATTGAGTTTTGATTATTTAGAGTTCTGTAGAACTTGGAGAATTCTGAATCTAGCTAGATCTGTTTTGAAATTTTCAGAGATTTTCTGAGTTATGACGTGGCAAAACTAGACTAACACATTTTGAACCTAGATCTGTCTTGAATTTTCAGAGATTCAAATCAGATGTCTGTGCAAAATTTTATGAAGCTGAAAATTGAGAAAAATTCACGTGGTTTTGTGGGAATTGCAGATGAAATTCCAACTTTTTTTTAAATTTCCTAAATTCCACGTGACATTTAAAGTTTGGGTCAGAGAGTCAAATCAGATATTTATGAAACTTGAATTTTTGAGAATCCACGTGGAAGTTGCAGGTGAAATTCAAAATTTTCAGAAGTTTGGATTTCTGTTAAAATTTTATGAAGCTGAAATTTCAGAAAAATCCACGTGGCATGGAAATTGCTACAGTTCCCAATAAAATTTTCCCGAAACATTTTTTTTTTAAATTTTTTCTGGCTTCGAGATTCCACGTGGAATTTCACAGTTATAAACAACTTTGTTAAAATTTTATGAAGCTGAAAATTAAGGGAAAGAATCCACGTGGCACAAATTTTGAAAACTTGAAAATCAGAATTCATTTTTTAAAAAGGTACCTTTTGAGTTTGACGTGGCAACGTTTGCTAGGTTTCAAAATTTTTTTAGATTTTAGAAGATCTGAAACCACGTGGCAATTTACAAATACAAAAAATTCTTGAGTTATGACGTGGCAAACCTAAGAGTAACCAGAGATTTTTAAATTTTGGACCAAGATCGGAATTTTCTAGATTTTCAGTAGAATTTTGTCATCTACTGTCTGAATCTCCCGTTTTACACACACTATTTTCGGGTTCAAACTATATACATTTGGTAGGTCAAAAGTTCAATTCGTCCCCTAGTTTTTCACACCCAAAAATCCCCACCCAAAACCCATTTGCAACTCACCAATCGGCACTGTGTAGCCCCGAGAAGACAGCATTCGTTTGGGCAAACGGCAGCGGCGGAGGCGGGGGCGAAGGCCCGCTTAAAAACACACTTGCTGGCTGGGCCGAACGCGATGGAGTCGCGATTAACCGGCGTGTCGCCACAGCGAACTCTCGTCTCGCATTCGGCGAAATCGGCGATGTTGGCGATGGTGTCGGCCGGCCAAACTCCCCACTCGGCTTCGGCAGGGCTGCTGCCACCGATCAGCGTCGTTTGACCAAAGTCAAGAGCGGCTTCGGCAGGTTCACCGCTTAAGTAGGTCGGCGGAGGACTTTCGAGCTGAGCGGATTGGGCGGCGGCGACGGCATCGGCGTAAGCGTAGTGAACAGCGGCGTTGTATGGAGCACACATTTTCGATTGGTTGAGAGTTTTGAAGGTTGGGTCTGGAAAGGAACTTCATTTTTTCTCCCCGAAATTTTTACGTTTCAAAAATTTTTTTATGTATTTTCTGGAATTTCGCTGATCTTTATGATCCAATAAACTCAAATCTCGATGAAATTTTGTCCAGAGACAGCTTTTGGGGTCAGAAAAACACAGTTAAAATTTTAGTCTCCCAATGGACCTCTGAGTCAAGTTCTGGGCTCTCAAAAGTTCAAAAATTGGCTCGAACAAGTTATTGTAACTCAAGATTTTTGTGAAAAAACTAACTATCAGCTTAATTTACCTGAAATCAATCAATATTTTGAATTTTCAAATCAAAATTTTTTTGAAGAATCCGAAAAATAAAAATTTCTAAAATTTTTTCGAAAAAAAGTCGATTTACCCAAAAAAGCATAAAAAATTGAATTTTCAGAACAAAAACCTTTGATTTTGGACAAATTATGAGCACCTTTTCAGCCGAAAATAACAATTGCTGAAATTTTTCAAAAAAAAAGTGATCGATTTACCCAAAAAGCATAAAAAATTGAGTTTTGGGACCTTTTTTGAATTTTTAAGGAAGATTAGAAATTCTAGATCTTCGAAAAACCGAGGTTCTCTTGTCAGGCTCGGAAATGACTACAGTACCCTGCCCTGGGTACTGTAACTACAGTACCCCCCCCCCCTCCAATCAAAGAACCCTCAAGGGTCATAAACCTCCCTCTTATCAAAGTACACACCCCCACAATACATCTAAATATACTGTACCTGTGACCTGTGAAATTCACATGAACAAAACACCCCAAAAAAAACTTACTGTAAGTTTCAAAAAGGTTGAAAAGTCAACGGCGTGAGTTGAAGTGAGTTTCAGAGAGCTGAAGGTGGCTGTGAAGCGCGCAAAAGTTTGAGTTCTGCAAAAACATATTGTACTTTTTGTATTTGAAAGATAAGAAAGCGGTCAGTGGAATCAAAGAAATCTGATGAAATGTTTCGGAGAGACAGGGGCGCAAAAATATAATATAGCAATAGCAGAAGGGGGAAAATGATAAGACGTTATGATTTTTCTGGGAAGGGGCAGAAAGGAACATTGTTGATTGAAAAATAATTGGAGAGAGATTGGAGAGCGCAGAGAAAAAAGTGCAAAACTGTTTTTTTTTGAGAAAGAAGATAACATACAGTGTAACCGGAGCCTTATGTGAAAAATTGGACCTACAGTAACCTGAAACTACGGTAAGTCTATCTATGTTGATCTACACAATTTTTTGGAATCTAGAATGTTCAGTAGAGCACTACATAATTCTACAGTACTACAAATTAGCAGTGAAAAAAAATAGCACTAGATGGAATTTTGGAATCTAGAATATTCAGTAGAGCACTACATAATTCTACAGTACTACTCATTGCTCAAAAATACAGTAACCCGGGAAAACAGCCTGAAATTAATTATGCTCCAAAAAATTCCACTACAGTATCAGAATTTTGCCACAGGAGCGGCAGAAAGAATATTTTACAATAATAAAATGAAAGAAAAATAATAATTGAAAAATAAATGAGAGAGCGCAGATTGTTAGAGAAAAAAAGTGCAAAACTGTTTTTCGATTTTCGAGAAAAAATAGTGTAATCAAAAATCGAAGCGGCTTTTTCTTTGATAATTTTTTTTTTGACAAAATAAATTTGTTTTGAGAGCGCCGTGGCAATTTTTTCAAAAAATTACAGCTTAAAAACTACTGTACTCTAAAGATTTTCAATAAATTCAGAATTTAGAAATTTTGGACTACGGTAGTTTCAGAAGCTTGGAAAAATTTGGACAAAAGTAAAACTACAGTATTCTGGGGTCACAGTAATCTATTTACAGTAAGCCTAGAAATAATCAAAATCTTCGAAACCGATCTAATATGTACATTACCTCTACAGTAACCCAGATCCCCTAGAAAATTATTAGCAATAGAGCGCATTTGCCTATCCCAAGATCAAACTACAAACAAAAAAAAATGGCACCATCCAAAAAGTCCGAAGAAGAATAATATTATTGCGTGCGAAACCGAAAATGTTTCCCCAAAAAATCATTGCAAAAAAAGCGACTGATACAGTTTTAGATGACAAATGAATGTCATTATTTTCTATATTTTCATGGCTACACGATCTTTGATTTTCCTCCATGGAAAGTACACTTTTTTAGAAGAAAGGAACAAATAAAATTAGAAAAAAACAACCTAGCAAAAATCAATAATTTTTCTTCAGGCTAGAATAAAAAATTGGGAAATATTGCGAAATATCTAGGAAAAATAGTGCAACAGACACAGCGAAAAAAATTATTTTTTTGTACACAAAAAATTCGTTGCGGAAATTCAAAAAAAAAAATAGGCGGAGTTTTCCACGTGCAACCCCTGGCAGCGTCTTTCTGCAATATTATTGCATGTGCGCACGGTTTTTGTGTGTTCTCCCCTTTTGTTTTTTGTTTTTTTCCTTTGTGTGTGCAAACACTTTCTGTTTTGCGCACCGTACCACACGGAAACAGAAAAAATAATTTTTTTTCGCTGTGACAGATTCAAAAAGACAAAAAAAAAAGAAAATAAAGCGAGACAGAAAATATATATAATAACACAGCAATAAAAAAAAACGAGAGAGTACAGCTGATTGAGAGAGTGCGAGAGAGAGAGAGAAATACAACAGAACCGCATAATTTTTAGGTTATAATAGCAAAAAACAATGACGTCATTTGAAAATGCGAAAAGGGGGCGTGGCTTGATTTTTGGGCAGTTTGCCAGAAAAACAACGCGCGCGCGCGGGAAATAAAAATAGAAAAAAAGGAATTTTTGGGAAGTTGTTGTAAATCATTAGATAGATGAATGATAAGAGAGATTTTTTTGGGAAGACGATTTTTGTGTAAGAAATCAAGATTTTTGGATTGTGGAGAAAAATTTCAGAAACAAATTGTTGGAAGATCGGAAAGGGAAATTTTGAAACGTATTATTTTCAGGCGTTTTTCTGACAGAAAATTAGGAATTTATTTCATTATTGCTCATATTAAACACTACATAGCTTTAATCATTGGAAAAATCTTACAGAATCCCAGTATAGAGCATTGCTCATATGAAACACTAAACATGAGGTATTGCTTATGTTAATCCAATTGTAATTGCAAAAATAAAAATTTTCTGCAATAACCTAACAATTCCAAAAATTGCTCATATTAAAGAAGAAATAAAAAAATTGTTCATGTTAATCTAACTTTAAAACCTTTTAAACAAACAGTATTGGGAAAAAAAACCTAGGCATTGCTCATATTAAATTATTTCACTCAAAAATTCAGAGCTTCATTTGTCTGCATTTTTTCACGAATTGCTCATGTTAATATGTTCTTTCTAATTCTCACAATAAAATTTTTTTTTCTGTTTTGAAAAAAAACTCGAATTGTAAAATTTTTACAAAAATGTGTGAAAATTTCAAATCTGATTTTTATTTTCTGGAAAAAATGCAATTGTTGCCGGTCTTCTTATAGTTGTTGTAAGTTTGAAATTATAGATTTTCAGCCGGAAAATTTTAGTATCCCAATGGACCTCTGAGCAAAGTTCTGAGCTCTCAAAGTTCAAAAATTCGCTGATAAAAATTATCATAACTCAACTCCAGAATAATTTTTTTAACTATGACGTGGCAATTAAAAAACCCTTTATTCACACAACATACTTCAATTTCTCTTTAACAATTCGAAAAAACTTCCACCGAAAAAAAGTTTCAATTGTAAAATCACGATACGGTTTGTGAACAATTAGAGTGACAATTGAAGAGATTCCACCATGAGTTGCAAAAAATATAATCGTCAAATTCGAAATTCCCTGATTATAATATCTTGTTGAAAGTGAGAAGACAACAAAACAAGCTGGCCCGGCGAGAAAAATCATCGGAATGCAAACGTGCAAACACAGCGCCAACATGAATCGCATTCGAAGTTGATAGGTTCTTCTCGATCCCGAATGTCTGCTTTTGATCAGATATCGGAACGATGCGGTGAGATAGAATAATAATTGGGGAACAACTATGAAGAGTGTTGCGATGATGGCTAGAATTGCGATGGCTGGATGCAGGGTTAGACAGAAAAAATATGGGTTCTGAAATAGCTTGTGAGCACCGGGAAAATCGGGAAACTCCTCCAGGATCGCATGAACGGCTTGATTTTTCTCGGGAATATTGAAAAAGGCGGGGATGATGAAGGTGATGCCCCAAATGTATTGAAGTCCGGCGATCGAGTATCGCCGGATCTTTCGGTTAAGTGAATCCACCGTGTTAGATCGTAGTGTATTGTAGCGATTTTCGAATAAAATTACTTGGGAAGTTGAGACAACTGGAAAAGTTTTTTTCTAATTTTCAAAAAAAAAAAGATCAAACCTCCAATAAAACTAATCGCCAGATACACCTGAATCGATACGGGAACATTCAAAAATCTCAGCAATCCCATCGGATATCCGGCTGGATAGGGAAGTAAAAACATCGGACAGGTCAAGAGGCTCAGATATAAATCGAGAATTGTGCTCGTCACATGCAAAATCAGCATGCTCGGCCGAACTGACAGCATGTGTTTTGGAGTTTTAAAGACGATACAATAAGCGACGAAGGTGTTGATTGGAATCTCGAAGAATGTTAGAATATGGAAGGTGTAAATGCAGAAGTTTTCTGTGGCGATTATATTATTCAAGTGTTTCCAAAACATGATTGTTTGAGAATAATTGAAAATTAATGTTGTTTGCATGAGGAACTTTTGAGACAGGTGTAAATTTAAAAGCAAAATGAAACTATTTTTCTGGGAATTTGAAATGAAAACCGAAAATCGGAAAATCAAAACATCAGGAAATGACGTGGCTATTTGAAAATTGAAATTGAAATTTTTTTTTTGAATTTTTTGATCCACAAATAGTAGCGAAAAGTTCAGCCTACAATTTGTGGCCTGAAATTTCAGAGAAGATCTGATTGCAATCAAATTTTGAACGAACACTTCTGAACTTCAAAAATCGGAGATTTTTTGGTTGGAAACCGAAAATCCACGTGGAAATTCAGAAGATCTATAGATCCAGAATCTCTTTTTTTTTGGGCTGAAATCGTTCGATAATTGACTTTTAAAATTACGTATTTCACATTTTAAATCAGGATTTCCACATTTTTAATCAGGATTTCCAGCTTGATCCTCAAAATCAGATCTTCCAGTATAACCTTCGGAAGCTTCTGAACTTCCCGAATCTAATTATGATTTAAATTGAAGATCTGAACATCTAGCTTCACCTGGATAGGCTCTGGATTGTTCAGACTTTCCGAGCTTGGAAATATGGATTCAGGATTTCCAGCTTGATTCTCAGATCTTCCTGAAGGTCTAAATGACATCTGAAAAAAACTCATTGAAAAATTTTTTCTAGCTGATTTTGTAGCTAAATTCTGCAAATAAATTGCTTAGGTTAAAAAACCCCTCAAACTCGTCAAAAATAACAAATTTCCAACATTTTCGCACTCAACCTCTGTGACGTCATAGCAATTATTTATAATAACTTGTGTAAAACAAATTTTTTTCATGCAATAAAAAAAATAAAATAATTATGGGTTTTTGTAGCCGTAAAAGTTCAATTTGTGTTGGGGGAAAGGGAAAAAATCACAGCTCAAAATGGGGTGGAGAAAAATAATTGGGTTTCAAGTATGATCCATAAAATCACCGGGTGGTTTGAAACAGTAGCATTCCAACAATTTCATGGCCGTCGGCTTTAGTCTTCGCTTCATTTGTGGCGAATAGAAAATGTAGAGATAGAAGAGAAAAGCGTGGTGGGTGTAGAGGAAGACGTGAGCGAGAAGGGAGATTTGTTGCATGAGGGGACGCTGGAAAACGGGGATTTTTGGATGAAAATTAGGCCTACTTTTAAGAACTTTTGAGTTATGACGTGGCAAATTTAAAAAAAATCGAGATTTTGGGAGCTGAAAACCAGTTTCAAAATGATTTTAGGGTTCAAAAGGTACATTCAAAAATCTGAAAACTGTTTCAGAAAAGTTTGAAATCTGCAAATGGAAAAAAATGTTCAAAATTGATCACATATAAAAAAAATCCCTCCTGAAGCTAATTTTCAGCTCCTAAAATACAGATTTTCAGAAATTTTCAAACTTTGCCACATCATAACTCATTTGTTGACATTCTCAAACATTTTTTCAGTGTTTCAAAATAACTTATAATTTTTTTTTTCAAAACGTAAAAAATTCGGGATTTTTTGTTCTAGAATTTTGAGCGGTTTTCAAAAAAATTCAAATTTTCTAGATAATAATGAATTTTCAGATTATCAAAAGTTGAAATTTTCAAAATTCATATTTTCCATCAGAAAATAAATTTTCAATGTATACATAATTCTGAGTTATTGTCTTAAGGATCCAACATTTGTTCAGTGTTTCAAAATAATTTAGCAATTTTTTGAAACGTAAAAAATTCGGGATTTTTTGTCTAGAGTTTTGAGCGGTTTCTTTTCTTAAAAAAATCAAATTTTCTAAATTATAATGCATTTTCAGATTTTCAAAATTCAGAAAATTTTTCAGTGTTTCAAAATAATTTATAACTTTTTCACAACGTAAATAAATCGGGATTTTTTATCTAGAATTTTAATTTTTTTTTTGAAAGTGGTCGAGATCAGAACATTTTTTCAGTGTTCCGAAATTATTTCTTAATTTTTTGAAACGTAACAAATCGGGTAACGTAATTTTTTTTAGTATTTTGTTCCCAAATTCAAAACCTAACTCACCTGATCCGAAACTCCCAAAAGCACATTCGAAATGCGATAAACATAATTGGGCAAATTCAACAAAATAAAAGCCGACGTCACAATCAAAAGACTTCTCGTCAATTGTATATCCGTGTATCGAATTCCTTTTTTCTTGATCATATTTGTTGAAGCGCTCGCTGTTGTCGGTTTGTCGATATCGATTGAATTTCGTGTCGAGACCCGGGTATACGATTTTGAAAGAGAATGTGAGACGGGAACTGTGGTTTGGGTGGTTAGGACAACGTCGGCCGTGTTGAAGGAGACAACTGGTGAGCCGGGATTTCGTCTGGAATATTTTTCAACATTGCTTTATACGAGCCATTTTTCTTTTCATTTGTCTTACACCGAGTTGAAAAGATTGATAACATTTTCAAAAATTTCGACAAAAAATATATAAATTTTTTGAAACCTAAAAATTCCTGCTTTTTTATGAGGAACATTATTTTTCGAGAAATGAAAGTGGACCTTCAGATTTTTGAAAAAAAATTCAAAAATCCACGTGGCAATTGCTCATTTTAAGACAATAATTACCGATGATTATTTACAAAATTGTCAAAAATTTAACATTTTTCAAAAATTTCGAAAAAAAATTATCAATTTTTTGAAACCTAATTTTTCGGGGGTAAAAAATTCTACGAACAAAAATTGCTTTTATTTTCAACATGTTGAAAATCCGCGTGGCAATCGCTAATTTTAACCTAAATTTTTCGGGAAAAATCGGAGCTTTAAAAAAAAATAAAGTTCCCAAGCCAATTTCCCTCCCAAAAAATCCAAACCTCAAATGCTGATTCAATTTCAGCACCACCAATACATTGGAAACAATTATAATAATACTTGGCATTGCCATACAAACAAAAGTCTCGAGAATCGTCATAAACTGATACAATCCAACGTAGTCTTCTTTGATGTCGCATTGTCCGATGCTGTCGACTTCGGCCACGAACAGAATCCATGCATTGAAAAGCATGGCGATGGCGAGGAGACCTGAAATTTGATGGGGATTTCAAATGTTCCTCTTCCTTTTTCATTTATTCATTTTTATCAATCAATAAACCTAACCCCATTGAATTTTGTTTGCTGATAAAACGTATAACTCTTATCAGATTTTTAAAACAACATTCTAAATTTTCCTTCCCAATGGATTATCATATTCAACAGCTACCTCAAGAATATGCAAAACAAATTCGAATCAAACTTCAAGAATATAAAGAATCGGCTGAAACTGATGATGAAGCTCGAATTGCGATCGTTTCTTCAATTTTCGATTGTGCCAGCAAAAACTATGACAAAATTCAAGATTTGGAACAGATTTGTCGAATTCAGATGGGATATGAATATAATCTGCAAAACAACGAAGGACCATTTCGAGCAGCCGTTTGGAACAAAATCTTTTCTATTCTAAACAAAATCGTGAATTCCACTCAGCGCAGAGATTTGCAAATTGGAGAAAAAGATTGGTGTCTAATGTGAGTTTTTTTTAAACCAAAAAAAACTCTTGATTTGTCAAAACTTTAGGAAATTCATCGGTCCATTTTGTATGGAAGAAGAGTATCTATACAGAAATCCGAATAATCAAAAGATATGCTATCTAATCAAAACATGTTTCTTCAAACCAATCTCATGTTCCTGTATAGCGAATAATGACTCAAAAATGTTGTGCCATAGACGAGAATGTCAGATTATTCCATTCACTCCGCAACAAATCAATGATCTACAAAATATAAGCAGTGAATATAGGATTCAATGCGGAATTGTGTTATTTGAATCGATCAAACGTTTGTTGATAGATCTTCACATGATTCAGGAATGTTATTATTGGCATGGAAGATTGAAGAAATGTTGGCCTTATCTCGGGAAACATACACAAAATATGATCAGAGATTATTTGCAACCAAAGAGGAATGAATTCAAAACTAGTGATGAAGAGTAAGTTGGTTTCTGCTTGTTCGAAACTCAGCTAAATCATTTTTTTAAGCTTCAAGAATGAAGAGAAGATCGAATCTGAAAAGTAAGCCAGAGATGTTTTTCGAAGATTATTGAGAATTTTTCAGAGATACACATGAGATTATTAAAAATCTGATGGCTGAAAATGACCAACTACGAAGTCAGTTGAAACAAGAAGCAATCCAAATCATGGATTTCAAATTCAAAATTGAAGAACTCGAAAGAATCATCGAAAATCGCAACCTCAGCCACAAAACCATCATAAAATGTTCAAACATTCGCCGAATTCATCAGAAATACGAGAAAATTCTGAAAACCGATGGATATAGTTTGTATCTATCAAACATCGACAAGTTGCTTCAACTTCATCCAAAATCAATCGAAATTCTAACAATGAAAGTCGAGATTTTGAAAATTGAGGGAAATATTGAGGAGTATTTGAGGAGGATTAATGAGAGTTATTGGAAAATCGAGCGAAATCCGGATATTTCGATGGATGAATTGGGAGCGGAGATTGAACAAATTCCAAGTGAAGAATTCATGGAGAAATATCAGAAATTGATTGTTGAGAATAGTTTTACTTAATCACTTTTGATTTCTGTTTTTTTTTGGATAAGTTTATATTTCCAGAATAAAAATTTAGGTGAAAACTTTTGAAACATTCTCCTCGTACAATTAGGCGGACTAGGTTTTTCAAATTGCAAAACCTAGTCCCCTCTTTAGCTCTCCAGAGAAAGCTTTTCCATTTCAAAATTCGAAAATTCCCCCCAAAAATCCCAGACTCACCTATAACCTGCGCTCTGGCCCTCTCCACCGTCAACATCCTCGTCTTCCGATACAACAAGATCAGTCTCTCAAATCCCACCAAAACAATCAACCAAACCGACGAAAAATCACAGACGTGTGCCAGAAATGTGTTGAAAATGCAGCTGTAATTCGAGTTGCGCAAAATGGAATCCTCGAAAATGTCCTGGAAAATTTGGGGAATTTTGAGAGAAAATTTTGAAAATTATGTAGATTTTGATGGAAAATTGGTGTGGAAAATTAGAGATAGAGTGGTGAAGGACAGGAAGTTGGGATCATTGCTCATGCTAGAGACTAGACAGGACAATTTTCGATGTTCAAAATTCAATTTTGCCACGTGGCAAAACTCAACATTCTGTGCTCAGAGAGGATTTCAGGGTGCGATTTCAAACCAAAACCTAAAAAGAGCGAAAAATGGCATGCACATACATAGAAGTATATATTAGCGACCTCTTCAATCCAAAAAACGAGAAGTGAGAAGAGGAAAAACGAGGAGACCGCGGCCAAACACAGCAGGTAGATGTTTGTGGGAAGTTTCGATAGCATTCGATTTGATCTGGAAAATTGATGTTGGAGGTTTTGTTTTGAACTCGGACATCTGGCCTGATTTTTATAGTTGGATTCAAGATTGGCCTTTTTTGAGAAGGCTCGATTTTTTTTGGCTCAAAATTTTTTTTAGGTAATAAATTTGATTTTTGACTTTTTCAGATTAAATTTTCTGATATTTCAATTCTCAACTTTCAGAATTTTCCAAAAAAAATCCAATTTTCCCCATTTTCTGTTCAAAATCCCGTCATTTTTCCAGATTTCAGATTTTTTTAAGATAAGAGCGGTCCATGAAAAAAAAAATTTCTAGTTTTTTTTTCGAAGTTGTGCTGATTTTTTTATTTATTTTTTTTTAATCTGCAAAATTTCTGGAATTCTCGATTTCAATTCTCAAGTTTCAGAATTTTCAGAAATTTTCCAGAAAAATCCAATTTTCCCATTTTTCTAACCCCAGATTCATAAAAACTGAAAATTCTGGGTAAATTTTCAGATTTTCTGAATTTCTAGTTTTTTTTTCGAAGTTGTGCTGAATTTTTTCAATTTTTGATTTATAGCTGCAAAATTTCTGGAACTTCAATTCTCAAATTCCAGAATTTTCAGAAATTTTCTAGAAAAATCCAATTTTCCCCATTTTCCTAACCGCAGATTCATAAAAACTGAAAATTCTCATCTGAAAATTCTGGGGAAATTTTCAGATTTTCTGAAGTTTCAGTGAATTTCTAGTTTTTTTTTCGAAGTTGTGCTAAATTTTTAATTTCTGATTTATAGCTGCAAAATTTCTAGAACTCCAGATCTCAATTCTGAAGATTCAGAAGAAAACTTTCCAGAAATATCCAATTTTCCCATTTTCCTAACCACAGGTTCATAAAAACTGAAAATTCCGATCAAAAAATTCTGGAGACTATTTCAGAAGTTTTACTGAAATTTCTAGTTTTTTTTTCAAAGTTGTGCTGAATTTTTTTTATAATTTGCAAAATTTCTGGAACTCTTTCAGAATTTTCCAAAAAAAAAATCCAATTTTCCCCATTTCTTCCCAATAATTCATTTATTCCAATTATTTCAATTCTTTTCTTTGAAATACAATCCATTATATTTCGGTCTCTATTCTTCTCCTCAAAAAAAAAACAAATTTCCGAAATTCTAAAATTCCAAGAAACCTCCTCTCTTCAAAAACATATACATAAAAAACTCTGTATTTGTCGAATAAAAAAATCCTCTGGCTCATTAAAATTCGTTTCGAGTTTGAGTTTGAGTTTCAAAAAAAAATGAAAAAAATTGAAGAGGCGTCTTGGGATGAATAAATAACAATTATATATTTTTGTTGTGGTTGAAAAATTGTATAGATTGGGAAAAAGGAAAGAGGAGGAAGGAAGTATGAAGCAAAAACTACAAACTTTGTGTTTTGAGTGAAAGAAAAAATTAATTAGTTTTTGGAATTCACAATTTTCATCGGAATTGAAAAAATTTTGCAAATTAAAAAAAATTTGATTTGGAAAATGACCAAGATACGTGGCATTTCAAAATTAATTTTGTGGTTTACAGGAATTTCAGAACTCAGATTTTCTTCCCAAAATTTCATGCTATACAGTTTTTCAAGCTGAGAAAAATCCTGTTTTCAGTTTTTGTTGAGCAACTCTCTGAAGAGCCCCAAAATCGAAAATATGTGGTTTTGAGAGCTCATAACTCATGTTAGAGAAGATTTTTGAATCCAAATTTTTCAGAAAAAAATTTCGTGGCTCAGAAAATACGCTCAGGATTGCACATTTGAAAAAAAAAAGGAATTTTCGAAAATTTGTAGTTTTGAGAGCCCATAACTCATGTTAAAGAAGATTTTAACAAAAATTGAGCACAGGGAAATGTTCAGGAGGATCGATTTACCAAATTCGCAAATTTTAGGTTCCATACTTTTTCAGAAAAATTTTTCGTGGTCAAAATTTTTGATTTTATAAAATCAACCCTTCTGAACATCACCCTGTACTCAATTTTCCATAAAAATCTTCTCTAACATGAGTTACGACCTCTCAAAACCACGAAATTTCAGAAATTCTCAACCTTCGGCTCATTTTTGTGCTCATAGAAAAATAATGACATCAAATTCGCAATTTTTTCTTCTTCCTACATAATTCGAATCAAATTATCAAATAAAAAACATCGTGACTTCCTTCCTTCCTTCCTAGTTTTTCAGCTCAAAAATTTGTCCCCAACGGAAAAAAATTTTAAAATTTACATACCTGATCAAAATCCAAACCATCGTATTTCCAGTCAGCCCAACGAACACACAAAATGGCATGTAGAAATAGTACATGTCTTGGAAGAGGGTTCTGGAAAAAAAAAATTAAAAATTGGTGTCTGGAATTTTTCAGAGGTCTGAAATTGATTCAGAGCTAGATTTTTAGCTAAAATTTCCAGATTTTCAGCAAAAAAATGTCTTTTCCCTTACCTATTTTTCATATTTACTACTTCTTTCTTCTATTTTTCTCTATTATTTTCTAGATGTAATTAGAATATTCAAACGAACAAAAAATAAGAGAAGAAAGAGTATATTTTCCTTTTTCAAAAGAAAAATAATGAAAAATATAAATAAATTAATACTTGTTGGGCAAAAATAATGGGCGTGGCTAAAAATAAAGAAATTTCCTTTTTTTTCGAAATTTTTTGGAAATTCTGAATTTGACATGATCGAAAAGCAAAAAGTTTCATTTTGCAATTTTGCGGCGCACTTTTTCTGAGCGGGAAAAAGAGAGGTCCAAAAATTAATTAATTAATCAGGAAACCTTCAGGAAATTTGTGGGTTTCTTTTTGGACGAAAAACGAGACCAAATAAAATTGATCAAAAATCAGGAAAAGATCATTTTTTTATGGGAAATTCCTGGATTTCCTGGAATTTCACGAAGCCTGAAACTAGGGTTATAGGCTTAAAATAAGGGGCTTGAGCGTTTAGACAGCCTGATTTCGGCTCGAAAAGGCCTCAAAAACCAGATTTAGATGAATAATCTACTCATTATTGTACCATTAACTAGAGTGTGGTTTATTAGGCCTCAAACTCGATTCAATATTATTGTACTAAAATGTAGTTTGTAAGGCCTCAAACTCCACTAATCATTGTACTAGAGTCTACTTTGTAAGACCCTAAATTTTCGTGCGCTTCAAGACCACCCACTTTTTCAACATGTTCCTTTAAAAACTACGGTATAGTTCACTTAAACAAACTTTTTTCTCTCTGACAAAATCACGTCTTCTCGTGACACAAAAGGTGTTATAAAAAGACTACAAAGTGTAATCTTCATCGTTTATTTTTACAACAAAAAATGAAGAAACTACTGTTGATTTCACTTGTTTTAGTACCGATTATTCTTTGTACACGATTTTTGCGCGATGAAAATGAAGATTCCGAGGAAGAGGAAGAAGAAGCCATGGAGATTTTGAGGGTTAGTTATGACGAGGGAAGTGCGCTCTATTGAAATCTAATTCTTGCAGTCCGACAATCTCGAAGTCGCCGAATACTGTGCAGCTGAACAAGAGCAATACATCTATTTTTGCCACGGAATCTGGTCGATCGATAAAATTCGGCGAATTCAGCGAAAACTCGCACAAATCGAAAAATTCTGCGCGGGTTACAAGAAGTCTTGTGTCAAAAGAGGGGGAGTCGAGTTCGAAGTATCTGCTGAAGAAGAGCTGAGCCTCGAAGCAAAAGCGGAGCGTCGAAAACGCGTCGAAAATCGAGCCGAAGACATGGTTTTTGAGGAGGTGATGGAGAAGTTGGCGGAAATTGTACCGTGTCGACCGAATTGTGACGTCACCATTCATCCACATTGCACAAGGCGTTGTAAGGTTTGTTAGAGCATTTTGGGGGCCTGATTTTTAGCCAGTAAAAAATTTTTGCAGTGTGAATATGAGTCTAGACGGATTAGGAATCGATGCTCACGGCGGAGCTCGAGAAATGATTATTATTGTCAACTTTGGTACGCTTCATGCTCGGGATATCTTGGAAAATAAATTATTTTTTGCTCTGTGGATTTTCAGACAAAATTATCTCTCAAAATGCACTTACTTCACAAAAAAATTGAAGTTGAACATAAATTTCAGAAAAAAAGGATAGATATATGTGGGGCCGAACTATTTTGGTGGCCGAGAATTGTCGGGAATTCGGCCAAAGCAACAAACTTGGAATTTTTCGGAGAATGTCAAATTTTCAGCCATTTTTCCCAAATTTTCAGAAAAATATTTCCTTTAAGCTATTTCCCCCGTTCAAAATCTCAAAAAAAAATCCCACAATTATCCAGATAATTCTTCTCAAAAACATCAAAATCATAAAGTTCCTCAAAAATTCGTCATTTTTTATTTCTCACAAAATATGAAAAATGTTCAACTATTGATCAAACAACTTGTGTTGTTTTTGCCGAAAATAAATGGGAACTTTTTTTTGGAGAACTGGAGAAAAAGCTGAAAAGGAAAAAAACTTGTTTCTAAAATTAGACCGGAAAGGGAAGATTTCTGATCTTTCCGGTGAAATTCGGGAATTCTCATGAGAAATTTGGTTTTTTTTTTTGGAAAAATCATCTGACACGCAAAAATATGTGAGTCAATTTTGCCACGTGGCATTTTGAGCTCAAAAATTCGAGGGATTTAATTAATTTTTGAAGGATTTCAGCTCAAAAACCAGAAAAATTAAGGAAAAAACACGGTGTTTTGTGGAAAAAAGTTCAAAGTTTTCAGAAATTCCATGATTTTTAAATTTATTTTTACTTGGAGAAAACCAAGCAAAAAATCTAGTTTTCTGGGAAAAATCACGTTTTCTTTGGAATTTTTCTGATAAAAATTTGCTTGAAATTTTAATTTTGGTTAAATTTTTTAGTTCAAATTTTATTCTAATTTCATTTTGAATTAATTTTTCAGATTGAAAAATTTAATTGTTTTCAGCTGAAACTAGGTACAAAATTCAAGAATTTTGAATCTTCAAAAATATTTTCAAAAATTACTGATCTTTTGAAATATTTAAAAATAAAAATATTTCAAAATATCTAGGATCAGTAATTTTTGAAAATATTTTTAAAGATTTTTCAAAATTCTTGAATTTAACTTCAAATTTTACCTAGTTTCAGTTGAAAAAATCAAAATTTTCATAATTTTTCCCCCGAATTCAACCCCAAAATGTACCCACCTCTCCTCCATTTCTCGATTATCCAACTCAAAAAAATCCAACAATTGCGTTTGATTAAAGCTCAAAAATTCGCTGCCAAATACGTCACTCAAATGGTTGATAACATTTTGTTGGAGGAGTGAAAAGTTAGTAGTAGTGCCAAAAACTTCTGCCATTTTCTCTTTTCTTTTTCGAGCTCCGCAAGCAAATGTGGGCGGAGCTTCTTAGCTTCTTCTTCTTCTTTTCTTCTCGTAGACACTGAAAAAAGAAGACGTTTTTTTTTGATTTGATAAAAAATGTGTGGCTGGGACAAAAGAGAGACTTTTCGGACTCGAAAAAAAAAATTTTTTTTGGCAAAATTTTTGCTAAAAATAAAAATAAATGAATGAATTTTCCGAGAGGAAATTGTGTATAGAAAATGACATTTTTAGGTTTTTTTTTGGCGAATTGAGCCAATCAAGGTTTCATAGACAGGAAGGAAGAGAGAAAGAGAGAGAAGTAGAGAAAAAAATTGACAATTAGATTAGAGACGCAGAGAGTTAGAGAAATAGGAAAGATAGAGACGCAGAGAGTATCAGACGGTTAGAGAGCCAGAGGCAAGTCAGAATCAGACAGCTAGAGAACATCTAGAGACGCAGAGAAGCAGAAGGCTAGGGTCTGGTGGTTAGAAATGGTTAGAGATGCAGAGATTCAGCAATCAACTACAGTGACTGACGTATTTTCGGTGTTTTTTTCGCAGCTAGTACAAAACAAGTATTTGTTGTTGACGTGTATTTTGTAGCTCAAAACGTTGGCGCATATTTTGTAGCCAGTGAACTTTAAGAAGACCAAATTTGCTGGCGTCTTTTCTGTAGCTATTGAAAAATCCTTCACTGGCGCATTTTTTGTAGTTGAAGTACTTTCAGAGATCTACGTTTGCTGGCGCTTTTTTTGTAGCTAGTACAAAACGAGTATTTGTTGTTGACGCGAATTTTGTAGCTCCCAAACTTCAGGTACCCACAGATGGTACTTTCACTGACGCATATTTCGTAATCAAATCTCTGACCGCTTTGCTGACGCAAACAAATCCTATCACTTTCCTAAGCCCAACATAACACAACTTTGAATCTCAAAAAAAGAAAGAAAAAACAGATCAAAAACATGCTCATTTCCTGTGAGCACACATAAAAATGCCATGCTAAGAAGGAAGAAAATATGAGATTCTTCTAGTTGTTTACATCATCCATCCAACTTCTAATAAGTTCTGAAAATTGTGAGAAGGAAAAGAGTCGGGTTTACTCAAAAAAAGTAAAAAAGTAAAGGGAAAACTTTTAATTGGAAAAAAATTCTCGCGCACCAAATTTTTGCGTCGAAAATTATTGGTTAGCGGCGAAACCCAGGGCAACGCTCTAATCTCTAATCAAATGTAGTTAACTACATTTTTATTAGGGAAAAAAATCTAGAGCTGAAAATCCGGCGGCTAATCTCTCCAAAATTTCAGAGCAAAAACTTTTTATTTTTCAGCATTCCGAAAGCCTGAAAAAAGCGTCTTGAAAAAACAAAAAACACAAAAATAATTGAATTTTTTTTTGGCAAGCATAGATAAAACAATATTCACTTGATTGAACACCGTGTTTCAGCCAACAGAAAAAATTTGCCAAAAAAAAGTATTTAGATGTTTTCGAGTGAAAAGGTCATTACACTTAAGAGCCGAATTTTGGATGATGTGTTTTTTGTTGTGTTTTGTTTTGACTATTGCAAAGATCGGAAGATTTTCAGCGTGAAAAATATAGGTTTGCCACGTGGCAAATTGCTTCGAAGAAATTTGAAAATAAGAAAATCTGAATTTCGATAAGAAGGTATTTTTAAAGAAAAAAATTGACGTTGGAAAAATGAAAAACATCAGAAAACCCTAAATTCAACAATTCACGAACGAAAAAAACGTTTTTTTAACATCGAAAGGCCCAAATTCAAAAACATTGTAGTTCAAAATTAGTTTTTCAGCCAAAAATGATGACAAATTGAGATTTTTGAAGCTTCTGGAGTAATTTCTGAAGAAAATGAGATTCGAGAACCCTATTTTACCTGATTTCATTAATTTTTTCGAAATTCATCAAAAATTGAAATTTTTTATTTCACGAAAAATCAGCAAAAACTTCTGCAAAGGTTTCTTATGAAAATTGATCTTGGACTTCACTTTTCAGAAGTTTTTGCTAATTTTTCGTAAAATAAAAAAAAATTCAAATTTTTATGAATTTCGAAAAAAAATTAATAAAATGAGGTAAAATATGGTTCTCGAAGCTTATTTTCATCAGAAATCACTCCAGAAGCTTCAAAAGTCTCGATTTGTCATCATTTTTGATTCAAAAACTTGAAAAAACTAATTTTGAGCTACAAAGTTTTTTCGACATTCTAAAAAATTCCAAAACTATAAAAAAATAAAACTCTGATTTTTGACCAAAAAGCATTCATCTCATACATGGCACTGCTCTCAAAATTGTGAGGGGGAGATCATGACATTTGGAAAAAATTCTCGAGGGGGGATCATGACATTACATACAAAAAATCTAAATTTTTATCAAAGTGAAATCGGTACGCTAGAAAAAAATTGGGTTTTTGCATGTGGTCATTTTTGACATATTTTTTCAGGTTCGATAATTTGGAAACTAGTTCTTTAGGAATATCGAATGTAGAGAACGAGCGAAGAATTCGACGGATATCATTCATTGGCTAATTATTCTTATTTCTCATTTTATTTCTAAAATTCTCAATTATATTTTTCTATATCCTTCTAAAATAAAAAATGAGTTTATTGTAGTAAGTTCCTTTCAGAAATTTTCATGCAATTATCATGCTCAACCCTTCTGAACAATTCCATATAAATTATAGACAATGCGTTATTTATTTGATAATCAAATTGAAATCCAAAAATATTGAATTACAAAACAAAAGAAAAAAGTGGATTCCACCGAGAATTCGATCCAAAAACCCTCAGATTATTACGCGCGATCTCTACCGACTTGACCACGAGGCTACTTTCTTTCACACGCTTATTTTTAAGTGATAAAAAAGGGATAGAAGGGGAGAGAAAATGAAAAAGAGAAGGAGAAGCGGAAAAAAATCATGAAATTTTTGAAAAATTACCATTTTTTATCGAATTTCGCCGATTTTGTTATATGTTTCGACTGTATAAGTAACTTAAGGATGGTAGAAAGGAATGTCTGTCGAAATTATCTAGAAGGAAGGCTTATTTCTTGAGATATGATCCCCCCAAAATGACATAGCAAAACGGCTTCGATTTTGGGGGGGATCATATCTCAAGAAATAAGCCTTCCTTCTAGATAATTTCGACAGACATTCCTTTCTACCATCCTTAAGTTACTTATACAGTCGAAACATATAACAAAATCGGCGAAATTCGATAAAAATGGTAATTTTTCAAAAATTTCATGATTTTTTTCCGCTTCTCCTTCTCTTTTTCATTTTCTCTCCTTCTATCCCTTTTTTATCACTTAAAAATAAGCGTGTGAAAGAAAGTAGCCTCGTGGTCAAGTCGGTAGAGATCGCGCGTAATAATCTGAGGGTTTTTGGATCGAATTCTCGGTGGAATCCACTTTTTTTCTTTTGTTTTGTAATTCAATATTTTTGGATTTCAATTTGATTATCAAATAAATAACGCATTGTCTATAATTTATATGGAATTGTTCAGAAGGGTTGAGCATGATAATTGCATGAAAATTTCTGAAAGGAACTTACTACAATAAACTCATTTTTTATTTTAGAAGGATATAGAAAAATATAATTGAGAATTTTAGAAATAAAATGAGAAATAAGAATAATTAGCCAATGAATGATATCCGTCGAATTCTTCGCTCGTTCTCTACATTCGATATTCCTAAAGAACTAGTTTCCAAATTATCGAACCTGAAAAAATATGTCAAAAATGAAACTCCCCCCACAGGATGTAATTTACTACCTCAAATCGCTAGACCTCAAAATTTTCATTAATTTTTGGGTAGATCAAAAATCATTTTTCTCTAAATCTCTCATTTTTGCGCTGAATTTCGTCGATTTTAGTCCCACCCCTAAGATCGTGTCAGGTCTCTAAAAATGCGCGATTTTTTTTGGGTAGTAAATTACACTCTGTGCCCCTCTCTCTTTGATATTTTTCATTTTTTTTTCACCATTTATTTTTTCAAATTTTTGACAAAAAAATTGAGGGGGGGGGGATCATGACATTTCAAAATTTCGGGGAGGGGGGGGGATCATTACATGGAGGGTCCGTTGGGCAAAGATGCCATGTATGATTCATCTCGAGTCAAGTACTCTGTGAGCAAACTAGACTTTTTTTTGAAAAAAAAATGATTTTTGGTGTCAAAACTTCTAGTTCAGAATCCCAAAAGCCACATATAAAATTCTAGAATCCGAAGTTTCTAGCGAAAAAAATTCTCAAGTTTCGTGTGAAAAATCTGAAGAACTTTGCGATTTTTGGCGTTGGAAAATTGTTAACTTCATATTCCACGTGGCACCAAATGAAAATAATTTTTCATCCAAAAGCTTAGGACTAGAAAATCTCAAATAGCCTTGGGCGAAATCCAAAAAAAAATAATTAGAAAATGAAAAAAAGACACGTGGATTTTTTTCAACACAAAAAAATCCAAAAATCATAATTTTCCATGTTGTTTTCATTGAAATTTGAGTAACGAACGAAAAAAAAACAAAATATTTTCCAAAGAGAGCAACAAAAAATGTGGCAATTTTTGTTGCTCTCGGAAAAATATGACACCTCTACAAATCAACAACTCATATTTCAAAAAAAGTTATGACGTGGCAAAACTTAGGCTAACTCTAGAATGGCGAAAAATAATAATGAGTTCACAAAATTAAATTATGGAATTATTTGGTGATGGGGCTATTCATGTTATTTTTCAACGCTGAGAAAACGGGAGAAATGCGGAGAAAACCTATTCAGGTAGGCTGAGAAAATACGAAAAAAGCGGAGAAAATGTATTTCCTCCGCATTTCTCCTGTTTTCTCAACATGCTGAGAAAATACATGAATAGCCCCATGACCTTTTAATTAATTTTCTGAAGTTGCAGGGAAAAATGGAAAATTCATAAATTTTTCAGAGTCTGAGGTCTAGAAACTTGGGCCTAAAAAGTCCAAAGGCCCAGAAAATCATGGAAAATCCCTGAAAATGAAGAAATCTATGATTTTCAGCATGAAATTCATATCTAAAAAAAATATTCCTGAATTTTTCACTGTTTCAAAAGTTAGATTTGGGATCTAAATTCTTTTTTGAGAAATCGTTTTATTTAGACCTAAATTTTGCGCTGAAAATCATAAAAGTGAAAATATCTAAAAATAAAGAATTTCCTGATTTTCAGCTCAAAATTCTGATCTTTAAAAAATATTCCTGAATTTTTGACTGTTTCAAAAGTTAGATTTGGGATCTAAATCCTTTTTTGAAAAATCATGTCATTCAAACCCAAATTTTGCGCTGAAAGTCATAAAAATGCTTTTCGTCCAAAGGAACTCCCAAAAAACCACTATCCAATCAAATAAAAATGTATACATTCGGCCGAAAAAAAAAATGAATAGCAAAACACATATAAAACAAGAGAAGAAGAAGAGGAGTATGTTCTTCTGGAGATAATAAATTTTTCATTTCATTTATCCGCCATGAAAAAAATAAAAAGAGGGAGGCTCTTTGAAACATGTGTTGAACATTATATGAGTGGTCACTTGTTTTATTTATCTAATTTTTCAGGAATTTTCCGTGGCAAAGAGAAAACTTTTAATTTTTTTTTTTAATTTTTAAACCTCAAAAAATATAACGAATTTTTGAAACAGTGAAAAATTCAGGAATATGTTTTTAGATCTGAATTTTGAGCTGAAAATCATGAAATTCTTTATTTTCAGACATTTTCAGCACTTTTATGACTTTCAGCGCAAAATTTAGGTCTGAATGAAACGATTTATCAGAAAAAATAATTTAGATCCCAAATCTAACTTTTGAAACAGTGAAAAATTCAGGAATATGTTTTTAGATCTCAATTTTTGGATCTAGAGACCTCAAAAAATATTTTTGAAACAGTGAAAAATTTAGGTGAAGATTTCTAGATTAGAATTTTGAGCTGAAAATCATGAAATTCTTCATTTTCAGACATTTTCGGCACTTTTTATGATTTTCAAAATTTAGGTCTGAATGAAACGATTTATCAAAAAAGAATTTAGATCCCAAATCTAACTTTTGAAACAGTGAAAAATTCAGGAATATGTTTTTAGATCTCAATTTTGAGCTGAAAATCATAGATTTCTTCATTTTCAGGGATTTTCCATGATTTTCAGCGCAAAATTTAATTTCAGAATTTTTCTATGTAGATTTCCCCCCAAACATGAGTAAAAAAACATTCGTGCTAAAAAATAAAGCCACGTGTGACTTTTTTATTACTAAAGTCTTCTAAAAACATAATTTCAGATGGTATTTTCAGCACAAAAAAATGATTTTTGAAATTCCGGATCTCCCAGACTTTTTCTTTTTGAAAAATTCATGAAATTTTGAGAAAATCTGAATTTTTCAGTATTTTTCAAGAAAAAAGGAAATTTTTTGATTTTACTGGAAAATTCCTTTGCCACGTGGCAGAGCAGAATTTTTTTGAAAAAAAAATAAACAAAAAATATTCTAGTCTAATAGAAAATTGTAAGCCTAATCCGAGATTTCTCAGAAAAATGACGAAAATGTCGAAAAAAAACGTCATAACTTGGAGATTTTTGGTTACAAAATCATCTAGAAATTTCCACGTGGCAACTAGATATTACAGTATTTTTCTGAACTCTTCAAAGTCCAGGTCATTTTTCACTTGTCAATCATGAAAAATGTCAAGAAAAAAGTGGTCCACACACAAATGTATTCACAAATAATTCTCGTGGGATCTTTTAGTCAAAGCCAAGAAAAAAAAAAGAAAAAAACGCCCACGAATTACTGATGAAGAAGAAGCTGAATTTGATGAAGAAGAAGACAATTTGAAACAGCCAAAAAAAGTTGTACTTTATGTCAAAACTAGGACCAAAAATCGGCGAAAAATTCTAGTTTTACTCATGAGAAAAGAGCCCGAGGGTTATTATTTTTCGGTGTCCAGGAAGAAATAATTTTCTTCTTTTTTTGTTGAAAAAATGGCAGAGCTAATCCTTACTTAGATTACATTAAAAACACAAAGATTATCGGATTTTCGCAACATTTTCAGTGGAAAATTCGAAATCTTAATTTTCCGGAAAAAATAGAAACAGGAAGTATTTTTTTCTGCTTTTCGAAGAAAAAAAGGGAAGTTCTAATTTTTGAGCACAAATTGAGAAAATAGAAATTTTGTGCTCAAAATGTGGCTTTTAGGAGAAAATGTATAGCGAAAAAAATGATGACGACAAAAATTTTAATGTGCAAAAAGAGATATTGAATTTCACTTTGAAGAATATTTTTTTTTGAAAATTGGATTTTACGGAGAGAAAATCCACGTGGCCATCTTTAAAAGTGGGGCGAAATCTTTTGAATTTTCAGGAAAAAACTCACTTATTTTTCAAGAAGCTGCAGCACATCTGGTTCGAATTTGTCCAATCAATATTTGAAAATCGGGTTTTTCAGGATTTTGAGCAATTTTCCAGAAATCTCCCTAAAAAACACACTTTTTTTAACGAAAAAGTTTCCCTAACTCACCCTTTCTCACAAACCCACAATTCCGAAATGCCAATTTCTCAACCAATTCTTTTGATTCCACGTCAAATTTGCAAAAAACACGCGCGAAGCATTTTTTTTGCATTTTCAAAATAATGTGTGCATTTGTGCGTCGCCGTGTTTGCGGATTTCTGTGTAGTTCTCGAGGAGGATTTCGAAAATATTTTTATTTTTTCTTGTTTCTTTTTGAAAAACAGCTGAAAATGGATGAAATCAAGCAAGAAGAGATGGAAAATGATGAGAAAACGAGTGTGGATCTTATTAGAAGAGTTCCTGTGAAGATTGCTGTTCATAGCGGTCTGCGAAACACGTATAATCTATTGACACCCAGACTACCACCAACGAGGAAAGTTCTCCTGAAGCCACCGCGAGCCAGCCCAAATCTGAAGATGATTCGTCCGGCTGATATTGTGAATGGAGAAACTCGCGAAATTATTGGAAGATTGACGTTTCAGAAAATCAAAGCGCTGGAAAGGGAATCATCGGCAAAATTCATTGTGCCAAAACTTGTTGTTGTTCCGAAATCCGCGAAAAGTATAATGCTGGAGAATTTGAGGATTCGAAATATGAAGAAGAAGAAGAAAATGGAGTCTTCGATATCGACGAAAAATGAGGATGAATATTGGGGTGGTAAGTTGTTTTTTGGGAGGGGAGAAGCTGTAAAGTCCTGCTGAAAATTTCAGTTCCAATGATGACTCCACTTCCCAAAGAATACGATTCGGACAATTTCAAGCTCTCCAAAGTCAATCCGAAATTGGCAGCGAGGTTGGCGCGATTTATTGTGAGTTTTTTTTTTATTCCTGATTTTCATCATCCCAAAATCAAATTTTTCAGAACTTCAAAAAACCCGATGTAAAACCCAGCGAATCTGATTATCCCGATTATTTCCCCGAAATCCTTCGATGTCGCAATTTCGAACCTCCTATCGATCCAGAATTTCTATTGAACTCTCTTATGGAACCTCCTGAAATTCCAGAGTCTTTCGGAATGAAAGAAATCAAAAAAGAAGATCCGGATCTTTTCGAGAATGACAATAATGATAAAATTTGGTTTAGAAACGGTTTCGGAGAGGAAGAAGATGTGAAATTTGATATTTTGGACAAAATTTGATAATTTTCGACAGAAATCAGATGTTTTTCATGCATGAACATGAACAGCGTCTAATTTATTTTTCGTGTTATTTCCTAGTATCAAAATAAAGTTTTTTCTTTTTTCATATGTTACTTGGTTACGTACGCCACAACAAAAAATAACAATCATTTTTCCTGAATGTTTACCAAATTGTACATTTGCTTGTGATTTTTTGTTAGTTAGCAGAAGCCATTCCAATATAATCGATGAGAGAATGGTCATAAAATTATTTATTTTTGCATTCAGATGGTTTTTGTATAGTTTTTTGATTACAAATATCAAATAAAAAAAGAAGTTCCGAGCCGGGTTCGAACCCTGGAATCCTGCTGCTTTGAGAGCAAAAACGTAACCTACTGCGCCATGCGCTCACTTGAAGACGCGATGTGTTTTTTCCAAGACATGTTTGTTGCAGAAAATGGTGATCAAGGTGAATCACGGTGCGTTGTACGCGGCAAATTCGCCCACAGAAAATGCACCGCAGGAGCATTTCGAGATGCGGACAATGGGCAAACATCGTGGCGAAATGGTTAGAGTGTCAACGGTAAGAACTTTGAAAATACTAATTAATTAATTAGATCTTACTGTCGTAAAAGAAAAAAAAACAAGATAATTAATAAAAATCAAAGTTATTTTTGTCTCTTCAAAGAAAAAAAAACTTGAAAACATTTCATTTCGTCTGAAAATGTCTGAAATTTATCCGAGTATTGGAAGTGGCGTGGCTGACAGTGTGCCACGTGTCAAAAGTGTGTCGGATGTGGGTGTGAAGGATTGTCAAGAGTGTTATAAGAGTATGACCGGCGAGACGGGTTTCAAGGTGAGTTTTGGCGCCAAAATCTAGTTTAGGGGAACTTTTGAAACGTTTTTTTGCTGAAATTTGATATTTTTCGAGCTTCAAAAAATCGAAAAATGATTTTTGAAGTTGGAAATTCACAATTTTTGAAAAAAAAAACATTTTAGCTCCGAATTTTGAGGTAAGAGTTTTTTTAATTACAAAAAAAATTTCAAATCAAACTTTTTTCGCGCCAAAAAAATCCACGTGTCAAAAAAAACTCCGCTCATTGACTCTCAAAAAGTCCATTAGTCCACGGACCATAGCAACCAGCAAAAAAAGCTGCTGGCTATTGTCCACTCAATTTTTATTTATTTTTTTTTACTTTTTTCGTCTCAAATCACATGTTTTCATTATTTTAATTCCAAGCAAAAAAAATTGGGTCAAAAGTGAGAAGAAAAAAAAGTTAGTTAGTTAGGCTAAATTAAATTAGCATTAGCCTATTTTTCTTACTTAGGCTAAATCCTGATTATTTTTATTTTTTTTTGTTTGACAAAAAAAATGACATCTTCATCGATTTTGGTAAGAATTTTATTAATTTTTAATTGATATTTTTTCCCATCAAAAATTTGCATAAAAATTCAATTTTTCCATGCGAAAATCATTATTTTCTGATAATTTTCTCGAGTTTCCTGTTTTCGCCCAAATAAAAAAATCCAAAAAAATGAGAAAAAATTACCGGAAATCGCAATTTTACGGTTATTTTTGCGCCGGTGGATAAAAACATGTTGGAGAAATAGTGTGGGGTTGGGAGAGACGCAGAGAGGACCATTAAATATGTTTTTTGTGGTGTGTTGTGTTGAAATATAAAATTGTTCTTTTTCTAGTTTTCGTTCAACCCGGAGAGCCAAAAATCTGGGTTTTTGGATTTTTGCGCTAAAAACTTAAATTCGCCACGTGGCACACGATTTTTCCGGGAAAAAGTGAAAACTTATGAAATTTTTCAATCAGAAAATCCACGTGGAAAATGTTCTGAAATTTTCAGATCCTCAAAAAATTTAACTGGGGCTCAAAAATCCGAAATTAAAAAATTGCCACTTGGATTTTTCAATTGAAAATTGAAAATTTCTTTTGAGGATTTGAAAAATCCAGAAACCTGGAACATGAAATTCAGAACAGCCACGTGGCAAACAATTTTTTAGGATCTGAACATTGCAGAACAATTTCCACGTGGGTTTTCTAATGAAAAAATTTGCCACGTGGAAATTCAAGCCTAAATTTTCAACCAGGATTGAAAAATTGCCACGTGGCATTATTTTGAATATTTTTTTTCAAATTCTAAATTTTTCCACGTGGCACTTCTGAATTTCCGGCCCAGTTTTTTCTGAAAATTTCAAATCCTTAAAAGAAACTTTAAATTTTCAATTGAAAATTCTGATTTTCAAAATCCACGTTTCACAATTTCAGTGATTTTTTTTTGCAATTTCATTTTTCAGCTGATGAATTTGAATCCAAAAAATGCTCTAAAAGTGCACCAGGTTTTTTTCCCTGAAACTTGAACTCAAAAAAATCTTGAAATTCGAAACGTGACCTTTCAAAATTTCCACATTTTATTTCACCCAGTTTAAAAAATCGCTCATTTCTCAAAATTCCAAAATGTCAAAAACGTCTAAAACAGCTTCAAAAGGTTCCGCAGAATATACAGAGTTGAAAAAGGTTACAGTCAAAAATTTCAGCCAAAATCTCTGAAAATCCAAAATAATTTTTGCAGAGCAAAGACTCGGCTTCGCTTTCCGACAAAATGGCGGAGGACGAGAAGGAGTACACGATTTTCTCGAAATGCGCCGCTGAATTTATCGCAGTTTTGCTTTTTGTATATGTTGGTGAGTGTTCGGTGGGGCGCGTTTTCTTCTTTCTATTTGAGATGTTCTCGATAGAGCGCACTTGCCCTTCTTCTGTCAAAAATGAGAAAATAATTTGTTTTCTTGGGGGAACTTGCACTTTTTTGGTTGAAAACAAGAAGTGCACGTCATTTCATAAATAGTGATTGATTCTTTGTAGTGGGAAGGAAAAAAAGTGCGCTCTGATGCTAATTGCTCAGCTGGTATCAATGGAGCGAATTTGCTGATCTCAAGCCAAAATTCAGGATTATCAAGTGCGCTCTATTGAGAATGGAGCATTTTTCAAATTTCCCGCTGAAAAATACAATTATCAATGGAGCGCGCTTGCTGACTTTAAGCTTTCGGGATTCTCAATGGAGCGCAATTGAAACTAGTGAACACAAATGCGCTCCAATCCAAAAGTTATGGATTCCTAGGCCAGGTATCAATGGAGCGCAATTGGAAAATTCATCTACAGGGAGATCAAGTGCGCTCCAATGAGAAATATAAGATTCGGGATTTGCTAGTGAACACAAGTGCGCTCTAATGATAAATATTGATTTTTTTTTGGAGGGAAATTTGTGAATTCAAATGTTTACCTTGGAGCGCTCTTTTATCAGTAGAGCGCATTTGAAATCTTGAAAGCAAATCCATTTTCCAGGCTCAATGCAAGCCGCCGGCGTCCGGAATCCACGACGGCGTTCTCCACGCCGCAATCACCCACGGCGTCGCAATCTTCGTGCTCGCCGCAACCTTCGGCGGCGTCAGCGGCGCCCACGTCAACCCGGCAGTCACCATCGGCATCGCCACAGTCGGTCGAATCAGTCCAATCCACGCGATAAGTTACATCGGCTCCCAACTCTTGGGCTCGATTTTTGGAGCATTATTGGTGCGTATCTCATTGAGCGATGAGCAATATTCAATAATTGGCGGTGGCGCGACACTTTGTGCTCACGGCACAAGTTGGTACACTGGATTCACCGCAGAAATCGTCACCACCTATATTTTGGTGCAAACCGTGTTGCTCACAGCTGTTGACACCGATAAAAATGTGTTGGCCCCTTTGGCCATCGGATTCTCATTGATCATTGAAATAATGGCAGCTGGTGCAATTTCTGGAGCCTCAATGAATCCCGCCCGATCATTTGGTCCTAATATTTTGGGCCAAATCTTCTTGTCACATGATCGCATCAATAAATTGTACATGTTCTGGAATTTCCATTGGATCTATTATTTGGGACCATCGATTGGCGCTTTTATTGCGGGAGGCGTTTATCGCATCTTTTTCGCAAGGGATTATCGACTTTTGGCGTAATTGATTCATAATATTGGAGCCTTGATAATAAATTTATTGTTTTTATTTTATTTTTGCGGTGAGAATCCATGTGGCGATTTTTTTGATGAAACATATCGAAATTCACCAAATCGACCATGCTGATAACGATTCCTAAGTCAAAAATGCCCACTTTTCTAAAGCTCCAAAGTTAGAATTTGCGTATTTTCACCATATTCCAGGGTGGAAAATCAATTTTTATAATGGGCCTATGCAGAATAATATTTTGTAATAAAAAACATATTTTTCCTATGCAGAAAAGCGTCGAAAAAAACAAAATATACAGTTTATTATTTTTGAGTAGAGACAATGTGAAATTAAGAGAGTGCAGACAGACAAATTGATTTTTCGCACAAAAATTCAAAAAACTGTCTGCACTCTCTCAATTTCACATTGTCTCTACTAAACTGTATATTTTGTTTTTTCGACGTTTTTCTGCATAGGAAAAATATGATTTTTATTACAAAATATTTTTTTTTGCATAGGCCCATTATAAAAATTGATTTTCAACCCTGGAACATGGTGAACATGCGCAAATTCCAACTTTGGAGCTCCAGAAAAGTGGGCATTTTTGACTTCGGAATCGTGATCAGCATGGTCGATTTGGTAATTTTCGATATAACCTGAATTTTCTCTATTGAAAAACATGAAAACAACCTTTCTTCACCCAAAAATAAATATATATTCATCCATTTTCGAAAAAAAGTATCACATAATTCCCCTCATATCAAAAATAAAGCTATATCTAATTTCTCTTCTTCCGTTTCTGCTCCTCCGAAGTCGAATTCCAATACATGAAGAATTGGGCGAAAATCAGACCATTCAAAACCGCTGCGGAAGAATAGGAGACCAGCAATAGTTGATCATTGGTCTCTTGAAGTGTGGTGAAAACACGTGCCAAAGTTCCGGCAAATTGCAAGAAAACTGAGATAAGGGAGAGTTGGCCAGTGGATTTGGCTTGGAAATTCGAGTAGCATTGGATGGATTTTGAGACGAAGACGATTGGAATTCCAGCGGCTTGAACAGCAATTAACACATTCATTGGGATTAGATGACTGATTACACCATATGTGACTGAGGAACTGCAAAAAACTATAATCTAGATAAAGATTTAATTCAAAAATAAAAAAACCTACACAATTCCCAAAAACACAACAGATCCCAAAATATTCCCGGAAAACAACAAAATTTGCAGGATAATAATGACGACTTGAATCGAAACAAACAACGAATCACCCCATTGACTGAATGTGAAATTCGATCGATAACTATAGGCGGCAGTTCCGATGCCACCGATTAATGCAAGAAGTTGGGAGAGTAGTGAGATACCTTGCGCACTTCGAGCTGCTTGGATTTTCAGGATTTGCGGGACGAAGAGGAGAATTGATCCCAATGTGATGGCGAAACCCAAACCTCGACTGAGCACTGCTTTTGGGCAAGTTGCTGGAAAAATTTGTTTTGATTTTAAAAACCTGGGGTTTTGAGGGACTTACGATGGAAAAAGTTGAAGTTGATGAGCAATTCTTCGAAGCAATTACCCGGGAAGAGGGTCTGGATTGCATTGTGCATGTATTTTTCCATGTTTCCCCCTGGAAAATTGATTTTTTGTGACGAAAAAGGAAACAAAAAAAAAGAAATGAAAAAAATATTTTGTGCGTCAACAAGAAACGCGTCAGTCTTGTGTGAACCTTGGCGCTTTTCGAGATTTTTCTTTTTTTTTTTTTTTTGGAAAAAAAATTTGATACGAATCTTATCATTAGAAGGCAGAAAAAAAAACAAAAACAGGGTATCTATAAAACGTGCAGAAAAAATGAATACAAAGTTCGAAAATCATGAAGAGTCTACTAATCATCACGGTGGTTTTATTCGTAGGGAAAAAGGTTGAATGTGGAGCGAGAGAGGAGATCGCCGCAAGAGTTGTTGGTGGAATTGGTGTCACATTTTACACCAAAGATGAGATTTTGAAGATTCTTCAATGCACCGAAGAGAAAGCTTTCAAAAAACCGGAGGATCAGGATTTATTATGGAGTTGTAAGCTTTAAAAACAATTTTTTTAAGAAAAAATTCGAATTTTCAGCTGGGAGGCAATGTGTTTTGAGCAATTCGGGAAATAAAGGAGTGCAAGCGTTATCAATGTATTCTAATCTGAATAATTGTCTGAAAAAGGGCAATTCGAATGTCGATCAATTGTCTGAAAAAGTGCAGAAGCGGGCAATTTCGGAGACGCAGGAGGTTACTGATAAGGTTTGAAATTTTTGCGTCCGCGACGCACACGCAACGCATTCAACCCTCAAATTTTGTCCAGGCGATCAAAAAAATCTCCGCATGCAAAAAATCGTGCGACGCTCCGGATTCCGCTGCGTGCCGCGAGCAATGCGTCGAAATCTTCTACACAATTCTGAAGCAAAACATCAACAAACCAACAATCGAGGATATTTGCACAAAAGTGGCGAAAGACGATTTGACGCAAGTCGAATACAAATGCACATATCAAACGTTGGTGCAAGTCATGAAAATTGACTCGTATCAATGTTCGAAAATTGAGAAAATCTAGATTTTTCAATGAATTTTTTTACCCCTGAAATTCCAGCAACTCCAGAAAATTTCCAGATTATCTAGTCGACAAATCCTTGGAGAATTATTGACGTTTAATTAATTGAGCAAAAGGAACTCGTGATTGAAAAAAAATTGAGAATTGTCTAGGAAATTTTGGGTGATTATTGATGCTTAGAAATCTAGTTTGGGGAAATTGCAATCTCATTTTTTGGTTTAAAAATAGAAGTGGATTTTTCAAAAGTTCAAAATTTGGAAGATTTGCCACGTGGCTTTTTTAAAAAAAAAAGTTAATAAATTTGGAGCCGGGAGCTTTTTTTTCTGAGTTTCTGAAAAAAGTATACTGTAGTTCAAGGGCTACTGTAATTTTCAGACTTCAAAGATTACTGTAGCGCTCAAACTGCAAGGATTAGGTACTGTAGTTGAGACCTCCAAACTGCAAGAGTTATTGAAAAACCCGAACTGCAAGGATTACTATATCTCGATGATCATTGTATTAAACATAAGGCTATTCCGGACTGCAAGGATTACTGTAGCATTAAGGGTTGTTTTAGCCTGTGACTCTAGAATCCACGTGTCATTTTGGATTTCAGATTTATTTCTCACTGAAAATTTGACCAAAAAAACCAGGAAAAAAAGTGCTGCGTGCCAGTTGAAAATCAAAAATTGACCCAAAAAATCATCCACGTCATGAGCAAAAAATATTTTTCCAGACAGACTTGGGTTTTTGTATGTCTACACGCGATTTTTATTAGCTCAACGTCAAAAATCACCAACAAAAAGGATGTCTATAAAATGGAAATGAAAATGAAAATGAAAATTTGTCGAAAAAAGTGCAGTCTACTTGAGGAATTTGGGCACTTTTTCTTTGTTTTTTTGTCTAATTTTTAGTTTGGAGCCTCGGGGGAGGCTGGAAAACAGAAAAAAAAATTAATTCGGATTTTTGTCTGTCTCGAGTTAATCAACTTCAAGATTTATATGTTTTGCTCCAATTTTTTTGGAGCAAACTCTAATTATATATAATTTTCGTAAACTTTCAAGTTTCAATGAAATTGAGAGAGTTTTCTCGAGAAAATCTGAAATAAAACCACAAGCACTTAATGTCATTTGACCCCATTTTTCTCCAAAAATAAATAAAGATTTCCATTTTTTTTCATTTTTTTTTGTGAAAAAAAAGTGCGCATTATTTTTGAATTGAAAATAATTAGACTAGAGAGGGAATCTGAAAAAAATTTCCTTTATTTACCAGAATTTTTTGACGTTGTTAGTGCATATTGTCTGCATTTTTCTCATAATAATAATAAAAATAAAAAATATTTTCGTGCCAAAGTTCTTTTTTTTTCTTTTTTTTGAAAAAAATTAGTTATTCCCATAATTAAATTTTGTTTTTTTTAATGATTTCTGAGAACTTGATATTTGAGTCGTCATTTTTTTGGTGAAAAAAATATTTTGAAATTTTTTCGGCACCATGAATTAAAGAATGTGTGAAAGTTTGAAGAAAAGTTGTTTTTTTTTTGAAAAAAAATATTTTTCAACGTCATTTTTTCTGAGAAAATTTGAAATTCTGAAAAATGAATTTTCAAATTCGAGAAATTCGAACCAAAAATTCACCTCAAACTTTTCTGGTTTCGAAAATCTCATCTTGAACTTTGAACAAAAAAAGTTCTAGAACTCTTTCCACTTGAAAGTTTCAATGAAAAGCTTTTAGGACCACAAATCCACGTGGCACAAACTTTCAAAAAAAAATAATTGGATGTGATTTTTGAAAAACCAAAATTCTTGTTTTCAGCTGAAAATCTTTTTTAAAAACAAAACTGAAAATCATAAAAGCCACGTGGCTTTTTCTAGAAAATCTAGAAAACTAATTTCAAAATTCAGTGCGAAATCCAAATTCCTCATTCAAATTTTCAAGCTTCGAAGTCAGATCTTCAGATTTTCCCAGAATTTCATAGGTGTGATCTCTAACTTCACATAAGTCAAGTTCCTGCTAAAACATCTTCATCACTTTTCATTTTTTTCCGCTTCTCAAAACTCTTTTTTGTTCTCTAATTTCCCTAATCCCCTCCTTCCCCCTAATCATTTTTCATTGAGATTTTCTCTACTATCTGCATAGGTGAACCTAAAAAACCAAAACTCGTTATAATTTTTTCAGTATGTGTGTGTGTTTCCCTTCGATTTTTCGCGGCTGATTGTTAAGAGAGAAAGAGCAGTTGCTATGAGCAACAACAGCAATTTTTCAGAGAGAGAAGTTATTTTTTGATTCTGTGTGTGTGCTCATTGTTGGGGCTCGCGCGGGGTACTGTAGGTGTTTTGGATTCTGTTAGCTACGATTTTTTGTGTGTGTGATCTACAAAATTTCGTTGTGCACTTCAATTTTATTTATAACTTTATGACGTTGTGATCTAGGGTTACTGTAACGATAGAGGGGTACTGTAAGCTTGTAGTTTTGAAGGTACCGTAGGCTTTTGGGTACTGTTTTCTCTGGGGTACTGTAGATTTTTCTATAGCCAATTTTGTTTGTGATCTTCAAATTGATTTTTTTCTTGCCCTATCCAAAATGAAAAATATTAATTCCCAGGAGCTCCAGGGGTACTGTAGCCTTGAAACCCTGTAGTTCTTTCAAAATTCTTGTTTGGTACTGTAGCCACGTTTTTTGTGATTTACAAATTTATTTTCTTATATTGAAAATATTTGTATCTAGCATTTTTTTTCCGGAATACTGTAGTACTTGGATTACTGTAGTTCTAGTTCACAGTACTGTAGTGTAGGTTACTGTAGGTATTTGAATTTGTATATAAATACACTTTTGTCGTTTTTCCTCCTGGTTACTGTAGCCTTTGGAGTACTGTACTTTTCAAAAGTGCTCAGGAAATTGAGAAAATCGTTGATCTCATGCCCTTTTCTGGTAAAAACAATTCCGGTTGGGGGTTACTGTAGAGAGAGGTACTGTAGCATAAAAATAACAATTTGTTTATTTTTTTTTCTGAAAACTATATACATTTTGAAATTGCTGAAAATTGTGGGAAAATTTTTTTCGCTGAAACTGAAAAAAATCTGGAAGCAGCAAAAATCTCACACACTGCTCCAAAATTTTCGAGCACTTTTCTAAAGAGCACATTTTTAAAGAGCACCCGGAATTTTTAGTTATTTTTTGTCTTTGTTTTTTTTTGAGTGGCGCAATAAATTCTTGTGAACATTTTTGATCTACCAAAAAACTAGAACGTTTTCCCACAATTTTTGATTTTTTCATCTCTGTAAGAAAACTTTCTGGAAATTCCACGTGGCTGCAAAATTCTGAAAATTTAATTTTCGCGAAAAAAAATTGCAAGGTTTTAAATTTTTTTGGTACAAACTCATAAAATTGAAGCATTTTATTGGTAACTGGAAATTTCAGAAAGAAAATTTGTTCTGAAAAATCCACGTGGCACAAAATTATTATTTGAAGAATCCACGTGGCAATGTTCCGAAGATCTTGATCTACGAAAAATCTGGAACGTTTTTGATCTACCAAAAACTTTCGATTTTTTTCCCACAACTCTCAGATTTGTTCTTCATTTCTGCAAAACATTTTTTCTGAAAAATCTAACGTGGCATAATTTTTTCCGCCTCAAATCACTTCTCCCTAGACTATATGTTTTGATCTACATACATATTTTTACCACTAAAAAACCCAAAGATCCTCAAATTGTAGTGATTTTTGGCTGGCAGAATTTATTTACATCTCTTGCAAATTCCCAATACATTTTCAGTCAGTCAAAAATCGAATCTAAAATTGGCTTGATGCACTTTCAGCCGCAGATTTTCAGCATCAAAAATTGATAAAATCATAATTACACATGTATCACTATAGTAACCAATTTCCTGCTTTTGGGTCTACTCTACTTTCATTTTTTGTTTTTTTTTCAAAAAAAAAATTATCAAATATTTTGTAGTTAGCCTAACTAACTCCTTCTTCCTTGAGTAATCAGCTGAGTGATTCAATTTTCAGCTGATTGTGAGTTCCAGCCGCGCGCACACGGCTCAAGAAGAAAAATCTAATCAGCAAGCAGGCAGGGGAAAATTCTAGTCGATAACCTGTCATTTTCAGACTTTTTTTCCAGCTAGGCGAAAGCGAACAGCTGAATATTTTTCACTCATTTTTTCGAGGTAATTTTCATTTCCTGCGTTCTCATATGTTTTGGTGAGTTATGACGTGGAAAATGGGGATTTTTAGGACATTTTGACAAAATTGGGGGTTCTCAGCAGAGCGAACATACTATTTTTCACCAGAAAATTTGAATTTTTCTCCAAAAATTGGGGGTTCTCATTAGAGCGCACATGCTTTTTTCATCAGAAAATTTGACCAGACTTAGATGAGTCTAAATTCCCAGGCTTTTTCAAATTCAGCCTGAAAATTTAAGACTTCTTCGAAATCAGGCTTAAACTTCTAGGCTTCTCAAAATCAGGCCTAAAATTCCAGGTTTATCCAAGTTTTGGTTCGGCTCTCTGGAAATCAGCCTAAACTTCTGAGCTTCTTTGAAATCAGCCTGAAAATTCTAGGCTTTCCTCAGGCCTACAAGGCTTAGGCTTGTTAGGCTTAGGCTTGTTAAGGCCTTTTAGAGCTCTACGAAGTGTTAGGTACTTTTCAAGGATTTTTGGGCTCATTCTCATTCGTCTGGATTTTTCATAAGGCTTTTTGGGGACTTCTAGAACTTCAGTAGATTTTCAGAATAATTCTGAGTTCTCTAACCTTTCTAGGCTCTCTAGGCCCTCTAGCTTCTCTAGCCTCTCTCTAGCCTCTCTAGCCTCTCTCCCCTCTCTAGCCTCTCTATTTTTCTCTAGGTTCTCTAGGTTCTCTAGCCTCTCTAGTCTCTCTAACCTCTCTAGTCTCTCTAGCCTCTCTAACCTCTCTAGCCTCCCTGAAAATCTATAAAAATTAGACAAAAACACAAATTTTGTATTCCAGACGTCAAAAAATGTGATCTACCAAAATTATTTTTTTTTCTTCCAAAGTAAAAGTCAAAAATCTGAAATCCTCCCCCAGAAATTTTTTTTTCAAAACCCGATCCATTTTTCTAATTAAAAAGTGCACAAGCCCAACATCATCATCCAGATTTCCTTTTTTTTGCACATGACTCATTTTTGGCTCCCTGGCTGCTGCTTTTTTGCTCATTTCAATAATGTTTCTCAAATTTCCTTTAATTAAACTTTCATTATACTCGCTTGATTTTTTAGCAGAGGTTTTCATCATCTTCCGAAATCCCCCCTCGGGCTCCGCCCACCTGAAATTAATTTTTGTGCTCACTTGCCTGCTTTCCGCGTTAGCTTTTGCTTTCAGTTTATTTTTTCCTAGTCAAAAGCAGTTTCAGACGAAAATTTGGTTCATCAATCTGAAAATGGGGTTGTGTCAGAGTGAGGAGGAAAAGGTCGGGCAGAATAAGAGTCGACAAATTGATAAGGAGATCAAACAGTTGCAAAATGCCGAGGAACGCACTGTGAAATTACTGCTATTGGGTGAGTTTGAGGGCGCCTTAAAGCCCCTAAGAGCCTTGAAACCTTTGTGACTGTTAAGGTACTTTTAAAGAAGTTTAGGGAACTTTTAGGGATAATAAGAATATTTGATTATTCCAGAAGGCTTTAGGAATGTTCAGAAAAATGTTCTTTTAAAATGTTCAGAAGTATTCAAATCCTTAAGGTCTTATGCTATTGTTCAAGATTTCTAAATGCTCTAGAGACTTGAATTAATTTACAGTTCTGAACCCTAAAGTGCCTTAAAGCCCCTAAGAACCTTTAAAAATTTTGAGACTGTTAAGGTACTTTAGGGTTAACAGAAACATTTGATTATTCCACAAGGCTTCAGGTTTTAGGGCTCTAGGCTTCTAGAATATTAAAAAAATATTCAGAAGTACTGAAATTCTTAAGGTCAATTGCTATTGTTGAAAATTTCCAAATTTTCTTTAATTACCTAATTTTTAAGAGCTTTAATTAACAGCTCAAAACTCTCTCTAAGTCTATAGAACTTTAAAAAATTCCTGGTAGATTTTGAAAGGTTTTCAAAACCTTGATCAAAGTTCTTAAAGTTCTTTAGGAAATCTTAAAGTGCCTCAAGGCCCCTTAAGGCCCTTAAGAGCATTTTTCCCGTTCTGCTCAATATTCTTAAAGTTCTTTAGGAACACCTAAAGTGCCTTAAAGCCCCTCAAGGCCCCTTAGGGCCCCTAAGAGCATTTTTCCCGTTCTGCTCTGTTCACTTTCCCCAATTTCTACGTAACATTCCAAATCAAAAATCGAATTACATACTTACCCACAAAAAAAAGCAGAGGCAGGTGTATAAATTGCTCTTGCTACTCAAAAATAACTTTTTTTCCCCCAACTTGAGAAAACTCTGAGTGATGGGAAACCAATCCACGTCATAGAAACAACAAAACAACAAAAAACAAAAAAACATTCAGGAGCTGGGGAATGTGGAAAATCGACAATTTTGAAGCAGATGCGAATTTTGCACAACAACAAATATTCGGATGATGAGATTGAGCAGCAGAAGAGGATTGTTTATGATAATACAGTTAGTGCGATGCAGGCGTTGTTGAGGGCGATGGCCAAATATAATGTCTCGTTTGAGGATAGTTCAAGAGAGGTTGGTTTGGGAAGGGAGCTTGCGGTGGGGGAGTTTAGAAAGCTTCAGAAGTTCACTTGAAGGGATCTGGAGCTTCAGAAGTTCCCTTGAAGAGATCTGGAGCTTCAGAAGTTTCCAGGAAGGGATCAGGAGCCTAAGATCTTTAGGCAGCTCCAGAGGATCTAGTGAGTAGACTTTAGGAGTTTAAGAGCTTCAGAAGTTCCCTTAAGGGACTTTTCAAGCCTGAAAACCTTTTCTAAATACATAAGAGGCTTCGAAATAATTCCGGAAAAATGTACGTTCCAAAAAAACAGGTTAATAAGATTCGCAAGGGCCTAAATCAATAAATCAACTGAATTTTTTTTGGTTCGAAGGGATCTGGAGCAGGAGAGTTTGGAAAATTTCCAGTGACCTTCTTAGTTGGCTTCAGAAGTTTGAAAAGTTCTCAGAAGTCTAGCCAAGAGGCTTTTGAAGCCGAAAAACCTTTCAAGTAGCATAAGAGGCTTCAAAATAATTCCAGAAATTTTTACGTTTCAAAAAATATCTACCCAGTTTCACAAGAATTGAATTCCATTTTTAGTCCAAGTTAGTTTTGACCAAAAAATTTCAAATTTTCATGCAAACATAATTTAAATTGGACTACTGTACGTAGATTGTGCGTCACGGTGTATGACAAAAATTAATTAACTTTTTAAAACTCATTTTCAACTGGGTAGTTGCCTTTAAGAGCTTCGGAAGTTCCCATAAGGGGTTTTTAAGCCTAAAAACTTTTTTAGAGCTTCAAAATAATTCCGGAAAATTTTACGTTTCAAAAAATTGGATTATTAAAGATCTAAACCAATAAATTGTTAGCAATTTGAAGAACCTTGAAACCACATACATTACGACTTAGCCTAACTCTACCCTTCCAGAGCGACGCAAAAGTAATAGCCGACGTAATGAAACAAGCCAAAGAGCACGAGGGAATTCACACCGAATTGAAAAACGCGTTGATCAATTTATGGAATGATAAAGAAGTGAAAATGTTGTACGAATCGAAACGATTGGAATTGCATTTGCATGAGAATAGTCAATTGTGAGTTAGGCTAAGTCTTCAAGTTTAGATAAATCTCAAGTTTTTTTTAGCTTCTTTGACAATGTGGAAAGAATTGCGGAAAAAGACTACAAGCCAACAGACACTGATATTTTGCTGACGAGAATTAAGACGACCGGAATTGTTGAGGTCGCTTTTATTATCAAAAAAGTTAACTTCAGGTAAGTCGGGAGAGCAAACTTCACACATCAGATTCTGATTTCGGCTAATTAGGATGACTAAAATGAGCAATCTTTTGATGAGAATTGAATTTTTGTACCCGGATGTTGGAATTTACGAGGGAGCGTGGAAGTTTTTGGGTAGATCAAACTATAGTGCGTGAGAATTTGATCGTAGGTCAAAGATTCTCGTGTCCAGAAATGTTCTAGATGTTTCTGTGGATCAACATTTCTACAAAGATTTCTGGGAGATCAAAGTTTTTGCATCAGAAATTACTAGTTTAAATTTTCTCCTGTGAGTTTTCAGTAACCTCTAATTATTTTTTTTTTGAATTTAGAATTAGTATAACTTTTTTTTCATGGAAAATTAGTTAGTCACTTTTGAAAAATGATCACAAAAATTTGATGATTTTGTGACGCAAGAGGTTTTCAGGCTTATGATAATTATTAGGCCAAGACTTGGGGCCCAAGCCCAGACCAGACTCTAGTTTTATCCAAAAAGGCTCTGGGGAATCTGTCAAATGACCAATTTTTTTCCAAAAAAAAAGAAAAAAAAGAAAGATCACGAGGATTTTGTGAATAACAATGACGAATTTTAGTCATTGTTATTCACAAAATTAATTTTTGTATGATATAAGAATCCCAGAGGATAGGAATATGAAAATTAAAGCAAACCTGAGTTCTGAAAATCCAAAGGTACAAAAAAAAATTCTCTCAAAAATGTCATAAGAAATTCCCGGATTTTTTACGTTTCAAAAAACAGACACAGCAAAAATTCAGTAGACGAGAACAGCAAAGAAATGTGGCCGAGTGGTTTACACGGCTGTTGAGCTTTTGCGAAACCCAGGTTCGATCCTCACCCGGCGCTCAACTTTTTTTTCATTTTCATGAATTCTCCAAGGCTGAATGAGGTTCGAACCCTGGGTTTCGAAATTCCGAAACTGAGACGCATAAGATCTACAGATGATCCAGAAAGAACCATTTTTATTGCAGAGTTTTCGACGTGGGAGGTCAACGTTCGGAGCGTAAAAAATGGATCCACTGTTTCGAAGATGTCAACGCCATCATCTTCATCGCCGCTCTCTCCGAATACGACGAGGTTCTTTTCGAAGACGAGAGCACCAATCGAATGATCGAATCAATGCGACTCTTCGAATCAATCTGCAATTCTCGCTGGTTCAACAACACCTCAATCATCCTCTTCTTGAACAAGAAAGATCTATTTTTGGAGAAAATCGCGCGTAAAAACATCACAACCGCTTTTCCCGAATACCGCGGGCCACAAACCTATGACGATGCGGTGAAGTACATCAAACAGAAATTCGAGAATTTGTCGACGAATCCCAAGAAGAATATGTTTGTTCATGAGACTTGTGCGACTGATACGGATCAAGTTCAGAAGATTTTGGATTCGGTGATTTCGATGATTATTCAACAGAATTTACACAAGTCTGGACTTTATTGATTTTTTTTTACATATTGTGAAACATTTTTGTGTGTTTTTTGTTTTTTGAAAGGGATTCGGGGTGCTGCCGGAATTTAGATTTTTAAGCCAAGCTTTTAGCTTCTTTAAAAAATTCCAGCACCACCCGCACAATAACATGTATTATTTTTACTGTTCCATTTTTCCGAGGTTTTGAAGTTATTGAATAATATCTTTATTCTCGAACTTCAAAACATGTTCTTGTTGCTCATTCTGTTTTTTTTTTCAAATTGACCCCCCTATATTCCTGCTTGATTTTCTGACAAATCTTTGAAAAAGTGATAATTGTATTTTTATTTTGAACTATTTTTTATTTTTTGATGTTGGTGTGCATATTTTTGTGAAAAATTGATTGAATGAAGTTAATGGATGTAAAAATTGCTTTTTGAGGCCCCCCAAATGAAAACCAAAATTGAACTAACCTTTTTTGATCGATCCGAGCCAATGTCGCTGATTTATTTGTTGAGTGGTTGGTTAGAAGCGCGCGGTCTGAAAAATTTATGTAATTGACAAAACGATTTAAATTTTAATTTCATGAAAAATGTATCAAAAAACCAAAAAACCCCTTTTTTCCCCGAAAAAACCATAGAAACTCACCGAAAACTTGTCGAATTTGTCCTAGTGATGAGCACGATGTTTGCCGTTGCAAAACCCTGAAAAAACAAGCATTTTTATCGAAAAAAACATGCCAAAACGACGTGAAAACCCCGAAAAAAAAACGGAAAATTCAAAAATTCAAAAAAAAATTATTTCTTGAAAACACGGCGACGCACAAATGCGGACCATGACACACAGCGACGAACAAATGCACACACTAATTTTTTTTTATTTCTCGCGAAAATATTTTCCCGTTTTTCACATGTTTTTTCGATAAAAATGCTTGTTTTTTCAGGGTTTTGCAACGGCCAGCGTCCTGTGACAAAATCGACAAGTTTTCGGTGAGTTTTTATGGTTTTTTCGGGGAAAAAGGGGACATATATTTCAAAATTCTTACCTATTGGCGGGTTTACTTTGAAAATTTCGCAAAAAAAGGAGAGTGCTTTTCAGGATTGTTCAACACAATCATCTTGGAATGCTGAATCGAATGAGATGATGGCGAAAATATTTGGTAAGTTTTGTTTTGGGAATTTTGTGTGACAATACTATAAGAATGATAATATTCTCACCTTTTCAGAATGTTGCGTTCAAAACTGACAAGCTTCTGCATATATGTCAAAATGGTCGTAGGCGATGTGCAAATGCAGGATGGTGGAAATACGAATGTTTTGGTGAGTTTTTATGGGGTTTATTTGACATGTCTAAATTCCTACCAAGTTTTCCTTTGGATTCCTGGAAAGATATACAAGAAACACTGGAAAAACAGTGTTCCCGCATTTTTATTTTCAAAGAACAAAAACAGCATGTGCGCTCTATCGCTTCGTTGTGTGCAAACACTTTCGAAACTTTTTTCCATCGGCTGAGCGGTATTTTATTTTTTCACTTTTGCTAGTCTCAGAATTTTTTCTTGATTTTTATGAATTTCGATTACTTGAAAGGTGTTATGAATGAAAAAAACTAATTTTCTCACGCTATGCCAGCCGATACAAAAATTAAATTTCTGGGAGACGCAGACTTTTAACACAGGCAGAGACATCTCTCGCCTTTCCTTCCCCTCGGGCGATACAGTGTGCTGTTGGCAGACACAGCAGACAAGCAGACACACACACAAAACATAGCGCATGGCCGCGCCGCTTTTTCGTCTGTCGCTGCGTTTATAGACCACATCGGCGTCGCCCTTTGATGTGTTGAGGTCTCGCAGCGACTTTCTAACCGAAAATGAATGTCTGCGTCTCCTCGAATTTGTGTGGTGGCACGACGTGTTCTGTTCATTTTGTAATTTGATTGTTTTCAGCTCGTTCGTCACAATCTCCACTATTCCCGGAATGATAAGTTTCTTAAATTTTTGTTTTTTTTTTCAATAAATTTTTTCTTATTATCAGACTCTTCGTCGATTTTTTCAATTTCATGATATTTCTAGTCTTGAAGATGTTCAAGTTCAATTCTAACATCAGTTCCAATTTCATAACTGACCTCAAATTGATAAAATGATTCATACATAAGTCATCAATTTTTCCCTCTCTCTCTCATCTAAGAAAATTGCTCGTCTTCCGGTGTTGGAGGAAAAAATGAAGAAGAAGACACTCCGAAAGCATGCAATATTCATATCATATCACATATCATATAAGAGTATCTTCTGCCTTTTTTGCCGGCGAAAAATTTCATCGCGTTTTTTTTCTTCGCTGCTCGAGGAGCAAGCGTTTTTAGTTTTTGAGGTGGATTTTTTTGATTTAGCGTAACTTCAGATTTTTGCATTTTTAGGGAAAATTATTTTCTGCTTTGATTTTTAAGCTGGAGCCTTAAGTCTTAAGCGAAAGCCTTAAGCTAAGGCCTTCAGCTAAGGCCTAAAGCTAAAGCCTTAAGCTAAGACTTTAAGATAAAGCTTCAAGCGAAAGCCGAAGCCTTAAGCCTAATTTCACCAAGCCTAAACCTAGACCCAATCCTGAGAGTCTAACTTCAAGAAGCCTGAGCCTAAACCCAGCAGAAGACCGAGAGAAAGCCTAAAACTTAGCCTAACTATGAGAAGCCTAAAATTTAGCCTAACTTGGAAATTTTGACTAATTTGCCACGTGGAATTTTGGAACTCAACCGTAATTTTTTTTTGAAATTTTGAAAGCTTCAAATAATTCACCACAAGGGTTTTTGATATCTGAAATTCAACTGAAAATTTCAAAATCCCGAGTTTCCAGAAATCAAAAAATCATATTTTGTATCTATATTTGTTCCCAACTCTTGTATCCCCCTCAAAAAATCCAAATTTTTCCAGATTTTCAGATAAAGAAGAATTTTCAGCAGTGAGACATCTTTAATCTTCGAATTTCCGGTATTCGCCTCGCTAATTTCTCATTTTCCCCCAATATCAAATCTATAATTTATCATAATCATAATCCAAGATGAAAATCGGCAAAAAATAATGAGGAGGTGTTTTCGATTGTCGCGCGACGAGCGAATTCTGAGCCGTCAAATTGGTGTGCTCATTTTCGCGGCCGCCTTTTTTGCGGTGATCTGCTTGTCGAGCACGGTGTTTGGTGGTGGGAATGGGAGTGATGAGATTCTGGTGTCGAGGAGGGTGAAGAGAGATTCGAGTAAATATGAATTTGATGATTGCAAACCCAGAATTCAGCCAGGTAAGTTAGCCTATATTCTGGGACAAAATCATCCAGAAAAGCTGAAATTCAAGGCTTCAGACATTTTTTTAGAAGTTCAGGATAATTTTTTGAAGAGATTTTCAGGTCATCTAGAAGTTTCAGGAAATTTTAGAGAAGTAGGAGAAGCTTAGAGTTATGACGTGGCAAATTTTTATTTGAAAAATCAAAAAATTTGCGATTTTCAAGAGATCAAAAATTAATTTTGCTGTAAACAATTTCATTGAATTGGAGCTGAGCTCTAAATTAATTTTGGTTCTCGTTAAAATTAATTCAGAGCTTGATTTTTGACCTCCGAATTTTTGGGGACTGGAATAGAAATTGAAGAAAATCAAAATTTAAATGCCACGTATAGTTTGTTCGTACTAAAAACAGGGAGGAGAATTTCAGAAAAAAATTTAAGAATTTATTTTTGCCACATTTTTTCCAAACTTTCTCAAATGACTCATGATTCATATCAATTTGAACCTTCATCTCATCTCAAAACCCTCTCAAAAATTCCACTCACTCACTCCAAGAAAGCCAAAAAAAACTACGTGATAAACAGCGAAATATGCCTGCCCCATTAATATTTCATCAATCTCGATTTGTTTCCAGGAAGTTCCACCAACTCATCGCAATTTCCCGCCGATTTTTTGTCGATGGAATCGAAGAGGCGCGGCGCTGTGATGATACACATCGGACTGTTGATCTATATGTTTGTGGCGTTGGCGGTGGTGTGTGATGAGTTTTTTGTGCCCTCGTTGTCGGTGATTACGGAAGTGGTGGGTGTTTTTTTTTGGTTGGAAATTGCAAGTGCGCTCTGCTGAACAGCTAGTGTGTTTTTCAATGTTCAAAAAAATGTCATTGAGATGAAATTAGCAAATGCGCTCTAGCGAAAATTTCAATTTTTGAATAAATATTCAAATTTTCATGTTCTTTAGTAACAGCATGCCAACTAGACTATAGTTATGACGTGGTAAAATTTAGACAAATGCGCTCTATCGAACTCTTTACGCGTTTCCTAGTTTTTCAATAGAAAACTGAGCAAACGCGCTCTATCGAACAATTTCACTTTTCGAAAAATATTCAAATTTTTAATTTGACAATCAGAAAATGTGTTATGACGTGGTCAGATCAGAACTACACTATAGGTAGGGTTTTCCATATGTCTAAACTAGACTATAGTTAAACTAGACTATAGTACCCACATTTTCCAGCTCACCATATCCGATGACGTGGCAGGCGCCACATTCATGGCCGCCGGCGGTTCAGCACCCGAATTCTTCACCTCCCTCTTCGGCGTCTTCATCGCCCAAGACAACGTTGGTGTCGGCACCATCGTCGGCTCGGCCACCTTCAACATTCTATGCGTTCTCGCATTCTGCACACTATTCTCCCGCCAAGTTTTGCACCTAACCTGGTGGCCGCTGTTTCGTGACATGTCCTTTTACACATTGTCACTCTTCTTGCTTCTCATATTTTTTGGTGATGAACAAATCGAGTGGTTCGAGGTGAGTTAGGGGAACTTAACGCTTGACTCAAGCAAAAAAAATAAAAAAATCTGTGGAGGTATGGGGAATCGAACCCCAGACTTCTCGCATGCAAAGCGAGCGCTCTACCCCTGAGCTATACCCCCGCGTGTTTTCCCTGTTTGTTTATTGCATAGACATATTTGATGGTTTTCGGGAGATAAAACCGGTTTTATTGTTGGAAATTCTAACAAATGTAAATTGTGGAAATGATTCGTGAAATTTTTCGCAGGCCTTCACCATGTTCGCCATATACATAACCTACGGGTTCTTCATGAAATACAACGCCGACATCGAAACAACCGTCAAACTTTTCCTATTCAACAATTTCGGAATGGGCAAGCAACTCAGCCCAAATCCCAACGCGGAACACGCGCACAACGCCGGACACACTCCGCGAAGTGCAGAAGCCCTGGGCGCAGGCGGACCGCGTCGCAGTTTCCCGATGCTACACGGCGGGCAAGAGGTGCGCAAGAGTATCGCACAACTTGTGATCGGTGATGTGGAGGAGAGTGCGTCCAGTGAGTCAACTGAAAGGTCGACTGAAGGTTCGGAGAAAGTTGCGAATGGTAGAACTATCATGGTGAAGCCCAAGAATCCTGATGATCCTGATGAGATGTTCGTAAAGCAGAGTGAGTTATAGGAAGTTTCGCTGAAGCTTTTAAGCTATTAAAACATGTATTTGTAGATAACATCACAACAGTGGCTGCTTTTGTGGAATTTGGAAACAATAACAATAATGAGAAGAAGAACGGCACTTATCTGACGCCTATTGATAAACCTATGCATTTAGAAGTCCCGTCGGCTACCCATGTTCCACCGATTATGTTAGATAATGTGAGTCGGGTAAGATCAGGGAACATCAGGGGTTTTAAGCTAGATCACACCCCCAACCTCCCCCTTTTCCAGCTCTCCATGGCTTCCTCCAACGCCGAACAACCGCTCGATCTCTCCTGGCCTGAATCCACCCACAAACGTCTACTCTACATCTTCCTCGCACCAATAACCTTCCCCCTGGCCTTCACGCTCCCCGATGTTCGCAAGCAGAACCTCCGCAAATTCTTCGCCATCACATTCGTCGGCTCGATTCTCTGGATTGCCGCCTACTCGTATCTGATGGTTTGGTGGGCGAACACGATCGGGGAGACGTTCGGAATACCCACCGAGATAATGGGATTGACGATTTTGGCGGCCGGTACGAGTATTCCGGATCTGATAACTAGTGTAATTGTGGCGAGGAAGGGTTTGGGTGATATGGCGGTGTCGTCGTCGATTGGTAGCAATCTGTTTGATGTTTGTGTGGGATTGCCGATTCCTTGGCTTATTCACTTCTCGTTGGGTGTGCTGAAGGGCAATGTGGAAAATAGTGAGTTTGAGGATGAGCTCTCGGGGTTCTCCATAAGTTTCTCAAGTATCTATGACGTGGCAACCTGAATTCAGATGGGACAGGGCTTCTAGAGGTTCTCTATAATCATCAAAAGTACCTATGACTATTCATATACTAGTCGCTCTGGGGGACCCTTGAATTAACCCCCCCGTCCTTCCAGTAAATATTTTCAAAAAGTTAACCCCCCTATCCAGCTTTTTGTGGGTTTTGGCCCTTAAAGACATACAATTCTCCAAGATTTTCAAAAGTTAAAGGCCCTACCTCCAAAAATGCACCTAAAGTTAACCCCCCTCCCTTCGAATTCGGGTTCATGTATGCCTATGACGTGGCAAGAGTTACTCCAAATTAGCCGATGAATTCTGTGGGTACACCGTGCTTCTAGCTATGACGTGGCAGACTACAATTTGCTCACTGAAACATCCTTGCAAAATTAATGAAACTTATTCGATTATCCTTGGCATTTCAGAAATTTGTGAATTTAAATTTTTTAAGGAATTTTTAAACTACCATTGAACGTTATGAATTTAAAGCTACTTTTAAAATTACATTAGTTCCCCTAAGTGACTTAAAGACATAACCCCAAAGCTTCAATAATTTTTTCAGTTTTCTGTAGACATGACACTTATCAGATTTTTATGGCTGAAAAATTTAATAGCTTTGTAGCCTACAAAATTTCCCCGGGCTCAAAAACCAACTCAAACTCCCCCAAAAATTCATTCTCGAATGCACTTTACCAAACATCACACAGTTCCAAACTCCAACACCTGTCAATCAACTGACTCTCCCAAATGTTGATGATTCTCATCATAGTTTTATCTAGGTTGGTGTCTGCCTGCCTACAAACCACACTGACTTGGAGGGACTATAATGATATGGAGATAAGGCAGAAAAATTGTTTTCGGTGATAACAGAACGAAGTTTTTGAGAAGAGTGTTTGTGTGTGGGCAGAAGATAAAAAGAACCTTACCAAAAAAAACAGTTTTAATCTGGAAGACTTAAAATGTGATAGGGAGAAAGTAGAGAAGCAGTATTTTAGAGAGGGTAAGGGCCTTAAGGGTTTCCAGGGGTTTCCAAGGCTTTGCAAGGGTTCCCAAGGGTTCCCAAGGCTCCTCTAGGCATCTCGAAGGCTTTCGTAGGGTTCCCGAGGCTTCCCGAGGCTCCCCAAGGCCTCCCAAACCTTTCCAAAACTCCCCATCACCCCCAATTTTCCAGTCTCGGTCACTTCCAACGGCCTGGTATGCTCTCTGGGTCTACTCTTCGGTATGCTGCTAGTCCTCCTGGCGTGCGTCGCGATATCACGCTGGAAAATGGACAAATTCTTCGGACTCCTAATGATCTTCTCGTACTGCGCATTCTGTATGCTTTGTATATTCCTAGAAACCGGCCATCTCAAATGTCCGTTGAGAAATAGTTGCTAATTTTTTCCTGTCCCTTTTCCCGAAAAAATCCAATTTTCATAATACACATTATTATTATTATTATTATTATTGAATATTATCATGATTATACAAATACAAATATGAATAAAAAACATTTTTCTTTGCACCTGCATAAAAGTGTGGGAAACCGAAAAGCTTGCCAGGGTCATTTGTAGTATTTTTGGTTTCTGACTGCCTGGAGACTATGAAAAAAACCCCACAAAACAATAGATTTATTGTGTTATCAACTTTCGAATGTTAAAAAGAGTTTATTATTTTTTGTTGTGTGTTATCAGATTGAGAGCACACAAGGCGCACACACAACTACTTATATTTTTGTGTCATTCATTCATCAACACACAATCATTTTTTGGCCGGTGTGTTATTATTTTTTTGTGGGAGTTTGATTTAGTTTATACATTTTTGTATAACGTGGCAATTAGGCTGAGGTTCTAGGAATTTCAGATTTTTTAAGTTCGTGATTTGTGCGCATTTTCATCTGTTATTTGAATTTTGATATTTTCTAGGCTTCTCAAGCGTTTCTCTGCTACTCTAAACCTTCTCACAGTTTGTTCTGCATCTCTGACTTTTCTAGCTTCTCTGACCCTCTCAAATATTCAAAGTGTCTAATTTCTCTGGTTTCTCTATACTCTTTCCCCAACTCTTAAATCTGAAATTTGAATTTATAACATTCTAAATAAAAATTCAAATTTATCTTTGTCCTAGCGCTGTTCTATTGTGTAGACTCTAGCTGTCTAATCTCTCTACGTCACTAACCTTTCATTTATTCTATAGTTCCTTGGTGTATAGGTAATACTCTAGCTGTCTAACCTCTCTGCGTCTCTAACCACCCAAATTTCTCCAGTGTATGTATTCATAAATAGCCTCTTAATACTCTAGCTATCTAACCTCTCTCTGCGTCTATGCCAACTCTGATTTCTCTGGTTTTTCATTCTGCTTCTCTCCGTCTCTTACAATCCATACCCTCCCCCCGTTCCTCTGCGTCTTTAACCCTTACCTGACCATCGTCCCCGCTATCCCCTTAGACAAAAAGGTAAGTGTAAGACGAGATCAAGATTAGACAAATATTTGAGCACCTACCAGTGTGTATGCTATGTCAATTGACACATCTTTTTATGTTTTTGTTAGCCGCCACTACTTTTTTATAAACTTTTTTTTGGTTAAATTCATGACTCATGTTAGAAATTCCTGAAAACTGGAATTGTTTTTCTGAAATTTGAAAGTCTTGTGATCGATTGAACTTGACATTTTATGTTTTCTTTTGCCAACAAAAATAAATTAAAACAATACGACTATTTTCCTGTTCTATTCTTCAAGTACATAAAAATTCTCTATTTGTTTTGTTCAAATATTGGGATAACTTTTTCCAATTTCCATTTCTATATTTTCAGGATTTTACATGTCATCATCATCATAAAATATCTATTATTGAAAAACTAAACATCCAAATTCAAAAAACATGGCGTTGAGTAAAGTGACATGGTTTTTCATGGTGTTCGGTTTGGTGTATTTTCTTGAGTCGATTGGTGGATTCTATATGACGAGTGCTGTGGTTTTCATCGAGAAGCAGTTTCAAATTCCGTCGAGACTTAGTGGAACTATGGTTTCGGCCGGAGATTTCGCCTATATTCCGGTGGTCATTTTTACGAGTTATTTTGGAGGAAAGGTTGGTGAGGGGAATTTTTGGGATAATTTTTTCCTGATTTTCAAAGTTGAATTTTGCAGTTCAGCTATCATCTCAAGGGATAAACACTCCTAAACTCCTAGGGTACATAACTCGCCCGAAATAAAGTTATGAAGTACGGTCGATTACCTCGTGAAAAAAATTGTTTTGAATTTACCAAATCGACCCTGCTGAACAACGCTATCAAATCAGAACTCAAAAATATTTTCTCTAAAATCAAATGGTGACAATTTTGCCACGTCATAACTATGTTAAGGGCGAGTTGTGCACCCTAGGGTTTTAGCTAAAGTTACTTCTCTTCTTAGGGCTCAAAATTATTTTCAAACAAATGTCTTGTATCAAATCCATTTTTCCACAACAATTCCAAAATGTTTTTTCTTTTGAAAAAAATACTCTCCAAATTTTCCAGGGTAATCGTGCTCGTTGGATCGGCGCCGGTTGTATCCTCATCTCAATCGCCAATTTCATGGTGGCCAGCAGTAACTTCCTGTTCCCAGTTGAGAAAACCAACGTGACGGCCCATATCCCAGCAACCTTGATTCATCAAATCAATCGAGATCTCATCCTCAAAACCCCCTTCAACTCTTCAGATCATCTCTGGCTAGAAACTCTGCAGAAGCGAATAGACCCAATGAATCGCGTGAAAATGACATATGAGGGAGATTCTGCTGCTGATCTTTTGCAGAAATTCGTCGAGTATTGTTATTATAATAATGGCACCGATATTTGCAATGATCTTGAGAAAGGCATCAGTGAGAAGTTTCCAGTGACAGAAGCTCAAATTTCAAATGTTCGCGCGATGGTTGCCCTTCCTTATGGTTTCTGCAACTCAATGTTGAATTATGTTCGAGCCGATCATTATGCCTGCAAGGGAGATCATTCAAATCTCGGCCCATTTATGATGATCTTCGGAGGGCTTTTGGTCCTCGGAGTTGGTCGAACTATGCCCTTCTCCCTCGGGCTCCCATTAATCGATGATAATTGCAAAAAACAAAACCTCCCCCTATACTTCTCCTTCATGTTCTTCGTCAAAATTCTGGGACCAGTTATTGGTCTTCTAGTCGGCGGGCAGCTCAATAAGCTCTACTATGACTTCAATCCACCGCAGGGATTGACGCCGTTAGATCCAATGTGGATTGGTTGCTGGTGGCTGGGATTTTTGATATTTGGCGCGTTGTTGTTTGGACCATCGGTGGTGTTGTACTGTTTCCCGTCGGATGACTTGGATGCGAATGCGCCGGAGAAGCTGGATGAGAAGTGAGTGGGGTGTTTTCACAGGGAGGGGGGTCCTTTTTGGTCCATAGTCAGATTTTTGTCCATAGATAGGTCAAAGGAACATCCTAAAAATTGTAGCTACCCAAAGGACCCCTGAGCTTAGTTCTAGGTTCGCAAAAATTCAAAAAAGGCCAAGAATAATTTTTGGGAAAAATAAAATTCCAGATATTTATAAGCATAGTTGATTCACTGAAAGTACATCAATAAAAAAATTAAAAAATTTAAAAAAATTAAAAAAAAATTTAAAAAAAAAATTTAAAAAAAAATTTATTATTTGGCTGAAAAAGTCCTGAGCCAATTTTGGCAATTTTTGAACCTTTGAGAGCCAGAGGTCCTTGGGTCAGGGTTCTTGGGTCAGAGTCCTTGGGTCAGGGTCCTTGGGTCAGGGTCCTTGGGTCAGGGTCCTTGGGTCAGTGTCCTTGGGTCAGGGTCCTTGGGTCAGGGTCCTTGGGTCAGGGTCCTTGGGTCAGGGTCCTTGGGTCAGGGTCCTTGGGTCAGGGTCCTTGGGTCAGGGTCCATTGGTAGACTAAAATTTTTAGGGTGTTCTTTAGACCCCAAACGCTGTCTATGGACAAAATTTCATCAAGATTTGAAGGGTTGAGCAAAAAAATTTTTGTAAATTTTTGAAACGTACATTTGCCGGAAAAAAAGTCCACATTTTTCAACATTTTTTTTGTTAAATTTCTGAAAAATGAAGGAATGCAATAACTTTCCTAAAATAAACTTAAACTTTAATTTTTCCAGAGGAAAACCAATGAAACGTCTAAACCTCGTCGATCGCCACGTCAAAAAAGACGCGCAAGGAAATGCGATCATGCCAGGAACAGCTAAGGAAAAGTTCAAAGATTTCACATCAACAATCAGCACTCTCATCAAAAATAAGATCTTTGTTGGAGCGATGCTTGGAAGAATTGTTGATGTTCTGGCATTTAAGGGCTATTTCGTATTCATGGGAAAATATTTGGAACTTCAATTCGGTGTTCCGCAATTCAAAATTCAGCGCTATATTGCTAGCACTGGAATTGTTGGATTCGCGATTGGCGTGATGTTGGGCAGTTTTTCGATGCGCAAATTGAAACTTCAGGGAAGAAAAGCGGCGGGTTGGGTGGCGATTTGTAGTCTCGTCGCTGCTCTCATCTCCTTCGCCAACGGAACAGTGGGATGTGAATCGGTTATCGGACAGATCGGAAATAAGGTCAAGGAATTCGGCACGGATTTTGACACGTGTCGCGATGATTGTCTATGCAAAGAGACGCCGTTCTATCCAGTTTGCGATGTTTAGTGAGTTCGGGAGAGGGGGAGTTATCCTAACTTTGAATATTATTTTTGCAGCGGTGATGTTTATTATTCACCTTGTCACGCTGGATGTTTGATCGGATGGAATAATTATAGTATTTTTAATGCCGAGCAGGGAAAAATGAATATTCCGGTGAGTAGAGGTGCACAGATTTTAAAGGGGGACTCTGAGATAAACGCATGTTTTATCCATCTTAAAGCTATTCCGTCTATCATTCTCACTCCGCTTGAGAAAAAAAATATAGAAATTTTATGTGTGAGAAAGAAAAAAAAAAGAAAAAAATCTGTGAACATTTTCTATTGATAACGGCGGAAAAAATTAGATTCAAACTGTTTTTTCTCTTTTTTGCAGTGAATTCCCACAAATACCAGAAGAAACAGGATTAAATTAGTGTATTTCCGTGAATTTAGAACGGAATTATATAAAAACATCAATTTTGAATGAAATCTCATTAGAATTCGGCAGGAATCAGTAAATTTGTGAAATTGGGCGGTGATATGTTTTAAACTAGTTGTTTTGAGCTGAATTTTGATAGGATAGTCGCTCATTTCTATGAAATATTACTGAATTCTACGTTTTTGCTTTTCATTCCATCATTTTCCAAACAAACACACTGCGAACAACTTTTTTTGAAAAATAAAAATACGTGCGCGTCAATTAAAATGTGTGCTGTGCACAAACACACAAGACGACGCAAAACTACACACCACTTTTTCCGATTATTTCAGTGACCCCCTTTAAGTTTTAAAAGATTTTGAACACTTGAACAAAGACATCGATCTCAAAAAATATTCATGTTCCACATACGGTTATGATTATAAGTTTTGTTCATTTAATAGGTAGTTAGAAAACTTGTCAAAGATCAATGAACCTAGGAAGTGCAAACATCCAAACTAGTTATAACCAAAAAGTAAATCAATTAGCTGGAGCAGATTCCATTGCATGTCTTGTTGTACTCATGATTTGTAGAGCTCTATTATCAATTCGATGATTTCTTTTGAAACAAAAACAACATCTGAATCCACAACAACACTTTGAAAGTAAAGTTCGAAATCTTCCGAAATTCGCTAGCGTATAAATTGCAGGAAAAACTAATGTAACACTTGTAAATTCGTCGCAAAAAAATCGTGAAAAATAGTAATCTCGATGATCATTTTCTTCGCGGATAAAATGCACCACAATAGCTGAGCAATATTTGATAGTAAAAGAAACGATAATCGGAATATTCTGATAAACAATTCGTAACTCGGCTTTTCTCCGAGTTTCCGACAAAATGTGACGATTTTTGTGAACTGCGTTGATAGTCAAGCCAAATAATAATATCGATATCGATACATTGATCAGGTCTGGCCAAACTTCAAAATGAAAGATATAAGGAATTATTTCCCTATATTTATCGGCACAAGCAGAGTGTGGTATCTCGCCGGTGATCCAATAGAAAAGAGCACATTTCTCTATAGGAAAACTGTATATAAATGAAACAATGATATAGGAAAAAATGACAAGATGAGTCATGATTAAAAAAAAGATTAACCATTTTCCGTGAACAAATTTAACCAGCTTTTGAATATCCGAAATAACAACAAATCTCTGAATTGATATTAATAGCAAAAAACAAGTTCCAGTTAGGTGCTTTGGACCAATTTTTAACATAAATCCAATGATAAGAATAGAATATGTCTTATTATTCAAGCGAAGTGCAATGTAAAAAGAGGCAAAAACCATTATCATAAAAACATAGTTAGCTAATATATGAACAAATATCGCTTTATAAATTGGATATATATAGGATTTTTTTTCTTCTTTTGGAGTTTTCAAAAACAAAATAATGTAAGGTATCGTCATATATTTCAAAAAAACCATATAATAATAGCAGATATCTTCGATAATCATTTATTTTTGGAGAGTGAATGTGATATTTGAGACAAATTATTTTTCATAAGTACATAGACTGTGATAAATGTCAGAAAATCACATATATTTCTCTATAATTTCCAGTCAAAAAAAATTACGAAAGGTCTCTTACACCTCCTCTCAAACCTCCAAATGTTTCAGGTCTTCCAAAACTGCGATTGTGTCGAAGGTCGTCTCAAAGAAGTGAGTCGAACCTATTGCAAAACCGACGAATGCGAATCACAATTCAACCGTTTCTTCATGCACCAAGCTCTCGGAGCCATCTTCGGTGGCCTTGCCGTAGTTCCCGGAATGCTCATTGTTCTCCGCGCAGTTCCACCCGAGCATCGAAGTGTCTCGCTAGGTTTCAACGGATTTTTAGTGAGCTTGCTGGCAACGTTGCCATCTCCAATTATTTGGGGAAAAATCATCGATTTATCGTGTCTGGTTTGGCAAAAAACTTGCGATGGTCATGGAAGTTGCAGCATCTACGATACTGATGAATTACGAGTTAGACTTCATTTGATCTACGGAGGACTTCGCATTTTCTCACTATTATCCGATATTTGGGTATTCATCTGGGCCAAAGGCCTGAAACTCATTGAAGAGCCCGATGAGCCGCCGGCGGAAGAAGAAGCCGAAGAGGTTCCGAAACGCAAGGAAACTCTGCAAAATGCGGCGGAACGTGTCGAACGAACAGCTCATGAGTTAGAGCAACTTATTGATAGTCGAGGAAGTTAATTGCAACGATTTTTAGTGTTACATACTTATTATTGCTCAATATTGCCTTTTTTGTGTGTGTTTAGCGGGTTTCTGTTGAAATGTGCCTTTTTTGAGAATTTTTGTGATATTTGAACTTATAAAGTTATTCCAAATTCAGAATTTTTGAAAAACGTGGATTTTTTCTCTGCAGAAATGAATCTTCAGTATCCTTTATGGCCTACAGTAATCAACATCCTTCCCAATCTGAAGATCCAAATGTCTTGTCTGAAACTTCAACCAGCACAGGTGGATGGGAACAAGTTAATTACTAAAAATAAAATAGTAACTAATGAGTTTTGCAATAATAAATAGCTTGTAGTGAAAATTTCGTAACATAACAAGCTAATTACAATCAAAAAATTGCAGAAACGAGAAAAAAACACAACAAACGTGTTACAATTGAACAACTAATTAGTTACTAATTACCACGGCCTAGAAAACCAAAACAGCATGGAAGAGAAACCCAACTGGCGTCTTTTTTATTTTCAAAACTTTCGAAAACTTTTTTTTCCTTTTTTTCTTGTTTTTTCTGATTCTTATGTGTCTGTGTACGTTTTGTCATGTCTTGTTGTTTTCTATGTATCATAAAAGGTTTGTTCACCACCTAAAATAAATGCCAAATGTTGGAATTCGACATAAACTAATAAAAATAGGCATAAAGACGGAATTTTGATATGATCTTATTTCTCAAATCAATTTGACTTTTTTAAATTTAATTAGATGGGGCTTGAACAGAAAATACACATCATATGAACACGTTGCATTGTACGTGTAAACTCACGTAGTGGTAAAGACGTGACACGTTGGAAAAAACGTGGCGGTTATTTTCATATTTTCGGGAAATTATTTCATAGTTCTAGTTATAACTGTTATAATCATGGGTTTTGATAGACTTAAAGGTTATAAAGGTAAGTATTATAATCGATGTTAATTTGAAACGCCAGTATTTTGGAGATCGAAATTTTTCGAAAAAACGGAGACATGAAGCGGAAGAACAAGAGCAAGATACTCATACGTTAAATGTTAGTGCTGATTTGGAAGAGCGTTTTGAAGATTTTGGCCAAATGCATTTAGCTGACGAATTGATCCAGGAACATGATGAATGTCAAGAAGACGAAGAATATGCGTCGGAAGTAATTGAAGATGATGTATGTTGCATTAACTTTAACAGTGGAGAAGAAACAGATTCAGAAGAAGAAAATGTGGAGAATGGAGGTAACATTTTTACAATTCTTCGAACTATGAAAATAAAACATGTTTTAGATATCTCTTCGACTGGTTTGACTGTGGAAAAATTAACCGACAAACAATTGGTCGCGCTTTTGGGTGCCCTGCAGGGTCGCGAATCGTCAAGAGGGTTTTCCACGCGCACGCTGTTGATGGATGACGACGAAGAAGAGGATGATCTCCTTCAATTTTGGGAAGAAAAGAAAAAAGAATACACGAATATTCGAGTATGTAATGGTTGTGGAGGCACATTGCGTTCTTCACAAAAATGGTATGGTAATTTAAAAAAAAATGATTTTGACTCCGGCTGATTTAGTGAAAAGAGTGAATGCAAGTCCGGAAAGTGTCCTGTTTTAACATTGACAATGTTAAATTTACACGATCAATTGCATGCGGTAGTTTCTGCGAATTTCTCGTCAATAATGGAAATAAGAAGGAAGCTGAAAAGTGGTGAACCTGTTTGCCACAATTTGCAAAGTCGATATTTCAGTCAATTATGGAAGAACGAAAAAGGAAGTATTGATTTGTCTCTTCAGCTCAGTGTGGATGGTTGTTGTCCCCACGGGAACACAAAGTGGGTTGAGATTCTCTAATAACACATTTTTTGAATAATAATTCAGAAAAAAAGTGTGGCCAATATGTTTCTCAATCATCGACATTGGTACAGCAATCAGGCAGAAAGCTGTGAATATTATTCTTTTCGGTGTGATGTCTGGCAAAGAAAATCCATCTACTCATGCGTTCAATACAATTGTCAAGTTTATCAGTTCTCAATTAGAGTCAATGGATGATGGAATTGTTGTGAATGGTGAAACTTTCACGTTTCACATCGTTTGTTGTGGTGCAGATCAACCTGTCAGTTTAATTGAAAATTGCGGAGTTCGGGTGTCCTGTTCAGGTGTTCCTGCTCATTCTGGAATTTTTAGGCAAAACGAGCACTGTTTGGGTTTGACGGACACAATTCGGAATTTTCTTGCTTTTTTTGCCTCGACGATGGGGCATTTTACAAGAAGAATGGATATGGTTAGTGATCGGAGCTGAATTAGATTAGTCATTAGATTTTTTAGAAAGATATGTTATGCGGAAAGATGAGTTTTTGGAAGATTCTCGAAAAGGGCGTTTCGGGAATTCCGGTACTGTTTTCGCCGAGATCCTCGAACTTCTTGCACCTTGGGACTGTGTCATAGATGTTTTGCACAACCTGTCTGAAGGAATAATAACCATAGTAATAATAGGTAGTAGCTGTTTAGAATTTTATCATTCTTTTTTTGAAAATTTAGAAATGTTTCCGTCGAAACAAACAACTAAAAGCATACCGAAGTCGCGACTTTTTGTGATCGATGAACAAGATTTGACACGGATTCTCAAGGAAGTCAAGGCGCATTCTCTGTACAAGTTGTCATTCGACCCACGAAATGGAACAGAACGATTAGATGCAAGTTAACAGGATTCAAATTCAATATTCCAATTATTTTCCAGTTCTTCCGCGTCTTCTTGTTCCAATCCATCATTAAATATGAATGTGCTGCGGAAACAAAATTAGCTGTAATCGGAATTGCTCTTTTAGTCACGAAGATTTGTACGGATTGTGAAACGGGGAGATTCTTTTATGCAGATGTTTGTGACGCAGTCGCAAAAATTCTCGAACATTCAAGTATCAAATATTTTTGCATGAAGCCCCACGTTAGTTGTTTTTTCATCAACGGTTTGCATTGACTTTTTTTTTAGGAAGTGTTCTACCACTTGCCATACATTTCTGCAAAGATGGGGAATATTGGACCACTTTCAACTGAACAATTCGAATCATTTTACAATTTTTTTCTCTCAGAGTTTTCTAGTCAATTGACTAAAAACTTTGTAGAAACTGCTTGCACGAGGTGAATCAAAACTAAATTTTCCTCATGAATGCAAGTTTCAGACTTCTTCTGCACGATTCCTGCCGTAGGGAAATGGAGACAAGATTAGCGGGTGCACCTAGTTTCATTCTGACAAAATTTGCCCAGCGAAATCCATCTTATTCAATGAAAAAAGCGAAGAATTATGATAGAATTATCACAAATATTTCTGCTGATGATGAGGAAAAAACTGGATCTATGTCATGCTATTCTAATGTGGAGTTGCCTTGTGGAAAGTTGGAGTCAACGAAATATGGTTCCAAAAGCAATGACATAATTTTTTATGGAGACGGAAAGTGTGGAAGATTTTTGCTATACACAGTGGAAAAGAATTTACTAGTCGAACCAATTGTTGAGGAAGACCCGGATAATATGTTCCCAACAGTATTTGATGCCGTGAATAAGTTGCCAGCCAGTCTCATCCAATCCGGGAAAAATATTTTAAGACAATTAAAACTTTGTAAAGGGGTTCAGTACGGGAAATTTGGTAAAGAAAAAATATGGGTGGAAGAGTTTGAGGTTTTAGGAGTAGGAAGCTGGATAAGCTTGGGAGAGAATAACTGCTTTTTGCAATGTAATGGTTCTCCTAATCACAAGTAAACCGATTTTTGTGTGTACTTTTTTGTTTCTTTTTGTATGTTTTGTGTTTGTGTGTATCCGTGAATTTTTTTTCTGTTTGGAGCTTGTTTGTCTGCTCGTAAAGCATAAATAATAACTTGTCTGTTTCAAACGTGTTTGTTTCAATAAATGTTCGCTCATATTTTCTATTTCTATTCAATTCACTTCTCTTCTTCTTTTCGTCTTCAATTTTTGTAATCTTTGCTCATTTTATACAGTTTCTTTTTTGCAGTAAATCAGAAAATGGCTAGAAAGAAAAAGGAAAGACAGTTAACACAAGAAGAATACGACGCAATTCACAATCCAACTCCGGAGCAGATTCGAATGATGGATTTTATACGGGTATCCTTAAGTTTTTCAATTGCTCAGAGTATAATGTTTTTGATTTAGGAGGAATATCGACAACAAGACTATTATCAGCAGCATTTTCGAAGTCCTCCTCGTCCCAAGCCGATTTATAATGTGGGTTCTTGTTTGAAAAATGGAACGCTCTTTAATATTTCAATAAATAATATGAGCAGTCTAAAATAGGTTGAATTTTAAAAGTCTCCGGTTTTGGACAATAATTATAAAAAAAGAAAAAATCATCGCAAAAAATTAAAAATAATACTTTTATCCGAGGTACATAAATTTATATTTTTTTTTATAAATCCAAAAGTTGATTTTCAAAATTAAAGCTAATGATTTGGACCGATATTCGTTTTTTTTCGTCAAACCCGGCAACTTTTCAAATTTAACCTATCTTATATTTCGAATAATTAGAACGAAACGTATTTTTTAAAAACCTATTTATTCTAAATTCAAACTTTCTCGGTGAAAAAGTAGCAAGTTTTGCTACAAAAATTTCCTTTTAGCCAGCTTGCGACCATTTTTGGCAAACTTGCTACATTTTTTGGCAAGCTTGCTACATTTTTTCCATTATGAAAATTGTGAAAGGACATTTTCTTGCTATTTATTTCCCGCGTCTGTTGATTCAATGAAAATATTGCTCGCTCATTTTACAAAATCCGTGCCCACTTGGCCGTGGTGTCAAACAAGAAATCAACAAGTTCACCTCCCCTCAAATTTCAATATGATTCCAGACACCCAAATTTCGTCGCGCTGCAACAACTAATGATGAAGGATCTTCAGCGGCTGCTGTTTTGGATGAAGTATCCACTCCACGGCCACAACCACCACATCGAGAAATATTGGGAATAGTGAAGAATGAGAATAATTCGAAGGCTCCAGAATTAGTAAGATTTTTATCAAAACGTTTAAAGCAGAAAATAGTAAAAAAGTTTGAATCCTTCTGTAAACCAGAAAAATCCTCTATTTTTTTCAGAATGTGGCGCCAGATTTGTCGGATGGTGAAGCTCAGCAACTTAGTGGCGATGAATATGTTTATACACATATCGCACTCCAGGTACGTGAAATTATGTGATATTTTGAAAAAAAACATTTTAATATGCAGAAGAAAAAGAGAAGGTATTCATCATTGCGGAATGAAAAACCAGGAGCAGAAGGTCCATCATCTTCCAAAAAACCTAGCATCAGCAATGATCCACAAGTCAATGAAACTCATGAAATCGCCGAAGAATCGGTTTCCAACATGGAATCCAAAGCGAAAAAATTTGAGAAATCGAAATTCCAACGGCAAGGCGGTCAAACAATGCAGGTTGAAGGAAAAGAGAATCAATCAACAAATATCCATGTCAATCAATCCAATGAAACTCATGAAATCGCCGAAGAATCGGTTTCCAACATGGAATCCAAAGCGAAAAAATTTGAGAAATCGAAATTCCAACGGCAAGGCGGTCAAACAATGCAGGTTGAAGGAAAAGAGAATCAATCAACAAATATCCATGTCAATCAATCGGAAAATAAATCGAAGCCCAATCAAATAGGAAAACGTGATATTGCAACGGTTGCTGAAAATGAAGTAAATGTTGGTGAAAAGAATCCGGAGGAAGGAGAGCAAGAAGAACAAGAAGAACAAGAAGAACAAGAAGAAGAAGAAGAGGTGGAGGAGGAAGAGGAGGAGGAAGAAGAAGGCGATAATGCACCATTATATGTCCGCAGCAAGGATAAAATTATCCCAACTCAAATGGCGCAGAAATGCTTCCTCACCAAAAAAAACATGGGGCTGGATGATTTAACGATTAAAGTGAGTTTTTCGTTTCCAGTTTCATTTTTAAATTGATTTTTATGATTTCTAAATAATGTTTCCATTTTCATTTGCGTGAAAGCATTATTTGAAAATCTCGAAATTTGAAATTTCAATCTGATTGAACAGACGCTAGAATTCAAAGAAAAAAAAATGCATTTTTGCGAGCCCCTGAAATCTTATCATGAATATAATTGAACTATATTTATCCATGGTCAAATCTTTAATTGCAGAGAAATGTATCAAACTACTGGAGGGATCAGCTTGCTGAAATCGATATTCAAGATGCGATCCGGATTCATGAAAAATCTAAAGATGAGGACAAACCATTAGTTCAAGTTGTACTTGTAATGTTGCATCAAGTAGGTTGACCCACTTCAACACAATTTTCACAATACGTCATTATGTGTAATTTTCAGATTAACCGACTGACTACTGGATATGCCACTTTGAAAGAAGCGCTAAAAGATGCAACATACGCAAAACGGAAAGTCATTCTACGTCTACATCGTGCTCGACCAGAAGTTTGTCAAATTTCATTGCCGAATGGATACGTTTACAATATAATCGAATTTGTGAGCCGAGATCTCATTGAAAGATGTAGTGGGAAATTTTTATTTTCCGCTGTATCCGAAATATGTCGAGAGTTTTTTGGAGAAGTAAGTTTATTTTTTATTTGTGTTTTTTTAAATTCAAATTATTTTTATAGCTACTCGAATATAAGGATCATTATGTTATTGCAATGACTTTGAAGATCAAAAAAACTCGAAAAAGCAAATTCGTAGCTATTCCCAGTGAGCCAATCGATAATTTGACAGGTAAGAATTGTATCCAATCAAAATAAATTTCAAAACATACTTAAAAATTGTGATGAGCATCGAAATTATTGTATTCATTTTTTAATCGAAAGAGAAAACCTCTATTACTCTAGTTTTATTTCATTTGGAGTAGTTTTTCATTGATGTTTGTAGAACAGGCCTGATCGGAATCGGGATTCCGAAATTCCGAAACCGACAGGTTTTTCGGAATGAGACAAACGTGTCTCGGAATCGGAATCTATTTTCTCGAAATCGGAATCATTCCGATGTTACTTCCGAAACTTTTTGGAATTTCGGAATGTGTTTCTCCTCCTTAATTTCGGAATTTTTCTACCGAATTTCGGAATTTTTCGGAATGTTTGAGCTGAAATTAGTCAAAAAATTCAACAAAAAATGGAAAAGTTGATGAATTTTACCTGTCATTTTCAAAAAATCTCTTTTTCTCTTGTGATTCTCGAAAAATGTAACTTTTGAAGACAATTTTTTTAAAGTTTTATATCATTCCGAAAAATTCCGAAATTCCGAGGTAAAAATGCCGGAATAGAGGTTCGGAATTCGGATCTGACTACTCGGAACGAGTGTGCTCATTCCGAACCTTCCGACAAGGTCCATTCCGATCAGGCCTGTTGTAGAAGATAACACAAAAATCAGTGGATCTAGATTTCCGCCTAGGAAATATTCATAAAGTTAAAGAAAAGTTGCTTCAAACAGAATTATTGATTTTACAGGATTCATGGTGGATGTTTTGTGTAAAAACGTTGATAGATATGATGACGATCTCTTCCAAGCAATACGAATCAAAATTCGCCAGTCTGTTGCATATTATTTGTAAGTTTTTTTTAAATTCATTATTTAAAACAATTAATTTCACTGCATTCCAGGAATAATACTCGAGCCGATTTACGAAAGAAGAAAGGCGGAGCCGGAAAGATCAACGATGCGCTCAACCATCTCACCGCCTTGCTTTAATTTCTGTCACTTATATTATTTTTGTTGTGTTAACACCAAATTTTTAGTTTTAGTTTTATTAACCCCCAAAGTTGTTTGTTTTCTAACCCGGCAATCACCTTTTCCCTAATCCCGAATCGATCATTTTTTCATAATAAATATTGGGAATTTATCGTTTAAAATTCAACATTTCATCAGAGAACACACAGTGGACGTATCAGTAGCAAAGCGATGCAAAACAAATTAGTTATTAAAATTATTTTTGTAACTAATTTGTTAAACTTTTGTAACAAGTCAGTATTGCAAACCTTTTTCGATTGTTACAAAATATGGGAACAAGCTTGTTACAAATTTGTAATTAACTTGTTCCCATCTATCTGTGAGATGACTTCTACAGTAACCCACGATCTACAGTAACCATTTTGCTCTACAGTAATCTCATTCTGATTTAGAAATTCAATAGCTGGATCTACAGTACCCCTTCTGGCCTACAGTAATCCAGAGCATTACTGATCTGAAATTCCGAATTTTCTGTCCTAAACTTCAACGAGAAGACTTCTACAGTAACCCTTGATCTACAGTAATCTCATTCTTATTCAGAAATTCAATAGCTGAATCTACAGTACCCCTTTTGACCTACAGCAACCGAAAGCACCACTGAAATTCCAAATTTTTGACAGTAAATTCAGATTTAAAAATTCTACAGTAACCATTATTCTACAGTAATCTCTCGAATGAAAAATTCAAACTCTCAGCTTGAGAAATACAGTAACCCTGTGCAATTTGCGAATACAGTAATCATTAGAAAATATGTTTTCTGAATAATCTAGAAATTCAATAGCTGAATCTACAGTACCCCTTCTAAACTACAGTTGCAAAAAATCCGCCCGCCGCTCATGGCAGTAGGGTAATTTGCCCCCCGGCCCGGCTCGAACGCACTCGATACACTATGATCGATTTGCCCGGGTAGCCCGCACCCGTCTGCCTGTTTGCCCGATTTGCCCGTTGCCCGTCACACCGTGCATTTTCTTCTCTTTTTCTTTTCTATCTCTCGTTTTTGTGCACTCTCTCTCACTGTTTTTTTGTTTTCACACACGTGAATGCACGGTGTGGCGGGCAAAACGGGCAAAAGAAGCTACGGTAACTACTACAGTAATCCAAATCCTCTCATTTTTGATACTTCAAGTATCACTTCAACCAAAACTTTTTATCAATAAACAAAAATTGTTAGGAAAAGCTGAACCCCCGTCTCCACTCAGCTGTACTTTACTTTTGTCTTTCCATCTCTAAATCTCTGAAATTCCTATACTCTCTCGCCTTCCGCGCGGTATTATAACAACAAAACAGAAAAACATTATAATATAAATATAATACAAATAAATAAGCGGTTGAGGAGCGAGAGAGAGTGAGAGAGTTGGCTAGAGAAAAAGAGACCGCGGTCTGGCTGGTTTTCAATTTCATCATTTCACAACCATTTTTTCGGTGTGTTTGGAGCGCCGCTCTGATTAAAAAACCACTGTTTTTTCGCTTTGCTGTTTGTATGTGAAATTGAAATGCCGGAGCTGATTATAATATCATTTTTCGCATAATAGAAATAATTCGATTTTTTGTTGTTTGTTTGGTGGGTTATTTATATTATGATGGAGGATTCACCTACGGTTTCTGGAATTGTGGCGGCGAAGAATAAGCTGAAGCTGGTAGTGGTGGGCGATAGTTTTTGCGGGAAGACCAGGTGGGTTTGCGGGGAGTGATTTGGAATTTTCTCTTGAAAATCCAGAAAATTTTCTAGTTTTTTTTTGATGGAAACAATAGATTTGGGGTCCTTAAAGTCCGTTTGAGCTAGAAAAAAAAATTGAAAATCGAAATTTTCAGAAATTTTTGGGTAAAGTACCCATTAACATCGCAAAATTTATGCCACGTAAAATTTAGAATGGAAATTTTTTTGATCTCCCAAAATTTCAGAACTTTATTTTGACACGTGGCAATTTTTTGAGCATTTATATATTTTTAGAATTCAATTTTAGATCATTTTTTGTTCTTGCCACGTGGATTTTCAGGTGGAATATCCACGTGGCATTTTTGAGAGAAAATTTCAAAATTCAAATTGAAAAATTCAGCTTGAATATACCTTGGCACTTTTTTTGTGATCTACAAAAATTCAAAACTTTTTGGACTTTTTTGCCACGTGGATTTTCAGGTGGAATTTTTTGATCCACCAAAAATATGAAAATTTTTTCAATTTTCCCAGTTTTGCCACGTGTCATTTTCACGTTAAAATTCAAAAACACATTTTTGTAATCTACAAATTTTCAGATTTTTTGCCACGTGAATTTCTAGCTAGAATTATTTTATCTACAATGTTTTGCCACGTTTTCATATGTACATCTAACAGATGTTTGTACTTTTATGATCGACACAATTTTTTCGGGACTTTTTTCATCACAAAAAATTTCCTCGCCATAAAAAAACCAAATCAATGAATCACATGTTTGTTCGCTTTCCCTCTCAGCAATTTTAATTAAATTAATAAAATTTCAGCCTATTATTCGCCTACACCAAAAAACAATTTCTGGACAATTATAATACAACAGTTTTCGACAATTGGTCGGTGACTGTGGACATCGATCAGAGATCGTATGATGTGAATTTGTTCGACACAGCTGGACAGGTAAGGCGCATTTTATATGCGACAATTTCATCTACGTTCAAAAAGTGCCAGATGGCCGAGTGGCTAAAGCTTTTGCTCACTAATCTCAACACCCGGGTTCGATGCCACCCCGGAACTTTTAAATTTTTTTTCAATCTTTGCAAATCACAATCCGATTTCAAAAGAACACGGTTGTTGAGTGAGAGTTGAGTGGGTAGATAAATACATCTGTTTACTATATTTATATACATATTTGTGTTGAACCGGTGAGAAGACACTGGGAGTATCGTGACATATTTTTGAAGGGGTTTTGGAAGTGATTTTTGATCGAAATTCTGAGGGAAAGGGGGGGGGGGAATAATTGAGTTATGACGTGGCAATTTTCAGAATTTAAGATAGAACTTAAACTTGAAAATTCGGAATCCCGAAAATTCCAAATTTTTCAGATAAAATTAAATGAGATTCTGAAAATTCCTAAATTTGAATTTTCAGATTTTCAGCCTCCTTGAAAATGTTTTGAAAAATTTCCTGAATTCAAAGTTCAAAATTCAAAAAAATCCTACAAACTTCATAATTCTTGTTTGTTTTCAATTATTTTTTATTTTCCATTCCGCACTATTTATTTACACACACATAGTATATTTCAGGAAGACTACGAACATATTCGATGTTTGAGCTATCCGCACACAAATGTATTTATTATTTGCTTCAGTTTGATTGATCGAAAAAGTTTGGTTAGTGAATGAGAAAAGCGGGGATTTTTAGGGGAGGCAAAAGATTTCGAGAGTTGTGACAACTTCTAGCCTAGTCCAGAAATTCTCTAGTAGTCCAGCCTAGAGAAAAAAACAAAGTGCCTAAGAGCCGCGCCTAGAGACCTCTTCTGACAAGTAGCCGTTCCTTGAGAGCCATTGTGTCTAGGTACCGCGCCTTAAAAGCCTTTATGTCAAGCAACCAAGCCTATGAAGTCTGGTGTTCCAGGTGCTGAGCCTAGAGAACCTATATGTCTAGGAGTCGCGCCTAGAGATCCACTCTGACAAGTAGCCGTGCCTTGAGAGCTATTGTGTCTAGGTACCGCGCCTTGAGAGCTTCTATAATGTCAAGTAGCCAAACCTACAAAGCCTAGTTTTCAAGTAGCTGAGTCTAGAAAACCTAAATGTCTAGGAGCAGCGTCTGAGATCTCCTATGACAAGTAGTCCTGCTTTGCAATCCACTGTGGCTCGGTACAGTGCTTTGAGAGCTTCTATGAATGTCAAGTAACCAAGCCTACAAAGTCTAGCTATCTAAATGTCTAGGAACCGCCTCTAGAGATCCACTCTGACAAGTAGTCGTTCTTTGAGAGCGACCATGACTAGGTACCGCGCCTTCAGAGCTTCTCTATCAAGTAGCCAAGCCTAGTCTCATTTCAATTTTCCAGGAATCGTGCCGAAGCACATGGATGCCAGAAATTCGAAAATACGCGGGTGAAAATGTGCCCGTTCTATTAGTCGGCACAAAATCGGATCTAATGGAAGACTATTCATCAAATCCGAAACATGAAATTGTAACCGAAGATCAGGCGAGGAAAATGGCAAATGAGGTACGGTACATTTTGAAAAATTTTGAAAAATTGGGGAATTTTACGGGTTTGTGACATCAAAAATCAACATTTTTGACCAAAATTTGACCATTTCACTGAAAAACATTGTTGTTTTTCTAGAAAAATTGTGAGGAAAACCAGTTTTCACAACATTTTCCGATAAAACTGATCTTTGTTGTAGTACTTTGGTGTTAACATTATTTTTTTTCAATAAATAGCATAAGCTTACTGTAGATAGGATTAGAGGATTTAAATTTTTTTGTTGAAATAATTTTTTTAAATCCGTTTTTGATTTGTTGAAAAAAATGGGAGTAGAAGTTATTTTTGGATAATCAGAGCATTTTCAGAAATTTTGAGAAATTGAGTTTCAGCAAAATTTTTTCAGCCTAGAATTCTAGAACATCTGGAGCTTTTTTTTTAAATTCGAATTTTTAAGATTTTTTTCTGAAAATTTTAAAGAGTATGAAATTCTTCATAGTTTTCAGTTCTGAATTTTTTGCTGAAAATAATTTTTTTTTCAAATTTCTAAATTTCTCAAAAAATTCCCAGACTCCAAAACCAGAAAATTCCAAAAAACAACAAAAAATCAAGTAGGTCTTAAAAATTCTTGAGAAAAATCTCAAGAACCCCCATGTTTTTCCGGGTTTTTTTCCTTTTCTAGTCAAAAAATTATTTTATTCATGATGTCAAAAAATAATTTTCTAGAAAAAAGTGAACTTGGGAAAATGTAGCCACATTTTTTCCGAGCAAAAAGTTAGCCTAACTCCAGTCAAAAATTCGATTTTTACAGATCGGTTGTATAAAATATCTGGGCTGCAGTTCGCTGACGCACAAAGGTCTCAAACAGGTTTTCGACGAGAGTTTTTTGGTGGGAGTTGGTGTGAAAATCGACACCAATGAACCCGAACCGTGTTGCTTGATTTTATAAATTTTTTTTTTCTGTGTGAAAATTTCAGAGAAAAATTCTAAAAAACTGGAATTTGGAACAGAATTTCAGGCTAGAAAATTTCTTATCAAATGCCACGTGGCTTAACTTTTCATTTTTTTTTTTGGAAATTCATGAAAATTATTCAAAAATAAGAATTCCACGTGGCAAAAAACGAATTTTGAAAAATTCTAATAAATTTCAGCTTCCAGACTTTTCAGGTCAAAAATTTAGGATTATTCTATTCTGAATTCCACGTGGAAAAAATTCATCAGAATATTTTGTGAGCAATTTTACACGTGGCATTTTTCAAGTCTCATAAATCCGGTAATTTTTTTGGACTTTCGGTTTTCTAAAGCTGTTTCATTGTGTTTTGTCATCAAAAATTCCGAAAAATTCCAAAATTTCCTCTCGAAAAAACTTGACAAATTCCCACACTACTACAATATTTCGGTGCTGAATTTCTAACCGCAAAATTCGACACTTTTCTCACATTTTTCTGTTTCAAAAACACATTCTATTCTTCTCGAAACAAATACGGTAGTCTGCTCATTTTTTTTCATTTTTTTTCATAACAAAAAAAAACTTTTTTTCTAACATAAGAATCAGAAAAGAAGAAGAAAAAATCTATATAAATTAGTTAAGTAAGTGAGTTTTTTTTGTCTTTCATCTCTTTTTTTTTTTGAGCGTCTGAAAAATGTGAGATTTTTTTGTGTTTGGCTTTTTGGGTAGATAGATTTTTGGTAGATCAAAAATCGAGATGAAAATTTGGGAAGCTTAAAATGTTAAAGGCTGATTCACGTTTTTCGAGTTTTTCAGTCAGAAATGATTACAAATAGAGATTTTTGAAGCTTCTGGAGTGATTTCTGATGAAAATAAGCTTCGAGAACCCTATTTTACCTTATTTTATTAATTTGTTTCGAAATTCATCAAAATTTAAAATTTTTTTTATTTTACGAAAAATCAGCAAAAACTTCTGAAAAGTGAATTCCAAGGTCAATTTTCATCAGAAATGACTTCAGAAGCTTCAAAAACGATTTGTCATCATTTTTGGATGAAAAACTGGAAAAACTAATTTAGACCTACAATATTAAGAATTTTCAAAGATAAAGTGAATCAAGTTTAAAAATTGATTTTTGAGGGAAAAATATGCGACGTGGCTTTTCTAGAAACTTTTTTTGAATTTTTAGATACTCTAAAAATGCTTTATCAATTTCTAATGTGAAAATTTCAATTTAAAAATTTCCTGGCTTATTACTATTATGAAAAGTTTCTTGAAATGCCACGTGTCAGTTTCAAGGAAATTTTTCAAAATTTTCAAAAATTTCAAAACATACATAAAATAGGTCACCCGAGTCAGTTTTCAAAGTTAGGGTCCCACCTTGAAAATTTTCAAAGTTATACACCTTCCTCACATTTTTGAGCGAATTTTGGACAAATCTGGGAATTTTGGTAAATTATCAGCAGAAAATTGGTCAAGTTATGTACCCTTCCCTTCAGATTTTTGAAAAAAGTTAAGCCCCTCACCATACATGGCATCTCCGCTCATAGCACCCTAAATGTCATGACCTCCCCTCTTAGAAATTTTAATTTGTCATGACCCCCCTAAAAATTTCAAAAAATCCACGTATGAAAATTTTCAAAAATTTCGAGCCAAAAATCTCTTTCGCTACATTTTTTCAGAAATAACCGTTAATCGCCTTGTATCACTCGATGATTTGGACCAATCATTCGCAAGTTAAATGTTTCTAACACACAAAAAATAGTATTTTTAAAGAAAAGTTAATTTTTTTGAAGTTTTTGGTAGTCTACCATAATGAAACTTTGCGTGTTCCTGATGTCTCATATTATTTTTGAGAGGTTGACCAGTAATATATTTTCAAAATTCGGAAAATTTCCAAAATCTAGTGTTCAGATAACTTCAGGGCACGAAAATCACTTATCAGTCATTTCTAGAGGTTCGCAATGCGAAGTACTAGACCTATCACCCCCGCAATATAAGTTTAGAACGTGTTAATCACTCATTAATCATTTCTAGAGGTCCAGAACCCAAAATCCCCGATTTATGACCACCCCTAAAATCACGATTTTTGCTCCGAATTATGGGGGTGGTCATAACTCAGTTTATTAGGCTCCAAAACTGAGAATAATAGGTAACATTAGTACTAGACATACTAAAACTAGGTTAGCCAAAGATTCATAACGATAGACCACCGAAAACTCAAAAAAAATTAAAAATTTCTGAAAAATCTGATTTTTTTGTGTGTTAAAAATTTGACCCCAGAATGACCCCCTCCTCAAAACATCGTTTTCATCCAGAATGTCTCTGGAAAACACAGCGTGTTTCCAACGGTTCAAATGTGCGAGTGGTACAAGGCGCTTGCATCGCGCAGTAGGGGACGGGTTCGATTCCCGGTGGTAGCACACCTTTTTTTTAATTTTTGAAAAAATTGGAAATTTTTAGAGATGCAAGGAACAAAATTTTTTTTCAAATCTTGTTTCATGGATCTCTTTTGAATGATTTTTTTTCAAAATGTCATGACCTCCCCCTCGGAAAAAGACCTGAATTGTCATGACCCCCCTCTCACAATTATGAGAGGGTTTACATATATGCCCCTCACCCCGATTCTGGGGACCCATTTTATGTATGTTTCAAAAATTTCAAATGCCACATGGCATAATTATCTAGAAGATCAGAATATTACCAGAATGTTAGAATCTCAGAATTTCAAAACTCTAGAAATTTCGACGAGGGACAATGCCACGTGGCAAAATTGCGTGTTGAGTTTTGATCTACGCAACCATTTCGAAAAATTTCGAAATCTCTCCCACTTGTCTCAATTTTTGTGCTTGTCGGTCTTCTTGTCTCACTCTTTTTCGTGTCATTCTCACAAAAAGCACTTGAAAACGCAGTGGTTTTGCGCACTGTTGTTTTTTTTTGTGCAAAAAAAAGCGCAAGCTCCAAAAATACACTTTGATCTTTTTTTTGGTGGTGGAAAAAGCTTTTTTTTGAGTTTTGAGTCTTGAGTAAAGTTTAATGAGAAATATTTTCATATGAAATAAGAATCGTATAGTATTTTGCTTGTTTTATTGCTCATTTTATATACTTATTCTGAAGATCTTCTAATGTGAGGATTTTTTGTTTGAAAAATAGGAAAAAATGTTTATTTTTCATTATTTTCTCACCGCCACATGTTTGAAATTTTTTAATTAAAATTTTTTCTAGAAATTCTGTTTTTTTGTGTTCTAATCAACCAAAAACTAAATTACTTGAGGGGCTTAACATTTTTAATCTAATTTCGAATTATTTTTTTTACATCTACTAATACATTTTACGGTAGATTAATCCCAGTGATCAGATTTCGAGAGAAAAAAAAACTAGATTTTTGAGAAGCCAGGAAAAATGAACTATGATACTGGAGAAAAATAGTGGTGGAGAGTTTTGCCACGTGGATTTTCGATTTTTTTAATTAAAAAACAATTTTTTGAAAATTTTTTAAAATTTACAACGTGCATTTATTTTTGCTCCAAACTAATTAGAATTTTTTGAATTAGAATTTGTTGGATTCAGATTTTTTTGCATTGAAATTTTTGTGCTTTAAAGTTTTGCCACGTGGATTTTCAGCTCCCAAACTTTTTAAAAGTACGTAAGATTATCTTGTTAGACTCTGAGATTTCTTCAAAAAACTAGAAAAAAAATCTTCTTTCTGCTGACTAACTGGTTCAGGATTGATTACACAAACTTCCGGATTAAAAAATTTTTAAATTAAAAAAAAATCTTGAAAAAAAATATGAATTTTAATGAGCTCACTTTTCACACGTTGCTAATTTTTTGAACAAATTTGAGTTAGGCTCATTTATTTTTTGAATTCAAAAATTCTGCTTTAGGATTTGGGAAGCCTAAAAGGCCTGTAAGAAGCCTAACAAGCCTGTAAGCCTGAAAGTTCCGTAAAAGAACCTAAATCTGGGCTTCAGGGTAAGGTTTTAGACATTAGACATTAGGGACCTAAAGCTGAAGCTCGGAATTGAGTTCATGGTGTGGCTTGGCTTATTTTTGCTATTAAACATTTAGGGCTTAGAGTATAAGCTAAGGGTTTTAGTTGTTAGGGACCTAAATCTGGGGCTTAGGACTTAGGCTCTTAGGCTCGGCTCAGGTTAGTTCTTTTTCGCTCCCAAAATTTTCTGTAGATCAAAAAATCAACTTCAAGTTCAAGTTCAAAAACATTCCCCAGTTCCTTTTTCCTACTAATCCGCATACATTTCCATTATAAAAATTGAAACCGAATAAAAAATGCACCGCATTTTTCTTCTCTCACACAAAAAATATCTCCTAATCCATTTTTCCATCTCCCAGTTTTTTGCGTGCTCATTGAGAAAATAGGCTCCGCCCACAATTTTTCCAGCTGGAAAGGGGCATTCTTCTCTTTTCTTTTTATTTGACTATATTTTCTACTAATTTCGCTGAAAATTCAATTTTTTTGGCTGAAAATATGAGAGCTTGGCATAAAGATCGAAGAGGTGAGCTTAGCTGATTTTTCTGAGCCTGGAGAAAATTATGAATATTCATTTTTGAAGTGTGTTCTGAAATTGTGCAGGATATCCTGGATTTTTCACGTAGCTTGTTTTTTGTAGCTTGATTTTTGTGCTGGGAAACTTTCAAAATATAGATTTTTCTGGAAAACTTTCTCATTTATTTTTATGAGGTCATTTTCATTTTTGGACCTTTTTTCGCTAGGAAAAAAATTTACGCTTCAAAGAGCATTTTTTGTTTTTTTTTGTTGAAATGAAATGAGTAGGTTTTCGGGAATTTTTAATTTTTGATTTTTGGACGCCCCCATATCAGGTCGTAAAAATAATCAGTGTTTTTGATTAGAACTCTTCAAATTTTCTTTTAAAAATTATTTTTTGTTTAAATTTTTTTTTTCGCCAAATATGTTTTTGGAAATTTGATATGATTCAGAAAATATTTTTCAGTTTTTCATGTGACATTTTTTTTGGGGAAATGACTTTTTATAAAAGGGGATTGAAAAAAATCCACGTGGCAAAGTTCCACACAATTCAAAATCTAGTTCATAGCTAAAGTTCAGGCTAAAAGAGCCCAGATCTAAACACATGAGAGAGCCTAAAGCCTGAAGCCTAAAGCCTAGAGCCCATAAATCGGTTTCTCCCGGTCAGGGTCTCAAAATTAGCCACCCCCGGAATGTGAAAATACAAAAATTAGCCAGACCCCCTCAAAATAAAGAGAAAAAACTTGGTTTTTGGGGGGTAAATTGTTATTTTTTTCAAAAAGTTAGCCGGTCCCCATCCCTTTTTTCCAAAGTTAGCCAGACCCCCTCCGGACGAAAATCCGGGGATACTGATGTATGCTAGAGCCTAAAGCCCAGAAAGGCAGAAATTTATCGATAAGCATTTCAGTCAAGTTTCCAGATGCTAAAAAATATCTTCCCAAATTTTTGAGCTCCAGATAATCTGCTTTTCAAACTAAATAGTGATCTACATTTTTTCTGAAATTCGGAAAACCCTAATTTTAAGCTTTAAGCTGAAAAAATTTCTAGCAAGTTCTCCTAACTCCAAAATCACGCAATCACCTGATTTTCTTCGAACCTATGAAAACCAGTTCCAAAAACTCTTTCTTTCTCCAAAAATTAATCAAATTTCTCGGCGTCAAAAATTATTTTTCTTTCATTTTCGCTCAAAGAAAATCAAGGCTTCCATGATTTTTGATCATTTGTATACTAAAAATTAGCACATTAAAAGGTTTTAGGGAATTTTTTTGCGTCAAAAAAAAAATCTTTAGGAACGCTAGAGAAAAAACAAAAGAGGAAAACTAATTTTCATGAATTTCTGAATAGGTCAGGTCACATGTTTTCGGTGTCAAAAATACCTCATTCTCGGGCTAAAAAAACCCGGTTTCCTGGTTTCTGGCCTCAAAAATCCACGTGTTCTCATAGAGTTCAAGTTCACCGCGGATAATCGAATTCTTCTGCCGCTTTCAATCTATTTTTCCGATCAACAACAAAAAAACAACATTATTTTATTTTCAGAAAAAGAAAAAGAAGGCACAAAATTTCAATTTTGTTGGAATTTTTTCCGGAGAAAATAATAGAGTGCACTTTGAGATAAAAACATCTTCGTTTTTTTTTTGAAATTGGAAAATATTGTTGTTTTTTGGACAGTGTTTTGCCACGTGGCATATTTTTTACATAGCTAATTATAAAATTCAAAACTGATTTTCCTTTGTAAATAAAATTTCGCCACGTGGATTTTTGAAGCTCTAATTGTGTTAGAATTATCTGATGAATTCAAAATTGTGAGCTTATCTTTTTTGCTTCTGGAAATTTTCAATACCATTTTTTGAGCTGAAATTAGGCTCCACGTGGATTTTTCCGGGCTTAGAAAATTTGGAATCTGGAATTTCAGAATATCTGAGATTCTTGAAATTTTCTTAACAAAAGAAGGATTTTCTTCGCCACGTGTATGTTTTCGAAGACAAAAATCCTAGGTAGACCACATTTTTGCGATTCAGAAATGAGCTACAGAATTCCACGTGGCAAAAAAACCCTTCAGAAATATGTTTCTGAATCCACGTGGCAAAACCACGTAGAGTTTTCACGTGGAACAAAAATCAATAAAAAAAATTCAACGTGGCAAAAACTAAATCCCAATAGTCTGAAATCACTGAAATGCATCTTCTAGCTCTCAAAATCCACGTGGAATTCCAGCTTTTCGACCAAAAATTCTGGTCTTCCAATAAATTTTGATTTTCTTTAAATTTCCAAATGTTCCCCAGCCACGTGGCAAATATTACCCACGTGTTTTATCATGAAAACAAAAATGCTAGAGTGTCATCACTACCAACTAAATAAAGCTAGCAAAAAAAGAAGGATTATCATTTTTCGTCATAAAGACAAAAAAAAAGAAGTGGGGGTTTATAGATATAAGATTATCTATCAAATTAGTAGTAGTTGCCCAATTTTTGGCTGCAATTTTTGGCGGCTCTTGATTTTTAGTCTTGGAAATTCTGAATTCCTGCTAGAATTTTTAACTGAAAACACTTGAGCTAACTATTTTTCCATTATTTTTGATCTCCAAAAAAATTTCCAACCAAAAATTCCTTGCAGTTATTATGGATGACGCATCGGAATGGGTCAAAACATCGTTGAGTTTTGAGGATTGGTTTGCCGGTTTGAGTCTATTGCTCATCTCAACTGTTTCGTTTTCGATTTATATTTTGGTTTTGAGAATTATGAAACGACAGGATAAGGTGAGAAGCTGGATTCATTATTTCCACGTGAAATATGTTTTTGAAATTTTGAAATTCTATGCTCAAAAATCCACGTGGCACAACATTATTCACAAACTAAACTTTTTGAATCAAAAGTAAAATATCTTATTTTTTTCTAGTCGAAAATTTCCACGTGGAAATTATTTTTGAAATTTTCTAGGAACATCCACGATTCAAAACATTATTCAGAATCTCAATTTTTTTAGTGAAAATCCACGTGGCAGAACATTTTTTTAAAAGAATTTTAGATTCTAAAAATTTTTAGTACGAACTTTTTTTTAAATAAAAATTTCCACGTGTAACATATTTTTTGACAATTAAAATTCTAGGAACAAAACTCCACGATTCAAAAAAATATTCAGAAGTAAATATCCACGTTTCAAAAGTTCGCCTGATAATTTTAGACTTTCAAATTTCCACGTGGCATTTTTTTGAAATGTTAAAATTTCAGAATCCAGAATATTTTTAGAAATTCTACTTTTTCTCCCCAAAAAACCTGCCACGTGTCAAAAAATACGAGAAATCCAGAAATGTTCCACGTGCCTACAATAATCCCTAATTTTTTGCAGGACATCGTCGGCTACCGTTTCCTAATTTCTGCCGGTTTCTGCGATCTTCTTCTACTTTTCAACTACGGTTTCTGGCCGGGTTTGACGATTTTGTTCAAAAGCGAGATTATCGATCCGAAATGGCGAAGTGAACAACAGGTTTGTCTAATTTGAGACTTGAAAATTTGAAATTTCAAAAAGAAGCCCTGTGAAAATGTGACTAAAATAATTGGCTTCAATATATACCAAAGCGATCTTTGGCGCTGAAATTTGAAAATCGAGTTAGACTTTGTAACGTAGGCTACAATGTAATCTATGTAGCTTATGGTAGTTAAGCTAACTCAAAATAACAGACTACAAAGTAATCTACTTATGAGCTTAGGAAAAAAAAAATACGGAGAAGGAACAATTTTTGGAAACTGACTTGGGAAAATATTTTTTTCGGAACGTTTTTTTTAAACCAAAAACTGTGGAATTTCAAATATCCACGTGGCATTATTTCAGAGAGAAATTAAGACGCATCGCATCAATTTTTTCGTTACTTTTCAGATATTTTTCAATTAAAAACCCCCCATCCCAAAAAAAACTCACAAAAAACCTCCAAATCTTTTGCCACGTCATAACTCTCCTCAAAATCCTCGATTCTCCCAAATTCAATAAATATTCCGAACTTCTCCTGAAAAAAACACATCATTTTTTACCTCAAAATCAAAAAAAAAAATGTAGAACTTACGATTAATCTAGTCAGCTTTCTTTTCCCGCCATTTCCAACCATCTCAATTCGTAAAAATGACTGGGTTTTTGACTCTGAAAAATATAATTTGAGGAGGAAATGTCACGCGGGAAATGTTTATTTGCATTTCGAATCATAGAAAACCGCGACGCAGCACGCAACGCGTCGAAAAGCACTGAAATTCAAGTATGGGACTCTCCAAAATCAAAATTTACCAAAAAAAAAACGCATTTTTCGCCGAGGAAAACAAAAAAGGGAAAAAATCGATTGATGCTGGCCGAGTCGGTTCCTAGGCCCCCAGCCATTTATTCACTTTTTTTCCAAAAAAAAAAGCTGTTTTTTCGTGTTTTTTAGGTTCAAATGTACTTTTCCTAATGGTAAATCCTTTTTCAACGTATTTTTTATTAAGTTTTTTTTGTATAAAAATGCAAAATCAAGTGTTATTTAGTCATCAAAACATTTTTTTTGACTTCCAAATTTTATAGTTTTGAAATTTTTTCAGAAAAAAAACTTCTTTGTAAATTGAAAATTCCTCCTTTGCTTGAAAGCCTTAATATCCATGTGGCAAAAAATGATTCAAAATTCATCAGATTTTCACTGAAACCTCTCAAATCCACGTGGCATTTTCCAGATCTACCTCGACTGGGCGTGGTTCTCAATGGTCTCGCACTACTCAATTGTCGGCTGGTCACGTTGGCAAGCCATCCGAAAACCGCACGATTTCCGCAATCAAAAACGCCGTGTCTCGTATTTTCTGTGCTCCGCGTGCTTTCTAATTGCCGCTGTTTTGGTGAGTGATCAATTAAAAATTCTGCCCAGGAAAAAACGTGGGATTTTTCAACAAAAAAACGGGGTGTAACATGATACATCTTCCGGAGTATCCAATTAAAATGAGCCCGAGCTGACGATGGAATTTTTTATTATGAAAAAGAGAAAATGCAATTGTACGAAAATAAGTGGGGTGTGATTTTTTGAATAAAATCGGAGAATGGCCTAGTGGTAACGAATTTGCCTTGCGATCTAAAAGTCAGGGGATCAAGCCCGGATGGGAACTATAGATGCCAGGACCACGAGATTAGGATGGCCTAGGGATAACGCAACTGTCTGATGATCTAGAGGACCGGGGATCGAGCCCGGGTGAGAACTACACTACGAGATGGGTCTCACAGCAATTTCGGGTGCAACAACAGAGCTAGAAATTCTATAGATCATCGGAACTTTTTGCGAGATCATCTCTTGGACATTTTTATCGAATGCGAGAAGGGTGTAGGACATACTGAAGCTGATCTGGAAATTTCTGAAAAATTGCTAGACACTTCGAGAAAACCCTACCGTATCCCAAATTGTCATTAGCATAGCATGCCGTGATAGCGGATCAATACTAGACAAAAACAATCCGATGATGAACATCCAAAATAAAACGAGTAAATATAAAACTGAATTGATTGCTACAATCAATGTGATTCTTCTCAACATATCCCGATGTTTAGCGTCACTTTGATGGTCCGCAAAACGTTTGCGCAGTCCGTGAACAGTTAAGACGCCTAGGGTTATGATAGCTGTCACATAAATCGAACAAGTTGCGAATAAATATTTACTGTAGGTAGAGCGATTCTTCTCAAATTCCGGATTCATTATGAAATACCCAATTGTTTCATCATAGACCAGCGGAAAACACAAAGAAGCGATCGGTAGAATCGCAGCGATAGCAATCATAACCAACCCCACATACACAAAAACACACCATTTCGACCAGAACTTGTTGAAAGTCGTGTGTTTTAGTAGAGTGTAGCGGTAGAAACAGAGTAGGAGTATACTGACGGCTTGAATTTGCACAAAAGATGGGACTGTGTAGGAGGTTATGGTGAGGATTGTGGGCGGGAGATTTTGTAGGAGATGTGCGGTGTCGGGACGTTGTGCTAGGCGATGGATCCATGAATTGGAGTAGCAGCAGAGGTTCTAATGAGAAATCCAGGTTTTTGAGTGACTGAGAACTGGGGAGGAACGTAACTTTGGCAGTTTATGTAACTATCCTAAGGGATTTTCACTCCAAAAATCCTAGGGTGCAAAACAGACCTGGCAATTTTTACGTTTTACGGTTTTACGTAAAAATTTCCCAGGTCTGGGGCAAAACTTGCCCTAAACATAGTTATGACGTGTGGTTATTGCAGTACCCAAACAGTCCGATTTTTGACAGTGGTGTCAACTTTGCCACGTCATAACTATGTTCAGGGCGAGTTTTGCCCCATACCTGGGAATTTTAACGTTTTACGGTTTTCACGGGATTTCACCGTAAAATTCATTTTACGGTTTTACGTCTCAAAAATCGTAAAATAGTTCGTTAACGTAAAAATTTCCCAGGTCTGGGGTAAAACTTGTTTTAAACATAGTTATGACGTGTTGTTATTGCAGTACCCAAAGTCCGATTTTTGACAGTTATGACAACTTTGCCACGTCATAACTATGTTTAGGGCGAGTTTCGCACCATAGGCTTTTTGGAGTGTTTATGTCCCTCAGATGATAGTTCAACTGCTGTGAGTCGATTCCTGAATCCCGCTCAACTAACCATAACCTGATCGCACATCACAATTCGATAAAACGAATTATCGAATCGTTTGCTTTTGCAAAAAATCACGATAAAAAATAATATGAGCAATACTGAAATAACTCCATAGAGCAGCCAAATATGAAGAATCAATTCCATTTTACATATTGAAGATGAATGCTAACTATCAAAAACATTCGATAATTATAGGTGTCAATAGATCAAGCTAATGACCTATGCTTATAAGCGCATGGCCTTTAATGAAGGTACACATTTTTGCAGGTTCTCTCAACACATTTCCAAAAATGGTATGTCACCTTTTACTACGATCCCGCATCCTACGGAATGTTATCCGAGAATTTTCAACTTTATTTGAGCGGCGGACAATCGATGCTATTCTTGGCGTTTCATATCGTGGCAATTGTGCCCCCATGTGTTTTCTATACGTGAGTTGTGACCCATAATAGCTAGGAGAAAATTTCCTATATTTTATAGATGGTCAATAATCCTTCTCTACCAACGTCGTCAAGCTAAACTTCTGATAAATCACTCCACTCAAAACAGTATCGAAAGAAAGCTTTTGATGCCTTGCTTGATAAATGTGATCACATTTATTATCGGTCAAATTCTGATAACTGTTGGAGGCGAAGGAAAATGGGCTGGTTATATGGTGATGTTGTTGTTTTGCGCCAATTCGGCGTTGAACCCGTTTTTATTGCTGATTTGCTCGAGGACTTTGAGGTTTGTTAGAGAGGGAAGAAATCTAGGGCTTTGGGGAAAAATATGGAAAAGTTTCCACGTGGAATAACATTTAGGGCTTCCAAAACTTTCATGAATTTTCGTTGCCACGTGGATTTTGAAAATTTAATTTCCGATAATTTTTTTAAAGTTCAGGATTTAGGCACGTGGAATTCTGAATTTAGGCTGAAAATCTTTTTTTTTTAAATTCCACGTGGATTTTTACCTAAATTGAAAATATTGGATTTTTTTCAAATATTTTTTAAAGGTTTGTTAAGGGAAAGCTTTGCCACGTGGATTTTCAAAATTAAATGTTAGATAATTTTTGTGAATCACAAGCACCACTTTTTTGAAAACTAATATTCACATGAAAATTCGGGTGCGATGGAAAATCTTTTGAAAATTGCCACGTGGATTTTAAAAATTGAATTTCAGATAATATTTGTAATGTTTCGGATTTAGCCACGTGGAATACTGAATTTAGGCTGTAAATCTTTTTTTTAATGTCACGTGGATTTTGAAAATTAAATTTCACAAGGGAAGTGTATAAGGTCCCGGAATAAACTTTCAATGAGACTTGGTACACATATAGATTCGAACTCGCTGATCTCGAATTCGTTTTCAAAAATTGCCACATTTGCACCCAAGACGAGTTTTTCACCATCGAAAATGCGCCATATTTCTCATTGTTTCATATGTCAAACATTTCAGGGCAAGAAAAATAACAGCGGATGGCAGAGTGGTTAGCGATCTCGATTTTAAAATTTTAGGTTTCGGGATCGGTCCCGGCCCGTGGCGAACTTTTTTTTTCAAAATTGTTTTTTTTTCAAAATTTTTTCGAAACCTGTAAAGATGTCTACGTACCGACTTTGAATTATAATTTTTTGTCATCATTTTTTTTCGTTTTTTAAATTCTCGTTCAAAATGTTACTTTCTGAACAAATTTTGCACTTCGTAATGGGTAATTTTCAATGACAATTGTACAATCCCAAGAAAGTATGTCTCCCGCGAGAACTTCAAAAAGTTCCTAACGGAATTATTGATGTTTTGCGTAGTGTGGACATCAACGAAATTATAGTTGAAAACGATGAAATTCTGGAACGAATTGAAGATGGTCCGCCGGATGAAGGTAACTTGGATAGCTATAAATATGAAAGCTATAAAAATAAATATGAAAGATCATCTTCAATTCGTTTTTTTTTTTTTGAAAAAAAATAAAAAAATTTGAAAAAAAAGTTCGCCACGGGCCGGGACCGATCCCGAAACCTAAAATTTCAAAATCGAGATCGCTAACCACTCTGCCATCCGCTGTTATTTTTCTTGCCCTGAAATGTTTGACATATGAAACAATGAGAAATATGGCGCATTTTCGATGGTGAAAAACTCGTCTTGGGTGCAAATGTGGCAATTTTTGAAAACGAATTCGAGATCAGCGAGTTCGAATCTATATGTGTACCAAGTCTCATTGAAAGTTTATTCCGGGACCTTATACACTTCCCTTGTCAGATGATTTTTGTGAACCTCAAGCACTTTCGTTTTTGAAAAATAACATTCACGTGAAAATTCAAAAATCTTTTAAAAATTGCCACGTGGATTTTACCCAAATTGAAAATATTGGATTTATTGGCTTCCTTTCATGAAAAAATAATTCCACGTGGCAAATCATCTCAAAAATTGTTTGGGAAAAATCATAAAAATTCGAATTTTTAGATTTTTAAGTCTAGAACCGGATTTCAGATATCTAAGAATCTAGAAAAATCAATTCAAAATTTGAATTTTCAAATACAACTTCCGCTAACTCCCAAAAAACCTAAATTTTCTAGACGTCAACTCCTCGAATGCTGGATGAAAACCCCCAAAAACCTCAACTTCGACACAAAAGCCGACACGTCGACAATTTTCCGAAATGTTCACGCGGCTCAATCGGATTTCTGTATCAGCAGTCAGCATACACAGCAAGAGAAACACTGTTTCACATTTTATAAATCCAAATCTGCCACGCCGGTTTGAGAAATCGCATTGGAAATTTGGAACTCATAGCGACAATTATGGGTTGAAATTGAAAATTTACGAGTTTTTTTTTTTTTGAAAAATGTTGAATTTAATGATCTCTGGATTTTTTATTGATAATATAAATGTGTTTTCTCCAAGCTATGACGTGGCAAAAAAAGGTTCAACAAAAAATCTTGTTTTCTAGATGCACATAAATAAAACCAAACACAGATTTTTCAGCTGTTTCTGTTTCAAAAATTACTCATTGATTCTTCAACAAAATGCAAAAAATCTATATTCTAGAAAATTATGAAATTCAAGCTTACGTTCTAAGCACCTCAATATTCATAGTTATCCTAAATTGTTTTGTGAATATTCCATGTTTTCATATAATGCTAAAACATTCAAAAAGAGAGAATAAATTCTACAAATATCTCAATTTCACCAGTCATTTCCTATTTTTTCTATCGCAAACCTATTGGGGAATATTTCAATGTACAATTCCCCTTTTTCCATTTCCAGGATTTTTATCATATGGCTTACTGAGCTCATATCTTTCAACTTTGAATTTATCATTCATCTGGGTTCTATTTTTCGTTCCCTGTTCAATCTCGATATATCTAGTTATTCTAATTCGAGTGAAAATAGTTGATTCATTTATGCCTGATCAAAAAATTGCTAGATATATTTTGATATATTTCATTATTCTAACAAGCATTTTAATCTCACTTGCAATATTTTTCACAATTGTTGTTTATTTCACAGAAAATGATATTGGGAAACTAATGAACGATGATTATCCAAACTATATTCATATTCAATATATTTTCGGAATTTATATTTTTGCAAACAACAAAATTATTCATATTTCTGTGATTTATCTCGGCCTAGTGTTTCTATTTTTGAGTTTTGTAAGTGATGCTGATTCAGGAACGAAAAAAACATTTTAACATTGAAAGATTAACATTAGCATCGATATTTCGATCGAGCGAACTTGCTATTTTATCTAGAAAAATTAGATTTTCATCATTTTCAATGTAGAAAATCAAGTTCTACCTCATTTTTCAAGGTGAAAATTGTGTTTTTTTCAAAATTTATAGAGAAAATTCAATATTTCGAACATCTAAAGATCAATTCACGGACGAAAAAATGTTTTTTTTAACATTGGAAGATCAATTCAAAACATTTCGAGTTTTTCAGTCAAAAATGATGACAAATCGAAATTTTCAAAGTTTCTGGAGTGATTTCTGATGAAAATTGACCTTGGAATTCACTTTTCAGAAGTTTTTGCTTCAAATTTCGATGGATTTGAAAAAAAATCAATAAAATGAGGTAAATTAGGGTTCTCAAAGCTCATTTTCATCAGAAATCACTTCAGAATCTTCTGGGAGGATTTCTGATGAAAATAAATTGATTTTTTCAAAATTCATCAACATTTGAAATTTTTTTTATTTTACAAAAAAATCAGCAAAACCTTCTGAAAAGTTAATTCCAATGTCAATTTTGATCAGAAATCACTTCAGAACCTTCAAAAATCTCGATTTGTCATCATTTTTGGCTGAAAAACTCGAAAAACTAATTTTGACTCACAATGTTTTTTCAACTTTTCGTAAATTGATTTTTTTTCGTTCGTGAATCAGCCCTGAAGTAAATCAAGTTGTATTTTTGGCGCTAAATATGCCACGTGGATTTTCTAAGAAACTCTAAAAAAAAATATTTTTAATGTCAAAAGCTCCAAAAAAAACCCAAACTTTTCAGATCTACTCATTTATGGGTTATCAAATATTCATTATCGTAAAATCGCATCAAAATAAAATGAGCCGATCACAAAAACTCTATCATCGAAAAGTGTCGATCGAACTACTTGTTCAAACATTTCTCAAGATCTCATCGATCGGAATTTATGGAATTTGGTGGATGCTTTTATATATTTTTGCTCCAACTGGAAACATGACACATCTAACAGTATTTTGTCATTGTACTTTTGTTGGTGGCTCGATTCCTTCAACAATTTACATTATTTTGAAGCATCCGACGTATTTGAAAAATTTGAAAAACCGGGTTTTATGTGAATCCGAGTCAAATCAATTTAAGATATTTATTCGATCATCGGGAATTCATTAATTATTATTTTCTGATAAAAATGTGTTTTTTTTTTAGGCTACAGATAGAAATATAGATAGGGCACAGACTATTCCGGTGTCTGATCAAAAACCGGTCAGAAGATTCCACGTTGCAAAAATTCAGATCTTTAAAAATACCGGAGAGCTCAAAATATAGCACAGATTATTTTCAGCAAAAATTAAAATTTCTCTTTTTGGATACCTTAAAAGTTCTGAAAATTATCCAGATTTTTATGGAATTAGCCTAACTATAGCTATGACGTGGCAAAATCGAGTTAACCTAACTTAATCTAATCAAATGATTCACCACGCCCACTTTAAAAAATCATACAAAAAACAACTCAAAATGTATTATTTTTATTTTTTTTTTCATTTTCTTATCATCTAAAAAATGACGATTTTTGATTCCGATCTTTTCTTCAAAAAGTTTATTTTCTCAAGCAAAAATCATTTTTAAAGTTCCAAAAACTAATTTGATTATTTCTAAAAACCACCACAAAATCTCGATTTCTAATCGATTTCTGGATAATTTCCTCGATTTCCGGCAGAAAATTTGAATCCATCGAAAAAACGCAGATATTCCTCCTATGGTCGAAAAGAGTTTCGAGATCGCCTAACTCCAAAATTCTGACCTCATCGATTATCGCATTTTTCATAACTTTGGAAAATTGCGCGGAATTCAGAAGAGTGTCCATAGGAATATCGAGATTCAGGTCAAAAAACCAGGAATTTCTGTCGGAAAATGCGGAGGCGTAGAGAATAATTTGGCTAGAATTTTTTCCGGATGCGAAACTGAGATTTTCAGCGCACATTTTCAGCACGTTTTGGAGCTCAGAATTTTCTTCAGTGCATTCGAAATAGTCCTCAATCTCTAGTTTCAGACTTCCAGCTGAAATTCCAGAAAAAACTAGAGAGAATACTAGAAAAATCAGCATTTTAGAGGACAGAATTCCCTAAAAATCTAATATTTTTATACCCATCCCCGAAAAATATCAGATTGCGGAGAGAAGATCAGAAGAGGATTAGGAAAATCACAATTTTTTTTTGGGTGGCAAACTAGATTTCAAGGTGTTTCCTTGATTTTAGCAGATTTAGAGATTACATTTGGGCTTTGTACTATGACGTGGCGATTTTGAGTACGATGCTACGCAATTACGCGTCCCAATTTTAGATATTTTCCAAATAAAAACCCCCCATCCCAAAAAAACTCACAAAAAACCTCCAAATCCTTTGCCACGTCATATCTTCTCCCAAATTCGCTCAATATTCCAAAGTTCTCCTGAAAAATCATCATTTTTACCTTAAAATCAGAAATTTGTTGAACTTACGATAAAAACTCCAGTCAAATTTCTTTTCCCGCCATTTCCAGCCATCTCGATTCGCAAAAATGACTGGGTTTTTGACGCTGAAAAATATGATTTGAGGAAATGTCACGTGGAAATGTTTATTATCATTTTTAATTCAGAGAAACCGCGACGCAGCACGCAACGCATCGAAAAGCACTGAAATTTCAGTATGGAACTCTCAAAAATCAGAATTACCCGTGAAAAACGCATTTTCCGCCAACGAAAACAAACAAAGAAAAAAAATCGATTGATGCTGGCCGAGTCGGTTTCTAGGCCCCCAGCCATGTTTTCATTTTTTTTTCAAAAAACAGTTTTTTCGTGTTTTTTAGGTTCAAATGTACTTTTCCTAATGGTAAATCCCTTTCCAACGTATTTTTTTGATTAAAAACAAAAAGGGATAATCTGAATTTGAAGATTTCCAGTTTTTTTGTATAAAAATGCAAAATCAAGTGTTATTTTGTTAGTTAGTCATCAAAACACTTTTTTTTTGCAAAAAAAAAAAATGAATTTGCATAAGTTTCATGACTCATTTTTTTTGTATTTAAATGTGAGAGATTTCTGGTCAGAAACTAGATAATTTGGAGGTATTTCTTTTCAACTTTTTATTATAATTATACTAATTTCTGAGAAAATTTCAATGAAGCGTGAGAAACTTGTTCGTGACTGACTTCGCATAACTTTGTTTTTATTTATTTTTTTGTATTTGTGTTCAACCCAAATTTTGAATCAAAAAGGCCTAATCTCTTCCGTTTTTTCTATTGTTTTTGGGTTGAAAAATCGCTCACAAATCACACATTGTGTTTTTTGTTTGCGAGAAAAAAAATTCGAAAAAAAAAGTTTTGTTGTGTTTTATTTTGTTTGCCCACGCGCTAACAATGGATTTTGAAATTTTAATTGGAGCCAGGAAATAATATCCACGTGGATTATTTTCATTTTTAATTTTTATTTTGAAAAATCCACGTGGCATTTTCTGGTAACTTTTTGATTTTTGTTAAACTTCTCGAACTCTAAAAAAAAGTTTTGATAAACCGAATTTTTTTTTCAAAATTCTGAAACCAACTTTTAGTATCCATGATTTGTGTACTAGAACAAATATGTACTAAATACTTGTAAAAAATACAGTTGACTCATATTTTTTAAATTTAAATGAACTTCATCTTAAGTTTTCTGAATATTCGCCACGTCATAGCTCAGTTTTTGTTCCGATGATTTCTCATAGAAACACGCAGATCTTTTCCAGAAGATTAGATATTCTAGTTCGAAAATCGTAAAAAATCATAAAAACATCCATTTTTCTGATCGCAAATTGAATCTTGAGCGAAAAAAAATCCACGTAGCACAATTTTGATCAAATTTTTCAACATTTGTTTTTCAACCTTCAAATTCTATGATTTGTGTGTTTGAAGAGCAAACTTTTAAAAATTGACTCATTTTGTATTGGTATTTATAGGAACTTTCTGATCTTTTAGTTCATTTTCTGGTTGAAAAAATTGCCACGTCATAGCTCGAGTACATTTTTAATAACCATGTACATATATGCGCCTTTAAATTATAGGGTTTCAGGGCTACTGTACCTAGATTTTTGAACCCAACATTTTTAATGCGACTTGATTTGGACAAAAAACAATATATAATCGTGATCATTTTTGACAGTTGTTGAGGTTCAAAAACCCTGTTTGTTTTCCCGCAATACATTTTTGCCACGTCATAACTCGATTTTTTTTGTTTCAATGATTTTTCGATGGAAAAATTGAGATCTTTTGAAGAAGATTAGATTTTCTAGTTCGAAAATCATCCAAAAAATGCCGCCTGTTCGGATCAGAAAAACATCCATGCAGTGTTCTGATCGGCGATGAAATCTTGTGAAAAAAATCAATCTATTTTTTTTGGAACAGCGAAAATATGACGGTGTGAAAATCGCACCAGGGATCTCTGAGAATCCTGAAATTTTTTTGTTGAAGAAAAAATCCACGTGGCAAACATTTAGCTAGCCTGGAAAATCGATTTTTCTCCTAAAATCCACGTGGCATAATTTTTATGAGATTTGAGAATTTGAAAATTTAGGCTTAAAATTAGGCCAGGCTTCAAAATTAACTAGCTTAACCTTACCTAAGCCTAGGCCTAGCCTAAGCCTAACAAGTTGTTAGACAAGGCTGAGCTTAGGCTTAGGTTAGGCTCAGGTTGGGCTTAGGTTAGGCTTAGGTCCAGCTAAGGCTAGGTTTAGGTCAGGCTAGGCTTGTCAATTTCGAAGCCTGGCCTAATTTCAAGCCTGAATTTTTTTTTGTAAGCCTAACAGCAGGGATGCCTAAGCCTAAACTAATTCTAACCAGGCCTAACCTAATTGTAAGCTCAGCCTTGTCTAAGGGTTGCCTATGCCTAACCTGATTCTAGCCTAGCCTAAGCCTAACAGGATGGTTGCTTAAACCTAAGCTCATCCTATCCTAAGCCTAACATTGGCCAAAACTCAGCCTTTCCTAAGCCTAAACCTAGGCTTTTTGTGGGCCTAGCCTTGTTTAAGCCTAAAAAAAACAAAAAAAAAGGCTCAGCCTAACCTAAGCCTAACCCAAGCCTACCCTAAGCCTACTCCAAGCCTAACCTAAGCCCACCTGAGCAAGCCCAATTCTAGAAAACCCCTCCATCCGAAAAACTTTGCCAAGTCATAGCCCAGATCTTCTTCCCTCAGAAGATCAAAAAAAAATCTCCCCAAACATGCCAAAAACAAGAGTCTCCTCTGTCGTGACTCTTTTTCCATTTCCATTTTGACACATTGTTTTTTATTATTATTAGGTTCTTCCATCTCGCTCCCCCCAATAAACTGTCTTGTTTTTGTTTTCTCGCGCACACAACACTTCTCACCTCCAGCGCTTTTTGTTTTGTTTGATTGACCGCGCGGAGCCTCGGAGCAGCAGCCAAAAAACTTCGTGTGAGCCACTATTTGCACAAATTCCTTGCGCGTTAGAGCCAAGAAAAAACACAAGCAACCTCGCGGTCATTTTTTAATCCGAAAATGTTTTTCGTTTTCAAGAGTGTGCTTTTGGAACTTTTTTTTTGCACTTTTTTCTTCCCCTCGGCAACAAAAGCTCTTGAGATTTTTTGGCTAAATGCAAAAATGTTGCAGATTTCGGGTTGGAGAATGGTGGAAGCGGGATTGGGTGGTGTGTATGTTAAGACTGCGCTCGAGCAGCCGACTCAACCGCCGTCGACACCGCCGACTAAATTGATGGGGCCTTTTGAGCATGTTATCAAGTGAGTTTCGGGCCGAGTGATCCTTGAGTTTGGACAACCCTAATTGAGCCTGGTCAGACCAAACCAGACCTTTTTGGGCTTACAATTTTAGGCTTAAGGCTACTTAAACTCAAACCGAATAGACCTCTTACAAAAAAAAATGAAAATAAATAATTTTCAAAAATTCCACGTGAAAATTCACGTCAAAATCTTCATTTTCGAAAAAAAATCATTATGTAATGGTCGAAATTTTAGGCGGCCTAAACTAGACCTGTTCAAAAAATCAATAAGCCTAAAACTAGATTGATGGGGCCTTTTGAGCATTTTGGGCTTGGGCTTAGGTGAGTTTCAGGCCGAGTAATCCTTTAGTTTTGTACAAGCCTAATTAGGCCTAAAAATTTAGATTTTCAAATTTTAATTTAGAACTAGGCCTGAAATTTTTGAAGTGCCCCAGGCCCTGACATTCCTGGCCAAATCAAACTAGGCCTAACTTGTTACAAAAAAAAAAAAAAAAATATTTTTCAAAAATTTCCTACTGATCTTTGAGTTTTGGACAAGCCTTGGGCCTAAAAATTTAGATCTTTAAACTTTAATTTAGAACTAGGCCTGAAATTTTTGAAGTGCCCCAGGCCCTGACATTCCTGGCCAAATCAAACTAGGCCTGGCCTAAATTTGTGAAGTTTTTCCTCTGGGCTTCGGCTTAGGGCTACCCAAGCCCAAAAAAAAATACAAAAAAAATCATATTTTTGAAAAATGCCACGTGAAAATTCACGTCAAAAATGCAAAATCTTCATTTTCAGAAAACAAATGTAGGCTTGTTCTTCCTCAAAAATTCAAAATAATCCCAACCTCTTCCAGATTCTCCGGACTAGACTGTAGTCGAACACGAAAAGAGCACATCACATCACTCCGCGGCATTTTCTCCACAATCATCGTTGCCATTATCATCATTGGACTTTTCTACGAAATGTCTCAATACATGCAAATCAAATCGCCAGTCTTGGGAATCGGATGGGCCGAATCGACGGTTTACGCGTTCTTCTCGATGCAATGTCTGATTGCTGCGATTTGTGTGATTTGTTGGACGAGAGATGGATTTGTGGCGGAATTTGAGGAGGGATTGGCGAGAGTCAGATTGACTAGGGTGAGTTCTGGGGGACGGATGGGGCCCTAATAAAATTTAGTCTCGCATTGGACCTCTGAGCCAAGTTCTGGGCTCTCAAAAGTCTAAAAATTGGCTCATAGCTAGCCTAAAAAAAGCCCGTTTTAGGCCTATTTTTGAGAGCTCAGAACTTTGCTCCAGGGTCGATTTGGCGAAAAATTGGAAAAGCTTTTTCATGTTGGAACAAAATATGTTTTCTCCAATTTTTTTGGTTTGAAAAAATCCACGTGGAGTTTGAGGTTTTCGAGTTTTTCAGCCAAAAATAATGACAAATCGAGATATTTGAAGTTTCTGGAGTGATTTCTGATGAAATTGACCTTGGAATTCGTTTTTCAGAAGATTTTGCTGATTTTTTGTGATGAGTTTTGAAAAAAATTGATAAAATGAAGTAAAATAGGGTTCTCGAAGCTTATTGTCATCAGAAATCAGTTCAGAAGCTTCAAAAATCTCGATTTGTCATTATTTTTGGCTGAAAAACTGAAAAAACAGGAAAAAAATGAATTTTGGCGTCAAATTTTGAGCATTGCTCATGTTAAATTCAGATTTTTCAAAAAATGGAAAATTTTCGAACCCGCACCATTGATTTTTAGATTTCTGATGAAATTTTGATCAAGAAAATTCTTTCACCATTGCTCATGTTAAAAATAAAACTTTTTAATTTTTCTCATCTGAAAATCCCACATTTTCGACCTGAAAACGCTGAAAATCTGTATTGGATCAGACCTTTACAGAAAAATTCTAAAATTCATTTTTTTTTTCAAATGAAAACAAAAAAAAATCCACGTGGTTGACAGCTAAAAATTTCTGAAAATCAAAAATCCCTGCTGACAATTATATTTCAAATCAAAAATTCTTTTTTAAATCTGAAACAAATCTGAAACAGTTGATTATTTTCCACAAAAAAGTACATTCTCAAAATTAAATTTTATATCAATTTTTGCCAAGTTCTGAATAGTGAAATTAATTTCCACGTGGAAACCAGAAATCAGCTCAGCTCCTAGAAAATCGAGCTATGCAAAACCGTATTCTGCACCATCACACTATTCAATCTCATTTTCTTCTCAAATCCAATCGCAAAAATCAAATTCTTCCTCAACGGCTCATTTGAAGCCAGCATAATAATTGTAACAACCGCACCATGACTCATCATAATATAAGGTCCCAATTCGCCCAAAACTAAAAAACCTTAAATTACATTTAAGGTATTTATTAATCAGGTTAATTAACCAGGTTACCTTTACTCTTAACATCCAGGAACAAAACCGCTGCGTAGAATAAAAGAGGTCCACCTAAAAGTGAAAAATGAACCAGGGTTTGGAATATGAGACTTGTCAAAAATTTGCGGTGCAAATCGCAAGTCCTGTGAGAAATATTGTTGAGTTTTGAAAGATAATTAAGCCAATTATAGCACTTTTTAATTACTAGCAGGATAATTAGTAAAATTAACAAATAATAAATTGTGGCAAAAATATTGAAGAGGAGTAATGTTATAGAAGTTAGATCAACTAAAATCGCAGAAACACATTCAAGTTCTGGAATTTCTAGAAGAATTCCAGAATTGGATTTGAAATTAGGTTGATCAATTAATTCATCGCAAAAGATAATTAGGATAATTATCAGGGTAATTAAAACTAGATTTAGTAAATACAAAAAATCCATTGATCAAATTCAATTCATTTTCTGTATTATTATTTGAATTTTTGGAATTTATTAAATTCCAGGGCTTCAGAATACTCTTTAACCGGTATAAAAATAAATAGAGAACTGAATAGGTGTTTAAGAAAAGTGTGCTGAAAATTAGGATGAGGCTGAGGATAATTGATGAATGACGAATGTGATAGAAGCCTGCGGGTTTGACGGCTAAATGCGGGAGGTAGAAGACTGGGCGGACTAGAATACCGTAGGAGAGGTCGAAGAGAATGTTGCTGGAATGATTTTGAAAAATTGTAGTCAGCAGAAATCCACGTGGCAATTATGGATTTTTTCAAAATTTTTAGATTTACTCTGTGAAATTTTGAAAATCCCGAAAATTTGATTTCAAACCACAAGGTTGAAACTATGAAACTAAAATTTTGCTGCGAACAATTTGAATTTGAAAATCCAAAATTTAGTTCCCAAAAATCCACGTGGCACAGGAAAATTTGAATTCTATCGAAGTCTACCAAAATCCAAATATTCGCTCAAAAAGTTTTGAAAAATCCACGTGGCGATTAAAATTTTTGTTGCCCAAATTATTTTTCAAAAAATCTCTTCAAAGACCAACCAAAAAACATATTTCACTAATCGCGCTCGATAATCTCTGAACGTCGAAACATTTCGAATATAAAACGCCAAAAAACTTGTCAAATAAATGGCCGTGCAAAAAATCGAAATAATATTCAATATCAAATTGTAGCGAAATTCGGGTTCGATGTCACAAATCGCATTTGAATCATAGAAAAAATGGGGATTTTTGAAGAAATCGAACATCTTAATGAAGTTCATTGAGCAGCTGCATTTTTTTTCTTTTTTGAGCGTCAGAAATCGGATTTTCAGGTGGACTTTAATGAACTAAATTTTAAAAATTGTCTGAAAAATTTGTGGGTCGGGAAAATACGTTTCAGAAATATGGTATTTCAAAAATTTGACCAAAAAACAGTCAATTTTTTAATAAAAATTGATGTTTCATTAGAGCGCACTTGCCCTCAACAGATACGTTTCAACAAATTAATGAAGAGGAGTTTTGAATTTTGGAATCAGTCAGAAATTGGATTTTCTAACTATGAAAAATGTCTGAGGCCTTTTTATCCGGGAAAAATACGTTTCAAAAATTTTGTATTAGAGAAACTGAAATTTTCGAAATGTTCTGGACCCTGATCAATTTTTTGAATTCAATTTTTGATAAAAATCAATATTTCATTAGAGCGCTCTTGCCCTCAAAAAATACGTTTCAACAAATTAATAAATAAGAATATTTGAATTTTGGAATGTTTCTGGTTTCATACTGTTCAAATGTAATTTTTTTTTAATTGGCGTCAAAATCCACGTGTCAAAAGATTAAAGCTCAATTTTCCAGCTCTCAACAAACCAAAAAATCGACGACTACACGGCATTTCATCGCAAATGCGCTCTAATGATCATCCCAATATTCTTCATCGTTCTAATGACATCAACCGCCTCGGCAATCGATATGAGATATTATCGAATGGAGAACAACACGTTTTTCTCCACAAGTCCCGTTTTTCTGATTGCACCCGTCATTGATATTTTCGGATGTTTGGCCACTTCGCTTTGCTTGGTGCTTTATGTTACAGTTAGCACAAGTCTTGCCAGAGAAATTGAGCATTTTAATAAGGAATTGACGAATTCGGGAAGGTTTCAACAATTGACGGTGAGTGATTTTTGAGGGCTGAAAGCCACGTGGAATCAAGATTTAGAGAAAATCCACGTGGAAAAATGTTTTTTTAATTTTTTCTGATGTGAGCTTAAAATTAATTTCCCACGAAGATTCTAGTTTTCTAAACCAAAAATCCACGTGGCCAAAAAATTCTTGAAAATTGTGGAAAATTAATTTTTGACACGTGGCTCTTATTTTGAGAAGCTGAAATTTTCAAGATGAATTTTTTTTGCTGAATTTTTTTCGAAAAGTTCTCACAGCGAACAAAAAATTATTTTTTTAAATCAAAAACTTTGAAAAAAACGGGCGGAACCTGTTCATATCCCTTTTCCGTCTCGCGTCTCTTCTTCTCTCACACTCTCTCGTTTTCTCTCACGAAAAATTCCAGATCAATCCAGATTTTTGAGCTGAAATAACAATCTCTCACTCAAAAAATCGTCAAATTTTTGCAGCTCCCCAACATCCTCAACTCCTACAGCAAACGACACTCCGACATCATTCAACTCATCCGATTCGCCAATCAGAATCTCCGAAAATACGCCTCAATCGCACCATTCTTCACCCTCGTCGCATTCATCAACGCAATCTATATTCTGGGAAGTTTCAATGATATTATGGAACCCTATTATTTTGCACTTATGCTTGGATGGGCGGTGATTACAGTTGGAATTACGGCCGCATGTTTTGTGCCGGCGAATAAGATACAGGATGAGATTCAGGAGACTGCCGAGATTTTGATGCATGATGATGTTTTGCAGACTTGTGGGGATGATCAGGTAAGGGGGGGGGGGGTTTAAGCCTTTATTAGGACAGGTGAAATTTTAACACTGTTAAAAATCTTATGATTATTAAAAAAAATTTTAACACTGTTAAAAATTAAAAAAAATCACACAAAAATTAGAGAATTTTTTAACGGCGTTAAAAATAAGAATATTTTCAGCTAAATTTTAACACTGTTAAAAATGAGATGATTTTTAGTTAAATTTTAAAACTGTTAAAAATTACAGGATTTTTTAACAGTGTTAAAAATCTTAAAAATTTCAGGTAAATTTTTTTAACACTGTTAAAAATAAGAAAAAATTTTAAAAAATTTTGTTGAAAATCTTTCGCTGCGGAAATTTTTCCTGAAAAGTGGGCGGAGTCTATCTCTATCCCTTTTTCGTCTCGCGTCTCTTCTACGCTCTTACTCTCTCGTTTTCTCTCGCGTGAAATAGTGTGTGCTTTTTCAAAACAAACCATTGTGATGAAACGTATTTTTTTCTGGATTTTTTTTCAACCCCAATTCAAACGTTTCCAGATGCATCACACATACCGTGTCACACTGGATCGTTGCCAATTTTCCAATTCGAAAATCTACTTTATGAACGCGTTTCCAATGGACAGCCCCACTTTCAATCGAATCATGTTCATTTTTCCCAATTTTGCCGGAATGATGTCGATTTACCGACAAACTTTGCATCGCTAATTGCATTTAGGCCTGATTTTGGGGCCTGGGCCTGAAAAATTGTGATATATTAATGATAATAATACGTGTACATAATGAAGATTCCAGACTAATGAAATTAAATTTTAGTGGACAGATTCTCAGATTTTTCTCAAATCACCTGTTGTGTGTATCTAAAAAAATATTTTTTATTTATTTCCTCAATACGTAAACCATGATTATTCACCTGATCCACCTAAATCAATCATTCTGGATTCCTCTTCAAACCCTAAACAACCGCCAAAATCAATCTTGGCTCGAAATTTGCATCATTCTCATATTGACTTTGATTTGTGCCTATATGACGAATATTTTGATCTACGTGATGTGGAAAATCCAAAAGTTCCATTTGAATAATCGAATCATTTGCACAATGTTTTTGGCGAGTTGGTATTTTTTGATGGTTGGATTGTTGATGGTCGAACCTTTTGAATACGGATTTCTTCAGATTGATGGTAAGCCAGGGATGTTTCATAGGCCCTATTTCAGGCCGGCCTCCAATTTTCCAAACAAAAATTGGTCGGAACCTGTTTATATTTGAAAAAAAAATTAGATTTCCTCTGTTGCTACTTTGGTATAGTGGTTAGCAAGCTCGGTTTTGCGTCACAAGGTCGCAGGTTCGATTCCTGTCCGGCGCAGAATTTTTTAATTTTTTATCGTTTTTTGTGCCGCCCATAAAACTTTGTTCAGATCAAAATAGAACAATACACGGACTCGAGGGAAACGAGTTATTCGAAGTTGAGGAAACACTTCAAAACTGCTCATTTCTCATCGGCTCATTCTTCATCTGGATTTATATCAGCTCAATCGCCATCTCAACAATATTTTTCATAATTGAAAGATCAATCGCAACATTTTGCTTTCAAAATTATGAAAATACCAAGAGACTTTGGCTAATTCTTCTTCTCACAATTCTGATTTTTGTATCAACAATGCTCGAAGTTTTTGCTCTGATGTTCAGATTTATCGATTTTTTTGGGGGAATGATTGAAACAGCGATTATTCATATTATTTTAATTCCTGTGAGTGTTCTAGTTTTAATTTAACATTTAACATTCAGAAATTCCAGATATTTTTCTATCTAAAATACCACAATAAAACTCTACACAATCTATTGAAAAGTGGAAAACTGAAAGTCTTAAATTCTTTAACAGCAAGATTCCAAATTGAGGAAAACATCAAATTTTTCAACATTGTTACAACTGTTGTTATCTGTGTGAATGTGATGACGTCATCATTCTTGATTCTACTTTTTGTGGAATTTTTGGAAATTATTGATCAAAATGTGGTGTTTCTGTTTTTGAAATATATTTGTTTACTGTAAGTTCACCATAATTTTTTTTTTTAGAAAATTCAAAAAAACTGGATTTTCAGAAACCCTCTAATTGTTATTCCCGCTGTTTTATATTCGATGGTCGAATGGCGATATCCATTTTTACGAATGATTTATCCATGTTTGAAAAATTGCCCACAAAATATTGCAAAAGTTAACACTGTAGCTACGGGTGTTATGTATTTTCAACAATTGGATAATTCTTGGAGATGAACTTTTTTTACTTGAAAAAAAAATTAATGAATTTTTTTAAAATTAAATTTTGAAAATATTTTCGAAACAGAAAATCCACGTGGCTAATTATAAGGAATCAAAAATATTTAAGAAATCGGTGCCACGTGGCAAAAAACGTGAGAGAAATTGAGAGAGTGTGCGTGCAGAAGAGACGCGAGACGAAAAAGGGATACGATAAGTTTTTTTTTGAATTTTTGTAGCAAAAGTTTTTAATTAAAAAAACAAAAAAAACAATTTTTTTGGCTGTGAAAACTTTTCAAAAAAAAATTTCAACTTGAAGTTTTCAGCTTCTCAAAATAAGAGATTCAACTTTTTTGCCACGTGGCTCATTTTCATCGCAGAAAAATTTGAAAATCTATTTTTCCAACACAAAAATATTGGTTTTAAAAAGAAACTTTTGAATTCCAAAGTTGTTTTTTTTGCCACGTGGCAACTATTTTTCCTTCTTCCTTGTTTTCTAAAAATAAAAAAATTATAGATGTTCTTCCCTCTTGAATTTCTTGTATGTTCTCAAAAAGTCCTTTCTCAATGTTTTTTCTGTGACTAACTTTTCAGACTGAAAAACAACAATTATTGTTTTTTTCTTGGCTGTAATTGGAATTTTCATTATTGCCTACTACAAGAACCAGAAAACCATAAATTAAATCAATTTTCAGCCAAAGTGGCTGAAAATTGCGTTTTTTGCGGTTTTCAGCTAGGAAATTCCCCTGATTTTCAGCTCCGAAATGTCATGCGCCCTTCCAGAAAAGCAAATCTTCGTCAAAAACTCGGCCATCGATCAATTTTTTCAAAAAATATCGGAGTTCACAAATTCCACGGCGAATCGACTTCTAATCATTCTCGTTTTCATATTTTTCATCTTCAATATTTTTCATCTATTTATTCTAACTCGAAAAAATATGCGAAGTTTGAGTGTTTCCAAGGAAATGATTACAATTGCTGTATCGGGATGTTTTATGGGTGCAATTGGTGTGGCTAAATATTGTTATGAATATTATTTGAATTATAGCACTTGGTGGGTTTGGGGGACTGCCACGTGACCTAAGCTATGTTTGGCTTAGGCTTAGTTAGGCTTAGGCTTAGTTAAGCCTAAGCTTAGTTAGGCTTACGCTTAGTTAGCCTTGAGCCTAGTTAGGCTTAGGCTTAGTTAAGCTTAGGCTTAGTTAGGGTTAGGCTTAGTTAAGCCTAAGCTTAGCTAGGTTTAGGTTTAGTTAAGCTCAAGTCTTAGTTAGGCTTAGGGCTTAGACTAGCTAAGCTTAGGCTTAGTTAGGCTTAGGCTTAACTAGGCTTAGGCTTAGGGTATCCCACTTAAAGGGGGTATACCCTATTGTCTCTCGTGCAAAGTGTGATACATCATTCGATTCAGAATTTTGTGTTATATATGCACAAAAAATTTTAGCTCTCGAAACGCATTCCAAGTACACGATTTTTGGGTCCAAACAGGACCAAAATCTGCTCGAAATAAAAAAAAGAACACACAAGAAAGAGAGACGCAGACTCTCGCTGTCTGCCAGCCAGCCAGCATGAGGGTTGTTTTTTCTTCTTTTTTTTACTGTTTTTTTTCGAATTTTGTGTTCAACAACTACGGTAAGTGTGAATATACTGTAATAAAATTAGTAAAAACAACACACATGCTGGCTGGCTGGCAGACAGCGAGAGTCTGCGTCTCTCTTTCTTGTGTGTTCTTTTTTTATTTCGAGCAGATTTTGGTCCTGTTTGGACCCAAAAAAGTGTACTTAGAATGCGTTTTGGGAGCTGAAATTTATTGTGCTCAGGGAATCACGGGCGAGATCTACGCGATTCGCGGGGGTCCAGCGTTTTGCGGAAACTCCGCGGTGGACATTTGCGAATTGCGCAAATTTAGCGAAGTGACTCGGTCGAAAATATTTTGTCGCGAGATTTCCGCAAAACGCAGAAAAGTTTGCGTTTCGCGTGAATTTCGCGGGCTGTCACGACAAGAGTGCAGAGATATGAAACACGTTTCAGCGATATGAGTCGTGCGCGTGGATGGTCAAGTGGGTAAGAGGAATGTGTGCGAGGCGGAGAGTGTCGGATCGAGGCCGGCCGAGTGAGTATGATTAAAAGCGATTAATTGTGTCTCGCGGCGCCTCTACTTTTTGATTTTTGAGAGAGAACCGCGAGATTTCCGCGATTCGCAGACAGAAAACCGCGAAATCGCGGTGTTCGCGGCGATTTCGCGGATTTCTGGGTCCCGCGAATCGCGTAGATCTCGCCCGTGATTCCCTGAGTATAACACAAAATTCTGAATCGAATGATGTATCACACTTTGCACGAGAGACAATAGGGTATACCCCCTTTAACTCAACTTTTTGCAGCACAAAAGAAGCCACTTATTCATTTCACATCATAATCCTCTATCACTTGTTATTTTTCGGCTACCTGAATCAAATTATCATTTGGTCAATTGTTCATATCACATTTCACCAAGCTCTTATGGTGCTCAAAATTCGCTATGGCTTGTGAGTTTCTTGGGATTTTTTTTGAATCTGGAATTTTTTTATTTCAGAAATCCGGACAAATTTCGATGGAAGTTTCAAGTCTTTATATTTATTGATTTTTGCATTTATGGCATCAATCATTTTTTGCGATTTTTTGTAACGGAGTTGTATGAAATTGAGGCTCCGGAAGGGTGAGAGAAAATTGTAATTCCAGATTTAATTTTAGCCAAAAAATCAACTTTTTCCTCAGAATTTCAGCTCGAAAATGTTATTCTTTAGTCTGGAAATTACTGGTTTTCAGATCAGATTTTCTCGATAGTTATAATTAGTTTTTAGATCAACATTTCTAGAATTCTAGATCTCTAAAGCTGAAAAATTCTAGATTTTTTTCAGATGTTCTGAAACTGCCTACGATTCAAGAAGAACTATCAGCCAATGCATAGTTCGATTATTTCTGTCGATTTCTGCAATTTTTGGAGAGGTGAGGAATTTTATTTTTTGAGCCGAGAAAATTCAAGCCGAAAAATATACGTTTCAAAAATATTTTATTCCAAAATTGTGGAATTTTGAATCACTGATCATAACTTTTTTGAAAATCTGTAACCTGAAAAATCCACGTGGCAAAACTAGATTTTCTGTTATAAAATAAAAAGTTCTAGAGTTCCGGGAACTCAAAGCTTGAAATATTACGCTCAAAAAATTTTAACCAAAAAAACTCAACCAGAAAAAAATACGTTTCAAAATTATCTTATTTGAAAATAGTGGAATTTTGAATCGATATACAACTGTCAAACATTTTTTCAAAAAAAATCTGAAACTTCAAAAAATCCAAGTGGCAATTTTGAATCAAAAATTCAAAACTCTGTGAAATCTGAAACTCAAATTTTCGGACCGAGAGCCCACATTTTTTTCTGAAGATATTTTCGAGTCCAAAAAAATTCAACCAGAAAAATATACGTTTCAAAAGTATTTTAATCGAAAATTGTGGGATTTTGAATCAAAGAATCTATGAGCCTTAAAAAATCTTCAAATTTTCCATATTTTCCAGGTTCTCCCATGCACATTGCTCATAATATTCTGCTCAATTCTAATTTTCGAAATCAACTCACATTCCTCTCCCGACGCCTCTTCCTCAATCCACTCAAATTCCCGCCAAAAAGCTGCTCGAGCTCTAATCCAATTCCTGATTTTCTACTTCCTCGCACAATTTCCACTATTCCTACTGTATTCTCTCGGATTATACAACCCCGAAGACTTTTCGCAACTCGATGATTATATTTATTTGCAAGTTGATTGTTTGTTTTTTGCAAATATGTCGATTGGAATTTTGGTGTACTGTTTGATGAGTTCGGAATATCGCAAAACTATTTGGAATATTTTTGCGGTCGAGCAGAATTTTTTGAGTAATAGTACGGTTGTTGTCAAACCTTTGTCACATTTTTGAAAAAAAATTGATTTTTTGGATAATCCTCCGATTCCATAATTATATTTCAATCAATGACTTGAACTGAAAAAAAAATCAATAAAAATTCTTCAAGATTCAATATTTTTTGAAACAGTGAAAACTTTTTCATAGAAATTTATTCATTTTCGAGGAAAAAATGGGTGAATACATTTGGATTAGTAAAAATTTGTAAATTTAAATTTAGAATTTGCAAAAAAATTAGTTGTTCAGCCAATTTCGATTCTCGACCATTGGATTGATGACATTCTGAAAAATTATTGATTTTCTCGAGGAAAAGCTGCAAATCTGAAGAGTTCACCAAGAACGAACTCAAATTCAAGAAGATTTTCTTGAAACAGTGAAAAAAACATATATTATTTAAAAATATAATTGAAATTTTTCTTCTGAAAAATTAAGACGAAACAAAAACATTTCTTCAGGAAAATATCACAAGATTTTTTGAAACAGTGAATTTGTTTCTGTTGAAAAATCAATTTTTTTTCATTTTCTAGTGATTTTCTATTGAAAAATTCGTATTTTTTCATTTGAATTCGATTTTCAAACAACAAATTAATTTAACTAAAAGCAAATTTTTGCCAAGAAATTTCTAGATTTTTTGAACAGTGAATTTTTTATCGAAATAAAAAATATTTTTTTAGCTGAAAATATAAAACTTCAGGTTGCTTAACAATGAAAAATTCAATATTTTAAAAATTTTCAAAAAAAAATTAATTTTTCACTAGGAATTTCTAAATTTTTTGAAACAGTCAATTTTTTCTGTTGAAAAATCGGAATTTTTAAAAAATTTTCTAGTAATTTTCTATTGAAAAATTCGAATTTTTACATTTAAATTCGATTTTCAAACATCAACAACAACTACTTGACCGAAAACCAAAATTTTCACAAAAAATTTCTAGATTTTTTGAAACAGTAAATTTTTTTCGACAAAAAAATTAATTTTTCTAGCTGGAAAAATCCGAATTCAGGTTGCTTAACAATGAAAAATTCAAGATTTTAAAAATTTTCAAAAAAAAATTAATTTTTCACTAGGAATTTCTAAATTTTTTGAAACAGTCAATTTTTTCTGTTGAAAAATCTGAATTTTAAAAAAATTTTCTAGTGATTTTCTATTGAAAAATTCGAATTTTTACATTTAAATTCGATTTTCAAACATCAACAACAACTACTCGACCGAAAACCAAAATTTTCACAAAAAATTTCTAGATTTTTTGAGACAGTGAATTTTTTTTTCGAAAAAAAAAATTTTCTAGGTGAAAAAATCCAAATTGAGCTTGTTCAGGTTCAAAAATCTGAATTTTCCAGTGATTTTCTATTAAAAATTAAAAATTCGATTTTCAAACAACAAAGAATCAATTTAACGAAACCCAAATTTTTTCCAAGAAATTTCTAGATTTTTTGAAACAGTCAATTTTTTCTGTTGAAAAATCAAAATTTTTAAAAATATTTTCTAGTGATTTTTATTGAAAAATTCTAATTTTTACATTTGAATTCGATTTTCAATACCACCGATTAATTAAACGAAAACTAAAATTTTCCCATAAAATTTCTAGATTTTTTGAAACAGTAAATTTTTTTTTCGAAAAAAAAAAATTTTCTAGGTGAAAAAATCCAAATTCAGCTTGTTCAGGTTCAAAAATCTGAATTTTTCACCAATTTCAAGATTTCGAAATATGATTTTTTGTAGAGAAATCTTGAAACAGTGAAAAATTCAAGATTTGAAAAATTTTCAAAAAAAATGTCTCCCGTAAAAACACCAAAAATTAATTTTTCCCAATAAATTTCTAGATTTTTTGAAACAGTGAATTTTTTCTGTTGAAAAATCAAAGATTTTTTTTAAAAATTTTCCAGTGATTTTCTATTGAAAAATTCAAAATTCGATGTTCTAACCAGTCGAATCAACTTAACGAAAACCGAAATTTTCCCAAGAAATTTCTAGTTTTTTTGAAACAGTGAATATTTTCTTTTGAAAAATCAACTTTTTTAAAAATATTTTCTAGTGATTTTTATTGAAAAATTCTAATTTTTACATTTAAATTCGATTTTCAAACAACATCACTGATTAATTAAACGAAAACTAAAATTTTCCCATAAAATTTCTAGATTTTTTGAAACAGTCAATTTTTTTTTCGAAAAAAAAATTTTCTAGGTGAAAAAAATCCGAATCGAGCTTGTTCAGGTTCAAAAATCTGAATTTTTCACCAATTTCAAGATTTCGAAATATGATTTTTTGTAGAGAAATCTTGAAACAGTGAAAAATTCAAGATTTTTCATTTTTTTCTGAAAAATTAAGACGAAACAAAAACATTTCTACAGAAAAATATTACAAGATTTTTTTGAAACAGTCAATTTTTTTCTGTTGAAAAATCAATTTTTTTTTCAGTTTCTAGTGATTTTCTATTGAAAAATTCTAATTTTTACATTTAAATTCCATTTTTCAAATACATCAATTAACATGACCAAAAACAAAATTTTCCCATAAAATTTCTAGATTTTTTGAAACAGTGAATTTTTTATCGAAATAAAAAATATTTTTTTAGCTGAAAAAATCCAAATTCAGCTTGTTCAGGTTCAAAAATCTGAATTTTTCACCAATTTCAAGATTTCGATATGTTTTTTGTAGGGCTGTAAAAAGTGGTGTTCGTGTGCCGAAAAACACATTTGTGTGTTCACACGAATACACTGATGCACACGAACACACTACCCCCGAATACACTACTTTTTTTGCATGTGTTTTCAACCAAACACACACAGAAAAAACAGTGTGTTCGTGTGCAGTGTATTCGGGTGCATAGTGTGACAGTGTGTTCGCTGCTGCCTCGCCGCGTGTGTGGTGTGTTCGTGTGAACTATTTACAGCCCTAGTTTTTTGAAAAGAAATCTTGAAACAGTGAAAAAAAAAAAAAAATCTAGAAATTTCTTGGCAAAAATTTGGTTTTAGTTAAATTAATTTGTTGTTTGAAAATCGAATTTAAATGTAAAAATACGAATTTTTCAATAGAAAATCACTAGAAACTGAAAAAAAATTGATTTTTCAACAGAAAAAGTTAATTGATGTATTTGAAAAATGGAATTTAAATGTAAAAATTAGAATTTTTCAATAGAAAATCACAAGAAAATAAAAAAAAATTTTCAACAGAAAAAATTGACTGTTTCAAAAAATCTAGAAATTTATTGGGAAAAATTATTTTTGGTGTTTTTACGGGTTTCAGGAAAATATTACAAGATTTCTTGAAACAGTGAATTTGTTTCTGTTGAAAAATCAAAGTTTTTTAAAACATTTTCTAGTGATTTTCTATTGAAAAATTTTAATTTTGAACGAAAACCAAAATTTTCCCAAAAAATTTCTAAATTTTTTGAAACAGTCAATTTTTTTCGAAATAAAAATTAATTTTTCTAGCTGAAAATATCCGAATTCAGGTTGCTTAACAGTGAAAAATTCAAGATTTGGAGAATTTTCAAAAAAATGTCGAACCAAAAATTAGTTTTTCTGAAAAAAAATTGGAGAAAATCTGATTTTTTGAAACTAAAAAATTTTTTTCACTAAAAATTTCTATATTTTTTGAAACAGTCAATTTTTTTTCCGTTGAAAAACGAAAGTTCTTTTTATTTTCTAGTGTTTTTCTATTGAAAAATTCAAATTTTTACATTTAAATTCGATTTATAAACAAAAAACAATTTAACGAAAACCAAAATTTTCCAAAGAAATTTCTAGTTTTTTTGAAACAGTGAATTTTTTTTTCGATAAAAAAATTAATTTTTTAGCAGAAAACATCCAAATTCAGCTTGTTTGAAAAATTCAATTCAAGATTTCAAAAATTTTCAAAAAAAATGTCTCCCGTAAAAATACCAAAAATTAATTTTTCCCAAAAAATTTCTGGATTTTTTGAAACAGTCAATTTTTCTGTTGAAAAATGAGAATTCTTTGGTGATTTTCTATGGAAAAATTCAAATTTTCACATTTAAATTCCATTTTTTGAAATACATCAATTAACATGACCAAAAACAAAATTTTCCCATAACATTTCTAGATTTTTTGAAACAGTGAATTTTTTATCGAAATAAAAAATATTTTTTTAGCTGAAAAAATCCAAATTGAGCTTGTTCAGGTTCAAAAATCTGAATTTTTCACCAATTTCAAGATTTCGAAATATGATTTTTTGTAGAGAAATTTTTGAAACAGTCAAAAATTCAAGATTTGAAAAATTTTCAAAAAAATGTCTCCCGTAAAAACACCAAAAATTAATTTTTCCCAATAAATTTCTAGATTTTTTGAAACAGTGAATTTTTTCTGTTGAAAAATCAGAATTTTTTGGTGATTTTCTATGGAAAAATTGAAAATTCGATTTTCAAACCGGTCCAACAAAATTAGCGAAAATCAAAATGTTCCCAAAAAATTTCTAAATTTTTTGAAACAGTGATTTTTTTTCGAAATAAAAATTAATATTTTAGCAGGAAATATTCGAATTCAGGTTGCTTAACAATTAAATATTCAAGATTTGAAAAATTTTCAAAAAAATGTCTCTCGTAAAAACACCAAAAATTAATTTTTCCCAATAAATTTCTAGATTTTTTGAAACAGTGAATTTTTTCTATTGAAAAATCAGAATTTTTTGGTGATTTTCTATGGAAAAATTGAAAATTCGATTTTCAAACCGGTCCAACAAAATTAGCGAAAATCAAAATGTTCCCAAAAAATTTCTAAATTTTTTGAAACAGTGATTTTTTTTCGAAATAAAAATTAATATTTTAGCAGGAAATATTCGAATTCAGGTTGCTTAACAATGAAATATTCAAGATTTGAAAAATTTTCAAAAAAAATGTCTCTCGTAAAAACACCAAAAATTAATTTTTCACTAGAAATTTCTATATTTTTTGAAACAGTGAATTTTTTTCTGTTGAAAAACGAAAGTTCTTTTTATTTTCTAGTGTTTTTCTATTGAAAAATTCAAATTTTTACATTTAAATTCGATTTATAAACAAAAAACAATTTAACGAAAACCAAAATTTTCCAAAGAAATTTCTAGTTTTTTTGAAACAGTGAATTTTTTTTCCAAATAAAAATTAATTTTCTTAGCTTAAAATGTTCGAATTCGGGTTGCTTAACAGTGAAAAATTCAAGATTTGAAAAATTTTCAAAGAAATGTCTCCCGTAAAATCACCAAAAATTAATTTTTCACTAGAAATTTCTCAGATTTTTTGAAACAGTAAATTTTTTTCTTTTGAAAAATCAGAGTTTTTAAAAATATTTTCTAGTGATTTTTATTGAAAAATTCTAATTTTTACATTTAAATTCGATTCTCAAACAACATCACTGATTGATTAAACAAAAACTAAAATTTTCCCATAAAATTTCTAGATTTTTTGAAACAGTAAATTTTTTTTTCGAAAAAAAAAATTTCTAGGTGAAAAAAATCCAAATTGAGCTTGTCCAGGTTCAAAAATCTGCATTTCTAGATTTTTTGAAACAGTCAATTTTTTTCGATAAAAAAATTAATTTTTCTAGCTGAAAAAAATCCAAATTCAGCTTGTTTAGCTTCATAAAATCAGATTTTTCTGGAGAATTTGTGAATCTAGGTTCTTTTATCTCAAAATTTCTAGCTCAAAACTCTAATTTCAGCCCCAAAAATTCGCTCACCCTCCAAGCATTCAAATCCTCAATTCCCATCATTTTCCCGCCATTTTTGCTCTTCTCAAAACTCTTTCCAAACATTTTTGTCAATTGTTCAATCATCTCAAATTCGCTCAATTTTCTAGTTTCTTCCTCCATTTCCATTTCTACATTTTCAGCTTCAGTTTCAGTTTCAGCTCCAGTTTCAGTTTTCGAACTTGACGCTCCATTTTCCATGATCCATTTTCGATCATCTGAATTTTGTAGACTTCTAATAACTCGTCCAAAATCCCATTCATTTTCAGCCATCAAATTGTCAGCCACACTTTTCTCAGCCAACCAATATTCCATGGGTTTTTCCAGATTGCTCATATTAGTTTTTTCGCTGATAATTTCAAAACTCGAAGTTTCACTTTGCGCATCTTCTTCTGAAATTTCCTTTTTCAGCCAGATTTTCTCATCGCAACTTTTATACATCAAATCGAAGTGCTCTTCTTCAGCCTCGTATTTTTCGACGAAAAAATTCAAAGTTCCTTCAACTTTGCTCGGCTTTTCCTCACACAAAATCGCGCCAAAATTCGCGAGTTCCAAGTTGCGACGTCGCAGAATCGCGTCATCAATTCGCAAAGCGATTTGTGGCTCGCGCAGCTCTTTTTCAAGGAAATTGAAGGAGGTGGGCGGAACTGCGGAGTGTTGTTGTTTGATTGATTGACGACACGCGCCTGGAATTTTTTTTGTTGATTTTGTTGATAAGAAAATAGAGGTTCAGAAAATGTTTTGATAAGAAAAATGTCTGAACTTTTTGTATACTTTGATGGGTTTAGTGATAAGAAAATTCGAATTTTGAGAAAAAAATAGGGAAAAAAGGTAGAATTTAATTTCTTGTGGCCTAGAAAACCAAGTAACCTGAAAACTTGGTTTTCTAGTCCAAGAATGGGTTTTCTAGGTCACAAGGATCGTAAAATTGGGCTTCTAGAGTGTCGGAATCCAAAAGTTGGAATGACGATGGCCTAGAAAACCAAATCACTTGGGAACTTGGTTTTCTAGGTCATCTAACTCGGAATTTCGATTTTCTAGTCCAAGAATGGGTTTTCTAGGCCATCAGGATCGTAAAATTTGGGTTTCTAGGCCATCAGATTTCTCTTTCTGGTTTTCTAGACCATTTTCAGTCTCTTGATGCTTTCCAAAATGAATTTGAGAATTTCAAACCTCAGATTTGGATTTCTAGGCCACCCAAGTAGTTATTTGGATTTCTAGGCCATCAGGATCTTGAAATTTGGATTTCTAGGCCATCAGATGTGATCTTCTGGATTTTCTAGGCCATTTCTACCCTCTCAGGTTTAATCTGAACAACTATCGCTAGTTTTCAAATTCAAAACCTCAGATTTAGATTTCTAGGCCAAATTTCATGGTTTCTGGCTCATTTTCCCCCGCAAAACTTGAATTTCCGGCTCTCTAGCCTTATTTTCCACCCCCCAAAACCCTCACCAATAGCATTATAGGCTTCCAATTGTTGTCCAACAATCAACTCCTCCTTCTCCAAAAACAACCGCAACAAATCTTGTTTCAATTGTTTCTCCCTCAAATTCATCAAATTCTTCTCGTTCTCCATCAATTTCTCAATGTCTTCTTGAACTCGTTCGAAGTTGTCTCGAAGATTTTTGTTGATTTCTGCGAGACGCGAGGCGTGCACTTCGAGTTGGACAAGACGTTGTTCGGACATTTTTTGGGCTGAAAATAATTATGAATTTTAGGATGATCAGAGAAATTTTTGAGAAAAAACATGGGAACGTCGGAAAATTTGCGGAGATTTTCAATTTACAATTTTTCAAGCTGAGAAAAGTCCTGTTTTCAGTTTTTGCCGAGTAAATTTCTCTGAAAATATCCAATTTCAGAATTTTTAAATAAAAATTGCTGAAAATTTTAATTTTCAAGATTTTTCTAATTAGTAGAAGCTTCAAAAATCGTTTTGCGAAAAATTTGTGAATTTTTCAAAATTTCTCAATTTTTTGAAACAGTGAAAAATTTTAAAATTTTCAAAATTCCCAAAGTTTCTCGGAACATCTCGATTCCTAAATTTCAACCGAAATTGTGTTGAAAATCGGAAGTTTTCGGGTTTTCTCTCTATATTTTAATTATGTAATGACCAATATGAACGAAAAAATTTTAAAAAAATTGACTTTCATTAAATTTTTGAAACAGTGAATTTTTTTGAGTGTGAATTTTTGGAATTTCTATGAAACGAGTCAGAATCATAGATGTTTCTGTACAGTTTTTCACGCTGAGAAAGATCCTGTTTTCAGTTTTTGCTCATTTTTGGGCTCTTCAGATATTAACTCAGCAAAAACTGAAAACTGGATATTTCTCAGCGTGAAAAACTGTACAGAAACATATATAATTCTACCCGTTTCCTAGAAATTTCGAAAATTCATATTCAAAAAATTTCACTGTTTCAAAAATTTGATGAAATTCAAAATTTTCTGAATTTTTTGTTCATATTGCTACTTCAGTCATTAAAATATAGAGAAAACCTGAAAATTTCCGATTTTCAGCACAATTTCGCTTGAAATTTAGGAATCGGGAATTTCCGAGAAACTTTGGGAATTTTTCAAATTTTTCAAAAAAAAATTTCACTGTTTCAAAAAATTAATAAATTTCGAAAAATTCCCAAATTTTCGCTAAACGAACTTTCTGCTGCAACTAATCAGAAAAATCTTGAAAATTAAAAATTTCAGTAAATTTCATCAGAAAATTCTGAAATTGAATATTTTCAGAGAAATTTTTCAAATTTTTCAAAAAAAAATTTCACTGTTTCAAAAAATTAATAAATTTCGAAAAATTCCCAAATTTTTCGCTAAACGAACTTTACAGCTGCAACTAATCAGAAAAAAAAATTCAGCAGATTTTATTGAAAATTCTGAAACTGAATTGTTTTCAGAGACATTTTAAATTTAAAAAAAAATTCACTGTTTCAAAAAATTCATGAAATAAAACATGAAATCAAATTTTTCGCTATATTCAAAAAATCAATAAATTTCCCTCAAAAACCAAATTTTTACACAAAAACTATATACTAATAAATTCAACATTACTGCGAAAATGGAGAAAAAATGGGCTGATATCTTTTTTATTTTCTGATTGCCTCATATTACGATTTTTGCGGTCAGAAAAAAAAATGAGAACTGATAACAAGTTTTCTTGAACTTTCTTGACTAAAAATTCAAAGGGGGAACTTTAAATTAAATTATACCTTGAAAATCAAAAAAAAAATAATTTTCAGCACATAAAATCTGTGCTGGAAACTGCCTTAAATACCTATTTCTTGTTTGTTTTATCAGGAGAAGAAGATAACTATTTTAGTACTATTTTGTTCTTTCTGATGTCATTTAGACAAACATATATACTAAACAGGAAGCTGAATGACTATATTTTCGATAAAAATTTGCTTTGTTCTACGTTTGCCATTTTTTATCTTTGAAAAAATCGTACAGTATGAATATTTGTTATCTGAAGATAACAATTTGGTACAAAATTCTAAAAAATTTCAAAATTCTGCCTAAAAATCCACGTGGCATAGTTTTCGGAACTAGGATTTCAAATGTTTTTTCTTTGAAGAAAAAATCCACGTGGCGAAATTTTCAAAGAAAAATGTCACGTGGAAAAATTTTAAAATTTTCGAAAATTTTTTTTTTCAAAAATCTACTGTTCCAAGAATTCTATAGATTTTTGAGTTTTGAAATTTATTTCATTCAATCCCCTTTAGACGAAGTCAAGTTAAGACCTCAAAATCCACGTGGCTAAATTTTTTGAAAAAAATTCAAATTCCAAAAATATCAGAAAAATTCAATTTTCAACAAAAATCTTCTGAATTTTCAAACTTAGGGCGAAAAAACTATTTTTTAACTCATGACGTGGATTTTCAGCAACCAAAATAATTTCAGAAAAAAATGTTTTCTTAGAAGAAAAAATGCCACGTGGCTAAATTTTTGAACACTGAAATTTCAAAAACATCAGAAAACTCATTTTTCAACAAAAATCTTTGAAATTTTCAAACTTAGAGCGAAAAAAATATTTTTTAAATCATGACGTGGATTTTCAGCAACAAAAATAATTTCAGAAAAAATTTTTTTCTTTGAAGAAAAATGCTACGTGGGGAAAATTTCAAAGAAAAATTTCACGTGGCAAAATTTAAAAATTTTCGAGAAAAGTATTTCTTCAAAAAACTACTGTTTCAAAAATTCTATAGATTTTTGAGTTTCGAAATTTATTTCATTAGATGCCAGTTCAATGATTCAATTAACCACTCAAATTAAGACCTAAAAATCCACGTGGCTGAATTTTTGAAAAAAATTCAAATTCCAAAAATATCAGAAAAACTCAATTTTCAGCAAAAAATTTCTAACATAAATTTTCAAATTTTGTAAGGAAAAAGGTTTTTTTCAGATAGCGCTAAAAAATCATGTTTTTTAAAATCATGACGTGGATTTTCAGAAACCAAAATATTGTCAGAAATGAAAAATTACTTTAAAAGCATACCACGCCCAGGGTGAGGCATATGCACGGCGCCAATAGAAATTTACGGAAATTCACCTCGCCAATTTGAGATTTTCTTGAAAAACAGCTAATTTTTGCTTGTTTTTCCGTTAAAAAGTGGTATTTTTCAGTCAATAGGTTGTTTTCACCTCGCCAAAAAATTTCAAAACGCAAACCGCCAATTTTCAAAGTTAGTTTGCACGAAGCTGGGCGCGGTATGTTTAAAAGGTTTCAAGAATTTCACAATTTTTTTGAAAATTTGAAGAAAAATTCCACTTGACAAAATTTAAAAATTTTCAAAACTGTTTCAAAAATTTCATAGATTTTTGAGTTTTGAAATTTATTTCATTCGATGAATTAATACTAGTCAAATTTCGCCCTAAAAATTCCACGTGGCATAAATTTTGAAAACTGAAATTCCGAAAATATCGGAAAAATTCAATGTTCAAATTTTGTGCAGAAAAAAGTAGTTCTTTATCATGACGTGGATTTTCAGCAACTAAAAAAATTTCTTCAAAAATCTACTGTTTCGAGAATTTCAATTTTTGAACAAAATATTTCTTCAAAAATCTACTGTTTCAAAAATTCTATAGATTTTAGAGTTTTGAAACTATTTTATTATTTCGATGCTTTCTAAATCAATCAAATTTTTCCCTCAAATTCCACGTGGCAGAATTCTTAATAGCAAAAAATTTGACAAACTTGGATTTTCAGACGTCAAAAATTACTGTTTCACAATTTTTTCTACAATTTTTCACCCAAGTAAATTCACGGAAAATCAACCGTTTCTCAAATTTCCTCGAATATTTTCCCAAAACCTTTATTTATCACAATAGCCAAAAAGAAAAAAATGCATTAAAAACTGAAAGCCGAATAAAATTTCTCAAAAAAAGTTGTTATAATATTTAGCAAAAGATACATAGTATCTATCCGGAAGGTAAAATTTGCCAACAATTTTTGAGATTAGACACGTGGCAAAATGAGTCCGGCGACAAGGGTGACTAATGGATTTGGTGTTGAGACTGATGGATGATCACCAGAACATCCACCCATGTCGATGTGCGAATATTTTAGTGGGCTTTGTGAATCTGTGCCGTGTTCGTCGATTCGAGAAGCCTGCAAAAATTTGGATTTTTGAATGAATTTTTGACAAAACTTGGAAAAAACTCAATTTCGCTAGTGAGCAAAAATAATATTTTTCGAAATTCATCAAATATTTGAAACAGTATTTTGTTTTCAAAAATATCTGGGAAAATTCATCGAAAATTAAGGAAATTTATCAGAGAAATTCACTAAACTTCAATAATTCATCAATTTTTTGAAACAGTGAAAAATTTCAAATAAAATTTTTGCCGCTAGAAAATTCAGATTTTTTGAACAAAAAAATTTCACTGTTTCAAAAATCTCATAAATTTTTGAATTAATAAAATATTCTTTATTGTTCCCCGGCTAGTACATATAATAACATCAAATTTCGAAAAAAATTCGACAAAAACCTAGAAAATCCCAAATTTAGTATCAAAATTCGAAATTCCGTCAAAAATCCACGTGGAATTGAGCATTTTTTGATAATTCTCGAAAAAGGTCGTAAAATTGTGCATTAGCGAAAATTATCTGACTTCAACATTTTTTGAAACAGTGAAAAATTTCTAAAATTTTTTCTTGAGATAATCACAAAAAATATGAAATTTAGATTTAAAAAAATTAACTGACTCACTTCCATAAAATTTCTTAATGAATTTTTCATAATTATTGACATTATTTCACAGATTTACTATCAAAATGCTCCAAATTCTCCGAAAAATCCCAAATTTCCCCTCATTTTCATCCCCAACCCTGCCCATCCCAAAAATCACTCACCATTTGCAAGAATGCGGCAGGTGTTTGATGTCCTCTCAACGTGGCAACCGACGGTTTCGTGTTTCCTTGTCTCAAATCAGCTTGTTCGCATTCGGCTTGATGGAAGGCGAAATCTTCGGGATGAAGTCGACTGATTTCAATCGGTTGTCCATAGATATCTCCAATTTCTTGAATTTTTCGAGCCCAGCCGCTTGATTTTGCGGGTCCTAAAAAATCGATTGTAATGATTATTTATTTATGATTATCATAGCCAAAACAAAATTGTAGAGAAACAATTTTATGATAATAAATTTGAGAAACGTATCTTTCACGGGAAAAATTCAGAATTTTTTCAAATTTTATGAAACTTTCCTACCTTTCAAAAAATCACCGTTTCAAAAATTCTACAAACTTTCGAGTTGCAAAATAATTTTCAAGCTTCAAAAATCCAATTTTTCAAAAATTAAAATTCACTGTTTCAAAAATCAAGAAAGGAACATGTTAATGAAAAATTGAATATTGGGAAAACTTGAAAAATCATAAAATTGAATTTTTCAAACCAAATTCAGAGGTAAAAAATCACGTTTCAAGCTTCAAACGCGGGAAGAAAATTTGAACAATTTTTCAAAAATTAAAATTCACTGTTTCAAAAAATCCAACAAGGGAAAAAATTAATGAAAAATTGGATATTGGGTTAAAATTCATTAATTTTTTGAAACAGTGAGATTTTTTTGATTGAAAAATTTTTTTTTGATGTTTCAGAGCACAAAACCTCCAAATTTCTGAATTTTGGGGCTGAAAATAACTCGATTTTCAGATTTCTGAGAATTTAGGCTAATTTTTTAGGAGTACAAAAACTTGAAAAATCATACAATTGAATTTTTCAAACCAAATTGAGAGGTGAAAAATTAGAATTTTCCCACATTATTCCCCAAAACCTCAGCTTCAAACGCGGGAAGAAAATTAGAACAATTTTTCAAAAATTAAAATCCACTGTTTCAAAAAGTGTGTACTAGAAAAGTTAATGAAAAATTGAATATTGGTTAAAATTTATTAATTCTTTGAAACAGTGAAATTTTTTTGATAGAAAATTAGGACAAAAAATTATTTTTTTCGACCAAATTTAATTTCAGGCTAACTCTGAAATTTGACAAGAAAACGTGAATTTTTTTTTGAGAATTTAGGCTTAAAAAATTTGAACAATTTTTCAAAAATTAAAATTCAGTGTTTCAAATATCCTGTAGGCACACACGTTTTTCCCATGCAATAAAGAGTCATGGTAAGCAGTGACAACGGTGTTTGCAGAATGGTGTTTGCACACATTTTGTTCTCACACATCTCTCGCACTCTCTCGTTTGCCGCGCTCTTTATTTTTCATTTTGAAAAAAAGAGGTACGGTATCAAAGGTGCATGTGTTTTTAATTTCGATTGGTCTCGCAGCGGAGGCTAACTTTCTTCCCAGGACCCCTAAAAATTCCAAATAAAGTCATTCGCACAGATCTCGATACGCTGATTTTCGCTATGTTTTTTGTTTTTCAATAATCGGGGGTCGTTCAACCGCTAGGCGTTGCACCGTTTTTGTAGGCTGCGCGATGAAAATTGCACAACTTTCTTCTTTTTCAAACATGTGTGTAAAAAAACCTTAATGAAAAATTGGATAGTGGGTTAAAATTCATTAATTTTTTGAAACAGTGAGATTTTTGATAGAAAATTAGGACAAAAAATCATTTTTTCGGACCAAATTCAATTTCAGGCAATTTCTAAATTTTGACAAGAAAATTTGGATTTTTTCTGAATTTTGGGGCTGAAAATAACTCGATTTTCAGATTTCTGAGAATCAGGCTCATACATAAAATGGGTCCCCAGAATCGGGGTGAGGGGCTTAACTTTTTTCAAAAATCTGAACGGAAGGGTGCTTAACTTGGCCAATTTTCTGTTGAAAATTTACCGAAATTCCAAGATTTGTCCAAAATTCGCTCAAAAATGTGAGGAAGGTGTTTAACTTTGGAAAATTTTCAAGGAGGGACCCTAACTTTGAAAACTGACTCGGGGGACCTATTTTATGTATGATCAGGCTAATTTTTGGAGGGGTACAAAAATTTGAAAAATCATAAAATTCGATTTTTCAAACCAAATTTAGAAGTAAAAAATAATGTTTCAAGCTTCAAGCACGGGTAGAAAATTTGAACAATTTTTCAAAAATTAAAATTCACTATTTCAAAAATTGTGTAGGAGATAACTGAATGAAAAATTGGATATTGGGTTAAAATTCATTAATTTTTTGAAACAGTGAGATTTTTTTAATAAAAAAAAATTTTGTTGATGTTTTAGATCACAAAAACTCCAATTTCCTGAATTTTTGGGGCTGAAAATAACTCGATTTTCAGATTTTTGAGAATTTAGGCTAATTTTTGGGAGAACAAAAGCTTGAAAAATCATAAAATTCACTGTTTCAAAAATTGTGTAGGAGAAAACTGAATGAAAAATTGGATATTGGGTTGAATTTCATTAATTTTTTGAAACAGTGAGATTTTTTGATAGAAAAAATGTTTTTTTTTTGATGTTTTAGAGCACAAAAACTCCAATTTTCTGAATTTTGTGGCTGAAAATAACTCGATTTTCAGATTTCTGAGAATTTAGGCTAATTTTTGGAGGGTACAAAAACTTGAAGAATCATAAAATTCAATTTTCCAAACCAAATTTATAGGTAAAAAATCACGTTTGAAGCTTCAAGCACGGGTAGAAAATTTGAACAATTTTTCAAAAAATTGAAATTCACTGTTTCAAAAATCCTACAAGGGAAAAAAATTAATGAAAAATTGGATATTGGGTTGAATTTCATTAATTTTTTGAAACAGTGAGATTTTTTAATAGAAAAAAATTTTGTTGATGTTTTAGAGCACAAAAACTCCAATTTTCTGAATTTATGCCCAGAAAAATCATAATTTTCCAAAATTTTCCCCCCAAAACCCCAAAACTCACCATTATCCATAATAGCAGCATGATAACCATACGACAAAACCTCGTGTCCAGTCAATGTTGCCAATGTGAAAAGATGTGGATTGACAGCCTTCAACGCTTCTTCTTTGGCCAAAGTCAAGGGATCCAACATTGTTAAACGACCTTCGGCATCAGTGTTATAGATATGAATACGTTTTCCACTTCTGGCAGTGATAACTTCATCACAAGTGTAAGCACGAGCTCCGATTGAATTACGAACCATACACATGTAACCGATGGCCTAGAAATATTTGGTTTTAAAATTTTGATTAAAAATCATTTCTATCGGAATCAGTTTCAAAATGAAATTCAGTAAATTCAAAAAAATTTTGAAACAGTGAAGTTTTAATCATTTTTTTTTCATAGAAAAAGTTGAATTTTTTTGTTTCTTCCTGATAAACACAGAGCAGGTAAAATAAGCAAAAAATGTTAAAAAATGTTTGAAACAGTTAATTTTTTTCAAATAGATTTTCTTGAAATCCATGTTTCTAGAGTAGAATTTTGTAATTTTTCAAAATTTCAAATGGAAATTGATGCTTTTCAAGATCCCAGACCAGAAATGGCAACTTAATGAAATTTTTAACGATTAATTAAAATTTTCTTATGTAATTGAGCAAATTTCAACGGAATGTCAAGTTTCCAGACCGAAAAAAACAATGATTCAAATTTTCAATTTGAAATCCCGCAAAATTTTTTGAAAAAAGTTTCTGATCAATTTTCCGAGAAACTGCATAACTACATCGCAATATTATGACAAAAACATTCAAAATTTATAATAAACTTTTTTGAAACAGTGAATTTTTCTAGACCAAAAACATTTGATTTTCAATAAATTTTCTGGTCAAATTTCAAAAAATTTCAAGTTATCAGATGTTTTTTGCAAATTATTTGGTTCGCGCCGAAATCGGACCATTTTTAAAAATCAGCAAAAAGTTCATTAAAAATGTTTGAAACAGTGAATTTTTCTAGATCAAAAACAATTTCATTTTCTAGAAATTTTGGATAAAATTACAGAATCCGGATCAGTTTCAAAACAAAATTCAGTAAATTTATGAAATTCCTGAAACAGTGAAGTTTTATTCATTTTTTTTCATAGAAAACGTTGAATTTTATTTTTCTGTTTTCGAAATAGCACAGAGCAGTTTTGTAAAATAAGCAAAATATATTAAAATGTTTGAAACAGTGAATTTTTTTCAAATAGATTTTCTTGAAATCCAAGTTTCTAGAGTAGAATTTTGTGAATTTTTCAAATTTTCAATGGGAAATTCATGCTTTTCAAGATCCCAGACCAGAAATGGCAATTAAAAAAATTTTTAACGAAAAATTAAAATGTTCTGATGTTATTGAGCAATTTTCAACGAAATTTCAAGTTTCCAAATTACGAAAAAATTCTGATCAAAGTTCGGAAAAACTACAAACTACATCACAATATCATTACAAAAATACTCAAAATCTATACAACTTTTTTGAAACAGTGAATTTTTCTAGACAAAAAAAATATGATTTTCCAGAAATTTTTGGTCAAATTTGAGGAGATTTCAAGTTATCAGATGTTTTTTGCAAATAATCTCGTTCGCATCGAACTCGAACCATTTTTAAAAAATAGCAAAAAATTCATTAAAATTTTTTGAAACAGTGAATTTTTTTCCAATAGATTTTTTTGAGATCCAAGTTTCTAGAGTAGAATTTCGTTATTTTCGGGCTGGGCAACAAATTAGAATCTTTTTTGGGTTTTGAAAAAATTGATGGAAAATCATTACAAAATTAATCAGTTTCCAAATAAAATTCAGTAAATTTACAAAATTATTGAAACAGCGAAGTTTTTTATTCAATTTTTCTTTGAAAAAATTTTCACAGACTTTCATGAAATCCAAATTTCTAGAGTAGAATTTTTCAAAATTTGTTTCGAGACCCAAAAAAGCGCGAATTTTTCAAATTTTCAGTTCAAACTCGCGGAAAAATTTATGAGAAAATTCTGATAAAAGCTAAAGCAATATTGATATTATGAAAAAAATATCCAAAATTTATAATAAACTTTTTTGAAACAGTGAATTTTTCTAGACTACAAAATTTAAATTTCTAGTAAATTTTGGTCGAATTTCAAAATATTTCAAGTTATCGGACTATTTTTAAAAATCAGCAAAAAGTTCATTAAAAATGTTTGAAACAGTGAATTTTTTTAGACTACAAAATTTGATTTTCTAGTAATTTTGGGTCAAATTTCAGAGAATTACAGATTTTTTCAAACCCAAATTTATCTGAAAGTGTTTTTCGGGGGATTTTCTGTAATTCTAGTATAAAATTTTGTTATTTTTGAAAAAAATTCCCAAATTTCCCACTCAAAAACCCAACCAACCTTAACATTCTTGGGTTTCAAAACATCCAACGCCTTGAAGAAACCACCAACAACAGCCGATCCATATTTATCTCTACACATTCCAAACATATGTCCACCAGTTTTCAAATCACAACCACCCGTATCAATCGTCACACCTTTGCCAACAACAAAGAACGTGTCTTGCGTTTCGCCTTCGCCCAAATATTCCAATTTTATCAATCGCGCCTGATGTTCCTTCACAGTGTTTGCAGCTCGATTCACAGCCGCCATCAATGGGAAATCTTTTTCGATGATGTTTTGATCATCGATGATTGACACTTGAATATTTCCACCGGTGAATGCTTTTTGAATGTATTCGGCCACTTTTGGCGGGGCCATTCTTTCGGGTCCAGTTTCTCCGACATCACGGCATACTGTAAATGAGGCATCGTAGGCTTCGATGAGACTGCTGAGAGCATCCGAATTTCCGGAGAACTGCAAAAAATAGGGATGTTTGATGTTACTACAGTAATCCAAAAGTACTGTGGAAAATATCCTTGAAACAGTGATTTTTTTTTCTTGTTGAATTTTTGAAATTTGAAAAAAAATTCCACGTTTCAAAATCAGATTTTCATCGTCATACGAATACTAGAGAAATTCGATCAAAAAACCATAAAAAAAACCATCAAAAACTTTGAAAAATCCTTGAAACAGTGAATTTTTTTTCTTGTTGAATTTTTTGAAATTTGAAAAAAAATTCCACGTGGCAAAATCAGATTTTCATCGTCATACGATTACTAGAGAAGTTTGATCGAATTTCAAAAAAACCATCAAAAACTTTGAAAAATCCTTGAAACAGTGAATTTTTTTCTAGTTGAAATTTTGAAATTTGAATAAAAATTCCACGTTTCAAAATCAGATTTTTATCGTCATACGATTACTAGAGAAGTTTGATCGAATTTCAAAAAAACCATCAAAAACTTTGAAAAATCCTTGAAACAGTGAATTTTTTTCTAGTTGAAATTTTGAAATTTGAATAAAAATTCCACGTTTCAAAATCAGATTTTCATCGTCATACGAATACTAGAGAAATTCGATCAAAAAACCATAAAAAAAACCATCAAAAACTTTGAAAAATCCTTGAAACAGTGAATTTTTTTCTTGTTGAATTTTTTGAAATTTGAAAAAAAAATCCACGTGGCAAAATCAGATTTTCATCGTCATACGATTACTAGAGAAATTCGATCGAATTTCAAAAAAACCATCAAAAACTTTGAAAAATCCTTGAAACAGTGAATTTTTTTTCTTGTTGAAATTTTGAAATTTGAAAAAAATTCCACGTTTCAAAATCAGATTTTTATCGTCATACGATTACTAGAGAAGTTTGATCGAATTTCAAAAAAACCATCAAAAACTTTGAAAAATCCTTGAAACAGTGAGTTTTTTTCTTGTTGAATTTTTGAAATTTGAAAAAATTCCACGTTTCAAAATCAGATTTTCATCGTCATACGAATACTAGAAAAAATCGATCGAATTTCAAAAAAACCATCAAAAAACTTTTGAAAAATCCTTGAAACAGTGAATTTTTTTTCTTGTTGAAATTTTGAAATTTGAAAAAAATTCCACGTTTCAAAATCAGATTTTCATCGTCATAAAAATACTAGAAAGTATCGATCGAATTTCAAAAAAACCATCAAAAACTTTAAAAAATCCTTGAAACAGTGAATTTTTTCAGAACGAAAATTCTAGAAAAAATATTTTTAAGTCAAAAATTCCACGTCTTAAAATCAGATTTTCAGCTTCAAAAATTTAGGAAAAATCCACGTGGCAAATTTTTAAAAGAGGAATTCAATTGTCGATCGAGTTTCAAAAAAACCAACAGAAAATTTGAGAAATCCTTGAAACAGTGAATTTTTTTTCTATTTGAAATTTTGAAAATCGGTTTTTTTTGCACTTATAAATTCCACGTGGCAAAATCAGATTTTCATCGTCATAAAAGTTCTAGAAAATATCCACGTGGCATTTTTTTTAATGATTAGGAAGAAATACATCGAATTTCAAAAAAAACGATAAAACTTTTGAGAAATTCTTGAAACAGTGAATTTTTTCAGAACGAAAATTCTAGAAAAAATATTTTTAAGTCAAAAAATTCCACGTCTTAAAATCAGATTTTCAGCTTCAAAAATTCAGGAAAAAATCCACGTGGCAAATTTTTATAAGAGGAATTCAATTTTCGATCGAGTTTCAAAAAATCCTACAAAAATTTTGAGAAATTCTTGAAACAGCGAATTATTCCAGAATGAAAATTTTAGAAAATAATATTCTCAAGTCAAGACAGTGAATTTTTTTCTAGTTGAAATTTTGAAAATCGGTTTTTTGTTGCGCTAAAAATTATCATTTATTATCTCATCCGCTTTTCGCAAAACAATTGGAAGTAAACTAAATTTCTCATGTTAAATTATTGATTTTTTTCTCTTATACCTCAAACCTCACCCAAGACCTGCAATTCCAGGTAGGCAAATTTTTTTACGGTCTTTAAGGCAAGCCTCAGGTAGGTAATTTTTTACCCACCACTTCCTGGTTCTCACGTGAAGTTTGGAACCTCATTTTTATCATTCAAATGTTATCAGCGTTCATTTTTTTTCGAAATTTGATTACTTAAAATGGGCGCCATCCTCATAAATTTCCATGAAAAATGCAACTTCTTATCAGAAAAGCATTATTTTTTGTTTTCTAAAACAATTATTTATTGATTTATAAATACAAGCTTTGCAGATGTCTGTCGAAGAAGATCTACCCGATATTCAATTGCAAAATTCAATTGACAATAATCAAACAATTTGTATTGGAGCAAATGATGAACACGGAAAACATGATACACTTCCAGTCGACGAAACAGATGAATATGTGGTGGATTTCATGCAAAACGATAATGCGATACTCGATGTGAAGTTAGATGCTTCGATGGAGCAAATTTACACAGAAATTGCAAAAGAACCATTTCCAGGTAAGAATTATTCGTGTGAACGTCCCAATGTTCTAGATTTTTCAGACATTCAACAAAACCTAGTTGATCAAAACAATGAATTGGCAGGAAATAATATGATTCAAGATCAGATTCCTCAACAAATTGATAATAATGCAAATCTTGGTGAACAAATCGAACAAATTCCAACCAACGTCAATTTCCACGGAAATAATGAACTTCAAGAGCACAACATTTCACCTAAACCAAAACCTAAAAGAAAACGAGCAACAAAAGCTCAAATGAAGGATATGACTCCAGAAGAAAAAATAAAAAGAAGAAAAGAGAGCAACAAAATTAGTCAAAGAAACTGTACTCAAAGAAAGAGAGATGAGAGTGTTGCGTTGGAAAATAAATCGGTGGAAAATTTTAAAACATTGGAAAGTTTGGAGCAATCGTGTAAAAATAAGGTTAGTTGTTGTTATTCAATATAATTTACAGCTCTTATCCATTTTTATAGATTGACAACATCTACGGAACCTTCCATTTCATGCAAAATTATCAACCAAAAAGTGACAAACAGCAATATTTTAATACTGCAAATATTATTGCACTTCTAAATCTTGTCCAAGTTATTCAAATGGAATATTCGGAATATAATCGAAATATTGATAATATTGATGTTACTCAACAGCTTAAAGATCAGGTCAAAAAAATGGCTGAAATTTTGGAAATTGCTGAAAAAAATCGACGATTGAGACAAGGAAATGTGAATACTCTTGGTTCGAGAAAACATCGAGCAAATTTCACATTAAAAAACTCAAAACTTCAGTTGGATTGCTGGAAAACGATGTTCAAAATCGATATTTACAAATTTTTTGAGGAAAAAATCGACGAAATCAAGTTTTATGTATGTTTTGAAAATTTGAAATTTTCAAAAACCAATGTTTTTTTTCAGTGTCTTCTCGAATTCAAAGATTATATGAACGCGAAAGATATCAGAATTCGCGAGAAAATGCAAATGAAAACGGAAGATTTGGATAATTTCGATAAAATATTGTCGTTTTTTGAACTTCCCAATCCATCCTAAACGATTTTTAGAAAAAAAAATGATTTAAAAAATATATTAACCCTATATTATCGTTTGAGCACATTTTATATTTTGAATTGTAAGAATAAAAATATTTATTTTCTGAATGAGTGAAAATTTTAGACAAAAATATTCTCTAGTCAAAAAAATTCACGTTTCAAAATCAGATTTTCACCGTCAAAAATTCAGGAAAATACATATGGCATATTTTTATGAGAGGGCGAATAGAAAATTACCATCGAAGTTCAAAAAAACTTTGAGAAATCCTTGAAACAGTGAATTTTTTCTAGTTGAAATTTTGAAAATTGGTTTTTTCTTGCGCTGAAAAATATAATTTATTATCTCATCCGCTTTTCGCAGAAAAATTAGAGGAACTCTAAAGTTCTCATGTTAAATTATTGATTTTTTCTCTTATCTGAACCTCAATGAGGTTCGGCCCAACCTCATTTTTATCATTCAAATGTTATCAGTGTTCATTTTTTTCGAAATTTGATTACGTAAAATGGGCGCCATCCTCATAAATTTCCATGAAAAATGCAACTTCTTATCAGAAAAGCATTATTTTTTGTTTTCTAAACCATTCGTTATTGATTTATACAATTTTTGCAGATGTCTGCCGAAGAAGATCTACACAATATTCAATTGCAAAATTCAATTGACAATAATCAAACACTTTGTATTGATGCTAATGATGAATACAGAAAACATGGTACATTTTCAGTCGACGAAACAGATGAATATTTGATGGATTTCGTGCAAAACGATAATGCGATACTCAATGTGAAGTTAGATGTTTCGATGGAACAAATTTGCACAGAAATTGCAAAAGAACCATTTCCAGGTAAGAATTTTTCGTGTGAACGTCCCAAAGTTCTATTTTTTCCAGATTTTCAACAAAACCTAGTTGATGAAAACAATCCATTGGCAGGAAATTGTATGATTCAAGCTCAGATTCCTCAACAAATCGATAATAATGCAAATCTTGGTGAACAAATCGAACAAATTCCAACCAACGTCAATGGCTCCGGAAATAATGAACTTCAAGAGCACAACATTTCATAATTGCGGACTTGATTTTTCATGTAGAGGGACACCCCCTTTAAGAGCCATTAAAATGTTAATTTATATATGTATTTGTTGTGCTCTTTCTTGTGTCATATGCCTTTTGATTTTGATTTTATATAAATGAACTATTATTATTATTATTATTTGAAAAAAATGATTAAAACAAATATTGACCCTATATTATCATTAGAGCACATTTTATGGTTTTATTTGTTAGATTTTAAAAAATCGATAACTCAAAAAACTCGGTACATTTTGTATTTTTGAAAACACTGAAAAAGAAAAACATGCTGAAAAATAGTACCAAACTTTTGAAACAGTGAAATTTTTCTGAATAAAAATTTCAGAAAAAAACAACTATTCTAGTCAAAAATAAAAAATACCACGTGGAAAGATTCGAATTTGACGTCAAATGAACGAAAGAATCCACGTGGCCTTTATTATGATGAAAAAATATCAAAAATTTTCAAAAATTTTGAGAAATCCTTGAAACAGTGAATTTTTTCTGAATGAAAATTTAAGGAAAAAAATGTTTTCGAATCAAAAATTCCACGTTTCAAAATTTCAATTTCATCGTCAAAAATTCAAAAATTCAGGGAAAAAAATCCACGTGACATAATTTTGAACAAAACCATATAACTAGGTATCAAATTAAAAAAGCACTAGTGATGGTAATTTTTGCATGGTTTTTTGTCAAAATATCGACAAAGTGTTTTAAAAAAGAAAAAGGTGTTTTAAAGAAGAAAAACACTTTGGAAAAAAATTGAAACACTTTTTTTGGCATTCGGTTTGTATTCAAAGTGTTTTCAAAAATGGGAACATAATTTTCCCTGAAAGAATAATCCACAACCCATCGAAAAATCGATCGACGACTTCAAAAAACTTATACTTATTTCGTAGTTCGGAATATAACGAGAAATTTTTCATTTTTTTTTCAAATTTATTCGTGTTTTTCTTATTAAAACCTGATTGAAATTTTGGAACAACTGGAACGAAATTCAACTGATAACAACGGAGCCAATCGGACGATTTTGTGAGATTGGAAACATTTATTCTCGATCTACAACGAAGTTTCAAGGCTGATAATAAGAAAAAATTTATTGAAAAAAAAAATTAAGAAACTTATCATTCCGGGAATTGTGGACGATTGCGATGAACGAGCTGAAAATAATCAATTTACGATAGATGGAAAAACTGGTAGGAATTTCGACATGCGGAAATTCCTACCCGTTGGTAGGAATTTTGACATGTAGAAATTCCTACCAGAAAACTGATGGAAACTTGGTAGGAATTTTGACATGCGGAAATTCCTACCCGTTGGTAGGAATTTTGACATGTAGAAATTCCTACCAGAAAACTGATGGAAACTTGGTAGGAATTTCGACATGCGGAAATTCCTACCCGTTGGTAGGAATTAAGACATGTAGAAATTCCTACCAGAAAACTGATGGAAACTTGGTAGGAATTTTGACATGCGGAAATTCCTACCCGTTGGTAGGAATTAAGACATGTAGAAATTCCTACCAGAAAACTGATGGAAACTTGGTAGGAATTTTGACATGCGGAAATTCCTACCCGTTGGTAGGAATTTTGACATGTAGAAATTCCTACCAGAAAACTGATGGAAACTTGGTAGGAATTTCGACATGCGGAAATTCCTACCCGTTGGTAGGAATTAAGACATGTAGAAATTCCTACCAGAAAACTGATGGAAACTTGGTAGGAATTTTGACATGCGGAAATTCCTACCCGTTGGTAGGAATTTTGACATGCGCAAATCCCTACCAGAAATCCAAAGGAAGACCTGGTAGGAATTTCGACATGCGGAAATTCCTACCCGTTGGTAGGAATTTAGACATGTCGAAATTCCTACCAGATATCCGAAGGAAAACTTGGTATGAATTTTGACATGTCGAAATTCCTACCAGAAAATCAAGGAAGACCTGGTAGGAATTTCGACATGCGGAAATTCCTACCCGTTGGTAGGAATTTAGACATGTGAAAATTCCTACCAGAAAACTGATGGAAACTTGGTAGGAATTTTGACATGCGGAAATTCCTACCCGTTGGTAGGAATTTTGACATGTCGAAATTCCTACCAGATATCCAAAGGAAAACTTGGTAGGAATTTTGACATGTCGAAATTCCTACCAGAATTCTGATGAAAAAACTGGTACGAATTTCGACATGCGGAAATTCCTACCCTTTGGTAGGAATTTCCGCATGTCGAAATTCCTACAAAAACGAAGTAGTTCAAATAAACCCCATAAAAACTCACCAAAACATTATTGCCACCATCCGGACTTTGCACATCGACTACGACCATTTTGACATGCAGAAGCTTGTCATTTTTGAATGCAATATTCTGAAAAGGTGGATATTATTATTATTATTATTCTTTTAGTATTGTAACACAAAATTCCCAAAACAAAACTTACTCTTATATTGTCGCCATCATCCCATTCGAATCACCATTCCAAGATCATTTCAACAATTCTGAAAAAAAGCAAATTATCATTATGTGAGAAAAATCTACTTTTTCAAAATCATATTTACGCGAAAAAAAACAAAGTTTTTATTTCTCAGAGATTCGCTGGCCAACTCGCCACTAGAAAAGGACCAGGTGGCCGGAAAGTTCAAAACGATCTGAATTTGATTCGGCCACCTGGTCGCCTTGAGTTTTCCGGCGACGTGTTCTCAATTTTTGTCATCCACAAAAGAAGGAAAGATGGCTGTATTCAGAACAGTCAATTTTTAACTATTTTCTGACATTCAAAGGTTTCGAATACTCCGCAAAAAACAGAAAATAAGCCAATTACTGCGAAAATGCTCCGATTCGCAAGTTTTTTTGATTTTTTCTTTCAAGCGAGACGAACTGGACCCGAGGTCGGTTCGAGGTGGACAACCTGGGCGAGGTGGTCTGCATGAACTGGACCACCTCGCGACCACGTCGTCTCGCAAAAAATACGGGCGATGTGGTTGTCCGTGTCAATTTCAGATGGGCAGTCGATCCCACCTAGTGGCCAGCTGGCCAGTGAATCTCTGAGTTGCGTCAATATTAAAATTTGCTGAAATTCAAGAGCTTTTCAATGACGAAACATTTTGATGATGAACACTCAGAGATTTGCTGGCCCGCTGGTCACTAGGTTGGACTGACCGCCCTCTGAAATTGACACGGACAACCACATCGTCCGGATTTTTTGTCACCTGGTCGCCATCTCGAGCTGACTTCGCGTCCAAGTCATCTCGCTTGATAGAAAAGTTCAAAAAACTTGTGAATTGGAGCATTTTCGAAGTGCTTGACTTATTTTCTGTTTTTTCAGAGTATTCATAACCTTTTAATGACAAAAACAGTAAAAATTGACTGTTTTCAATACAGCCAACTTTCCTTCTTTTTTAAATGACGAAAATTTAGACAATGTCGCCGGAAAACTCAAGGCGACCTCGTGGCTGGATTGAATCCAGCTCCTTTTGAACTTTCCGTGGCAAGTTGGCCAGCAAATCTCTGAGCGAGCACAATCAACAAGCACTCTTCTTTATTGGCGAAATTCTCAAAGTAAATCCGCCAATAAGTAAGATTTTTGAAATTTGTGTAAAAACCCCCCTTTTTTTCTCGAAAAAACCATAGAAACTCACCGACAACTTGTCGAATTTGTCCCAGTGATGAGAACGACGTTTGCCGCTGCAAATCTCTAAAAAAAACAAGCATTTTCATCGAAAAAACATGTGAAAAACGGGAAAAATTTAAGGGGAAACAGGGGGAACAAAGTTAATGGGACAATCCACGAAGTTTCGAAACGTGTTTCGAAACAGACGCAAAATACATTGAAAATGTCGAGAAAGTTTCGCGACATTTTGTGCATCGTATTTTTATGTTTCGAAACGATGTTCTCGACGTTTCGAAACTTTGTTCCCTTATTCGATGTCGACAAAACTCCCAAATGGTTCAAAAGATGTTTTATAACACTATTTTTCCAATTCTCATTTTTTCTTTCAAAATAAGCGAATTTCAGCACTCAAACATACTTAATTTTTCTCAAAAAAACGTTTCAAAGGCGCTAAATGAATCTTTCATCTATCTGACACTTGATTTGACGTGTAAACACAGCCAAAACGACGTGAAAACCCAAAAAAAAAACAGAAAATTCAAAAATTCAAAAAATAATTTCTCGAAAACACGGCGACGCACAAATGCGGACCATGACACACAGCGACGAACAAATGCACACAATGATTTTTTTTATTTTTCGCGAAAATTTTTCCTGTTTTTCACATGTTTTTTCGATGAAAATGCTTGTTTTTTTCAGAGATTTGCAGCGGCAAACGTCGTGCTGCTCATCACTGAAACAAATTCGACAAGTTGTCGGTGAGTTTCTATGGTTTTTTCGAGAAAAAAAGGGGTTTTTACACAAATTTCAAAAATCTTACTTATTGGCGGATTTACTTTGAGAATTTCGCCAATAAAGAAGAGTGCTTGTTGATTGTGCTCGCTCAGAGATTCACTGGCCAGCTGGCCACTAGGTGGGATCGACTGCCCATCTGAAATTGACACGGACAACCACATCGCCCGTATTTTTTGCGAGACGACGTGGTCGCGAGGTGGTCCAGTTCATGCAGACCACCTCGCCCAGGTTGTCCACCTCGAACCGACCTCGCGTCCAGTTCGTCTCGCTTGAAAGAAAAAATCAAAAAAACTTGCGAATCGGAGCATTTTCGCAGTAATTGGCTTATTTTCTGTTTTTTGCGGAGTATTCGAAACCTTTGAATGTCAGAAAATAGTTAAAAATTGACTGTTCTGAATACAGCCATCTTTCCTTCTTTTGTGGATGACAAAAATTGAGAACACGTCGCCGGAAAACTCAAGGCGACCAGGTGGCCGAATCAAATTCAGATCGTTTTGAACTTTCCGGCCACCTGGTCCTTTTCTAGTGGCGAGTTGGCCAGCGAATCTCTGAGAAATAAAAACTTTGTTTTTTTTCGCGTAAATATGATTTTGAAAAAGTAGATTTTTCTCACATAATGATAATTTGCTTTTTTTTCAGAATTGTTGAAATGATCTTGGAATGGTGATTCGAATGGGATGATGGCGACAATATAAGAGTAAGTTTTGTTTTGGGAATTTTGTGTTACAATACTAAAAGAATAATAATAATAATAATATCCACCTTTTCAGAATATTGCATTCAAAAATGACAAGCTTCTGCATGTCAAAATGGTCGTAGTCGATGTGCAAAGTCCGGATGGTGGCAATAATGTTTTGGTGAGTTTTTATGGGGTTTATTTGAACTACTTCGTTTTGTAGGAATTTCGACATGCGGAAATTCCTACCAACGGGTAGGAATTTCCGCATGTCGAAATTCCTACCAGGTCTTCCTTTGGATTTCTGGTAGGAATTTCGACATGTCAAAATTCCTACCAAGTTTTCCTTTGGATTTCTGGTAGGAATTTCCGCATGTCAAAATTCCTACCAACGGGTAGGAATTTCCGCATGTCAAAATTCCTACCAAGTTTCCATCAGTTTTCTGGTAGGAATTTTCACATGTCTAAATTCCTACCAACGGGTAGGAATTTCCGCATGTCGAAATTCCTACCAGGTCTTCCTTTGGATTTCTGGTAGGAATTTCGACATGTCAAAATTCCTACCAAGTTTTCCTTTGGATATCTGGTAGGAATTTCGACATGTCTAAATTCCTACCAACGGGTAGGAATTTCCGCATGTCGAAATTCCTACCAGGACTTCCTTTGGATTTCTGGTAGGGATTTGCGCATGTCAAAATTCCTACCAACGGGTAGGAATTTCCGCATGTCAAAATTCCTACCAAGTTTCCATCAGTTTTCTGGTAGGAATTTTCACATGTCTAAATTCCTACCAACGGGTAGGAATTTCCGCATGTCGAAATTCCTACCAGGTCTTCCTTTGGATTTCTGGTAGGGATTTGCACATGTCAAAATTCCTACCAACGGGTAGGAATTTCCGCATGTCAAAATTCCTACCAAGTTTCCATCAGTTTTCTGGTAGGAATTTTCACATGTCTAAATTCCTACCAACGGGTAGGAATTTCCGCATGTCGAAATTCCTACCAGGTCTTCCTTTGGATTTCTGGTAGGGATTTGCACATGTCAAAATTCCTACCAACGGGTAGGAATTTCCGCATGTCAAAATTCCTACCAAGTTTCCATCAGTTTTCTGGTAGGAATTTTCACATGTCTAAATTCCTACCAACGGGTAGGAATTTCCGCATGTCAAAATTCCTACCAGGTCTTCTTTTGGATTTCTGGTAGGGATTTGCGCATGTCAAAATTCCTACCAACGGGTAGGAATTTCCGCATGTCAAAATTCCTACCAAGTTTCCATCAGTTTTCTGGTAGGAATTTTCACATGTCTAAATTCCTACCAACGGGTAGGAATTTCCGCATGTCAAAATTCCTACCAGGTCTTCTTTTGGATTTCTGGTAGGGATTTGCGCATGTCAAAATTCCTACCAACGGGTAGGAATTTCCGCATGTCAAAATTCCTACCAAGTTTCCATCAGTTTTCTGGTAGGAATTTTCACATGTCTAAATTCCTACCAACGGGTAGGAATTTCCGCATGTCAAAATTCCTACCAGGTCTTCTTTTGGATTTCTGGTAGGGATTTGCGCATGTCAAAATTCCTACCAACGGGTAGGAATTTCCGCATGTCAAAATTCCTACCAAGTTTCCATCAGTTTTCTGGTAGGAATTTTCACATGTCTAAATTCCTACCAACGGGTAGGAATTTCCGCATGTCAAAATTCCTACCAGGTCTTCTTTTGGATTTCTGGTAGGGATTTGCGCATGTCAAAATTCCTACCAACGGGTAGGAATTTCCGCATGTCAAAATTCCTACCAAGTTTCCATCAGTTTTCTGGTAGGAATTTTCACATGTCTAAATTCCTACCAACGGGTAGGAATTTCCGCATGTCAAAATTCCTACCAGGTCTTCTTTTGGATTTCTGGTAGGAATTTTCACATGTCTAAATTCCTACCAACGGGTAGGAATTTCCGCATTTCAAAATTCCTACCAAGTTTCCATCAGTTTTCTGGTAGGAATTTTCACATGTCTAAATTCCTACCAACGGGTAGGAATTTCAGCATGTCGAAATTCCTACCAGGTCTTCTTTTGGATTTCTGGTAGGGATTTGCGCATGTCAAAATTCCTACCAACGGGTAGGAATTTCCGCATGTCAAAATTCCTACCAGGTCTTCTTTTGGATTTCTGGTAGGAATTTTCACATGTCAAAATTCCTACCAACGGGTAGGAATTTCCGCATGTCAAAATTCCTACCAGTTTTTCCATCTATCGTAAATTGATTATTTTCAGCTCGTTCATCGCAATCGTCCACAATTCCCGGAATGATAAGTTTCTTAATTTTTTTTTTCAATAAATTTTTTCTTATTATCAGCCTTGAAACTTCGTTGTAGATCGAGAATAAATGTTTCCAATCTCACAAAATCGTCCGATTGGCTCCGTTGTTATCAGTTGAATTTCGTTCCAGTTGTTCCAAAATTTCAATCAGGTTTTAATAAGAAAAACACGAATAAATTTGAAAAAAATGAAAAATTTCTCGTTATATTCCGAACTACGAAATAAGTATAAGTTTTTTGAAGTCGTCGATCGATTTTTCGATGGGTTGTGGATTATTCTTTCAGGGAAAATTATGTTCCCATTTTTGAAAACACTTTGAATACAAACCGAATGCCAAAAAAAGTGTTTCAATTTTTTTCCAAAGTGTTTTTCTTCTTTAAAACACCTTTTTCTTTTTTAAAACACTTTGTCGATATTTTGACAAAAAACCATGCAAAAATTACCATCACTAGTGCTTTTTTAATTTGATACCTAGTTATATAATTACTGTATTGGGTTTCGAAATCCATCAAAAACCTTTGAGAAATCCTTGAAACAGTGAATATTTTCTAGGAAAAATTTCAAAAAATTTTTGCGCTAAAAAATTCCACGTTTCAAAATTTCAATTTCATCGTCAAAAATTCAAAAATTCAGGGAAAAAAAATCCACGTGACATAATTTTGAACAAAACCATATAATTACTGGATTGGGTTTCGAAATCCATCAAAAACCTTTGAGAAATCCTTGAAACAGTGAATATTTTCTAGGAAAAATTTCAAAAAATTTTTGCGCTAAAAAATTCCACGTTTCAAAATTGTAATTCCAGCGTCAAAAATGCAGGAGAAAAATCCACGTGGCATATTTTTATCGAACTACAAATAGTCATCGAATTTCAAAAAAAAAAAACATCAAAAACCTTTGAGGAATCCTTGAAACAGTGAATTTTTTCTACAGTCAAAAACTTTTTTTTTTGAGTAAAAAATTCCACGTTTCAAAATTCCAATTTCAGCGTCAAAAAATTCAGAAGAAAAATCCGCGTGGCATATTTTTGAATACAAAATGAAATAACTCCATTGGGTTTCGAGAACCATCAAACATTTTGAGAAATTCTTGAAACAGTTAATTTTTTCTATATATTTTCATAAACACGAATCGGAAAATCTATCAACTCCCAAAAAATCGCCAACCATTCTGATAAAATTTTGAAACGTACATTTTTCCGCCCAAAAACCCCACCCAAAACTAACTCACCGCCAAAACTCCCAAATGTTTCAATTTCTGTCGATTCTCCTCCTCTCTGATGTTCAATGGTGTGTAGACTGGAGTGAGGGCTCCGAGAGCCGCAACAAGTTCCGCGTTGGGAAAACGAGCGTTTGGAATTGTGATGAGGAGTGGAGCTTTGACACCAGCAGAAAGAGCGCTGGAAAAAAATGGGATAGGATTTTCAGCATATTTTTTAGTTTTTTGAAAATTTTTGAAAATTATAGTTATTCCAAGTGATTTTCAGAAGCTGTTTTTCAGCTAGCTATCAAATTTTCAAGGCTGAAAATGTGCTCCAGCTCAAAACTTCCCCCATTTCCAAAATTTTCATAATCTCCTTAAAATTTGAAACTTTTCTACGTTAATTAATCTGTTAATTAATCCGATTAGCTATTTTTTATCATCATTTTCCAATTTGATAATTTTTCAACCACAATTTTTTTTGTGATGTTTGGGAGAAAAAACGATTCCGGAAATGATGTTTTTCTTATCAGAAATCAATAGGAAAAACCAAAAATTTCGGGAATTTTGAGGTAAAAATTTGAGGAATTTCTGGAATTTTATTGAGTTTTGATTAAGAATTTGAGATTTTCAACAAAAAAAAACACTCACTATTCAATAGCTCTTCTTCCAGCCGCATGATATTTTTGAACATCATCATAATCGCGAGTGACAGTTCCGGTTCCACTCAAAATCAATCTTCCTGATGGAATTATGCTCGAATCGATTTGGACTAAATTCGTCGAATGGAAGGCTGAGCGATGGAGCTGGAAAAAATATTTATTATTGATTTTTGAAACAAAGATTGGGAATAGTGGAAACATAATTCGAAAATGAGAAAATTTAATATAAATTTTTTGAAACAGTTGAATTTTTGAGAAATAAATTTCCAATTTTGAGACTTTTCGAATTGAAAAATTCTAGCCTGTTTCAGAAATTCTATAAAATATTTTACAAGGGAAGTGCATAAGGTCAGGTGTTGGAATTTTGCTGAAACATATCGAAATATACCAAATCGACTATGCTGATGACGATTCCGAAGTCAAAAATTGCCACAAATGCCTGTGAGCACTTTTCTGGAGCTCCAAACTTAGAATTGCGTTTTTTTGGTATTTGCGTATTTTCCCCTGGTTCCAGGGTGGAAAATCAATTTTTATAACTTGAATAAGGTTGTTCACCACATTCTCAGTTTTTTAGTTTTTCAAAAAATATGAAAAACCAGCTGAAAACTGTAAAGTTGTTTGTGCAATTTTAAAAATTACAGTTTTCAGCTGGTTTTTCATATTTTTTTTAAAACTAAAAAGCTGAGAATGTGCTAAACAAACTTATTTATCTTATAAAAATTTATTTTCCACCCTGGAAAATGATGAAAATGGGCAAAAAGCAAAACTCAATTCTAACTTTGGAGCTCCAGAAAAGTGCTCACAGGTAGTTTCGACTTCGGAATCGTGATCAGCATGGTCGATTTGGTATATTTCGATATTTTTCAGCAAAATTCCAACACCTATGCATTTCCCTTATATGATAAATAAACTCACATTAACAAAATTCTGCAAAGCCGGTGCAATACTGGCAACATTTCCGTTGGCTGGAATATGTTTCAGCGAATCCGACGATCCAACAACGACGACAGCATCGAAAGCGGCGTCGGCAATCGAGACGGCGCGGATTATTTTGGTGGATAGTAAGGATTGAAGGGACATTTTGGGATGACCCTGGAAATGAGGGAAATTTGAGTAATTTCACGTCAAAAGCTGCAAATCTCAACTCCTAAAATGAGTTATGACGTGGCAAAAAGGAACTCGTGAACAGGGGAACTGTTTCAACTTGCGATCGAGATTTTAAACAAAATGTATGTTTTCTAGTTTTCGACTCGCTGATCACGATTCCGCTGTCTAAAATTGCGAAGCTCAACTCCTAACATGAGTTATGACGTGCAAAGTTGGAAAATTTGGGACTTTTGAGGGTCAGAATTCGCATTCAAAATTATTTTCATGAAAATGTAAGAGCATAGAGTGTTCAGGAAGGTCACATAAGTTTAGAAGGTTCATACAAAGGTTCTGTACTTATGTAATCAACCTTCCTGAACAACACTATGCTATTAAATTTTCATGAAAATCATTTTGAAGGCGAATTCTGACCTCCTGAAGTCCCAATATTCCAACTTTGCCACGTCATAACTCATGTTAAAAGTTGAGCTTTGCAGTTTTAGACAGAGGAATCGTGATCAGCGAGTCGGAAACTACCAGAAAACATATATTTGATTGAAAATCTCGATTGCAAGTTCAAAGAACTCCCTCGAGAGAGAAAAAGAAAAAGAGAAAAAATAAGAATTTTCAAAAAAAGAGAGAAAGATGAGATTCAGAAATTTTCTAGAATCAAGAGCTGAAAATCAGGATTCTGGAACTAAGTTTTCCCACAAAGCTTCTGTCAAGCAAGTTAAATGAAAAATTGTGTTTTTCACGTAACTCTACTCACAGGAGCCTTTGGAAGAAATTCAAAATTAATTTCAGAATCAAGATTTTCAGATGGGAATTTGCATACAGGGTCTGTGTACCAAGTTTCAGAGCTCAAAAAACTGATAGCCTCTTTTTATAGAAAAAAATTCAAGAGAAAAGTTTAGGAGCTCTATAACTTGGCTCAGCTCACAGGTCTTCATTTTCTATGAGAAGCAAATTCAATTTATTTTCCATCATATTCATTTTTTGAGCATCCTCGTTGCTCAAGAAAATGCATATTATCAAAAATGAATTTGCTCCCCGTAAAAAAGAGCAGCAGCTGTCAGACGCAACTCTTTTTTCGTTTTTGGGCCGATAAAACATGATAATTCAATTTGGGGCTGATAACAAGACATTTTATGTGAAAGGTGTGGTTAGTGACGATAATTTATTGTCCTTTTTATTATTTTCATGTATGTGATTTGGAGGCGGAGAGCATGGAGATCAAATAAACAAAAAATGATGCAAAATAATCGATTTTTCGTGGAAAACTATGTGGGGAAGCGGATGTTTGAACTTTGAAGCCAATCGTGGCGAGACCTTTGAAAAATATGGATGTTTTTCAAGGCGCATGAATTGAAGGAGGTCTCGATACGACTAACAAAATTGAATTTAAAAGAACACTTGTTTCGAGACCCAAAAAAATCCCACCTTTTGCAATTTTGCGGCAGGCACTCTTCTCTGTTTTCTAGGAAAACAAATTTCAGAAATGGGCTGCTCAGAATTTTTTTTGACGAGAAAAATTATTTTTTCTAGGTCACGTTTTTTTTTTTGAATTTAAAAATTGAATCTAGTTAGATTTTATTTCATTTTCAGCGAGAAACCCGGCAGGAAAATGGAAAGGGCTGATTCACGAACGAAAAAAAATGCTTTTTTTAACATTGAAAGATCAATTCACGAAAAGTCGTAGGTCAAAATTAGTTTTTCGAGTTTTTCAGCCAAAAATGACGACAAATCGAGATTTTTGAAGCTTCTGAAGTGATTTCTGATGAAAATTGGCCTTGGAATTCACTTTTCAGATTTTTCGTAAAATAAAACAATTTCAAATTTTGATGGATTTCGAAAAATCAGCAAAAACTTCTGAAAAGTGAATTCCAAGGTCAATTTCCATCAGAAATCACTCCAGAAGCTTCAAAAATCTCGATTTGTCATCATTTTTGGCTGAAAAACTCGAAAAACTAATTTTCGATCTACAATACTTTGATTTTCCGTGAATTGATCTTTCGATGTTGAAAAAACATTTTTTTCGTTCGCGAATCAGCCCTGTAGGTAATTTTCAAAGTGCAAGAATTTTTGAGCACAATAGATATTTAAAGGGACATAGCCTTTTCAAATTCAAATAAAAACTTCAAAAAATCAATAAAAACCGCGTATTTATTTATATTATATTTCACAAGAAACCCGTTAACATACAAAAAACAACCAGAAATCGAAGAAAAATTATTTCTTAACCAGCGCCAAAATCGTCAAAACACCCGCCGCTGCAACCGCAACACCACCACCAAAAATCGCCGCACCAATCACACCATTTCTTCTCGCCTTCTTCGCAATCGCCTCTCTCAATCGTTTCGCCTGCACATTCTCCGGCTCCGCCGCAATTAACGCGTCCGCGAATCGCATCGCCATATCAAATTCGCCGATTCGCGCGTATCCCAAAGAGAGGAAATAGACATATTCACGTCGTTTTCCCGGCGAATCTCCTTGACGCAAAAGTTTTTCGAAACCCGCGATTCCTTTGCGAATCTCATTTTTGTCGCTGGAATTGATTAGAGCGAAGGAGTAGCTGACGATTGCGTCGTCGCTTGGAGCGCCACGCGAACATTGTTGAAGGTAGGAGTCGCGCGCGAGTCGCAAGTCTTCTGGCTCACAATGCGCTTCAAGAATTTCCATTTTAACTATAAAAAAATACACAAATTTTATCGATTTTCTTCATAAAAGAAAATAGAAACCACATTTTTCTTCAATTTCAAAGGGAAAAAATGAATAGAACGGGGAAGAAAGACGAAAAATGGCAGAAAACCAAGAACCAAAGTGAAAATTCCAGAGTTTTCGGGGAATGATAAAAAGGATTAGTGCACTTTTTCACGGAAAACCTTATCTATTGCTCTCGAAATTTTCTCCTTTTTCTGTTTGATCGAAAAAATCTGATAAAAAATTCCGAATCAAACAATCAATTTCATGAAATTTTTTTGATTTCTAAACAAAAAAAAATGAAAAAATGGGAGTATTCAATGAAAATAGTGGAAAATCAATGCGAAACTTTGAAATAAACAAAACAAACCAATCTAAAAGTTAGCAAAAGATGATGATTTCTCTTTTTCTCTCAACAAGAGCGCTAGCGAAAAAGAAATAGGACCTATTTACAAATAATGCGCCAGTGAACCGAAAGTTGACGCATTTGAAGATAGAAATAAAACGTTTTTCCGATTTTTGAGAGCATTGTTTGTCTTTTTTCAACGTTTTGAGCACTAATTTTCCCCCCGAAAACCCCGACGAAAAAAAACAAAAAAATTTTTTTTTGAAAATGCACGTGACAACACACATCGCTTTGAGATATTTCCCATTTTCCTTGTGCACCTTTAATGTTTATACGGTTTTCGCGCCAGGACCTTTGCCGATAAATCAATGCGCCTTGATTTTTAATTTTCGTTTTTTTTTTCAGCAGTCGAACAGAATGCTCGAATTCTTGAGTTTAGACCTGTTCTCATTGCCGAATTTATGTATTTTTGGATTTCTACTAAGCTCGATAGCTGTTAGCAGTCTTTTCACGTAAGTTTTCTCCAAGTAAACCTCATGGAAATCAAGAAAAATTGATTTAGGCTATCTTACGCAACTCCATGGGTTAGAAGAAGACGCTCGGAATACCTAAAGCCGGAAAAGGTTTATCGATCATCGCCAGAGCAAACCTTCCCAAAATTGCTAGCAGAAGATAGTGGAAAATCGCACAAAAGACATACAAATGGTGAAATATATCTCTCAGTGATTATCCCAGCGATGAACGAGAAAGAAAGACTTCCAATAATGCTCGATGAATGCTGTAAATACCTGCAATCTCGCAGTAAATCATCGCAAGATTTTACTTATGAAATTATAATTGTTGATGATGGAAGCAGCGATGGAACCGCAGATTTGGGTGTAACTTATGGATTACAATACCCAAAGACGATTAAAGTTTTGAAACTCGAGCAGAATCGCGGGAAAGGCGGTGCGGTGAAAGCGGGAGTTTTGAACTGCGCGGGGAAATTGATTCTATTCGCTGATGCCGATGGAGCAACACAATTTGAAGATTTTGAGAATCTGGAGAAGGAAATCATTCGGTCAACTGGTGGAAGTTCTTCTAAAGAGATTGATGAAAGTTTTCCGGCTGTAGTTGTTGGATCTCGCGCGCATTTGGAAGCGCAAAGCGTGGCCGAGCGATCATTCTTCCGGACGATTTTAATGCATGGATTTCACTCGCTTGTTTATCTTTTTGCTGTGAGAAGTGTTAAGGATACTCAATGTGGATTCAAATTGTTCACCAGAGCGATTGCAGCAAGGGTGGGTTATTCATTTTTGAATAAGCATAAGCAGTTTTAGGCTAACTCCAAAAAATTTCCAGCTCTTCCCAGTTTTGCACGTTGAGCGTTGGGCATTCGACGTCGAGTTGTTATATCTTTGCGAAAAGTGGCGTGTTCCAGTCGGCGAGGTTTGTGTGAGATGGAAGGAGATTGATGGATCGAAAATCACGCCGATTTGGTCGTGGTTGCAGATGGGAAGGGATTTGGTGCTGATTTGGTTTAGATATACGGTGAGTTCGGTTTTTTGAAGAAACATTGGGAGAAAACTGTGGCAGAGTTGCATTTTTGGTATTTTTATCAGTCAAAAATGCAACCCTGACACAGTTTTCCACCTAAAAATGGTGAAAAAATGACTAAAATGGAATTTTGGAAGCCTGGGACCTTTTCTTCTTGAAAATAATGATAAAAGTGTGCCAGGCTTCCAATTTTTGCTGAAAATTAGTCAAAAATGCAACCCTCACACAGTTTTTCATCTGAAAATGGTGAAAAAATGATTAGAAAAGGAATTTTGCAAGCCTGGAACCTTTTCTACATAAAAATAATGATAAAAGTCTGCCAGGCTTGCAATTTTCACTGGAATTAGGCAAAATATGCAAGCCTGGCACAGTTTTCCTTCTCACTACGTAGAAAATTACTAGAAAAACTATGCCAGGCTTGCAAAAGGTTCCCGAAAAGTGGGCGGGGCCTAAAATGCAAACCTGGCACAGTTTTTCTCTTGTAAATCCTCAAAACCGTGCCATACTTACAAAAGCTCTGCTACTAGAAGCCTAAAATGCAATCCTGGCATAGTTTCTCCTCAAAACCATGCCAGACTTGCAAAAATCTGAAAAATGTGTTTTTTTTTCAGGTCGGAATTTGGAGCGATGAGCAACCGAAATGAGTTGGCATTTTATCGATTTGTTTTCTGGGTTTTTCTCACTTGCCTTTGGGTTTCTTGTCAAATATTCCAATTAGTGATGCTTTAATTAATTAATTATATAGAGATTCTACTATTTTTATTTTATTTGTTGATAATATATTTATGTGACCGGGAACAGCTGCTTTTTGTGATTGATTTTTAAAAATTAATTTGGTTTTTTTGTTGATTTTCCAATTGAAAATTGCGAAAATTCGTTGAAAAACGATTGAATATCTTTGAGAAAAATTTGAGCCTTGAAAATGAATTTTTGTTCAGAATGGTGAAGAAATCGAGCCAAGCGGATTTTTTGTTTCCGAGCAACGAGATTTTGATGAAAGAGGAGGTGGTGCTCAATGTGAGTTTTTCAGGAGGGAAATTTTGGAATTTTCGGTCCGAGACGATATTTTTCGGCCCAGAAAGCGATTTTCAGTCTAAAATTTGATTTCCGGGGTTTGGAGGCCATTTTCTAGCCTAGAAGTCAAAATTTTGGGCCCGGGAAGCTGTTTGCTGGCCAAGAAAATCAATATTTTTCGATTTTTCAGCTACAAAACAGATTTTTCGTCCACCAAACCGATTTTTGGGCCCAGAAATTTGATTTTCGCGACTTTTCAGCCAAAAATCGACTAGAAAATGATTTTTAGACCCAAAAAACACCGTTTCTGCGTGAAAAACGACTTCGGAGGCTAGATTTAAACCTGAAATCTTAATTTTTGACCAATACATTGAGCTTGGGATTTAAAATTGAAATTCAAGATTGAAAATTGCTTTTTCGCCTGGAAAAATTGTGTTAAAATGTATTTTTAACATTGAAAGATCAATTCACGAAAACATTGTAGTTCAAAATTAGTTTTTCAGCCAAAAATGATGACATATCGGGATTTTTGAAGCTTCTGGAGTGATTTCTGATGAAAATTGACCCTGGAATTCATTTTCCAGAAGTTTTTGCTGATTTTTCGTAAAATAAAGAAAAAAATTAATAAAACCAGGTAAAATAGGGTTCTCAAAGTATAGTTGGACAACGACTCGACTTGAGTCGACTCGAGTCGACTTGGAGTCGAGTCGTTTGGAAAATACCTTTCGACTCGACTAACGACTCGAGTCGTTTAGTCGAAAAGGTGAGTCGATTAGAAAATGACTCGAGTCGAGTCGAATGGTTTTTTTCGACTCGACTCGACTCCGATGGTCAATTTTCTCATGGTGAGTGGGGGTTTTGTATTATGGTTAAGGTGTTGGCTTAGATGGTGAATATTGGATGGTGATTGGTGGACATGGTGATAGTGCACCAATCACACCAATTGCGCCAATAATGGTAAATTGGTGTGATTGGTGCAGTTGGCGCAATTTTAACCATTGGTGGAATTGGTGGATGGTGAAATTGGCGAATGGTGCGATTCGCCAATTGGTGTGATTGGTTCAATTCACCAATTGGTGTAGTTGGTGCAATTTCACCAATTGGTGTAGTTGGTGCAATTTCACCAATTGGTGCAATTGGTGCACCAGTACCCAAATAAACCAATCACACCAATTGGCGAATTGCACCATTCGCCAATTCCACCATCCACCAATTCAACAAATTCCACCAATGGTCCAAAATTCCCATTATTGGTGCAATTGGTGTGATTGGTGCACTATCACCATGTCCACCAATCACCATCCAATCACCATCCAATATTCACCATCTAAGCCAACACCTTAACCATAATACAAAACCCCCACTCACCATGAGAAAATTGACCATCGGAGTCGAGTCGAGTCGAAAAAAACCATTCGACTCGACTCGAGTCATTTTCTAATCGACTCACCTTTTCGACTAAACGACTCGAGTCGTTAGTCGAGTCGAAAACAGCTGTCTTATCGACTCCGAGTCGACTTGAGTCGACTTGAGTCGTTGTCCAACTATATCTCAAAGTCAATTTTCATCGGGAATCACTTCAGAAGCTTCAAAAATCTCGATTTGTCATCATTTTTTGACTGAATAACTCGAAAATTGATCTTTCGATGTTAAAAAAGAAACATTTTTTTCGTTCAGGAATCAGCCCTTCACGAAAATCTTTTCCAATTTCAGTCTAAAATTTTCAGACCTACGATGACTGCACTGATTATGTGGAATTCGACGACACAGCCGATTACAACATCGAAAAATATCGAGATGATATTCAAATCGAAATAATCAATGAGTCAAAAGACGGTATGACTCTCGAATTCGATTTGACACGCGTCGAAGCTCCAATCGCCAATGCACTTCGCCGAATTTTGATCGCCGAAGTTCCAACAATGGCCCTCGAAAAGATCTATCTCTATCAAAACACTTCAGTCATTCAGGACGAGGTTCTTTGCCATCGTTTAGGTCTTCTTCCCCTCAAAGTCGATCCGAGACAATTTCAATTTCCTTTGACGAAAACTATTGGAATCAATGAGCAAGGAGTGGATTGTGATGAAGAACCGGAAGGAGATCCGAAGAGGAATTTGATCTTTAAGATTAATGTGACTTGCACGAAGAATCGGAATGCGATTCCGACCGCGACTGATCCCAAACAACTTTTTCATCATAGTTCGGTTTATTCGAGAGCTTTTGAATGGGTTCCGATTGGGGAAGAGCAGGCGAATGAATTGCAGGGAGAGGTAAATTTGACTATGTTCCTTTAAATTTGGGTCTCACCACGAAATTTGTGGAATTTTTAATCTAAATTTGACTATGTTCCTTTAAATTTTGGTCTCACCACGAAATTGTGGCATTTTGAATTTAAATTTGACTATGTTCCTTTAAAATTTGGGTCTCGTCACGAAATTTGTGAAATTTTGAATGTAAATTTGACTATGTACCTTTAAAATATGATCTCGAAGCGAAGTGTGAAATTTTTGATTTCAAAAAAGCTAGATTCTGGGTCTCGCCACGAAATTTGAGAATTTTGAATGTAAATTTGACTATGTTCCTTTAAAATTTGGGTCTCGCAACAAAATTCTCCAAGATTTTCGACTCTAAAATGCTCTGTTCCTTTAAAACTTGGGTCTCGCCACGAAATTATTGCATTTTTTGAGTGAAAATGACAATTTTCCCCAACAAAATCCTGAAAATTGGCTCTGAAACAAAATTTCTGAATTTTCCTATATTTTTCCTCGAAAAAATACGTTTCTACAAAAACAAATATTCAGATTTTGATCAGAAAATTTTGATGCAATAGGATATTTCTTAGTAAAATCAATAATTAACTTTAAAAAAATAAATATGATTCAAAACCGATTTTCTTTTCAGAACAAGCCACGAATGGTGTCTCCAGATATTCTCGTCGCCAAACTTCGCCCAGGTCAAGAAATCGAAGCCAGTTGCCACGCCGTCAAAGGAATCGGACGAGATCACGCGAAATTCTCGCCAGTCGCCACCGCCTCCTATCGCCTTCTCCCAACAATTCGCCTCCACGCCGAAATTTCGGGAGAAGCTGCCGAAAGACTGAAATCGAGTTTCAGCGAAGGTGTGATTGCGATTGAGAAGAAGGGAGCGAAAAAGATTGCGGTGGTCAAGGATGCGCGAAAAGACACGTGTAGTCGCAATGTTTTTCGACATGAGGATTTGGCGAAAGTTGTGCAATTGGGAAGGAATAAACAGCATTTTATTTGTGAGTTTTTTGGGGAAAGGGTTTAAAGGAACATAAAAGAACATTTAAAGGAACATTTAAAGGAATAAAATAAGGATAGAATTCTAGAGAAAAAGGCTCATTTCTAGGTTCAAAATTTTCCGAAAAATGAAAATATCCAGATTCAGCACAAAATTCTTCAAAAATCGCCGAATTTAGGCTTGAAAATGCTCCAAAACTGGGAAATTTCAAAATTTCAGCTTGAAATTTTACAGAAACAGGTTAGGGCTGATTTACGAACGAAAAAAACGGTTTTTTCACATCGAAAGATCCAATTCACGAAAATTCAAAAAATGTCGAAAAACATTGTAGGTTAAAATTAATTTTTCGAGTTTTTCAGCCAAAAATGATTACAAATCGAGATTTTTGAAGATCCTGGAGTGATTTCTGATAAATTTCAAATTTTGATGAATTTCGAAAAACAAATTATTTTCATCAGAAATCACTCCAGAAGCTTCAAAAATCTCGATTTGTGATCATTTTTGGCTGAAAAACTCGAAAAGCTATTTTTTCGTTCGTAAAACAGCCCTAATCGGTTTCTGGAAAATTTTAAGCTCAAATTTTGAAATTTCACTAGTTTTGGAGCATTTTCAGCCTAAATTTCACTAGTTTTGGAGCATTTCAAAACCAATTTTTTTTCTTCGGATAATTTTCTATGTTTCACTAATTTTAGGATATTTTCTAACCCTAAATTGAAAAGTTCAGGAGCATTTTCAAGCCTAAGCTCGGTTATTTTTGGAGCATTTTGAGCCCAAATTTCACTAGGTTCTGAGCATTTTCAAGCCTCAACTCGTCGATTTTTGATGAATTTTGGGCTGAATCTGGATATTTTCTATTTCTGGAAAATTTTTGACCTAAAATTGATCCTTATCTTCTAGAATCCTATCCTTATTTTAGCATGTTCTTTTAAATTATTGACCCTGGAAACTCTAATTTATTGATTTTTTTTGCAGTCAGTGTTGAATCGACCGGAGCCTTGAGATCGAATGATTTGGTCGTTGAAGCGTGTAAAGTGAGTGCTATATGCTATTTTGGGGCTAAAAATTCTGAAAATCAAAAATTCTGGCCAGAAAATTCACTGTTTCAAAAATTTTGTAAATAATTTTGGGAAAGGAAATAATTTGATGTTCGGAGGTTTTACAAAAAAAAATTTATAAATTTCAAAATTTAATATTTCGCGGAAGAATTTTCACTGCCACGTGGCATTAATAAATTGAACTCAAAAAATCTCTGAAAATTTCCATCTAAAAATTCCCAAAAAATGTTCAAAACGTGGAATTTTCGCGCCACAAAAATTCAAATTCAATTTTTTTCCAGGTAATGCAATTAAAATGTCGTTCACTCCGAAAACAAGTCGAAGAACTTCTGGGATAATTTTTTTCTCCTCAATTTTTTTCTGTTTTGTTGATTTTGTTGTTTCATTTTTTGATTTTACCACATTTTTCCGTTTGTTAAAAAATTTGTTTTTGAATTTGAAATTGTCCAAATTTTTTTTTGCAACAAAGTTACGGTAAATCACCGTATTTTTCAATATTTTCGAAATATTTTTCTATTCTAGAAAATTACAGTTTTTCAGGATTTTTTATGAGGTGAAGAATAGACGGGAATATTTTTGATGCAAAATGGGATTTCCAATGATCCAGGTTTTTATGATCGCCGCGCGGCAGGTTGGTTTTTTGGGGCAGGAAAAATTTTGTTCTAAAAATTTGAAAATTTTTTGGAATTTGAGTTCAAATTTTCAAAAATCTTTGAAATTCTGGTTTTTGGCTTAAAAATATCTGATATCTATTCAGAATTAAAATTTTAACAAAAAATTCGAATTTTTGTATTTAAAAATTGATCTTAAAATTTTTCCCTTCCGAAATTGTTTAAAACTTTCAAAAAAAATTTGAATTTGAATTTTTGAGCTGGAAATCTATAGAACACATAGCCTTAAAATTATTATTTAAAAAAAATTTTCAGCCTGAAAATTTTGTTCTGAAAAAACTGGATTAAAAATTCTGATTTTCAGTCTTGTTTTGAAATTCTCGATTTTAAGGCGATGATGCAGATTAGTTTCTCCCCCGAGCTAATTGAGGAGAAAGAGGAGAAACGTGTTGCAGGTGGAGGAGAAACAATGTATTTTTCGAATTTCGCCCCATTTCTCCTCATTTCTCCTCGGAGGAGAAACTCATCTGCAACATCGCCTAAAATGAAAAATTTTCAGAATTTCATACAAAACATTGAATTTTCAATCAGAAAAATTTCGCTGTTTCAAAATTTTTATGAGTTTTCTGGCAGTTTTGGAATTTTTGATTTTTTCGTATAGCTTGAAAATCTGAAAAACATTCTCCAATTTTGTCTGAATTTCAATCAGAAAAATTTTGCTGTTTCAAAATTTTGTATCAGAAATTTTGCTTAAAATGTTTCCCTTCTGAAAACATTTCTCACTTTTTAAAGTGCGATTTTCAAAAAAATCGAATTTTTGAGCTGAAAAGCAGTAGAAAAATAGCCTTAAAATTATTTTTAAAAGATTTTTTCGGTCTGAAAATTTTGTTCTGAAATTCTGGATTTTCAGATGGATATTCTTTCAAAAGTTTTCAACATTCCAATTTCAATTAGAAAAATTTCGCTGTTTCAAAATTTTTATGAGTTTTCTGGCAGTTTTCGGAATTTTTGATTCAGTATTGCATGAAAAATCTGAAATTCTGAAAAACATTCTCCAATTTTGTCTGAATTTTAATCAGAAAAATTACGCTGTTTCAAAAATTTGTATTTCAAAATTGATCTTAAAATTATTCCCTTCTGAAATTGTTTAAAATTTTCAAAAAAAAATTTAATTCGAATTTTTGAGCTGAAAAGCTATAGAAAAATAGCCTTAAAATAATTATTTCAAAGATTTTTCAGTCTGAAAATTTGGATTACAAATTCTAATTTTCAGCCAGCCTTGAAACTTTGTTCTGAAAATTTCGATTTTCAAATTTCATTCAAAACAATGCAATTTCAATCAGAAAAATTTCGCTGTTTCAAAAGTTTTATGAGTTTTCTGGCAGTTTTGGAATTTTTGATTTTTTCGTATAGCTTGAAAATCTGAAAAACATTCTCCAATTTTGTCTGAATTTTAATCAGAAAAATTACGCTGTTTCAAAAATTTGTATTTCAAAATTGATCTTAAAATTATTCCCTTCTGAAATTGTTTAAAATTTTCAAAAAAAAATTTAATTCGAATTTTTGAGCTGAAAAGCTATAGAAAAATAGCCTTAAAATAATTATTTCAAAGATTTTTCAGTCTGAAAATTTGGATTACAAATTCTAATTTTCAGCCAGCCTTGAAACTTTGTTCTGAAAATTTCGATTTTCAAATTTCATTCAAAACAATGCAATTTCAATCAGAAAAATTTCGCTGTTTCAAAAGTTTTATGAGTTTTCTGGCAGTTTTGGAATTTTTGATTTTTTCGTATAGCTTGAAAATCTGAAAAACATTCTCCAATTTTGTCTGAATTTCAATCAGAAAAATTTCGCTGTTTCAAAAGTTTTATGAGTTTTCTGGCAGTTTTGGAATTTTTGATTTTTTCGTATAGCTTGAAAATCTGAAAAACATTCTCCAATTTTGTCTGAATTTTAATGAGAAAAATTTCGCTGTTTCAAAAATTTGTATTTCAAAATTTATCTTAAAATATTTCCCTTCTGAAATTATTTAAAATTTTCAAAAAAAAATGTAATTTGAATTTTTGAGCTGGAAAGCTATAGAAAAATATCATTGAAATTATTTTTTAAAGATTTTTTCAGTCTGAAAATTCTGAAATTCTCGATTTTCAAATTTAAATTCTTTTTAATTTTCAAAATTTCATTCAAAACAATGCAATTTCAATCAGAAAAATTTCGCTGTTTCAAAATTTTTATGAGTTTTCTGGCAGTTTTTGGAATTTTTGATTCAGATTTGCTTCGAAATCTGAAAAAAATTCTCCAATTTTGTCTGAATTTTAATGAGAAAAATTTCGCTGTTTCAAAAATTTGTATTTCAAAATTGATCTTAAAATATTTCCCTTCTGAAATTGTTCAAAATTTTCAAAAAAAAAATGTAATTTGAGTTTTTGAGCTGGAAAGCTATAGAAAAATATCGTTGAAATTATTTTTTAAAGATTTTTTCAGTCTGAAAATTCTGAAATTCTCGATTTTCAAATTTAAATTCTTTTTAATTTTCAAAATTTCATTCAAAACAATGCAATTTCAATCAGAAAAATTTCGCTGTTTCAAAATTTTTATGAGTTTTCTGGCAGTTTTTGGAATTTTTGATTCAGATTTGCTTCGAAATCTGAAAAAAAAATTCTCCAATTTTGTCTGAATTTTAATGAGAAAAATTTCGCTGTTTCAAAAATTTGTATTTCAAAATTGATCTTAAAATATTTCCCTTCTGAAATTGTTCAAAATTTTCAAAAAAAAAATTTAATTTGAATTTTTGAGCTAGAAAGCTATAGAAAAATATCGTTGAAATTATTTTTTAAAGATTTTTTCAGTCTGAAAATTCTGTTCTGAAATTCTCGATTTTCAAATTTAAATTCTTTTAAATTTTCAAAATTTCATTCAAAACAATGCAATTTCAATCAGAAAAATTTCGCTGTTTCAAAATTTTTATGAATTTTCTGGCAGTTTTTTGAATTTTTGATTTTCAATATTATTCTATGAAAAATCTGAAATTCGAATTTTTGTCTGAAAATCCAGTTTCCAGCCCCAAAATTCATCTGAGAATCATTTTTTTCCCAGGTGTCAAAACCAATTGCCGACGCGGTGCTCAAATATGGAAAAGACCACCCGATATTCAGAAATCGGATTTTGATTCCGATTGGAAGAGGTAGGGCTTTTTGGGCTGAAAATTGACTGAAAATATGAAAATTTCAAATTTTCTGACCTAAAAATTCGAAAAAATATCAATTTTTAGACCTAAACCCCTGAAAAATTCGCATTTTCCCCACTCTTTTTTCCAACGGGAAGAAAAATAGTTTATCTTATTTTGGCTTGACGAAAATTGATTTATAGTAAAAAAAAATTGGGGAATTTCCCAAGAGATCCATTTTCATCTCGTGCACTTTTTTGAGCTTTGAACGCTAGAACCAGGGCTGTGAAAAAGGCCTTGTTCGGCCACAAGGCCCCATCGAGAAATTTGGAGAGGCCGGCCGGCCGGCCGGAGAAAAAAAATAAATTGAAAAAAGGCCGGCCGCCGGCCTGCATAGTAAATTCCTCATTTTCACCGGTTCTGGTGTGACTTGGATGGTGGGATGAATTTATGCAATTCTGTTGGTGTGATAGTGTTTGTGTGATGATTGGATTGGTGAAAAGACATTGGTGTGGTATTGGTGTGATATTGGTGGATGGCTCCAAACAAATTACACCACAATTGGCGCCAATTTCACCAATCACCAATCACGTCAATTCCGCCATTTCCACATTGGTGCCTATAACACCATTGGTGCAATTGGCGTCAATGGTGAAGTTTGCACCAATCGTGCAATTTTCACCATTGGCGCAAACTTCACCAATGGCGCAGTTTTCAAAAATGGTGCAAACTTCACCAATGGCGCCAATACTACACCCAGACTATCACACCATCCAACCAAGATCGAAGTTTCATTCAGAAAAAGTTACAAATTCAATAAAACTAATTTCTGAAAATTTTCATCCTTGAGGCTTCAAGCCTGAACGGCTTCGAGCCTTTATATTTGAAAGGCCTAAAAGCCGCGAAGGCCTGAGGCCTCCGATTTTTCAAGGCTGGCCGGCCGGCCGCAGAAAATCGAGGCCCTTTTCACAGCCCTGGCTAGAACAACAAGAGAAAATTTGAGAAGAAATTATTGTATTTATATCCCGAAATTTCACTGTTTCAAAAATTTGGTATAATATTTTGAACCATAACCATTTCAGTTATTGCCTGGATCTTAACTGAATCAAAAAAATATGAAATAGCATTTTTATTGGAAAAATAACAATTTCACATAAAAATTGAAGAAATTTCAGATTCTTACATAAATGAATTTTTTGAGCGACTTCCATTCAAAAATCTATATTCCACGTAGCAAAATTCTAATGGAAAATTGAATTTTCGAGATTTTTTGATTTTAAAAAAACCTGAAAATTCACTGTTTCAAAAGTTTTGTATACACACCTGGCGAGAAAGTGTCCCAAAATTTTTGTGCAGCGTGAAAATTTTTGCAAAAAAAATTTTGCAGCGTGAAATTGTCAATTTTTTGAAAATTTTCATCAAAATCCGCTGAAAATCAATGAAAACTACACTTTTTTTGTGAGAAAATGTGCAGTGTGACTTTTGAAAATTTTTGTACAGTGTCCATTTTGGACACGTCTCGTCAGGTGTGCTTGTATAATATTTCGAACAATTTTTCAATTATTGTTTGGATCTTTACAAAAAAATTATGAAATAGCATTTTTATTGAATAAATCACGATTCCACATCAAAAAATGAAGAAAATTCAGATTCTCATTAAAAAAAACGGAATTTCTTATTCTGAGTAATTTTCATTCAAAAATCTATATTCCACGTGGCAAAATTCTGCACGAAAATTGAATTTTCGAGATTTTTTTTATTTTGAAAAATCCGGAATATTCACTGTTTCAAAAATTTTGTATAAAATTTTGAAAAAAATTAATTGATGTTTTTATTGGATAAATCGGAAATCGACATCAAAAATTTAAGAAAATTCAGAATTTTTATTGAAATAACGAAATTTCTGAGTAATTTTCATTCAAAAATTTATATTCCACGTGGCAGAGTATTGCCGAAAAATTGGATTTTCAGGATTTTTTTATTTAAAAATTAACCCGAAAATTTACTGTTTCAAAAATTTTCTATAATATTTTGAAAAAAAATATAAAATGATATTTCGATCGCATTTCCACTTTGAAAATCAAAGAAAATTCAGATTTTCATTAAAAAAAAACGAAATTTCTAAGCAATTTTCATTCAAAAATCTATATTCCACGTGGCAAGTTTCTGCCAGAACATTGGATTTTCGAGATTTTTTGATTTTGAAAAAAATCCCGAAAATTCACTGTTTCAAAAATTTTGTATAATATTTTGAACCATAAGTTATTTCAATTAACATAATCAAAAAATATGAATGAGAATTTTTATTGAATAAATCACGATTCCACATCAAAAATTGAAGAAAATTCAGATTCTCAAAAAACCGAAATTTCTGAGTAATTTTCATTCAAAAATTTATATTCCACGTGGAAAAATTCTGCCGGGAAAATTGGATTTGATTTTGAAAAATTCCGAAAATTCACTGTTTCAAAGAATTTTGATTTTTTTGATTTTTTTTTGCAAACATTAGTTCATTCTCAATTCTTATAGAAAAAAAATAATAATCCAAAAATTGTAGAAAAAATGCCTATTTGTCAACAACGCCACGTGGCAAAATTCTGCATTTTTTTGTTGGAAAAAATCCCGAAAATTTACTGTTTCAAAAGTGTTGTATAAAATTTTGAAAAAAAAATTAATTGATGTTTTTATTGAAAATATTCACAATCCCACATCAAAAATCAAAGAAAATTCAGATTCTCATTAAAAAAAACGAAATTTTTCAGTAATTTTAATTTAAAAATCTATATTCCACTTGGCAAGATTCTGCCGGAAAATTTTGTTTTTCGAGTTTTTTGATTTTGAAAAAAATCCCGAAAATTCACTGTTTCAAAAATTTTGGAAATTACTCATAAATTTCGTTTTTTTTTTCTCGAAAATCTAAATTTTTTCAATTTTTTATATAAAGTATGCTCAAAAGATCAATCAATCCGGTCCAAAATTTATATACGCATTTTTTGAAACAGTGAAATTTTCGGAATTTTTTTTTCGATGAAAATCCAATTTTTTCGGTGAATAATATTTTTAAAAATTAAAATTCTTTGAAACAGTGAAATTTTCGGAAAGTTTTCCTAGTGAAAAATGGAATTTTAGTCATATTTTTATTGAAGAAATCAGAATCCCACATCAAAAATTGAAGAAAATCATCATCCCTCTTAAAAATCCCTGTTTTTCAGGCCTCGTCCGATTCACAGCCCGAATGCGAATGAAGCGACTAGGCTTGGGTGCTCCAATCACACATGCTCCAGTTTCTGAAGCGGCCGCACTCGAACAAGCATCGGATTTTGTTCAACAATTAGTGCTCTTCTCATATTCGGTCGGCGTTTTTGCTGGTTATTATTTTTATACAAAATTGACGTCGCCTGAAACGCTGAAATTGGAGGAATTTGAGCAATATAAAGAGCAACAGGAACAGGTTGGGATTTTGGGAAATTTGAAATTTTCTATCAGAAAACAGAAAATTTCCAAATTCTGATATAAAAAACCTGAAATTTTCTTGAAAAATCTAGAAAATCCCACCTTTTCCTTCGAAATTTCGAGAAAAAAGATGAAAAAATAACCCCGAAAATTTACTGTTTCAAATTTTTTTAATATAAAGCTGGACCAGAAGAATTTCAATGTGTTAATTGGGAATGTGATGAAAAATTAATTTCAAAATTTTCAAGCAAAAACTTGGATTTCTGCTGGGAAAAACAATTTCTTTTTCAACTTTCCTGTGAATTTTTGGGATTCCTCGAAATTTTTAACTGAAACTTCACAAAATTTGAAATTTTCTCAAGAAATCTAGAAAATCCCGCCTTTTCACTCGAAATTTTGAGAAAAAATATGGAAAAATTAACCCGAAAATTTACTGTTTCAAAATGTTTTTTATAAAGTTGGACCAGAAGAATTTCATTACTTTTCTGGAAATTTGATGAAATAAAAAAAATTAATTTTTTGCTGAAAAAAATCTGATTTTTTCAAGATCTGATTGCTGGAAATTTTTTAGCTGTGAATTTCCGAAATTTAAATTACAGCAATTAAATTTTCTATTTCCCAAAAAAAATTACTTTCTCAACTTTCCTGTGAATTTTCAGGTTTCTCGAAATTTTGAACTGAAAAATTTACCAAAACAATGTTTTTTCTTCACGAAATTTGAAATTTTCTCAAGAAATCTTGAAAATCCAACCTTTTAACTCAAAATTTCGAGAAAAAATATGAAAAAAATTTCCCGAAAATTTACTGTTTCAAAATATTTTGATATAAAGCTGGGACTGAAGTTCGTTTATTGGGAACTTGATCTTCTTTGAATTCTTATTTTCTCGAAACTTTTTCGAATTTTCAAATTCCGATTTTTGGTACCTCAAGAAATCCACGTCATCACATTTTCCATCTTAAAAAAAATCAATTTCCAGATCATCAAAGGTCTCCGATTTCAAGTGGAAACCCTCGAACAACGTCTCTCAGCTCAACAAAAACGAAGTTTTCTGTCAACAATTGGTGTCACCAAAGATGACACACCAAAATCCAGCTCCTCACCAAATTTGGCGCCAAATTCTTCAAATTCAAATCCAGAATCCGAAAACAACTCGACGAAGAAGAGTCGATTTGAGAGGATCTCATCGCTTCCGATTGACATGGCTGCCAGTTTGATTCTTGATGGTGGGTCTGCGGATTAGGCCGGAATCTAGGCTTTAGGCTACGCCTAAATTAGGGCTTGGGCTTCTAGGCTTGTTAGAGTCTAATTTAGGCTCAAGCTTGAATCTAGGGCTGGATCTAGATTTTGAGCTAGGCCTAAATTCAGGCTTAGGCCCTTATTTAGGCTTAAGCTTAAATTTAGGCTCATCAAGCTTTGGCTTAGGCTTTTGAGTCTGGTCCAAATCCCTCAGCTTAGGCCCTAATTTAGGCTTAGACTTGGACCTAAGCTTTGAGCTAGGCCTAAACTTAGGCCTAACATTGGGCTTGGGCTTCTAGGCTTTGAGATCTAGGCTTAACCCTAAATTTAGGCCTATCAAGCTTAGGCTTAGGCTTTTGAGTCTGGTCCAAATCCCTCAGGCTTAGGCCCTAATTTAGGCTTAGCCTTATTGAACCTAGGCTTCGGCCCCTTTCCAATTTTGTGTTTAAAAATCAGAAAGAGATGAAAAATGTTTTAGAGGTACTGTAGGGGGGTTTTTGCGCAAAAATTTTGAGAATCGCCACGTCATAGCTCAAAATTTTGCAATTTTCAACCAACAAAAATTTCACTGTTTCAAAATTTTCATAAAAATTTTTTGCCAATTTTTTTTCAATGATAGAATCGTTGCCATACGAAAAAAATTCATAATTTCAAAAATCGTTGAATTTCCCGCCACGTGGATTGTTTTTGCCACGTGGATTGTAAAAACTCTACAGTACCCTCTCCCCAACATTTTTCCACTCTTTGCTCAAAAGTTTATGTGTTTCCCCCCATTTTCCCCGCCAAATTTGTGACAAGACGTGTTTTCCTTTGTTTCTGGAGTACTGTAGGATTCTCCTACAGTACTCCCTTATTAATTAATGTTGTGTCTGTGTGTTTTTGTACTAATTTTAGTTAATAAAAGCATGATTTTTTGTTTGGGCAACTTTTTACTACAGTAACCCTGGGGTACTGTATATATTTCTACAGTATTTCCGGGGGTACTGTAGATGTCTCTACAGTACTCCTTAACTCACCTGAAAAATGCTGCAGATGATGAATATCTGGTGGTGAGACGTGGCACATCGGTTGGCTTCGAAATCGCCCAAATTTGGTCTCGACGCGGAGAATCGCTGAAATACCGTATACCGGAAGTTTTGGCGCGAAATGTGTCGAGCTATGAGTTGGCATTGGAACAGGCGCGAATGATGATTTTTGGATGATCTTTTTGAGCATAATCATGTATTTTTGGGTGTGAGAGGAGATTTTTGAGATTTGCCACGTCATAACTTTGAAAATTCAGAAAAATTTCACTGTTTCAAAATTTTTCAGAAGGTTTTTGAGATTCCGAAAAAATCTCATGAGAATTTGCCACGTGGATTCCAGAGTTTTCCATGTCATAACTCTGAAAATTTTGAAATTTCACTGTTTCAAAATTTTTCGGAAGGCTTCTGAGATTCTGAGACGATTTCATGAGCTTAAAAAAATTTGAATTTATTTTGCCACGTGGAATTTTGGATCCAGAATATTCCAGAGTTTTCCACGTGATAACTCTGAAAATTCTGAAATTTTTTAAATTTCAAAAAAAAATCTCACTGTTTCAAAATTTTTCGGAATGTTTTTCGAATTTCTGAAAATATGAGCTTCAAAAAAATCAAATTTTATTTTTGGATTTTTGGCCCCAGAATATTTCAGAGTTTTCCACGTCATAACTCTGAAAATTTTGAAATTTCAAAAAAAAATCTCACTGTTTCAAAATTTTTCGGAAGGTTTTTTGAATTTCTGAAATCATGAGCTTAAAAAAATTTGAATTTATTTTGCCACGTGGAATTTTGGATCCAGAATATTCTAGATTTTTCCACGTGATAACTCTGAAAGTTTTGAAATTTCAAAAAAATTTCACTGTTTCAAAATTAATTTTAAAAAAAATTTTTTGAAGTTAAAATTGTGGACATTAGCCACGTCATAACTAAATTTCATAAGAATTTCAAAATTTCAAAAGTTCATAATTCCACGTGGCATTTTCGGAGACAAACTCGAAATTCTGCCACGTCATAACTCAATTCTCCTCTCTCTCACACCCTTTTTTTCAAAATTTCGACGAGTTTTCTTCATAGATTTGATTTTATTTTTGTCACTTTTCTGTCTCTAGTCTCGAGCTTATTTCCTATGTTTTTTGCAATTTTTCTCGATTTTTTGTTGTAAAAACCGCGTCTTGTCCATTCATTTTCCTCCTCCCCCCGAAAAATTTTGTGGAAATTTGCCACGTCATAGCTCGCAATGAAAATGTGCATTTTTTAGGCCGCCAAACACAAAATGACGGAGGAAAAGGATCGACAAGATGAGCAAAATTTTGTACATTTTCTTGCATTTTTGTCTTTGTACATTTTTATAGGATTTTTTGTATGAATCTGTTTTTTTTTTTGGTTGAAAATTGTGTTTTTGGGGAAAATTTAGAAGTTCTACGTGGATTTTCATAATTCTAGATTTTCTGAAATTTGAGCGAAAAATAAAAATTCACAATTTTTTCACTGTTTCAGAATTTTTATGAATTTTTGGGGAAATTTAGAAATTTTGGTGGTAAGCACATTTTCTGATTGGATTTTTTGTTTTGAAAAATTTCACTGTTTCAAAAATTTCATATTTTTTTGTGTGATTCAAAGGTTTTTGATGCATTGGCGAGAATATTTCAAGAGCTTCAAAGTAATCTATTCAAAAATTAATTTTCAGATCTTAAATTTAATCTGAAAAAACTGAAATTTTCAGACCTCGAGAAATCAAGTTTCAAGCCAAAAAACTGAATTTTGCATTTTTTTTTTTCGAAAAAATTCACTGTTTCAAAAATTTCATAATTTTTTGTGTGATTCAAAGGTTTTTGATTTGTTAGCTAAAAAAATTTTTGGATAAAATAAGGGAAACTTTTTCTGAAGCTGAAATTTTCAGACCACGAGAATACAAGTTTCAAGCCAAAAAATTGAATTTTGCATTTTTTTACTTCGAAAAATTTCACTGTTTCAAAAATTTCATTTTTTTTGTGTGATTCAAAGGTTTTTGATACGTTATCTAATTTTTTTTTGAAAAAAATAAATTTCTGAAAATTCAATCTGAAATTTTCAGATCTCGAGAAATTTTGAAAAATGTGAGTTTTCGATTTTTATTTTACTTAAAATTCTGTTGGAAAATTGAATGTTTTCTTGTTGAAAAAAATCCCGAAAATTTTATGTTTCAAAAATTTCATATTTTTTGTGGGTTTCAAAGGTTTTTGATGTATCAAAATTAGTTGGTAAAAGGCAAAAACTAATTTTCAGATCTGAAATTTCGGTCAGAAATTTTCAGGTTTCTTGTTGAAAAAAATCCCGAAAATTTCACTGTTTCAAACATTTTTTATCCCATTTTCAAATAAAGTGGCGAAATTGAAAAAAAAAAAGAGCTTTCATCGGAAAAAATCCTCCTGAGAATGAGAATTCCAGCAAATTTACAAAAATTACAAATTTATTTAATATATAAGTACATAATTAAAGTCCACTAAAAAGACATTGTGGATCTCCATTGAATTGCATAATCATATCCAAAGTTTCATTCAATGTTTTCTGAAATTCCAATGTATCTCGCATAGTTCTTCCTGGATTTCGAGGATCAAATGGATCAATGATAAAAAGTCCGGCAAAAGATCGTTCCTTTTTATTTCTCACATTTCCCAATTTCATGTCAATTATCTTGTTGGCAATCGGATGAAATTTGAAGTAGAATAAAAAATCGATAAATAATTCAGCCGGTGATTTTCGATTTCTCGATTTCCACAAATCCGAAACGTTTTGCGGAATCAGCGGTGACAAATCCCATGTTGCTTTTTCTGGCGCGAAAAATCGAGAGTAAGATTTGTGAAGTTTTGGGATGTATTGTTGGGTTTCGAGGAAATGGATTAGTAGAAGTGAGAGGGAATATGAGTTGGGTTTTTGAGTTGGAAGAGTGGCGAGCCAGGATTTGAGGAAGTTGTGGAGCATTGGGAAGTCGGGGTAGAATCTGGAAGATGAAAATATTGGATTTTTAGCTACTAGAAACACGTCAGCAAATTTCGAGGCTTCTAGAATCTTCAAAATTTGCTGACGCATTTCTAGAATCTTCAAAATTTGCTGACGCTTTTCTAGAAGCCTCGAGCAAATTTCAAAGCTCCTAGAAAGGCGTCAGCAAATTTTAAAGCTTCTGGAAATGCGTCAGCAAATTTCGAGGCTTCTAGAAAAGCGTCAGCAAACTTCGAAGCTTCTAGAAAAGCGTCAGCAAGTTTCGCGGCTTCTAGAAAAGCGTCAGCAAGTTTCGCCGCTTCTAGAAAAGCGTCAGCAAGTTCTAAAGGTTCTGGAAGCCTCGGAATTTGCTGACGCTTATCCAGAAGCTTTTAAAATTTGCTGACGCATTTCTAGAAGCATACATCGGTTTCTCCCGGTCAGGACCTCAAAGTTAGCCGCTCCCCCTACGTGAAAACTTAATAGTTAGCCACCCCCCCCCCCTTTTTTTTTCCACAAGAGAGAAAAATAAAATAAAACTTCTCGCCGGCGCCAGAACTCGAACCTGCGTGGCACGAACGGTAGGCGAGCACTCTACCGCCTGATCTATGTCCGCTTTCTCTCCCGCACTGTCAAATATTCAATAAGAATTTGAATAGAAAAGGGGGAAAGAAAATAAATGAGAGAAAACGAAAGAAAAAATTACTGTGGTAATCCGAAAAAAGGAAAAAAATCGTTTAACGATAATCAAATAACTTCAAAATTTACACAAGACACTGGAACACCATTTGGAGTTGTCTGAATCCTTCCAGGAAGCAAAATAAAGGCGATTTTAATGAAAAGATGACCTCCCGGTCATTTCGACCGACTCAGCCGGACAAATCGACCGATTTTTAGTTTTGGGCCAGGGGGGCTCAGTAGACTTTTTAGAATGAAACTTTCATAAGTTAATTTGTATAAAGGGACCCAGTGAGCATGTTTTCGAACACTTATTTGATATGATTTCTTATTTTGGAAGTTGGATTTTCGGGTTTGAAGTGTGATTTTGAGGCTAAAACAGCATTTTTGGTAGTTTTGGGTCAGGGGGGCTCAGTAGACTTTTAAGAATGAAATTTTTTAGAGTTAATTTGTATAAAGGGACTCAGTGAGCATGTTTGTGGACACTTATTCGATCCGATTTCCTATTTTGGAAGTTACTTTTCGAGTGTTAAATGTGATTTTGAGGTAAAAAACAGCAATTTTTGTAGTTTTGGGTCAGGGGGGCTCAGTAGACTTTTAGGACTGAAATTTTTTGGAGTTAAATTCGTTAGAGGGACCTAGTGAGCATGTTTGTGAACACTTTTTTCATCCGATTTCCTATTTTGGAAGTTGATTTTTGGGGTGTGAAGTGTGATTTTGAGGCAAAAATAGCATTTCGGCCAGTTTCGGGTCAGGGGGGCTTAGTAGACTTTTAGGAATGAAATTTTTCGGAGTCAATTTGAATGAAGGGACCTAGTGATCTTGTTTATGAACACTCATTTGATACGATTTCCTATTTTGGAAGTTGGACTTTGGGGTTTAAAGTGTGACTTTTCCAAAAAAAAAATTAATGTCTAAACTAATCTTAATTTTCAAAAAGTTCGCCGGTCCCCCACCTATTTTTCAAAAGTTAGCCAGACCCCCTCCGGACGAAATGCCGGGCATACCGATGTATGTCTAGAAGCCTCGAGCATATTCTAGAGCTGCTAGAAAAGCGTCAGCAAATTTTAAAGGTTCTAGAAAAGCGTCAGCAAATTCTAAAGGTTCTGGAAATGCGTCAGCGAATTTCAAAGCTTCTGGAAATGCTCCAGAAAATCCCATCTCAGGAATTTTTTTGTACGAGTTCTGCACCTTTTTTGTACCCGTTCAGAACTTTTTTGCATTTGTACGCGTTCAGTTCCTGATATAAGACAGCTAAAAAGACTGATCGTGTACACGCATAAGTTTGAAAGCGTACTTAATAGGACTGAACGCGTACAAATGCACAAAACGTGCTGAACTCGTACAAAAAAATTCCTGAGATAGCTTCTAGAAACCCCCTAATTTTTCCAGCTTCAAAAAACCCTTCCCCAAAACCCCTTACTGAATAACCGTGTTGATATACCGTGTCGCAATACAACATCCCGGCATATTCTTGCCAAAATGCACTGAAATATCGAATTGCACATCATTTTTGAATCCGCGAACAATCGGCACTTTCGCCGCATCAATATGCATAATATTCCGATAGACTCCTCGATTTCGACACAATTCTTCAGCCACAAATTTCAAAATCTTATTTTTCCTCTGTTTTCCAAATCCGCTAGCACTATTATATTTTTGTTCTTCTTCTTTAACTCCAGTTTTTTCAATTATTAGTAGAATATCCAAGTCACTTGTTAGTTTTGAAATGTTTGATGGAAAACTTCCGAATGGCACGATTGATGTTAAGCTGAGCAATGATTTCGAGAACTGAAAATGAGGAAGGATTAGGCTGAAGCATTTATTTAAGTAACTCACAAATCCCTTCGAATATTCCCGAATATCTTGCTCAATTTCATCCAGCACTTGATTTTTGAGATTTCGGCTAAACTGAGTTTCACAATTTGAATCGTAGATATTCCGCATTTTCTCGTTTATCACACGTATTTTGGCGTCCATTTTTGACGGAAGAATTCTGCAAAATTTCAGGTTTTTTGTTGGGAAAAGCTTGGAAAACCTGAAAATTAAATAAAAAACTTTATGGATACTGTAGAATGTGTTGTGTGCAAACACTTTGCATTGCGGACTTTTGGTGACGCGCAATTTTTATTTATTTTTTTGAAAAAAAATGGTTCGCCGCGGATTTTTGGCTCAAAAACGATGGAAAAATGGAAAAGAATGATTGGATGTCGAAAACGATGACCTTGGCTGGAATCTTCTCAAAAAACGCTGCGAAATCGGTGAGTTTTTTGCAAAAAAATAGATTATTTTTGAAAACTGGGGGACCCTGCGCAGAAAGCGTGCGATAGAGCGGATTTGTTGCACTTAGCAAGTCGCCAGTAGCGTGGGTTCCTGGAGACGCAGACGAAGAAGACTAATCGCCGGCTAACTCATGATTAGTAGCCTCAAAATGTTTCGTCTGCGTCTCTTGGAAACGCACACTATTTTTGTCGATGAACTGACGATAGGGAAGATTATTCGCTTCAAATTTCAAATGAATACATCACGCGGGGAAAAAATAGTCAGAAAACACAGGATTTTTTGTTAAAATCATCTGGAAACCACGTGGCAAAATTTGAAATTTTATGTGAAAAAATAAACCGAAAATTTCACTGTTTCAAGAATTTTGTATAAAAAATAAATATAAAAAAATATTTTCATTGAAAAAATCACATTTCCACATCAAAAATTGAAGAATTTTGAGCAATTTTTATTCAAAATGTCTAGGCAAAATTCTGCCAAATTAGTTCCATTGATTTTTGAGATAAGAAATATAATCTTGTTGACTTGGATTTTGTTTGATAACGTGTCCATCAATAGTTTTCAAATCCTTCGAAATTTTTCGAAATTTCCGATGCCTCAAAAATATTCCCACCGCCAAAAGTATCATAAAAACATCCAAAAACGAATTGTAAATCGAGTAGATCAAAGTCCTCTCAAATTCCCCGCCATTTTTGCTCTCCACATAAATGATACTAGAAATCGACACAAATCGCGTCCATTTCGCAAAAATCACACTCGGAATCATTGATTTTGTCCAATTGAGCACCTGCGACAATTGATAACGTTGCTCCAGGTTTACACTGCCCATTTTGGATTTGTAGTGGGTTTTGGACTTTTTTGAGGCGAAGATTAGGATGAGCAATGTTGAAATGTCCAGGGTTGTGAAGAATAGCAGAGTTAGAATTCTCTCGCGGACTAGAAAATTCAAAATTTTTTTTTTTTTGTTAAAAAAAAAAGACCAACCTATATACAAAAAATACGGTAAAAATATTGATAATCCCAGTGAAATCAAAATAAAGATGAAAAATCCAAGATTTTCGAAAAATTTCGATTTTTGATTAAAAATAGTCATCAAAATGACGAGGCTAAATGCGAGAAGTGAAAAACTTTGAAGACAGAAACCGATTTCGTGAAAGTAGACGATGTAGAGACTGTAGTAATCTGGAAATGTAATTTGACTGGTGACGTGGAATTTTTAATTGCCACGTGGCAGGTTTTTAGTGGCTCAGATGATGGTTCTAGAAGTTTTTTCTAGAATTTTAAAATTTCCTGATGACGTGGCAATTTTTCCGAGGTTCAATTGATTTTCGGTCACTTTTGAGAATATTTTTTTCGAATGACGTGGCATTTTAGCTCATTTTTCTGCCACGTGGCTTTTCTGAAATCGAGCTTCAAAAAATTAAATTATAAAAAAAACCACGTGGAATTTTTGATGACGTGGATTTAGAAAAAAATGAAACATTGAATTTTTGAGAACAAGTTCCTGAAAAGAAATAATTCCACGTGGATTTTTCATAATTAAATTATTGAAGCAGTGAATTTACAAAACGAAATTGTGGAGCAGATGATCCACGTGGATTTTTCTGGGTTTCACGAAAGCCACGTGGCGGAGAAATGAGCTAAAATGCCACGTCATTGATTAAAACCCCAATTAATTTTTGAAAAAAAAATCCCAAGTGAAAAATTTTTTATCAGAAAATTGGTTTTAGAAAGTTTTTCCCCGGAAAAAAATAAATTTAAAGCAGTTAATTTCCAAAGGAAAATTGTTGAACAAATGATCCACGTGGACTTTTCTGGTTTTCACAAATTTTCCCTTTTAAATCCACGCTATCAAAAATTCCACGTGTCAAACTCACTTCCAAAATTCGCATAAATCGGATGCATTTCGAAACCAGAAATCCAAACACAAATCAAAGTTCTCGCCAAATGTGTAAAACTCATTAAAATTGATGAAATAAATAATAGAAATAAAGTGATTCGCCATTTCAAATCAACTTCTTTTGATGTGAAAATAATGTAGAAAAATAGGAAATTGAATGGAATTGACGAGATACAAATCAATAATTCAAGAATTATATTAATCTCGAAAAGCATTTTTGAAATCAAATAGTGAGTAAGTAAGTTAGCCTAATTTGTGATGATTATATTTGAGATATTAATTGGTTTGAACTTTTGGAAGATGATGAAATTGGTTGTCATCAAAGATCTAAACTCTATGTGGTTTTTTTTCGAAAAATAGAAAAATTCCTAGAAAACCACGTCATTGGAAAACTTCACTGTTTCAAAAAAAGTTAATTTTTTTTCCAAGAATTAAAAAAATTAATGGGGGAATTGTTGAATATGCACAAATTTTTAATTGGGGGGGGGGGGAAGTAACACATTTTCTAGAGTTTTGAAATTTCGAAATTTCAAAAAAAAATTCACTGTTTCAAAATTTTCATTTAATTTTGACGAATTCGCAATGTTTCTGATGATTTTGAAATTTTTGATAACTTTTCTATAAAAATCTACTGTTTCAAAAATTTCTCAAATATTTTGAAGGTTTCTGCAAATTTGATACAAAGTTTTCTTTGTTAATGTTATTTGAAAATGTTTTTCTGTTAAATTTCCACGTGGCAAATTTGATATTATGTTTATTGTACTATATGATCAAATTTGTAGAAACCTTCAAAATATTTGAGAAATTTTTGAAACAGTAGATTTTTATAGACAAGTTTTCAAAACCATCAGAAAAATTGCGAATCCCTCGAAAATCTACACAAATTTTGAAACAGTGATTTTTTTTTGAATTTTAAAATTTCGAAATTCTAGAAAATGTGTTACGTTCCCCCGAGCTTTGAAATTCAAAAAAAAATGTTTAGCTCCAAAATTTAATTTTTTTCAAGAAAAAAAATTCACTGTTTCAAAATTTTCTTAAAATGTTAGCGAATTAGGAATTTTCTGATGCATTGAAAAAGTTTGTTTTAAAAAAGTGCCACGTGAATTTTTTGTATTCAAAAATCTAGAATGTTTTTAAAATTCTAAAAAAATTTACTGTTTCAAAATTTGTATAGATTTTTGACGGGTTCGCAAATTTTTTGATGCTTTGGAAAGTTTCATCTCAAAAAAGTGCCACGTGGATTTTTAGGTTTAAAAAAATGCCACGTGGAAGTATCTATAAAAATCTACTGTTTCAAAAATTTCTCAAATATTTTGAAGGTTTCTACAAATTTTATTCACAATATCAGATTTTGCCACGTGGAAATTTAACAGAATTTTTTTTTAATAATTTGAACATAGTTTGCCACGTGGAATTTAGATTTGAAATTCAAAAAAAAACGTTTAACTTCAAAATTCAATTTTTTCAAAAAAAAAATTCACTGTTTCATAATTTCTATAGATTTTTGACGGATTCGCAAATTCTTTGATGCTTTGGAAAGTTTCATCTCAAAAAAGTGCCACGTGGATTTTTAGGTTTAAAAAATGCCACGTGGAAGTATCTATAAAAATCTACTGTTTCAAAAATTTCTCAAATATTTTGAAGGTTTCTGCAATTTTGATAATATAATACAATATAATATCAAATTTGCCACGTGGAAATTTAACAGAAATTTTTTTTTTTTTAATAATTTGAACATAGTTTGCCACTTGGAATTTAGATTTCAAATTCAAAAAAAAACGTTTAACTTCAAAATTCAAATTTTTTTCAAAAAAAACATTAATTGTTTCAAAATTTTCATTGATTTTTTTGAAGATTTGGAGTTTTCTGATAAAAAAATTCAAGAACTTGAATTTAGCCACGTGGATTTTCTGTTCAAAAATCTAGAATGTTTTTGAAATTCAAAAAAATTCACTGTTTCAAAATTTGTATAGATTTTTGACGGGTTCGCAAATTTTCTGGTGCTCTGAGAACTTTTACCTCAAAGAAGTGCCACGTGGACTTTTAGGTAAAAAATGCCACGTGGAAAATCTGAAAAAAAACTACTGTTTCAAAAATGTGGAAATTTAACAAAAAAAAATTTTGAAAAGAATTGAATAAAGTTTGCCACGTGGAATTATGGGGTGAGTCATAAAAATAAATTGACAAAAAAAGTGCGATTAATTTCACGTTTTTTGTCAATTAATCGCATTCATTTCTGAAAAAATGCGATTAATTGACAAAAAACGTGAAATTAATCGCACTTTTTTTGTCAATTTATTTTTATGAATCACCCCATTAAGATTTATGATTTAAATTTTTTTCAAGCAAAAAAAATTCACTGTTTTTAAATTTTCATAAATTGTTAGTGAATTTGGAATTTTCTGATGCATTGAAAAAGTTTGTTTTAAAATTTTTTAAATTAAAAAAGTGCCACGTGGATTTCTAGGTAAAAAAAAATGATTTTCGCCACCTGGAAGTTTGAAATTTAGGGATTTTGAAAAATGTCTTAAAAAATCTACTGTTTCAAAAATTTCTCAAATATTTTGAAGGTTTCTGCAAATTTGATAATGACAAATTTTCTAATTGGAAATTTAATAGAACGTTTTTAAAAATGAATTGAACATAGTTTGCCACGTGGAATTCAGATTTTCAAACTCAAAAAAAAACGTTTAGCTTCAAAATTTAAATTTTTTTCAAGTTAAAAAATTCACTGTTTCAAAATTTTCATAAAATGTTAGCGAATTTTTTTGATTCAATGTATTTTTTTATTTCAAAAAAAAGCAACGTGGATTTTTAGGTACAAAAAAATTAGTTTTGATAAAAAATCAACCGTTTCAAAATATTTTCAAATATTCTAATGATTCTTGGAGTTTCGATAGTTGCTCGAAATAAATTTCTTTAAAAAAATCTCAAATTTTTCTTCCCGAAAAAATTGCTAAAAACAAAAATCGTGTTTTATTATCATGTGTTCGCCAAAAGAGAAAAATCCAGAAAAAGTCAGAAAAAAACGCGTAAACTATAGAAAAAAATGATGGTGATGAATAGAAGATTAGTAGAAAAAGTTGTCGGAATAGTAGATCGGGTAACCATCAGCGGATCGTTTGAAGTCGTTGAATCGTTCCAAATATGGAGACCAGGAGCCGCCGAATGCTCGACCACCGGCTCTTTTGTCGAATCTGCAAGGAAATTGGTAAAATTTGGGTGAAAATTGATGAGAAATGACCTAAAATCACCCTAGAGAGCATTAGGTATGATTTTCAACAATTTGTGGAGAGCTTGAATCAGATTTGGGGTTTTTATGATGCTTTTAGTGACCTTAAGAGGTGGTTAGGTCATTTTAAGGTGTCCTGAGATAGGGTAATCCAAGTTGACTTTAAAACCGCTAAAAATAACCCTAAACTTCTTCTTAACCTTAAAAATTAACCCAAAGCTTCTAAAGAACTCCTAAACTTTAAAATTCTCATAAGAACACCGTAAAACCTCTATAACTTACCCTAACTTAAGGAAAAAATCACTAATTTTCTAAAAGAACTTTTTTTCCTTTCTCTAAAAATCCACTGTTTCAAAGTTTTTTCAAATAATTTTGGAAATCTCCCTGGAGTCTAATAAACAATTTTGGAAACTTTCAAAAAATGTTTTGAGGATCAAAAATTATGTATTCTAATTCAGCTTTGAAGTCTGAAACATTGAATTTCCAGAAGTTCTTAGGCCAGAACTAACCCGTAGAGATCTCTATTGTGTCCAAATGATCGTCCACCTCCACGTTTTTGATACAGAAAGTATGGAAGGGATCCTTCGACTCCGACATCTGAACCTCTTTTCGAATTAGCGAATCCGTAAAACGCACGCCCCCCGCCACGTTTCAGTCGACCGTTTTCTGATCTGCAACAAAAATATTGAGAGGTTGGCTCAGAGATTCTAAGTTTCTATACTGAAACTAGAATTTAAGCCTAGAATTAGATTTTCAGGAAATTGAAAACCTGATTTTCTTTTTTGTAATTTTCAAAACTCTTATGGAAGTGAAAAAAATTTCGGGCTTTTTAAATTAAATTTTTAAATTTGATTTTTAGGCTCAAATTTTCAGCCTGAACCTACATATATTTCAAGCTTGAGCCTAGATTTTTTCCGTGATTTTTAATTTTTTTTGTTCTCAGAAACATCACTTCCACTTTTTTCTCATGAATTTTTAATTGGAGCGGAAATTTTGCTTGGTTTCTAATTTTTCCTTCTTTGAAAAAAAATTTCCGGACATTTTTTTCCAGAAATAAATAGAAATATTTATCAAATAATTTATGATTTCTGCCCAAAATCACGTATTTTTTCAAAAATCAACGTGGCAAAAATTTTAGATTTTTCAAGCTTGAGCCTAAGCCTAAAGAGTCAGCCTAAGCCTAAACCGCAAGCTTAAACCCAAACTCACTCCTCAATGTTACTTGTAACTACCGCATTTGCATCTTCATTCGAAATTGGCACACTGAAAATTGAACCTGAAACAGTATTTTCAGATTTTTAAAAATTCCAGAAAACTGACCAACTTGTAGAAGGACCAAGAATAAGGCGATGATCGTTGTGTAGATTTCCATTTCGCGATTTCCTGAGCCGAAAAAAAAAATTTAGGAAGGAAATTTGAAACCTGCTCTCAAGAAAAGGAAGATGTTCGGGGGGAAATTGATGGATTTGGTTTTTTCTGGGAAAAAAATGGCATTTTTTGAGTTTCGGATTTTTTTTTGGAAATGAAAAAAAAATTGAGGATCAAACTAGAGACTCTGAAAACTATACAGAAAACTTTTCATCAAAATTTCTAGGCTTGAATTTATCTAGAAAATCCACGTGGCAAAAAAAGTTTTTTTTTTTTTGAAAAATCCACTGTTTCAAAAAAATTCGAAATATTTTGATCTGAATTCAGATTTTAATCTGAGATTGAAACAGTTGAAGTTCAAAAATCCACGTAGCAAAAAATACTGAAAATTTTAAGTCTCAAAACTATTCAGAAGAAATCAAAATTGGAAATCCACGTGGTGAGTTTTTTTTGCTGAAAATCCGGAACATCTGAAAATCCACGTGTCAAAAATGATCAGAATTATTTTCTTTAAAAAAATAATTTGCAGACCAATTTTCAGAAAAAAAAATTAGAGAAAATCAGGAAATTTGAAATTTCCTTTTAAAAAATGAACAGCTTTTGCTCCAGTTTTTTTAAATCAAAAATGAGGGTTCAAATCCACGTGGCACTGAGATTTTGAAATAAAATCTTCAAGCTTCAAAATATCAGAATTCAGAAGCCACGTGGCAATTTCTCTAAATTCAAGAATGAAGCCTCAAATCCACGTGGCACTAATTTTCAGAATTAAATTTTCGAGATTCAAAATACCTGGATTCAGAATCCACGTGGCACTAGAATTTCAAAATTCTGAAAAAATTTTCAAAATTCAGAAAAATTTCCTGAATCCAACAAAAATATACAAAATTTTTCTCTCAACACAAAAAAGGAGCCCAGAACAAAGCCAAAGCCTCCAAATTCCCTTCGGAATATTTTTCACCCCGACTGATGGTGGAATAAAAAAGCAAGTGAAGTCAAACTAGGCAAAAAAGAGGAGCCCAGAGCAGAAGAAGATTTATCTTGGCCAGTGGAAAATGGGGCGTGTCCAATTTTCGCGAAGAAAAATGGGCGGAGCCTATTGTTAGAGGGGAAGAAGAAGAAGACACGTCACTTTTGGTGCCAGATGATGATGATGATTACTGTGGGTGTCAAGCCAACTTCAAAGATCGAAGGGTCATTTGGGAATTTATTTTCTGGAGGGTGGAGAAGGAAAATTGGAATGATTTTTGATGGATGAGCGGGAAGATGCCACGTGGAAAAATGGGGGATTTCGAAGTTTTGAATTAGAAAAATTCAAAAAGCTCTGAAAATCCACGTGGAAATATTTGATTATGAAATAAAAGATCTCTGAAATTTTCAGAGAGCTCTTAAAATCCACGTGGCAAAACTTCTCAATTTCTAGAAGCTCATGAGAAAATCCACGTGGCAAAATATATTCGTTTCAAAAATTGAGTCAAGCTGAATTTCAACTTCTGAAAATCCAAGTGGCATTTTTTTCTGCAGAACATTTCTACAAAAATTTGAAAGTTTGAAAAATTTTACGGACCTTTTTTTTCAGATGAAAATTGTGCCACGTGGATTTTTAAGATTTTTCAAAATTCATCTGGAATTCCCAATGATTGCAATTTCATCAAAAAAAAATTGTCAACCTAAAATATTTATCCCATTCTTGAAACAGTGAATTTTTAAAAATTCTTTTTTTTTTAATTTTTGATGTTGCCTAGAAATTTCATTTATGGATCAATTCATCTGAAGAAAAAATGAATTTCGCGACATTTTTTGTCGCGAAATTGCAATTCGCGAAACGACACGAAATTAATAAAATAAAAGAGGAAATTCTTTTTTCGTGTGTTGGGTCTCGCAGGGATTACGTGTCCCTTTAATATTTTTCCTTTATTTTTGTGTCTATTTCGTGTCGTGACAAAAAATGTCGCGAAATTCATTTTTTCTTCAGATGAATTGATCCATTAACCATCTAAAAAATTCAAATCTGACTTCAAACTCTAAAAATCAACGTCATAACTATATATGTATAATCATAAAAAAATCCCACACACTTCAAGCTCCAGATTTTCTCAGTCACAAGATCTCATAAAAATATAATTTACAAGCTATAAAAATTTCTGCAAAAAAATCAGAATTATTTTTTTCATAATCGTAATAAAAATACAATTTTTGAGTGATTAAAAAAAGCCTACGCTTTTTTTTCCAAAAAAAAAAAGTTGGGGGTCCAAAAAATCATTTCTTACATTTATTTTTGTGTTAGAAAAAAGTGATGCTCTGTTTTTTTCAAACTGAAAAAAAACATAAAATTGAATTTCGCCTCATTTCTGGTCGTCTTCTATTTTCTTGTGGCGCCCCAAAGAAAAAATCACGAAATCTGATACACTTTTTTTTTCTCTTGCCAGCCCCAAAATATCTCCGGGGATTTTTTTGATGGCAAAATAATCGTGGGTGGTCAGATGAAAGATTTTTCTGAAAGATTACGTGGATTTTTGAGGAGCTATGACGTGGCAAAACTTGGGGAGAAGCTGGAGAATTGAAACTTGAGGTCTAGAATTCAAAACTCAAAAATCATGGCCTAGGATTTCAAAAAAAAACACAGAATCTCAAATTCCAGAGCATTTTCCGATTCCAGTTAACTTGGAGCTAAACACGCAAATCCGGAATTTCAAAGCTCACAACCTAAAAAAAAAAGATTCCTCTCCAAATTTTCTCACATGTCCATTTCGTTCCTCTTTTTTCTTCGTGAACAATAAAAATAAAACTACTACTATTTTCTATTATATACGATTTTTCTCAACTCAATGATGAGAAAATGAAGCTTTTTCTATTCTCCTCTCCACTTTTCTTCGTACATCACAGAACATTCTTTAAAGGCTTAAGCTCACAGGATAATTGAGCCACAAAAAATACTAGTTGTAAATTACCTTTTCCTTCTCTCCTAAAAAAAAATAGGAAAAGCCTAAGCTTAAGCCTAATTGCTTTGAAGAACATCTGGAGAAAAAAATTAGCATCATTTTCAGCATTCGCAAAAAAAAAAATCGGGTGAGAGAGGAAAAAATACTTTGAAATTCCGGATTTGCGTGTCTAGAAGTTAACTGGAATCGGAAAATGCTCTTCTTTTTTTGCTGAAATTTGAGATTCTGGGGTTTCTAGGCCAGAGTTTGGAATCCTAGGCCACGATTTTTTAGGTTTTGAATTCTAGATCTCAAGTTTAAATTTCTTGAGCTTCTGCCTAACTTTTGCCACGTCACAGCGTTTCAAAAATCCACGTAATCTTCCAGGATTTTTTTAAAAAAGAATTTTCAAAAAATCTTCTCAAGAAACTCACAGATGTTCTAGGCTTTTCAGATTTACATTCTGAAATTCCATACGTAGATTTCTTAGCCACAACTTCTAGAAGACATTAACTTTTGAAGATCTAGAGAAAATATTTGAGAAATCCTAGATCCTGACAACCTATAGATCTGAATTTCCTCTCACAGACTCCTAGATCTACAGTCTCAGAATCAGATTCAAGCCCCCGCGTCAAACATCCTCCTGAAAAAGTGCAAAACACAGACAAGTGTTTTCGGCTGGACTGGAAAATTCGATCATCTTTGCACTTTTTGCTCAAGCCTTTGCTCTGAGCCGTCAAAAACAAAACCAAAACACGAATCTCCTGTCAAAATCAGACAAAAAAAATGCGTTTGTGCGAAAAAAAATCCACGAAGAAGCGCGCTAGAAGAAAAATAAAATATTGAATTATGTATGACGCGGGACCTGGCAGGAGAAAAAGCAGCGAAAAATTTTGCAACTTTTTTTTGCGAACACAACAAAGAAAGACGACGAGATATGTTGAACAATAGTAGTTGACTGCGGAATTTTCTGGGTGTGTTCTGAGAAAAAAAATAGGAGAAGAATCAGGATAGATACACGTGGGTTGTTGGTTGCGGAAGAAAAATATGTGATGAATATTTCAGGAGGTCAGAGGTTAGGGTTGGAAAAGTTCAGGATAGATTTTCTGTGGACCTTGATCGAGCCTAAATATTGGAAGAGCCTGAGGTGGCCCGGATGAATCTACATTGGACCTGAATCTCAAGATCAGGCGGTAGAAAAGTTCGGAAGTCAAGCTTGACTTGAAACTTTTCAGATATCAAGGTTTGAGCCTGTCTAGATTTATTTCCTAGATCCTAGAATAAAGATTAATGAGTTTAGCGTAAGCCTAAGCTTTTAGCCTAAGCCTAAGGCTTTTAGCCTAAGCCTGAAGCCTGTTTTAGCTTATTTTTTAGCCTAAGCCCAAGCCTGCTTTTTTTAGCCTAAGCCTAAGCCTTTTAGCCTAAGCCTAAGTCTTTTATTAGCCTAAGCCTAAAATTTACAGAAAATTTTCAGATTCCTTTGAGATTCCTGTATCAAACAAGACTTTTCTGTAATAACAATGAAAATTAAAAACGTCGGAGGCAATTTTGTCAATTTAAAAAAAATTTGCCTCGAAGCGGGATCGAACCCATCACCTAAAAACTGAAAGACGTGCGTGTTAACCACTCGGTCATGTGGCACATGTTATTTTTTCGTTGTCAAAATCTCGAACACTGCAAATCTGGTTCAAATGCCTAAAATTTACAGGGAATTTTCAGAATCCAAACTACACACTTTTCCATTATTTGCTTTTTTATGGAATCATTTTTCCATAATTCAAAGCAATAAAATTGTTGATTTATCATAAAAAATGCGAGTTTTAGAGTACTATAAAAGCAACATGTGAGGCACATTTTTTCTAACAATTTCAAAATGCTTTTAAAAATATTTGTCACTTTGATGTTTGTTGCCAAAGTTTTCTCATTGCAGTAAGTTTAGGCCTAGACTAGATTTTAGGCTTTCTTCTTAGGCCAGGCTTCTCTAAGGCTTCTCTAGATCCACAAATCTCTGAAATTCCAGATGTTACTTTGACGCAAAAGTAGATTCACTAAAATTAAACGTTCAAGATGGAATTGACAATTGTGAAAGCGACGATTCTTACTGTATCAAACTCGAAAACGTCAATGGTGTTTATGCAAAAGGATGTGCAAAAACCGCGGAAAAACTAACACTGAACTCACTTCAAGTAACTTGTGATTCGGAAGGTTGTAGTGAGACTGGAAATATGTGTTGTTGCAAGGGAAATAAGTGCAACAGTTCGATGGGAGTGTCTAATTTTTTGAGTTTTTTCGTGGTGATTGCTGCGTTTTGCGGGCTTAAACTTTGAATAAATTTTGAGAGAAGCTACAATTTTACGCGAGAGAAGACGAGAGAGTGTGCGCGAAGAAGAGAGGCGAGACGAAAAAGGGATATGAACAGATTGAAAAAATGAATATTCCAGAAATTTCCAGATATTTTTATACATCGAAATACAATACCCCTGCTAAACCAATTATCAATTCAAACGAAAATTCCAAAATCAATTTTCCTTTGACAAAAAAAATTCAATTTTCCAGTTGGTTAGTTTGAAACTTTTTCTTCCCCTCTATTTTTTGTGTATCAAAGAACATCGGGGAAAATTCAGATTTTCAGATGTTTTTCATCGCAGCAAGTTAGGCTAACTCATCTCAATTTTTAAATCAAATAAACTGATCACAAGTTAGGCTAACACAGCTAAAAAAAAAAGAAGAAAATACATTAAACACTTTAGTTACGACCTCCCCCCTTTTTTCCAGAAAAAAAAAGAAAAAAGTAGGCGGTGTCCATATGTTGATTGTGCGGCGCGTGTGTTTTTTGTTGCCGCACAGTTTTTTGTGTGTTTTTTTTGTTCGCAAGAGGCGACGCCTCCCCTTTCTGCAAACACCGCTGCATACCGTATCACGGTAACAAAAAAAATCTTTTTTTTAAGCTGTGGCTAACTTATTTGAACTCTTCAGCTTTTTGGGCTAATAAAAAACACGTTCACGTTTCAATCTGAATTTTTTTTTGAAACATTGGATTTTTCAAGCACTGACAATTCAAGCAAAATTGTTTCCCCCATAAAAATCATCATCAAAAGTTAGCCTAACTCATTCCAAAACTCAATGATTTTCGAGATAAGTTTGAGTTTCGAATTATTTATTTGTATCTCGTCAATCCCGTTCAATTTCCTATTTTTCTACATTATTTTCACATCAAAAGAAGTCGATTTGAAATGGCGAATCAGCTTATTTCTATTATTTTTTTCCTCAATTTTAATGAGTTTTACACATTTGGCTAGAAGTATTATTTGTATTCAGATTTCTGGTTTTCGATTTGATCCGATTTGGGCCAATTTTATGAGTTAGTTTTTTCACTGAAAAATTCTACCTAAAACTTTCAGAATTTGAAACATTGATTTTTTTCTGAAACTCAAGTTCCTGAAATTTAGAACTCAATTTTCTGATGAAAAAAATCCACGTAGATTTTTTTGAATTTTCAAAGCATGTGCATTTTTCTAGATTTCAGAAAAGCCACGTGGAACTAGGAAATTCCGAAATTTTGAGAAAATCTGTTCCACGTGGCGGAAAAATGAGTTAGAATGCCACGTCATCAAAAAAAAGTTTTCGAAAAAATAATTTTTTGCCACGTGACATGTGAAGTTCAAAACATCAAATTCTAAAAAAAATTATTGAGCAAAATCATCAAATCTGATAAATCTTGTAAGCTTCTGACTAACAATTATTGAAAAACAAAATTCCACGTGACATTCTAAAAATCCACGTGTCCTTCAGATCATTATTTCTGGATCGTCTACACCCACGAAATCGGTTTCAGCCTTCAAAGTTTCTCACTTTTCACATTTAGCCTCGTCATTTTGATGACTATTTTCAATAAAAATTCTGGAATTATTTTTTGGAATCATGATTTTCTTCGCAATTTCAGCTTCAATATTGTCTCCATATTTTATTTATATAGGTTAGAGATTTTCCAAAAAAAAATTATTGTTAAAAAAAATTTCTTGACAGCAAATCTGACGATTTCCACTCTCCTATTCTTCACAACGCTGGACATTTCAACATTGCTCATCCTAATCTTCGCCTCAAAAAAGTCCAAAACCCACTACAAATCCAAAATGGGCAGTGTAAACCTGGAGCAACGTTATCAATTATCGCAGGTGCTGAATTGGACAAAATCAATGATTCCAAGTGTGATTTTTGCGAAATGGACACGATTTGTATCGATTTCTAGTATTGTTTTCTACAAAAGTGGCGGGCAACTTGAAGATATTGAGAAAAGTGTCGTTTTTTCGATTTATAATTCGTTTTTGGACGTTTTTGTGATACTTTTGGCTGTGGGAATATTTTTGAGACATCGGAAATTTCGAAAAATTTCGAAGGATTTGAAAACTATTGATGGACACGTTATCAAACAAAATCCAAGTCAACAAGATTATATTTTATATCTCAAAAATCAATGGAACTAATTTTTAGAGTTTTGCCACGTGGAATACACATTTTTGAATGAGAATTGCACAAAATTCTGATTTTTTCAATAAAAATAGCTTTTTATATTTATTTTTTGGATTTTTTTCTGATTTTAGCAGGAAACACAATAGAATCAAGACAATTTGTGGTTCAAAAATATATACAAAATATTTGAAACAGTAAATTTTCGGGTTAATTTCTCACGAGAAAATGCGCTCTATTGAAGCTTTTATGCAGTGTTAACGAGGAGTGTCGTTGTTTTGGGTTTTTTCAAGAATCCAGAAATGAGAAAAAAATTGGTTCACGTTTTTCTTCTCGAATTTAACAGGAACATTTTTTGCCACGTGGATTTTAGGAGTACTGTAGTTCAAAAACCGGCTCCCAATAAAAAATCACAATTTTTGTACGCAAATCACCGGTCTAAAAATACCAGAAAAAAGCCAGACGTAAGCAAAAAACATTGTATTTTTCTCAGAAAAAGTCAAGTGCATCGGAAATTACAAAAAAAAATATTATTTACACTCCGAAAAAAACCAAATATCATTTTTCACCCGAAATGCGCTCGCAATTCTGGCTCGAGTTCTATCACTACATCTCAATTTTCGGCTATTCTCTCACAATCTTCTTCAATGTTTTATTGATTATTTTGACTGGATGGTTTCTGGAGAAGAAATTCGGAACCTATAGGATTCTGATTATTATATTTTCGGTGATTGGAATTGTTTTCAATAGTTTGGAGATTGTTTTGAAACCGGTGAGTGAGCTGGATGATCTGACAAGATTCTGAAATCTACGATTCCAGATGGTTCAATCAATCGGCTCTGGCTTCCTTTGCTTCACCTTCATCGAAACCAACAGAATCTCCAAACCTATCCTAACTCAATTCCTGGCCTTCTACATCGCCTCATTCTACATCTCCACAAGTTTCCTAGTCGTCATGTTCATCCACAGATATTTTTCCGTGGCTAAACCTGAGCAATTATTCCATTTTCTTGGAAAGCGCCTAACTCTTTGGCTTTCCTATTCATTTTTTATCGGGATATCAACATTTTTCGCATGTACTTATTTAGCGGAAGTTGATGAATTCTCCAAAAATTACATGGAGCACGAAATTCTCGAGTTCTATGGGAGAGTTATTGATGAAATGCCAGCGATAGCACTGATTTTCTATGATTCATCTTCGAAAATCCGATTCAAAAGCCTATCTTTTCTCCTCATCTGCAGTTTTATAGTTTTCCATCAAAACTTGATAATAATTTTTTGCGGTGTTAAAATCCGCCAAAAACTCTACTCAAAAACGTGCAATTATTCGCCATCACTTCAAAAACTTCACAAAAAATTCTTCAAAACTCTCGTCTTCCAAGTCGTCACCCCAACATTATTGCTATTCATACCAGTCATGACAATTCTATATCTACCACTTTTGGGATTCGAGACAAGTCTGCCAATCGGAATTCTAGTCTGTCTTTTTGGTTTTTATCCGCCGATTGATTCGTGTATTGTGATGTATATTATCACGGAATATCGTGGAGCGTTTCGGAGATTTTGCGGGGTTTTGTGTGGAGTTCGAGCTTGGAATGAAGTGCGAGAGAAGATGGATTTACAAGTCATGAGGAAAAATGTTACTTGAATTTTGATTTTTTAGAGTGTGATAAAACTTTTCTCATTGTTTTCTTAAATTCAGAAAATTTCGAAAAAAAATTTCGAAAACTGGAAGAAAAAGCAAATTCAAAGGTTAGCGTCAACGCGGAGTGTCGTTTTTTTATTTTTTGAAATTGTTTTTCTAGGCTAGACTAGATTTTTGGGCCTAGATTTTGATGAGTTAGCCTAACTTTTTTCAATTTTTTCAAAATCCCTCCCCAAAAAACTCACCAATCGCTTCTAATTCTCGAAAAATCCAATCAAAAACCCTGAGAAATCCCCCGAAATCCTCCAAGTTTTCCACGTTTTTGACATTAAAATCCAATTCTCCATCAATATTTCAAGCTGAAAATCAGAAAATTTGAATTTTTCATGTTTTCTCTAGAAAAAACCCACTTTTCTTCGAATATCCTCGAATTTTCCGTTGGAATCGATAATTTCAGCCTTGTTGAACATCTGAAAATTCAAGATTTTTGACTGAAATCCACTGATTTTCCCCGGAAACCTGAAACCCGCGTGAAAAAAAACGAAAAATGAAAATATTCTCGTGTTGCGCTAAACAGCGGGCAAGCGCAATTATTGGAGTGTCGTTGTGTTTGCACAACATTTTATTTTGTTTTTTTTGCATGGAAAAAACTAATTTTTTGTATTTATGATTTTTTTTTTTGAAATTTTCACAGAATTATTTTTGATTTATTTAAATTTTTTGCTCCGGCTTCCAAAGTTTTTCAGTTTTTTTGAATTTTCTAATTTCTGTAGTCTTGAAAATAATATTTTTGTTGTACTCTTCAAGTTGAAATTTTTCGCGGAATCATCAAAATTCGTCACTCAAAACAAAAGTCCACGCTCATGATCTACTCCAAAGATCTTATCGAACTTTTTTAGAGAAACCTGATCAAGCATGCTTGATTAATTCCACTAAAAAGTTCATATATAAAAAAAAGTTCGCCGATTTTTTCTTCACAAGCACAAAATGCCTCAATATTTACCACTACTGAATTCTAATCAAGATCGAAAAATATTATCGAATATGAAATGGTCTATGTTTATGTGCATATTTTTTAGCGCAATTCTATGTCTTGCCTATTTTTTTGTTTTTGATTTTCCACGTCCGAAGCAAGTTGTTCAAGAGAAAGTTGAGGAAAGCTCTACCCCTCCTCAAACTTCGACAGTGGAGCCGAAAATCGAGCCGAAAGTTGAGCCAGAACCTAAAAATTCAAAAATGGCTTATCGGGGAGAACTAAGTTCGATGGATGGAATTGGCTTCAATTTCCAAAATATTGATCTATCGCCTTTGCCAAAGTTCCAGGAACTCGAGCAATTGCCAGAGTGCAATTTATTATTTGACAAATTGAAGCCGAAAACAAATCCAGAGAAATTATTGAAAGGTTTTCATGATTGTGTTGATCCAATATTCGAAAATCAGCTGAATAAATTGAATGCCACTGATTTCTCGTTTGAAATTTGTAGTGCCATCAAAAAATGCGATCATATTTCGGAATTTCAAGATGTTGCTATTGATCAATTCAAAAATGATCATGAAATAAAGTGGGGAATTTTGCCGAATTGTGTGAGTTTTTTTTTGTAGTCTGGGTACTGTAATTTGATTTGGGTTTTAGGATCATTTGTAGTTTGATTAGAGAAAGGAACTGTAGCTTTGCAGTTCGGGTACGGTAGTTTCATCTGAAATATGATTTTGCAGTTTGATTACTGTACTTTGACAATTTATTTTGTAGCTAAGGTACAGTACCAATTTGGGTACTGTTTTTTTATCTGATAAAAATATTTTGTAGTCTAATTACGACAGCTGATTTTTTTCAAAAAATGGAGTTCCATCTAAAAAATGTTTTGTAGGCGGATTACTGTAACTCTAGTTGCATTTTAATTTGACTACTGTAGATTTGTTGTTCGGTTACTGTAGTTTAATTTTCAAAAATTAGTTTGTAGTACGATTACTGTAACTCTAGCTAGATTTTAGTTTGCAGTTCGGATACTGTAGTTTAATCTGAAAAATTATCTGATAGCAGTTTAGCAGTACTGTAGCTAGTGTACTGTAGTTTTAATCAGAATCTTTATTTGTAGTTTGCTTACTGTAACTTTGCATTTTGGATACTGTAACTCCACCAATATTTTTTGTAGCTCGATTACTGTATCGCTAGATCTTATAGTTTGCAGTTTGGATACTGTAGTCTAGAAATTTTTTCAAAAAGAAATTTTCCGGTTTTCCGAAAGCGGAAAAAACTTATTGGAAAAATCGAAAAAATGTTTGGGAAAACGTTTTTCCGCACATCGCGATCAAACAGATAAAATCTTTTGTTTTTTGGGATTTTCTAAGCTTCAGGATTTTTCAACAGGGAACAATTTTAATATTCAGAAGGAGGAAAATGTGATGGTAACATTGGGAATCGGGCACGATGTAAAAGCCGAAGTTCTACTTCATCGAACTCTTCCCAACACCAAATTCTACGGAGCCGATCCAATCATCGAGCCAAATCTTCAACTCTACTCAACTTTTGGTAAATTTTTCCCATTTGCTCTGGGAGATCAAGCGGGAATGAATCGATTCCGTGTTTTACCAAATCAGAATCAGAAAACAAGAAAATACACATATCAAGATGTGACTACAGTGGAGCTAACGTATTTTTTGAAAAATATTGCGAATTTAACGCATATCGATTTTCTATGGATTGATATTGAGGGAGGTGAATTGACGTTTTTGGACTTTTTGAATAAGGGAAAACAATTAGATCAGGCTGGAATCACGATTTGTCAATTCAATGTTGAGGTATGTGCTTAGCAGGTTTTTTTAAAAAAATAATTTAATTAAAAATTTTTCAGCTTCACCCTGATTACTTTGACAAAGGTTACGAGACTGTGTACAATTTTATGAATCAAGTTCTCGGCGAAAATCGATATGTTTTCCTGAAACCTATGGAGACTGGAAAAGGGGTTTATCGATTGTTTTTCATTAATGTTGAGCATCGAAAATGTGTTAGGAAATTTTTGCAATAAAAACCTTAATTTTTGAATGTTTGGCTCAGAATTTTTGCCGAAAATTTCTAGAAACCTAGAAATTCCAGAAGGCTGTATTTTTTTCCAGAATTTTTCAGCATTTTCAGTGACCTTTAAAATTCGTCATTCCAAATCAAATAAACCTATTCGCCCACAAAAAAAATCATGTTTTGTAGCTAACATTTCGAAAACTGTAGTGAATGTGCAAATTGTTGTTTTTGTGGTCAAACAAACTAACTCACCTTAATTTTTTTCGCTGTTTTTGTTGTAAAATCCAGTCCGCCCCCTACTCACATTGTAAATTGGAGTGACTTGTGATTGTTACAATGTGAATACAGAGTTGAATTTTGTATTTCCACACTCTTTACAATTTTGGGTTAAAACTTCCTCTTCTTTTTCTCTCATTAATTGTTTTTTTTCGCTGTTTTTGTTGCAAAATTGCGGCGAAAAAAAAATAAAATTCAAAAAACCTTTGTTTTCGCTACTCAGAAAAAAAATTACGCATGTGTGACGACAACAACTAGTGTGTAACAAGCCCCACCACTGAATACAGCAGTTTCACAAGTGGTACAGAAACAATACCAGTCGCACCAGTGTGTCCCAACTTGTCACACACTTGTGAAAAATAAATTTGAATTCGCGGGCAGCACACAAACTGCGCACGCTTGTACGAGTCCCCACAACAGTTTTACTAGTCTGCACACACTTGTCACACACTGGTAAATCACTTCAGGCAGCGCGTTTCATCGAGCGAAAATATTTTCATTTTCTTTTCAATTTTCGGTCTAAACCTGAGTTTTTTTGCTGTTTTTGGGGGTTTCTCATACTTTTCTTTTCTCATATGTGTACAATTATAACTTCTATCAGTTTCTATTTTAACACTGTTCAAAATTTCAGCCGATTCAGTCCCGTTTTGGATCGAAATAGAGTTTTTGGAATGGATTCAATCAGTTTCGGTTGACATGTGCAGTTCTCTGATTGTCAGGTTGGTTTTTATTGAAAAACTAAACTTAAATAGCAATTCCCTATTTTTTTCAGAACCGGTCAGCTTTCAAAATTGCTTATTTTCGGGAAATCGAACAAAAAATGGGAATCGCCGTCATTGGAATTCAACAAACAATACAAAGGTTAGTCAAGTAAATTTTAATGGTCGTGAAGTTGCTATATGATTTGAAAATAAGTTTTGAGATCCAAAAAATCATCCAAATCACAAAAACTCTAATCATTTGACAAGTATCATCAAAAATAACTTCAGAGAGGAAACAAAAGTAATTTGGGGATTTATAATTTAAAATCTATGAGAAAATAATACAAACCAAGCATTTCACCAAAATAAGTTTTTCAAAATATTCGAAATGTAAACTGTTCCTTTTTCAGAGTCGATCTAACAACAGCTCGCCCCGCCATGGTTCAGTCAACAATTTATCAACTACAAAAACTGAAACTCCAGCCACCAGAAATCTCCCGTCAACCACCAACAACAGCAACGACACCTTCTCAGGCATCACAACCTACCTTAAATACCTAACTTTCTAAGATTTCTTGTATTTTATACTCAATTTGAAATTTTACATGTTGTTTTTCTCTACATGTTTATGATTTTTATTTTAACTAATAAATAGTGATTTGAAAAATGTGTTAATGTTCAGAATTAGGTCGGTTTCAGTGAAAAATGGGTAGGGAAGGGTCGAAAAGCGAGGCTGCAGCAAGTAAAATACGAGTGTGTGACAAGTGATTTACCAGTGTGTGACAAGTGGTTCACCAGTGTGTGACCACTCGCTACCAGTGTGTAACGACTACCACACCGATGCGTACCCAGTGTGTGCACACATCGGTATTTTTGTGGTTACACACTTGTGTTTCTCTTGTCACACATGCGTAATTTTTTTTCTGAGTAGAGCGCATTTGCCCATCTGTCCGAGTTGTTCGCCGTTTTTCTCGGCCACGTTCATTTCATTTCAATTGAAATTTGAAATGTTGACACGTATTTTATTTGGCCCTCGGTTCCCTGTTGGTATACTGTATTGACTTGTGCATTTGCGCGTCACCGTGTATGCACAACAATGTCTCGCGTCTCTCCAGTTTGCGCGCTATTTTTCGAAATTGGTCTCGCCACGAACCCCGAAACGCTAAAACGGCACCCATTCGCTCCACCAAAGCTTATTTCCATGCAGTTTTTCACGGCGATAAAGATGGTGTACTCAGTTGTTCATTTGGTCCAGCTGTTCTTGAGATTTTGGTGGAAAATTAAAGCATGTTTCTTTAAACAGCGAACCGAGATTTTTTGTTCAGCAACAAAATACGTGTTGACGGCGCGAAAGTGAAAAACAATGTTAATCTCGTTGACGTCAGCGGCTCGGCGCCCTGGGTAAGGCGCCAGCGGTTGCCTAGCAATTAACATAATCAGGCGCCCCGCGCTCCCAATAGCGTGTATTCCGAAGATGCGCAGACGGAAGACAGGTGCACATTGTCGATTATTCACTAGGCAACCGCAGCCATCTTAATCTGCAGATTAGGAGGCGGGGAGAATTTATTTTCATTTGCTTTATTTTTTTTTCATTTTTCATAAGCTTTTTTCATTTTACAGCGTGAACTAAAAAAACGTGTGTTATATTTGTTTGTTAATGGGCCAGTTCATTTGCCATTTTCAGATTTTCGTGGCAAGAATGCAGCGTAGTTTTAAGCCACCGTGAAACTATGATGCTCCCTGGCTACCCAATCGGAAGTTTTTGATGGATCTATAGATCTTGATGGATCGGTGGATCTTATTGAACTTATTAAAAATTCAATTCCTGTTGCTATGAAACAGACAGGTGAGTTGGCCTATTGTTATGGAAACATCTGCTTCATGTTGTCAAGGAAACACATAAACATCACTGATTTGAAGTGAGTTTACCAGGTACATCTAACTTAATATAAAATGTTATTTTAAGATGATTCGCTATCCGGAAAATCCAAGGTTTCACCAAATTTAACTAACTCCAATTCGACATCTATACTGTCGAAATATTTTTCTGAAACTTTATGATACTGAAATTACTGCTGTAACGAGCTGAAGCTGACCAATAGAAAATCCGGGTTGTGCACAAATTCAACCAACTTCAATTCGACATCTACACTGTCGACATATTTTCTCTTGAACTTGATTGTAATTCAACTTTACGAAACTGAAATGGCTGGTGCTACGAAAAGAAATGGCTCGGAATGAATTGATTTTGAAAGGTGAGTTAGCCTGATGTTGTGGAAACAACTATTAATCGAACTCTTTTAGCCAACCATACTTTCACTCTGTGTGCATGGTATATATAGCACATTTATCCGAAATGTATTATTTAAAAGTGAGTTAACTAACATAAAATTGAACTATGCATATAATATTTTAATTCAATAGAATTCGCCTTCTGGAAGATCGGGGCAACACAAAAATGCAACCAACTTCAATTCGACATCTAAACTGTCGACATAATTTTCTGAAACTTTATGAAACTGAAATGCCTTGTATTATGAAGACAAATATCTCGAAATTTAGTGATTTTGAAAGGTGAGTTAGTCTGATGTTGTGAAAACAACTATTAATCGAACTATTTCAGATAGCCGTGCTTCATCGAAATTTGCACAATGTACCTGGGACATCTGGCCGAAATGTATTATATAAAAGTGAGTTAACTAACATCAAGCAAATAGTTGAACTATATAATATTTTAATTCAAGAAAACTCGCCTTCTAGAACATCAGGGCAACACAAATACAACTAACTTCAATTCGACATCTACACTGTCGACATATTTTCTTTTAACTTTATGAAACTGAAATGTCTGGTGCTATGAACAGAAATGGCTCGGAATTTATTGATTATGAAAAGTGAGTTAGCCTGATGTTGTGGGAGCAACTACTTTTTATTCGAACTATTTCAGATAGCCGTGTTTCATCGAAATGTGCACATTGTACCTAGCCCACCTGGCCGAAATGTATTATTTTAGGGTAAGTTAACTAACATCAAACAAAACTATAATTTTTTAATTCAGGAAAATTCGCCTTCTAGAACATCAGGGCAACACAAAAATTCAACCAACTCCAATTCGACATCTAAACTGTCGACATATTTTTTGACACTTTATGAAACTGAAATCCCTGTATTATGAAGACAACTTTATCGGAATTTATTGATTATGAAAAGTGAGTTAGCCTGATGTTGTGGTAACAACTTCTAATCGAACTATTTTAGATCACCGTGTTTCATCAGAATTTGCGGAATTGATGTCAACAATATCGTCGAAATGTATTATTTAAGGGTGAGTTAAATAACTAACATCAAGCAAATAATCGAACTATATAATATTTCAATTCAAGAGAATTCGCCTTCTGGAAGATCTGGGCAACACAAACATTCAACCAACTTCAATTCGACATCTACACTGTCGACATATTTTTTGAAACTTTATGAAACTGAAATGTCTTCAGCATCAAAGGCAAACAGGACTGATGCTATGAGCAAATATGGTTCTTTAGTGATTGTGAAAAGTTAGTTAGTCTCTACTAATAAGGAAACAACTATTTTTATCATTTTCAGATCGTCATGTCTCAACATACCACAAATTGAAGCTACACAAAAATTCGAAAAATAAAAAACTGCCAATTTGGCGTAGCCATATCTTGCAAAATTATTATTGAATGAAAAAAATGATGTATAACCAATAAAAGTTGATTTTTGAGACCACCTATTTTTTCTCTTCTCTTTTTTTCTCGCTGGGTTTTCTGTGACAAAAAATTTGTTCATTTTTTTTCTTTATCGGACAAATAATCGATAACACATATTTATTTATTTATTTATTTATTCGCTTATTTGATTTTTCTTCCAACAAAAAAAAAACATCGCTATTGTCATAAATTTTCAGAGATGGATGGTGTGGGGTGGAAGGCGCGCGGGGATCGAAAAACCAAATTCAATAATGCGAGAAGTTTTATGCCGAGAATCAAGCATTCAGCAAAGCTAATTATGTTGTGTATAAGGTAAGAGCGAGGTCGAGCGAGTTGGTTTCCTAGGCCATGAGAATTTGTTAGGTGCTGCGCAGCTGCATTTCAAGTTTGAGGAACTCTAGAAAATTTTTTGAATAGCGCATCTTGTTCGTTTCGACGAGACGAATCGAATGGTGCACTCAAAATTTCTCGCAACTTTCGCTAACTCGCTGAAAATTCGCAATAAACGTTTTTCTGCAAACAAACACCGCCACGCAAAAATGCACACAAAAAAATAATTTTTATTTTTTCGAATCGTCATTTACACGGTCACCGAATGGATATGTGGGAGAGAAGCGTTCATCGACATTTTCAACGTCTTCAAATTCTTCAGATACACAGGTTTGTCTTTGAAAAATCCCGATTTCAAACTTGATTTTTCTCAAAGGTGTCCCAATTGGTGGAATCGGTTGCGGATCCATCGGCACCGATCATCGAATGGCGTTCAACAGATTCTCGATAATCCCCGGCATCAAAGAACAAACTACTAACATCAAATCGAATATTTTCATAGTGTCTGTGCACTCTAAACTAACTGGATCACTAATTTATCAATCGCTTTTGAGCGCAGCTGATTTCAATGGTAAAGCTCTGAAATCCTGGAAAACTATGCGCCCAGAAAATGTGAAGTACCGCGGGTTATTTCCAAGAGCCTGGTATGAATTTACACTTGGAGAGACTGGTATCAAAATCCTGTGTACCCAGGTTTCCCCAGTTGTTCCTAATAATTATGAGGATACTAGCCTCCCGGTTGCCGATTTTGAATTCGAAGTTGTGAATGAAGCAGAAGAAGATGTGAATGTCTCGATTGTTTTTACATTTCGAAATGGAACTGGGAATGCCAAATGGAATTCTGAATCGATCTGTGAAGTTCAAGAATTCTGCGAAGCTGAAAAATACACCGGAATCTCACTCAAACACAAAGTTCGAGGAATGGATTTGACCTATGTTCTGGGTAATAATGGAAAGGATGTTATGACGACTAGTTTTGACCCGAACTCGAATGGAAATGAGATTTGGAAGGAGTTGGAAAGATCAGGAGATCTTCCCGAAAAAATCGAATCGAAAAATGAGAGAAGAGAGTTGGGAATTGCTATCAGAACGAAGATTTTAGTGGAGAAGAGTGGCAGCAATTCGACGATTTTCTCGTTGACCTGGTTTATGCCGAAAGTTGATTTTGGGAAGAATTGTGGGAGGAGTTATGAGAGAAGGTAGGGAGAAGAATTCTTGCAAGCGCATTGCGGTAGCGCGCTGCGTGCTCAACGATATTTGTGCTCTGAGATTTTTAATGAAATGTATGTTTTCTAGTAGTTTTCGACCCGCTGATCACGATTCCGCTGTCTAAATTTGCAAAACTCAACTTCTAACATGAGTTATGACGTGGAAAAGTTGAGAAATTTGGAACTTTAGGAGGTCCGAAATGATTTTCATGAAAATCTGATAACACAGCGTTGTTCAGGAGGTTCGATTACATAAGGTGTTTCTACAACGCTATGGCATCAGATTTTCATGAAAATCACTCTGAAGACAAGTTCTGACCTCCTAAAGTCACAATTTTCCAACTTTGCCACGTCATAACTCATGTTAAAAGTTGCGCTTTGCAGTTTTAGACAACGCAATCGTGATCAGCGGGTCGAAAACTACCAGAAAATATATATTTCATTAAAATCTCAATTGCAACTTGAATCAAAATTGTCCTATAGAAACATGCCGGATCTGAAAATTTTCGAAAATCACGCAATTTTCAGCAGAAATTGCAGAGGTTCCTGCTGAAAATCCCGAGATTTTTTCTGGAAATTTTCTGATCCAGCGCAGGAGAACCTATCGTCATTTTTTTTTCAAGCGCAGCGAGTGTAAACCGCAAGCTTCCGCGTCAGCGGCAGTATCTTCCGCTTCAGCTCAATTGCAACTCAAAAAAAACCATTTTGCCACGTCATAGTTCTCTTCCAGATACACGCGCTTCTTCACCAACCCATTCGACATCTCCAAACATGCCATCCAGCAATTTGCCACGTGGCAAACCCACATCGACGCCTGGCAAAACCCGATAATCCACGACGAATCGCTTCCCGATTGGTATCGAAGTGCACTTTTCAACGAGCTGTATTATTCAGTCGATGGAAGTACGATTTGGTTCAACTACGAAGATGCGTGGAGAATTCAGGAGCCTCGGATTTCGCCGGAAACTGAACGACATTTTCGCGAATTCGGACGGTTTGGATATATGGAATCGTGGGAATACTATATGATAAATACGTATGATGTGCACTATTATTCGAGTTGGGCGTTTTTGAAGAATTGGCCGATGATTGAGTTGGGCATACAGTTGGATTTTGGTGGGATTTTTTATAACTTGTTTCAAACTACATAGATTTTTCCAGCCGATCAAGTTTCCCGCGTCGACGCTTCTCAAACCACGTCACTTTTCGAAGGTCACCCAATGCAGGTCAAAAAACCGGCAAGAATTCCACATGACATGGGACATCCTAGTATGTTTTGAATGGCCATTTTTGACTGAAAATGCAAATGTTGGCTGGAAATTTTCAGCCAAAAAGATTATTAGAGAAATGTTCAAATATTGATGAAAAATGCATTTATTTCACAAAAAATTGAAGTTGAATATAAATTTCAGAAGATATATGTGGCCGAAGTATTTTGGTGGCCGAGAAATGTCGGGAATTCGGCCATAGCAACAAACGCGCTCTAATGTTGCGAAAATTCTCATTGTTGGAGCTCGTTGTCCGAATTCCCGACATTTCTTGGCCACCAAAATAGTTCGGCCACATATATCTTTCATTTTTTCAGTAATTGAAGTAAGTGCCTTTTTCATCAATATTTGAACATTTTTAAAAGTCGGCTGAAAAATTTGCAGCCAAAATTTTCATTTTCTTACAGTCACAAATCCCTGGATCTCCACCAACGCCTACATTCTACACGACACTTCCGATTGGAAGGATTTGAATTTGAAATTTGTGATCAGCAGTTGGCGAGACTTCAAATTGATTGTAAGACAATCGAAATTTCATGACAATTCGGAAGCTCAGAGGATTTTGAGATTGTTTTATGAGAAAAGCAAGGAAATTGTTGACAGAGCTCTGGAGGATTGGGATGTTGGTGAGGTTTTGAGAGAATAATTTTGAAAAAAAAGAAAAAATTTTCAGACAACGATGGGATGATTGAAAATTCCGGATTTGCTGATCAAACTTATGATGCCTGGAAAATGACAGGAACCTCTTCATATTGCGGTTCACTTTGGATTGCTGCTCTAACTTGTCTCATTGAAATGTCCAAAAACCTCGAGAAAAACGAGAATTGCGAAAAATATCAACAGCTCGCCGAAAAATCCAATCGCATTTTCATCGAAAAACTATGGAATGGCAAATTTTTCCGGTTTGACGAGGACAAAAACAATGAAGATGTTATCATGGCCGATCAATTGTCGGGATTTTGGGCACTTTTGATCAATGACGATGAGGTTTGTATGGATCGCGAGAAGATTTTGTCGGCGATTCGAGTGGTTTTTGAGAATAATGTGAAGAAGTATGGGGATGGAGAGTTTGGAGCGGTTAATGGGTTTTTGTGAGTTTTTTGGGGGCAGGGCTAAATTTATTAAATAATCCGCAAAATCAACAAATTTTAAAAGAAAAAAAATTATTGATCAATATTATAATCAACAAAATCGATTGAATTAACCACTTTCGGCACATTATAAATCGAATGCATCCCCAAAAACATCATAAATTTCCTCGAAATTTTCTGATGAATCATAAGCAAGTTAAGAAAACTCAAAAAGTCCGACAAATCTCGAAGGACCATTTCTTCTTCCATATTCAATCTCACAATAATTAAATAAACCCTTGGAGAAATTCTCGCGATTTTTCCAAACAATATTTCTTGCCTCTTCTGATAATTCGAATATTGGATCACAAATTGCAATTGATTTCAATAATATATATTCAATTTCAGTGATTTTCTCTCGAATCAGATATCCCATCACATTTTTAGATGATTTTATGAAATTTTGAAGGGAATATTCGTTTCTTCTGAAAATTTTTGATTTTTTCTGTGAGGTCAAATAATAAGTTACCTCATTTTTCCACCTGTAATCAAATCGCATATTGCAATTCTAGAAAAAATATTGAAAATTATTAGATGTAGAATTCAAAAACAACTTACGAATGTTGGGAATTTAGAAAACATCCGTCTGGAGTTTTGAAACAATCTGATTTATTTTGAAATGATGAAAATGCAAAAGTCATTGTTTCAATAATCAATGTTACATGTTTAGCTAATATAATTCGATCGGCATATTTCAAAAGATGGAAAAAATCAAATGTTTTCAAATATTCGAGTGATAGCAAAATATCGAATTTGACCCAATGTTTTCTGCAAAAAAAAAATGAAATTTTAGTCGGAAATTCGGTCAAAACTTGCGTATTCAATGAATTATCAATTAAATTCTGATCTGGAAATGTTAGCAAATATTCGTTGAGTTTTTGTTGCTTTTCTTGAAATTCTTGCAAACCCAACGGCCAACCTGGCATTGGCTGAAAATTATTTTTTCACTAACAAAAAAATTTAAAAAAGTTATTCCCCACCTCAAATTTCTCAGCCAAATTTAGGATACTTGGAGACTCCAAAACTTGCTCAAAACTTGGAAAGCTCAAAGGATTATAGGTTGAATTCCGAAGTTTTCGAATTTGAGAATCGAGTTTGCATAAATTCCACATCAATTGATTATTAGCAAAATTAAAAGGTTTAATCATAATTCGAATCTTTTCTGGAACTTTTTCATTTTCTCATTGGTTTCGAGCCAGTTGTCTTCTCATTTTTTTAAATGAAAAAAAATGAGGATTACACTTTTTTTCATAATATTTTATAGTTTTTTCTAACAAAAAAATCTAGTACGCAGATAATCCTTGGATGTTTTTCTATCCGAAACATCTGTTTTGTTTGTAGTTTGATTCTCTAGATTTTCCATGACTCGAAACCAACGAGAAATTAAAAGAGTTCCTGAAAATATTCGATTTATGATTAAATCTTTTGATTTTGCTGTAGAATTTATCCAATCTCGATTCTCAAATTCGAAAACTTCAGAATTCAACCTATAATCCTCTGAGCTTTCCAAGTTTTGAGCAAGTTTTGGAGTCTCCAAGTATCCTAAATTTGGCTGAGAAATTCAAGGTTGGGAATTTTTCTAAATTTTTTAGTGAAAAAATAATTGTCAGGTTGGCCTTTGGGTTTGCAAGAATTTCAAGAAAAGCAACAAAAACTCAACGAATATTTGCTAACATTTCCAGATCAGAAATTGTTTGAAAATTCATTGAATACGCAAGTTTTGACCGAATTTCCCACTAAAATTTCTTTCTTTTTTTTGCAGAAAACATTGGGTGAAATTCGATATTTTGCTATCACTCGAATATTTGAAAACTTTTGATTTTTTCCAATTTTTGAAATATGCCGATCGAATTATATTAGCTAAACATGTATCCACACCTCGGCCAAAATCGTGGTTTCCACAATAAAAAATTGTACGCTAACTTTTTACAGTACAAAAATTGTGAATTTTTCAGTTTTTGTCCTCTAAAAATTGTGATTTTTCAATTTTTGACCTCTAAAAACTGAAATTCAGATTTTTCAAAAAATTTTACTCTGGCCAGCCACGGCTTGGCCGAGGTGTGCATGTAACATTGATTATTGAAACAATGACTTTTGCATTTTCATCATTTCAAAATAAATCAGATTTTTTTAAAACTCCAGACGGTTGTTTTCTAAATGCCCAACATTCGTGAGTTGTTTTTGAATTCTACATGAAATTTTCAAAACTTTTCTAGGATTGCAATATTCGATTTGATGGAAAAATGAGGTAACTTATAATTCGCCCTCACAGAAAAAATCTAAAAATTTTCAGAAGAAACCAGGCCTGTGCCGGAAAATCGAAACCCGGAAAACGGAAAATTTCCGGATTTTTTGAACCGGAAAATCCGGAAAATTCGGAAAATTTTTCAAAGTCAGAAATTTCGATTTTCAGCCTTAAGTTGGCACAAAAACTTATTTTTATCTACAATTCTTCTATTCACAGGTAATTCAGTAACTATTTGAGACCTTTTACGTTCAAAAAATCGTAAAATTTAAGAAAAAAATTCCAAAAAATTTCATTTTTTTGTATCATAAACTGAGAAAATTTCCCAAAATTTAGGCAAAATTGTAAATATTACTGATAAAGATCATTTTCCGGATTTTCCGAGCACATTTTCCGGAAAATCGGAAAATTGATTTTTTCGTGAAAAAACCGGAAAATCCGGAAATTCGGAAAATTCGGAAAATTTCCGGCACAGGTCTGGAAGAAACGAATGTTCCCTTCAAAATTTCATAAAATCATCTAAAAATGTGATGGAATATCTGATTCGAGAAAAAATAACTGAAACTGAATATATATTATTGAAATCAATTGCAATTTGTGATCCAATATTCGAATTATCGGAAGAGGCAAGAATGATTGTTCGGAAAAATCGCGAGAATTTCTCCAAGGGTTTATTTAATTATTGTGAAATTGAATATGGAAGAAGGAATGGCCCTTCAAGATTTGTCGAACTTTTGAGTTTTTTTTTTAAATAATTTGTGACTCCGTGGGGCTCACAAGTCACAGCTACTGAATTTCCCAACCAAATTTTCTTCAATTCCAGAACCACTGGCTCCGTAGATTCGTCCTCAATTCAAAGTATGGAAGTCTGGAGTGGAATAACCTATGCCCTTTCCTCTCTAATGATCGAACTTGACATGAAAAATGAGGCATTTGAGACATCTGAAGGGCTTTTCAAATCAATCTGGCATAATTATCCTCTCCAATTTCAAACACCTGAAGCATTCGCCGAAGATGGAATGTATCGAGCACTGGGTTATATGAGACCTATGTCGATTTGGAGTATTCAACATTCAATTGACAAGAAGAGGTCTAATTAATTAATTAGTGTCATTTTTTAAGGCTTAGGGTTAGGGATCTCTATTTATGTAAAAAATATGTATCATAATAATAATACTAATAAATTGTGATTATTTGGTCTTCTAATTTATTTTTTCTCAGAAAAGTCACGTAAACTGATAAAATTGAACATTTTCTTCTTATCAAATCAGAAAATTTTTTGTCTGATTAGTTTTTCCATGCAAAATTTTAAAATTGAATTATTCTTCTCTGGAAAAAAATGTTTGAAAACGAGCATTTGCGCTCTATTGTTCTCCGAGAGAAGTACACGTTTTTAAATATTTTTTTTCGCCCGCGTCTTTTGAAATTTCATTTTTAAATCTGGGTTACAGAGAATGTCGCGTGAATTGATGATTGGTGACAATGGCGAGACCATTGGCAATACTCCCCTCGTTCAGCTTCGCAATATCACCAAAGGTCTCGACGCGAAAATTGGTGAGTTTTTCGGGTTTTTGACAATAATTAGGAAATTACGCGAAATTTTCAATTCCAGCGGTCAAAATCGAATATTTGAATCCGTCAATCTCGGTCAAGGATCGAATCGCAAAATCGATGGTTGAAGCGGCGGAAAAGGAGGGAAAAATCCAGCCGGGGAAGTCGGTGCTTGTTGAGGGAACTTCGGGAAATCTGGGAATCGCGTTGGCACATATTGGAAAGATTAAAGGGTGAGAGACGTGGCAAACTTCATAAAAATAGTCAAATTTTTCCAGCTACAAGGTCATTTTGGTGATGCCATCCACAATGAGCATGGAACGTCGTGCTATGCTGCGAGCTTACGGCGCTGAGGTTATTCTCTCTGACCCAAAAGAAGGCCATCCTGGAACTATGAAACGTGTCGAAGCCCTCGTCGCCGCTCTTCCCGGTGGCTATTGTTTAGACCAATTTTCGAATCCCGCAAACCCGCTGGCTCATTATAGAACCACAGGACCCGAAATCTGGCGACAAACTGAAGGAAAAGTCGATATTGTGTGTTTTGGTGTTGGAAGTTCGGGAACCGTCACGGGATGTGGGAGATTTTTGCGAGAGAAGAATCCGAAGATTGGAGTTTATGCGGTGGAACCATTCGAGAGTTCGGTGTTGAGTGGATTTCCGAGAGCTCCCCATAAAATCCAGGGAATTGGAGCAGGCGTTGTGCCAGAGAATTTCGATAGAAAATTGGTGGATGAAATTATTCGCATCAAATCTGACGATGCAATTGCGATGGCTAGAAGATTGGGAGAGGAAGAGGCGATTTTGGGTGGAATTTCGAGTGGTGCAAATGTTTTGGCTTGTGTTGAATTGGCGAAACGAGCGGAGAATAAGGGAAAATTGATTGTGACCACTGTGAATAGTTATGCGGAAAGATATTGGTGAGAGTTTGAGAGGATTTATGAGGTGGAACACAAATTTTTCCAGCTCCACCGAATTATACTCGCAAATTTTGGAAGATTGCGGGAAAATGCAAATTGCCTCGTGTGAACAAGCCATTGAAATTGCCAAAAAATACCTAGGAATTTAAAATTCAAACTGTGATATAGATATGAAATTTTTCCTACAAAACATGTTATCTGCGTCTCTATCTCTCTCATAGTCTCTCAATTTTCACACGCCTGAGAGAAAAAAAGAAACAAAAGTCACATACACTAATCAAACATTTGTATTTCGTCAGTATTTGAAATTTGAGAAAAATATATATAAACATGTATTTTTCGAAGAAAAGTCCAATTTTTCTCCATTTTTCATTGACCATTAGAAAACTCTGAAAATGTCTAGAGAATTGATGATTGCTGATAATACTGAAACTGTTGGAAACACTCCCCTCGTCCAGCTTCGCAATATCACCAAAGGTCTCGACGCGAAAATTGGTGAGTTTTTTATGGAAGCTTGGAATCATCTATCAATTATTGGCACCTCTTCTCATTTACGAATCATTGTGAATTCCAGCTGTGAAAATCGAATATTTGAATCCATCGATATCAATCAAAGATCGCATAGCAAAATCGATGGTTGAAGCGGCGGAGAAAGAAGGAAAAATCCAGCCGGGAAAATCAGTGCTCATCGAAGGAACGTCGGGGAATCTGGGAATCGCGTTGGCGCATATTGGAAAGGTTAAAGGGTGGGAAAACCGTGTTTTTATCTCGAAAATAACCAATTTTTCCAGCTACAAAGTAATTTTGGTAATGCCATCAGCTATGAGTATGGAACGTCGTGCAATGTTGCGAGCTTACGGCGCTGAGGTTATTCTTTCGGATCCAAATGAAGGTTTTATCGGAGTCATGAAACATATCGAAACTCTTGTCGCCACAATACCCGGCGCCTTTTTTTTGAATCAATTAGCGAATCCAGCAAATCCGCTAGCTCACTATAAAACCACAGGACCCGAGATTTGGCGACAAACTGAAGGCAAAGTCGATATTGTGTGTTTTGGTGTTGGAACTTCGGGAACTCTCACTGGATGTGGGAGATTTCTACGCGAGAAGAATCCGAAGATCGGAGTTTATGCGATTGAACCGTTTGAGTGTTCAGTGCTAAGCGGATTTTCTCCGGGACCTCATAAAATCCAGGGAATTGGAGCTGGAATTGTGCCGGAGAATTTCGATAGAAAATTGGTGGATGAAATTATTCGCATCAAATCTGACGATGCTATTGCGATGGCTAGAAGATTGGGAGAGGAAGAGGCGATTTTGGGTGGAATTTCGAGTGGTGCAAATGTGTTGGCTTGTGTTGAATTGGCGAAACGAGCGGAGAATAAGGGGAAATTGATTGTGACCACTGTGAATAGTTATGCCGAAAGATATTGGTGAGTTTGACAGTCAAACTTTAAAAAACACTTTTTAAAATGTTCAAAATTGATGAAAAATGCATTTACTTCACAAAACATTGAAGTTGAACATAATAAATTTCAGAAAAATTAAAGATATACGTGGCCGAATTATTCCGGTGGCCGAGAAATGTCGAGAATTCGGCAAAAGCAAAAAACTCGCTCTAATGTTGCGAAAATTCTCATTGTTGGAGCGCGTTGGCCGAATTCCCGACATTTCTCGGCCACATATATCTTTCATTTTTTCAGAAATTTATGTTCAACTTTAATTTTTTGTGAAGTAAATGCATTTTGAGTTTCATTCATCATTTTTGAAAATCTGACATTCATACATCTAAAATTTTTTTTAAATTTCTTCTTAATTTTCTCTTTGTCTATAATCAAATTTTTTAATTCTTGAATTCTGAAATTATAGTTTCATTCAGACTGAATTTCATTGAGTCCACAAAATTTTGAAGTTCAGATTTTTCTGAAAGTCAGAAATTCTTCTGCTAAAACTTTTGAAGATTCAAAACTTCTGAACTCTTGACTCTCAGATTTGATTTCTAACAATTTTATATTTGAAAAATTTCAAAGTTCAATTTTTTTTCAAAAAATCCAATTTTTCCAGCTCCACCGAATTATACTCGCAAATTTTGGAGGATTGCGGGAAAATGCAAATTGCCTCGTGTGAACAAGCCATTGAAATTGCCAAAAAATACCTAGGAATTTAAAATTCAAACTGTGATATAGATATGAAATTTTTCACCTGCCTCAAAATTTGTTGCGTCGAATTTGACCTTCATTTTTCTCCTGAACAATTTTGTTCCTCTTTTTTCAATTTTCAGCTTTTTCTTGTCAAGTATGTGGAAATTGGATTTCGACGAAGTCAACAAGATTTCTTTTTCGCTGTTCCCTTTTATTATTATAATAAAACCGAACCAAACCATAAAAATTAGGGAACCCTCTGTTTTATGGGCTTTTTTTTGAATCTGAATAATAACCGGATGTTGTTTTTGGCAAAAAGACAAAACAACACGAAATGGGATACTCTTTTTTGAATTTTAATATTTTCCTGTTTTTTTACTACTATGTGATTTATGACGGGGCGCCTCGAAAAATTCGTTTGCATAAATTTCAATGTTCTTTGAAGCATCAAACTTTATTTTTCGCAAAAAGTATTTCAACGATTTTCAAACCGCGGGCGATGCGCGCCCGGTTAGCTCAGTCGGTAGAGCACCAGACTCTTAATCTGGCTGTCGCGGGTTCGAGCCCTGCATCGGGCTACAAAGCAATTTTGTTCTTTTTTTATTGCTTGTTAGTTTTTCGATCTCCATCTCCCCCCGTAAAAAAAGTATAATAAAACTTTAATTTCTAGGTTTCTATTTCTATTTTCGTTTAGCTTCGACCATTGTTTTCTAACAAGGTTAAAATAGTAGTTGTAAACAAAAGAGCTTTTTGTTTTTACTCATTTATCTTATGTTAGAAGAAGCTCAGAAGCTCTGAAAAAATACATAAATTTTATGATGGACATACAACGTTATTGGGTGCTTTCGCGCGGAAAACTTCAAGTCTTCTTATATTTTCTTTGTGCCTCATCTTTTTGAGTTTTATTTGATATTGAGAACTCTAGATGAATTTTTTCTTACTTTTTGCTCATATGAGCCCTGACCACTTGAAAAGAAAATTATTATGAAAATAAATATATAATTTTATTTTTGGCAGGTGCAAAGAATTTTGGAGTCAATTGCCAAAAATAAAGGTTATTACGAAAACAGAAATATTATAATTTTGTCTGAGGGTTTTGTGATTTTTCAATTGGCAAAACTTCTGAAAATTTTGATTTTCTAGAAATTTTAGATTCTCAAATTTGAATTTAGATTCAAAAATTCACGTGGTAATTTTTTGAAATTCAAAAAAAGTTTTCAAAAAAAAATCCACGTGGCAAAAATTTTATTCTAGTTTTTTCTTCAAAGTGGAGTTCTTGAGTATTTTTAGGGACCTTAAGTGTTTTCCGTTATTTTTCAGACTTTGAAAATTGGAATTTTCGAAATCCACGTGGCAAGATATTCCAGTCGAACTCTGAAAAAAGAACTTCTATCTTCAAGATCTGAAACACAAATTTCTAGCCCCAAAACATCCACGTAGCAAAATTTTAGCTTAGGATCAAGAATTCTAGTCAAAACCCCTGAATCTTTAATTCTAGAAAAATCCACGTGTCAAAAACTAAGCCTCAACCCTCCACATATCTATATTTTTTCTGACTTTTTGACTTGACCCCAAAACACTATAAGCTTATAATAAATAATATGTGTCACAGCAGAAAAATGAAGAGTTCTGTCTGTGTTTTTTTCGCTTCTCTCTAGTCTCCAGTTCTTCGAAAAAATATAAAAAAAAATAAAAATGCAAAAAGTTTTCCCCCATTGTTTTTTCACTATTTTTCAATATTTTTCACAATTTTCATTTCTCAAAAATTAATATTTGCATAATTGAGTTTATGAACTTTTTTTCGGTGAGCCGCGCAAAAAAGTGGGCGTGGCTTCGTGCTGGAGAAGGTCTGAATTTGTCATATTTTTTTTCCTGAAGATTTTTCCCTCTATTTTTTAGAGATGGTTATGACGAATTTTCCGATGAAAATTCAATATTTCTAGTGGGTGGCGAGTGGAAATTTGAACTTTTTCACAACTTCAAAACTTGTGTAACCTTCTAGAATTACCATTACATATAAAGTTGAAGTCAAATTTCAAAGTTCCGTGCCAAAAAAAAAATGTATGCTTTGGACTTTTTTTTTGCTCCTACACATGATTATTTATTCATCTCTTAACATTTATTTTATACTTTTTTTTGGTGCCAAAAAATGTTCCTAGGTGTATTTTAAGCCTAAGTAAACATCTAGGGGATAGTGCGTCATAGAATATTTTAAATTTGGTGCTGAAGTTTGCCACGTTGCTGTTCCCTAGGCTCTCTAGGCTCTCTAGTCTCTCTCTGCGTCTCTAGCCTCTCTAGCCTCTCTAGGCTCTCTAGGCTCTTTAGCCTCTCTAGCCTCTCTAGCCTCTCTAGCCTCTCTAGCCTCTCTAGCCTCTCTAGGCTCTCTAGCTCTCTCCAGCCTCTCAAGGCTCTCTAGCTCTCTCTAGCCTCTCTAGCCTCTCTCTAACTTCCTCTGCGTCTCTAACTTCCTTTGTATCTCTGACTTACGCTGTATCTCTAGTTCTCTCAAATCCACGTGGCAAAAAATCATATTTTTTCCAAAATTTTCGCTTCAAAAACCTTGAATTAATGCTCATTAATTTTTGCGTCATTGAAATTTTCGAACTTTTCGTAATTCTAAAAATTCTTCCCCCCAAGCACTTTTCGCCGAAAAAAAATAATAAAAAATAAAAGTTTCAAGCACTTTTTCTTCTTCTTCGTACTTTTGGGGGGCTCAAGAATTTTTTCACGAAAATTTTTTTTTCCTGAAAAAAGCGGAAAATTGGAAAATCATAGGGTCTGTGTTGGTTCCAGTCAAGATGATTTATTCAATTTTTTTTCCAATTTTCAATTATTTTTCCGGCCGAAGAATTTTTTGAAGTTGAAAAATTGCGCTTTTTTTTGGATTATGGTAATTTTCTGAAAAATTGGCAGAAGAAGCTGGAAAAATCTCACATGAGAAATTTGGAATTTTTTTTGCTCGTTGAAATCTCTTTTTGAAAAATCCACGTGGCCTAAATTTCTGAAATTTCAAAATTCTGAACCGAGAAATCCACGTGGCAATATTTTTCGAAAATTTCAATTTCAAAAATCCACGTGGCAAATTCAATTTTCATCAATAAATTCAGAACCCGATTCTGAAAATCTCAAATTCCACGTGGCAACTTCTGAAATTTTGAATTTTGGTATGAAATTCCACGTGGAATTTTCTGAGTCAAAAATTCTGAAACGTGTTTTTGAAATCCACGTGGCAAAGCTTTTTGTTTTTTTTGAAAATCAACTTTCAGATTTTCAAAATTCAAGATTTTAAAATTTTCAGACCCAAATTCCACGTGGAAATTTCTACAATTGGCACTTTTTCTCGAATTTTCCCCAGCTAAAGTTTCTTATCAAATTTTCCCCCGTCTGAAATTTTTGCTGAAAATCTGTGACTCACGAATTTTTCAAGCTTGACTGAAAATTTCTCCGCGCTCACATGGGAACTAATTAATTATCTCGCTAATTAATTAGGTGGGGTTTTTCTCAAGAAAAGTCACCCTTCAAAAATAGAATCACGTCATTTCTCATTTTTAACATGAAACACTTTTTTGGAACCTTTTTTGCCACGTCATAACTCAATTTTTAAAAAAAATTTCAAAAATTTTCAGCCCTTCAGACATTTTTTTTCAAGAGTCTCAGCTTGGGTAAATTGATACCTGCCTAGCTACCTACAGTAGCCCAAAATAGGTATTACGTGGTTATTTTTCGCTGTGCGCGAGTTAGGCTAATTAGAAAAACAAACCTTATTATTTTGGGGGAAGGTTTCTCGTCTCAAAAAAAAATTCAAAGATCCGCCCATTTTTTTTCTTGACTTCACATTTCATTTTCATTTTTTTTCATTTTCAACTCCAAAAATTTTTTTTTTGAAATAAAACCAAAAAATCTGAAATTTAAGACGCATGTTCTTTGAGACAAAGTATCAATTTCCACAAATTTTTTTATTTGCGAAATTTTTTTTTCTAAACCAAAAATTAAAAATATTTTACTGTTTCAGGGTTACACACACATCATGAGTCGATCGGTTTCAGCCATTTTGTTAGTTTTGGCAGTGGTCACAGTTTCAGCGCAACGTGAGTTTGGGTACTGTAGATTTCAGAGGAGTACTGTAGATTTCTAGAATGCTTCTTGTGAATTTTGCAAGCCTGGAGTACGGGAGTACTGTAGATCTCTGGGATAGTTCTTGTGACTTTTGGAAGGCTGGAGTACTGTAGAATTCTGCTTCCGGGTTCAAAGGAACATGAGGCATAAGTACTGTAGATTTCAGAGTACTGTGTTCCTGAGGTGTTTGAACTACTGTAGTTCCATCAGATTACTGTACCTGTAAACTTTTCAAGAATTTGTTTCCAAAATACTGTAGCTTCAAGTTTACTGTATCTTGTGTACTGTAGATCACAGAGTACTGTAGAAATATATTTTTACTAACTACGCTACAGTACTCAAAGCCTGACGAGAGTACTGTAGTTTTCGATTTCGCTTTGTTACTCAATTTTATCTTCTCGAGTACTGTGTCTCGGAATTACTGTAGCTATATTTCGGAGAGTACTGTATATGATGCTCAAGTCTAGAGTACTGTAGACTCTGGATCACAAAACCAAGTGGCCAAATGTTTTTTTTTCAAAAAATTAACTAAATACTGGGTTACTGTAGTATATGGCGCCTTGATTACGGTAGCAATATATCACAGCTTTTAAAATTTTCAAACTGGTACAGTAACCCAAGACTACTGTAGTCCACATTTATCCTTTTACTCTAAAAGCATTTTCCAATTATTTTTACGACTCAAAATCCACTCCTCCTCCATTAAAAATGAGTAAGCCTAAGACTACAGTAAGATTTTAATGTGCACATTTTTTTGACGTCAGAGTTTTCAAAAATTAGAGTCAGCTTCATCATTTCCGCCTCAAGGAACCACAAAAATTGATCCGAGAGTAATTTGAAACTAATGTAGCCATCTTTTGGCTTGCGCTAATCCCGCGGTGCTCAAAAAAGGGCAGCTCAACTGACAAAGAATATTATTCATTTTCTGAAGAGAAGGGACCATTGAAATTTGATCTATGAATTTATATTTTGCAATTTCAGGTGCTCGAGACGATCAACAAATAAAACGAAACGACTATTCGCGCGACATTATGTCGTTTGGAAAACGAAGTGCTTCTGCCAATAACGAAAACCCCAACGGGTTTTATGATCGCAATATTTTGTCGTTCGGAAAGAGACATCCACAAAATGTAAGGGAAAGGAAAAGTTGCGGGGTGGAATTGAACCAGCGATGTAAAAGTTGAAAGTTTAGAAACTTACCGACTACACCATTCAGGCTTCTGGGCTTTTTGGGATTCATTTTAGCCCAAATTTTGAGCTGAATCTGAAAATTTAGATGAAAAGTTTTGAATCTTCATGTTCAGCCTAATTTTTGTTCTAGAATTTCCCGGGATTTCTCAAGATCCAGAGAACAATTCTATCAATGTTAATCATTCTAGATTATTTTCCGATTTTTCTGAAATTCAGAAAGCCATTTTCAACTTTCTAAGGACTTCTGAAAAATTTACCGGGCTTTTAAAATTCAAAAAATTATCAGAACCTTCTGGATGAAGTTTTAGATCTTCTTGAACAAACTTAGAAAAATTTACAGAATTTAATTCTAGAAAATTTGAAAAATTTTATCCGAGAATTCAGTGATTTTCTGAAAAAATTTGAAATTTTGAACAAAAAATTTCAGGAATTTTTAATGTTCAGAAATTAAATTCAGATCAAGCCTGTAAATTTCCAAAAATTCAAAATGAATCTTCAGAAAAAGTTCTCAAACTCAAAAGTTAAGCTAATATTCTAACCTTAAAGACATTAAGGATGTTAAAAACCTAATTTTAAAGTTTATTTAAATTTCAGTGCAGGAATAGCTTCAGAAGAACTTCAACTTAACTTTAAATTTTTACAAAAAAAACCAAAACCCTAAAAACCTTAGCTCTAACCTTAGGTTCAACAAAAATTCTCAAAATCACTCTGAACCCTTCCAAATTTCCAGTACTACGACCGCGACATTCTCTCCTTCGGAAAACGTTCCGCTTCCGCTTCCGCATTCGACAGAGACATCATGGCCTTCGGCAAACGCGCCTCCAACAACTTCGACAGAGACATCATGGCGTTCGGAAAACGTGGCGATTTCGACAGAGACATCATGGCTTTCGGCAAACGCGATCCTTATGAATACGAACGTTCGATCTTGAGCTTCGGAAGACGGAAATAAATTATTGACAAAATTTGAATTGTGACTGCTTCTGGTAAATAACATGCGCTATTTATTTTCTTCTATTTTTTCATTTTTCCGAGAAAAAATAAAACAATTTATAGTTTTTTTTGTAGTTTGTCACAATTCCCTTATCAATCTATTTAGTTTCCTGGAACCGTATTGATAGTATTTCCCGAAAACCCCTGATAAGTTAGCCAAACTCAAATTTTCTTCCAGTATAAAATCCCAGTGAATTCATTTTAGATTTTATAATAACCACATTCAAGTTTAGTTTCCTTGCAAAAATGAATGGTCTTATTCTCTTGGTTCTCTTGTTGATCCAATTTTCAGCAATTTCCTGTCAATTTTTGTATTATTCGTCGCCGATGACTTATTATTATTATCCTCAACCAACTACAACCTATTTTTATCCGAGTTTCTATGGCGGAGCTGGATATTGGAGGAGATAAATATAAATTTTGGTTTTTTTTGAATTTTGATAAATTTTTTGTTCAAATCAAAGTCACGTGGCTTTTTTTCAAAAAAAAAAATCAAAAGTGTACGAAATTCCGAAAAAAAACTGAAAATTGTACGAGAGAACTACACAACACGGGGACGTGGAATAGAAAATCGGCGGAAAACTAGGCCATTATTGAAATTTTTATTTTTTTTTTCGATGTTTTTGCAAATGAATATATTTATTTGAACATAACGAGATTCAAAAAAAGTGTACAAAATTCATCAATTCGATGGTTGCTGAACTTGTTGAGATGGTCCAAATCCAGCAGCTCTCTTTCCATAATAACCATAATATCCAGGATAACCGTATCCCCCGTATCCATATCCAGTTCCATAATAGCTACCGTAGTATGATGGATAGTAGCTTGAATAACCGTAATATTGCGCAGATGTTTCGTGGATAAGAATTGAGGCGATGATCAAGAGAATGATGAGTTTCGAGTTCATTTTGAAATGTAATTTGATTTTTGAAAGTTTTGAAACTTTTTATAGTGCCGCTTTATTTGCTGAACAAAAAAAACTGTCAAAAAAATGAACAGTTCACAATTTTATAAATAAAATAAATAAGGTTTTTGAACCTTGACGCGTTGGCAAATAAAATGGCACTATAAAAAGTTGCACAACTTTCACAACTCAAATTACATTTCAAAATGAACTCGAAACTCATCATTCTCTTGATCATCGCCTCAATTCTTATCCACGAAACATCTGCGCAATACTACGGTTATTCGAGCTACTATCCTTCATACTACGGTAGCTACTATGGAAGTGGATATGGATACGGTGGATACGGTTATCCTGGATATTATGGTTATTACGGAAAGAGAGCTGCTGGATTTGGACCATCTCAACAACAACAACAACAACAAAATGGAAATTGAAAAAGAAAAATTTACCAGATCTCAATGAATAAATCATTTTTCATACATACTTGTGAAGCTTTTCTGAAAATTCAAGCCAATCTTCGTCTGACAACATCGGACAATTGTTTGAAGAGAAAACAAGTGACGTCTCCCACAGTATGTTGGCAGTAGAGTTCGGTATTTGTGACGTAGGAAAGGTCGCCGCGCGCGCAGATTACGTTGAATCTGAAAAGGCTCTGGTGGTTTTGGAGATTTTTTTGGATTTGAACAAGATTTTTAGAACTTTGATTTTGAACTTTTAATCGAAAAATCAGAAATTCAAGTTGAATTTCATATGAAAACTTGAAATTCTGAAAAAAAATTGAAAAATTTCGATTCTAGACTAAATTTTCAGCTAAAAATCTAATCTTAGAATCTGGAAATAGTTGAGCTACAGTAATTCAAGGCTCTGATGTTTTTGGAGATTTTTTTTGATTTAAGAACTTGAAATTTAGTTTGATTTTGAGAAAGCTTCACAAAAAAGCTGGGCTAATTTTTTTTTGCAAAACCAGAATTTTCAAAATTCCTCAGGAATTCAAGTTGAATTTCATATGAAAACTTGAAATTCTGATTTTTGAAAAAAATAATCCAAAAATTGAATTTGAAAAAATTTTTTCAATGAATTTTCAGCTAAAAATCCAAGTCATTATAGAAATAAAAAGGAAAATACCCAAAGCCAAAACAATTTTCAATTTTTGATTCTGAAAATTCAAAACATCCCACCCATTAAATTTTTGTAGTTAAAATAACTCCCGCCTACCTTCCACCCATCACTCTTTCCGCTTCTTCCTGAATTCTTCGCTTTGCAATCGCCGTAACCCGATCAATTTTATTCTCGATAATCTTCCGCAACTCCTCACTATTACATTTGTTCACCTCCAAATTTCCCTGTCTCTTGACACGTGGCATTCTCGAGCAATCTACATACACAAGTTCAGGTAAAATATTAAAAAAAAAACCAAAAATCAACTCACCATGATCCGCCAAATACGTGGCATTGCTCAAAACCTCTCGCTTCTTTCGTTTTCCCGCGCAACTCGAACATGCTGGCTGATAACACGTGGCAATCGGTGCACATCTTGGGGGAGGTGCGCAAGTTGGCGGAGCAGCGCAACCGCAAGAGCTTGAGCTACATCCTTGCGTTGAGGAGGGAAAGAAGAATGTGGATATTAGGGGAATTGAAATTAGGAAAAGGAGGATGGGGATTAGGTGGCGCATTTTGGTTTGTGAGAAAATGGATCCTAGCGGGAGGGAGGGGATTTTGGGGAAAAAAAGGAGGTTAATCCGCAAAACTTGTTTTTTGAGGAAACTTGGAGGCTAATATTATAAGGGAAAACGAATTCTGGGAAAAAATCAGAATTTTAGGCTTAGATTCAAATTGCCACGTCATAGTTATTTTTGAGCAAACTGAAAATAACAAATTAGAATTCAGAAGGTAAAATTGAATAAGTTTTACGAATACAACAATTTGCCACGTCATAACTAACCCATCTAAATTATTTTACATTTCTAAAAAAACGAAGGAATTTTCAAATTCCGAAATTTCCCCGTTGCCACGTCATTTTTTCGGCATAAAAATCTGCAGAACAAAATCATTTCCACGTGACCCAGATAATCTGATTCTCCACGTCATCCAGACCAAAAAAAATCAGAGCCGTCCCCCAGAAAGAAAACCTTGCAAAAAATCACAAAAAAACAAACAGAAACTAAAAAAAACTCGCAAAAAAGCAGGGCTTTTTTTTAACAGAATTGGTTCATTACAGTATAAAAATATTTCTAAAAAAAATTAACTTATCTATTTTGAAATGTCTTGTATATTCATAGTGAACCACCTTTTATCATCCAATTCCAATCGAGCCTTTTGAGTTTTGTTGTAGTTTAAAATGTATTGTTTTTTAAAATAACTGAAAATAATGAATTGTGAGTTGAACATTTTCAAAATCTTACGAGTCTTGGCACTTTTCCAATTCCAGCCCATCTAAATCGACTTCAACATCTTTTCTTTTCTTATTTTTCTCACTAAATCCTCCTTGTATCACAACATATTTCAAATTCGCGTTCAATTTTCCATCACGCCAATATTTGATATATTGATTAATATCTTTCGGTGTCAAGTCCATCATATAAATACTAATACTTTCCGCTTTCAACTGAATCAACTGATCAAAGCTCAAAACAGTTGCTGGTAATACTAGGTTCGATTTGACGCATTTGATTTGGTCGAAATCGACGAATTTGTATTTCAACATGCAGACTTGACGTGGAGTTCCATAAATGGTAAGTTCTTCCAATTTTCTCATATTTCGAAGTCGAATTTTGCGAATAAGATGTGATTTGGCTTTGCAACCCTAAAAAATAAGGATATTTAGTTCGATTTTTGAAAAAAAAAAATAAAAAAGCTTACCAATTCCACCTCAAAGCGCTTCAAATTCTTCCCAAACTTCTCAATATATTCGTTCGCATATTTGGCAATTACATCGAATAACTTTCCATCTTCTTTAACTTCCCAAACAATTTCATTAATATGCCTGTATGAAAATCGTTTTTCCACTACATATATAAAATATTCAACAGTTCAATCGACTCACTTTCTACATTTAACAATTGTTCCTTGTCACGCCCCCAGACACAACTGGCAACGTCTAGGCTCCGCCCACAAGGAGGGTCAGTCTTCCCAATCGTCACCCAGCAGATGACGACGCTTCTATATTTATTCTACATTTAACCATATATTTATTCCTTTTATCTTTTATAATAAATACTTATATTATTCATTTCATGACTTAGTGAGATTGGGCAGGAGGCTGCCTAGCACCTCACATGGAGGAACCACGAGATTTTTTGAACTCGTCCCCAATCTCACATTCTATATCTCAAGACTCTATACTCTAATCAATTCATATTTATCGTCTGCTGGGAATATTGTCCGAAATTCAGACAATATTCCACAATCTTCAGGATGACCCGAAGATCAGGCCATCCAAATCTTTCTTTTCTCTTTCTCATAGGACTAGGTTTTCTTAGTGTGACTCATGTTAGGTAGGGAAAATAAATCGGTGAATATTATTCGACTTATTCGACAAAAACAATATTCAACCTTATCCGACACCACCAACGATATTTCCGCAAACATCGGTGATTAACATCAGGATACCAGATGGACAAATATGCAAATGCGCGAAACAAACATCGACTCATATGGCTGTCAGAAAACAAACAAATGGCACCAGATGGGGAAATATGCAAATGCGCGAAACAAACATCGACTCAAATGGCTGTCAGAAACAAACAAATGACACCAGAGGGACAAACATCCAAATGCGCGAAAACAAAGAACAATTTCGCAGCCGTCAGAAAACACCAGATGGCACCCAAGGGATGGATTATGCAAATGAGCGGAAAGCAAACAATCGTTGGAAGACAGATGGCGATTAATATCATGCCACCAAAAGATGAGGGAAATCGGAGAGGAAATCGGACCAGAACAAAGAACGGACTGCAGAAGACGACCGCAAATAACCTTTGCAATCGTCGAAAATTGACGAGAAAGGAGCCGAGTTCGACGGAACAAAACAGTCAAAGGTGGGACGACACAGTGCCACCGTTCCGAAAATAACCGAATCAGGAGAGAGGATAACTCAACACCTTCGCCGAAAAAAAACGTTCCTCGGCGTACGGACCTGATTTTGGACAACGCGTAAAAGGAGACTTCGTGGAGACCCTGACTAGGTCAAATACCACGACATCGCCTCAGTCGACAAAAGATGGACGCCAGCGCAACACTCCACAGTGGGCAGAAATCAAAACAAAGCGAACCGGAATTTTTCTCCTCGTCCAGTGAAGCGTAGGAACCACGCCACAATGGACATGTTTTCACCATTCAAAAGGAGGAGGGCCTCAAACCCTTCTACACTCCTTAACAATGCCAAAAAACACCTGCAGCCGGAAAAATAGGAGAAACAAAGATACCTTCCCGATCCGACCAAAAAAACCTACCTAAAATTGAGTCACCTAAGTAAGCCCAAAACCTATCTGAAACAAAAAAGACCGCTGCACCAGCCCACCTCTCTATTTCTCGCTCGATCGTTCTTATTACCGATTACTGCTAACCTAAAACTGTTTTATTGCCAGAACAAATCAGCAAGAAGACAAGTTACGACCACAGCCGTCACACCGGAGCAGAAATCAACGGAACCAAGAAGACCTCCTTGAAAAACCCCGGGACTCAAGGATCGATCGCCAAAGAAAACATCGGAGAGGCGGAAGAGAAGTGAGAGAAGAATCAGAGGATATTACGCCGAAGATCAGCGTAATCGAAGATTGAAATTCGAAGCGCCGAAGATCAGCGTGGAGAAGACCAAATCTAACTCAAGCATCAAAGATCAGTGCGAGAGGAAAACCAAAGCCTGGAAACTAGACACCGAAGATCAGTGCCTAGTGAAAGAAATCGACCGGAAACAAACCAAGTGGCAGAAGCTCAGAATCAACAAGTTCGGGGAAAGCAGCGCCGAAGATCAGCGTTGCAAAACAGAGACCGGGAAAACACCGAAGATCAGTGTTCAACCGGAATCACAAGTCGGAGAAGATCGTCAACAGGAAAAGACACCGAAGTTCAGTGTCAAGTTCGGACAGAAATCAACGCCGAAAATCAGCGCTGAAAGAAACCAAACATTTCCGGAGGAAGTAGATATCCATCCCGCGAACGGACACCGGTAACTCCATTCGAAGCCGGAATCGACGATCAGAAAAAGAATTCCAAAATCTCAAACAACAAGAGAACCGACAAGAAGAACCAAAATCCAACTCAAGAAACATCAAACGGATCTGGCAAGAATTCCAATCAGGAACAACCGGAAAATCAAGCTACTTTACAAAAAGAGCAGACAAACACCGGAAACAACACTCCAAAACCACCAAAGAAAAACAAGTATTGGAATTGGAAAAAGCCAGACAGCCAGACACCAACTGATCCAGATAAAACACCAACCAACCCACCAAGAAATCCGAACAACAACCAACTGAAAAATTCGAACACCAATCAGCAAATAGATTCGTACACCTTCACACCACCACCAACTCTAGGAGATCCGAAAACACCACCAACAGTCAAGAGCGCCATCAAACCGAAGAAAATGACACCCCCCAAGGACGAACAGGAGGAGAGAAAAGTTCCAGAAACTCACAGAATTGCCGGAATAATTCTCGCCGCCACCAAAAAGTTCTCAAAGGGAAACCAGATTGAATTCAAGAGATGGTCCGACACTTTCGCAAAGAACTGTTACGCCGTCGGAGGCGACAACAAAACCGCCGCCGAACTCCTACCGCTGGTACTTGAAGGAACTGCAAGAATCAAATATGACATGATTCCTGAAGCGAAAAAGGAAGATTGGGTGTCAGCCACAACAATGCTCGTCGCAGCCCACGGCAACAGCACGGATCTCATGGATGCTCGCGAAAAACTCCAACACCTAGAGCAAGGCACCATGAGTTGCGCAGAACTTGGCAGAAACGTCAAAGAACTCTGCGACGTTGTTTTCCAAGGAATGCCCGACAACAGGAAAGAAGAAATGATGGCAGACACACTTTTGACCAAGACAAAACCGAGTCTTCGCAAGAACTTAAGAAGACTAAATCCGAAACCAAAAACTCTAGAAGAGGCAATAAAATCAGCCGAACGAGAGGAGAGATTGTCACAAATGGAGAGAAGAGATGAGGAAGAAAGCGGTGGCGCACTAATAGCCCACATAACCCAACAGTTCGAGAAAATGACACAAAACCTCCAGAATCTCCAGAAAAACAACAACACCGGAAACAAAAAACCGGATGGAGCTAAGAATGACAATCCACAAAAGAGAAGAACATTCGGATATCGTGGCCGAAATTATGATCCAAATTTCAATCAAAAGAAGAAAGCCGAACAACAGAATGGCCAAACTTCAGAAAAACCTAATGAAGAACAAAGGAGACAAGATCAGAAGAGCCACCAAAGTTTTGTCCAATCCATAATGCCATCATTCATGATCATCATGTGTTTATTCGCCACAACAATCAGTGCCGAAACAACAACAAGCGGCAGCTATCAAATTTGTGGTTTCCGGAAGATAGAAAGCTCAATCGAAATACCAGAAATCACCGACTGCAACATCCACAGCCAAACTCCAATCGTGAAATTGAAAGCAATCGTGAGCCAACCGACAAGTAACCCGCTGAAAGTCACGGCCCACAAATGCTGGAAATCGGTCATGACCATCAAGACCAGCAACTATTTCAACATCTACGGATCCCGCATGATCATATGGTCGAAAGAAAAATCAGTCGACCCAGAAACATGCAGACAGATGAGAGATACAAAACAAGTGCACAACACAAACATGACAGAAATCTCTCGCGAGATCTTTAAGACCAACTCAACAGAGAAACATCTCAGCGCCACACCATGGTTCGGAACTGAATATTATACAGTCAACGAATACTACATGGAAATCGGCGAAGTCTCGACAAAGAACGGGAGACATGTAAAATCTAACATGTTCGAAAAATACGACTGCGAGTTCAACAGAGGAGAATGCAGGAGCGACACCGCCACTATGATTTGGTACGCAGTTACAGTAACAAGACCGTACTGCGAATTCGAGCAGATCACCACAACAGATGTATTATTGATGAAGGATTTGATAATCATACCAGAACTCGGAACCACATCGAAGATCGATGAGAACATAAAAAGACTAGCCGACCGCACCGAATTCTGTAAAGTCACCAATTCATACCTATTGGAAAATGGATTGATGCTAGATATCATCAACATCGGGAAAGAATACGCACCCGACATCCTCATCAAGAATGCTCGAGTAAATCGGATGAGAAGATCAGCAACTTACACTATCAGCGACATCACTGGAAGAGAATTCGAATACAGTCTGGGAGACAAATTTCCGAGAAAGATGACTCAAACAATGTTTGGAATCAACGAAGAAAACAGAATCCCACTATTCGGAACACAACCGATCAAGGACCAATCCATATTAGAGGAACTGAAATTCTGGCGAGTGGATGAAGCTTGTCTGAAAAGTCGGACAGCAGTCTATAGATCGGAAAGAGATGCCATAAATGGACAACAACTGATAGTGCTGAAATGTATCCGTATAGCTCAATATAAAAGAAGAGAAGAAGCTCGACTTCGACATAGAGGAACACTAACAACCAGCGAAACTGCGTTCAAAGAACAACTGGAAGCCCATCCAGAAGTCGCATTGAACGAATTGCTGAACCTCGAATTTATACCAACAACATTTGAGCTGACCAGAGCTTTGAAACCATCAGAAGTCAAAATTCCGTACTTCGATCCGAAAGATATCGAAAAAGTACAAAATCGAACAAGATTTCTGGAGGAGAAAAATATAATCGAACTGGAAGAAAATCCACCAAAAACTACAACAACTGCTGCGACAACTACCAGAACAACAACCACAAAACCAATCACAACAACTGTGAAACCAGCGGCGACAACTTCGAAACCAACCACAACATCAGTGAAACCATCACAAGATCCAAGAATCGGGAAACCGAAGGCGGAAAATCAAAATATCCACATCGTCCAAGAACCATCCAAAATTGTTGAAGATTCGACAACTGGATCGGAAGAAATCGATAATGATCGGACGTGGAAGATCGCCAAAGAGATCTGTGAAAAATCTAGAGAGAAAATCTGGAACTTCAAAATGATGTTAAACAGCGACCCAACTACAGCTGTGAGAATGTTTTTCAAAGATAACACAATTGCCGCAAGATTGAGTGGAGAAACCATAAACATCGCAAAATGCAGATCAGTGGAACCAACCGAAATATTCTGGAATCACAAAGTCGAACACGAATGTTTCGAATTACGACCAGTGCTAGTCGAAGAAACAATTTGGTTCCAACTACCTGGAACTCGAGATTTGATCAGCCAGAGTCGACCAATAAATTGCACCGAAGCCCACAGCGTTTACCAAAGAAAAGATGGTTCGTGGAGAAATCAAGAAGATCAACTAGTGGAGACAGAGAAAATCCAGACGTGGAAATCTCAATCCCAGAAAATATTTGATGACTCACCGAAACTATTCCAATCAAATCTGGACAACACAGATGCTTTCATCCCAATTTGGAAAATTTCTGAAAGCCGAACCGGAGCCAAAATCATCGTGAAAAGAATCACAGTCGATGAAATCGTTGATGGAGCACCAGAGATAATCACTGGAACTGCAAGAAACGCAACAAGAACAATCGTGGACTTATTACAAAGTGCCAAAGAAAGACTCGGAGAAGGAATCGCCGAAGTTTGGTGGTCCATAAAATCATTCTTCCTGAACATCATAATTCCAATCATCGTAACCATCGTCGTAGTTATTCTTGCAATTTATGCATTGAAATGGTACTGCATCGGAAGAGCAGCATCAGCTGCAAGAAACCGAATGTTCCAACCCAGTGCCCGCGAATTATTGGGAATCAATATGATTGGAACAACAAGAACTCGAGGAAATTTTCGAGAAGAATTCCCAGAAATTCAAATCTGCCACATCAGCCTAATCAACCACGTCGCAAAAGTTGGAGACCTCCCAATCCTACCAACCCAATTGAATGGACAAGAATTTCCAACACTATTAGACACCGGAAGCGCAATATCACTGATCAAGCGAACCACACTATCACAAGTGAATGGAAAACTCGATGAATCGAGAAGAGATCAAGCAAGAGCCGCCAATGGAACAATTATGCAGTTCCTCGGAATCGCAAAAATCAAAGTCGAAATCGGAGAATATCAAATCGAACATGAATTCCGAGTAATCGATGACCATTTGGCACCCGGAAACGTCTTATTTGGAGTTGATATAATGGAAGAAATTTCAAATTTGGGAGGAGAATTTATTTTCAACTGGAAAACTCGAACCGTGAAGATTGGCGCAAGAAAACTACAGATGAACCATATTGAATATGAAACCCCAGAAATGGAAGTAATTGTGGAACAAGAAATAACCATCCCAAGAAGATCGGAAACCGTGATTCCAGCACGAGTCAAGAACTTCGAAAATTTTGATGGGACAATATTGATCGAAGACAATGGAATAGAATCAAAGAACATCTACATCGTCGCCGCATCAATATCAAACCCAGACAAAGATGGAAAAACCCTCCTCAAACTCAGCAACCCCTCAAATCATTCATTCAAATTGCAAAAAGATCGAATCATCGCCAAAGCAACAATGATCGACGAAACTGGATTAAACAACATCTACAAAGAAGATACTACATTTCCCGAAGGAAATTTCTGGACAAACCTGCCGGAATTGCCAGTTGAAGGAGAAAAAGAAGATCCAGTAGAAAAAATTGATCTATCAGAAAGTTGTTTGGATGATAAAATGAAAGATTTATTTCGGAAAATGCTGAGGAGAAACAAGAAAGCATTCGTGGATGCATCAGGAAAAATCGGAAGATATCGCGGAAATGAAAAACATGAGATCGATCTAGTGGACAATTACCAAATCCCAAAAGTCAAGCTGAGAAGAATACCACTCAATCGTCGGGAAGAGATGAGACGACAAATAGACCTGCTCCTGAAACAACAAATCATCAGGAAATCGAACTCACCCTTCTCGGCGCCAGTTGTGTTGGTTCAGAAGAAGAACAACAGTTGGCGCTTCTGCGTCGACTATCGGAAACTGAACCAGATCACAAAACCAGCTTCGACAGCACTCCCCAACATCCAGGACATTCTTGATAATGTTGGCCAGAAGAACATCTACACGACATTAGATCTTGTCAGTGGCTATCACCAAGTGGATATGAAACCGGAACACTGTGCTCGCACAGCGTTCGCGACCCACTTGGGAACTTTTGAGTTCATTCGAATGCCAATGGGGCTCAAGATGGCCGGCCAAACATTTCAAAGAATAATGGGAGAACTGATCAAGGATGCCAGGGCGGAGTGTTTTGCCTACTTGGACGATTTGGTAATTTGTTCAGAATCTCCAGAACAACATCTAGAAGATCTAGACGAGATTCTACAGAAGATCACCAATGCCGGACTGAAGATCAGCCCGACAAAGGCACACATCGCGAAGAAAGAAGTTGAATTCTTGGGAATGATAATCAGTGGAGAAGGAATTCGCCCAAATCCAGCAAAAACCCGAGCTGTAATCGATTATCCACAACCAAAGAATCAAGCCGAAATCCGAAGCTTTCTTGGACTCACCGGATACTTCAGAAAATTCATCCACAATTTCGCAACAATCGCAGCACCGCTGAACAACCTGATCCGAAAAGATGTCAAATTTGAATGGGATGAAGAATGCCAGAAAAGCTTCGACGAACTGAAGGAGAAGCTGACTAAACCACCAACACTGGCAACACCACATCTGAACAAGAACTTCGAAATCGAAGTCGATGCGAGCGGAAAAGGAGTTGGAGCCATCCTATTCCAACGTCAAGGAGAAGATCAGAAAAGACATCCAATCGCATTCGCAAGCAAGAGATATTCAGATGTTGAAAGAAGATATCCCGCAATCGAACTCGAGGCCTGCGGTCTCGTGTTCGCGTGTCAGACATTCAGGCCTTACATAGATGGAACCAAGACCACCGTCTATACCGATCACCAACCATTAAGATCAATCCTACGGGACAAGGTCGGATCGAACCGGCTAGTGAAATACATCATAACACTACAAGGATTCGACATCGACATCGTGTATCGGAAAGGTCGAGACAATATCGCGGCCGATGCATTGTCAAGAAATCTACCAGAATCAGAAACATCAAATGGCGAAATCGCAGAGATCAACAGAATTGGAAACATTGCCAACATCACTGAAATTGCAAATCCAGCAAAAATTCGCGAAGAACAAAAAAGTTCACCAGAAATCGTGGAAATGATGGAAGCAACCAAAAATCCAAATTATACTGGACTCAACTTGATCATAAATGACATCTTATATGAAATGCCCAAAAATGATATCCACAATCCAAGAACAATTTTGCCAAACAAATCACAAATCGCTCGAAAATTAGTGAAATTGATTCACGAAAATATCGAAGAAGCCGCACATCAAGGCGAGAACAAGTCGATGAGTCGAGCAAGAGAATTGATCAAAATTCCGAACTTACAAAAATTGGTTCGAGAACAGATCAAAAATTGCGCAAAATGCCAGAGGACAAAGGATCCCTCACAATATAGAATCAGAGCTCCATTGGGAACAAATGATCAAGTCAACCAACCTTTTCAAAAATGGTCATGCGATGCCATCGGACCCCTGCCAGAAACATTAAATGGGAATCGTTATATTTTGGTATTCGTGGATAACTTCAGTAAATTGATCGTCAGCCAAGCAGTCGCAGATTTGACAACCAAAACCACAATCGAAGTGTTGACCGACCAAATAATTTCAAAATTTGGAACACCTGAAATCCTAACAACTGACCAAGGATCAAATTTCTCGGCACAACAATTTCAACAAACAATGGAACTATTAGGAATCAAACATCAAATGTCCACACCATATCACCACCAGGCGAATGGACAAGTCGAGAGGGCCAATGCCACGATCGAACAACTCCTAAGACCATCAGTTGCCGAAAGACAAGACAATTGGGATCGAGATCTTAGCCTCGTAACTTTTGCCTATAATGGATCTATTCAAGCTTCAACAAAATTCTCACCTCATCAATTGGTATTCGGAAGAAACTTCGCATCACCATGCTCGATTGCCATTCAACAGCCAATTCGAACATTCGCAGATGAAGATGATTACAGTGAATTTCTCAAAAGAACACTACAAAGAATTCATCCAATTTGCAAAGACAACATCGATCGCGCAACCGAACGCCAAAAGAAAAATTATGACCAGAAACATCCACCAACTTCAACCCAAATTGAAGAAGGCGACAAAGTAATGATCAGAAATGAGAGAGGAAACAAGATCCAATATCTATTTTCAACACCACTGGAAGTAGTGAAAGTTTCAAATGAAAATGTCACCGTGAAACTAGAAAAACATCACAACACTCGATCAAATAATCCGAAATTGCTGACTGTACATCGCAACAGAGTGAAGAAATTCGTCGGAGATGTATCCAAATCCACAAACTAAGATGAACCTCCATGTCATGGAAAAATCATATATAATCCACATTTATTCAACAATATCCATATATAATCCATAATTATTCAACATTTATCCAAATATCCAATCATCCATATATTCTACAATATCCAACCACCACACACATCAACACATCTTCGAAATATACCAACAAAATCTTCAAAATCATGCAAAATTCCTGAAAAATCATGAAAATGCAAGAAAAATGGGAAATTCCTCAAAAATCGAAAGAAACCACCAGCAAAAGAACCGTATTTTTATTAAAATGAGATCAACAATGACAAAATACAAATTATGCAGGTGAATCAATCATTTCTTGGCGAAGAACTTGGCAAAGAAATCGGCCAAAAACTTGAAAATTGATTCGCGGTTACGATAACCAATGAAGAAAAGAAGAATAACTCCCAAGAAGACTGCAAAGACAACATCAAGATTGAACAATAATTAAGAAAAACTCACATAAGCCGATCAAAGGAATTGTCCACCAAGGCCACGAATCAACTGGAGCAACTTCGACTTCAGAAACAAACGGCGAGAAACAATATGGCGGGGAACGACGAGAGTTCGACACGCAGAAAAAACCCAATGGACACGGCGGAACGCAGTTTGAAGAACGAAGAGGAAGCATTACGGCTGAAAAAACAGAAAATTCGAAGGAAAACAACGGGAAAACAAGAAAAACACAAATTTCGAAAAACCCAAAAACCCTCGAAAGCGGAGTGTCGTAATGCGCGTTGTTTAGCAGCCAACACACACAAGAAAAATGGGCGGAGTGTCGTAACGAGCGTTGTTTAGCCAAGGAAAAGGACGCCAAAAACACCAACAAAAACAGATGGCGGACCAAACAAGCTCATTTTTATTTTTCCCAATTTTGGAACAATTTTTCTATCCCTCGAATAATCAAATTCACTTGATTCAGAATGGAAAATCGCAAGAAGAACACCGGAGAAGACAGAAAATGGTCAAAACAAATCACCGACCCAACCTTGGAACATCAGAACGAAATAATAGTTCGAACCGAATATTCAACACCAGAATCTGAAGAAATCCAAGACGAAGGCCCAGAAACAATGGAAGAACTTGCGATCCGAATCAGTGAGCTAGGAGTGAGCGAACTAGAACGTCAGGCAGATGAAATGATAAAAATTCCTGAGCATGAAAGATGCCCGACATTCAATGTAGTCCGAAGTGAAATACAACGCCGAAGACGATGGATCGACAAACTCAAGAAACTCGACGGCGACTCAGAAGAAACAGTGCAAGAAAAAGTGAGACTACGCCAAGTTTTCCAAAATGAAGTGAGAATGCTTCGTTTCTTCCGAGGAGACACTAGACAACCCGAAGAAGAAGTCGAAGAAGACATCGAAAAGAAGAAGAAAAAGCACCCGCGGATCACGGCGCCATGAAGAATCGAAGATGTGCTATTTATCCAACAAAAATCGTGTGTATATTTATTCAACAAAATTATATATATATCTAACCAACAAGTTGTGCATATATTAACCATGAAAAATCAATTGCATATACAATATTATCACCCACCATCCCACCCAATATCGACTGACTACTGTATCAATAACCAGGCACCGGGACGGCACCATTTTGCCGAAGGGGGATGTCACGCCCCCAGACACAACTGGCAACGTCTAGGCTCCGCCCACAAGGAGGGTCAGTCTTCCCAATCGTCACCCAGCAGATGACGACGCTTCTATATTTATTCTACATTTAACCATATATTTATTCCTTTTATCTTTTATAATAAATACTTATATTATTCATTTCATGACTTAGTGAGATTGGGCAGGAGGCTGCCTAGCACCTCACATCCTCCTTGATTGTCATCATCAAACTGAAATCCCCACCAAATCCAATTTTTGAGAAACTGAATCTCGTATGATTTAAAACCTCGACCTCTTTCCTCAGCAATTCTCAGAATATCACAATAATTTTTCGATGAAATCGCTTCTTCGTAGCACAATTTCGAACATTGCGCGAATTTGTATATTGTTTTATCAGGCATTTCCTCGATAATAATAATTCTGAGCTCAAAGGGAAGATCAAACCAGCCGGTTGTTTCTATCTGAATGTCATCCACTGCTTTTCGTTTTCTTCCGCTTTTTCGTATTTTCTTTCGTCCCATGTTTCTGGAGAATTCAAAAGTATTATTCAATATTATATTAATCAAAAATCACAGTGGAAATAATCGACGAAACAAACAGAAACTAAAAATAAAAACACGTGGACAAAAAATTTGAAAAATGAAAATTACACAGGCAGATGCAGAACGGCCGGATACTTGCCAAAAATTGAAAACCGGTCCGAAACTTGTACGTTTCCGACCAGTGTTGAAAACGGCCAAAAACCACTCGAAAATCGGCCGGTTTCTGCTCAAATTCAACAAAAACGGCCGAAAACCAGTGAAAAAACACGGCCGGTTACTGGTCAATTTTGATAAACCGGTCAGAAACTGGTCGGTTTTTGAGTTGTTACTGGCCGTTTTTCAACACTGGTCGGAAACGTACAAGTTTCGGACCGGTTTTCAATTTTTGGCAAGTATCCGGCCGTTCTGCATCTGCCTGTGTTATGGCCTAGAAACCGACTCGTCCACGTCAATTAATTATTGATTTTTGCATTCATTTCGAGGAGCGAAAACAAACGAAAATGGTCGAGGAGCGAGGTCTGCATAAAATTCAATGAAAATAATGAATGTTTTTGATGGAGGTGAGTAGTTTTCGAGCATTTATACTGAAAATTGTCAGGGATCATTCCATTTTCCCTGGAAAAGAGAAAGATTCGAATTTTAAATGGGTTTATCAAATTCCACGTCATAGCCAAAGAAACTTCATTTTTCAGAGACACCAATCTTCCTATTGCTCATCAATTGGAGTCAATCAGGTCCTGTCATTTTCTGCATTTTTCCGTAACCACAAAACCGTAGAGTTATTTGAAATTTCCAGAAATCCCGCGCTCAAAACCACGTTGTCGCCGAAAAATCAACTAGAAAGTTCAAGCTAAATGTAAACAGCTGAAATCCTGCAAACTTCCGTGCATTTCCGAAAGATTTTCGCTTTTACTTCGCACAAACAAATGCCAGTGACTTCAGTTATCGTAGCTTACAATTGGAATGCGTCGATACTCGACAAACTCGTCTTTTCACGTCGCGTTTTCACGGGAATTGCTGAAAATCAGCAGAATTTCAGCTATTTTCTGGGTGCTTCGGGAAGTTTGACGATTTTCTTGATGACTATCAAATATCATTGGAAGTTTAGAAAAAGTCGAGGAAAAACGGTGGATTTTTTGAAAAACTTTTTTCTGTGAAACTAATAATAATTTTGTTATTTTTTTTCAGAACCTCGTCCAAACAACAATTGATCAAATATATATGGTCACCATAATCCCAACAATCGGATGTTGTCTAGCAGTTTGCCACGTCATTCTATCAAGCATCCTTCAAACTATCCCAGCCTATGATCAAATTAAACAATGGACCGAAAAAGATCTAAAACAATCCACAAATTTTCTATGTTATTTGTATATCTCTATTCAATCGCTATATATCTGTGGAATTGCCGTAATTATCATTGCTGATTTTGTATTCGGAAATATGATTGATGTTTTGATAACTTTGCTAGTCATTCAACGAGCTTTTATCATATTTTTTGGGCAGAAATTCAAGTTTTTGGTGGGCAAAAATGCGTTTCGAATACTATCCATAATTATATGGGGCTTATTTTCAATCTATCGTATTTTCATGATTCTTGAATACCGAGAAATAGACAATCGTGAAAGCATTGAACTTTGTCCGGAATATATTGAATTCTATAATTTCACAATAACTTCATCAATTTGCATTTCAATATTTTGCACAATTTTGTACAGTTTATTATTTTATTATCTTTTCAAACAGCGGAACAATGCGAATTTTTGGGAAGTTCCTGAAATCGCATTTTTATATGAAGGTGTGCCAATATTGATTAGCAGAGTTCTGGTAGCTTTTTATACTTTTGAGCCATTTTCGGATGATGTCAGCTTTATTGAGAAAATCTATAATTATGACATACGTTATCAGATAATATCGATAGCTTTGGTGCAATTTACGTATATTTTTGATGTCACAACGATTCGCAGGTTTTTCAAGAGAAGAGAAAGAAGAAGAGTTGACCAAAATCCAACAAATCATAGCAGAATTTGAGATTTGCACCTGGCAGACTTTGAACTTTAGCTTTTTCATTTCACCCCCCGACAAAAATGCGAAATTTCACGCTCTCTTGTATTCCCAGCTTTTCAATCATGGAAAAACTTGTGTTCAGCCAGAAAATGCTGCCAGTTGAGTTGGCAGAAGAGCCGCGAAATATTTCCTGTGTGCTCTCGCGAATTTCGGCGTGTTTTTGATGACGTGTTGGTATTGTGGAAAAGTTCAGAGACGGCGGGGAGAAGCGGTGAGTTTTTCGATGTTTTCAAAAAATTTTTAGATAAATTTCACACGAGGATTTATGATTTTTGAAAAATTCATCTGAAAATCACCTGGATTCAAATTGTTCTCTGGGATAAGAAATAGGAAATGAAAATTGAGAACGATAATGCCACGTCATAGTTCACGATACTGCGTGGAATTAGAGATTTTAATTTTGAATTACGGCAAATCAGGTTTTATTTGAAAAAATTATAAATTAAAATTTAAAACAAATCTGATTTGCCGTAATTCAAAAATAATTTTGTTTGTGAGAAAATGGATCCTAGCGGGAGGGAGGGGATTTTGGGGAAAAAAGGGGAAAAAAAGGAGGTTAATCCGCAAAACTTGTTTTTTGAGGATACTTGGAGGCTAATATCATAAGGGAAAACGAATTCTGGGAAAAAAATCAAAATTTTAGGCTTAGATTCAAATTGCCACGTCATAGTTATCTTTGAGCAAACTGAAAATAAAAATTGGAATTCAGGAGGTAAAATTGAATAAGTTTTTTGTGGTTAAGATTTCCAAAGTTCACAAAATGCTCAAGAATTTGGACGCGAGAATTATGAAAGATGCGGAAGAGCAATTGAGCAACGAGGATGTGAATCATGTGATGACAGGTGCGAGAAGTCCGAAAACCGGTGGCAAAGTCAAGAGTTATTGAATAAACTTCATTTTGAGTTTTTTTTGTTCTCATGAGAAAATCTAGTAACTTTTGGGAGAAAACCTTGCAAAAATCGCAACAAAACAAACAGAAACTAAAAAAAAACTCGCAAAAAAGCAGGGCTTTTTTAAAACAGAATTGGTTCATTACAGTATAAAAATATTCCTTTTAAAAATAACTTATCTATTTTGAAATGTCTTGTATATTCATAGTGAACCACCTTTTATCATCCAATCCCAATCGAGCCTTTTTGAGTTTTGTTGTAGTTTGAAATGTATGTTCTTTCAAAATAACTGAAAATAATGAATTGTGGGTTGAACATTTTCAAAATCTTACGAGTCTCGGCACTTTTCCAATTCCAGCCCATCTAAATCGACTTCAACAACTTTTCTCTTTGCATTTTTCTCACTGAACCCTCCTTGTATCTCAACACTTTTCAAATTCGCGTTCAATTTTCCATCACGCCAATATTTGATATATTGATTGATATCTTTTGGCGTCAAATCCATAATATAAATACTAATACGTTGCGCTTTCAACTGAATCAATTGATCAAAGCTCAAAACAGTTGCGGGTAATACTAGGTTCGATTTGACGCATTTGATTTGGTCGAAATCGACGAATTTGTATTTCAACATGCAGACTTGACGTGGAGTTCCATAAATGGTAAGTTCTTCCAATTTTCTCATATTTCGAAGTCGAATTGCGCGAATAAGATGTGATTTGGCTTTGCAACCCTAAAAATAAGAATATTTAGTTCGATTTTTGAAAAAAAATAAAAAAAACTTACCAATTCCACCTCAAAGCGCTTCAAATTCTTCCCAAACTTCTCAATATATTCGTTCGCATATTTGGCAATTACATCGAATAACTTTCCATCTTCTTTAACTTCCCAAACAATTTCATTAATATGCCTGTATGAAAATCGTTTTTCCACTACATATATAAAATATTCAACAGTTCAATCGACTCACTTTCTACATTTAACAATTGTTCCTCCTTGATTGTCATCATCAAACTGAAATCCCCACCAAATCCAATTTTTGAGAAACTGAATCTCGTATGATTTAAAACCTCGACCTCTTTCCTCAGCAATTCTCAGAATATCACAATAATTTTTCGATGAAATCGCTTCTTCGTAGCACAATTTCGAACATTGCGCGAATTTGTATATTGTTTTATCAGGCATTTCCTCGATAATAATAATTCTGAGCTCAAAGGGAAGATCAAACCAGCCGGTTGTTTCTATCTGAATGTCATCCACTGCCTTTCGTTTTCTTCCGCTTTTTCGTATTTTCTTTCGTCCCATGTTTCTGGAGATTTCAAAAGTATTATTCAATATTATTAATCAAAAATCACAGTGTGAATAACCGACGAAACAAACAGAAACTAAAAATAAAAACACGTGGACAAAAAATTTGAAAAATGAAAATTATGGCCTAGAAACCGACTCGTCCACGTCAATTAATTATTGATTTTTGCATTCATTTCGAGGAGCGAAAACAAACGAAAATGGTCGAGGAGCGAGGTCTGCATAAAATTCAATGATGTGGTGACTTTTTTGGAGAGGGTTTTGATGAAGGTGAGTAATTTTCGAGTATTTATAACTCCACATTTCCCTGGAAAAGTGATTTTGAAATGGGTTTATCAAATTCCACGTCATAGCAACTTCATTTTTTAGACACCAATCTTCCTTTGCTCATATTCAACACCAATTCAAGTCAGTCAGGTCCTGTCATTTTCTGTATTTTTCCGTAACCACAAAACTGTAGAGTTATTTGAAATTTCCAGAAATCCCGCCCTCAAAACCACGTGGCATGCAAGCTTCTGACTTTGTGGCCGAAAAATCAACTAGAAAGTTCAAGCTAAATGTGAACAGCTGAAATCCTGCAAACTTCCGTGCATTTCCGAAAGATTTTTGCTTTCACTTCGCACAAACAAATGCCAGTGACTACAGTGATCGTAGCTTACAATTGGAATGCGTCGATACTCGACAAACTCGTCTTTTCACGTCGCGTTTTCACGGAATTTGCTGAAAATCAGCAGAATTTCAGCTATTTTCTGGGTGCTTTGGGAAGTTTGGCGATTTTCTTGATGACTATCAAACATCACTGGAAGTTTAGAAAAAATCGAGGAAAAACGGTGGATTTTTTGAAAAACTTTTTTCTGTGAAACGATGATTTTAATGATTCTTGCAGGGCTATATTGTTAACAGAATTGGTTCATTACAGTATAAAAATATTTCTAAAAAACATTAACTTATCTATTCTGAAATATCTTGTATATACATAGTAAACCACATTTTATCATCCAATCCCAATCGAGCCTTTTGAGTTTTGTTGTAGTTTGAAATGTATGTTCTTTCAAAATAACTGAAAATAATGAATTGTGGGTTGAACATTTTCAAAATCTTACAAGTCTCGGCACTTTTCCAATTCCAGCCCATCTAAATCGACTTCAACAACTTTTCTCTTCGCATTTTTCTCACTGAACCCTCCTTGTATCGAAACATTTATCAAATTCGCGTTCAATTTTCCATCACGCCAATATTTGATATATTGATTGATATCTTTCGGTGTCAAATCCATCATATAAATACTAATACTTTCCGCTTTCAACTGAATCAACTGATCAAAGCTCAAAACAGTTGCTGGTAATACTAGGCACGATTTGACGCATTTGATTTGGTCGAAATCGACGAATTTGTATTTCAACATGCAGACTTGACGTGGAGTTTCAGAAATGGTAAGTTCTTTCAATTTTCTCATATTTCGAAGTCGAATTTTGCGAATAAGATGTGATTTGGCTTTGCAACCCTAAAAAATAAGGATATTTAGTTCGATTTTTGGAAAAAAAAAATAAAAAAAGCTTACCAATTCCACCTCAAAGCGCTTCAAATTCTTCCCAAACTTCTCAATATATTCGTTCGCATATTTGGCAATTACATCGAATAACTTTCCATCTTCTTTAACTTGCCACACTGTTTCTCTACAATACAGAGGATGCCTGTATGAAAATCGTTTTTTTTCCACTATTCAAAAGTTCAATCGACTCACTTTCTACATTTAACAATTGTTCCTCCTTGATTGTCATCATCAAACTGAAATCCCCAAATAATCCAATTTTTGAAAAACTGTATCTCGTATGATCTATCTCTTTTCTCAGCAATGCTCAGACTATCACAATAATTTTTCGATGAAATCGCTTCTTCGTAGCACAATTTCGAACATTGCGCAAATTTGTATATTGTTTTATCAGGCATTTCCTCGATAATAATAATTCTGAGCTCAAAGGGAAGATCAAACCAGCCGGTTGTTTCTATCTGAATGTCATCCACTGCCTTTCGTTTTCTTCCGCTTTTTCGTATTTTCTTTCGTCCCATGTTTCTGGAGATTTCAAAAGTATTATTCAATATTATCAATCAAAAATCACAGTGGAAATAATCGACGAAACAAACAGAAACTAAAAATAAAAACACGTGGACACAAAATTTGAAAAATAAAAAAATATGGCCTAGAAACCGACTCGTCCACGTCAGTTAATTATTGATTTTTGCATTCATTTCGAGGAGCGAAAACAAACGAAAAAGGTTGAGGAGCGAGGTCTGCATAAAATTCAATGAAAATAATGAATGTTTTTGATGGAGGTGAGTAGTTTTCGATGATTTATACTGAAAAATGTCTGGGATCATTCGAAAAACGCCACATTTCCCTGGAAAAGTGAAAATTTCGATTTTTAAATGGGTTTATCAAATTTCACGTCATAGCAACTTCATTTTTCAGACACCAATCTTCATATTGCTCATATTCAACACCAATTCGAATCAGTCAGGTCCTGTCATTTTCTGTATTTTTCCGTAACCACAAAACCGTAGAGTTATTTGAAATTTCCAGAAATCCCGCCCTCAAATCACGTTGTGGCCGAAAAATCAACTAGAAAGTTCAAGCTAAATGTGAACAGCTGAAATCCTGCAAACTTCCGTGCATTTCCGAAAGATTTTTGCTTTCACTTCGCACAAACAAATGCCAGTGACTACAGTGATCGTAGCTTACAATTGGAATGCGTCGATACTCGACAAACTCGTCTTTTCACGTTGTGTTTTCACGGGAATCGCTGAAAATCAACAGAATTTCAGCTATTTTCTGGGCGCTTTGGGAAGTTTGGCGATTTTCTTGATGACTATCAGATATCATTGGAAATTTAGAAAAAGTCGAGGAAAAACGGTGGATTTTTTGAAAAACTTTTCTCTGTGAAACTAGAAAGAATTAATTATTACAGAACCTCATCCAAACAACAATTGATCAAATATATATGGTGACCATAATCCCAACAATCGGATGTTGTCTAGCAGTTTACCACGTCATTCTATCAAGCATCCTTCAAACTATCCCAGCCTATGATCAAATTAAACAATGGACCGAAAAAGATCTGAAACAATCCACAAATTTCCTCTGTTATTTGTATATCACTATTCAATCGCTATATATCTGTGGAACTGCCGTAATTTTCATTGCTGATTTTGTATTCGGAAATATGATTGATGTTTTGATAACTTTGCTAGTCATTCAACGAGCTTTTATCATATTTGTTGGGCAGAAATTCAAGTGTTTGGTGGGCAAAAATGCGTTTCGAATACTATCCATAATTATATGGGGCTTATTTTCAATCTATCGTATTTTCATGATTCTTAAATACCGAGAAATAGACAATCGTGGAAGGATTGAACCTCGCCCAGAATTTATCGGATTATATAATTTCACAATATCTTCATCGATTTGCACTTCAATATTTTGCACAATTTTGTACAGTTTATTATTTTATCGTCTTTTCAAACAGCGAAACAATGCGCATTTTTGGGAAGTTCCTGAAATCGCATTTTTATATGAAGGTGTGCCAATATTGATGAGCAGAGTTCTGGTGGCTTTTTATACTTTTGAACCATTTTCGGATGATGTCAGCTTTATTGAGAAAATCTATAATTATGACATACGTTATCAAATAATATCGATAGCTTTGGTGCAATTTACGTATATTTTTGATGTCACAACCATTCGCAAGTTTTTCAAGAGAAGAGAAAGAAGAAGGGTTGATCTAAATCCAACAAATCATAGCAGAATTTGAGATTTGCACCTGGCAGACTTTGAACTTTAGCTTTTTAAATCAGTCCATTATTCAAAAAAATGCGAAATTTCACTCTCGCTTCTATTCCCAGCTTTTCCATCATGGAAAAACTTGTATTCTCCCAGAAAATGCTGCCAGTTGAGTTGGCAGAAGAGCCGCAAAACATCACATATTTCCTGTGTGCTTTGGCGAATTTCGGAGTGTTTTTGATGACGTGTTGGTATTGTGGAAAAGTTCAGAGAAGGCGGGGAGAAGCGGTGAGTTTTTTTTTTGTGGAAAATTTTTGATTTCTGAAAAATTCTCTCTGAAATCCACCTGAATTCAAATTGTTTTCTGAGTTTGTAGAAATAGGAAATGAAAAAAAATTGAGAATGATAATGCCACGTCATAGTTCACGCTATTCTAAACTGCGTGGAATTAGAGATTTTAATTTCAGATTTTCTTGAATTACGGCAAATCAGATTTTATAAAATTAAAAAAAAATCTGATTTGCTGTAATTCAAGAAAATCTGAAATTAAAATCTCTAGGCAGTTTAGAATGACGTGAACTATGACGTGGCATTATCGTTCTCAATTTTCATTTCCTATTTCTTATCCCAGAGAACAATTTGAATCCAGGTGACTTTCAGAAGAATTTTTCAAAAATCATAAATCCGCGCGATTTGAAAATCACAATTCACTTTAAAATACCCCTTTTCAGAACCTCATTCAATCCACCATCGACCAAATCTACATCGTCACAATAATCCCATCAATCGGTTGCTGTCTAGCAGTTTGCCACGTCATCCTTAACCAAGTCTTCCACCATATTCCATCCTATGATGACAACATCCTTGGTGTCGCCGTCGATCTTGAATTCCCCGAAAACTTTGTTCATTTTCTATTCAACGTTATCTATATTCTCTACTTACTTGGTTATATTCTCCTGTTATTCTGCTGTTTTCTATTCTCAAATATGCTGGATGTTTTGATAACTCTTCTGGCGATTCAACGAGCTGTTATCATATTTTTCGGAGAGAGCTGGAGGTTTTTGGTGAGCAAGAATGCTTTTCGCATGGTTTCTGCTGTTATTTGGTGCGGTTTTCTGCTGAATCGCATGGTGGTTTATAAAAAATTGAAGGAATTGCAAAGAACCGCTGAAAAAATCGTAAACCATCCTGAAATTATTTTATATTATAATTTCACACTTGCTCTATCAATTATCTCCACAATATTCTGCACGATCTTATATATTTCACTATTTCGTCATCTTTTCAAGCAGCGAAACAATAACAGGAAACTTTGGGAAGTTCCAGAAATCGCATTTTTATATGAAGGGGTTCCATTATTGATTACTAGAGTTTTGGTATCCTTTTACACCTATGAACCACTGACAAATGATGTGGTAAACTATGCAAAAAGTATGTATAATTATGAGATTCGCTATCGAATTATATCAATCGCTTTGGTTCAATTCACATATATTTTTGATATTTCGACAATTCGCAGGGGTTTCGAGAAGATTTTTCGCGCAAATTCAATCAATTTGAGTCCGTCAACTCAAATCTAAAAAGGCAAGAGCCTCTTGCCTTTTTAATTTGCCAAGAGGAAATTAATTCTTCACCGTTGACTTTGATCTAACTCAAATCCGAGTAGTACAAAAGGAAATTGGTTTTTGAAGGATCTCTGGCTTCTGATTCCATTTGATCAAAGATGTACAAAAACTGGTTGAAAGCTTCTAGATATATTTCAATTTTCGGCTATGTTTCAACAATTTTCCTCAATACTTTGTTGATTGTTTTGACTGGATGGTTTCTCAAAAGAAAGTTGGGAACATATAAACATCTTATCATTATTTTCTCAGTTATTGGAATTGTTTTTGAAAGTTTTGGAGTTGTATTTCAACCGGTGAGTGAAACTTGTAACATTTCTCATCCTTATCCTTCAGATGGTACTGTTTGCCAACTCAGGATTCATGGGTTTTCTAAACGTGGAAACCCAACTTTTCTCCCGGAACTCATTAACAAACATTCTGATTATCTACAACTCCATATTTTATTCTTCCACATCATTTCTCGCAGTCATGTTCATCCATAGATATTTTTCTGTGGTTAAACCTGCGCAACTTTTTCATTTCCAACAAAAACGCATAACCTTGTGGATTTTATATTCATTTATAACTGGCCTGATGTTCTACATTTCTTGTCGATTTTTCTGTGAAGTTGATAATTTTGCAACTGAATATTTCTCCGAAGAAATGCTTAACAGTTTTGAAAGACTTGTCAGTGAGACCCCTGCAATTTCAATCATCATTAGATCCGATGGTCTTCGATGGAAAGATCTAACATTCCTAATATCAACATCACTAATTTTTCATCTGCAAAACGCGATTATTACTCAGAAAATGCGCTGACAGCTAGCACGCGAGCCGGCAGACGGCCGTCGAATTCTGATACTAATTTGTCAGTTTGCTAGCTCGCAGACAGCGCCTGCTAGGTTCTGCCAGCTAGCAACCTCGCGGCCATCTGGCAGAACCTAGCAGGCGCTGTCTGCGAGCTAGCAAACTGGCAAATTAGTATCAGATATCGACGGCCGTCTGCCGGCTCGCGTGCTAGCTGTCAGCGCATTTTCTGAGTTATTTATTGCGGTTTCAAGATTCGTCGAAAAATGTATTCGAAAAATAACAAGTATTCCCCAGAACTTCTAAAACTTCATAGGCAGTTTTTGAAAACTTTGGTTTTTCAAGTGCTATGTCCGACGGTTCTATCATTCATTCCATGCTTTATAATCTTTCTTCTCCCGTTTCTCGGAACGCGAGTTGATTTTCCAATTGGTATCGTAGTTTCTTTGTGGGAAATATACCCTCCGTTGGATTCTTGTATTGTGATGTATGTTATCACAGATTATCAAGCGGCGATGAAAGGTGAGGAACTTTCCACGTCATAAGTCGAAATCCCAACCTTCTCAGATCTCCTATCAAGAAGTATCTGCAAAACAAAACCTCAGACACGCTATGTTGTCAAGTATACTACCAGAACCACAATAATCACGGTATTCTAATTGCCACTGTTGACTATTGTGTTATCAGCAAAGAAAAAAGCCCGCCATCAACTATTATTTATTTCATTTTTTTTATCAAACATGTTTCTCATCGGTCTAACATTAGTATTTATTTTTGCTCGAGCTCAAGAAGAAGACGATGTATTTTCTTGTAAAATTTTGGATCCTTTAAAAATGCGAATCGGAAATACGATCTATATTCCGGCTAATTCAACAGCCCCTTTTGCAATTCCTCCGAATTTTAATTGCACTTACAAGGTACATAGATCAATTAATTAGATTATTAATTAATCACTTAATTACTTACAGTTCCATGTCCCTTCATCAGCCTATCTTCGAGTTTCAGTCATCAATAATTTGGCCGATTCTGACTCGATAGAATTTGCAGATTCTCTAGGATTCCGAAAAAATATGACAAAGTTAGTGAGTAAAGCCTTCACAGTATTCCTTCAAAAATCAATATTTCGTTTAGTCGCGCAATTGCCAATGAGGAATTCTTCGCCACAATTGGCGAGGGTTATTTGAGAGTTCAGACGGGGGCCGGTGGAAGATCGAAAGCTTTGCTGGAATTCGAGTGGTTGAAGTTGCCAAGTTCTCAGAAAACACAATACGTGCTGAAAAATGCGTCGGGTATTTCGATAGATTGCCAAGATTTACAGCAGAGTCCGATCACTTTTACAACACGCGATGCAAATGAGACGGTGAGAAAGCAAAAAAAAAAGAAAAAAATGTTTCGCTCCCGGGTGGGCTCGAACCACCAACCTTTCGGTTAACAGCCGAACGCGCTGCCTATTGCGCCACGGAAGCAGACGGATACCCTCGCTAATTTTTAGTTGACAATAACATTTTTGTTTTTTCCCAGATTGCTCTCTCAATTGCTCATTCCGGTTTCATCCTCGACAATTTCGATAGTTTCTTCATTTTCGATGGAAATGATACGAATTCGAGGGTTGTTGGGAGAATGTCGAATTTTATTTTGACACAATTTTCGCCGACAAATCAAACGGCCACGATTTTGGGGTTGACTTCCAAAACTGTTTATTCGAATTTGATGGTTAATGTGAAATCTAGTGAGTTCTTGTGGCCTAGGAAACATTTTGGGGGTTCTAGGCCAGCATTCTTCAAAAATTGTGAAATTTAACCTGCGCAATGCGAGAGCAATCTAGAATATTCCGTGTTTAGACTCAAAATGATCCCCTTAATCTGAGCAATGTCAAAATTTCAGACCTGGCACGCTACCAAAAGTATTCCGCAGTTGTAGTGATCGATCAACAAGGTGCAACCCTAGATTCAATAAACCAAACCGTCGCCTTCACATTCGTCGCCAAAGATTCCAATCAACTCTACATGACATCGCTGAAATTCAACGAAATCGAGACGAATAATTGCAAAGTCAACGTGATTTCTGGAACACCTTCACCGATTTCCACCAATCTCCTGTTTTATACACCAAATTCACCGCTGGAGCATAGTTTCCCGCAACAATTTCCAGCCAATTTATTTTCGATTGAACTCACTGATTGCTCGATTTACATGGTGATATCGAAGAATCAGCCGAAGAATTTTTATGAAGTTGAAAGTGGAAGAGTTGGCTATGCTTTTACGCCTTCCTATTTGGATGCGAGTCAAACTTCGGAACTGAATTTCACCTTGAGATCTAATGATACGCTGACTTATTCGACGGTTGTTGAATCGGTGGATGTTTGTCAGGATTCGCAGTTGGCTATTAATGTTTATAATTCGAAAGGCATCTCGGCGATGAGTATTGTGTGAGAGATTTGGAAAAAATTCTGGGATTTCAGAATTTTCAGCTCTTAAAAAATTGAATCCTAGGTTCGAAAATCCACGTGGCCCCAATTTTCAATGTGTCAAGTGCTCCAATTCCACGTGGCAAAATTCTGAAAATTTGAAATTCAAAATCAAAACTTTCAGAATTAAAAATCCACGCGGCAGAACTTTCTCTGAAATATCTCAAATTTTTTTTATGTTTTAAAATTTTCTGACCCACGTGGCAAAATTTCTGGAATTTCAAATTTTCAGCTTTTGAAAAATCAAATCCTAAGTTCAAAAATCCACGTGGAACCAATTTTCAAGTTAAATTTCGGCAAAATTCTGAAAACTTGAAATTTAAAATCAAACTTTCAGAATTAAAAATCCACGTGGCAAAACTGTTTTGAAATCAATTTTTTTTCGTTTCAAAATTTGCTGATTTTAGAATCCACGTGGCAAAAAAATCTGGAAATTCAGAATTTTCAGCTTTTAAAAAATCCTAGGTTCAAAAATCCACGTGAATTTTAGTGCTCCGATTCCACAAGGAAAAATTTTTCTTTCTACTTTTTGCAGTCAAATGTTTATAGCTTGAACCCCTCTGCCACGTGGCAAAATTATCGATTTTTCCAGAATAACCGGAAATCAAACAGGCGGCTCAGCTCAAGCCATCGGAACATCTGTAAATATTCAATTCAATTCCAGTCAAAGCACATCGGGTTCGGCGAAAATCCGATATTTCATCGGCATCAATTCCAGCTTCTCTGCTAGATTTTCAGCCAAATTTTTGACTATTTTTGTCGTATTTTTCATCAGTTTTCTGTGATGAGAATGAAAAATTAAAAAGAAATTTATGAGAAAAAAAATCATTTTTTATTACGTGACACATTATTTTTTTGTTGGCTTTCAATTCATTTCTGTTTTTTAGTGCTGCGTGGAAATGGTGGATTTTAAAAAATGTCGGGAGGTTGGTTTTTTGGGGGCGGGGGGGAATTGGGGGAATCCAGAACTTTTTATTTTGAAACTTGAAAATTTTTGTAATTCTATCTCTAGCTTCAAAAAAAAACACGAAAATTTTTTTTTGAAAAAAAAATTTGGGAATCTTTCGAATTTTTCTCCACAAAATTGTAGGTGGAATCTGTTTTGGCTATAAATTTTATTGTATCTCACTGGTTGATTTTTGAATCTGAAAATACATATTTTTTTCCGATTTACAAAAAACCACAAAACATTTTTTTACCACGTGGATATCTGAATCTAGAAATTTTCAGAAACCAAAAAATGTTGACCGAAAATATTTGAATTATAGGAAAGCGCTCAAACATTTTTCAAAAAATGTCCAACCAAAATTTTCGAAGCTCAAAATTTGAATTCAAATTTTCGCCATGTGGATTTTCAAATTAAAAGTTGTGATTTCAAATTTCGCCACGTGAATTTCAAGAAAATAAAATTGAAATTCCGAAAAAAATTGACACGTGGATTTCCCAAATCTCTAATTCATTTTTGGCGAACAAAACACTCCCTGTCACTCTCTATTGACCATTCTCAAAAAAAAAAAACAACAACCAAAAAGTTTGGCCACTTTTATTTGTTTAGCCGGTAGATACCAAAATGAACAAAAAATGGCGAGAGATAATGAGACTGTGAAGAGACGCAGAATGCAGAACAGCAAAAAAAACGCACTTTTTCTTTTCATTATTAGGCCACTTTTGCAAAAAGACTAAAATGATGGACCTAGGTTTTTTGAAAGCACGTTTTTTTATTTTTATGAGTTTTTTTTGTTGGAAAATTTTGAAATGAGGTTTTTTTGAAGTAAAAAAAAATTTAAAAATTAGGATTTCTGAAGAATTTAGTAGATCTTGAAATTTTAAAGGGTTTTCAAATTTCGAATATTTTCTCTTGGAAACCCTGAAACTCTCTTGCCACGTGGATTTTTTTCTGAAATTTTTTCACAAAATTTTCAAAAATATTTCGCCACATGATTTTTTTCAAAAAAAAAACATTCAAATACGATTATAACTTTTTTTTCGCGATTTCCCATGTTCATTTTCGTTTTTACCCACGCGAAAAAAAATCTGCCAAAATCGATTTATTTCATTTTTGAAACATAAAAAAAAAGATCGTGCGAAAAAATTTCCGAAAAATAATTTTTTCCTTTCGTTCAAACAGGCAGGCGGCTGATGTGAAATCAAAAATAAAACATACCTTTTTGTTATTTTTCATAATAATAATAATTTCTCCCACATTTTTTGCTGTGCGCCCCCCGTTGCCACGACACCCAAAGTGCCGATGAGAAGCGGAAAAAGAAGCCTGGGGAGGGGGGAAATAGAAAATATGCTGCTATTTTCTAAATCACTTTTTCTATTTACACACAATTTTGGCACATTTTTGGAGGCCTGAAATCTTGAAAATTCATGCCAAAAATGAGCAGCTGAAATTTTTAAAGCAAATTCTGCGAATTTCTGATTTCAAAAATTTTTTGTTACAAAAAAATTCGATTTTTTCTAAACATTGAAAAATCATATGATATTTTTTTCCTAAAATTTGTGCTGTAAAAATCCACGAGGAATATTTAGCGTTAGAGACGCAGAGAAGCTAGACAACCAGGAAGTAAGAGACGCAGAGAATCCAGGGTTTTCAAGAAAGACGTAGCTTCTCTGCGTCTCTCGCAAGCCCATGTTCTCTAACCTATCTGCATACCTAACATTCCCATGATCTCTAACCCCATTTTTTTTCTCTAGCTTCTCTGCTCTCTCCACTATTTTTTTTCTTCAAAATAATCCCTCCCTGTTTTTGACAGCTTTGTATTTACTAGATTTAATGTCAAACGCTCATAATTCCACTTGAACTACACGATTTTCTCATATGTTTTTTTTCTTCTTCGTTTTTTTTTCACTATTTTCTCGGCCATGACCCAAAAGAACATCAAAATGAATATATAATATGAGAAATGTATCAAAAAAATCTTTGAAAATCTCGCGCGAAGATTTTATCCTAACATAAATTTTCACTTGCGCAATGAACTTTTCGTTTTTAATGTAATTAATTGAATTATTCCTCCCCCAATTTAGCATAACTATAATGGGAATACAAGAAGAAGAAGAACAACAAGAGTGTTGATTATTTATCAACTTTCTCAATCAATTTGAATTCAACTGTACGATTACAACACGTCAGATTCAATAACAGTTTAATGTAAACTGTTGTTGACACAACGCCCACAATGCTCGCTATAAAAGAGCTCAACTTTATTGTTTTTTATCTTTCTTTCTATTTAAAATGTAGCTAATAAATCTATTGTTATTTCAATCGTGGTGTATAATAATTTACATGGTGCATCGACCTAATTGGTGGTCGATTTCGAGAAGAAGACCCGCGTGGCAGGACGAAAAACACCAACGAGTAGAAGTAACGTCGAATGAAAACGAGATTGGAGAGTGAAAAGTCATTATCGAGGAGACAAGGAAATGATTGAACACCGAGGCTTCAATATTTCACTCAATAATGAACCAAGCAAGCGGTCACTAAACGATTCGAGTCGAGTTCGATATGTAGTTATTGGTCTACGAAGAAGATCCCTCAGTTCAGATAATTCGAATCTGGATGAGGTAAAACAATGTCAATTTCTCTCTTTGTGGTGGGGAGGGTTGACTCAACATTAACTTCATGATATGTGGCAGCTCAACAAAACTGCACATAATGCAAAGTCCTACACTTGGGTAGGCAATCTGGACATAAACGATTTATGGCCGAACACATCGAGTGGTATTCCGATCAAAGGAAACGAATATCACAAATCCTCAAACGACAATATGGTCACGCACAGAACCTGTCGTACATCAACAAAGTGGCAAACCAGATCACTAGTATTGGTTCCACTCAACTCAACCACATCAATTCGATCAACTCAACCAACTATCCAATTTTGTGAGGCGGGAATGTTGATTATTTATCAACTTTCTCAATCAATTTGAATTCAACTGTACGATTACAACACGTCAGATTCAATAACAGTTTAATGTAAACTGTTGTTGACACAACGCCCACAATGCTCGCTATAAAAGAGCTCAACTTTATTGTTTTTTATCTTTCTTTCTATTTAAAATGTAGCTAATAAATCTATTGTTATTTCAATCGTGGTGTATAATAATTTACAAAGAGAACTGAATCGTCTTTGTTTTCTTTTCATTTCGCCATTTTTCTTCGTTGTTCGTTGCCCAGTGACGAACATTTTTTGAATTTTTAAAATTTTTCGGCATTTCTATTAGGGCTGATTCACGAAAAGTCAAAGAATTTCGAAAAAAACACTAGTTTTTCGGAGTATTTCAATCAAAAATGATGACGAATCGAGATTTTTGAAGCTTCTGGAGTGATTTCTGATGAAAATTAACCTTGGAATTCACGTTTAGGAGGTTTTGCTGATTTTTCGTGAAAAAAGTTGAAAGTTGAATTTCGAAAAACTCAATAAAATGAGGTGAAGTAAGGTTCTCGAAGTTTATTTTCATCAGAAATCACTCCAGAAGCTTCAAAAATCTCGATTTGTCATCATTTTTGACTGGAAAATCGTTCGTGGGTGCCATAGAAAAGCCTTAAGTGAATCTCAAGTAAGCTAACGTTATGCCAAACATAATTACCAAACCTTAGCTTCAATCATTGGTAGGGTCTATCTTCCTGGAAAGACCCTTGTCCTAACCGAAAAAAATTAGAACTGACCCAAAATTCTAACCAGCTGGAAACATCAACTAAACCTTCAATTATTCCAAAAAGATACTATCGTTCGCTTTTTCGTCCGCCTGCCTAATTATACACTTTTCTTGCCCTTTTTCCCACCACACCGCAAAAAAATCAGCATAATTGTGCGGTTCCTTATCGTGTGTGCCCCCTGCTTGTCGAAAACCAAAAAAAAAATTTATAATGTTATACAAATATTGCAAATGTATATATTGATTTTGTTAGGAGGAGGAAACATATGCGTATTTATAGGGGCTTCATTATGTGTTTTTTTGTCATTTTTCGTTCGGGAAAATATTTTCTACTTGTGAAATTCCACAAAAAAATTTTTTATAGATGTTCCCGCTTCGATGTATCCGCAAAAGATCGCTGGATTTGGCGTTGAAGGCGGTGCTGATTTTCACATTTTGTATGTTTGTTGTGCAGATGACGAGTTCGTATCCGAGGGGTGGATTGACGCAGAGAGAGGTAGGTCAAAATGTTTTGGGGTTACGAGAAATGCGTCAGTGATACAAAGCATAGGCTACCGAATATGCGTCAACATAATTTCCCGAAGACAATAGTCTAGTTTACGAGGCTACCCTAAATGCGTCAGTATTACATCTAGAAGGACTACCAGATATGTGCCTTACAAAAGTTACCTACACAATTTGCGTCAGTAAGATATACCTAGAAAAACACGTCAACCTCCCGTAGATTTTGAAAATAAACCGATACCGAAATAATTTTGTGAGCTCAATTAATTGACCAAAAATGCACCAATCAACCTATTTTTCAGGTTGATCGCCAAGCCGAACACATTCAAAAACGCGAAGATCACCCCGAAGGCCCGATGCTAACGACACATGGAAAATCAGAAAAAATCGTCAAAAATCCATTCATCCCCGAACCATCGATATCACCCAACAGGCCCCCGAATTCTGGATTCTATAAGAACATCTTCATACACTTTGATCTTAAAGGTGCACCACCCAAAGTTCCATACTTCAAGAAACTGCTGCAATTGATTGCGGATGCCGGAGCAACCGGAATACTTTTGGAGTGGGAAGATATGTTTCCGTGGAAGGGGGAGATTGAGAAGTTCAAAAGTACTGATGCCTATTCCGATCAAGATGTCGAGGAGATTTTGAAGTTTGCTGTGAGCTTAAAACTTGAAATCGTCCCGCTTGTTCAAACTTTCGGACATCTTGAATGGATTTTGAAGTATGAAGAGACTAGAAAGTATCGAGAAAACGACATGTATCCGCAAGTGCTATGCTTGGGAAATGAGGAAGGTGTAAAGCTGGTGAAAGAGGCGGTACGACAAGTTATCGAAACTCACAAGAAGTTCGGGTTGAATATGATGCATATTGGGGCGGATGAGGCGTTTGAATTTGGGGTTTGCAAGGATTCTGTTGAGTGGATCAGGAAGAATGGTGGGCAAGGTGGAAAACAGTTGTTGGCTTTGGCACATTTAAAGAATGTGGCAGAGTTTGTGAAGAAGACTGCGGGAGATGAGATTACGTGAGTTTAAAAAAAAAACAAAAAACATGAAAACTTTGTGAAATTTCCACTATTCAATCATCGAATTTATACTTAAAAGATGCGCAATTTCAAGCTGATCATTTTTATATGCTTCATCAAGCTTCTTCTTCTCGGAAAAACCCAGCAAAAACGTGGGAAACAAACTTTTCGAAAAAAAACACGAAAAAACAAAAGTAAAACAACGATACTCCGCTAGCCTGTTGTTTAGCGAGAGTAGGCGTTTGAATTTATTTTTTTTTCATTTTCTGTTTCTCGCCGTAATTTTGCGCAAAACCTCAATTTTTTGCAGAGTTCTTGCCTGGCATGACATGCTCAAAGACTTCGACACTCGCCTCATTCAACAACTCGATCTTGGCAAATTTATTGAACCGGTTGTCTGGGATTATTCGGAGAATATCGTCACATTGAACGATTATATTTTCTCAACATTAGCCGAAAATTTCCCAACGATGTGGGCATCGTCAGCCTATAAAGGAGCGAATTATCCATCGGCTTCGCGATCCGATATTGGACATTATGAGAAAAATAATCGAAGATGGCTGACAACAAAGTTAGATCAGGAAAAGAAGTTTAAGAATGGGTTCCATGGGATTATTATCACCGGATGGCAAAGATATGATCACCTGGCTGGATTATGCGAGATTTTGCCGATTGGCACGGCTTCTATGATTTTGCAATTGCAAATTGCGTTGGGCGGAATAAATATGGTGAGATTTTACTTTTTTTTTCAAGAAAAAAAATTTTTTCTTCAGAAATCTGAAGATTCTCGCAACTCCGCTGCCAAAATCCTCAAATGCTCCGGCTTCCGGATTGATGGAACCACAGTTGTCTCAAATTCTTGTGATTACCCTGGCTTCCAAGCGTATCTTCAATATCAAAGTGTAATTCCAAACGTGTTTACGAATATTCAACGAGAACTTGCTGCAAATCATCATCTGATGGGTTGGGCGAATCGATATAATGTGAAGTATAGTATTTCGCAGAATTGGTAAGGTTTTTCGAGGAAAATCCGTCAAATTTCACAATAAAAATCTCCAGGTACCATCGAGAAATGCTTCCGTTCGTTGAAGGACTATTAGGCCAGTATAATCGAGCTGAGCAACAACTTCGAGAATCGATGAAAGATCTCTTCTTCCAAAACACCATTGATGAATTCATCTTCGAAAATCTCGGAGAATTATCGGAAAAAGTGAATGGCTATGTGGAAAATATCAATAAACTTGACAAAATTCGCACGTGGCCCAAGAGAAATTTCGAGATTTCAAGGTGATTTTCAAGTTTAGTGTTAATGTTTTCTTGTTTGTTTTGTACATATTACGAGTCGATCTTTGTGATGTATTGTTTCATTTTCATTGTAACACAAATCGGGTATAAATTTTCATATTTTCATGGAGCGAAGACTGCATCTTCTGCACTGATACTGTCTGGGGCGAGACTTTCATAGGAGACTGGAGCCGAGTTTTGATAGTCGTTGTATTGCGCGAGAATTGTGAGGAGGAAAAATAGAAAGATGAGGGGAATCTGCAAAAAACTGTGCGGTGGTTGCATTTAGGCCACGCCCACATTTAGGATGAGGAGAATTTTGATTTTTTTCGGTCTGGCGCCAGAATTTTTATTTTTGAAATTCCCTCTGAAATTTGATATTGTTGAATTTTCCGCCAAAATTTCCACGTGGTTTTTTTTGCGCCAAAGTTCAAATTTTCGAAAATTTGAAGATTTCACAAATTTTTAGCCCAAAAATCTTCAAACCCCCTATTTTTGCCAAAATTTCCATGTGGATGTTTGGCGGCAAAATCGAGATATTCAAATTTCAAAATTTCGTTCTGATTTCATTGTGAAATTTGAATTTTTTGAATTTCCCGCCAAAATTTCCACATGGACTTTTTGGAGCCAAAGTTGAAATTTTTGTGCGGCGGTTGCATTTAGGCCACGCCCACAGTTATGGAGAGCGGAATTTGAAATGTTTCATAGTTTGGAAAAAAAAAACTGTGCGGTGGTTGCATTTAAGCCACGCCTACATTCAGGATGAGGAGAATTCGGAATTTTTAAGGATTGAAAAACAACTGTGCGGAGGTTGCAATTAAGCCACGCCCATATTTATGGTTTTATTAGATTCTAACGTTAATTTTAGGCCATAATGTTTGTTTGATAATTACAATTTTGAAAACTATAATTATTTCCTAAAGCCTTAAAGCTCCTAACCTTTTCCTTAACCCCACTAACCTTATTACTCTCCATAGAACTCAATAGACGAACTGCTTTGCGAAGAAGAAATTTGATAATCCGAGTAGCTTAAAATAATCACGAGTAATATTAAAAGTGAAACGTATTTGAACATAGCATTTACTAGAGAGTTTTGCTAAATTTGCCAATAAATACTTTAAAAGTAAAGTAAACATTAGTGAAACAAGTTTATTGAAACACGATGACAAATTCAATTTTATGCTCGTTTTTTCTTGTAATAGCTGCTGTAGACAAGCGGTTGATGGTAGGCTTGATAGGTTACCGTGGGCTGGTGGTAAACTACTGGCTGGTGGTACACCATAGGTTGATGGTACACTACGGGTTGATGGTAGACCATTGGCTGATGATAGACCACAGGTTGATGTGGTTGATAATAAACCGGGCGAGACACCACGGTGGGTTGGTATACCAATTGTTGGGTGTAGCCACCAAAGATTTGGCCGGATGTAGTGAACACGAACGCCAAGAAGAAAAATACCCTGACAAAAATATATATGTTCATGATCTCTTGAAACAAATAACTTACAATCTATAAATCATGATAACATGTACTAGTAATTGATAGATAAGTGGTCACCCTATCATTTTATACGGACTTGTCAATGGCAAAAAACTTCCTAAGGGAATCAAAAATAAAAAACAATTGGGTTTGATTTTTGTGAATGATAAGTGCAATTGATGTTGAAGTTTGTTTCGGGCACATTGTACCGCAACGCACACGCAACGCGCGCAAAGTTTTTTGCTCGAAAAAAACTTTTTTCAAAAAAAGGTCATGATCAGTGAATGGTTCAGTGTTTTGTTAAGTAAGTAAACGTTTTAAAAACAAATATTGTACTATTTAAAAGTGGGTCAAGAATTACTCATTTCAAAAAAAATAAAAGAAAAATGTTGGCAAAATTCTATTTTCTTCTATTATCCTTGGTGTTTTTGATGGCTAACGCGCAGAATTATGATTATACGCAAGATGTGTCGAATCCAGCGAGTTATGAGATGCAGGATAGTAATGGAAATGCGATTGCTGGAAGTTATGATGATAATAGCATTTCGTATAATAATTATTGATTGATTGATGTATTTGAAATTGTGAATAAAATAATTGGTATTATCAGATTCGTTTGCGGAACGTTTTCATCGCGTATTTGTCTTCTCTCTTGGTAGGAACTTTGCAGAAGAACATCTCTGAAACAACTAATCATACCGAATTCTTTTGTAATCTCTCCGAACCTTTGATAGCTGCTCGATAATCTGTGATCACATACATCACAATAATTGAGTCGATTGGAGGGTATAGCTCATATAGGCATACAACAATCCCACTGGGAAAACTGTGTTGTAACTCAAAAAATGGGAGGAAGAATACGAGAAGTGTTGGGATGAAGAGTAAAACGGTTGGAGTGAGCACTTGGAAGAGGAGCGTTTTGAAAAACTGCTTATGAAGTTTGAGAAGTGCTGGGGAATATATGATGTTTTTTGAGTAGAGTTTACGACGAATCTTGCGGCCGCAATAGAAGATTATCAGGTTTTGGATGTTTATAATGATCGAAGAGACGATGAGAAACATCACATTTTTCCATCGAATTCCAAAGTCATCAAAAATGATGACTGAATTCGCACCAATCTCACCAACACCTTTTCCAAACATCTTCACCATTTCTTCGGAGAAATAGATTTTTGAAAATTCGTCAACCTGACAGAATTGGCTTGCTGAAAAGCACAAGATTGCTCCGATGAATAGTGAATAGGAAACCCAGAGAGTTATACGTTTCTGTTGGAAATGAAACAATTGCTCAGGTTTGGCTACAGAGTAATATCTGTGGATGAACATGACTGCGAGAAATGATGAGGAGATGTACAACGATGCACCGTAAGCATAGAGCAAATTTGTTAATTGGTTGGGTGTGAATAGCCAGGTTTCAATGTTCAAAAAACTCATGAATCCTGATTTGAAAGATAAAAGCATCTGAAGAACCAAATTTTCCGTTATCTTACCGGTTTTTGAATTTTTTTTATCTTACCGGTTGAAAAATAAATCCCAAAATGTTGAAAACCAATCCAATTATCGAAAATATTATAATCAGATGTTTATAAGTTCCAAACTGCTGTTTCAAATACCAACCAGTTAGAATTATCAACAAAGTATTGAAAAATACTGTGGAAATGAATCCAAATATTGAGATATATCGCGATATTTTCAAATATACCTTGTACATTTTATAAATAATGATAATGAGAAAATTAAAAATCAGAGATGTCCTCTGAAAATTTAATTTCCTATATCATTTACATTCTTTTAATAGATTTTTTTGCTTGCTTGAAAACAAACTGACATGGAATTTTTAGAAAGAACCCTATGAACTTTCAAGTAAAATAATTTTGTATCTACTTTACCTAAACTGACGATTGGATTATAGTTGTTGGACTCAAGTCAACGCAATTTTTTTTCCTGAAAACATTTCTCATTGTCTCGATGTCGAATAGATAAGTGAATTGAACAATGGCAAGCGATATAATTCGATATCGTATTTCGTAATTATAAATGTTCACGCTATGAAAATCCGAATCTTTTGAGAGAGGTTCAAGCGAATAAATTGATACGATAAGTCTAGAAATCAACACCGGAACACCTTCGTATAAAAATGCGATTTCAGGAACTTTCCAAAATTGGGCATTGTTTCGTTGTTTGAAGAGGTGATAGAATAGTGAAATGTATAAAATTGTGCAGAAAAATGAGAGGAATATCGATAGAATAATGGTGTAATTGTAGTATTGAACAATTCCCGGGTAGTTTCCAATATTGTGAATTCCAATAGCTGAAAAATAATAGAAATTTATACTTATTGGTCCACCGTTAACCTTTTTGAATTACGAAAACTCGCTGCAAAATAAGTGCACCCCAAATAATAGTGGTATTTATTTGAAAAGCCCGACGGCCAACTAGAAAATGCCATTTCTCATCCAAAAATATGATAACAGCTCGTTGAACTGCTAACAAAGTTATCAAAACATCAAGCATATTTGAGAATATAAGATAACTTATGATTATTATTGCTAAACCGATCAAAAACACATATTGAACAGCGCAAAATAATTTATATAGGTTTTCTCGATAAGAATCATTCGGATAAAAATCGTAATTCAATATGTTTTTGTCGTATTCGGGGAGGAAATGGAATATTGAGGTGAGAATGACGTGAAAAACTACTAGACAACAACCGATTGATGGGATTATTGTGACAAAATAGATTTGTTCGATGGTAGATTGAATCATACTCTGCTGCAAGTAAACTAACTCATTTGAGAGATCAAAAACAAAATGAAACTCACCGATTTCGAACGATTCCGCCGATATTTCCGATGATATCCAAAAGTCATTAGAAAAATTGCACAATTCCCAAAGACACATAAAATATAAGGTAGATTTGGCGGATCGTCGGAATGCATTCCACGAAATACTATTAGATGTGAGATTGCGAGTTTGTCAAAAATAGAGCCAGGATGAACGAAAGTTGGTTTCGGAATACTCATTAACTGGTTCAAGAAGAAAAATGAATGGGATGAAGTTTTTTCAGCTGTTCTGGTTACTACTGACATGTCTACTGAAAAATGATTTTAAAAATTTTCAATTTTCAGCTGCTTGGTCAAAAATAGAAGACAGTATGTCGCATGAGTTAAGGGCTCAAAAAAACTAGATCATGAAAACAACCAACTTGTATTCTTTTGGTCTCCGATCAAAAATTAACATTTTTATTTTTATTCCACGAATATTCACTTTGTTTAATTCATTTCTTTCTTGTTTTTGTCTAGCTTCATCTATCTATAAACAAAAAAATTATATATCATTTTCCTTATAAAAGACAAGATTTTTGGTCAGCTTGTTCAGTTTTCCTGAATTTTCTACCTCTTCCAAATGTTCGCTCCAACTTTCCTCCGCGTTATTCAATATACCGGCTTCATAACTTCTGAACTCTTCAACATGTTTCTAATTTGGTTGATACTAACAAAAATCAACAAGAAGATTGGGTCATATAAAAATCTGATGTTATCCTTCGCGATTTATTCAATGATCTATGCAGTTATCGAAATCTCTACTCAACCAGTAATGCATTCGAAGGGAACTATTTTTATATTATTTGTTGATAGTTTTTTCAAAAATTATATGGGATTTGGGATAATTCTTTTGAGTAAGTGAAGAGCTTAAGCTTTCAAACTATAAAAATTGATGGTTTCTAGGCGTATACATTGGCACATTTGGTCTCTGCATTTCCCTGCTGTCCTGTCATTTCATCTACCGGTATTTAGCAGTTGTTCATCCATCAACTCTAGTCTTCCTTGAAGGCCGCAAACTTTTTTTGCTCTTTATTCCAAGTATCATTTTTTCCGGAATATGGACTACTACTGGATATTTTTGTCTATATCCCTCTGAGCTCAAATCAAAATTGTTGAAGTGAGTCTTGAAAATGCGCTTGCTCTAAAAATGCCCACTTTTTTCAGTGAAACAATTTATGAGAACTATGGTGTGAATATTTTCGACACTCCTAATCTTTCACTTCTTTATTATGTATGTTAAAGCTTGGAAAATCTATAAATCAAAAATTTGCTCATTTCAGCTCATCGACAAAAATGGAAAAATAAAAATCTATTCAGATTGCATACTTTTCATCGTAGCTCAAATAATCATGGGTATCTGCTTAACAACAATGATTTTCTGCGGCTCCAAATGTCACAAAGCCCTTCAAGGAGTCTCGAACATGAGCGAGCGAACCAGAAATCTCAACAAACAACTTCTACTAACTCTTGTCGTTCAAACGCTTGTCCCACTTTGCACAATGTTCACACCAGTTGCATTTCTATTCATTTTCCCGATTTTTTCGATTGAATTGGGAACTTGGGCGAATGCTCCGGGAATATTTGCTGGCATATATCCAGCACTGGATGCTCTTATTGTGATGTTTATGATTAGAGATTTTAGAGATGTGGTTTTATGTGAGTTTTTTTTTGGATTTTGTTTTGTGAAAAAAATGTGAATAAGGAATTTCAGGCAAATCTCGAGAAAGAAAAATCAACATCTCATCGAGTGATGGAAAACTTCAAAACTCTAGCTCATTCAAATAATTTTAAATTTTTCACCTTTCTTTTATTTGCAAAAATGAATTTTTCATTGACAAAAATTGCAAGAAATCTTGCTTGGTTTAGAAAAAATTCATAATTGAACTTGAGTTGTTGGACTCAAGTCAACCTGATTTGTTTTCCTCTTCCTTTCCTGGAAAAATCTGCGAATCGATTCAATATCAAAAATATATGTGAATTGAACCAAAGCCGTTGATATTACTCGATATCGAATTTCATAGTTGAAAAGATCGACATAATGATCTTCTTCAACATAAATCGAAAGTGGTGCAAATGAATAAAAAGATATAAAAACTCTGGTGATTAATATTGGAACACCCTCGTATAAAAATGCGATTTCAGGAACTTGCCAAAAATTCACATCTCCTCGCTGTTTGAACAGATGATAGAATAGTGAAATGTATAGAATTGTGCAGATGAATGAGGTGAAAACTGATAGAGAAATTGTGAAATGATAATATTGATTAAGCACTGGGTTGTTTCTCAATATATCGCCATCGCTTGAAAACACTGAAAACAAGTTTAATTTTTTTGACACTTAGTATTTTGCAAACATTTTTTCAAAAAGAAGATTCGTTCAAGACCGAAGGTGCCCCAAATAATAGTAGTATTTATTTTAAAAACCCGACGGCCAACTAGAAAATGCCATTTTTCATCCAAAAATATTATAACAGCTCGTTGAACTGCTAACAAAATAATCAAGGCATCAAGCATACTTCCGATTAAAATATAACAGCACATGATAAAAGTGATGGCAATTATGTAAATTAGTTGGACAAAACAGAAAAGATAGTAGATATATTCTTGATAGAGATTGAAATAGATTTCGAATCCCATTATATTATTATCGTACTCCGGAAGAAAATGAAATATTGAGTTTAGAATGACGTGTAGAACTGCTAAGCAACAGCCAATTGATGGGATTATTGTGACCAAATAGATTTGATCGATGGTGGTTTGAACTATACTCTGCAAACCTTAACCGTTGCGCTGCACATTGTAATGGTAGATGACCTCCCAGTCATCTCCATTATGTATTTCAATCATAGATAGTAACACAATTACATGTATAATATTTATTACAAGTAAAATATGTTAACGGCCGATGTATGTGGCAACATAGTAAAGAATGAGCTTCTTAGAGAGGCGGGGAGACACATGGGTGCACATGCGTGCACATGTCTCTGCGTCTCTCTAGGAGGCACCACATCCCCCTCCCGGTATAAGCCAGCGTCCTCGCGGCTGTATTATACCGAGACGGATCTGTTAAAAATTAACATAAAATCACATAAATAATAAATATTCCTAATTACAAACAAATTGGTGTTACACTTTCAAACAAACTAGTTATACATGGATTCTTTAGATCTTGAGACTATGTTTATCTATGATGAAATGAGTTCTGTCTATTCGGGCGTCTGGGTGGAAAAAATGAAACATGTGAGAGAATACAAGTGAAATACAACTTTAAAAATTTCCAACTATTTAGATATTCAATTTTCAATAATTAATCATGGGAAGAAGCAGCAAGAAACCACGATTCGTTTTCTTATTAGGGAGAGACAGAAACCTAATAATCAAAACATTGAAAATATACTAGGTACAAATGGAAACAACACACAAAACATTTGCCTAGAAAGATAATACGAAACATCACTTTTCTTTTGAAAATTCTTCTTCCTCTAAGTTAATTCCCTCGACAGCTCCTTCTTCGACCAAGTGCAGATGGCGCATGTTGTTGGCCTGCAGATCGATAACGTTGTTGAGAAAAATGTAGATTCTCTCGAAGTTACGAATACTTAGTTTTTCCAGACGATACTAGATGAAATATTTAGACAGAAAATTGGTCAAATGTGTAGCGATAGAATAATTTTGACCACGGAATAGTTCGCGAAATTTTTAGGGCTTTTGTTGGAATTGGGAGGCCCTAAAAATTTCTTCCCTCGTGTGGGAACCTCCATGTAATGGTAGATGACCTCCCAGTCATCTCCATTATGTATTTCAATCATAGATATAACAACCTTTACATGTATAATATTTATTACAAGTAAAATATGTTATCGGCCGATGTATGTGGCAACATAGTAAAGAATGAGCTTCTTAGAGAGGCGGGGAGACACTTGGATGCACATGCGTGCACATGTCTCTGCGTTTCTCTAGGAGGCACCACAACATGAAACGCAGACCAGAAAAAATTATTGTTTTCTTTGAGAAAGTGAGAGAGTGAAAATTATCATGTGGCGCAGAAGAGACGCGAGACGAAAAAGGGATATTTTTTCGCTGTGAAACACGTCAAGAGAAAAATTACTCACATTTCTTCCTCGATTCTTCTGAAATTTCCGATAATAGAATACTGTCATTAAAAATATTGCACAATTTCCAAAAGCGCATATAAAATATGGGACATTTTGAAATTCTGAATAGGACTTCCCTAAAATAATTGTATTGTGAGAGAAGGCGAGTCTGTCAAAAATAGAGCTTTGATCAAATCTTGCTTGACGGAGGAAATTCATTTAAGAATGAAAAATTTTAGCGAAAAAGTTTATTTTTAATTTTCAGCTGCTCGTGGAAAAATCCTTAAATTCGGAAATTCAGCTGCCTTGCTCAAAAACGGATTAATTTTGAGTTGATGAGCTCAAATCAATTGCATTAGTTCGAATTTTTCGATTTTTGCAATATCTGCGGATTGTTTCAACATCGAACAGATATGTGAATTGAACTAAAGCCAAAGATATAATTCGATAATGTATCTCATAGTTATAAATATCAACAGCGTGTATTTCAAATTTCACAAGTGTATAAAATGAAACCACTATTCTCGTCACCAATAAAGGCACACCCTCGTATAAAAATGCGATTTCAGGAACCTGCCAGAAATGAACATTGCCACGTTGCTTGAAAAGATGATAGAATAGTGAAATGTATAAAATTGTGCAGAAAAATGAGGACATTATTGATGCAAAAATGGTATAGTAATAGTATTCGAATACTTCGGGATGATTGTTAGCTCCCAAACCATTAAATCCAATTTTGATAACTGAAAAATAAGGTGTTAAGAGATGCCTAAATGAAAGCTGCAAACTTTTTTGAATAACGAAAATTCGTTGTAAAATAAGTGCACCCCAAATAACAGTGGTATTTATTTGAAAAGCCCGACGACCCACTAGAAAATGCCATTTCTCATCCAAAAATATGATAACAGCTCGTTGAACTGCTAACAAAGTTATCAAAACATCAAGCATATTTGAGAATATAAGATAACTTAAGATTAAAAGAATTGCAAAACCTGTGAAATATATCACTTGAACTATGAGGAAAATGAAATAAATGAATAATCCATATGGTTCGGAATAGTAATTATCGCCTATAACTTTATTATCGTACTCGGGGATGAAATGAAATATTGAGTTTAGAATGACGTGGCAAACTGCTAAACAACATCCAATTGATGGGGTTATTGTGACAAAATAGATTTGGTCTATGGTGGTTTGAATGAGACTCTACAACAAAAATGTAACCTCCAGGCAATATACCTATTTATACATAGAACTCACATCTGTGTTCTTCTTATTCCGCCTAAATTTTCGATGATACCAAAAAGTCATTAGAAAAATCGCACAGTTCCCAATGATGCTCAGATAATACAGATAACTTTTTGAATCTTCTTCACCAATACTCCAGTATACATGTGTGAATGCGAGTTTGTCGAAAATTGACACGTTTGGACTATGGATTACTTCAGAGTAGTCCGAACTATACATTTCTAGAAAGGGAAATGAAAAAAATGTTTTCAGCTGCTAACATAAAATGTCTCGGGAAAAGAACCGCAATTGTGGCAGCATTTGTCGCAGCGCTGCGGCAATTTGTCGCATCGCTGCAGCATTTTTTTTGTTGCAACACATGCGCCAGAGTTGCGACAAAACTCGCAACTGTTGCGTGAACTGTTGCGGAAAGGGGCGCAACTCTGGCGCATGTGTTGCAGTGCCGCAGCGCTGCGACAAATGCTGCCACAGCTGCAGTAAGTTGCGGTTCTTTTCCCGAGGTGTTTTTAGTTTTAAAGAAAACACGTCAACAACTGAACGCTGACGTGTGAATTTTCAGGCCAAAATTGACAAAAAACCTAAATTGTGTATCTTTATGCACGGTACTGTGTTGAGAATATTAATCTAGACTCTGATTTTTTCAAAATTAGAATTTTTTATTCACAATATCAGAATACAAATTATTCTCGCAAAAAAACACGACGAGCTACAACACTTCCTGATTGTAGAGTGATAATGAGTTGTCCATTCTCAATCCATCGAGTGAATGTCGAATCCTTGTCCGAGTCCTTGATCTTCTTTTGAGTGTGGACAAATTTTCCATTCTCGAAAATCACCAATGATTTGAGAGTTCGTCCATCTCCGGTGGTCTCTTCGAATTCCTTAAAACTCAGAAACTACAAACTACCGTAGCTTTTCCTTACCTCTCCAAGTTTAAAAGACATTAAAGTGTTTTTAAATGTCGAATAATGATTATAATGCCAAACATCTCCTTCAACTTTGATTTCCAAAATTGGTTTCAAATTGGCCACCGCTTTTCTGGTGATGAAACCAATTCCAACTTCTTTCATGTATTCTTCGAAGTTTTCGGATTCGACGAGTTTCCATCTTCCAACAAAATCTTGAGTCGACATTCTACTATCAAAGTAAAATAAATTAAAAATTCTTTGTACATAAACTGAAAAAATAAAAAAAAATCCAAAAATATATTTATCAAAATCAAGAGAATCAAGAAATTGTTTATATAGCAAAAAGCTGAGCACGTGGTGTCTGCCAACTTAGACACGTTATTTCGTGGTTTATGTTTTCGGAAACGTGAACCGCGTAGTTGTGGCAACCTCCCCTCTCTCCCTTGCAAAATGCGGCAGAGAAACCGGTGTTGCAAAACGAGAGAGTGAGAAAATCAGAGAGAGCGGGAAAAGAAAAAGATTACAGGCGGAAAAAAATAGTTTGACATTCAGTGTGTCTTGAGGCTCATTATCATACATGGTATCTTTGCCCAACGGACCCTCCATTTTTGGTGTGATTTTAAAGTTGGTCTGGGATTCAAAGAGCATCAAGGCTTCAAATACTTGTATCTTTCAAATGCAGGAAATCGGACGTGTTTGAAATGACTCTTGTGCTTCAAGTTGCAACACCTACAATTATACTATTCATTCCACTTTCAGTTATCCTAACTTTCCTAATTCTCGGAATAAATTCTGAAATTCCAACATTTGAGCTAACTTAAAGCGCAGATCTGCTGCACTTTTCAGCCGAAGTTCTCCCAGTTTTTAAAAATAACACAATAGGACAGGAAATTAGTTTTTCGTCATTTATTACTGTATTATTACTGTATATAAGCCTCCCCAGATAATTATTTATATCATTTCAAAATGTATACCACTTTGATGAAAATATCTCGATACATCTCAGTTTTCGGTTTTGCTTCTACAGTCTTATTCAATACTTTATTGATCATCTTAACTGGTTGGTATTTGAAAATCAAGCTTGGAGCGTATAAACATCTCATTATTATATTTTCAATAATTGGCATGGTTTTTGATAGTTTGGATTTCATATTTCACCCGGTTTGTTAATTTTGTTTAGTGGTATTTATGAATTTTTTCAGACACTTCTGTCAGTTAATTCGGGATTCATTGCTTTTGTGAACATGGAAACCAAATTATTGAGTAAAGAAACCTTGACAGTTCTCATAAGTATCTATGGAGCATCATTTTATATCTCCACATCTTTTCTCGCAGTCATGTTTATCCATAGATATTTTTCTGTCGTCAAACCTGCGCAGCTTTATCATTTCCAACGAAAACGAATAATTTTATGGGTGTCCTACACAGTCTTCAATGGTTCTATTTTTTTCTTCACTTGCAATTTTCTATGCCGAATTGACGAGTTTTCAAAGAATTATTTTTCCGAACAAGTTTTCCAAGCTTTTCATGAACATATTGATGAAATTCCGGGAGTCACAGTGATTGTTGTTGATAATTTTGGAATTCGATGGAAAAATGTTGTGTTTCTAATTATTTGCCAATTAACTCTTATATTTCAAAATATTATCATAATTTATTGTGGACGAAAAATTCGAAGAAAGCTCTACTCAAAAGATTCGACATATTCCACAGGTCTTCGGAATCTCCACAAACAATTTTTCAAAACTTTGGTGTTTCAAGTTGTGACTCCAACAATTCTTCTATTCGTCCCAACACTTATTTTATTTTATCTCCCCTTTTTCGGAATTCAAATGAATTTTCCAATAGGTGTCACATTTTGTCTTTTCACATTATACCCAGCTATTGATTCATGTATTGTGATGTATGTTATTACTGAATATCGAAAGGCTCTGAGAGGTTTGGAAATTTTTTTAGGACTTTTAAAAAATTTTGGTTTCAGAATTTCTCCGCGATATTTATGGGCGTCGAAAGGAAACAAATTTGGATCAACGAAATGAAATCAGATTGAAGAGCATGGTTTAAACTAGTTTTAAATTCTGAAAAATATGGAGCGAGTTCAGCTGCAACAGAAACGGATAAATGCTCATAACACTTTTTAAAAAAGTTTTAGTGATTTTTGCAGACCGAAGTACCATTGAATCATGGAACTTTCAATACATATTCTTTGAAAACTGAATCTTTTGGAAAAAAAATCTTTTCTCACAATAATCTATGTATCAATTTTATAGAATCAAATCCTGCAAAACAAAAATCAATCATCAATAAATAATCTTCGAACAATTTTGGAATTCGAGCAAAGTTCTGGATATTTTAGAAATATGAAAATAAATGAAAAAGAGGATGAAACTAAAGTTTAGAAAATAAATTATTGAGAATCTTAAGTTTGAAATTGAGGGTGAATACGAGTTCATTGTTCAAACAAAATGTGTATTATTTCAAAGACCAGGGGCGGAGGCTATAGCCGGCTTGTCGAATATTAAAAAAATTATGTCAAATCCTAAGATCTTACTTTATAAGATCAAAATCATTTGTTCCGCTTACAAAAGGCAATAATTGAATTATATTTTAATGTACATATAAGAGACAATTTTTTATAAAAGGGCTGCTAGTTTCTAACTTTATCATTAAATTATTTACATAGGGGCGGTGCTCCTAGGTGAAACAGTCAGAAAATCCTCAAAAATTCTAAATTTTGAAGAAAAACCTATTTTTCGCAGCGGAGCTGACGTGAAAAAATATTTCTTTTAAAGGGGGGGTAAGACGACAAAATTTTATTTGCTCAATGAATCGGGCTCCCTTTGAATAGTAAAAGCCCCAGGGGATTTTTTCTCGAAAGGCCAAAAAAGGTCCGAAAAAAATATTCCATGAACTTTTTTCAACGTATAGCTATACGTTGTCCGAAAGTTTATGGAATAATTTCAACGTATAGCTATACGTGGTACCTAGTTTATGGAACATTTTTTCTGAGCGTTTCCAGAAAAAATCCCTTGGAGGTTTTACTACTTTTGGGGAGCCTTTAACTTTGCGACAAAAAAATTTTGTCGTCTTACCCCCCCTTTAAAAAAGTTACGCCTGGGAATACAAATTGTGAAGTTTAATGAGACATAGACTATAAAAAAAAATAAAATAAAAACAAAAATGAAAATCGCGTGCATAAAACTATGAAAAAATTAATCTTCCTATGAAATGTTTCATAGTTTGTTTTTCAATAAAATCTGGAAGCTGATCCTTTACCATCAAGTGTAATTCAGAGCTTCATCTAATCATTTAAACATAGTAATTTTTAAACAACTTTCCTCTAGCATCAATAGTAATTATGAATTAAAAACTTTACCCAATATTTTTCAATGAAGCCCTGATCTCACCTGTTAGTTTTGTTCCCCCCCCCAACCTCTAAATAAACTAACGTGACTGGCCCGCTTCTGTGAAAAGTTGCTGATTTCTTTGAATGTCCTGTCCAACCGAAACATCGTCTTGTTCGGAAGCCTGAAACTTCGACATTCTTTTTCTCAAATTCTTCGCCTATTCTTAAACTTACATCAGAAAATGACAATTGTGAATTTGATGAAACCCTTGAATTCTGTGACTGTTGTCTCTGAAAAAAATAAGAAAATTAAAAAATGTACCAAATCACCCCATTTATAATATTTTCTGCGCTAAAAAAAACAAAAACAAAATGATTCAGTTCGAAAAAAAAACGTTCAATCAATATCTAGTTTCTTTTCAAATAAAAAACATATATCTCTCTCCCTCTCTCTAACCCTCTCTCCATTTCCCACACTCTCTCGTCTACCCTGCAAACAACAACAAAATAAACACGCTAAACAACGCGCACGCGGAGTATCGTTGTTTTTCTTTTATTTTTTTTGCACGACATTTTTATTTTTTGTTTTTCTTTTCTGGTTTTTTGAGTGGTTTTTTCAGCGCAGAAAAAGTTATTAATGGGGTGATTTGGTACATTTTTTAATTTTCTTATTTTTTTTTCAGAGACATGTCGACAACAATCTCAGAATGCAGTGGTCACATAAAATCCACAATTGTCATTTTCCGATGTAAGTTTAAGAATAGGCGAAAATTTTGAGAAAAAGAATGTCGAAGTTTCAGGCTTCCGAACAAGAAGATGTTTCGTTTGGACACGACATTTAAAGAGATCAACAACTTCTCACGGAACGGGCGAGTCAAGTTAGTTTATTTTGAGGTTGGGGGGGAGGAATAAAACTAACAGGTGAGATTTGAGCTTCATTGAAAAATATTGGGTAAAGTTTTTAATTCATAATTACTATTGATGTTAAAGGAAAGTTGTTTAAAAATAACTATGTTTAAATCATTAGATGAAGCTTTGAATTACACTTGAAGCTATAGGATCAGCTTCCAGATTTTATTGAAAAACAAACTATGAAAATATTCATAGGTAGACTAGAGGCTTCACCCCTAGTTGAGCGTGTCTCCCAGGCAAAAAAAAAGATTTTTTCTATTCCTGATTATCTGGGTCACGTGAAATTCCGATAAATATATATTTATCAAAAGTTCTTCGTTTCACATCTGCACGCGTGGTGTAGTGGGGAAGAGCTCTGTCTTCTATTCAACCCGCCTAATTTTGTGGGTTCGAGTCCCACTGCTCGCTGTTTTGTCCCTGTATTTTCTAATTTCAAATTCTTCAGAACAAATTTGAAACACATACTACAAATATCGCTATTATTAATAATTTCATTTTCAAAAAAAATTGAAAAAAAAGTTTTTGAGAGCAAATTATATAAATTTATGAATAACATCCAATCGATGAATTAAACCTCGCATAAACTGCAAAATAAAAAGAGATCGGTGACATACGCGGAACATCGTCGTATCTTGCATCAACATGAACACACTTTATATCATCTCTTTGAGGATATTCACAATAATGTGGCCCTGAACAAGGAACTGGGGGTGCTCCAGCATACATGTATGAATAGAATTTTTTCTGATAACAATCTCCGATCACTTGTTCATAGAATCGTTCTTGTGGTAATGTTTTCTTGAGAACTGAATTCACTTTTTTGCGCATTATTTTCCAATCATGTTCGATATTTTTCAACGTGTTCTCCTTTATTATCGAAAAGTTCGAATATTTATTTGATTTTGGAAACTTTTCCAACCATTTCATCCTTTTCAAATGAATTATCTTGTTTTCTTGAACTTCAATTTTCTTCACATTTTGATAGGTCCAATGAATCCACGTGTAATTCATCACTCTAGGATCGGTTACAATTTTTCCAGTTTCTCTTTTATCTTGTTGCTCCAAACTTTTGAGCATACTTGAAATGGAAAAATTGTTCAAATCATTAACAGTTGAACCATAATAATTTTGTTTTTCATATAACAAATAACTATTTTCTGTCACGTTTTTGAAAAGAATTTTGAATTCTTCAATGAATGTTGGTCAAGTTTAGGAATAAGAATGTCATCCAAATCAAGACATGTAACGAATTTCGCGGTTTCCTGAAAAATTCAATTGTTTTCGGAGCCTATAAACAATTCCAACTTACTTTATACTTCAAAATACAATCCGTTTGAGCAGCTGCCTGATTTCTAAATTCAACTTGTTGAAAAGCGTCCAATTCATTTTTATCAACTCCAATCATTTTGATAGTAACCCAAGGCTGAACTGTTAAATAACCAGCATCTTCGTAAATTCTTATAAGATCGAAAATTGAATCAATCGAACTTATATAATATAAATTCACAAATCCTCCGAATTTTTTATAAATATGCATTGCGAACAAAAAATTCTGCCAATTTTCAGCCACAAAAATTGGGGATATACAAACTACAACATCGTATTTTGTAGTTGGTGGAATTGAAAATGGAATTGCTACTGAAGTTTGATCATCATCGCCAAGAAGTTCAACAGAAATTGTGTTTGGTAGAAGTTGCACGGTGACAAAAACTGTTGGCAGCAAACACGCATTGTGATCCATTGTCACTCTTTCATAAGGTGTTGTGATGATTTTTGAAGACGTTGAATTGATAGCTCTTATTGTGACCAGTGGTTTTTTCTCAATTTCATACAACTTGTCATCAAACCAATATTTTCGCTTTTGATTTATGTTCATCACAAGGGCTAGCGCATTATCACCCAAACTTTGCGATTTTGGATAATAATAGGATGATGTTATGAATGCTTTGAAGTCTCGAACATCTTGTTTAATTAGGTGATCTCTGCAAAAAAAATATTTGTTTTTTCCTGGTCAGAGCCCAGTTATCCTCACCTATATGTTGGCTCAATATATCCTGATAACTGAAAAATGGCAAAAATTGAACATAAAATAATAGTTCGTATTTTCCAGCTGATCTTCCACATTTTTCACTGATACCTAGATTAATAATGAGTGTTTCATTGAAAAGGGGTGGATACAGTTTTGGACTTCATAGATAAATCGGAAGGGTAGATTGTTTCGAGAAGATATTGACACAAACTGGAAATTAGATCAGACTTTTGCTTTTTTCGAAAAATCGGATGATGGCAGCTATTTTTTTAATAGCGAGGCGCTTGCTCTCTTGAACTCCTCATTGGCTCGGTTGGCTGCTCAGATCCTTAGCTGCTCAGTGGTTCCATGTTCGAGCTTCGTTCAGAAACTCAAGCTAGCGGCTCAGTTTCATTTTGAAAAAAATTTGAAATTTTGGATCAAGGTTTATAACAAAACATCTTTTATCCAGTTTTTTGTGCTATGATGTCATACAAAGGGCGGATGTTTTAACAATAGTTCTTGAAAATCTAACCATTTTTTATATTCAAAGATCTGAATATATAAAGTTAAAATCTAGAAATAATTTGAAAATGAAATTATTAATAGCGATATTTGTAGTATTTGTTCAAATTTTTGGTGAAAAATTTGAAATAAGAAAATATTTCGAATGCGCTGATGTCTATCAAAATGCTGATTTTCTTGATATTTGTGATAAAAATATAACAATCTATAAATCTAAACAAAGAAGTTTGCAAGCTTATACTTCATCAGCAAAAAATGTATGGTTTTTTGAGTTGAATCTTGATATTCCAATGGACACTCTTTTGAATTCTGATCAATTCTCAATGATTATGAAAAATGCAATTATTGATGAAGTTAAAATATTGGAGTTGGGCGATCTTGAAACACTTTTTATTCATAAAAATATATGCATTTTTACTTTGAATTTGGATTTTTGGCCACAAATTGAGGAATATGTTAGACAATTGATTTTTGATAGAAAATTTGTAGTTGTTTTGAGAAATGGTGAAATTGTTTTTTGGAATTTTAACAATATTGAATGTTTGCAAAATAAATAAATTTGGATTTTTTTGAAGTTGTTTTTATTTGTTTTTATTTTGGGTATTTCTTCGAATCAATTTCAGTTCATCAGAGTTGGAATATAAGTCAAAGCCACACTTTTTTCTGTTTTTTTTCTGAAGCACTCGAAACTTTAGGAACAATAGAAAATGCAGTGTTCTGAGTATAAACCACCAGCTTTTCAGGTTTTCAAAAACCTAGAACACAAGGCGACCTCGTGGCTATCGATCTGATGGCGAGTTTTGAATTCATCTCCAAATCGCTGAATTTTTCATTATCAAAACTGAATCAATTTTTTTGAATGAATGGCAAATGTGTCAAGATCATAATTATGATTATTTTTTTAAATTATTATTATTTTTATCATTTTTCATAAGACAGAATTAGTGAAAACAATTTATTTTTTGGAACAATAATTTCCAAAGATCTAAATCGAAATTTGAACCGATTTCCCCAAAGAACAGATTGCGACATTAGATATCAAGGTTTCGGAAGAATAACTTTGAAAGTTCAAATTTTGATTGAGAATTTTGTGAAAAAATAAACGACATCCTACACGATAGATTCGAATTCGTTGATTTCGAATCCATTGAGCAAATCTGCAAAACTCATTTTCTTTGCACAATAAAAAATGTTTTGCCTATAAAGAATGTCTGACATAGCGCAGCAGTCGGGTTTCTGGATCCTAAAGTGAACTTATAAAAATTTTACTGAAAAAATAACAATTTAAGACGCCAAAAATTAATGTTCAGGTTCATTTTTGAATTGCAATCAAGATTTGACTTTGAGAAAAATTTTGAAAAAAAAAACCACAGCGTGAAATTTCAATCTCCGCGGAAACATCTTTACCAATTTTTTGTTCGTTAACCTTCAGATTCAATCTTAAAAAAATAAAAAAAAAGGTGTTCGAGCAGAAAAAATACCGTATTGCTGGTTTTTTTATAAACAAAAGATTGAATCATGAAGATTAATTTAGGTTCTCTATAAATTGCCGTGTTCTGTCTGCGGTTTTCACAGTTTTTCTTTCAGAAATTACATACTTATTTGTTTTGTTTATTTTTTTTTGTTTAAATTAATAATTTTTTCAGTCAATGGAAATTGAAAAGTTGACAGACAAAGATTGTTTGGTTTGTAATAATCCATCAAAAGGAATGCATTTTGGAGCATTTACTTGTAGAGCATGTGCTGCTTTTTTCAGGTAACATAAGAAATATTAAAAACATTTTTATATAATTGAATATTTTTAGAAGAGCTACAGTATTAAATTTGCAATTTGAATGCATTAATAAGAATAATAATTGTACTGGAGATAAAAAACGAAGATTTATATGTAAATCGTGTCGATTTTCAAAATGTCAAAAAATTGGAATGACATCAAAAAGTTGGTTTATTTGATTATTTATTAAACAAATTTCATTTGAATTTTTTGTAGAATTTATATTAGATTATGATCCAACAACATCAATGAAAGATTTATTTGATTATTATTTAACAAGTGATGAATTAAATTCAAATTCTATGACAAATTCACCAAATTGTTTGATATCTGAAGATGAAAATAATATCAATAATAATGATGATATTCTATTCCATTTTTCACCGAAATCTTCGAAAAACCCAAATGCAATCATTGATTTTTCGGATTTAACACAAAAAATCGAATTAATATTTGATTCAAATAAAAATGGAAAATACGAAATTTCAAATTTTCAAAAAAGTTCAGTAATTGTTGAAATAAATCAAATGGAAATATTTGATATGGTTAATTTATTGAAAAATGCTATAATAATTAAATGGGCAAAATGGATCAATTCATTTTGTTTATTAAAAACAATTGGAAAACAACAAAAAATGCAATTATTTCGAAATTCTTGGAATATTCTACATATTTTTGAACGATTACAAATAACATCAAAATATCAAGAATTCTACAAATCAAATTCTATTTTAATTTCTGACAGTTTATTATGGATTTGTGGAAAAAGTCATTTTAATGTTTCAAATATTTCCGATATTACTAATAGATATTTCTCAAAGTGAGTTTGAATTTTTCAAAAATTTTGTTAATTAATTTTATATGAATTTACAGATTATTTGATCCATTTCTTCAAAGATTCATTGATGAAATTGGTCAAAAATTATATGAAATTAAAATAGCAGACCAAGAATTAAAATTCTGTTTAATTCAATTATTAGGATATGATACAACTGATTTAACACAAGAAACAATTGAAATAATTGAAAAATTGAAAGATGAAATTGCCGATGAAATGCATTATTTTTATTCGAATTATTTCAATTTAACTAATTATTCATGTCGATTAATTAGATTATTAAATATTGTGAAAAATATGAAGGTTGGTTATTGAATTTGTGAAAGAAAATGGGTTCTATTCAGTTAATTATAATTATTTCAGAAAATTATGACCGAAAAAAATAAAATCAAGGAATTATTCTACATTTTCGATATTTTTCATGCCGATATTTCAGATCATTATTTTTTTGATATTTTTTAATTTACATTTATTGAATCATAAAGTTTTTTGTTGCAAACACCTATTTTATTTAAAAAGTAGAAAACGATAACTTCGCTTTGATTGGAGAACAATCACAGAATTCACAATTTGCTCAAAATATAGTTATGACGTGGCAAAGTTGCCACCAAAGCAAAACTCGAATTTTTATCATGATTAGTTATTAAAATTATGTATTATTATTTTTATGTATAAATTTTTCTGAAAACATAACTTCGAGACGCCGAAAATTAATTTTCAGGTTAATTTTGAATTACAATCAAGATTTCACTTTGAGATAAGTTTTGAAAACAAACCGCAGTGTTCTTTCACAATCAGAACACAAGATCTGGGTATAAAAATTTAAGAAATGTTTTGTGATCATTCAAGTTTATGTTAGAAAAAATAAGTCTTTTGATGTTTGGAAAAAAATGAGACTATGCGAAATCTATTTATATTATTTTTCTATATCATTTGGTGATTCATAAGCTTTTCAAACAAAAAAAAATTTATGAAAAAACCAAAAAATCAATTTTTCAATTTCGACAAATACTCCTGATTCTTTATAATACTTTCATAATCCTTGCGATATTTCTCATCAAAACTACTATTGATCATATTATAAGGTGAATCCAAATGTGATCGATCAAATTCGGGAAATACCAAATAATCATAAAAATACAATTTATGCAAATATTCTCGTAATATTTTATCATTTCTAACTTTTTCTTCAGCTCTTTTTCGCATTTCTGAATTATGTGTTGAATGATGAGTTTCAGATGTCAATAGATTTTCTTGTATTTTCGAAATATACTTTTCTGGCACATTTTTCCGTTTCAAAATTTCAACAAATTTCGAAATTGGCTCTTTTCTTTCGTCAAAACTCGATCCAATAATCATAATATAATAAACATTTCGAAATTTGTTAAAATCACAAACCCAAGTAGTTGGCGTTGCATGCATATCCATATATGTTGAGTTATTGAAACTTGATTCAAGTTGCTTCTCACCTTTTGAAATCTTCAATAAACTTTCATAGATGTTTTTAACTACACATCGCAAATCTTCCGGTTCACAATTATAACATTGTTTTTCGTGTAAACATTTATCCAAGTAAAATGAGATGAACCTATCAAATGGGTCTCGAATAAATACAAATCTTGTATTCTGTGAAGTGTTTCGAAGATTTTCGGCGAAACCTCCGAATCCATTTCTGTCGTATGGATTACAAGATCTGAAAATTTTCTCACTCTAGATGCTCTGCGTCTCTTATTTTCCATACCTCTCATTCTTCCACGTCTCATTAAACGAATGATTTCCGCTCAAAAAATGTTCCGGGTCATACAGTAGACACATTGCATTCGTCGTCATTTGAGACATTGATTTTCTATACAAACATGCCGTGAGATTATATTGAGGTACTGTCAGATAATCGGCTCGAAAGTTGCCCATATACGGTAGAATGAATTCGAGTTGTTCACTTTGCTCCTCTGTCTCAGCCAACTTTTGATAGTAGAAAAAACAACAGAATATTAAACATGAGAATAAAAAACACACATTTTTTCCCACCATTTTGTTTTTGACCAAAATCAGAAATCCCAGTCCTTTATGAAGGATTGAATGTTTCCAGTATTCAAGTTTTTAGCTACCTGATCTTTCGAGCGATAAAAATCAGTGATTTTTGAAGAAACAACCAGAATTTGATTGGAAATCGGATAAAAAGAAATATCTTGAACTCTAAAATAAAGTCGTAAATTTTTTAAAAAGTAGATCACATTGGTTTGCATTTTTTTTAGTTAACACGGTGTTTTCGCATGGAAACAGGTACAAATTTTCAAAAATCACAAATTAAAAATTCTCCGGGATTTTAATTTGTAAAGGTGTACCCGGAAAACGGAAATTTCAAATTTCAGCACTAAATTTGCTGTAAAGCTCATTTTTATCTGGAATTTGTCCATTCACAAATGATTTAGTATCCACTTGAGACGGTTTCAGTTGCAAAAATCGAAAAATGTTTTTGAAACTCTGGCAATTTTGAAATTATTACTATTAAAAATCACTTTCCGGATTTTCCGGGTAGCACGTTGGAACATACATGAACTGGGACTCCGAATTCGGAGGTTAACTTCAGGTGGGTTTTTAGAGGTATTTTAGAGTATTTTATGCTTTTTGTGATAAAAAATCAGCAAAAAATGAGTTAGGGGGGTTAACTTTTCAAAAATTTCCCCTGGAAGGGGGGTTAACTTAAGAGTTGGAAATCTAATGGAATTTTCTGTGAAAAATCCGGAAAAATTAACCAATGTTTCAGTTTTGGTGGAAAATCAATTTTGGAAATTTGCAACAGAACATTTTCAAAAATGATTCGGAACAAAAAATTTATCATTTTACAAAAATATCAAAATTAATTTAACAAGATATGAGCATTGGAATCCTGTATCTTAATATAATCAGCATATTCGTGTTTATATTTTTCATCCCAGTTCGAATTCTGATATTCTGGATCCAAATGTGCGCGGTCAAATGGAAATATCAGATAATCATTGAAATAAATCATGTGCAAATATTTTCGAACTATTGGATCGTTTTTGATTTGTTCAGCAGCTATTTTTCGACGTGGGAATGTGTGAGTTCCATGTTTTGTTTCACCAACTGAAGAAACTATGATTATTGAATATCCTAAATAAAAAACTCACCTAACAAATCATTAACAATCTTTGAAATCAAGTTACTTGGAACACTCTTCTTTTCTAAAATTTTTGATAATTTCAAGACTGGTTTTTTGCGTTCCTCTAAATCGGATCCAATCACTAACAGCTGATAAGTTTTCAAATTTTCTCGAAAATCACAAAACCATGAAGTTGGAGCCAGGGCTGGTCGGAATCGGAATATCGGAATTCCGAAATTCCGGAAATCGACATTTTTTCGGAAGTGTAGAATAGTCGGAAGCACTTCCGAAAGAAAAACTCGGAATTGCTTAAATTCCGACTCTCGTTCCGACTTTTTTTTCATTCCGACTTTTTTGTCGGAATCACTTTCGAAAAATTTCGGAATTTCGGAATATTTGCTTTTATGTAGAAAACTGTGTTTTGAGAGTGAAATGACAGTGAAAATTTTTCCGAATAATCGATAATAGACAAAATTTTGTTGTCTTTGATAAACTTAAGATCAAAATCGACTTTCCGGTAATATTTTTACTATTATTCTTCTGATAACTCATCAAAAAATTTTGTTTAGACCTATTTCTTGCGTATTAGAACTTCCAAAACACTTCCGAATTACTTCCGAAATTCCGAAAAAAATGTCGGAAGACAAAGTCGGAATTCCGAACTATCGAAAAATTATTCGGAACAAAAAGTCGGAATCCCGAAATTCCGAAAATAAAATCGGAAGTGAAAATGGGACTTCCGAAATTCCGAAAAGCCACTTCCGACCAGCCCTGGTTGGAGCACTATGAATGTCCATATATGAATCCGTTTCATTATTGTGAATTTTCTTTAGAAGTGATTTATATATTTCTCTCACTACACATCTCATATCTTCATGACACTCAAAACAACTATGTTCTCTGAAAATTCGATTCAGAGATGACAAAAATAGTTGATTCATTTTTACCTAACACATTTGTCCAAATACAATGATAAAAACCTGTCGAATGGATCTCTTATAAACACCAAATTTGTGAAATCAGATCTTGTTGTATAATTTTTTGAAATTGTAGCAAATTCTCGATCTGAATATTCGCATGCTCTGAAATCAACCACATTTTGAGATGATTTTCATATTTTCATATTTGAAGTCTAACCGTTTTTTGAGCCATGTGTCATTCAAACTATGATTTCCTCTCAGAAAGTCCTCTGTATCATATAATAAACACATTGTATTAAAAACCATCTGAGACATTGATTTTCGAATTGAACAAGTTGTTATATTATAATCAGATGATGTCTGTGATCAATAAATGTATTAGATATTGAAAAGAAAACTTACTAAATAATCAGTAGTAATTGAGTGGAAAGGTGGAATAAATGTTATATTTTCATCATTTTTTGCATCTGGTGAATAGAACGAAAATTGTTTATCATTAACAAATTCTACAAAAAATTAATAGAAAAGCAATTGTGAAGGCTAGAGTTATGTAATGTATCAAGTCTTTCATTCAATCAAATTTTTGAGATCTATGTTTTGAATAATGTAATATCAACCTCGTTATTTATAAGACATCAGATAGAGATTTCAAAAAAATAGGACAGAAAACAGAGAAAGATTAAGCATCTCAACCGGTTTCTAGAATCAATTATCGAAAATGAATATCGAGTTAAGAACTTTTCTGCTCGAATTATCGAAAAATAATTTCACTGTTTTTTGGATTTTCAAAATTTTGTTTCTAACATAAACTTGAATGATCACAAACCATTTCTCAACTTTTTATATCTAGTTTTTTTGTTCTGACCGCTGCGATTTTTTTTCCTAAATTTATCTCAAAGCCAAATCTTGACTGCAATTCAAAATGTACCTGAACATTAATTTTCGGCGTCTTAAATTGTTATTTTTTCAGTAAAATTTTTATAGCTTTACTTTAGGATCCAGAAACCGGACTACTGCGCTATCCCAGACAATTTTTATAGGCAAAACATTTTTTATTGTGCAAAGAAAATGAGTTTTGCACATTTGCTCAACGGATTCGAAATCAACGAATTCGAATCTGTGGTTTATTTTTCACAAAAATCAAAATTTGAACTTTCAAAATTAGTCTCCCAAAACATTGATATCTAATGTCGCAATCTGTTCTTCGTAAAATGTGTTCCCAAATCAAATAAAATTGCGATCTAGATCTTTGGAAATTATTGTTCCAAAAAATAAATTGTTTTCACTAATTCTGTCTTATGAAATGATAGGAATATGAATAATAATTTTAATAACTAATCATGATCAAAATTCGAGTTTTGCTTTTGTGGCAACTTTGCCACGTCATAACTATATTTTGAGCAAATTGTGAATTCTGTGATTTTTCTCAAATCAAACCGAAGTTATCGTTTTCTACTTTTTTAATGAAATAGGTGTTTGCAACAAAAAACTTTATGATTCAAAAAATGTAAATTAAAAAATATCAAAAAAATAATGATCTGAAATATCGGCATGAAAAATATCGAAAATGTAGAATAATTCCTTGATTTTATTTTTTTCGGTCATAATTTTCTGAAATTATTATAATTAACTGAATAGAACCCTTCTTTTCTTTCATAAATTCAATAACAAACCTTCATATTTTTCACGATATTTAATAATCTAATTAATCGACATGAATAATTAGTTAAATTGAAATCATTCGAATAAAATTGATGCATTTCATCGGCAATTTCATCTTTCAATTTTTCAATTATTTCAATTGTTTCTTGTGTTAAATCAGTTGTATCATATCCTAATAATTGAATTAAACAAAATTTTAATTCTTGGTCCGCTATTTTAATTTCATATAATTTTTGACCAATTTCATCAATGAATCTTTGAAGAAATGGATCAAATAATCTGTAAATTCATATAAAATTATATAACAAAATTTTTGAAAAATTCAAACTTACTTTGAGAAATATCTATTAGTAATTTCAGAAATATTTGAAACATTAAAATGACTTTTTCCACAAATCCATAATAAACTGTCAGAAATTAAAATAGAATTTGATTTGTAGAATTCTTGATATTTTGATGTTATTTGTAATCGTTCAAAAATATGTAGAATATTCCAAGAATTTCGAAATAATTGCATTTTTTGTTGTTTTCCAATTGTTTTTAATAAACAAAATGAATTGATCCATTTTGCCCATTTAATTATTATAGCATTTTTCAATAATTTAACCATATCAAATATTTCCATTTGATTTATTTCAACAATTACTGAACTTTTTTGAAAATTTGAAATTTCGTATTTTCCATTTTTATTTGAATCAAATATTAATTCGATTTTTTGTGTTAAATCCGAAAAATCAATGATTGCATTTGAGGTTTTCGAAGATTTTGGTGAAAAATGGAATAGAATATCATCATTATTGATATTATTTTCATCTTCAGATGTCAAACAACTTGGTGAATTTGTCATAGAACTTGAACTTAATTCTTCACTTGTTAAATAATAATCAAATAAGTCTTTCATTGATGTTGTTGGATCATAATCTAATATAAATTCTACAAAAAACAGACAATTCAAATAAAATTCGTTTAATAAATAAATAAATAAACCAACTTTTTGATGTCATTCCAATTTCTTGACATTTCGAAAATCGACACGATTTACATATAAATCTTCGTTTTTTATCTCCAGTACAACTATTATTCTTATTTATGCATTCAAATTGCAAATTTAATACTGTAGCTCTTCTAAAAATATTCAATTATATAAAAGTGTTTTTAATATTTTTTATGTTACCTGAAAAAAGCAGCGCATGCTCTACAAGTCAATGCTCCAAAATGCATTCCTTTTGATGGATTATTACAAACCAAACAATCTTTGTCTACGAACTTTTCAATTTCCATTGACTGAAAAAATAATTAATTTGAACAAAAAAAACTTTAATAGTCAATAAACAAAACAAATAATTATTTTCTGAAAGAAAAACTGTGAAAACCGCAGACAGAAAACGGCAATTTATAGAGAACCTAAATTAATCTTTATGATTCAATCTTTTGTTCATAAGAAAAACCAGCAATACGGTATTTTTTCTGCTCGAACACCTTTTTTTTTATTTTTTTAAGATTGAATCTGAAGGTTAACGAACAAAAATTGGTAAAGATGTTTCCGCGGAGGAATGAAATTTCACGCTGTGGTTTTTTTCCAAAATTTATCTCAAAGTCAAATCTTGATTGCAATTCAAAAATGAACCTGAACATTAATTTTGGCGTCTTAAATTGTTATTTTTTCAGTAAAATTTTTATAACTTTACTTTAGGATCCAGAAACCGGACTACTGCGCTATCCCAGACAATTTTTATAGGCAAAACATTTTTTATTGTGCAAAGAAAATGAGTTTTTCAGATTTGCTCAATGGATTCGAAATTAACGAAGTCGAATCTATCGTGTAGGATATGGTTTATTTTTTCACAAAATTCTCAATCAAAATTTGAACTTTCAAAAAAATTCTCCCAAAACATTGATATCTAATGTCGCAATCTGTTCTTTGGGAAAAACGGTTCAAATTTCGATCTAGATCTTTGGAAATTATTGTTCCAAAAAATAATGTGTTTTCACTAATTCTGTCTTATGAAAAATGATTAAAAAAAAAATAATTTTAAAAACTAATCATAAATATGATCTTGACACACTTGCCATTCTTTGGAAAAATTGATTCAGTTGAAAAATTCAGCGATTTGGAGATGAATTCAAATAACTTTGTTGTACGAAAATCATGAAAGTATATTCTGAGAGATTCACTAGCCAACTTGCCATCAGATCGATAGCCGACAAGGTCGTCTTGAGTTTTTGAAAACCTGAAGGGCTGGTGGTTTATACTCAAAACACTGCATTTTCTATTGTTCCTAAAATTGGTGCTTCAGAAAAAAAAACAGAAAAAAGTGTGGCTTTGATCTATATTCCAACCCTGATGAACTGAAATTGATTTGAAGAATTACCCAAAATAAAAAAAACTTCAAAAATTCAAATTTATTTGTTTTGCAAACATTCAATATTGTTAAAATTCCAAAAAACAATTTCACAATTTCTCAAAACAACTACAAATTTTCTATCAAAAATCAATTGTCTAACATATTCCTCAATTTGTGGCCAAAAATCCAAATTCAAAGTAAAAATGCATACATTTTTATGAATAAAAAGTGTTTCAAGATCGCCCAACTCCAATATTTTAACTTCATCAATAATTGCATTTTTCATAATCATTGAGAATTGATCAGAATTCAAAAGAGTGTCGATTGGAATATCAAGATTCAACTCAAAAAACCATACATTTTTTGCTGATGAAGTATAAGCTTGCAAACTTCGCTGTCTAGATTTGTAGATTGTTATATTTTTATCACAAATATCAAGAAAATCAGCATTTTGATAGACATCAGCGCATTCGAAATATTTTCTAATTTCAAATTTTTCACCAAAAATTTGAACAAATACTACAAATATTGCTATTAATAATTTCATTTTCAAATAATTTCTAAATTTCAACTTTATATATTTATATCTGATCAGATATTTAACAAAAAATCTAATGTCGCAATCTGTTCTTCAGGGAAATCGGATCAAATTTCGATTTAGATCTGTGGAAATTATTGTTCCAAAAAATAATCTGAAAATTGTTTTCACTAATTCTGTCTTATGAAAAATGATAAGAATAATAATAATTTCAAAAACTACAGGGTGGTCGCGAATTACGGACACAAATTCAATTTGATATTGAAAAAGTCCTAGATCAGTTAGAAATTTAATCTGAGGCAAAATTATTTCCTTTATAGATAATAATTCACCTAAAAACTTGAAATACTCCAATGTGCATCATTGGAGGTGATGAGATGAGGCTGAAGTGAAAAGTGGCTGTTCAAAAAATCACGACCCCTACTTTTACATTATCACCACGATTTCACCAAATGGAGATACTACCCTAGAATAGTATTACTGTGGGTTCAAAGGTACTATAATATACTAAAAAAGTTTAGATAGAAAAGTTTCAAAAATTATTTTCAGTCATGTTCCAGACTGATGAATTACATAGCTCAAATCGGAAAAAAACAGAAAAAAATGACCCAAAAATGAAAAAATTCGATTTTTTTGCGAAATATATGAGGGACTCAAGTAATATTTGTTGTGATTGCGTATAGTAACAGTGAAAACAAGTTTAAATTTCTATATGTACAAAAATGTGCGGTTTGAATCGATTTTAAGCTCAAAATCCTGATTTTCGGCAAAAACCAACCTGTCCCGACAATGTGGGACATAGACAAAGTTCTGAATAATGAAGATATAAATATTTACATGAAATAGGGTCAAAAAATGCTCCTGATTAACCTAAAATCATTTCTAAAGTTCTATTCTCATTTTTATTTTTGTAAAATCACTCCGAAGCAAAATGATATTTTTTTGAAAAAGCACCGTGTCAAAAACTGTTTTTGTCTGATTTCGAATTGCTTGAATGGAGCTATATAACTATTCTGAAACATGATAAATTGAGGTTGAATTTTTTTGAATTTCAAGTTAACCATACTAGTAACTAAGTTCTGAGACGATATTTTTACATTTATAGTTTAAGACATATAACTAAGGTCCAAAACATTCACAACTCGTTGTGTCCGTAATTTGCGACCACCCTGTAATCATAAATATGATCTTGACACACTTGCCATTTGACGTGGCACTTGAAAGAAATTATTTTCAAAAAAAAAACATTACATAATCATGTGGCACATCATTTTACTCGCCAGAAAACGCTGATCATTTTGTGCTATCTCACACCCTTCAACTCTCCCAATATTCCACAACTCCAACTGAACAAACAGAACTCAAGTTCCAACAAGCAGATGGCCTAGCGTTTTCTCGTCCATGTTTTCTAGTCCCTCTCTTTTTATTTTTCGTTTTTTTCTGGTTTTTGTTCGCTTTCTCTTTTTCAATGAAAAATACACGTTTATTTTCTAGATTATCATGAAAATTATACTCTTATTGTTATTCTTCTCAATCTTCGGTGAAGCCAAAATGTTCCGCGCGGATAAAATCAACTATATCTACGCAAAAGCGGCACATCATTTGAAAAACGAGCCAAAAGATTTGAAATTGATTGTGAAACGGTTTGATGAGTTTGACAAGGAATACATGGATATAAAGCATAGTGATTTAGCTCAGGAGAAGTTGGAGAAAAAGTTATTGCAACTCGATAAACAACTCTATGCTTTACTCGAAGAATTTGGGCTAGATCAAACTGTTCAAGCGTTCAAGGAGAAAATGAAGAGTAAATCGGCTTGGCAATTAGCAGATGATGATGGAAATTTTGACAGAGAAAGCCAAATTGCAAGTGAATCATTGGAAAAATTGTGGAAACAAGCAAAACTCGGGAAATTCTCAGAAGCCGAATTTCGAGAGATTTATAATGATTTGAAAGTTGCTCAAAAAATGGAGAAAACTTATGAAGATTTGGTTAGAGATCTTGGAAAAACCCCCGACGAAAATTCGATTGATTTCGATGAAAATCTTATCAAAAACAAGAAACTTGCAGTGAAAGAAGCTTTGCAAAAATACCACGATTTTGTGGATGTTTTGGAGCGCAAAATCACACATCAAGAGGAGATTTTGAGCGAGCAACGCGCGAAAAATCTCTGGAAAAATGCGAAGGATCAACTTTCGCAGGAGGCTTTTGCCAAAATTCGCCGCGAAATTCTAGATTTCGAAAATTTGCTCAAAGAAATTGTGAGTTTTTTTTTCAATTTCGAAAAAAATCTAATAAAAATGATTTAGAAATCGGCCGGAAATTCGGAGAGCGTTGGAAAATTGAAAGCACGTGCCAAAAAATGGGAGGCCTATTTGGAGGCGAAAATCGTTGGGCATACTGAGTTGTGGTGGGTTTTTTTTGGCGGGAAATTTGAAAATATTGAACGGGGTTTTCAATTTGTAGCAAAAAATCATAAAATTAATTTTTTTTCACCGAAAATCAGAAAAAAAAGCTGAAAATCTGAAAATTTTGTATCATAAATCTTAAAATCCTGAAAATGTACTCAAAACGTAGAAACTTCAATTCGTCAAGGATCAGCTCCTAGGCTTCCACTCTGACAAGGAGCCACGCCTTGAGAGCTTCTTCGCAAGCAGTCGTGCCTACATAGACTAGTTCTCAAGTAGTCGCGCCTAAAGAACATAATTTCCTATGACCGGCGTCTTCAGATTCACTTTGACAAAGATCAGCAGCTACAGAATCTAGTTCTGAAGTCGCCTCCCCTAGAGATTCTAGTTCTCAAGCAGTCGCGACTTCAGAGCTTCTTTGTCAAACAGCCGATCCTATATCGACTAGTTTTCAAGTAGCCGAGCCTATACTATTCAATTGTTAAGGATCATCGCCTAGAGATCCAGTGTGATTGACAAGGAGCCGAGCCTTGAGAACTTCTTTGCAAGCAGTCGATCCTATAAAATCTAGTTTTCAAGTAGCCAAACCTATGGGTAACGTAGCCCCAACATCCATCAAAATCATCCCCTTCCCCTCCCAAAACCCTGTTTTTCCAGATGTTGATCTTCCGAACTCTCTTTTGCCGAAGAGCTCTTCTCGTGCTCTCACAATCGACCAAAAACCCTTGCTCATTCATTTCTCTTATCATATCAGAAATTAATATGTGATTCTATTCTCCCCCATTTTTTTGTGATACCTTTTTTTGTTATGTTTTTGTGTTGTCATACTTTCTTCACACCGGCTCATAATCCTATTCAAAAACCACGTGTTTCTAGGCCACGCCCACTTTTTTTCGCAATTATAAAAAGTTGAAAAAATTGGATTTTTTGTAGTCATTTTTGTATTTTTCAATAAGTTTTGATAACTTTTTCAATATCTTCATATGAGATTTTCCATTTTTCATTTCCAGAAGCTAGAAAGTTTTTCCAGGAAAAGCGATGTTCGATCGAGTTTTGTCAGAGGTGAATCGAAAACGAGTGGCTTCGGAAGCCGTGTCGACACAGCAATTCAATGAGAAATTGGGAATGTTTTCGGCGATTGGACAGGAATCCGCGAATCGTGAGTTTTTTGGGGATTTTTTGACACCAAACATGCCTAGGGAAAAATAATTTTTGATTTGCCATGTCATAGAAATTATTGTGAATTTTTTGACACCAAAAATCAAAACTCAGTCAATTTTAAAATTTAATTTTTGAATTGCCGCGTCATGATTTTATGGCCCTAGTTTTCAAAATTTGAAAATTTTTGAAAAATTACAAATTCTGTCCAAACACATGATGCATTTTTCAATTTTTGACGAAATTTTTGAATTTCGAATTTTTCCCGCCAAAGTATTCCACGTGAACTTTTTAACGATTTTTTTTCTGTCGAAAAAATATGGAAATTAATTTCAAATTGCCACGTCAAAAAGTTCACGTTAAAATTTGAAATCCCGAAATTTTTTGATAAAAAATTTCAGAACAGCTTTAGAAATGGCTCGAAAAATTAAAAAAAAAACATGAAAATTAATTTCGAATAGCCACGTCATAAAAATTCACGTTAAAAATCGAAATCCCGAATTTTTCTCAAATAAAAACATCAACAATCTCTGGGAAAATTTCAAAAAAAATTGTTTTGAGCTCATGAAAGTTTCCGGGCTCATTATTTTTCCTAAACCGAAAAATCCCCCAAATTTTAATTCCAGAAAAGAAGCTGAAAATGACACCATCGCAAAAAGTTTGTCTCAAATGTATGGCCGGTGAAAGTGGACACATTACGCATATTTTATCGAGTATCTCTAAATAATTTCGATTTTTGAATTTTTTTCTGTGAAAAATCTCAACTTGTTGAAGTTTGTAAATATATAAATCATTATTTTTTTGCTCATCGATTTTTTGGGAAAAGAAGAGCTGGGGGACGCTTGGGCGCGGCGTCAACAGCTGTCGAAGAATTGTTTCTTTTTATTTTTTTTTTCTGCAGCTGCGCGGTTTATTCTAGATGTTTGTCAAGCTTCTGCTAATCCTTTTCGTTCTATTTTCAACCTTAGAAGCTCGAGAAGCTTGGAAATTAACCTTGAAAGATTTTGAAACATCTGAAATTGAGAAATCAATCAAAGAGCAAGCTAGAGAAGAATTGGAAGAACCACTGCCAGCAGAAGTTTATGGAAATTATTGGCATATTGGAAAACATGAAGAAATGATTAAGGAATTTTTGGAAGATTTGGAATATTGGGATCCGGAGCCAATTCATCAAAGACATCAGGAGTATCTTAAATTAATAGAGAGCTATGTGAGTTATCTTAAGTTCACTTTTGAAAATGAAATATATAATTATGATTTTTGGGTTTCAGAAGACTGGAAAAATCGATAAGAAAGAGATGGATCGTGTTTTGGTGGAAATGCGAAAAACAGATCGTGTGTATTTGGAGAGAAGACACCAAGCAAGAAAATACTGAAATAACTATTTATCGCTTTAATATTTTTCAATTTAATTTATACCCTGAATTTGCTAGAAGTGAAGAAAACAATAAAAAATATCGATTTTTTGCGAAAAAAATTTAAAAATTCAACGAGGGACGAGGAAAATCCTAGGCCACATGTGCGCGCCAACTTTTTCATTCAAAAAAAATTATTTATTTTTTCCGAGTTTAACGTTTTCAAGGAAATTTTCAAGTTTCCAGATGTTCTCGAAAATTCTACTAATCGTATTTGTTCTACACTCCATGTTTCAAGATGAAGAAGCCCGAGAATTGACTCTGGAAGACTTCCAAGACATTGGCAGTGGCAGTGGAGATGAAGATCCAATATCATTCTCCGAATTGGCTAGACAACGTGGATTGAGTGAATTGATGATTTCGAGATTGGAAGCAACACTTTCACCAAAAGATTATAAAAATCCTTGGCATATTGGAAAACATGATGAGGCAGTTGATCAACTTTTGGAAGACATTAAATATCACACGGAAGGAAGAGAGCAAAGAAATAAGGAGGAACTTCAGTTGAAAGCGGATTATGTAAGTGTTTTTTTTGCTGTGAATCGAATCGAACCGGTTTATTTTCAGGAGGCTGGAAAGATCAGTAAGGAAGAGCTGGATGGAGCTTTGATGGCGTATCAAAAAGAAGCTTGTCAACGTTCTTCGAGACGGCGAAAGTGTTAAATATTTTGAAAAACAAGTTGTAAATACACAAATAAATATTCATATACATCATTTAATGCGCCAAAACTTTAGACAATCCCAATCTCGCTCCCTGCATATCGTGAACATGACAATAGGCTCTCATAAATGGTGGTCCCAACATCCAGGCTGGATAGAATCCACCAGCTGTCAATGAGTAGAAGGCAAACATGCATGGTCCGGGTCCAGCCGACACCACGTACGATGTTGATGGCATGTTGTAGGTCTTGCCATTGATTGTGAATTGAATGTCGGGGGCGACGGCATCGCAATCGATGAAGTAGGCGCCGACGAGAGACACGTAATAGGCTCCGACGCTGGAAATGCGGAGTGTTGTAGGAAACACGTGGGATTATCTAGGTCACGCTTTTTTTTTGGAAAATCAGAAAGGATTCGGGCATTTCTAATAAAAAATAAGATTGGAACTAGACTTTTTGGGAAAAAAATCGTGAGTTGAATTCGGTTTTTCATCGGAAAAAGATGATGTGGCAAAGTTCATCATAAACTCACGCTTTCGCCAATCCCTCCACCACAGTCTTTGGTGCACCAATAAACGAAGCAGCAGTGTCAGCAGCCGCCTGCCATCCAGCATTCGATGAATAAGTTCCAGCACTCGCCCCACCCAATTTGAATTGCCAGAAAGTTTTCGACGTCAGCGTGACCCAATCCACCTGGCTCTCGCAATTTGCAGTATCCAAACCGCCAGCTGTGAAAGTTCCACCGTTCAATTGAGATGTTGGGCCGATTTTCGCGAGATACACTACAAAATAGGGTTGATCGAGTTGGCCTTGATTGAAGAGATTGAAAAGTGGCGGCGTTTGCCCGTTGATTGCCAATGCTGGCCAACCGAGTCCGATGATCCCGTCTTCGGGTTGTTTGCCGAAAGCCTCTCCGATTGTTGTAGCTTGACCGAAGATTTGAGATGTTGCGCAGGCTGTGGTGTTGGTGAACTAGAAATATTTATTTTTTTTTATTTGCTTGGCTTGTGAAAAAACTCACACAGAAAGTGTCAACTCCGAAGAATCCCTTAACCTCTCCGGTATTATAAGTCATATCAAAAGCTTGACCATTTGTAACATAAGTCGAGGAGAGTGACGAATTGAAACGATGTTTCGATTGACAAGCATCGGCGGTGCTCAAAATTTGCGGGGTTTTTGTGCAACATTCTTCTTGGCAGAAGGTCAAGCAGGCGTCGTATGGGGTCTGGAAGAAACAGATCTCAAACGATGCTCCGTGTTTACATTAGGGCTGATTTGCGAACGAAAAAACTGTTTAAAAAATGTTTTTGAACATTTTCGAATTTTTCAGTCAAAAACGATGATAAATTGAGATTTTTGAAGCTTCTGCAGTGATTTCTGATGAAAATTGACCTTGGAATTCACTTTTCAGATTTTTTTCAAGAAGCTAAAATCTGCAAAAACTTCTGAAAAGTGAATTCCATGGTCAATTTTCATCAAAAATCACTCCAGAAGCTTCAAAAATCTCGATTTGTCATCATTTTTAGTTGAAAAACTCGAATTGAATTTTTCTTGAGGCCAAAAATATTGTAAACAAGATTTTCGCGCGCAAATGCCACGTGGAATATTTTAGAACTTTCAAACGATGCTCCGAGATTACGCAGGATAGAACATTCGAAATCTCACCGATTTACAATAACTTCCACACGTGGCATCTTTTCCACCAGCGCACGTGATATCCGGAACCCACAAGTTCGAACTTCCGGTATCAATAAAAAGCACAAAATTCTGGGCGGGTGTTCCCAGAGTGATTTGCACCATATACGCCATATCCTCATAATCGATGATTGGTGCACCGGCTTGCACCAATGTCTTTCGGGCGGCCTCTTGTTTCTGGTGATATTCGGCCAATTTTCCCTCAGCCGCCAAACGTTGTCGCAAATTTGGACGATAGCCAATTTGGAATTGGTGAACTTCGGCAGAGATCACAGAAATGGCGAGGAAAATCGCCAAAATTTGGGCGTTTTTCGAGTTCATCTCGATTTTCCACAGAAGGAGCAGAAAAAAAACGAGGAAAAATGATAATTTTTCGGCGAGTTATCAGTTTATGTATTTGTGAATTTTGATAAAAATCTAGTAGTGATATGATGAAACTTGCAGTTATCATATTATGTTTTCTGATTATTCCTTGAATAGCGGAGGAAACTTTTTAATCTCTTGATTATTTTGTGTTCGTAGAAGAACATCGGCATCGAAAAGCAGTTAAAATTTATTTACAAATTGCTCCAAAAATGATTTACAATTCTTCGCGATGCGGCTGTGAAGGAAAACGTTCAGAAATATTCGATTGTTTTTCAATCAACGTGTTCAATTTCTTCTGATTCGCTTGGCTGATCGTTCCAGCGTCCTGAAAATTAGATTATTGATTTTTTCAGTTTTTAAATCTAGTCAAAAATCTGTTACCACTTCAGCTGCAAGCTTCTCCATCTCGCTTGCTTCTTTGTCAATTTCAGCTAAATCTTTATCGCTCAATGTTGGTGGATTCTTTCTTCTTCTTTGAATATATCTTCGAATTTTGCGAATCCGTTTGTTATTGACAAGATTCTCATCAAAGTCAATGTCGATTTTCACCAATTCTTCAAAAACATCAAGCAAATAAGCATCAGCCATTTGAGCTTCTTGAGCCATCTTCCAAAGAATTTGCAATATTTTCTTGTTCTTGAATTTGTCACCATCCGCGCTTCTCATTATTTCTAGCCGTTCTTTGTCATTTTCTTCCATCAATTTCATCACTTTTTCAATTGTTTCCTCATCAAATCCTCGTTCTTTTGCAATCATCGCGGCTCCTTCTCTACGAGCTTTGAAAGATTGCAAATTGTTGAGTTGCTGTTTGATGTTTTCGAAATCTTTCAACGTCACATTCATGGCATCTTCATCTTTGAACATCAAATATAATACAAATACTATTAGTAGAAATTTTGCCAACATCTGAAAACCCTTAAAATTATCGGGGAAACGAAGGAAAAGAAAAAAAAAGAATTTTTTTTTCAAATGAAAAAGTTGGCGCGCAAACGTGGCCTAGGATTTTTCTAGTCCCCGTTGAATTTTTTTTTATTCGCGAAAAATCGATATTTTTCAAAACTTCCTTCATTTTTTGTTCAAAATCCCTCAAAGTCAATTGCAATTCATCATCAAAAATACATATAATAAAAAATAAATGTGATTAGCAGTGCAGCACTTTCAGCCACATATGAAAAGAAATATGCGAAAACAACTACAAATAAGTATGCAAGTACATTTTTCGAGCAAACACGATGAGTTTTGGAGTTTCCCCGGTGCTCATTAAAATTTTTGATTTTTTTTTCTGAGAAAAATCTATTTTATGTAAGTATGTACAAAAAAAAAATTATTTACAACTTGCTCTACAATTCTGCAGTTCGCATGTAAACCCGATCATCGTTGCCATCAAAAATTCTTGCGTATTCTTCAAACAGTTGTTTCAATCGCCTTCGATCTGCGTCGCTGATCGTTTCAGCGTCCTGAAAATAGATTATTGATTTTTTTCCAGACAGAAAATTTACCTCTTCTTCTGCAAGTTTCTCCATCTCGTCAGCTTTTTCTTCAAGTTCGGCCAATTCTTGATTGCTCAATTGTGGTGGAAATTTCGCACGTTTTCGAATATATCTTCGAATTTTGCGAAGTTTGCTGTTGTCGATCCGTGAAAGAAAAGGATCCTCATAGATTTTTCCCAATTCCTCATAAACATCTAGCAAATAAGCATCAGCCATTTCCGCGCGTTGAGCCAACTTCCAAATAATTTGCAATATTTTCTTGTTCTTGAATCTCTCCTCTTTCTCATTTTTCATTGCATCGAGCTTTTGCTGATCATTTTCTTCGATTCTTTTTATCATTTGTTGAATTTCTAGTTCGGTTAATTTTCCACCTCTGGCAAGTTGTGCTATTCCATCTCTTCGTCCTTTGAAAACATTCTCGTTTTTCCATTGTTCTTTGATTTTTTCGTAATCTTTCGAGTCCAAAGCATCATATTCTTCGAATGTCAAATATAAAATGAATACGACTAGGAGAAACTTCAGCAACATCTGAAAATATCAGCATTTTCTAGGGGAAAACGGGAAAAAAAGAAAAATATTTTTTCGAATGTAAAAATCGCGCGCAAACGTGGCCTAGAATTTTTCTAGTCCCTCGTTGACATTTTTCAATTTTTTTTCTTTTCGGGCGGAACTTAAATTTTAAAGCAAAAACGCTGCATAATTCTCTAGAGAGTCTCAGAGAATTAGAGAAAACTGAAAAACAACAAAAATTTCTCCTATGAAAATGATTTTATGAAATAGAAAATAGAAAATTCCCAAAGAAACCCGAAAAATTAGAAAAAGTATTATTCATTCGAATTTTCACAAATCAAATCAGCTCGTTTTGTCCAAAACGGTTTGTATTGTTTCCAAAATTTGACACCACATTCCTCTCGAATCGTCCATTTCAAACAAGCACGATTTTCGCGCCAATTCTCGCAGTCACCGGTCGACGAGAAATAGTCGGCCACACATTTTTTGCTCTTTTTTTGCCGAAGCTGAAACAAGTTATGATAAGTTTCTTTTAGTTAGGGTAAATTTAAATTCAAATTCTCACCTTTGTCATGCATGGATAAAACGCGCCAGTCAAATAGTTCATATACTCACAAGCCGTTTCAAGTCTAGTGATATTTTGTTCAGTGATTTTTCCACATCCCACATGTTCAGTCGCACATTTTCGCGAAAAATCGCAGTTTCGAGAATTTTTGATATGATCCGACGCGTCGTATTCCTCATGAGTGTGTTGGATGATTTGAAAAACTGAGAGCACCACAACCAGCGACTGAAACATAGGGATTTTTTCACGATCAGCCAAAAAAACCTACACTATAACACGAGTTAGCCAATCTCGTCTTCACTGGGTTGCACTTCTTGTCATCCTGCCCATCGATATTTGCAATAAGCAAAATCGAAATCAAAATAATTGGGGAAAATCTCATAGTTCTCTATCTAGATGATAGAATAAATAGGAACGAATGATATTGTTTTTATTATCACTTTTCTTGATATCAAACATGGGAAAAATTGATTTTTGAAGAGAAGAACATTTGGAAGGCCGAAGAAAAAATTGTGAAGAATGTTTTGAACTGAAAATAGCATGGGTGCCAAATCTCCAGTCTTCGAACTTCTCTGGAATTTCCTCTTCACAGCGAAATTCTGGTAGATCTGCCGCAGTCCTGCCGAACTCCTGCCGAGGTCAAATCTGCGGCAGTACTGCGAGGTGCATGCCGGCAGGTCCTGCCGGCAGAAGTGCGGCAGGCATGTCGCAGCTTTCAATCGATTTTTTCAGCTTTGCTTCGTATTTTTCATCGCAATTAGTTAAACAATTTTGATTTCACTAACAATATTTATTAAACGCATAAAAATGTGAAAATTAGAAGATCCTCGGGTATGTAGGTGATGCGGGTGACTGATTATTGTTTGATAGGTAAAGTCGTTTCTCTGAAAACAAAAATAGAGTGACATTAATTTTGGCTTTTTGAGCAGCAGAATTTTTTTTTGAAGCCTGGGGCAAATTTCCAAAAGGTCTCATAATAGCTTGAGAAGCCTCTGAATTTTTCTGAAGCGCGGGTGAACTTCTAGATGGTCATAAAGACCAGGTCTTAGATCTGATTTTCGATATGGCAAAATTGTAAAAGCTCGATTTTTGTTTAATTTGTGGCGAAAAAACTACGATTATCCCAAACAAAAATTTGAATTTCCAAATGTTAAAAAAAATAACGGGCTGTTATTTTTCCGAGATAATGGGTGATACGTGAGCCTGATGTAAAAGAAAATTCGAAAAGTTGGGGGCCAAAAATCAGGAAATCTTGAAAAATCAAACCTGATTTTTGATTTTTAGGTCTTTCTAAAGGCCTTAGAGTGGCCCGGGAACTCACTGAATTTTTTTTTAAGCCTGGGAAAAATTTCTAAAGGCCTTAGAGTGGCCCGGGAACTCACTGAATTTTTTTAAGCCTGGGGAAAATTTCTAAAGGCCTTAGAGTGGCCCGGGAACTCACTGAATTTTTTTTAAGAGTGGGAAAAATTTCTAAAGGCCTTAGAGTGGCCCGGGAACTCACTGAATTTTTTTTTAAGCCTGGGAAAATTTTTAAAGGCCTTAGAGTGGCCCGGGGCTACTGAAATTTTCAATTAAATTATTCACTGTGCTCATTTTATAAAATTTTTCTTGAAAAATGGACGACAACGCTGATTTTTTCTGATTTTTCTTTTGTTGTCGTTCATTTTTCAAGAAAAATTTCAGAAAAAGAGCACAGTGAATGATTTAATTGAAAATTTCAGTAGTCTTGCAATATGTTTTAAAAAAGTGTATCAGTTACTATTTCTTTTTGATAAACATCGGAAAGTTCAATAGCAAAAACTAGGTAATTTGAAAACAATTGAATTTCAGAGGGTAAAACTGAAAAATTGACATTTTTTTTATACTGAAAAAAAGTTAGCTTTCAATTTTCAATTTTGAAAACCATGATATTTTTCAATCCTTAGACGAGATGAAAAACAGGAGTACAAAAATCTAAAGATTGAGAAAATTCGTGGTTTCAAAAATTTAAAATTGAAAGCTTTCAGTAAAAAATGTCAATTTTTCAGTTTTTCCCTTTCAGAAACTGAAATTTCATTATTCTTTCAGTATCCTAGCCTGAAACGGATTGGCTGGGGTTTGTTATGTTAAGAATTTCTCTAGAAAAATAAACGACAACGAAGATGAACAAATTGCTGCTAAACTGAGTACTGTCAGTGTTTGTCCGAAAAGTAAAACATTTGGCTAATTAGCTTAAGTATTATGCTCTTCAGACAAACACTGATGGGACGATGCGCGAAGAAAAAAAACGTCAAAAAACGTGTTTCGAAACATAAAAATACAATGCACGAAATGTCGCAAAACGTCGCGAAACTCGAGTTTTTCGACATTGAAATGTCGCGAAACAAGCATGTTTTTTTTGTATCGTACTGAAACCACAGACACTGGAGATCGATTCTTAAAATGTTTTTACTTGTATAAACAGTTTCGCGACATTTCAATGTTGAAAAACTCGAGTTTCGCGACGTTTTGCGACATTTGGTGCATTGCATTTTTATGTTTCGAAACACGTTTTTTGACGTTTTTTTTCTTCGCGCATCGTCCCATGACAAAGGGCTCAGAGTGAGACTGTATACGAAGGTACATTTCTTATTGAAAATCTCCCGGGACACCTAAAACACTGGTGAGCAAATAAAGACTCCAGAAATGTAAAAATATTCTGAAATTTTGAGTGAATAACCAAACTTTTACATTCAAGTGAATAATCAAACTTTACGGATAGAGGATTCAAAATTTCTCAAATTTTAAAATCACAAAAAACGACGTACCATGATTTTTCCCGCTTTCCGCAAATCTTGAGATTGTTGATTGTAACTTCTGAAATAATATATTGACAGAACACTAAGAGAAGAACAATTTGCATATAAAATAAATGAAAATATGAAAGAAAGTTCATTATTTTTGACCTCGAAGTTATTTGTAACTATATTCATTCTAAAGGACATAACAATTTAGCTGAAGAGTGGCTCCAAAAGTCTACTTACAACAAATTTCGACACTGAATAGGCAACTTGAATGAAAAAAAAAATACCATTTATCACCAAAGAACGATAAAAGTTCTCTCGGAGGAAATGCGGAAACATTTCAAAGACGAATTAGGCATTTATTGTAATAGAATTTAAGAATCCGAACAAGCTTTCAACTGGTTTACAGGTTACCTCAAGAAAGGGAATGGCTGTCCTAATTGTCCTATCAGCTGAAGAAAAACTGAAATGCCTGTTTTTCTATTTTGCTCATTTCTGCGCTTTTTCAGTTTTTCTACTTTTTCTCTGGTGTCAGGCATCAAATTATAGATTTTTGAGAGTGATTCAAGTTAAATGAACTCATTTAACTGTCGTTTAACAACATCGGGTAGGACAAGTAGGACAGCAATTCCGTCCTCTTGTCAATTATTAAGTTCAGATGATTAAATCGAATTAGTCGGTTATCTGAGCTCTATGAAATTTAATAGACCTAATATTGTTAAACTAACTTGAAATTCTGATAAGAAATCTAACATTTCGTAATTTACCTCTACATTTTCATTAATAAACACATAAAAACAAAACAACAGCACACACCCGTTCAAGCCACGCAATGAGTGTTTTCTACTGTAAAACGAAACAAAAAACTGTGCAAACACTTTTGTCTAATTCTCTCTGTTCGCCGTTATATTTCGCACTACAGTATTAAAGGAGCATAATAAATTTCATGCGTTGGGTCTTGTCGCGATTGCTAACTTTCTTCGCAGGACCCTAAAAATTTCGAAATGCATAGTCTCACACAGATCTCGATGCGCTGATTCTAATGGTATATTTAGTTTTGCCACTTAGTTAGCTAGTTCCTTTGCAAATTGTGGCGCAGTGTGAATAAAAGAAATTTCTAATTTTTTCATTGTTTGAACGGGTGTGAGCAGAAAGCAAAAAAAAAGAAAAAAATTTTGTAAATTGTCCGGGAGAAGTACACACAAGCGCGTTTCCGTGTGGGACCTTTCTGAAATATTGTGTGCGCCTTTGTTTCGGTTTTATTTACGTGAACAGAACACGTTAGTTTTCGCAAGAAATTATCTTAACTATGCGACGCAAAATCTCGTTCTGAACAAAATGGTTATGAATTGACCCCTAAAAATAATATTGCTAGGCTCGCAAAATACAAGAACTTGGTGGCAAGAGATATTCACGACTCCATTTACTCCGAAAATTGTTTATTACATCTGAATGGACTTTTCTGAAGCCGTGATATCATGAGAAAACTATTCTCGTGCTTATTTTGCAAATTTCTAACAATAAGATAGAGTACTTATCACGAAAAAAGTACTTCGATTTTCAGCAGATTTTTGCTGAAAAATTTCAAAATATTCAAAATTTAACACAGCTTTTTTCAAGCAAAAATTTACACTGTGAAGAATTTTTTTTTTGCAAAATTAGAGCTGTTAATAAAAATATTTAGTGACTTCTCGCCATTTTAATACTATTAGAAAAATTCCCCAGGCTTAAAAAAATTCAGTGAGTTCCCGGGCCACTCTAAGGCCTTTAGAAATTTTCCACGATCTCAAAAAATTCAGTGAGTTCCCGGGCCACTCTAAGGCCTTCAGAAATTTTCCACGATCTCAAAAAAAATTCAGTGAGTTCCTGGGCTACTCTAAGGCCTTCACAAAATTTCCCCAGGCTTAAAAAAAATTCAGTGACTTCTCGAGCCATTTTAAGACTATTAGAAAATTGGCTTGGAGTTTTCAAAAAATTCAGACCCACATTAGGCCAATATAAGAGCCCTTCGAAAATCTAGATATGTTTTTTGGAAAAACGTTGCAATTTTTTTATCGTCCTGTCTTCTGATGAATTGCAAAACTATAAAGTTCAAATATTCTCTTCATTGTGTCGACTTGTGTCGAAGTTGGGAATAATCCGAAACTATGTAGTGAGGTAATTTTGCGACTTCTAATGAAAATTGCATGTTTCATTCGAAAAATCGTACGAGCCATTAATTTTTCTTCATATTAGGTCAACTTATGCATCTATTTTATACAAATAATCAATTAAAATGCCACCTTACTCTCAACTTATAGGCATTCTTTTCATTATAATACAGAAAAATGAAAAATATCTTGGCAGACCTGCGGCAGATCTGCCAAAATTCCATGATTTCTGCCGCACTCCTGCGGAAGTCATGTCAACCTCGGGATACCTGCCGCACACCTGCCGCACATATACCAGAATTTCGCTGTGTTGCATCCTTATAAATCATACAATCCCATTGAAGGGGAAGGCGTAGAGTGCAAGGTGCGTGGTTGGGGACTCGATCCCGCCACATTTCTCTCAGCGACTGGTGCGCTAACCGCCTGCGCTATCGCGGTTTCGATCAACCCGCTGGTGAAATTTGTGTTTTCTCTTCTTTTTTTTTGTTTGGTCACACGGTTTTTTCCTTTTATTGAATATTTATTATTTGGTTAGGCTAGGCTAGTCCAAAAAGTTCAGCAAGTATCAAATTTCAGGCGGATATCCGAGATTTTTCTAGTTGGTCTGAATATATAACAATGACGAATTAAGTGGGACATGTCCGGGTGTCGACACCCGAAAAATAAATATTCAAAAATGCGCCAATGATGCAAACGCGCTCCACTGTAAAAACTCTCATTTTTACTTTCTTTTCTTCCTTTTTTCGTGTGTTTCGTGTTTCTTCTTCTTCCAGTTTGAGCACTTTTCAAGAAGCAAAAAAGGAGAGGGCCTTTTTCCTTTTCCCCGCCTTCGTGCAATTTTTGTTCTCCATATTCCTCTCGCTCTATCATCTCTCGTGAAAATAGCGTGGCATTCAAGGAGAGTCGACGAGAGAGTGAAGTGAAAAAATGCGATCGAAGTGTGTGTGTGTGAGAGATGTGAAAAGACGGTGTGTTGGTGGTGCAAGTGCTCTCTTAAATGTCTGCGCTCTCCGCTGTTTTGCACAATCTCTCGCCGATTATCAGAATGTGGTATTTTTTTTCGTTGCTTTTCACATTTCATTTCACTTGTTGTGTTTTTTCCTCCCTGCTTTCCGGATTGATAAATTTTCCAAGATAACATAAAATGCAACATTTTCTTCGTATTTCCTCATATAAAATTCAGATTTTTCGTGTTATCTTCCTCGATTTTTTCGTCGCTCGCGCCCCCTGAGAAAAACAACGGTTGCTAAGGGAGCTGTGTCTGAAACGGATTAGCTCCGATTTTTTATCCGCTTGTCGCGCTGAAAGAAAGATTTGGGATTATTTCGTCTCTTTTCGCTCCAAAAGGACTCTTCTCTCATTTTTTTCGAAAGTGAGCAAGAGGGAAATACATAGTTAGTTGGTAAAACTCATTTTAGTAGTTTTTTTGGCGGGGCGGCTCATTGATTTGAGAAAAATTGGCTAGGAATGTTTTATGGGTACATTTTTGTTCGAACTTTTCGTCGCTTTCACGGAAAACATGAAAATTTGGTCAGAATTCTCGTAAATTCTGATTTTGTCAACAGAATTTCGATTTTTCCCTCTCTTGACCAAAAACTTGCCATTGAAACTATAGAAAATTCCAGCTTTCCGTGCAAAAAACTGAATTTTTCATGCGATTTCTGAATTTTTTATGAGAACTTGAAGATTTTGTGCTAGAATATCGCATTTGCTCACAAATCTTTGAGATTTAGCAGTATATTTGTCTCTGAGGTCAAAATTCCATGTTTGACGTAAATCAGACTTTGAAAAGATCAAAAATTCGCTAATCCTCTGAAAATCTAAGATTGTATCGTAATTTTCGCTTTTCATTTGAGAAAAAGATTGAGATTTTTAAAGGCACAGTGATTTTTCAAGAGTTCCTCTAGAAATTTCGTCACGAGACCCAAATGACATCTGTACGTAGATACAGATGTTACAAAATCAATAGATATGCGTACGAAGTTCAATTTTCCACCTGCAGAATTATTCTGCTGAAAATTTGGCTATTTTTCTTGAAATTTCGCGCCGTGACCAAAAATTTCTTCGATTTCTTGTCCAAACTTCGCCACGAGACCCTTGTGTACGAAATTTCTGTACGAAAAACAGATGTTCGGTGAATTTTCCTCGTGACTTTTTTCATATTTTTTCCGGGCTGTTCAAAAAATCGATCAAAACAGTAAAAAGATGATGATACAATATCACAATATTTATAAATATATATACATTATATTTACGCTCTTCTTCTCTCTATTTTTCCATCATTCATTCGATTCGTTCACCACAGAAGAAGAAGAAGAAGATGAAAAAAATTGTGTGTTCCTATACTCTCTTTTTCTCTCTCCGCCTCTCCACTCTCTCACTATCTTCATTGTCCCATTCGGTCTCTTTTTCTCTCTCGACCTCTCTCACTCTCTTGTTTGATCGTTGACTTTGTTCGTTTTGCAATTCATCATGTTTCGCTCATTATCGATTTTTTTTCGGAAAATTTCAGTGATACCAAGAGATTCGCGCGGAAATTTGAAATATTTTCATGTTGGAATTTTGTTGAAAAGCCCATTTTTGGTCATTTTGAAAATTTGCTGAAGCTAAGCTTTGGATTAAAATTTTTTGCCGCCAAAAAAGTTGTTACGAAATTTTTTTATTATTGTTTTATCAATTTTCGGAAAAAATAGTGATGTGAAATTTTGGCGGTAAAATTTCACAATTTGAAAATAGTTCCTTGTTCTAAGAGAAGTTGGCCCAACTTTCTTATAACTCGATTTCTTAGAATTCAGGTTCTAAAATTAGATATTTGTTCTGGAAGCTGAGATTTTGTATAACTCTTTAAGTTTTTCGGCTCAAAATTCACAAAATTCTGTTCAAAAAATCATTCAAGAACGATTTTTCGTCTCTACCAACTGTTATTTAACCTTTTTCATCATAGCCGTAGCTTTGAGCACCAAATATATTTGATTCTATTTTTTCTAACTGCCCCCTCCCCCTCTTCCTTTTCCCTTATCAAAAAAACCGTCACGTTTTCGTAAAAACATAAATATTCATGAAGTTCAATAATACATGTTTTCTATGTTTCCAGAGTGAGACCAACCAAAAAACGACCGATTTGTTTCCCATCGAATTCAAGCTGTGGTGTGGTTGGATTACTTTGAACTACTCATTACAAGATCGAATCGAAGTCTAACCTTTGGTTGAACACCGGCAACAATGAGCGGACACAGTGGCGAATGGGAACGACACGAGATTCCGCCGCCGCGCACACAAGGCGCCGCAACCGGCGGACAACAATTATCCGCGACCGCCAATCAGTTTGTCGACAAAATCGATCCGTTTCATAGCAAGAGACCCAGTAGAAGATTGTGAGTCGGGGGAAACATCGATAATGGACCTTTGTATAAGATTGACCTGAATTTCAGCTGATAAATTTCAGTTCCATCGTCTAGAATCTCTCAATTTTACGTTATCTCTGATCAAAACGTTTTTGCATAGAAAAACTATCGATTTTCTGTTAAGTTTTATTATGGGTTTTTTTCTGCATAGGAAAAATATGTTTTTTTATTACAAAATATTATTCTGCATGGGCCCATAATAAAATTTAACAGAAAATCAATAGTTGTTCTATGCAAAAACGTTTTGATTAGAGATAACGTAAAATTGAGAGGTTCTAGACGATGGAACTGCAATTTATCAGCTGAAATTCAGGTCAATCTTATCAGTTTTCCTTGGACAAATTGATAAATTTTGTTGAAAAATCTCATAGATTTTTCTTTTTGCAAATTTAAAATCCCATAAAATTAATGCAATTTTCCCACGTGACATTTTTCCAACAAGACGATTTTTTTCCGAAAACCATACTATTTCCATGAAATTATTGTCGAAGAAACCGCGAAAATTCGCAAAAAATTTTGTTTGCAGACGAATCAGTACAAGTAGTCGATTTATGAATGAAAGTGGACAGGAATTGCAGCAACTTCCGTTGATTAAAGGTGGGAAACGGCAAATTTCAAGCTGAAAACCCTCATTTTTTTTCAGATACCCCGGCAGCCGAGCAAACTGCATTGGTTGTTCAGAAATTGACACAATGCCAATATCTTTTCGATTTTTATGATCCGGTGGCGGAATTGAAGTGTAAAGAGGTACGGAATTCAATGATTGTGGATTGAAAAGCGTAGCCTGATCACGGAACCTCGGGTGGAGCCGAGAAAATGAGCAAAGTTTGTGAAGTGTCCTGGGAGATTTTCAATGCGACATATACCATTTTGTAGAGCTTCTCACGCTGAGAAAGATCTCGCTTTCAGTTTTTGCTGAACGATTTTCTGAAGTGCACAATAATGAGCCGAAAGTTCCCAAAACTGAATTCTGGACTTTGTTAATATACACTGCAGCCGGGAAGTTTAAGAACGGTTGATTAACGGCTGATAAAAACTGCTTTTTATCAACGGAGTACCAACGCTTAACCCACCGTTAATGAACCGAGGATTAACCAATTTTTAAATTTTGAAAATTACCCAAATCGATAAAAATAGGTTCCCGGCACTTATTTGGGTGTTAAGTATTTTCAAAAATTTTGAAAATTTTTCATGATTTAATCCACGATTAATCAACGGGGATCAACCGTGGATTAAATAATGGTACTCCGTTGATTAAATTTCATTAAAGTTGGTTTATAAACCGTTAATCAACCGTTCTTAAACCTCCCAGCTGCTGTGTAGGAAATCTTTCCTTCTGAAAAACATCCTGTATTCAGTTTTTGCTGAAAATTATTCTAGAAGAAGTTGTAGGCTTCAAAAAAAAGCTTCTGAATACGTTGTCTTTTCCGAAGCCTATGACTTGTTCTAGAATAATTTTCAGCAAAAACTGAATACAGGAGGCTGTTCAGAAGGAAGGATTCGATAATAAAAATGTCCAGAATTCAGCTTTGAGAACTTTCGGCTCTTCGGAAATTTGTTCAGCAAAAACTGGAAGTGAGATCTTTGTCAGCGTGAAAAACTCTACAAAATGGTATATGGCTCATTGAAAATCTCCCAGGACACACTTTGCTCATTTTCTCGGCTCTACCCGGAGCTCAGAAGCTAATTGTGATCAGCGTGTCGAGTTCTCTAACAACTGATTTTTTGAGTTCTAAAAAATCATCTTCCAGATCAAAAGATCAGCGCTGAACGAATTGATCGATCATATCACAACAACAAAAGGTTCAATTGTCGAATCGATTTATCCGGCCGTAATTCGAATGGTCTCCCGAAACATCTTCCGCGTTCTCCCGCCATCCGAAAACTTCGAGTTCGATCCAGAAGAAGACGAGCCAACGCTCGAAGTCTCTTGGCCCCATTTGCAACTCGTCTACGAGCTCTTCTTGCGATTCCTCGAATCGCCCGATTTTCAAGCGTCGATCGGCAAAAAGTATATCGATCAACGATTTGTGCTGAAATTGTTGGATTTGTTCGATTCGGAAGATCCGAGAGAACGCGACTTTTTGAAGACGGTGTTGCATCGAATTTATGGGAAATTTTTGGGATTGAGAGCTTTTATTCGGAAACATATTAATAATATGTTTTTGAGGTGAGAAATTTTGGGGGAAAATTGGAAGTTTCAAGAAATTTCAAAAAAAAATTCTGGAAATATCAATTTTGGGTTCAAAAATCAGCTCAAAATTGAGATTCTAGAAATTTCACATAAAACTTCTCAGAAAAAAGTATTTTAAAAATTCAGAATTTCCCTGTTTTAAACATTTCTGGAAAAATCAATTTTGGTTTCAAAAAATCAGCTCGAAATTGAGATTTTCTGAAAAAAAATCAATTTTTTTTCTAAATCAGGGTTTTCCCGAAGTTTTACTCGATTTTCCATGGTTTAGGGTTTTCTGGAATTTATTTTTGATTTTTTGAATATTAGCAAAATTTGGGAGAAAATACTTTTTCAGAAAAATAATTAATTTTTGCTAAATTTTCAGAAAAATGAAGGGAAATTAATTTTTTTCAAGAAATTTCACACTTCTCATAATTTTCTTAAAATTCAGAATTTCCCTGTTTCAAAAAATAAGAAGAAAAAATCAATTTTGGTTTCAAAAATCAGCTCGAAATTGAGATTTTCTGAAAAAATCTCCTTTTTTTTGTAAATCAGGGTTTTTCCTTGAAGTTTCACGATTTTCCAAGATTTTTGTAAAATATCGGGGTTTTCTGGAAAATTCATGAAATTTTTTTGATTTTCCAGAATCCTAAGAATTTTCTTATTCTGAATTCATCTGAAAATTAGTTTTTTTCTGCTGAATTATCAGAAAAATGAATGGAAATTAAGTTTTTCCGATCAAAAATATGATTTTTTTTTTCTCCTAAAAACCCTCCGAAATTTGCAGATTCGTCTACGAAACCGATTCATTCAACGGAGTTGGCGAATTGCTCGAAATTCTCGGCTCAATCATCAATGGCTTCGCACTTCCCCTGAAAAATGAGCACAAAGTGTTCCTGGTCAAAGTGCTTCTACCACTTCACAAACCCAAATGTTTATCATTGTATCATGCACAATTGGCCTATTGTGTTGTGCAATTCATCGAAAAGGATTCCTCATTGACACCACAAGTTTTTGAGGCGCTCTTGAAGTTTTGGCCGAGGACGTGTAGTAGTAAGGTGAGGCAATTTTGAGAAGGGTTGATTTATGAACAAAAATATTTTGAAAAAAAAATTAGTTTTTCGAGTTTTTTCAACCAAAAATGATGATAAATCGACATTTTTGAAGCTTCTGGAGTGATTTCTGATGCAAATAAGCTAAATAATTTTTTCGAAATTCATCAAAGCTGAAATTTTTAACGAAAAATCAGCAAATATTCTGAAAAGTGAATTCCAAGGTCAATTTTCATCAGAAATCACACCAGAAGCTTCAAAAATCTCCATTTGTCATCATTTTTGGCTGAAAAACTAGAAAACCTAATTTTGACATACAATGTTTTTTCGATATTTTTTGACTTTTCCTGAATTGATCTTTCAATAAAAAAAACATTGTTTTCCTAGTGAGAAGGTTTTTGAATCTGAAAATATCAAAATTATCGATTTTTGTACAGTCTGAGAGATTTGGAAGTGTTGGACTGAAAATTGAACAGATTCTAACCAAAATTTCAAATTTTATAAAAATGTTTTCTGTAAAATTCTAAATAATCCCAAAATCCACCTTGAAAGGGAACCTTTTTCGCTCAATACATCAAATCTTGATAAAATGTTGTCCATAGACAATTTTTGAAAGAACTTTTAGTCTTTTAGTCTTTCAATGGACCTCTGAGCCAACTTCTGGGCTCTCAAAAACTCGAGAAAGGCCTAAAATTAGGCTTCATAGCTCCATTTCAAATTAATTATTGTGAGAAAAAAAGTTTCAGATATTATTCAGCATAGTCGATTTACTGAAAGTACATCAACTATAAACTTTTTCGAACAATTTTGAAAATTGTTATTTTTCATACGCTGAAAATTATCTGATTTTCATTTTTTTTTCACAAAATTCAACCCCAGTTGAGCAATGATGACTTTTATGAGCCAATTTTTTGAACTTTTAAGAGCCCACAACTTGGCTCAGAGGTCCATTGGATAACTATAATTTTTAGGGTGTTCTTATGACCCCAAAAGCTGTCCATGGACAACATTTTATCAAGTGTTGTTCAAAAATTTCATCAGAAAAATTGAATTTTCCAATTATGTGTTTTGTTCCAAAAAATCCCTCTAAAATCCCCTTATTTTTTCCAGGAAGTAATGTTCCTTGGAGAAGTTGAAGAAATTCTCGACATAATCGAACCGGAACAATTCAAAAAAATCATCGATCCACTATTCCGCCAATTGGCCAAATGTGTCAGCTCGTCACATTTCCAAGTGGCCGAACGTGCGTTGTACTTTTGGAACAATGAATATATATTGTCGCTGATAGAGGATACTAGCTCATTGGTGAGTTGGGAGGAGGGAAATCTGAAATTTTCAAAAATAAATCCAAACCTTTGAAAATTGGTCCGGAAGTTGTGAAATTGTTGAAAATTCAAATGAAAAGGACTGAAATCGCTGAAATTTCTCAGAAAATTGAGCCTAGACGTAATGCTAGATTTTTGCAGCCAGATTCAGGCTTAACAAAAATAACAGGCCTGAAAGTTAGCCTAATTTCAAGAATGAAGACAGTTCCCGGGATTTTTGGGCTGAAAAATGGTCTGAAATAGGCCTATGCTTGGATGAAAAATTGAAAAAAAGGCTTGAAGTTAAGACTGACTTTCTGTAAATTAAGTTATAACCTGAATCATAACTAAAAAAAATCAGAAATTAATTGGCGGGTTAAAAATGACTGCAGTTCCTAAGCGCTCAAAATTTCTTCAACAAGAATTTTGAAAAATCTGAGATCAGGCTTGAAATTTAAAAATTATACTGTTAAACATCGGGACCAAAGCACACCTCGGCCAAAATCGTGGTTTCCACAATAAAAAGTTGTACGCTAACTTTTTACAGTACAAAAATTGTGAATTTTCAGTTTTTGTCCTCTAAAAATTATGATTTTTCAATTTTTGACCGAAAAACTGAAATTCAGATTTTTCAAAAAATTGTACTGTGGCCAGCCACGGCTTGGCCGAGGTGTGGACCAAAGATTATAGTCTCCATACCGAAAATACACCACAAAACTCTCAAATTCATCATTTTCCTTTCTTTACAGGTAATGCCAATAATGTTCCCGGCTCTCTACCGAATCTCCAAAGAGCACTGGAATCAAACAATTGTCGCGCTGGTTTATAATGTATTGAAGACATTTATGGAAATGAATGGAAAATTGTTTGATGAATTGACATCGAATTATAAAAGTGAACGACAAAAGTGAGTTTTTTGGGAAGAAAATGGTTGAAAATCTTCTTTTTACAGGGAAAAGAAGAAGGAAAAAGATCGCGATGAGTTTTGGAAGAAGATGCAATCGTTGGAAATTAGCCCACCGCCGAACGGCGCCGAACTTTCGCCATCGTATTTCCCTGAGAATATTCAGGCTTATGTTAAGGTAAGGCTTGTGGGAATTTTTAGGGCGGTTTTGCGAACGAAAAAATGTTTTTTAACATTGAAAGATCAATTTTCAAGTTTTTCCAGTCAAAAATGATGACAAATCGAGATTTTTGAAGTTTCTGAAGTGATTTCTGATGAAAATAAGCTTCGAGAACCCTATTTTACCCCATTTTATCAATTCTTTCGAAATTCATCAGCAAAATTTTCTGAAAAAGTGAATTCCAAGGTCAATTTTCATCAGAAATCACTTCAGAAGCTTCAAAAATATTGATTTGTCATCATTTTTGGCTGAAAAACTGGAAAAATTAATTTTGATCTACATCGTTTTTTCGACTTTTCGTGGATTGAAATTTCAATGTTAAAAAACATTTTTTTTCGTTCGTGAATCAGTTCTATTGAATTTTGTAGCAAAAAATTGGTTGATTTGGGAAATTTGGCCGAAATTCTGAAAATTTCATTAACTTTGGAGATTTAACGCCAAAACACGTGGATTTTTCTCGAAACGTGGATTTATATTTGGAAATTTTCTGAAACCTTGAATTTGAACATAAATTTAAAAAAAAGTGTTTATTGAAATATCGACCTGAAAATTCACGTGTCAATTTCAAAAATTCGAAAAACCACGATGTTTTACAAAAAAAAATCCACGTTTTTTACGAAAAATTCAAATTTTGAGATTTTCATTGTAAAAAAAATTCAAAAATCTGATTTTTTCTTCAAATATGGCTTGTCTGTAATTGAATTTCGGCCAAGTTTTCTGAAAATTTTCAAAAAATCCCCAAATTTTTGCAGGAAGCGGGTATATCGATAAATGCATTCAACACAACAACCGAAAAACTATCACCATCGACAGTGAAAAAGACATCAACCGGCTCCGATGGCAACACCACAAATGCTGGCAAAAAATGAGTGAAATTTTCGAATTCCCCACGAAATTTCCGATATTTTAATACTAGGTTGGGCTCCCCTTGATTTTTTTTTCGCAAACAAAAACTTTGCAGTTTTGAAGATCTACTTGTAACGTGTTTTCCAAATATAAGCCCCGCCCCCTTTTTCCTTTCTTTTCCCGCTGAAAATATTTTTTTCTAAATGTATACATTTTTCACTTTTGCGCCATTTCTATCGATTTTTTCTTGGGATATCTCCAGAAAATTAGTGTATTTTATAGACGTTTCTTTATTATTTATTTTGGCCCCGCCCCTTTTTCTCCCCCTATTTTTTCGTATTTTTTGCTCACAAACACTTTTTTCGTGGTTTTCTTCTCCTATCTTTTTCCCCGGCCCTCCAGAAATTTTTAAATTTATTTTTTGACTATCCATGTTTTGTTTTTGACCCGAAAAATCTTATCGAAAATGACTTTCTTCTCTCTTTTTTTCTTCTATTTTTTTGTGACTTGAAAATTATTCATGAATTTTTTCTCCCATCGAAAATTTTTGGATTTCGAAGAAGTTTGGGTCTTTTGTATTTTTGTGGGAGGAGTTTCAGAGGGATTTTATGAAAAAAATTCAGTTGAAGATGTCTAGCAGAGAATCGTCGCCGAGGAGGAAGAAGCATAGGAAGGTGGGTGTTTTTTTGGGGAATTTGAGCTCTTGGAGCTGAAAATTGAGAAAGTATGAAGTTTTTAACTGGGAAATTCACTAAAAAGCTAAAATTTTCGAGTTTTTGTCTCGAGAATTTTGAATTCCACGAAAAAAATTGTCTGAAAAACCACAAGGAAAAAATACGCTTCAAAATTTTCGTAATTGAAATTTTTGAATTTTGATTTTGATATCCTTCGAGTTTGTTTTATTTTATAAAAACAACAAAATACCAAGTTCTTTGAAATTTTCTTCACTTTTCTGAAAGTTCCAAAAAATAGTGAAAAAAAATCATAGCTTCAATTTTTCATTAAAATTCCACGTCATCAAATTTATGAAAATTTCAAAAAAATTTGTCTCAAAAACCACCAAGCAAAATTACGTTTCAATATTTTCGTAATTGAAATTTTGGAATTTTTATTTTGATAAGTTGCCTTCTGTGGTTACAAAAAATGATAAATAAAAATACAACTTTCTCTTTATGAAATTTTCTCTATGAAAAAAAAAACCACGTGGAATTTGATAAAGCTTTTCTGAAAAATTTTGAAAATCATTACTTTAATTTTCAGCAAATTTATGCACATTTCAAAGCAAAACTAATTTTGGTGCAAAAATCCCTGAAAAACCTCAGGGATTCGAAAATGTTAATCGGCGGACAAAATACTTGTCAGCGATTAAAATGGGATGAAAATATTCATCGCCAATTAATCGTTTGAAGAAACAACGAAACTCCGCCGAACGATTAATCGGCGGACAACTTTTTCATCGCGGCCACGGCCAAAACCTATCCTAGATTCTAGTTACTTTATCACCAGCATTTGATGCATCTCTAGAAAAGCGCCTTTGGTTAAGTGGTAGAGTGTCAGGCTGCCGACTGTGAGACCTGGGTTCGATTTTACCTCAGCGCGATATTTTTTTTCTAGAAGGATGTTTCTTGTGAAATCGAGCAAATTCGCTCTACCGCACACCAAGCGATTAAGAGACATTATTTATAAAAATGTGAATTCCTATAGTATGCGTGGTACAAAAAATTTTCAAATTTGCTAATTTTTGGCTGGTTGGTAGCCCCTTAGCTATAGAACATATTCCCGGAGTAAAATAATAAAAAAATGTTTTTTGGTGGATGGTGGACACCAATGTATGTCAAAACTTCAATAAATCATTACTTTACTCTCCGTGAATAATTTTTCGATGTATAAACGTCATTCTGCTCAGAATTTGAAGGGCTTCAATTTAGAAATACAAATGAAAAAAAATTCGACTTACCCTAACTTTTGAAAATTGAACAAAATTTTCAAAGTCAAAAATCGATATTAGGGGGACTTTGTTGCTCGCTGAATTTGGATTTATCGGATTCCTCGCCCCTTTTTACGTACCCTCCAATCATAAAATCAAAATTAACCCTCCCGCCTCATGGGTGCCCAGATCACTTTTTGCTCCCCACTCGCGTTTTTTCTCGAATTTTTTGGGTGGATTACTATCTGGCAGACTTTTTGCGCCCGTCACGACGGTCGGTGAACACAACATTTTTTTATTTTTGCTAATTTGAGTTTCTAAACATTTTTTCATCATTTAAAATGTATATTATCACAATTTATTCTTCACCCACTCATGTTGTCGCCAATGGTGACACCAAATATTGAACCATCACCAATTTGTTTGAAACTTGGTGTATTTATGTAATTGAACACTTTAAACAACATCCTATATTTTCATTTTGATAAAAGTTTTGTTACAATCGAATTTTTGACTATTCCATATTCTGCTATGTTGTTTCACGCAATTCGAGAAGTTTATCGCTCATTCGAAGTTTTTCGAGAAAGATTTGGTCTGGGGGCCACTTTTATCAGAAATAAAATATAGGATGTTGTTTAAAATGTTCAATTACATGAATACACCAAGTTTCGAACAAGTTGGTGATGGTTCAATATTTGGTGTCACCATTGGCGACAACATGAGTGGGTGAAGAATAAATTGTGATAATATACATTTTAAATGATGAAAAAATGTTTAGAAACTCAAATTAGCAAAAATAAAAAAATGTTGTGTTCACCGATTGTCGTGACGGGCGCAAAAAGTCTGCCAGATAGTAATCCACCCAAAAAATTCGGGAAAAAACGCGAGTGGGGAACAAAAAGTGATCTGGGCACCCATGAGGCGGGAGGGTTAATTTTGATTTTATGATTGGAGGGTACGTAAAAAGGGACGAGGAATTCGATAAATCCAAATTCAGCGAGCAACAAAGTCCCCCTAATATCGATTTTTGACTTTGAAAATTTTGTTCAATTTTCAAAAGTTAGGGTAAGTCGAATTTTTTTCTTTTGTATTTCTAAATTGAAGCCCTTCAAATTCTGAGCAGAATGACGTTTATACATCGAAAAATTATTCACGGAGAGTAAAGTAATGATTTATTGAAGTTTTGACATACATTGGTGTCCACCATCCACCAAAAACATTTTTTTGTTATTTTACTCCGGGAATATGTTCTATAGCTAAGGGGCTACCAACCAGCCAAAAATTAGCAAATTTGAAAATTTTTTGTACCACAGGATTTTTCTTCTTACAAAAAACGTCTCTTAAAACGCGATTGAAACGAGATTAATCTCAAGTTGTCCGCTGAGTTCCTCGCCGATTAACATTTTCAAATCCCTGAGACCCGCCAGGAAAAATACGTTTCAATGTTTTGATGAATGGAATTTGGAATTTTGATTTTGATAACAAATCCCGGTTTTTTGCTATAAAATTATTAAAAAAGAGATTTCTCAGAAAATTTTTGATTTTCTGGCGCTAATAAAAATTATAGTAATTTTTTTTGAAAAAAATAGGCGGTGCAAAACCAAGTGCGCTCTAATGGCAAACTCTTCCGAACACAGAAGCCTATTCAAAAACATCTAGAATATTTGCAGCATCGCCATCGAAGTCGTCGCTCGCGATCTCGAACCCGCTCACGCTCTCGAAGTCATGATCGAAAATCGAAAATCCACATAAATCCGATGTTTGGCTATCCACATCCATCTTCATCTTCTTCATCTTCAAATCAGCCTTCAACTTCATCAATTTCAGCAACACAACAATATTATGAGCATGAATTGACGCGGTTGAAAACGCAATTATACAATGAGCAAAATAATCATCAGATGGCTATACAGCGATTGAATATGATGTCGAATGAGATGAGGATTTTGGGAAATGCGAAAATGATTAGTGATAAGAGATTGATGGAGATGTCGAATGAGAAGAGGATTATTGTTGAGAGTCAGAGTGAAATGAGATTTGTGAGTGGGAATTTCGGGATTTTGGGGAAAATTTGGGAATTTTTGAGAGGGTTGGAAGGGTTCCTAATCAAAATTTTAACAAAATTCTGATTTTTTAGTCTAAACATGAATAGTTTTAGCCTAATTCGTAGATTTCGGGATTTTTAGAATCTGAATATGATTTGGAGTGGGTTTTGGATGATTTCCAATCAAAATTTTGAGAAAATTCTGATTTTTTGAACCTAAATTTGACTAGGAACAGATTCTGAGTGGTTCAGAAGGTTTCTAATCGAAATTCTGAGAAAATGCTGATTTTTTGAGTCCAACCATGGATATTTCTAGCCTAATTCGTAGATTTTGGATTTTTTTGAATCTAAATTTGATTGGGAGTGGATTTTGGAAGGTTTCTAATCAAAATTTTGAGAAAATTCTGATTTTTTGAGTCTAAACATGAATATTTCTAGCCTAATTCGTAGATTTCGGGATTTTTTGATCCTGAATTTGACTAGGAACAGATTCTGAACGGTTTAGAATCGAAAAAACCTTATTTCAACCTTAAAATCAAGTTAGCCTAACTCAAAGCTGATTCACAAGAAACTTTTTTCTCAAAAATTCAATTTTTAGGTCTAAAATATCTGGATTCTCTAAAAATTCTGAAAATCCCACAATCTCCCTCCCAAAACCAAAAAATTTTCCAGCGCCTCAAATCGCTCGAAGAAACTGTCCAAAAAATGGAGAAGAATCAACTCGACTCCATAGCCAAACTCGAAGCAAAAGACGAAGAAATCAAAAATCTCGTCTATCAAATCGATGTGACAAAACAGCAAAACGAGGGATTGAACGAGCGAAATACGGAGCTGAAGGGAAAATGCGAAGTGCTGGTGGCGAGGAATCGAGAAATTCAGGCGGATGTCGAGGCGAATCGCAGGAATTTTGAGATGGCGAAGATGAATGTGAATCGGGTGGATGCGGATTTGCAATTGGCAAGGATTGAAATACAGTGAGTGGGAATTCGATGAAAATACGCTCTAGTGGCGGATTTTGAGCCATTTTTCATGAAAAATCGATAATTTTGTAGTCAAATGCGCTCTAAAGGTGAAAACTTTCAATTCTCATTAGAGCGCACTTGGAATTTCCTCTGAAAAATACGTTTCAAAATGTTTGGAAGATTGAATTAGGGTTTCGAAATTGATAAATTTTCTGAATTTTGAAACGTATTTTCAGAGGATTTTTTTGAAGTTCCTGAATTTTCACTGGATTTTGTTCACGCTGAAACAATTGACTGGAAATTTCAAGCGCGCCCTAATGAGAATTCAAGTTTTTGATTGGAAAATTTGTGAAATTTCATCAGATATATTATTAATTTCACAAAATAATTCCAATTTTCCCAAAATTCTGAAACGTATTTTTTTTGGCGAATCAAAAATGATCTATTTTCAAAAAAAAATTTTGAAGTTCCTGAATTTTCACATGATTTTGTTCAATCTGAATTTTTTTTTAATGTTCTGACTGGAAATTACAAGTGCGCCCTAATGAGAATTTAAGTTTTTGATTCAAAAATTTGTGAAATTTCATCAGATGTTTTATTAATTTCACAAAATAATTCCAATTTTCACAAAATTTTGAAACGTATTTTTTTGGCGAATTTTATTCAGTGTGAAAAATAATGAGGTTTTCACTGTAAATTACAAGTGCGCTCTAATGAAAATTCGAATTCAAATTTTTGGGACAAAATGCGCTATAGTGATAAATAATGGCGGATTTTGAGAAATTTTTCATCAAAAAATCGATAATTTTTGGTCTAAATGCGCTCTAAAGGTGAAAACTTGAATTCTCATTAGGGCGCACTTGGAATTTCCAGACAAATTTATTTTGCTCCGAAAAATACGTTTCAAAATGTTTGGAAGATTGAATTAAGGTTTCGAAATTGATAAATTTTCTCAATTTTGAAACGTATTTTCAGAGGATCTTTTGAAGTTCCTGAATTTTCACTTGATTTTGTTCGATCTGAAATTTTTTTTTCAGTTTTGACTGGAAATTTCAAGCGCACCCTAATGAGATTTCAAGTTTTTGATGCGAAAATATTGGCAGTATCATCAGATGCATTATTAATTTCCAATTTTCCCAAAATTTTGAAACGTATTTTTTTTGGCGAATTTTATTCAGTCTGAAAAATAATGAAGTTTTGACTGAAAACTACAAGTGCGCTCCAAGGATAAAAACACAAAATTTTCCTCAAATTTTTTTTCTAGGCGCCTTATGAAAGAAGTGGAAAATAATAAAGAAAAAGAGGATTTCTGGCAAAAAGAAAAATCAGCGCTCGACACAAAAATCTCGAAAAAAGACGACGAAATCCGCCAAAACGCTCAAAAACATCAAGAAACTCTCGAAAAATCACAAAATCAAATCGGAAAACTCGAAAATCGTCTGAAAAACGAGAAACCCGCGTATCAACAAGAATTGACGACTGAAGCAATTTATCAGGTGATTGAGAAAATCAAAAAGAATTATGGAGAACAATTGGAGAAATTGGAGGAGGAAGTGGAGAAATTGAAGAGACGCAGAGAGGAAAAAGCGGCTGGATTTGAGGAGATTGAAGAGTTGCCCGATTATTTGCAGACGCCGATGAAACCGAAGCCAAATGTTATTTTACCGGCCAGAAATGAGTTTAGGTAGGGATTTTTGGGTGGGGAGAGGAGAAAATTTGGATTCGCGGGGACTTTTTGACCCGGGAAATGGGGAAAGTTCAAATTTCCCGCCGAAAAGTTTTGAAAAATCGTTGCGAGACCCAACATTTGACCCAGGGAACTTTGAAAATTCAAATTCCCGCCGAAAATTTTGAAAAATCGCTTCGAGATCTAATTTTTCACCCCGTGAATTAGAAAAATTCAAATTTACCGCCGAAAGTTTTGGAAAATCATTACGAGACTCAAAATTTGACCGGGAGTTTCAAAAATTCAAATTTCCCGCCGAAAGTTTTGAAAAATCGTGGCGAGACTCAAAATTCGACCGGGAACTTTGAAAATTCAAATTTTCTATTGGAAAGTTTTGAAAAATCTTTGCGAGGCCCGAAATTTGATCCTGGGAAATTGAAAAATTCAAATTTCCTATCGGAAAGTTTTGAAAAATCGTGGCGAGACTCTAAATTTGACCCCGGGAAATCGGAAAATTCAAATTTCCGGCCGAAAGTTTGAAAAATTCTTTGGATTTAAAGAAAATCGCGATGAGACCCAATTTTTCACCCCGCGAATTTCAAAAATGCAAATTATCCACAAAATTTGAATGTTCTAATTTCCCGCACAAAAAACCCACCCGCCAAACCACAACAATTCAAATTTTTCAGACCCCTTCGTCCTTCAAGTGGTCCCCCGATGGATTCCCCCTCCCAATATCAAAAATATCGAAATCAACAAGAAGCCGACGATTTTGGCTATAATAATCCAGAGGATTTGACATGTATTGATGCAATTTACGAAGAAGAGGATTTATTGAGTGGAGGAGAACCCATTCCTATTGATAATGTCGAATTTATTGAAAAACAGATTTTTGGCGATGATTAGGTGTTGAAATATTGTTGTTTTTTTGTTAAAATTTGGCTTTTTTACCTACTTTATTGTCTAACTAGAAGGGCTTCGCTGGCTAACGCCATCTACAGTAGTTTGACTTATTTTTTCTGATTAATTTTCCGGTTAGGGAAAGAGAAACATTGAGAAATGCCCAGAAATTGTTCGCTTTTTTCAGAAAACAGAAAGATCAGATAAGAAACGTGTCCTTTAATTTTTTTGGAATAAAAACGTGATCATTCTTTTTTACATGAAAAAAGTTTTGATTTTTCACGTGAAAACTCGCGCATTTTTTGAAAAATCGAATATTAGCGCCTCGACGGGAAAGAATTTGATATCGAATGGTGAAAGTCCCATCAAAAATGGTCTTCTGGAAATTGAGAAAAGTCGAGCGACACATTTTAAATCCGAAAAATACATTGAGATTTTCAAACTTTTCATTCTCCGCGCACTCACAGACATTTTGAGAAAGAATGAATAGGAAGCGCACCGAGCTGCCAACATTTAGAAACTTTTTCTTTTTTTGATCATCAATTTTTATGCGCACAGTTTTGAGAACGGATCCCGGACATACTATTGCCAAAAAAATTTTCCCAATTAGTATATAGTAGATTAGTTAATTAAGTAATTACCCATGATTTTTGCTGAATTTTCTCTCTTTTCCTTGATTAAATACGTGGTTTTTTTATTTTTCTGTAATTTTTGTGAGTTTTGAAAAATGAAGTTTTTACTGTTTTTGTGTTTCGAGACCTCCAAAATTCCCCAATTTTCGCTGCAAAACCGCCGCGGCGCGCCGAAATTCCATGAAAAGTAGGGACGTGGCCTAGAAAACCAAACAAAAATCAATATTTTTATTTTTTTTTGTTTTGTTTTTTTTCGTGGTTTTTGTGTGTTTTTCAACGCGTTTCGCAATAAAATCATTGAATACAAAATACGTTGACCTTTTTCCCCGTTTCTTATCAGTTTTAGGCCTGCTCGCCATTGATTATTATTTTTTTTTATAAAAGATAGGGTTCATTTTGATACGTATTTTGTGGCGTGTACTCAATTTTCACTCGAAACTAAAGCTCCTTTTCAGGGATCCTAAGACGCTTCGCAAAATGTCGTCCAAACGGGCGGTCGTATTCTTCGTCACATTCACCAGCTACGGTCTATACCATGCGAGTCGAAAAGCGTTGAGCGGTGTCAAATCGTCGATTATGTCGGATTGGATGAGCAACTCGACGCATCCGCCGCTTTTCGAACATGACGCCGACGCAAAACATTTTTTGGGATCGTTGGACGCGATTTTTATGACCGCCTATGCGGCAGCGCTGTTCTTTTGGGGAATGTTGGGCGATCGGTTGAATCCGAAATATGTGGTGGCTGCTGGGATGGTTGGAAGCGCGGTGACGGTGAGAAGAAGCTTTCTGTTTGACAAGGAATTTTGATAAAAAATATATTTTCTAATAGTTTTCGACCCGCTGATCACGATTTCGTTGTCTAAAATTGCAAAGCTCGATTCCCAATATGAGTTATGACGTGTCAAATTTCGAAAAATCAGAATTTCGCAAGCTGAAAACTATGTAGCTTCAAAAATTAAACCTTCTAATGCATCGTACAAAGTGCAAAAAATGCGAAAAATCGCATTTTTTCGCGCATTATTTTTGCATTTTCTGATGTTTTTCGAGCCAAAATGGACCGAAATTGAAAGAATTTGTCTGAAATGGTGTTTTTATTGATAATGGAGGAAAAAGCAACGCTGAAACAAAAAAAATAACGATTTTTCTTCCATTATCAATAAAAAACACAATTTCAGACAAATTCTTTCAATTTCTGTCCATTTTGACTCGAAAAATATCAGAAAATGCAAAAATAATGCGCGAAAAATGCGATTTTTCGCATTTTTTTTACCTTGCACGATGCATTAGAAGGTTTATTGCATAATTTTTGAAGCTAGTTTTCCGCTTCCAAAATCCCGAACTTTGCCACGTCATAACCCATGTTAGAAGTTGAGCTTTGCAATTTTAGACAACGGAATCGTGATCAGCGCGTCGAACACTACTAGAAAAAATATTTTTTGAAATTTAAAAAATCTGAAACGTATTTTTTCCTTTCCAGCTCACACTATTTGGCACGATTCCAAAACTCCTCAACTTCTACTCAATTTACTACTACATTCTAACATACATCGCATTCGGTCTCGTTCAAGCTTGCGGTTGGCCAAGTGAAATTGCAATTATGGCCGCCTGGTTTGGCAAAGGGAATCGGGGATTTATTATGGGAGCGTGGGCGGCTTGTCAACCTGTCGGCAATATTTTTGGATCGATTTTTACTGCGCTTGTTTTGCCGATGGGATATGAGGTGAGAGGGATTTTGGAGAGAAAAATGAAAAAAATGAAAATGAATTTCTTCCAGTACACATTCCTTCTCAATTCTCTTCTCATCCTAATCGGAGCCATAATTGTGTTCATCTCAATCGACTCAAAACCCCAAGACAGCGAGGGAAGTTATAATAACTTGGAGGAGAATAACACCAGGTAACCTTGAAAAAATTTCATGTTTCTAAAAAATATTTTGTGTTTTGTCTGCAGGTTTAGAATGCAACAGCTGAAAAAAGTGCAAAAGTTAGTTTTTGTGTGGTTTTTGAGGGGGCGGAGTTGGTATGAGCAAAAATGGGAGAGCGGGAAATTTGAATTTTTCAATATTTTTTGCGCGGGAACAAATTGAAATTTTGAAAGGCTTGAAAATTGTTTTTTCGCTGAAAAATTGAAAGAAAACGAAAAAAATCAATTTTTCTAAAAAAAGAAGATGAAAACAGTTCAGTTTTCTACCAAAAATTCAAAATTCAACGAAAAATTTAAAAATTTAAAACATAAGGGATGATTCACAAATGAAAAAATGTTTTTCAGCTAAAAATGTTGACAAATCGAGATTTTTGAAGATTCTGAAGTGATTTCTGATTAAAATTGACATTGGAATTCACTTTTCAGAAAGATTTTCTGATTTTTCGTAAAATAAAAAGTTTTAAAATTTTGGTGAAATTCGAAAAAATCATAAAATAAAGCAAAATAGGGTTTTCGAAGCTTATTTTCATCAAAAATTACTCCAGAAGCTTCAAAAATCTCGATTTGTCATCATTTTTGGCTGAAAAACTCGAAAAACTAATTCTGACCTCGACTTTTCGTGTTAAAAAACATTTTTTCCATTCGTGAATCAGCCTTAATGGATTTTTGCACAAAAAATTCCAAATTTTCAAAAAAAAATTAAGAATTTCAGGAAGAACTGAAAACTTCGTAATTTTTTATACAAAAAACTAATTTTTCTAGAAACAAAAATTTAAATTTTCTAAAAATTCAGATTCTTCGCAAATTTTCGATCCAAAATTTGTGTCTCAAAAATCTGAAATTTTCAAAAACTGTGTGGCTGGAAAATGTACAATTTCGAAACAAAAAATCTGAATTTCATCAGTTTTTGGAGCTGACAAAAAACATTTTCTAGATCTGACAAAAAAAACCCCCCCCCCCCCAAAATCCTTAATTGCTCATATTAATCCGCCCCCTTTCTCTCCCTATTTTTCTACCAAACCTCCTAACCATCCACTTTTTTGCAGCCCCTCAACATCACACGGCGAACCAATCAGTCTCATCAAAGCCCTCCTTCTCCCCGGTGTTCTAGCCTATTGTATCTGCAATGCCTGCCTGAAACTCGTCAACTACGCCTTCTTCTTTTGGCTTCCCTTATATCTAACAGATGCCTATCATTGGCAAGAATCGCAAGCCGATCAATTATCGATTTGGTATGATTTTGGTGGAATAATTGGAAGTGTTGTTGGTGGATACATCACTGATAAAATGGGAAAACGAAGTCCGCTGATTGTTGGAATGCTTGTCTGCTCAATTGGCTCATTATTCTTATATGCACATATTGGCCCACACATGCTTTGGAATGCTCTCGTTATGACAAGCGTCGGGTTCACCGTCTCTGGCCCATATAATCTGATTGTTGGATCGATATCGATTGATTTGGGAAGTCAACCGGCACTTGCTGGAAATACGCAAGCGATGAGTACGGTCTCGGGACTCTTAGATGGAACTGGTTCGGCTGGAAGTGCCATCGGACAGGTGTTGATACCGGTTATACAGGAGGATTTGGGATGGAAGGCGGTTTTTTATGTTTTTATGGTTTTGGTGAGGAATTTTGGGATGGGGTTGGGAAAATTCAGCAGAGTTTATAGCAAAATCTGATAAATTTTTGAAAATTCCTGAATTTTAGACTTGAAAAAAGGTTTTTCATGAAAACTTATTATGAATAAAAACGAAAATTTTCAATTTTGAAGCTCATAATCATTCAATTCTCAAAATTTAAGAAAAAAAATCAAATTTTCAGAAGCTCACGTGATTTTTGAGTTAATTTCTAATGTTCACAAATCTAAAAAAATTCCCTTAAATTTTGAAAATGAACTCGAAAATCCCACGAGTTTCTGAAAGTTTTATGATTGTCAGCATTTTTGAGAATGTTCAGAAATTCTCCAGATTTTATAGCGAAATCTGATGAATTTTTGGTTTTCTCATGAAATTTGAAAAACTCAAAAATCCTGTGAGCTTCTGAAAAGCTTGATTTTTTCTCTGAAATTTTGAAAATTGAATGATTTTCAGCTCCAAAATTGAAATTTCTTCTATTTTTCATTTTTTTCCTGATATTCAAAATTACTGGAAGTTTCAAAATTTGAAATTCAAGTATTCAGCCAAAAGTTCATTTTTCCAATATTTTTTATCATGAAAATTGAAATTACACTGAAAATTTAGAATTTTCAGATTAAATCTCTAAAGATTCCCTGAAAAATTGAATATGAACTCGAAAATCGCGAAAGCTTCTGAAAATTTGATTTTTTCTCTGAAAACTTGAAAATTGAATGATTCTAAAATTAAATCTTTTAAATTAAATTTCTCAGAGAAATTTCGAATTTTCAGCCAAAATTTCATTTTTCCAATATGTTTTTTATTAAAAAGATAGAAAATTTGGAATTTCAAAAGTAAATCTCTAGAAATTCCCCTGAAATTTGAACATGAACTGAAAAATCCCGAGAGCTTCGAAAAATTTGATTTTTTTATTCTGAAATTTAATGAAGATACAGCATTTTTGAGAATTTTCAGCCAAAATTTCATTTTTCTAATATTTTTTCTCATGAAATTTGAAATTGCATTGAAAATTTAGAATTTCAAAGGTAAATCTAAAAAAGTTTTGAATTTTCAGCCAAAATTTCATTTTTCCAATATTTATTGATTAATTTTCGAACTGAAATCTTTGAAAATCAGAAATCTTCAGCAACTTTTAGTTTCAGATTTACAGCAAATTCAGAAAAATCCAAAATTTCCTCATTTTCAGAACGTCTTCGCCATTCTGGCAATTTCCAAACGTTTCATCGCCGATATGAAATCATTGCGACGTATTCGAAATGGCGAAGAATCGCCACTTCTTGATGGCGATGATGAACAACACGAAGATTGATTTTGCCAAAAAAATTGAAATTTTCAATTTTAATTTATCTAATTATCACTAATTATTTCTCTTAAAATTGTATATAATAACGGGTCATTTTTGTGAAAGTCAAAAACAAAACAAATTTTTAACGAATTTTTTAATGCATGGATTTATAAATTATTTGAATTTTAATTTTTTTTTGGAAAAGTTTTTTAATGAGTGTGAAATCTCAGATGATTGAATTATTTCTGATTTTTTTTGTTGATTTTGGCTTTACAGTACTAAATTCCACGTGTTTTTCATACCGTATTTCTAATCTAAAAATTCACGTGGCAAAAAACCCCCATTTTTTTCAAATGCAAAAAAAATTCAAATTTTTTTTCGCGGTGAGTGGCGAGACCAACTTGTTGTGTTTTTTTTGTTAAAAATATCAAGCTTCCATGTAATTTCCTCTCTAGAATACGAAAAAATCAAATTTCCTCTAAATTAATTAGAGAAATCCCCCTATCTCAATCAAAACATCTCAAAAAAGAAAAAAAAATGCCGAAATCTTGTCCGGCTCAAGTTTCTGCACCCTCCTACTTCCATACTCCCGAATTTCTAACAACCACTTTCCATATTCTAAAATGCATCGTATTTCCCACGCATTTCTTCGGCTTCTACTGTATTCTCTTCAAAATGCCGGCCAAATTTCGAAGTGCAAAAATTGTGCTATTTTTCTCGTGTTTCTGGTGTTTAGCATTTGATTTTGGGCTGAATTCTTTGTCAGTTCCGTTCGTTTTTATACCGGTTTATGGGGCGGTTTCACTTGGATTGGCGTCTTTTGTTAATTTTTTAGTACACTTTATTGTTGGCCTATTTTTACTATACAGTAAGTTAGTGAGCCAAGTTCTGAGCTCTCAAAAAAAATTATTTTCGAGAAAAATAAAATTTTGAGCACCATAGTAGATTTTTAGTAAAGCTACAATCAATAAAAAACATTTTTTCGAAAAATTCTTATTTTTCGTCTGAAAATGCATATGATTTTTTCCAAAATCAATATTTTTGAATATTTGAGAGCCCAGAACTTGGCTCAAATTAGAAAAAATCCCAAATGTTCTATTCTTCACCAGGTCTATTCACCTCAATAGTCTGTTTACTAGCCAATCGATATTTTCAACTAACATCTCGTTCCCGATATTCGCCTCATTTTCAAGTCTCAATCTACATACTCCACTACATTTTCGCTGCATTTTACGCATGTTTTATAATTCGAAATGTTCCCGAACAAACATTGGCTCTTGAACGAGCCCATCAAATTCTTCCGTGTCTACCAGATTCGATAAAATCAATGCGAATCGAAGTAATCAATAATGATCCGATTGATGCAATTAAGAAAGCCTCATTTTTCTCTTTTATCGTAACTTTGGAAATCACAATATTTGCTCTTCTCATTTATCACAAATTATATCAGAGTAGAAATAATACTCTGAGTTTGAGCACTAGGAAAATGCAAAAATCGTTTTTCATCGCAATTTGTGTACAAATCATTGTTCCACTAACTCTTCTAGCTTTGCCGCTTTTATGCTTCTCATATTGTTCGTTCAACACAATATACAACCAAAGTAAGTAGGGTTCTAAGTAGAGCTTCAAATAAAATATTATTCAGTGGTCAACAATTTTTTTATCCTATCTTTGGGGCTTTATGGAACAAGTTCAACGTTATCAATGATTCTAACACATCGCAATTTTCGAAGCACTTTATTTTGCAAGGAAAAAATTGAAAGCAATAATTTTATGATTACTAGATCAGGTTGTTTTGGATGATTTTTCTTATAAATTTTCTATTTTCAACCAGATCTTTGGTCAGATTTTATACAACCTATAATTGAAGTTGTCTGGGATTTTTTTTTCTGTTTTAGCACGAGCACAAAATTGAAATAGACTGAAGTTTCAGTCGAACATGTTATTATTTGTGTTAGAGCTGAAAGTGAAAACAAGACCAGGCTTTAGGGAGAAAAAATATACACTTGATGTCAAAAAATAAAACCGATTTTGAAAAAAACGGACGAATTTGATTTTCTAGGCCACGTGTTTTAAGCTCAAATAATTTGACGTGACTTATTTTGCTCATTTCTGATTTTTCAAAACGTTTGGATTGCCGCATTTATTTTCTGCACTATTTTTTGAAATGTACCAAAGCCTGTGAGTTAGGAAAAGTTAATTAGGAAAAGTATCGTACGATTCATCATTTTCACCCATGAAATTGAGCTAGATTTGAAAATCGGGAATTCGCATGCGGTTAAAATTTTTCATTCTTTAGTCCAGGGGCTGAATTCATAAAAGTGGTATTCCAAATTTCACTGAAAAAAATTTTAATACATCAAATTTTTTCAAAATTAATTTTTGGTATACCACTTTTTTTCATGAATTTGGCCCCAGCTTAGTTTTAACCCCAAAACATAAAAATTTCGAAAAACTATCCCAAGCCCAAATAGGCGCAGTCTGAAAGCCTGCGCCTAATCAAAGGGTCATGCACATGTTTCCACGTCATAGCCCTAGTTAATTACGTTCGATTTGAAACCAGGTTTTTGAACATTTAGAAACCCCATAATTTGAGAACCCTGTTGTTTGGAAATTTTTTATAGCATAGAGAAAAAACATTTTTTTGATCAGGCTTGAGCATAAAACTGAAATTGACCAAAGTGCGACCAAACATTATATAATTTGTGGACGAATTTCCTTTTCTAGGCCATGTACGAAAAATTTGTTATGCAATAGGTTTGACCATGCTCACTGATGCGGTTCCTACTTTGTTCCCAGAACTTATCCACTTGGAAAACTCTGCGTTGAACACGAAGATCATCCCTCTGAAACAGAAAAGCTATAAATATGCTTCAAAATGAAACCTTTTTCCCTACGCGTTGAAAATGTGAAGTGAATTCGCAATAAAGGTAGATGTCCAGAAGATTTTCCAATTCTCTGCGAGATTTCCCGGTATCCATCTATAAGCGAAACTGTAGAAAATTCCGTAAATTGTGAAGACGAATCCTTGAATGATGACTTGTTGACCGAAATTCATTTCGCGTTTACGCACCTCTGCACTTGTGGTTTTGAGAACACGTTTCTGAAAATTCCACGTCATAGTTTAGTTCTAAATTTATTTCTCACTCTAAAGAAAACGAGTAGAATGAATGTGCAAACATTGACAGAGAATGTGGCAGCAGTAAAAAGACTCTGAACTCCGCGAAGTAATACTTCAAATTTTGTACCGCAAGTGTCCGAAATGATAAATGAGAATACCCAACCATAATGGTAGAATTTATAACCACAGTTATCTGAAAAGTTAGGAAAATCCTGAATTTCCGATGTGAATCTCAATTTCAAACTCACAATACCACGTAAAAACTGGCGTGTAAATCAGTGGAACAAAATAGCATATTGAAACATAGATCCGACGATATTTTGATTTGAAAATGATACTATAGTAAAGTGGGGTAACAATTGCCAGAAATCGATTAAAAGAGATGAGCAAGTATAACGAGATTACTGTTGGGATTAGTGTTGTTGAAATTAAGCCAGCGATTTGTGAATTGTTGAGGATGAATTTGATATTGCTTAAATTACGAGTTTTTTATTGTATCTTCTTTACATAAAAAAAAACTCACAACAGAACACCAAACAGGTAAAATCCTCCACTGTTTGACGAAGCAATGATTATCAAATACAATTCATATCTAGTCAAATATCCAAAAGGTGACTTCATCGCTGGAATTTTATGACACCCATAAAGTGCAATTATCGCCATAAGCAAACCAATAAAACATGGAATGAATACCAGAAGTGCGGCTTGAATATCTTCGAATTCTTGAAGATATTGATCGCCACTTTGATAGACAATATCAGCGAACATGTGATTGACAGAAAACAATTGGGAATAGAATGAAGTCAGATATCAACAGCTTTAGTAATAATAACTGGGTATGGAGAGGGTATGGTAATTGTTGAGTAATATTTGGTGTTGTTAAGATTCGGGCTTTGGTCTTTCAAGAGATCTGTCTGCATCCGGGTTCAATTACTGTTTCAATAAAACAAAAATTCATGGTAGTTACAGTGTTGTTTAAACCCTAGGTTAGGTTGAACCCATGAATTTGAATAAAACTTGTTGTAAAATTCATATTTATCTCTTTTCCTAGTACAAGTAACACAAGTTTAGTTTGTTTTCGATAGTTTCATACTAAAACTGGTGCTCAAAAGGTCATTTTATGAAAAAATGTACTTTCTTGAAGTTTTCTTTCGTTTAAAGTACTTATCAAATTTAACTCATTTCTACTTTACAGGAAAAACGTCAGCGAAATGATGGAAATACCAAAACAATTTATGAAGCGAGATTTAGTCGAATGGTTTTCAATCACGAGGAGAACTGGAGGAAAGGTGGGTTTTTTTTAAATTTTGGGATTTAAAATTCATACAATTGAATATATGTAGTATGAACTCAAGTATCTGACTATGTTAATTATGGGGATATTGAGAGCAGGCATGTTATTATTGTTCGGGGTACTAAAAACAGAATTTGGAATAAGTTAGGAGTAGTTGACATCATTTTTTCGAAGTTTGGAAAATGTGTTTATTCACCAAAGTTCAAAGTTTATATAAATGACTAAAAATAATCACATAGAATTTACTTCCTCTTTTACTTTGCTACACAACTGTTGTAATCACGCTAATTGGTGAACTTTGTTTCCGGTCTCCACCTCGCAACCATTTGGAAAACTCAGTGTTGAAGACGAAAATGACTCCTCTGCAAAATCATGTTTCATATTCTTTGAAAAAGAAAAAAACTCATACGTGCTGAAAATGTGAAGCAGATTTGCGATAAACGAAGATGTCCAAAAGATTTTCCACGTTTCAGGAGTATCTCCGGGTATCCACTTATAGGCGAAACTGTAGAACACACCATAAATCACAGATACGATTCCTTGAATAACGACTTGTTGACCGAAATTGACCTCGCGTTTACGGACCTCTGCACTTTTGGTTTTGAGAACACGTTTCTAGAAAAATGTTGGTATAAGACGCAAGTCAGCCATACTCCTTACCCCAAAGCACACCAACATCAGAAATGTTCCGAAATCAAGAAGCAATATCAAATTAGTCATTACACTTTGAACTCCACGAAGTAAAACTTCGAATTTTGTACCGCAAGTGTCAGAGATGATAAATGAGAATACCCAACCATAATGGTAGAACTTATAACCACAGTCATCTAAAAAATGAAAATTATGTACATAATTTCAAGACGTGTTTCAAACTCACAATACCAAGTGAAAAGTGGTGTATAGATGATTGGTACAATACAACATACAGAGACATAGAATCGTCGACATTGGACTTTGAAGATTACATTGTAGTAGAGTGGGAGAGATATGGCGAGAAATCGATTGATTGAGATCAGGAAATGTAAGCCCATGATTAAGGGAATCAATGTTGTTGCAAGGAGGCCGGAGATTTGGGAATTGTTAATGATGAATTTGAAATCTCTTTAATTGTAAATTAATTATCATGATTCATATGTGAAAACAAAAAAAAACTTACAACAAAACACCGAAAAAATAAAACAATCCACTATTCGATGACGCAACAATCTGTGAACATAATTGGCATCGAATCAAATATCCGAAGGGAGAATTCAACGATGGAATCTTATAACATCCACGAATCCCAATAATCGCCATAATGAAACCAATTAGACAGGGAATGGATACTAGAAACCCCACTTGAATGTCTTGATAGGTTTGAACGTATTCATGGCCAGTTTTATAAACAATATCAGCGAACATTATCTAACTATTTATTTTTCACACACTCGAGTAGAAAAAATGCGGAAGAGAAGTTGTCGAAAACTGCTTTAGTAATAGTTGATAATTATAATTTTTTCGAGCGTGTCTGCTGGGATTATAATAATAATGATATTTATGAATCAGGTGATGATTACTAGAGCAAATTTTGATTTCGTAGTTTAGTAATGTGTATATGAAGATTAGTTAGATTAGTTAGATTAGTTACTAGAGAATGATTTGAAAGTACATGAAAAGTGCGAAACTTGGAAGATTGTGGTTTCTGCTGGTTTTTTTTGCCACGTCATAGCTCTTGTTCCACAGAAACCAGGTTTCATTAGTATGCAATTATGAACATTTTAATTAATGGTTTCTAATATTTTTAACTAACATGAAATAGACTCAAGTCTGAATAATTTAATAACATGGTAGAAAAAACATAATTCATGGGATAGTCATAACCACGCCAAGTGGTGTAACATTATTCCTGTTCCTTTCTCGCAGCCACTTGGAAAACTCGGAATTGAACACGAAAATCACTCCACTGAAACACAAACTTTTTCATCTGAAATTTGGCACAAACTAACGAGTCAAAGATGTGAAGAAAATTTGCGAGAAACGTCGAAGTCCAGTAGATCTTCCATCTTTCGGAAACATCTCCAGGTATCCATTGATAGGCGAAACTGTAGAAAATACTGTAGATTAGTGAGACGATTCCTTGAATCACGACTTGTTGTCCGAAGTTTAATTCGCATTTTCGGACCTCGGCACTTTTGGTTCGTAGAACGTGTTTCTGAAATTTGAGATTCGGAGGTATACTGATTCTAAATAAGGATCTTACCCCAAAACACATCAATGAGATCAGTGTTCCGAAATCGAAAAGCAAGAGCATAGCTCCTATCACATTTTGAACTCCGCGCAGTAAAACTTCAAATTTCGTTCCGCAAGTGTCCGAAATTATGAATGAAAATACCCAACCATAATGATAAAATTTATATCCACACCCATCTGAAAGTAGTGGTCTTCTAAATAGAAGTATTGTTTTTGAACTCACAATTCCATGTGAAGATTGGGGTATAGATTATTGGGAAAATGTAGCATACTGAAACATAGATACGACGAAGTTTTGGTTGAAAAATTGCGTTGTAGTAGAGTGGTAGAACAATTGCCATAAATCGATTGATAGAAATCAAAAAGTATAGAGAGTAAATCATAGGGAGAAGTGTTGTAGAAATCAGACCGGAGATTTGCGAATTCTTGATGACTGTTTTGAAATCTCTTGAATTCAATTTTCATTTAATTTAGTTTTCAAACTCATAAATAAAAACTCACAATAAAACACCAAACAGGTAGAATCCCCCGCTATTCAAACATGCAACAATCCGCAAATACAATTGATATCTGGTCAAATACCCGAAAGACGATTTCATCGCTGGAATCTCGTAAAATCCACGAATCACAATAATCGCCATGATGAGACCGAGGACACAGGGAATGATGACAAAAATGGCGGCTTGAACATCTTCAGAGTCTCGAGTATAGTTATCGCCACTTTGATAGACAGCATCGGCGAACATTTTTTCTTTGAAGAAACCTTGGAAGGAAGTGAATAAAATCAGAAGACAAATTGAATCTTTGGTGGTTGTGATAATTATAGTTGCCTGCTACTTGGAATCAAGACACTTTAGTTTATTGTGTTTTGAAATTGATGTGTTCTTTCTGAGTAGAGACTCTGAAAGTGGAGAAGTTCGGATACCTAGCGAACTTCAAACTCCAGAGTTCTAGAGAGAACTTTTCTTGAAGCCAGTAACACTGAAATGGTAGATATCGTGGTAGTTTTTAGGGCAAAAATAAAACTGAATCAAGTTTGGAAACTAATTATAGGGAAACATTGATATTATTGAACATGTAATTTATTTCAACATCTAGACCGAAGATTACTTCAATATTTAAAACTAACTATTTCAATCGCCTTGAACTTGTTGTCCTCATGCAACATTGAGCACGCTAGCTGGCATAGTTCGTTGCTTCTTCTTAGCCCGTAACCATTTCGAGAACTCGGCATTGAACACGAAAATCACCCCACTGCAAAAAATTGTGCTCCATTTGTTTTTTGAAATAGGAAATAACACTTACGTGCTAACGATGTGAACTAAACTAGCGATAAACGTAGATGTCCAGAAGATTTTCCACGTTTCCGGGGTAGTTCCCGGTATATATTCATAAGCGAGACTGTAGACAATGGCAAAGATGATGGCAGCTAGGCCTTGGAGGACTACTTGTTGACCGAAGTTTATTTCTCGTTTACGCATCTCGGCACTTTTGGTTTTGAGAATTCTATTCTGAAAATATCACGGTTTTATTAAAGTTGAAGATCCAATTTTCTCTCATACATAAAATAGGTCCCCCGAGTCAGTTTTCAAAGTTAGGGTCCCTCCTTGAAAATTTTTAAAGTTAAAAACCGCCCTCACATTTTTGAGCGAATTTTGGACAAGTCTAGGAATTTTGGTAAATTATCAGCAGAAAATTGGCCAAGTTAGACACCCTTCTCTTCAGATTTTTGAAAAAAGTTAAGCCCCTCTCCGATTCTGGGGACCCATTTTATGTATGTTTTCTCTCACCGCAAAAAACAACAATGAAATCAATGTGCCAACATCGAAAATTGAAATCGAAGTGCTCAACACACTTTGAACGGTGCGTAATAAAACTTCGAATTTCGTACCGCAAGTATCAGTGATAATGAAAGAAAATACCCAACCATAGTGGTAGAACTTATAACCGCAGTTATCTGAAAATTGATAATTTTAATTTTCCGAAAAAATCATTTTCATTTTCAAACTCACGATACCATGTGAACATAGGTGTGTGAATTATCGCAATACTGTAACATAGAAAAACATAAGCGCGACAAATTTTGGGTTTGAAAAGAATGTTGTAGTAAGTGGGGAAAGTAACAGCGAGAAGCCTGTTGAGAGCAATGAAAAAGTATAAGGAGTAAATTAATGGAAGCAGAGTTGTTGAAATTAGACCGAAGACATGAGAGTTATTTATAATGAATTTGATATCTCTTGAAAATTGTTATCAAAAATTATTAGCAAAACTAGACAGAACTTACAACAAAACACCGAAAAAGTAGAACCCTCCTGTAGTCAAACCCGCAATGGCTTGTGGAAATAATTGAGCTCTAGTCAAATATCCGAATGACGTATTCATTGCTGGAATCACATAGAATCCTCTAAGTGCTACTAACGCCAAGATGAATCCAATGAAACATGGGATGAATACGATTATCGCGGCTTTAACATCTTGGAAATCTTGAATGTATTCATGCCCTCTTTCATAAACAACTTCGGCGAACATTATTTATTGCGAAAATTGTTTGTGAAAAGAGTGAAAGTTTTTGAGTACTAGTGATAATTACAGATTAGTCATTCGAGATCGAGTGATTATTTGATTATAGTTTGGAAAAATCTTTGATGTTTGACTTGCAGACTTGCAAAGTCTCGAGTACAGGAACAATTTAGACGAATCAAAGATAATAAAAGTTTATTTGGTAAATCGGGAGCACGACTTATGTCACATTGAACACGCTGACTGGCATTGTTCGTTTTTTCTTAGCCAGCAACCAATTCGAGAATTCGGCATTGAATAGGAAAATCACTCCACTGAAAATTAATTAGTTACTCCTTATCCTCTCACAAGCAAAAAAAACCCCTACGTGCTGACAATGTGCAGTAGGCTAGCGATAAAAGTGGATGTCCAGAATATTCTCCACGTCTCGGGAACATTTCCCGGTATCCAGCGGAAAGCAAAACTGTAGAAAATACCGTAGACTATGGCGACGAAGCCTTGAATAACGACTTGTCGACCGAAATTGACTTCGCGTTTACGCATCTCGACACTTTTGGTTTTGAGAACTCGTTTCTTAACATGAACGTTCAGGTTTTTAATTTTTGATTTTTCTCACCGCAAAGAACATCAGAGAAATGAATGTTCCCATGTCGAGAATCACAATTATACAGCTCATAACACTTTGAACAGTTCGCAATAATATTTCGAACTTAGGACCGCAAGTATCAGAAATAATGAATGAGAATACCCAACCATAATGGTAGAACTTATAACCACAGTTATCTGAAAAATAATGTAAAATTTGTGCAAACAATGTGACGCATTTTTGCGTACAGGATTTTATAACAATATTTCATTTATTTTTTTCTTTTGGTTCAAGTTCAGGTCAACTCTGACGGTTTTGTGGGTGGTCTCGGCCAACCGGAATAGCTGTCTAATCACCTTTAACTTCTCAAGTTTCAATTTCAAACTCACAATACCAAGTGAAGATTGGTGTGTGAACAATTGAAACAATATAACACACAAAAACATAAATTCGACGATATTTGGGTTTGAAAATAGTAGTAAAGTACAAAGGTGAAGTAATGGCGAGAAACCGATTTATAGAAATTAGAAAGTGTAAGGAGATAAGCAACGGGATAAGTGTTGTAGAAATTAGGCCAGAGATTTTGGAATTGTTGAGGATGAATTTGATATCTCTTAAAAATCGTTATTATTTTTTTAATTGGGAGAAAAAACCTACAACACAACACCGAAAAAGTAAAATCCTCCACTGTTCAATGACGCAATGATTTGAGGATACAATTGATATCTGGTCAAATATCCGAAAGAGGAATTCATCGCGGGAATTACATAAAATCCGCGGAGCGCTATCAATGTCATAATTAAACCAATGAAACATGGGATGAATACGAGAAGACCGGCTTCAATATCTTCAGAGTCTTGAATGTATTCGTGATCACTTTTATAAACAACATCAGCGAACATTTTTTGCAAAATGAATGAAGTGCTGTTGAAAACTCTAGTTCTACATCTATATAATTACATATTAGTCATTTGAAATTGTGTTATCATACCTATATACATTTGTGTTTATAGTTTGAAAAATCTTTGATGATTGAGAATCTAGAAGGCCTCAAATTTGCAGAAAAAAAATATAATTACACACTTTATAACTCAAAACAAAAAGATCTACGCAGAATTTCAAGTTGTGACAACAGAGATAACCATGCCAACCGGTAGAATCTTGTTCCTATCTCTACCACGTAACCATCTAGTAAATTCGGCATTGAACACGAAAATCACACCTCTGAAAAACCAATGAAACTTTTGAAAAAACTTTGGAAACCCCTCCTCACGTATCAAAAAAGTGTAGAATATTTGCGAGAAACGATGATGTCCAGAAGATTTTCCAATTTTCTGCGAGATTTCCTGGTATCCATTGATAGGCGTAACTGTAGAAAACACCGTAGAGAATCGAGACGAATCCTTGGATGACAACTTGTTGACCGAAATTGATTTCTGATTTACGGAACTCGCTACTTTTGTTGTTGAGAACGCATTTCTGAAAAAAAAGTTCAGATTGTTCTACCATTCATCCTAACAAAGCCTTACCCCAAAGCATAGCAATGCAATCAGTGTTCCAAAATCAAAGATCAACATGAGACATGCGAAAAAACTCTGGAAGCCTCGCAATAAAACTTCAAATTTTGTGCCGCAAGTGTCAGATATGATAAATGAAAATACCCAGCCATAATGGTAGAATTTATAGCCACAGTCATCTAAAAAACGAAAAAAAATTAAAAAACTTATGTATATTACATAAACTCACAATACCATGCGAAAGTTGGTGTGTAAATGATTGGTGAAATGCAGAAAACAGAAATATATATTCGTCTATTTTTCGGTGAGAAAATCTCGCTGTAGGATTTGGGTGTGACAATGGCGAGAAATCTATTGATGGAAATCAGAAAGTATAAGGCGTAAATCATAGGAAGTAAGGTTGCCGAAATAAGGCCGAAGATTTGTGAATTATTAAGGATCAATTTGATGTCTCTGGAATCAGTTCTGAAAATTATACACACTTATAACAACTTACAACAAAACACCAAAAAGGTAGAATCCCCCGCTATTCAAACATGCAAGAATCCTCAAAGACATCTCATATCTTGTCAGATATCCGAAAGACGACTGCATCGCTGGAATCACAAAACATCCGCGGATCACAATAATCGCCATGATTGGACCAATCAAACATGGGATAATCACGAGAATCGCGGCTTGAATATCTTCGAAGCTTTGGATGTATTCATGACCACTTTTATAGACAATATCAGCGAACATTGAATTTTTAGCTTCTCAAAAATACTATTGTGAGAATGAAATGGAAGCTTGTGTGTTACGATTAATTATAGCTTGAGATGCTTGAGGAGAGAACATAGAATTTCTGATTGCTTGTGAACTTTTGAAAAAGTTTCCAGCTCGTAACCATTTCGAAAAATCCGCGTTGAACACGAAAACGACTCCTCTGAAACAACAAATTGTCTGATCAATAAATTCAAGAAAACCTCACGTGTTAAAGATGTGCATCAGATTCGCAACAAAAGATGATGTCCAAAAGATTTTCCACTTCTCTGGAATACTTCCCGGTATCCAGCGAAAGGCAAAACTGTAGAAAATACTGTACATAATGGACAAGACTCCTTGGATGATAACTTGTTGACCGAAATTGATCTCACGTTTGCGGAACTCGGTGCTCTGGGTTTTCAGAAAATGTCTCTGAAAACGGCATTTTTTTTGAGTGTGGGTAGGTTTTTCCATGTCCTATTTTCAATGGAGTGGGAGATAAATGATAGATTGTTTATTCACCTTACCTCTTCTTTAACTTACTCTAAAGAACATTAGCGAGACAAATGTGCAAATATCGAAAAAGATTACTGAATTTATCAGAACACTTTGTACACCACGTAGTAAAATTTCAAATTTTGTTCCGCAAGTATCAGTTATTATGAATGAAAATACCCAACCATAATGGTAGAATTTGTAACCACAGTTATCTGAATATTTTTTCTTAAATTTTCACATTATATTTTAAAGAGGTTGTCTTCCTACGAGACCCGGTTAGCTAAATTGTTAGGGCTAACACAATCCGCTAACACGTTAAAAGTAGGAAAGAAAGTTCGCTTTATCGTACACATCATTTATTTGTGTTTACTTCTCTCGGAGTTCACACCCAAACATTTATTTATTATTTAAGGTTTGCCGAATCGAGTATAGACTCATTTATAGTTACGCACAATTGCGGACTTGTTTTTTCACGTAGAAGGACAACCTCTTTAACACATAGATATTTAAACTCACAATACCACGTGAAAATTGGGTTGTAAATTAACGGAACTATATAACAGATAAAAACGTAGATACGCCGGTATTTCGGTTTGAAAATTTCGACATAGTGAAGTGGCATAATAATGGCTAGAAATCGATTGAGAGACATTAATAATTGTAGACCAAATATTAAAGGGATTAGTGTTGTAGAGATGAAACCATTGATTGATGACATGTTGATGATGAATTTGATGTCACTATGAAATCAAGACTGATATTTAAATTCAAATTCCAAGAGTAAACTTACAAGCAAATACCAAACAAGTAAAAAATCCCGCTGTTCGATGACGCAATCATCTGAGGAAATAATTGATATCTGGTGATATAACCGAAATGTGATTTCATTGCCGGAATCACATGACAACCGCGTAGTGCAATCAACGCCATGATGAAGCCAATAAAACATGGGGTAAATATATAAAGTCCGACTTGAATATCTTCAAAATCTTGAACATATTCATGCCCACTTTGATAAACTATATCAGCAAACATTATCAAGGTGGAACGGAAGAGAATAAAGTTTTTGACAGCTTTATTCAACTGGTAATTATATTTTTTGTGTCTAGGTTGAGTTCTAGACTATGTAAATACTGGGAACTGAACTTGGTTAACTCGAATACATGATTTCGATAATCCTATTTATGTATGAGATGTTTGAAAATTACATGTTGAGAGAACTTTGTGAAGGTTATGGTAATTATCGGGAAACGCCAGATTTAGAAAAGTGAACGATCAAAATTTGCTTTTCACATATAGATTTGGAGCGGAGAAGGGAAAAACTATCTTGATTAAAAATTAAAATTTATTTATCGCATTATCGTTCAATGGTGAATGATTGAAAAATGTTACTTCGTCAGTCGCGTGCGGCTGTGCGTCGCGGTTACAAACTTAAAAAAAACACACAAATTCATTTTTTAATTATTGCTATGATAAAATTAGATTTACTCTTCTTGCTACAACATCGCAACCACTTCGCGAACTCGCTGTTGAAAATGAAAATGACGCTTCTGCAAACATTTCGATATTTAGTATAACTTGAAAAAACTCACGTGGTAATAATAGGTAGCAAGTTCGCAGAAAACGCGGTTGTCCAAAAAATCCGCCATTTTTCTGACATTGTTTGCGGGATCCATCGATTCCCCAAAGCGTATAGAATTCCATAAAACATGAAGACGAAACCTTGGATAACAACTTGTTGGCCAAAGTTCACTTCGCGTTTGCGGAATTCTGCACTTTTCGATTTCAAGACTCTTTTCTGAAATGTGTTTAATATGAGCAAGGTTATTACCTAAAAGCATTTACCCTGAAGCAAATCAGTAAACTCATTGTGATAATATCGACAAGAACCATTGCATAGGTTAGAGTTCCTTGAACTCCACGGAGCAATGCCTCAAATTTTGAGCCACAGCTTTCAGAAATGGCGTAGGTGAAAACCCAACCGTAGTGGAAGAACTTGTAACTACAGTCATCTGAAAAATCTAGAAGTTCTACGGACGGATTTTTACCTCGTCTTACAATAATAAGCAAACATTGTTGTGTAAATAATCGGAACCATCCAGCACATCGAAACATAGAACCCTCGAATTTTCTGATGATAAATTTGATTATAATGCGTTGGAGTTACCAGCGCGAAAAATCGATTGAGAGAGATCATAAGGTATTGTGATTGGAGAATTGGAACAAGTGTTGTTGAGATGAGTCCGAAGAATTGAGAATTATTGATTACGAATTTGATGTCCCTTTAAAAAACAGTTTCAATGATCTACGATCAGAAATTGCCCAATTTTTTTTGTCAAAAATAATTATACCACGTGTGTGATCAGTAACTAATAATTAATTATTGGTTTTTAACACGCCTAGACTAAAAATGACTCACCACAAAACACCGAAAAAATAGAAAATCCCCATATTTATTGGCGCAACGATTCCGGAGATCATGTTATATTTCAACAAATAGCCAAAAGTTCCTCTCATCGCTGGGAGAACATAACAACCTCGAATCACAATAATCGTCATAAGGAAACCGATGAAACAGGGGATGAATACAAGGAATCCGGCTTCGATGTCTTCGAAATCTTGGATGTATTCATCGCTACTTCTATAGACATCATTGCTGTACATTTGTTTTCTGATTGAATAAATAGGAATCTGAGCACCGGGCACACGATGAAAAATTGAGTAAACTCAAGTTTGAGGTTGGTTAATAATAGGATAGATTGGTATGGAACATGTTATTATTGAACCTCGAGGTTTGGAACATAGTTGAAAGTAAACACGGAACAAACTTCAGTATCGTTCATTTTGAAAAGTATGAAAAACACATAGGGACGAGTTTGGTTTTCTAGGCCACCTCATTCACATTACAACTGTAACAACACTGGCTGAACCATCTCTAGTCTTCTTCTCAGATCGTAGCCACATCGAAAATTCGGTATTGAAGATGAAAATCACTCCGCTGAAAAATAGAACCTATCCTCACATAACAAGAAAAAAACCCACGTGTCAAAGATGTGTAGCAGGTTGGCGAGAAACGATGAGGTCCAGAAGATTTTCCACTTTTCCGGCGTGTCCCCAGGGATCCATTTATAGGCGAAACTGTAGAAAATGCCGAAGAGAATGAAGACGCCGCCTTGAATGACGACTTGTTGACCGAAGTTGACCTCGCGTTTGCGGACCTCGGCACTTTTGGTTTTCAGCACGCGTTTCTGCAAGGGGTTTGGATTTTTTAAATTAAAGTGGGCAAGTGTGCTCCAAAGAACATCGGGTTTGGATTTTTCAATTTTGAAAATATCAAAAAATTCACAAATTCGACTTACCCTGAAGAAAATCAGCAAAACAAATGTGCAAATATCAATCAACAACATTAAATTCGTTAACAAACTCTGAACTCCACGAAGTAATACTTCGAATTTTGTACCGCAAGTTTCAGAGATGATGAATGAAAATACCCAACCATAATGGTAGAACTTATAACCACAGTCATCTGAAGATCATTTTTCTATTCTATTTTTTTTTGGATTTCTAGACTCACATCTCCAGGTGAAAACAATTGTGTAAATTGTTGGAACAATATAGCAAGCAAAAACAAGAACTCGACGAATTTTCGGTTGGAAAATTGTGTTGTAAAACATCGGTGCGACTAGGGAGAGAAATCGATTCAGGGAGATCATTAGGTATAGGGAGAGGATCAGTGGGATTAGGATTGTTGAGATCAAACCGCAGATGTGAGAGTTGTTAATGATGAATTTGAAGTCTCTGAAAATAAGGTTAAATTATTGGACTTACAAGGGGAACTCACAAAAGTACACCAAAGAAATAGAATCCACCACTATTCAACGATGCAATAACCTGGGAGAATAATTGATATTTGGTCAAATATCCGAATGGTGAATTCATCGATGGAATTTTGTAACATCCACGAATTGCAAGTAACGCCATTAGAAAACCAATTGAACATGGGATGAATATTAGAATTCCGACTTGAACATCTTCTAAACTCTGGATGTATTGGTCGCCACTTTGGTAGACGATGTCAGCGAACATTTTCTGTCGTATAGCAGCAAAATGTCTTATGATAATGATTTGAATTAGAAAATATATAATTTAGTTCTCATTGTCTGGGGAAGTGTTGAGATTGGAATTGAGATCAAGTACACATATAATTGGAAAAATTATTATCCCTGGTAATCAGATAAATTCAGAGAAAATATAGGAAAGACTGTGATTTTTTAGTCAGCAGGTGAACCACGTCATAAATACTGAAAATAATTGCGGAAAACATCTTTATGAAACTTCATAAAAAAATATAAAACCCTAAATTTATAAAACAGTTGTAGCCACACTTTCCGAGTCCAGCGGTTTTTGGATTTTGGGTCGTAGCCACTTGGCAAACTCGGTGTTGAAGATGAAAATCACTCCGCTGAAAAATTAAAAAAAACTATTTTATTTCCATTCAAGACCGATAACCCACGTGTCAAAAATATGAAGCAAGTTTGCGGAAAATGAAGAGGTCCAGAAGATTCGCCAATTTTCTGGGATACTTTGGGGGAACCATTTATAGGCTACACTGTACCAGAGACCGTGTAACATGAAGACGAAACCTTGGATGACGACTTGTTGACCGAAACTGATCTCGCGTTTGCGGATTTCGGCGGATTTGATTTTGAGCACGCGTTTCTAGAAGGATTGGGGATTTGAGGGAGGTGAAAATGCCCTCCAAAGTAGAAAATTCAAAATTTTTCATTTCTGGGTTTTTTGAACCCGCAAGACTTCGTCACAAGTTTCCTAACTCACTCTAAAGCACACCAACAAAACCAACGTACAAACATCCAGAAACAAAATCGAAGAGCTCAATAAACTCTGAGCGCCGCGCAGCAAAACTTCAAATTTTGTACCGCAAGTGTCAGAAATTATGAACGAAAATACCCAGCCATAGTGGTAGAACTTATAACCACAGTCATCTGAAAACTTTTCGATTTTTATTGTTTTAATTTTCTGAGCTGAGCTCACATGTCCACGTGAAAATCATTGTGTAAACAACTGGAATTGTACAACATGCCAGAACACAAATCCGGCGATATTTTAGCTGATAAATGTGTTGGTAGAAAAGTGGCGCGATTAGGGCCAAAAATCGATTTAGGGATAGGGAGAGGATTAATGGTAAAAGGATTTTTGTGAGCAAACCGAAGATGTTAGAATTATTGATAACGCATTTGATGTCCCTGTAAATAAGGTTATAAATTAAGATACCTCAGACCTATGGAATGGTAACTCACAGCAAAACCCCGAAGAAATAAAACCCTCCACTATTCAACGAGGCAATAACCTGGGAGAATAATTGATATTTGGTCAAATATCCGAAAGGTGAATTCATTGATGGAATTTTGTAACATCCACGGATTGCAAGACACGACATCAGGAATCCAATCATACACGGGATAACAATACAAATCCCGGCTTTGAAATCATCAAGACTTTGGATGTATTGATCGCCACTTTGATAGACAATATCAGAGAACATTTTAAAGTTATAGGGATATTTGCAAAAATTATCGTATAGTCACTATATTTATTAGTTACATAATTAGCTGGTTGAAAAATGCACTAGGGAAATCAAAATTTTTCAGAATAATTATGAATTAGATGATGATGACAACAACTTTGTTATTGAGTTCTGGTTTTGTGAAGTTAGTATACAAGTACAACTGAGATCAAGTACATTTATAATTAGAAGCGGAAGTTAGAAAAATAATTATCATTTTGCCACGTCATAATCACCCAGTTTGGCTCAAGTTCATATACAAAATCATTTATTCAAATAAATTGTACATTGTTACTTTTTTATAGCTGTAACAGTGCTTGTAGAAATGATCCAACTCGTCTTGTCACCTCGCAGCCATTTTGAAAATTCATTATTGAAAATGAAAATTACAGCGCTGCAAAATCTTTTTCTTCTGAAAATCAAAATCAGGAATAACTCACGTTCCAAAAACATGAAGTAAGCTGGCTGAAAATGAGGTCGTCCAAAATATCCGCCAATTTTCTGGGATACTTTGAGGAAACAATTTATAGGCTAAACTGTACCAGAGACCATGAATCATGAAAACAAAACCTTGAATGATGACTTGTTGACCGAAATTGATTTCACGCTTTCGAACTTGTGCACTTTTATTTTTGAAAACACGATTCTGAAGGCACTCATTCGAAAAAGTGAATTACATAAATTTTTAGCTTACCCCAAAACAGACTAATAAAAACATTGTGATAATGTCAATGATAAATATTGTGTTGGCTAGAATTCCTTGGACTCCACGCAGTAAAACTTCGAATTTTGTGCCGCAAGTGTCAGAAATCACAAACGAGAATACCCAACCATAATGGTAGAACTTATAACCACAATCATCTAAAAATACACAATAAATTCAAAAAAATTTTGAAACTCCTACAGTAAGACGTGAATGAAACTGTATAAACAATAGGAATTATCCAACAAGCAAAAACATAGATTCTTCGCAATTTCGGATCATAAATTTTTGAGTAATGAACTGGAGTGACAAGTGCAAATAATCGATTGATAGAAATCATTAGATATTGAGACAAAATCATAGGAATTAGAGTTGTTGAAATCAACCCAAAAGATCGTGATTTATAAATTATGTATTTGATGTCACTTTAAATAAGAAGTTGTTGGACTTAGAGGACCTATAAAACTCACAAAACTACACCGAATAGGTAGAAAACAGCACTATTCAGCGGTGCAATTAGAAGAGAAATCAATTGATATCTCATCAAATATCCAAATGACGAATTCATCGATGGAATAACATAACATCCACGAAGAGCGATTATCGCCATAATGAAACCAATGAGACATGGGATAATTACTAAACATGCTGCTTTTATATCGTCAGAATTTTGGATATATTCATCGCCGCTTTCATAAACAATATCAGCGAACATTTGATTTTTGTTTTGATTAAAAATTTATGAATGAACAAAAAAATTCATTATCTGGGAAAAAACTCTTTGTTTTTTGATCTATCTACATGTGCTTCTAGGAAAATAATTCTGAAAAACTTTTGCTTGCATTCATTGGTTTTAATTAATTGTTGATCTATGAATCAGGCATGTGCCGGAACTTTTCTGGATTTTCGGGTTTTACGGAAAATGTGTCCAGAAAATGATTTTTGAAATCTTCAAAATCAACCAACTTTTGAAAAAATTTCTTCAAGTCAGATAAAACATCTAAATTTTCAAAAAAAAATTTCTTTTTTTCATTTTTTTTTCAAAAGCGTTGTTTCAAAATTTTCAATTTCCGAAACTGAAAACGTCTAAAACTCTGTAAATGAACAAATCTTAGGTGAAAATAAGTTTTACAACCAATTTAGTGCTGAAATTTAAAACTTGAAGACATATGAATGAAATTGAAACTATAGTTTCTTTTTCATAAATAAATCTTCAACTTCCTCGAAAATCGGGAATTTCCGTCAAAAAATGTTGCATTTGAGATCAACATACAAACGCAACAAAATTCAAGTTTTTCTATCTTTCAATGTGAAAAAATATATAAAAGTGAAGAAGAATGCATAATTTTCACACAAAATATCATGATCTTTTTCTATCTTCTCGCAATCCTCCTGTTAAATTCTTGTAATGCCTGCCATCCGAAAATGAATCCTGTTGCGAAACCTACCACTACTTCGACCACAACTGAACCTACCACCACCACAACTACTGAAAAAGTTTTGAGCTGTGAAGTTGGCTGGACGAAACTCGAGAGAATCGCAGGCGCTTGGTGTGTTCAGATGAACGAGTTGACCACAAAAACCTATGATGGTGCTCAGCAAGTTTGCAGCGAGTTAGGAGCGAAAATTTCGTCAATTGAAAATTCGGACGAGCTGACATTTTTTGAATCGTTGAAAACGACAGATAATATTATTCTAGGAGCCCAACTCACTTCCGACTGTCCATGCACCGGTATTTTATTTTTCTCCATATTTTTTCATTTCATATTGTTTTCAGATCCGCAGTGCATTTCAAGTTATGCTTGCAATATGAACACAGCGTTCGAGTGGACCGATGGTTTTGTGACTGGTCGAGATGTATTAGATGCTGCTTTGGAAAGCAACTACGGAGAGAGTCTATTCATCCAAACCGGGCCAACGCTGTTTTCTGCTAAAGCTTCAGTTTTCGGGGCCAATTCGATGGCCGTTATTTGTGGAAAGCCTGAGGCTTAAAGTTTTTCTCCTCAATAAATTATTGTTCATTTATAATTTGTTTGATCAGACTAAAGATAATCAAGTTTAATTTTCTGATCCAGGAAAAAAAAAGATACACACAGAATTCAGGTTTTTTTTTTCAAAATTTTGCCGCTTGCTTGATATAAAAATGAACCTGAGATTGCGCGTAAAAAGATATCATTTTTTAAAATCGAATGATGCGCTATTGTATATCCATTTTTGTTCTGCTAACATTAACTGAAGCTTGTCACCCGGAAATGAAACCTGTAACTACTCAAGCTCCAACTACGACGACGACAACGCAAGCAACAACCACAACAACCCAAGGTATGTAGTTCTTTCACTGAATAAACTAAATCTATGAGAAATTGTTTAGGACCACCGTGTCCTGAAGATTGGGTCGAATCCGATCGAATTGCCGGAACATGGTGTCTGAAAATGGTGTCACTAACCGAATCAACCTATACTGCTGGACAAGCTGCTTGCTCAGCCATCGGCGGAGTTTTATCATCTATCGAATCACCGGAAGAATTGACACTGATCTCCTCATTACGTCTAAATCCGTCTGATTATATAATTCTAGGCGCGCAACTAACAACTGATTGTCCGTGTACAGGTAGAACATTGTTAATAGAAACAGAAGCGTTCAAAAAATTGCAAAATTTCAGAAGTACTCTTTTGTTCAGCGGGCGCTTGCAACTTACAAAACGCATTCGAGTGGACCGATGGTTTTGTGACTGGTCGCAATCTTTTTGATGAAGCTTCTGCTGGAAACTACGGAAACAGTTTATTTTTGTCACCCATCGACTCTTTCCATGCAGTTCAAGAAGCTATGATGAGTGCGACGCCGAGTGAAGCGATTTGTGCGAAACAGGGCAATTAATTTTTATTGAAATATTATTTTTCCTATTTTTCAATGATAAATTATTTACTACATACATTTGTTAGTGGAAATAATATACCTCGGGAACTCAGGGAGACCCAGGATTTGTTCACGCGAGGACAAGATATGCAGACGTGGGGAAATTGCCCTGGCCTCATGCTGTCCGGTCCTTGTAACCTGGCTTTAACCTGTCCTGGCTCAAACATGGCTTGAATATGGCCGAAAGCCATATAACCTGACCGGTCCTAGCGTGAACAAAAGTTAACAGAGAATTTTTTGCTGCATAAAAAAGATAAAAATGCGACCTCCCTTTTTCGGCGTGTTTTTTCTCAACTAAAAAAATAATAACAGGTAGCCAGGTTATGCACACGAACCTGTCCTGGCTTATGTCTTACCACCCTAAGCCAACATGAGGCCATCATGAGGCCAGGTACCCCACCCCTGGGCATATGGCTTTAGGACATGTTCAAGCCATGTTCAAGAACAGGACAACATGAGGTCATAATAATTTTCCCACCCCTGGGGAGACCGAAAGAGCATATGGAACTCACTACCTCATTCACACATCCGGTATTTCAATGAAAAAGCTGAAAAAAGGCAGTTTTTCAATAGCACTAGAACCCGGAAACTCATTTTCCATTTTCGTCACAAAAAATCACGTTTTCGTTCAATCTCAACACATTTCACAAGATCATTTATGCAACATTGACCATAACAGGTTTTCACTGATACGATCAAAGTGCATAACATAACAGGGTGGTCTGAACGATCAAACATTTAAAAAAAGGGGGGGGGGGAAGACGACAAAAATGTATTTTTGCTCTTCTGGGCGTTTCCAGAAAAATCCCTTGGTGGTTTTACTACTTTTGGGGAGCCTTTAACTTTGCGACAACATTTTTTCAACAGCTCGACAAAAAGTGTTTCTAGTCTGATCGTACGAGAACCTGTTTTTTTTTTCAATGATAATCAATTGCATGTTTGGAAAATAAAAATACCCACCCATAACCCAGACTCTGACGTAAGATCAGGAAATTACAAGGAATTTTCACGACCAATCTAGATATACTCATTTTCAAACAATAAGTGATACGATCAAGTTTTTTTTTTCGTCGCATATAAAACTCAAAAATTTGACAACGGATATCATATTGAAAAATGCGTTGCTTGTTGATTCTGCTATTTTTTCTGATTGGTTCAATTGAAGCTTGTCATCCAAGAATGGATCCTGTCACTAAACCGACTGAACCTTCTGCTACTTCAACACAAGCAGCCACAGTCACAACTACAACAGTTACTACGACCACCACAGAAGCTACTACTACCACAACCGAAGGACGTGAGTTCCACTAACTCTCAAAATTAAAACAGGCTGACAAATATATATTTTTTCAGCCAAAACTTGCGACGCAGACTGGACGACACTGAATCGAGAAAACGGCGTATGGTGTGTGAAAGCCGAGGATTTGTCAGCCAACACGTATGAAGAAGCTGAAGCACTTTGCGCCGCATCTGATGCAAAAATATCATCAGTGGAGACCGAAGAAGAGCTCGGAATCCTCTTGAATCTGGGTGTTGAGAGATATATGGTGGTGGGAGCGGATCATTCAGCGGGTTGCGAGTGTACAACAGGTGTAGAGTGTACAGCGTCAGCCACGTGTAACCTGCAAACCGCGTTTAATTGGAATGATGGTTTTGTTGCTGGTCGAACGGTTTTTGAGACTGCCGATAGTTCAGTGAATTATGGCGATATTTTGCTAATCTATCCTTCACCAACACCCTATTTAACATCACCGCTAATGTCTAGTCTTACAATAAGTGCTGTAAGTGTAGCTTGTGGTAAAGAGGGAACAGTTTCATTGTTATCTAGATAATTTAATTTTAATTGTTTTTAATGAATAAATATTGTTTTACTTCTTGTTTTCTACTGAAAAGTGCAAAGACTGAAAAGTGCATTTTTTTTTCGCAAATTCATCTCATCAACTACACTTTCTACACGAAATCAAAGCAAAATGTGATCAGTGTGAATGAATCATATGTCATACTCCCTAGAGAATCCAGAAAAGCGGGGGTATCATAATAATCATCATCCACACATCAGTATTATTTTCATTCGGCGATTTTTTGAGCTACGCTTTCTTTTTATTTCTCACTTCCTCATCTCGAGAAATGTTCGCTGAAATCGTCTATAAAAGTGGCGATCAATACATCCAAACTGCTGAAGATCGAGAGGCCGCAATTCTTGTGTTCATCCCCTGTTTCATCGGGGTCGTAATGACGGTGATTGTGATTCGGGGATGTATGAAAATCCCGGCGATGAATTCGCCTTTTGGATATTTGATGAAATACAACATGTTTGCTGGGATAATTGCGCCTATCAATATGGGATTTTTCTACTTTTTCGGAATCTACATGTGAGTTTTATGGGAGGGAGAAGTGTGAAATAAAAAAAACCTCAATTTTGCGGTATCAAAACCAAAAGATACATACTTTCCGGCCTTCTCACAAAAAAAATTTTCTGCGCCGGGTAGAAATCGAACCTGCGACCTTGTGAAGCAAAATCGAGCTCGCTAACCACTATACCAAAGTAGCAGAAGGGAAAATTATTTTTTTTGAGAGTATGAACAAGGTCTGCCTCTGACCGCTTTTGTTTTGAAAATTGCCTTTTTGGGGCTAAAGCGGCCTATTCAAAAGCCATACATGAACTACTCGCTATATTTTCAAAAAGTTAACCCCCCTAACCAACTTTTTGTGGGGTTTTGGCCTCTAAAAGCATAAAAGTCTCCAAAATTTTCAAAAGTTAAGGGCCCTCCCTTCGAATTCGGAGTCCCAGATCATATATGTCAAAAGCTCTGATTCTAGGGACATCAAATTGATCATTGATTATTCCCGACTCTTCGGTCAAGTCTCAACAACTCTCATCCCAATTCTCCAATCACAATATCTATCAGTATCTCTCAATCGATTCATCGCACTTGTCTTCCCCATGCAATACAGCAAATTCTATGATTTGAAATTCAGAAGACTCTATGTTTTGACTTGCTGGACGGTTCCCATTATTTATACAACGCTTTTCTCATTGAATTGTAAGTAGAAGTTTCGATTTAAAAAAATTTGTCTTAACAAAAAAATTAAAATTTTTGCAGTTAATTGCGGCTACAAGTTCTATCACTATGGCTGGGTGTTCTCCTACGTCATTTCTGATTCCTGCGGTACAAAGTTCGAATCGCTACTCCGCGGAGTACAACTTCTTCTGGGCAACTTGATTATTCTCATCGATGTGATGACATTGTTTTTGCTAGTCTGCTTCAGAGTAAGTTCTTAGAAAGCAGTACGAACCCTCTCATCATTGCTCATCTTATAGAAACGCGTCTTCACAACCAGAAGTGCCGACATTCGAAAACGCGAAATAAATTTCGCGCAGCAAGTCATCATTCAAGGCTTCGTCTTCATGGGCTACACAATCTGGTATAGCATGGGCTACAAATGGGTTCCCGGACAATCTGAGCAATGGCGTATTTTTTGGACATCCACATTTTCAGCCAACTTGCTCCATATTTTTGCAACGTAAGTTTGGTATTTTACAAAGTGTGATTTGAGAACATAGTTGTTTTACAGTGGTGTGATCTTCATCTTCAATGCCGAGTTTTCGAGATGGTTGTGGACAAAGAGCAGAAATGATGTTTCTGCCAGAACCGTTGAGAATTCTATCAGAACTATTGTATCGCAAGCAAAATATTGATTTTTTTTCATTTTATTTTTCATTTTGGATAATCATAACACATGCTGAGTTTTATAAACTCTGATTTCATGACGTTGTAAATCATCATAACTATACTTTATTTTATGAAAAACTGAAAAAAAGGGGCGGAGCCTGTTCCTATCCCTTTTTCGTCTCGCGTCTCTTCTGCACGCACACTCTCTCGTTCTCTCACGTGAAATTGTGGCAGCAGGCCTGTGACGGAAAGTAGGAAAATTTAAAATTTCAGCACTAAATTGGTTGGAAAACTTATTTTTATCTGGAATGTTCCTGTTTTTCAGTTCTAAAAATCAAAATTTTAAAAAAAGTGCAAAATATTTTTTCGAAAATTTTTTTTTTATTTGAGTTTCCTAAACTTTGGTTTTGTGACGTTTTCATCGTCATCATCATCATCAAAAAAAATTTCCTGAAAAAAGTACACTTTATTCATGAATTTTTTTCAATCATCCACTAACAGAAACAATTCGAGTTTTCTTCTCTCCAAAAATCCACTTCGAAAAATCAGCATTGAACACAAAAATCACAATCGTGCAAAAAATTTGCGCCAAATTCGAGAAAAACGCAGTCGTCCAAAAAACTCGCCACTTTTCCGATATACTTTGCGGGAACCAGCTATATCCCAAATTGTACAAAACACCGTGCGACATGAATACGAATCCTTGGATAACAACTTGTTTGCCAAAGTTGATCTCTCGCTTGCGGATCTCAGAACTATGTGATTTCAAGACTCGTTTTCTGAAGCATACAAATAATACCATGGTTACACAATCCACGAGGAAGATGGAGTAGGCTAGACTTGTCTGAACACCTCTGATCAGATATTGGAATTTTGTGCCGCATTTTTCAGTGACACCGTAGGAGAACACCCAACCATAGTGATAGAATTTGTAGTCACATTCATCTAGAATTTTTTTGAGAGAAGGTTAAGGTTAAGCTTCAGTCACTGAAGCTCACAACCTACTGTAGTATGTGAACAGTGAGATGTATAGGACTGGAATAATCCAGCAAGCCGAAACATAGAATCGTAACATTTTTGGTTCGTACATTCGCAAATACAAGACTGGAGTTGCCAGCGCGAAAAATCGATTGAAAGATATCATCAAGTATTGTGACATGATCATAGGTGATAACATGGTTGTAAAAAGCCCCCAGGCTCGCGAATTATTTATCACAAATTTGATGTCCCTTTAAAAAAACACTACTGTGTTATTACATAATTGCGAAAATCGAAAAACTTACAGCAAAACTCCAAAGAAGTAAAAGCTCGCGCTATTTAGAGATGCGAGAAGTTGATTTGCCAATTGCCATTTCATCAGATATCCAAATGAGACTTTCATCGCCGGAATTGTAACAAATCCTTGAATCGCGATTAGAGTCATGAAGAAACCTACAAGATTTTCGAAGAAGATCAGGATCCCAGCTTGAACATCTTGTAGATCTTGAACATAGTCGTCTTTACTTTGATAGACCAAATCGCTTAGCATTTTTAGTCTTGGGACTACTTTGAAGTATTATTTATAGGAGAGAAATTTGACTTTTAATTTCAGCTGCACTGTGTTGCTGAATCAGAAGCTTTTTTAGTGTTGCAAAGAAAAAGGTTAATTCTGGGGTTGCATGTGAACTTGTTTACTTGTTGTTAGGAAAATGAGAAAATGGATCACAATCACATTTTGAAACATCCTGGCATTGCTGGAGTTACAACGAATTTGTGAATCGAGATTGTTGAAGATCAGAATCTCCCAGGCTTTCTATTTTTGAACCTCATTCCTACGAAATGAAATTTGACTTTTAATTGCACCTGCTCCATGTTTATTGCAAACCAAATCAGAAACTTTTTTGTGCTACAATTAATTCTAGGAGTACTTGTGAACTAATTGAATACTGACTCTGAGAATATTGAAGTTCAAGCTATGATTCATCTACCTGATGATTCTGATGACCTGAATGTGTTCTATGAGTTTGATCCTCTTGATCTTCCTGATCAAAATATTTGAAATCATCAAACAAGCTTTCATTCTACCCTATAATTAAATTCGTCAATTTCTTGCATTTAATTATAGGTTTCATTCAAATCGTTGCACTTCTCCATTAAAAAAACATATTTTTCACCTGGAGCAAGAAGAAGTCTGACATTTAAAACTACACTAGAAAAACTACAAACTTCTGAGTTTGTTACTTAGTTTCTTAGTCGATCCGTTCTTCAGCATATTGCGCGGACCACAGTTCTCCATTTATCACGGTCTTTGGCACGAGTTGTCCAATATTCGACCAATTTGTTGTTGTTGTCATATATACAGTGGTTTTTCCTTAGTTCATCTGACCATCTCAATGGAGGGCGTCCAACTGGTCTTTTCCAATCTCGTGGATACCAATCCAATGTTGCCGTTGACCAACGGTTGTCGTTTCTCCTTGCCATGTGTCCGGCCCAGCGGGTTTTTTGTTGGCGGATGTGTCGAAGTGGATCCTTGACTTGTGATAGCTTCCGGATGTCTTCGCGGTGGAGATTTCTTTCGCGTTGTTCGCTGAGTGTTATGCCAACTAATCTTCTTTCCAATGCCGCGTGGGAGACTCGAAGAGCTTCTGAATTCTTTTTTGTGAGGGTCCATGCCTCTGAACCATAGCAAAGGGCGGGTAGAACCGTTTGATCGAATAAGTTTGCTTTGGTTTTTTGGCAAGTGATGGCGTCGGTTGCTTTTTCGATGGATTTGAAAGCAGCCCAGCCAGCTCTTCTTCTTCGGTGGATTTCCGGCAGGAGTTCGTTTTGAGGATTTAATTGTCGGCCAAGATAAATATATTCATCGACATTTTCAATGGTTTTGTTTCCGATTTCAATTGGGCGGGTGAGCGCAAATCGGTTTCTCATTGATTTTGTTTTGGCTTCATTGATTTTTAGGCCAACTTATGCGCTTTCCTGCACCAATTCTTTCAACATTCTCGAAGCTTGATGCGGGGTGTGTGAGATCAGAACGACATCATCAGCGAATCGAAGGTGGTTTAACTTTCTACCATCTATGCTTATTCCACAATCTGACCAATTTGTGGAGCGGAAAACTCCTTCAATACTCGCGGAGAATAGATTCGGAGAGATTGGGTCTCCTTGGCGAACTCCTTTTGAGATTGGGATTTCGACTTTTTTGAAAAATGGCGTGATGTTGGTGGAACACTCCTCGTAGCATTTTTGGAGGATCTTGATGTAATGTTGATCGACTCCTTGATCTTTCAGCGAATTCCATACTGCAGCTGGTTCTACGCTGTCGAATGCTTTGTGGTAGTCGACAAAGATCAGGACAAGTGGGATTTGGTGTTCTCGACTGGCTTCTAGAATTCTTTGAATTGTGGATATGTGGTCCATTGTTGAGAACGATCTTCGAAATCCAGCTTGCTCAACAGGTTGGGATTCCTCAAGTGGTCGGCGGATTCTCTGCAGAATGCACTTTGTGAAGAGTTTGTAGAGAACTGGGAGGATTGTGATAGGGCGATAGTTTTCGAGGTTTTCGCGATCACCTTTTTTGAAGATCAAGATGGTTTTCGATGTTTTCCATGCCTTGGGTATCTCCTCTTTCTCCATCATCAGGTTGAAGCAGTGTGTGATGATCAAGATTATCTTATCCGTGCATTTTTTGAGAAAATCGGCGGTGATTTTGTCTTCGCCAGCGGATTTTCCGTTTGGGAATGATCTCAGAGCTGCTCGAATTTCGCTCGGTAGAAACGGTGGTGGATTTTCAGTTCTTCTCAATCTTCTGTTACTGGGATTTTGTGGAACATCTGAGCTTTTGAAAAGCTTTGAGTAAAACTGATGTATTTCTTTTTCGATTTCTCCTCTTCCAGTGATCCGAGTTCCGGTTGGAGAAGATTTCAAGCATGGAATTGTGGCTTGATATTCGACGAGGTTTCTGGCGACTCTTTTCAGACTTTTTTCTTGCCATTGCCGCGTTCACGAGGCGAGTTTTGGCAAATTCTTGGTGATCTCTGGCAAGTTCCTCGCGGCACAATTCCGAGATGGTGTGGAATAATGGATCAGATCGACTCGTTTCTCGTCGAAGTGTCAGCAGTTGGCGAGTGGATTCACTTATTCTGTTTTGTGAGTGATTTGGTTGTGGAACCAGCGATTTTTCTTGAATCGATCTTAACATACCAACGATTTTGTTGTAGAATATATCTATATTCTGATCTTGTGGTGGAATTTGCGTGAGATCGCAGTTGGTGGCAATCGCGGACTCGTCGATCATTTTCTTCGGTTGACGTCGTTTCATGAATTCCTGATGTTTCACAAAATTTAGGTTGAAGTGTAGGTTGGTTCGGACAAGCCTGTGGTCACTTCCAATTGTGAACGATGGAACAACGTGAGTGTCGGTGAAGAAACGACCGTTGGTTAGTATGTGGTCCAGTTCATGTTTGTGTTGGCCATCAGGAGATATGAAGGTCCATCTTTGATTTGTTGGTTTTTCGAAGAAGCTGTTGGTGTTGTAATAGCGATTGCTCTCGCAGAAACTTGCCAGAAATTCTCCTGGTTCGTTTTTTTGGCTCCATTGAGTGTGTGCCAATGTATATTTCAGATGAGTTTGCTCGGCTTCCGATTCGCGCGTTGAAGTCGCCCATAACAATCTTGAATTTCGATTTGCATTGGCGGATGACATCTTCAACGTTTTCGTAGAATTCAGCAATTTCCTCGGCGTCAGATGTTCCAATTGGTGCATAGACTTGGATGACTGTGCAGTCGAATCTTTTGGAAACATAGAAGGTGAGGGTTGCGATTCGATGGTTTATGAATTTGACTTCTTTGACTTTTGGAGTCATGGATTTGTGAGTGATAAATCCAACCCCTCCAGATACCGAGACTTCGTTTCGTTTTCCAAGGAAAATACCAGTTCCGTCGGCGCTCTTGGCTTGTATTTCTGCCCCTCGTTTTGTTTCAGATAATCCGATAATATCGTACTTGATTCGATCAGCTTCTTGGAGAAGATCAGCAAGACGATCATCGGTGGCGATGGAGCGGCAGTTAAATGTGCAAATCCTGGCGTCGATTTTTCGTGTTTTTGGCTGGCATTTTTCCTTATTCTTTTTCCAATGACGGGTGGTCGGGGCTCCGAGATTTGATCGCCTCTCCCCATTTGTTTTCAAGCCCGTCGTGTTGAACGCAGAGGTGGGGTGCGGAGGACTGAGGCAGTTTTTGGAACTGTTTTTAGCTATAAGTTTTTTCTCCTGGTTACCCATACAGAGGCTTGCTAGGCCTAAGTTAGGGCCTCGTTGGAACCCAGCTTGGAGACAGCGGGCGACAACTCGGGAGAATGTCCAGCTTCTTGGCTACACACCTGGTTGGACAAGGGCTCCAAACCTTGCCGTAAAGTTGTAAACCAGGTGTGCAAATCCCCATCGCCACGTAGAGGCTCAGCACTATAATCCACCGACTCGCGGCTTCATATAGCTTGGACTGATGGAGTTCGATTGAAAGATATCATCAAGTATTGTGACATGATCATAGGTGATAACATGGTTGTAAAAAGCCCCCAGGCTCGCGAATTATTTATCACAAATTTGATGTCCCTTTAAAAAAACACTACTGTGTTATTACATAATTGCGAAAATCGAAAAACTTACAGCAAAACTCCAAAGAAGTAAAAGCTCGCGCTATTTAGAGATGCGAGAAGTTGATTTGCCAATTGCCATTTCATCAGATATCCAAATGAGACTTTCATCGCCGGAATTGTAACAAATCCTTGAATCGCGATTAGAGTCATGAAGAAACCTACAAGATTTTCGAAGAAGATCAGGATCCCAGCTTGAACATCTTGTAGATCTTGAACATAGTCGTCTTTACTTTGATAGACCAAATCGCTTAGCATTTTTAGTCTTGGGACTACTTTGAAGTATTATTTATAGGAGAGAAATTTGACTTTTAATTTCAGCTGCACTGTGTTGCTGAATCAGAAGCTTTTTTAGTGTTGCAAAGAAAAAGGTTAATTCTGGGGTTGCATGTGAACTTGTTTACTTGTTGTTAGGAAAATGAGAAAATGGATCACAATCACATTTTGAAACATCCTGGCATTGCTGGAGTTACAACGAATTTGTGAATCGAGATTGTTGAAGATCAGAATCTCCCAGGCTTTCTATTTTTGAACCTCATTCCTACGAAATGAAATTTGACTTTTAATTGCACCTGCTCCATGTTTATTGCAAACCAAATCAGAAACTTTTTTGTGCTACAATTAATTCTAGGAGTACTTGTGAACTAATTGAATACTGACTCTGAGAATATTGAAGTTCAAGCTATGATTCATCTACCTGATGATTCTGATGACCTGAATGTGTTCTATGAGTTTGATCCTCTTGATCTTCCTGATCAAAATATTTGAAATCATCAAACAAGCTTTCATTCTACCCTATAATTAAATTCGTCAATTTCTTGCATTTAATTATAGGTTTCATTCAAATCGTTGCACTTCTCCATTAAAAAAAAACATATTTTTCACCTGGAGCAAGAAGAAGTCTGACATTTAAAACTACACTAGAAAAACTACAAACTTCTGAGTTTGATTATCAAAAATAGAAGTTGAAGAGCTAGTTGAAAACAAATCGGAATGTGGAATATTTAAAAAAAAACTGTTTAAAAAACAATAGAAAAAATGAAAAAAAATACAATTTTAAGGGATCTTCCTCTTTTTTCCACAAGTCCTGACTTGTGAGGTCAAATTATACATTATACAACTATACCAAAACTTACCTAATATAATTTAACACAAATCACTGTGTTTTCTTTCACCCAAAACCAAACCCAAAACCCATTAAACTAACCTGACATGAGTTGCAGTTCCTCAATTTCATTTTGTTTTGCATCATTGAAACATCCAACATCGGGACTCACTCAATTCAGAATTCTCAAAACAATCTGGAATTTCTCTGGGTCATATAGAAAGAAAAATAAACTCGGTCTTACCTTTAATTGAGAGCAGACCGAATACCAAATAAAATATCTCAAGAAATGAGCGTCCAACCTGAAAAAAACGAGATTAGCGTGATTTTTTTTCGAAAAATAATAATGTCAACACGTTTTTCGACAAAAAATAAAAAATTCATTTCAAAAATGTTTTGCCAATCGATATAAAACAACGAAAAATTCTTGAAATCCCGCGTGATCTACACTATTCAAATTTTTGCGGGGGGTCTAGGATTTATGAATTTTCAAAAAAATCAGGATGATTTTTGAGAATTTTGGAAACTTCATTGTTGGAAAAAACATAAAGCTCATTTCTAATTAGTTAAAATCAAAGAAAATGACACCGGTGAGAGTTTTCTGTTTTTTGGAGAGCGTAGAGAAACCAAGAAAGAAAGTGCGCTCTATTTTCTATAAATAAAAAAATACACGAATACTTTTACCGTATCAAAGGCGCACACATTTTTTTGTAAAATCACAAATATTCTTTATTCAACAAATAAATATATTAAAACCCGTAAAACCATTCAACTGTCAATGATCCTTAAGAAAATGCCCGGAATCTAGGCAACATCGCAATCCACAAAACCACAACACCAATCATAATTCCAGCATTGATGATCCACAGCGGTTTCAGACCGAAAAATGTAAAAATATATGAGGCATAGGTTGGTGTGATGACAAGCATAATATCGTCTAGAATCACAGCTGCACCCTGCATCACACTTTGATCAATATTTCCCAAAACTTTCGAATAAATTGTGTCCAGACTTATACTTGTTGACGGAATTGTTAGGCCGAAAACGAAGACCATACAGGATAAAAATAAAGCGGGTTGTGGTGCGATTGCTGTTTCACACCACGTGTATTTCGTGGAATCACAGCCGGTTCCATCGGTCTCGTTGTAGAGTTGAACTTCGACGCCGATATTCGGGTAGGGATAGGTGACGGCGTAGAGAGCGATGAAGAGACTGATTGAGAAGAGGTAGATGAAGCGGGGAGAGATTCTGGAAATTTTTTCAACATTTTGAGGTAGCCGCGAAAAATAGGTTTCAAAAAATTGATGAGAAATTTTGAGATTTTTTGAAAATTGCTAATGCAATTATGCAACCGATATTGGAGGTAAAATAATGAAGTACTAAGTTTTGGATTCAGCTCGATTTTAATGCTGAAAATCCACGTGGTACTATTTTTCCTGATACTAATTGTAAGGCTGGAAATACACGTGGCAAAAGTGCTTTCATGAAATTATAAATTTCCCAAAATAAATAGCGACTAGAATTATTTTTTAAGGCTATAAAATCCACGTGGCACTATTTTTTCTGATACCGAGGCTGGAAATCCACGTGGCAAAATAACTCTCACATCTCTAACATAAATTTTGGATTCAGCTCGAATTTTTATGCTGAAAATCCACGTGTCACTAATTTTTCTGATATTGAGGCTGGAAATCCACGTCGCAACGAAATTTTTTTAAAGTCCCGGAACTTTTTTGAGAGCAGGAAAATTAACACTTTTTCTAATTTAAAAACTTTCTGATTTTATGCTGAAAATCGACGTGGAACCCAAAATTTTTGAAAATAGTGTTTTTTTTTGGTTAAAAACCAAAACTTCTAGATTCGTTCAAAATTTTTTGAAAATAACAAAAAAGAGTTTCGCCACGTCATAATTTTCAAAGTTTTTTTCCCCTGAAAACTCACATGGTCGCCAATTTACAAAACATAAAACTTCCAATCACAACCATCGACAACAATCCGGATCCACCCATCAAAATCGAAGTTATCCGAACTGTCTGAATTCCGGTCCAACCGTAGTTTACCATGAGCAATATGGGCATCAGGCTGAAATTATCAAATTCAGGAATTTGAATTTTGTTGATACGTGGAATTTTTAAAATTAGTAAAACTTACGTTCCAATTGATCTTGCTGTAATCGTTTTTCCACATTTCGCAATCCAAATAACCAGCACCAAAATCCAATTAATATTTGAGCTTCGAATTTTTGCGATTCGCATTTTCAACCCCTCCCACTCGAAAATACTCGGCTTCTTCAACTTCTTCTCCTTGATTTTTCTGGGCAACTCTTCTAATCCGAAAAATATGATCAGAATTGAGACGAAATTTGTGGAATTTGCGATCCAAATCGGGGCCGAATACACATTGATTTTCAAATGTTCCGTGATTTCCCAACCTGGATAAGGAATCTTGGTAAAAATCAGTTGAATTAGGGGTCCTAAAATGATTGATAAAACCATGGAGAGCGACATTGTGGCGAAAGCTTTTGCACGATCTTTTGGCGCGGAAATTGCAGCTACATAGGCTCGCAAGATTGCTGGGGAACTTCCAGAAATATCGAAGAGGATGTAGCAAACCATCATCAAATATCGTCGTCCTGTTGGTAAATATTCTACTCCGAGATATAGAATACATGCCAGGATTGCGATGATTCTTCCAGCTATTAATGGAGCGCGAACGGTTTTGAATTTAAAGCTCCAGACAGCGAAGAAGAGTACGAAAATTGCGTGAGCCGCTTTGGAGGCACTGCTCGCGATACCGAAGAATTTGACGGTGGCTTCTGGATCTATCTGGAAAATAATTTTTGTAGATCAAAATTTGTATCCAACGTGGATTTTTCCACCGTATTGTTTTTTTTTAATTTCATCCGATTATGAAAATCGAATCTTCGACTTCTCGAAACCCAAAATTTTATGAAAATTTTGAAACATAAAATTTCCTGGATTCTTTTTTTCGATTGAAAAAATTTCTAGACAAATTTTCCACGTGGATTTTTCTACCGTATTGTTTTTTAAATTTAGTCCGATGATTCAATGAATATCTTCGCCTTCTCAAAACCAAAATTTTATGAAAATTTTGAAACATAAAATTTCCTGGATGTTTTTTCGATTCAAAAAAAATTCTAGACAAATTTTCCACGTGGATTTTTCTACCGTATATATTTTTTAAATTTAGTCCAATGATCGTATGCGTATCTTCGACTTCTCGAAACCCAAAATTTTATGAAAATTTTGAAACATAAAATTTCCTGGATTTTTTTTCGATTGAAAAAATTTCTAGACAAATTTTGCACGTGGATTTTTCTACCGTATATTTTTTTTTTGAATTTAATCCGATGACGACAATCCAATCTACGACATCTCAAAACCCAAAATTTTCTAAAAATTTTGAAACATAAAATTTCCTGGATTTTTTTCGATTGAAAAAATTTCTAGACAAATTTTCCACGTGGATTTTTCTACCGTATATTTTTTTTGAATTTAGTCCGATGATCGTATGCATATCTTCGACTTCTCAAAACTCAAAATTTTATGAAAATTTTGAAACATAAAATTTCCTGGATTTTTTTTCGATTGAAAAAATTTATAGATAAATTTTCCACGTGGATTTTTCTACAGTATTGTTTTTTTTGGAATTTTTGCTGATGAATTAATGAATATCTCCGACTTCTGGAAACCCAAAGTTTTATGAAAATTTTGAAACATAAAATTTCCTGGATTTTTTTTGAATTTCGAAGAATTTCGAAGAATTACATGAAAAAATTTCTAGACAAATTTTCCACGTGGATTTTTCTACCGTATATTTTTTTTTTGGAATTTTTGCTGATGAATTAATGAATATCTCCGACTTCTAGAAACCCAAAGTTTTATGAAAATTTTGAAACATAAAATTTCCTGGATTATTTTTCGAATGAAATAATTTCTAGATAAATTTTCCACGTGGATTTTTTCATCAATTTTTTTGGAAGCAAAACTTCGAGTTCTAGAAACCCATCCCCAAAAAGCCCACCTGTTTCATATATGGCCATTCACTCATATGCACCGCTGCTCCTTCAATCGCACACAAAAACGAGACGATTCCAGTGATATAAATCAGCCGCCAATTGGTGACCTCCACAGGTTCATCGGCCAAACTGAAGCTATCCTCAATATCAGCAGGATCCACCTTGGATTTCAGCTTCAAGTTCAGATCCAAATTCAAGTCTTTCTTACCCGGTAGCTCGGACATTGTCGAAAAGACTTACTAAAATTTGTGCGCGCGCGGAAAATGGGAAGTTGAAGAAGCGGACAAAAATGGGCGGGAGACAAATTGCGAATAGACAAACAGTTTTTGTAAACATAATAACAATATACATATATATATTTTTGAAACACGCTTCTTTTTTGTTTGCTTGTTTTTGTGGTTTTCGTACTTCCCAAAAGTTTTTGTGATTTATGGCTTTGAAAAATATTTGGGAACATAACTGGATTTTTTGTAGTACAAAACTGTTGGGTGCGAAAAAATGACGCGTGGGGTCAGACTATACAGAACTGGGAACTGGTTCAGAAAGTCAAAAGATCGTGTAAAAAGTTCTTTGAAGTCAGAGAAGAATTTTCATTGAATAACCCAATTGTTACAGAAAAATTTTTGTATTGATAAAAGGAAAAAAAATGTCTGAAAAAGACCGAGAATTCAAAAAATGTACCCTAGAAATCTGAAAGGTCTAGAAATTCTTCATTTTTTTCAAGTCCAGATTTTCTCGTGATTTGGACTGTCTGTGATGAGTAACCATTTTATCTGTTTACCCATTTCCATTTTCAAAGACGGTCATTATTATCAAAAACTATTGCACGCGGAAGAAAAAAACAGAAAACACGGTTTTATGTTGACTTTTCACAATCTTCAGAAAAAGAAGATAAAATAGGAAGTTTTTAGTTTGCGACATCAAATGGTGATGATGTTATGCTCAACATCGATAGATCAACCAAAAACATACACATAAATCAAGTACTATTTGCTCAAAAAATTAGCATGATGTCATGAAACATCGTGTACTGTTGTTTTAGGGAATTTTTCAACTGAACAATGGTTTTTGCAAATTTTGTAGTTTTAACATGGTTCCAGGCTTCTATCTTTCAATTCTCTCAACTTTAGTTTTCATTAGCTCCTGGTTTAACTTCTTTATCAACTTAAGAACAATCAGAACTTGTCAAAAATTACTTTATGACGTGGCAAAATGACCAGTTTGGGAAGTTCTGGATAATTGTTTAATTGATAAGATTCTAGAAGAGTACTTCACGTAAAATGGTTTTCTATTTTTTCCCCAAAACATTTTTGTGGTCTGTGCTCAAGAGTTCATTTCATTTTCAGAAAAAAAAACAAATATTTTTCATAATGTTGCAGGTGAAAACTTCATATGTACATAACTCGATTACCAAAGCGAATGTATTTAGCTTGATTTGATCAAATTATGACTTGAGCTAACTTAAGGCGTGTTCTCATTGTACTTTGTTAGGATATTAAATCTGATTTTTCCCCTCGAAAACCAATTTAACCCTTGGTGTTTGTGTTTTACTCAAACAGGTGATTTTTGTGTAGACTCAGCAAAACTTTATTCCTGGAACTGAAAAAATATAAAATCAAGATCAGAATATTTCTTTTTCTAATCAAAAAGAGCAGCTGAACTCAAAATATTTTCCAATTCCACTGCCCAAAATGTTTGCTGATATCGTATACCAAAGTGGCGATCAATACATTCAAAGTTTCGAAGACATTCAAGCCGGGATTCTTGTATTCCTGCCATGCTGGATTGGTTTACTTATGGTGACAATTGTGATTCGGGGTTGTGTGAAACTTCCGGGGATGCAATCGTCTTTTGGATATTTGATGAAATATTATATGATAGCTGGAAGCATTGCGCCGATAAATATGGGTGTTTTCTATTTTTTCGGGGTGATGATGTGAGTTTGAAACACGAAAACGCGACGCACGCCGACCGCGACGCATCTGAAGGTATAGAACATATCACTTGGGCCTTCCCGTTTGTTGTCGGGCACACTGCGTTTATATTTCACGCGAGAGAAAACGAGAGAGTGTGCGTGTAGAAGAGATGCGAGACGAAAAAGGGATATGAACAAAAGGTCTCGCAGCGAATTTCTCTCGAAACCGGGAAAATGTACATTCTTAAAGGGACATCAAATTCGTCATCAACAATTCCCGAATCTTCGGCATGATCGCTCTAATCCTCACACCAATTCTACAATCCCAACTCCTCATGATTTCACTAAATCGATTCTTCGCCCTCGCAACCCCGGCATACTATAAGAAAATGTTCGAGTTGAAATATCAACGAGTTTTTGTTTTTCTCTGCTGGTCTACCCCGCTGATCTACACACCGATTATCACCTATTATAGTGAGTTAGGCTAATTCTCTTTTGTGTGGGTTCAGGAAAAAAAGAAGAGAATTTCAGATGACTGCAGCTATAAATTCTATCATTATGGCTGGTTGTTCACCTATGTTATCAATGAGAAATGTGGGAATAAGCTTGAGATTATGCTGCGGGGAGTTCAGGCGTTTTTTGCCTACTCAATGGTTCTTGTTGATATTGTCACGATTCTTCTGTTGATTTGCTTTAGGGTAAGATTTCCCCCTCCCAAACAGGACAAAAATACGTTTCAATCATTATCTTCTGCAGAAAAAAGTGCTTCAATCACACAGCGCTCAAATCCGCCGACGCGAAATCAGTTTCGGTCAACAAGTGGTGATCCAGGGTTTCGTCTACATGATGTATGGTTTCTGGTACAATCTGGGCAATCGTTGGATCCCCCAAAGTATCCCCGAAAATTGGCGGATTTTTTGGACGACTGCGTTCTCAGCGAACATGCTGCATATTTTTGGGACCAGTGTCATTTTCATTTTCAATAGCGAGTTTTCCCGGTGGTTGAGGTGTTATAAACGCGAGGAGATTATTGTAGTTTCGAATACCTCGAATTAAAAAAAATTGATAGTTCGCACGGGGACTCGAACCCTGGTCGATTTTTTCAAAACAGAACGGCGCCGGCGCCTTAGACCACTCGGCCACGCGGGTATTTTTAATTCTTGGCGAGATTTCCAAGATATTCACACACACCTAGGCTACGTATACCTTAGGTATACGTTAGGGATACTTTATCCATAACGTATACTTTTTTTGTCCATAACGTATACGTGTTTTCAACGGATACAAAACGTGTAAAATTTCATGGAAGATTTTGACTGTTTTTTTGGACTAAATCTGTCCCTTATGAGCTTGGGAGTTAGTTTAACAACTTTTCGCGAGGTTTCGAGACCATTTCGAATAAATTTATGGTGAAAGTTGAAATTTTGGAAAAGTGGACGTAACGTGTATATTTTTCATCCGTGAAGTAGACTTGGCAAAAATTGATAAATCATTGGAGGTTTTTCGAAAAACTTAATTTTCGTTGTTTTCTCAATGTTTGTGATGTCAAAGAATGAATCAAAAACTCAATTCGATAATCGGAAAGACTTTTGAAAAGTACACGTAACGGAGATGTATTATTTCCATAACGTACACTTTTTCATCTCCACAAAGTATACGTTAAGTACATTTTTTGTAACCTATAAAAAATACATTTTCATTTTTATAAATTTTCCATCCTACGTCTTATAGATAAGTTCTTTCATAATTTCAGTACTTTTTCTTTCCTAGTTAATTGTTTCTATACAAATTTGGCCATTTTTGTCATCATTTTCCACTCAAAAAGAAAAATTTGCTCGACATTAGGTCTAAGTTTCATTCCTGGACTGATATCCCATCTATTTTCAGTCATTTTCATATTTTATCACGTTTTTATTTGCAAATAAAACTCAAAAATTGCAAGAAAAACGCGAAATCCAGAAAAAAAAAAGATAAGCCCCGCCCACTTCCCACGGAAAACATAGCGCAGCGCGCAGCACGCGAGGTGTCGGTCGCTAAAATTATATAAGTAGACAGAGCGCCTTCCCTTCCCCAAAGCGTGTTTCGCTAAAAAACGCCGAGGAACTAAGCAATATTGAATTGCAGTCAATTTTGAACTGATCTATAACTGAAATAGATTCACATTATCAATCTGAAAAATAAATTCTGAAATTTCAAAAGTACACTTTTTATGTCCGTAATTTTGTCCGTTACGTACACGTGAGAGTCTCCATATGGACATCTCAGGTGTACTTAACGTACACGTGTGCGAGAATCAAAAAGTGTACGTTATGGAGACTTTACGTATACGTACCCGAGGTGTGTGTGTTTTCGGTGCACAAGCAATTATTATGTGTTTATATTTTTGAAACACCAAATGGTGTCGCCTAGCACCATTTTCATTTCCTCTCCCCCTTTTTGTTGCACCCCTGCACAAACAATCTATTTATTTATTATTATTGTTGTTGTTTTTTGCTCATTTATAAATGTATGTATGTAAAAGTAATCCCCCGACCCGACAGAACACAACCTTTTGGTGATTCCCACAACATTTTTTGATTTATTTATTTATTAGTTTTTATGATGACTCGTCTCAATGTATCTTTTTTGTTTTGTTTCTATGTATTGACTTTTTTTATTTTTGACAATGAGATGGACCTTTTTTCTCATTTTGACAAAAATATTTTTCAAAAACTGAAAAGTTTTCAGCCCGAAAACATTTCGAAACTAGAAAAAACCCACGACCTTTTCTATGCCAAGCAAGGCTACCGAGAAAAAGAGGAGCGTGGTGTAGTGGTAGAGTTTTGCACCATTAACCCAAAGCTCGTTGGTTCGACCCCCATCGGGAACTTTTATTTTGTTTTTTTCTTTTTCCCCCCAAAATATCCCGCAAGCCTCAATGAAACCCCCCATCTCAATGTCTTCTCGGCAGATGGTCTTTTTTCAAACCGCGCGGCTCTTTCCAATGTCTGCGCTCTCTCGATTTCGCGTGCTATTTCGCATTCTCGCTAATTACCACCCTCGCCTTATTTTTATTAGGGTAGAAAATAACAAATTTAGGGTTTCTTTTACATACAAAACAGAAGGTGAACCTTTTTTGATCTACTATTATTTTTGGGCTTCAAAATCCACGTGGCACAATTTTTTGATCTATCTAATTTTCCCAGGGTGAAAAACCACGTGGCACAATTTGAAAGCTGAAATTTTCTTGTGAAAATTTCAGCTGTTAAAAATTATGCCTATGTTTGTTACTCAAAAATCCACGTGGCAATTTTTTTGAATTTAAAATTTTGCCGTCACAAAATTCCCATGCCATTTTCAAACATTTTTAATAATTTTCAAATTTTTTTTGTTGGTGCCAGTCACCCAAACATTGTTTTATGTTTGCTTTATTTCTTAATGCTGCTAAATTTTTTTTGTTGATAAAAAAACACAACACAAAAAAGTTTTATTTTATTTTTGGTGATATTTTTTTGGTGTTTTCAATCACCAAATATTTTCAAATTATCATAGAAAATGTTGAAAATTTTTATCAACAAAAATTTTTGTTATCAGCATTTTTTCTTTGTTCTCACTTCTTCTTTTTTGCTACTGTGTGGTTATGTTTTCGAGACGACTTGTACTATTTTTTTCTTGGGGCTTTTTTTGAGGAAAATTCTGATTCCACGTGGAATTTTTAGTAGAACGGAAATTTTCTCAGAAATTTTCTGCCACGTGGATTCTCAAAAAATTTATCATTTTTGTGTGAAATTTATATTTTTCAAAAAAAAAAAGCAAATCTTGCCACGTGGATTAACACATTTCCAAGTCAAATTCAAAAAGATTTGTCACTTTATTTTTAAAAAATGTGCCACGTGGATTTTGCTTTCATTTTCCACGTGGAATTCAAGTTCCTCATTTCTTCTCTAGATCAAATAACATTTGAAATTAAATTCTGAAAATCTTCACTTTCATGAGATTTTTTTGCCACGTGGATTTCTACTTACAATTTCCAAAAAAAAAAGAGAAAAATTCAAAAACTACAGTACCCTTTCCCTGCTAATTGTCTGCCATTCACAAATTGCTCTATTCAATTTTTTTTCAAAAAAAAGTTCTTCTTTTGTTTTCCGAAGGTCATTTATTTTCAAATTTTTGAAAGGAAAAAATTGGTTCCCACCAGTAAAAATTGTAAAATTTGAATATTATTTTTTGGCGGCACATTTCTGTTTCGAATCTATCTACGACTACATTCAAAAAAATAGTAATAATAATGAGTACAAAAAAAGAAGATGATGACAAATAAATGTTGTATTATGATTATTCAAGCCGAGACACAACAAAAAAGGGGAGAAAATAAATAAATAAAACTTGGGTGGAGGAGAAGAGGAAAATTTGAATTTTTCCTCACGAATTGGGTTCTGAGAAGGTTTACAGTTAAAGATTAAGAGCTAAAAAATTTTTAACAAGATTTAAATTTGAAGTTTCACATCTCTGAAAAATTTTTTATAAATTAATTTTCAGAGCCCCTCTAATTGAATACAATTCTGATTTTCTGAAATGGTGTCCCAATTTTTTTTTCAAAATTTCAAATTTTTTATGCACCTGCTCAATTTTATTCTCTATGACCTTCCAATTTTTTTTCAAAAAAAAAGTTTTTTTGTTGGAATTATTCAATAGGTTCATTAGTGAATGAATTTAGAGAATTACTGTAGTTTTTGAATTATTTTTTGGCGGGAAAAATTTTCAAACACAATCAGAATGTTTTTAGAAAGCACTGATCCAACCAGAAAAATTCCACGTGGCATGAAAACTTTTTAGAAAATAGATATTAATAATCCACGTGGCAGCAGTTTTTAGCGTCAAAAATTACTGTATCATAAAATCCACGTGGAAATTTTTTGCTTTTTCAAAATTCTTGAAAATCCACGTGGCAATAGAAAATTGAAGAAAAATTTCGAGTTCTCAAAATTTTTGATCTACAAAAAAATTGAACACAAAATGTTTTCTATTGATTTTTTTTCGTTTCCCATTTTTCCACGTGGCATTTTTGTTTTTTTCAAAAAAATTTCAAAAACTGGGTCATCTATCTCATCATTTGTTTTTTGGCTGTCTCTTCAGTGATTCATAGGTGTGTTCTCTCATCTTTTTTTTGCTCTGCTCAAACATTTTTTTTGGCTGGCCCTGGTCATTTCGGCTCCTCCCCTTGGTCTCTTTTTTTTGGTAGATTTGATTTGTTGTTGGACATGAGTTTTGAATTTTTGTGGTTTGAATTCTAGATTTTTGAAGATTTTCCCTAACTCATTTGCTACTAATTTTTCCAAAAAAAAAGCTAGGCTTATGAAATTCTGAATTTTGAATTTCTGATTTTTAATAAGTTCTGTAAATTTCTTTTTGATTCTTTCCGATTTTCAGAAATTCTAGATTTAATTGAATTTTTTTGAGATTTTTCTGAAATATGGAAAGTCGGCTTCGAAATATCTGAAATTCATTGAAACTAAGTTACAGCTTCAAAATTATCAAAGTTTTTCAAAAAGCTGAATTTTTCAGATTTTTTTTCTGGATTTTTTTCAAATTAGGCTTCAAAATTTCTGAAATTCTGATTTTGAACATCTGATTTTTCTTGAAAATAAAATAAATTTTAACTTCAAATTGAAATCTTCAAATTTTGAAACGAGCCCAATCTAGAAAATCAAAAAAAAAACTCTGAAACTCTGAAATTAGAATTTTTCTCTAATTTTCTACTGTAACCTAGCTTCTTCCAAAAAATTCCAGAATTCTCCAAAAATATCTGAAATTTTTTCCCCTCCCAGAAGAAAAAAGTGAAATCCTCTTCTTTCCTCTTCCTGGTGCAGCTGTGTTCATTTTTGGCACCCAATTTAAATTTACATAGTAGCCAAAACCGGTTTCCCTTCTTCTTCCTATTTCAAAAAAAATTTATTTGTTTGAATTGGTAACATTTGAGTTAGTTAGAATTAGAGGGTTAAGAAGAAACACATGAAAAGGACACATTTTTTGAAGGTTACTAATTATTGCTTCTTCTTCTTCTTTTGCTTTTTCTT